AGTCGACGGCATTTAGATTAATCCTACGAAAATCATATCTATTAAAGAATGGCCTACTCCGAAGAATCTTAAAGAAGTATAATCGTTCCTTAGACTTACTAATTATAATAGGAAGTTTATATTAGGTTACTCCTAGATAGCGTTACCGCTCGTAGAACTTACGAAGTAAGATACTCTATTTATATAGAAAGAACGGTAATAGAAAGCTTTCGAAGCACTTAAATAGGTATATATCGACGGACCTACTCTAAGAATGTTTAACTTAGGAAAGCTAGTCTATATCGAGACCGATGCATCCGATAGAGCGATTAGAGCATATCTTACGTAAGACTACGAAGGCAAACGACATCCTGTAGCTTACTACTTACGTAAGATAACACTAGCAGAACAGAATTACGACATTTATAATAAAGAACTTCTCGCTATAGTCGTAGCCCTATAACATTAGAGAGTTTACGCCGAAGGAGCCCCCTTACTTACTATCCTTACNGACTATAAGAACCTCTTAACCTTTATAACTACTAAAGTTCTTAACCGTANGTAAGTGCGATAGTCGGAACTTCTCGGTTAATATAAATTTAAAATCCAGTATACACCGGGTAAGGATAACGGTAGAGCGGACGCGCTTAGTAGAAGAATTAACTATATAGAAGGTAAGGAGGCTATTATATATAGCATCCTCTAAACTAATAAAGATAGAACACTTAGCGTACGGACATATAAGTTTAATGCTGTATTACGCATTATAAAGGATGATAAAGAGGAGTTTCTTATCTTGTACGACAAATACTAAGTGCCTAAACGACATTAGAAACAGTGCATTAAGGACTACTACGATAACCTAATATACGGTTACTCTAGTATCACTAAAACAATCGAGGTTATATAACGCAACTTTGCCTTCCTATAGATAAAAGTAAAGGTTATAGTATACGTTTAGAAATGCTGTAGCTGTCAGATAAATAAGTCGTCTAGATATGCGAAATATAGAGAGATTTAATTTATAGACCTACCGCTATAGCCTTAGGACGAAGTTATAATAGATTTCATCACTAGATTACGTAGTTTAAGCTCGCCGGACGACTCGAAACTACGTCAGCTATACGATTCGATATTAGTTATAGTCGACAGACTTACGAAGTATATACACTTCGTTCCCTANATAAAATCGATTACTNTAGAAGAATTAGNACACTTAGTTCTAGACAGACTAATTAGGTATTACGGGATCCCTAAGTCCTTTATTACGGATCGTAATAAGCTGTTTACGTTAAACTACTAGAAGACACTCGTCTCTATAATAGGCATTAAATATAAGCTCTTAACTGCTTACTACCTATAGACTAACGGTTAAACCGAGAGAGCGAACTAGACGCTCGAGGCCTATCTACGGCATTATATTAACTACGCTTAAGATAATTAGGTTAACTACTTACTAATAGCACAACTAGCGCTAAATTAACAAGTTTCTGCTATAATAGGAATTACGCCATTTTATGCTAATTTCGGAAAGCACCCTAATTTGTTTATAGAACCTAGGCTATAGCATCTAAACGCAGATAGAGTAATGACTACTAGCGACTAGCTAAAGGAGTTATATAAGTAATTACGGNAAAAGATACTATTATCCTAGGACGGTTTACGACGAAATAGACAAAAATTAAAACTGGATCCTTAGCTAAAGAAGGGAGATAAGGTATATCTACTTACGAAAAACTTACGATCTTAACGGACGATAAGAAAACTGGATTATGTTAAGGTCGGACCATTTTTGATTTTAGAAGTTAGAGGACTAGTTAACTATAAACTCTAACTTCCTAACGATGCGAAAATACACCCGGTGTTTTATATATTACTCCTTAAACCAGTAGACCTAGAAACACCGTTATAGATAACATTCTATTTCTAGATAGAAGAAGACGACGAATTCGAAGTCGAAAAAATACTAGAATAATAGGGTTAGCGATACCTTATAAAATAGAAGGGTTACCTACACTCGGAAAATACATAGGAACTACGAGGGAACCTTAGGAACTGCTAGAACCTCCTATAACAGTTCTAGCAGTCTCGACATTCCAGAAATCGGAAGATAAGTCGAAACCACTATCTATAGCATTCTAAGTCTCTAGACCTAACCTAAGGCTAGGCTCGTTAGTAGAAAACTTAAGCACTGCAGCGTCGATCTCCTCTTATTTAATACCTACGTACTCCGTAGCTACTACCTCCTCCTCTTTCTAGTCTAAGAGATCTATTTGTTAACGAAGGCGCATCTCTCGGGCGAACGCCGTTTATTAACGCTCGCGCGCGAGGTCTGCTTCCTTTCGAGCCTACTCTTACGTATAGTACGCATCTTTAATAGCGTTACGCAACCGTTTACGCTCTTGCTTTAGGCGATCCTATTCGGATTACGATATACGGATATCGCACCGCTAATTGCGACGAAGACATTCACTACACTTTCTAGAACGAACGTAGACCTAATAGACGCGGTTATGCTTAGCGTAAGTCGCGTACAGTTTTACTATAATGGTTCCTTCTAATTCGATATAGGCGGCGAGTCCTTTACGACGTTTAGTGCTGTTATCCCTTTCCTTAGGCATTATAAGAAGGAGACATTACTTACTAAGGTGGAAATAGGAGATAAACAGCTGATTATATACGTTAGCGTCGGGACGACGCTAGTACGGAAGGGGGATAGTATTACGATCCTACCTCGGATAGGGTTATACAGCCTACTCTATAGTTCCCCGCACCTTAGCGGAATAGAGCACTCTATATAACACGCTATCTACTCTGCCCTACTCTGCTACTCTGCTTTATAGAGCATAATAGAGCATATAGAGCAACCTATATACACTTATTATCTATTAAGTATATAGGTAGGTAGGACGACCTTAGGTAGTCCTACGTTTAACTTAATTAGTTATTCTAACAGTCCCTTTAGTATACACTACTTTATACACTACCTGCTTTACTTCGCTTAACACTCCGCTTTACGAGTCTAACCCCGTAACCTATTATCTCCTTCTAGATAGTTAGCTATAACACTAACCTAGATATATACTTTAGGACGAGATAATTCTTACGGCTAGAAAACCCTCGGAAGGTAGGATAGTATACGTAGAAACTAGATAGGGCCCTTCTAGGGTTATACGCGGAAAAGTTATATAACGCCCTTACGTCCTAGGAGGCCTTTATACTAGTATAATGCCGTATAGGGTAATCGTATCTAAAAAGTTGCCTATTCCGTAAGCGACTATTAGAAACAGCGAGCTATACGTATAGGACAGCGAGGGAGACAATCGCCTATATACTTTATAAGTGCCCTCTCCTTCGGCAGGAGCGCTAAGCTATAACGGAGGTTATCGGAAAGAGGTAGAGAGATTAATCTTATATCCTAGGGGGATGGAACCCCTAGGTTAATCTATAGACTAGGCAACTAGTCGATAGACTACGAGAGAAATAGAGAGTAAACATCCTAGTAGTAAAAGCGGTATTAAGCTTCCTACATAAGACGGGGAGATTTTATAACTCTGCGAGGGTGAATTCGTAAAGGGGAAGCTAGAATGGAATAAGGATAGATAGGGACGAAGAAGGAAGAACCAATAGGAGACGGCTTATAGGTTTGCCGTAGAACTAAGTAGCCTGATCAATTGAATCAATCAATTAATCAATCTATAGGGTCAGTATTATTAATAACCCGCCTAAGAAAGGTAGAATAGTCTTCGAGTCCGTCGTAACCTATAATACTTTCGCGGTCTGCTTTCCTAACATCTTCTTGCTTCCTGCCCTACGATATTAAGATATAACTAAAGCCGCTTTAAAGTGCCACTGGAACAGAAGCGCCATCGAAGTCTTCGAAGGCAACCGCATTAGGATTGTAGCCTTCGATAGCACGGACTATCTACATTATAATGACCCTTTCCCGCTTGACCACGCGACATCCATCTGCTCTTCTTGTAGCCTTGTTGTGTGCTGAACACCCTCGTCAATCAACTTGGTCAGAGGAATCTTGGCCGCATTCGCCCTGAAATGCTTCAGGTAATCGTCCAGCACAAGTCTGTTGACATTGATCTTGCTGACACCAGCTTTGATGACTCGTTGTGTAACTTCGTCTGGCCACTCGTTGGTACCGTGAGCGACAATCCGCACTCTGCCATTGGCTTGCTTCTTGATGGCTTCGAGTCTATTTGTTGGTCAGTCAACAGATCTCTCGACTATGCATGTGTGTGTGTGTGTGGAAAACATACCTTGCGTAGTCTAGTTGGGGTCCAGTCTTGCCATACGGCGACTCTCCATGAATGTTGCCAAAGGCTGGAGCAAGGAAGTCGACGCCAGTTGCGATGAAGTCTTCCACGTCCTCGGGCGTGGTCAAGACCCCCTCCAGATCCACTGTATCTGCGACACCGTCTTCACCTCCTTCCAGACGTCCTGGCTCAGCTTCTGTAGCAATTCCACGCGCGTGGCAGTACTCGACAAGCTCTTTTGTCTTTGCAAGATTCTCTTCTTTCTCGTGATGTGACATGTCGACCATGATTGAATCGAACGGAAGGTTGTCGGCGGCATGACGAATCAACGCTTCGTCTTGTGCGTGGTCGAGATGGATTGCGATGGGTACTGATGCTCTCGCTGCTGCATCCGCTGCTGCTCGGACTAGAAGACCATCGGAAGCTGTGATTGCCCAGGGGAAGACCTGGATGATGAGAGGTGACCGCTTGTTCTCTGCTGCTCTGACAACGGCGACGATATTCTCGACATTGTATCTTGTGAAAATCAGTCTGATGCATCCGCAGCGCTGTAATGTCGAGAACGCTTACACGATCGAAGCAATAATTCCGTAACCTCCCTTTTCAGCATCCTCGAGAATCTTCTTGGTCTTGTTCTGTGCGAGACTTCTGCGGGGAGGGTCAATGATGGCAGACTGGGCACCCATGATGAAGAGGTTGATCGTGGAAAAGTAGAACGTAGCGTGGTAAGCAAGCGATCTGGCGGCCTCGAGGCTTGAAGTATGCTTAATTATCACTCGATCAACAATGATACAATCAGCAGGTGACAATGAGGGGTATCTCGCGACGAGGCATTGTGGATTTACTGTGCCGTTCATCAAGGTGCTTCGGTTTCAAGAGGGCAGGGTCCACAACGGGGGTTGGCTTCGCGCGGGGAACGCTCGTCTCGAGACAAAAGTCCTCGAAGCGAGAGCTGTACACGATGTCCTGACCTCGCCTCGATTCGATTTTGGCACTGTCCGAAGAGCCTCAACATCGGGACGAGTTCCCGGGATGGACTCGGGTTCCTGAATAGAGCTTGATTGACCTTGTGACCCACGAAAAGCTAGCATGGCTGTGGATGGTTCGGGGAAGCACAAGACAGCACCGTGTAATGGCTTGGGCTGAGATTGGACGTTGGAGTGATCGTGGAATAAGAGAAGCAGATTTCAGTTGTCTATCTGTTTGTCATCTCAGCCGATTTCTAGTCAGTCACTCAGGAGCCTCCCAGAATATCGACAAATCAAGCACCGTGTCCAACAATCACAGTGACATACATTGTTCACCATGCTTTCATCTACTCCAGACGTCAATGCACCAGTGCTCTTCCAATTCTCGCTCGCAGGCAAGACGGTTGCTGTGACTGGTGGATCCGGAGGCATCGGTACCGAAATCGTCCGTGGTATGGCAGAGGCTGGAGCAAATGTCGCACTCATCTATCACAGCTCAGTGGAAGCAGAAGCCACAGCCGCATTGTTCAGCAAGCAGTACGGGGTCAGCATAAAGGCGTATCAATCTGACGTCAGATTCGAGAAGCCAATCACCGACACCATCAACCAGATCGCCAAAGACTTTGGGCGATTGGATGTTGTGATAGCCAACGCCGGCGTCTGCTCGAGATACGATGCTCTAGATTACGATACGGAGAGCTGGAACGCAATCAACAGCGTCAACTACGACGGAGTATTCTGGACAGCAAAGGCGGCGGGCAGAATATTCAAAGAGCAAGGAAAGGGAAATCTGGTCATCACAGCCTCAGTGTCGGCCACGTTGGTCAATGTTCCGCAATGGCAAGCTGCTTACAATGCTTCAAAGGCTGCGGCGATGCATCTTTGCAAGTGTTTGGCAGTCGAGTGGGCTTCTTTCGCACGGGTAAATTCGGTGTCACCTGGATACATCAACACGCTTATGGTCTCGAAGCAGCCTGCAGAGCTGATGGATAAGTGGCTCTCGATGGTTCCCTGTGGTCGCATTGCTCAGCCTGCAGAGTTGAAAGCGGTATGTCGTAAATGCATGCGCTCTGAGGACCGGACTAAGATGATTGCAGCTCTACGTGTTCCTTGCAAGTGACGCATGTTGCTACATGACAGGGTCGAACGTCATTGTTGATGGAGGTTATACGTCGATCTGAGATGGCAGGATGTGGCTGGAGGAGGTCGAGCAATGCCGGAGATTTTTCAAGGGACGTGGCCGCAGATTGATAGAGCGCGTGATATGATAAGCCGAGAAGAGCGAAATAGCACAATTGAAAGAGGGTCAAAGTTATGCCGTGCTTGGTCATAAATTGCAAATTCGCTTCGAGAAGTGGCGGCGAAGATGGCGGCGGCGGGCGCGGGCGGGGGTGAGCGGGGAAAGGGCTCGCGTCGAGCTCGCGTCGCACCTGGCCGTTCTGGTTACGAGCAAGTGACTTTGCAAATGCACAGCTCCGCATCATCTCTCTGCCATGTGAGAGGAATCATTTGCCCCGAGTTGTCATGGCGCTCATCTTGCAAGTCCCTCTACTCGACACATCAAGCACGGCTTCACCGTCGCATCCACCTGATTGACCGGCCCCGACACGCAACACAACAAACAGCATCATGGCATCGTACGCCAACGCAAAGCTCCTCGCCGGCAAGGTGTGCGCAATCACTGGCGGCGTGTCTGGTATTGGAAGAGCTATCGCCAAAGAATACCTGCGACAAGGCGGCGCCGTCGCTGTCAACCATCTGGGCGACGACAAGTCGGTGAAGCTGTTCGAGAGCCTGAAAGCCGAAGTGCCAACAGACTCGAAGCTCATTGGAGTCGGCGGCGACATTGGCAAGATCGAGACTGGCAAGGACTTTGTCAAGGCCGCCGTGTCCGAGTTTGGAGCTCTGGACGTCTTTGTCGCCAACGCCGGTGTGAGCGTCTTTCACGACTTCTTGACGTGAGCGAGCCCCATCTCCAGCTCCTGTTCCTGCTCCTGCTCCTGCTCCTGCTGCTCCTGCGTCCTCCGCTCTCTTTGCTGCTACTCCCTTGTCCGCATACTGTTCGCTGACTACTGGCACAGGACCGACGAGAAGATGTTCGAATCGCACCTCCACGTCAACACTCGCGGCACCTTCTGGTCTGTACAAGCCGCCGCCCGGCAGATGGTGCAACAAGGAAGAGGTGGATCAATCATTGGCGTTGCTTCCATCAGCGCCCTTCTCGGCGGCAAGCAACAGGTACACTACACACCGACAAAGGCGAGCGTTCTCAGCATGATGCAGTCGGCCGCTTGCGCCCTTGCCGAACACAAGATCCGATGCAATGCGCTACTGCCTGGCCACACCCGGACCCCCATGAGCGCCGACGACTTGGCCAACCCGGAGAAGCTACGAGCTGTCAATGAGAGAATCCCGCTTGGCCATGTCGCTGAACCTGACGATATGGCTGGACCTGCCGTCTTCCTCGCAAGTGACATGAGCAGCTACGTCGTCAGTCTGTCCTGAACATAATCCGAGAATCTCGCTAACCATTCATAGACTGGTGCGCAACTGCTTGTAGATGGAGGTCTGTATGTAAATCTCCAATGAGTCCTGGTAGAATCGTCTATAGTACTGATGCGACTGATGCGGCTAATGCGACTCCTTCCGGAGGACATCTCAAGACTCTTGCGCAACCCCTTTTCAAGTTCGCACATTTGTACGCAAGACCCAGTCACTATTCCTCTTGGTACCTTGTCAATATATTCTGTTTTTCCCGTGATCATCATGGCCGCATGCTATGGGTGTGAGCATGGCCGTCATGCCCGAGGAAAATCAAATTTACCTGGGACGAGACCGAGGAATCGGCAACATCGTCGGCCACATCTTCAAGTCCACATGATGCTCATCGCTACACCTCAAGCTCTTCCTAGCTAAGATCTAAGCATAGTAAGTTCGTGCTGAGGCAGCTGGCACGACACGCCACCGCCAGACCTACCCATAAGCTTTTCCGACGCTGTGAATAGAGCGAGTGATCAAGATTGGTCGTCTGCACACTCATCGTCGCCTGTCCTCGAGACGAATTTATTCTGGAGCCGACTGCAGTTCTCGTACCGAATATGTCGTCCTTGGTCGCTGTTCTTGCCCTCATTCAGTCACTCGAGGTCGATCAGCCATCATGCCCTAACGTGCCAGTCAAACCTTAGGGCAAACCACCCAATGCCACGCGACTTGGCAAGCGACGACTTCGAGACACTCCATTGAGCCTCTGATCTCGACACGAGATCGCCTCCTGCTCTTGGGGTGACAGACCAGGATCTTGAGAACCCTAACCTGGTCTTACTTTCGCGGGGATACTGGGGCCCCCACAAGTGCAGGCGTCTTGTTAAGAACAACTCGGTATAAGACCTTGAGTAAGATCGTCCTTCCAATACCATCAGCTTCACTCTCTCACACTGGGTCTTCCACGAATCACTTCGTTATTCAAACCTACCAACATATCTTATCATGGTGCAGTCTTCAGCAACTGTCGGAGCCGCGGCCTTGCGAAGGCAGCAGATGACCGGTAAGAAGGGCATCAGTGCTCTGATGGACAACAAGCATGCCTTCTTCATTGCCATCTTTGCTTCGTGAGTGATACTGCAACGCCATTCTCACGAGCCATCTGACATCAACACAGATTCGGAGGTCTCCTCTATGGCTATCAGCAAGGTGTCCTCGGTCAGGCACTTGTCATGCCGGCATTTATCGAACAATTTCCAGATGTACATAACTCAGCTACAGCAACTGGTTGGTTGACATCAATCTTGCAGCTGGGTGGTTGGCTCGGCGCCATCACTTCGGGAGTACTCTGCGAGGTCTTCAGTCGTAAGCACAGTATCGCGGCTGCATCTCTTTGGGTCATCCTGGGCAGCTACCTTTGCGCTGGCGCATCCAGCTCGTCATACCTTCTGGCCGGTCGCTTCTTCACCGGTATTGGTGTTGGTACTCTGTCTGCCGTCGGCCCTTTGTACAATGCTGAACTTGCACCTCCGGAGATTAGGGGTTTCCTAGTCGCTCTCCAGCAGCTCACAACTACTATTGGTGTAGGTGATTCAGGCTTCTGAGAGGTCGAACCTGTACTTACATGATCAGATTCTCCTCGCATACTGGATCGCTTATGGTACCAGTCACATCGGCGGCACTGGCAAAGGTCAATCTCAGTGGGCCTGGCGTCTACCTCTGATCGCTCAGGGCATTCCTGCCGTCATCCTCTCCATTGGTGTCTGGTTCATGCCGTTCTCCCCTCGTCTTTTGATGAACAAAGGTCGCGAAGAAGAAGCCCTCCAGACTCTCGCCAATCTTCGTGGACTCCCAAAGGAACACGTCCTGGTACAGATCGAGCATCTCGAGATCAAGTCGGAAGTCGTCTTCGAGAGACGTGCCTTTGCGAAGCGCTTTCCATCGTTGGGTGGTGACAACCAAAGTATTTTCAAGCGCGAGATTGCGCAGTACACAAACATCTTCCGCAGCAAAGACTCGTTCAAGCGCGTCGCACTTGGCTCCCTCGTCATGTTCTTCCAGCAATGGACAGGTATTGATTCTAGTAAGTGCTCCCCTGCTGTCGCAATGACTCAAGAGCTAATCTCCCACTCACAGTCATCTACTACGCCCCCGTCATCTTTCAAAGCCTCGGTCTCACAAGTGGCACGTCTGCCCTTTTGGCGACTGGTATCACAGGTATCATCAATGTCGCAACAACGATTCCCGCCATCCTCGTTATCGACAAGGTTGGCCGCCGCCCCCTCGCCCTGATTGGCAGTGTTCACATGTTTATCTGTCAAATCATCATCGGTGTCATCGTCGCTACATGTCAGGATAACTGGAAAGAGCACGCTGCTGCTGGCTGGGTTGCTGTCGTCATGGTCTGGCTCTACATTGTCGGTTTCGCATACTCCTGGGGACCTGTCTCGTGGACTCTGATCGCTGAAATCTTCCCACTGAGCATCAGAGCCAAAGGAACATCCATCAGTGCCAGTTCCAACTGGATGAAGTAAGTAGTGCAGTCATCCACTGCTTGCAACATCAACTGACTTGAGCGTAGCAACTTCGTCATCGCTTTCATCACTCCACCTATGCTCAAGAGTATCTCATGGGGCACCTACATCTTCTTTGCCGCCTGGCTGGCTCTTGGTGGTGCTTTCATCTGGTTCTTCATCCCCGAGACCAAGGGCAAGACCTTGGAGGAGGTAAGATATCCAATGGCGTCGCGGCGCAGCTTGACCGCACTTGACAATCGCTGACTTGTTCGCAGATGGACGCCGCTTTCGGAAGTCACTCCAGTGTTGAAGATATCGAGGAGCTTGCCCGTGTCCAGCAGGAAGTTGGCCTGACAGATCTGCTCAACGGAGAGCATGTCATGCCATTCGATGGATTGGAGAAGAATGGCGCAGAGGTTGAGGAGGTCGAGTCGATCTAACCTTCGGATAATTCTAAGCCCACGTCGGCGATCGACCATCACAGGGGTAACGGTGTTTGTAGCTCCTTTTTGAAATAGTACAGTGCCATCAGTCTTTTGGTTCCTGTACCCTAACTTGTACTACGTATCGTGTCTACCATGATCGCCAGTTAGCATACTGTGTTCAACATCGTCCCATACGGTCAGTGTTAGACAATCTACAATCTCGATAATCACGAGCTTAGCGCACGGTCAGCGTTCACGTTTGATTGCGGCAGGCTGAGCGATGAGAAAGATTATCTATTGTGACTGATTCGGGGTGGCTATCAGATTACTACAACAGTGGCCATCGCACACATGACGCCAATCAAGATGCCTGTGATACTCGAGACCAATACAGTTGACGAGCCAGTAAACACAGCTGGTGTTGATGGAGTTGTAGATGCTACCAATCCTGTACTGCTGTGGGATACTACCGAATTGGCCGTGGCTTTATAATCAGGCGGAACTTCCGCAGCAGAAGTTAGTTGTGGAGAGGCGTCCGATGGTGGGAATGCAGCCATCGTTGATCGACTAGATGCTGAAGTCAAACCGAGATGGCTTGAAGCTTCGAGATCGACATTGACAGGAGTTCCGACCGCACCATCATTCTCGGCGACGGAGGCCGAGCTTGATTCGCCTGCGCTGGTAGCAAGCTTCGACATGGGTTTATTGTTCGAGCCGGAAGCTGCGGCTGGCGTAGATACAGAGGAAACGTCCAATACAGAGTTGATACCAAGGCTCAAACGAGATGTAGAGGCCGGGATTGAGCTCGAGTCAAGTATAGCATGTTCTGAAACGGACGATTCTGCGGGGGCGGATTTGAGAGGGACATAGGTCGATTGGTCGTTCACCAAAATCATAGCTGTGGGAGTAGCAGTGGGTATGGCATATACTGGACAGATAGTCGTGTACGTAAGAACGACGCCAGTCTGCGTCACAATCTTCTCGGAAGCAGGACAATTCTCGACTGTCGAAGGGCATGCGGTCATTGTCTGAATAGATGTGCTGTGCAAGGTCAAGGTGGAATAACCAATCACAAGATGCTGTGAGTTCGTCGATGTCGCCTCTAATGCGGAAGCCTCTGTTGCAGGTGCTGGTAAGTTCTCGGCGATGATTTTCGTTGTAAGGTAAGTCGACTTCGCGGAGGCGGGACAGTCCTTAACCGTCAGAGGACAGGCAACCGTGGTATATGTGCTAGTGATATACCTCGTCACGCTAGACTGTCCCTGTGCTGCCAACACTGTCGTCAGAGCAGCTGTGCTGTTGTCCAGGGATGTTGACGGAGTTACTGTGAAGCTAAAGGTTGAAACGGCCACCGTAGTTTGACCACTTGTACTTGCGGTACTTGCGGATCTCGAAAGTGGGATGTCGTTGTTATCGCACACGAAAGGGCTGACTTCTACAGGGATACCATCAGCTTCGCGCCTGAATGCAGTTGCGAAAATTATGCCATCGTCCCCGTGAGCAGAGTTCTGGTAGAGGCAGCGGAAGTAAGTGCATGCACCGTTGCTACTGTCGTAAGAGGTTGCTTTGCATCGCGTGTCCGCGGCACAATTTGAAAGACAAGTGTCTATCGTGCTAGCAGCTCTTTTGACCAGCGATTCGTCGATCTCGAGAGACACACCATCATAGCTGATGTTTAGCTCGACCTTGTAGCTCGTACCATGAACTTTCTTGGTGGAAGAAGGACCGGATACTGAAGTGGTGGTCGCCGATGGAGCTCCTGGGGTAGAATCTTGTCCTGATAGAGTCGCACTCACATTCGCGTCCGACTGGCCTGACGAAACTGCTGGCGAAGCTGCTGACGAAACTGCTGGCGAAGCTGCTGACGAAGCTGTTAAAGAAGCTGCTGACGAAGAAGATATCGTCAAGGATATCGACATAGGCAAGGACGAAGCAACAATTGGACTGGCCGAGACTGAAGACGCTGAGGATGACAAAGTCTCCGATACTGAAGACGACGAAGATGTTATCGTAGAGACTGGGGAAACCGATGAGGTCGCTGAGGTCGTCACAGTGGACGACGTCGTAGAGGAGTTGGAAAACGACATCGAAGAACCTGGCAGGAAAGTCGAGGAAGCCGAAACGGATGTAGTAATGGGAGCCGATGAAGCCAGAGAAATTGAAAGCGTTACAGCAGATGACGACAGCAATGATGACATAACCGAACTGCTTGTCGACAATATGGTGCTTGTTGAAGAATTCGATATCAGAGATGGGGTGGAGGTGGGCACATTGCTCGTACTGACTCCAACAGATATGTTCTCCGATGGAGGGAAAGTGACCCGGGAGGTAGAAAAGGTGATGCTTGATGCATTGGTGCTGCTAAATTGAGAAATTGTAGAGGCAGACGGAGAATCAGGAGGCGTGAAGGAAGAATTGGAAGGCATAGACATAGAGCTGGAAATAGAAGACGATGTAGCTGATATAGGCTGGCTGCTGGTCGTGCTCATGTTCGTAGAAGTTGACGTGCTTGGATCGGGAACAATAATTGTCACCGTCTCGCTAAAGGTGGATTCGAGTGTCGAGGTATAAGTCGCGATATTCGTCTCTATCGTCTCTGTGGTGTCCGTGATTATCGTTGTACCAGTGATCACACAAGGATTCGTTGTGTATTCCACTGCAGCAAATGCCGAGGCAGGTGCTGGTGCAAGAGACACATCCCCGTTCACAAGGAAACACTGGTATACGCGTCCAACAGTTGTGAAAGCGACGCCATTGCATGAGGAAGAAGCGATATGCAGATTGTTGAGGGCGTTGCAAATGCTCATGCAGATACTGGTTGCTGCTGCGCCTACCGGTTCGACATAGGCGCGAATGGTACTGCCGCCGATGAGGGAGTTGGCGCAGCGATTCTGATAATACAGTGAGCCAAGATTATAGACAGCAGAATCCATACAAGTTGCGTCGGACGGAATTAGACTTCCAACTTCGCAGACCGACGAAGTTGAGGTAATGGTTGCGATATTGGTGATGGTTGAGGTTGTGTAGTCCGATGATGTTGCTGTTACGGTAGCCGTCGTGACTCCGATTCGCGTACTGAGTATCGACGCACCCTTGACTGATTCTGCTGTCAGGGCGAGCAAGATGATTGTCAAAGTCTTGAAGTTCATTCTGTAAAGCATGGTCCAAGATCGACGTACGAGGATGACGAGATGAAGGACCTGTTGGCGTTCTTATGGTCAAGAGCAACCGATGGTACAGTCGGCTTTCAGGGACATCATCTGCAAATTGCAAAACCGATCGAGAGCCTTTAGTTCTCCACGCTATTGGCGCGCCGTTTTTGGCTAGTTTGATGGGGAAGTAGGAAGGACGAAATGATTCACTGACTAGAAGCAGCCGTTGTGTGCTCGAGCCATCGGAGCTGAAAATTTACGAAAAAGGCGCACTCTTGCTACTCGACATCCAAGAGATGAAGCTCGCAGAGACTAGAAGCTGCATTATCGTAGATCGCAGATCTCAATGAAGACCGTCTAACCCCGGGCGTGAATGTGTCTACTAGATGAATGCGTTCATACTGGCGGCTCGGAGGGTTGTGGTAAAGTAGATTCCCCACACGTTTCGAGTCGTCGCCTCCTCGGGCCCTTTCACCCGCCCTCACCGCCTGCGTTTGACATGAGTGGAGAGACGAGCAAAGTCTTTCTTGTTAAGCGATCAAAGTCCAGCTGAACAACGCCTTCGGCCTCGACGGCATCTCCGACACATATAGCCCAACAATAATGTGGCAACGATGCGAAACAGGTCAAAGTAAGGGGTAACGCCATCTGCGGGGCGTTTCCCGCTGCAAATCTCGTCTATCTATACAATGAACTGCTGCGACTTATGTTTGCGACGCTGCATCCGTTGTACGTCGCCACTTCACCATTCCAGCGTTCCACAGGGCATGCGCCCCAGTAATACCGTAAAGCGGGGCGAAGACCCGCTCCAATTCGTTTGCTGCGTGTTGCCAATGCTCCTGCGAGACGGAGAGGAGTGTACGTTGGGCAGTCGAGCGGGCGGTCGTCTCAGCAGTGGTCGGATCGAGCCAGTAACGTTGTTTGAGAAGGGTGATTTATGCAATACTGAGGCTTGCCGGGGATAAGTTTGCCCACTCGAGTAGTTCTGCTTTGGACAAGCTTTTTGATGCAGCCACGTTTGCTTTTTGGGTTGTCGTATCGGGAAATCCAGAATACCTCGACGGTCGTGATCCGAGCTCGTGGTCGCTGGCGTCGTTGGCGTACCGGAACACGCATGTAAAGGCCCTAATCAGTTGCCACATGATAAGAGAATTTGTCGCATCTTGAACGACGAGCACGAGATGCTGACGCGGGTCTGCCCACCACTCGAGTGTTGATCCTTGTCCTGCTTGGTCGAGAATACTAATGTCTTTAGGCAAGCAGGACCACCCATTGTCGATTTGGTCCAAGCTTTGGCTTATTCATCAACTGTCGACCGCGTCGTGGGCATTTAGTTCTTTGTCAAGCACGCTGAACATCATCGCTTTCAGCTCTGCTATCGCGTCTGGGCCAAGCATGAGCCAGCGTCAGTAAACACGACTGCTTCAACAAGATCTTTGCTAGAGGTGCCTTGGGCATGAGAAGAGATGTGGTAAATGAAAGGCAAACACTCGTCATTGGTAATTATGCTATATCCTGCTGTCTAATGCCCTGCGCTTAACAATACTTGTCGATATATTCCTTGACCAAGTCCTCGACCTTGTTGTCTCGCAGCAGACCAAGTCTGTCAGGTGTGCTTGGGTCAAAGTCCTCGGGCCAGCTTCGAAGGATTCTCTCAAATCCAGGATTTGTCTCCTCCCTCAACAGCTTGAGCTTGTCCTCGCCGCCGAACTTGGCCAAAGCATCCATCATCTCCTGAATAGTGGTTGATACACCAGGGAACATGATATGTCTCTGATGCGGCGGAAGTGCATCGCCAGGCAGGTTTAGAACGCGGACGAGATTCTCGATTGTGCTGCTGGGCGAGCAGACATACGTGCGATATGAGCGATCCTTGAGCGGGATGACGCATTCTTCGCCCTTCATGGGCTCACGGAACATGCCCGACAAGAATGAAGGAGCTGCGTTACTGGGAGCACCAGGTCGAACGATGACGGTGGGGAAGCGGACACTGAAGGCGTCGATGTAGCCCTTACGGTTCATGTCGTTGATGACGACTTCTGAAGCGAACTTGTGGGCGCCGTAAGTACCCTCGGGGGTAGGCATTGTGGTATCGGTGATGACTTTGGGTAGCGGCTGGCCGTAGACTGCCTGAGAACTAGAGTACACGACGCGGACGCCAGGGTTTGACTGGCGAAGAGCAAGAAGCAAGTTGCGCACACTTTCGACATTGACTTTCATCGACTTGGTTCAATGTTAGCTTTGTGCATTTCATGTTCGGGGGGGCAAAGGATTGAGCTTACAAGATCAAAGTTGGCTTCTGAACCTGCAGACATGATTCCGTGGAAGATGAAAATGGCGTCCAGAGGTTGTGCAGCCTCGATGAGAGACTTGACGAACTCAGGATTACAGATGTCGCCCTTCATGCACTTGGCATTCTCCGGGTGTGCGACACCTTCAGGGACCTTGGGCTGGACAAGATCGGTCAAGACAAGCTTGTGGCCGTCGTCAAGAAGTCGCTTTGCCAGCATTGGGCCAATCATGCCGCCTGCGCCAGTGATGATGATGTTCTTGCGTGGACTTGCCATGTTCTTGCTGCCTGCCATCTTGACGGATTATTTTGGTGAGGGGACAATTCTGTTTGAGGGATAATTGAGAAATGTTATCCTGAACTTGAGGGCGCCGGAAGGTTATATGGAAGGAGGGGCAACGAGCAGTGCCCCGAGACGTGGCACAGGCTGTCTCCCGCCCCCACATCAGTCCCTCGTTTCGAGGCAGTCTAGGGCATCCATGCGGAGACATCGTGGAGCTCGCCTCGACGTGACCGTGAACCGTAGTTTGTAACTCGGCTGGGACGACTCGATGCGAAAAGGTTCATTGGCCCTGAACATCCGAACGTGATTGTAGCATGGTCTCGCTGGCATGTGATACCCCTCATGAAACATCTTGAGTGGTTCAGCACAGCTGTTGAGCGCTCTAGCTCTCGCGGTGTGGTTCATGCTGATGCCTACAGTCTCTTGCCTCTCTCATTGGCATTATGTCGAAAACAACACATAGAAGGTGTAGAGTAGTCTCTCATCGACCCCTTGCCAATTTATAGGGATTGTCAAAGGCTTGCTTTGCGTCCACTGTCAAGATGAAGCTCGAATTGGCTCCAGAAAGCTAACGCCAGGGTGCTCCACGTAGCAAGATCAAACAGACAATGGGAGATCTTATTTACAGGACACGTGCAGGGACAAGTTGTCGCGACACATACATGAATAGCCTCTCCCCCACCACAAGACATCTGTCAGAAAGTCCTCGCGACCGGTTGAAGTTCATCACAAGACCCGGCGAAGGGACAAACCACTCAGGACCCGTAGACAAGGCATCGGCTGCGACGCGAGCTGAGTCTGTGTGTGAAGCCAAAGCCTGGGCCAATACCTGAGAGACTTGGAGCGGGGTGATTCTTGCTCGCCTCGAACGCCTCGCGTCGGTCCCCTCTCCCAATCTTCTCTTACGGCCCGATCTGGCAGACACGCACAACCGCGCGATCGTCACGAGCAAGAGCTTCCGGTAAGCACATTGGAATGCGCCAACATGTCACAGTCGCCGCGCCCAGTGAGTCGCGTGCGCAAGACGAAAGGAAAAGGTCTCAGGACAAGAACAGGATGGTGCGTCGCCAGCGTCTCGGTCGTCAGATTGCGACACGCACAACATTCGTCCACTCTCTGACCCTGCATTCAGTACCACTTGCCGGGAACGGCATGTCAAGTGTGACGAAACACGTCCCATCTGTCGAGCATGCCAAAGAGGAAACAGACCTTGCAGATACACAGTCGCCGCATCAAGTGTGCATAGCTCAGATCTGAGTATTGTATGATCTTGGTCAAGCAAAGCAGTATTCGACATTACTGACCATCTATAAAAGATTCTCAACACAGACAATGAGATTGATCAGTCGACACTGCTTCAAGAAAAGTCGGCTACGGCTCAAGGACCGAGTCCAGACGTGCAGCAGCAGCACGTCCATCCGGTCGAGGAGACTACAATAACAACCAGTGTCGATGAAGCCCCCATGACTTATTTCGAGAATCGCGATGTGAACCGGACCATCCAAAACATATCTTGCAACGATTTTGGCTTACCTTTGGAGCCCGCCGCCTTGAACACGACGAGCCCGGCGTCGACGGCAAGCGGAAACCTCTACTCTGCGGAAGTCGCTCCCCTGAGGTGGTTAAACCTCTTGCGGCGAGATGCGACTGCCATTGACGACTACCAGCCAGGCCTTGCTTATCATAGTGTTGATACCGCCGGGAGTGCAGATCAGCCGCCAACGCCTGGTTTCTTCTCTTCGGTAGGCGCAGTCGATGGCCATCTAGGTCAAGTGGAGTCTTACAATATCGAAGGCTTCCTTGAGCTTTCCAGCTCGGAAAGTCTTCTGCTGCGACACTTTGTGGAGAACATATCGTCCTGGATCGACCTCACTGACCGTCACGCTCAATTCTCGAGCTCTGTACCTACAATGGCGCTCAATAACAGAGGGTTGATGTTGGCTATTCTCGCTCTATCATCGCGACACCAATCATTGCTTTCGAATCCGGACAAGCCACCTCGGATAGACAGGACAGTGGCCGTTCAGTATTACAATGAAACACTCCAATATCTCCAGATTGCGATGAAGATACCGGAATATCTCAAGAGCGACGAGTTGCTTGCAACAGTACTTCTCATCTCTACCTATGAGATGATCGATGGTTTCGAAAGCGGCTGGGAACGTCATCTGAAAGGTACGTGGTGCGGTTTTTGCTCTTGCTTGCGGTGACTCGATACTGACTTCACCAGGTGTCTTCTGGATTCAGAGATCTCAACTGATCCATGGTGAATCGGGTGGTTTGAAGCAAGCAATATGGTGGGCATGGCTGCGCCAAGACATCTGGGCTGCCTTCAGAGGACGGCGTGTGATACTCAGCTACTACACATTGAGGAAGGACTGTGCAGAGCTGGATCGCTGGGAACTTACCAACAGAGTCGTCTGGCTCCTCGGGCAGTGCATCAGCTTTGGTTCGGACACCGAAGTCGAAGCTGGCAGGAACAACGTCCAGCAGCGCATACACCGAGCTGCCTTTTTGACAATGAGGTTGGATGAATGGTGGATATATTTTGCTCCGTATCGTACTGAGCTGCCAGCGGAGCGAATCGAAGGAAGCGCCTTCAATCCAATATGGATCAACCCGCCATCTTGCAGTAAGTCTTGGTTCGATTGATGTGTCGATCATCACTGACGATCCCAGGCGCTGCCGTACAAATATACTACTTTGCTCGGATCATGCTAGCGGTGCACTCCCCGGTCATGTCTGGGCTGAAAGAACTTGAACGCCTCCAACAAACACTGGACGACGCTGTCAATTACATCGGAGGCATCGCTTGCACGACCAACAATACCGCGGCAATAATAATCTCAACGCAGTGCCTCTTCGCAGCTGGTCTTAACACTCGGGATCTAGCCAAGCGGGAGCAAATCGCCAGATTGCTCCGTTCTCATCAATCCTGTACCGGCTGGCCGGTCCATGACCTTGCCCAAGACCTGCAGGCCGAATGGACTCTCGCCTCATCACCTATGAATGTCCGAACTTAGTCACAAGCCCCTGTATTTACGTGTTGCTCGACTTTATTGAACATCTTGTGACCTTGTTCCCCGGAACACTTTTTCAGAAAGATATCTCGGTACAAGCCACAGTCGTTATGAATCCGCCATGATCAGTCGTGCACGAACATCGTTCATCTCGGATATAACGAGAAGAACACGAGAGCACATCGGTAACCTTGCGAGCAGCGGTTGCGGGCAAGCTGCTTCCTCGAGACGAGGTATTATTGGTGATCCTTGAGACCCTGGGTCGGTTGTTCGGGACTCGTCAGCGGGCCCCGAACTCACCCGCATCTGAGGATTTTCCTGCGAGCTTCTGCGACCGCACATGCGATGCAACATAGTAGACACAACTTTCTATTCTGCGCTTCCATCTCCACATGACAAGCCCTCGTGTCGAGAGCCATGAAATGATCATGGTCGGGACAGTCGCGTCGAGCACGTTTTCGAACGTCAGTCCGACATCCACTCACGATCTCGATCAAAGCTACAGCCATCCGGGGTACCCCACCTAGGGTACAACCACGAAGGGTCACAAGGCTATAACAGGAGCGTTCCTTGCCCCGGAACACAAACAAGAACGCTTGCAAGCAACAATCTCGTCAACAAGCAACACCAAGCAATACCAAGCAACACCAAGCCTCGAAAGTCATGGCGATCGGTGCCAGCACTCAAGTGGGCTCCTCTCGCATGGAGGAGCTCACCAAGGGTCGACGAGCTGGCTTCAGAGGACTTCTGGGTGCCAACATGTACCTTCTCTTCACAACTGGCACAGTTGTCATCGGCTCTTTCCTCTACGGTACTGATCAAGGTGTCTTGTCCAACCTTTTGACTGGACAGAATTTCGGCTCAAAGTTCCCTGATGTCTACACTGATGCCACATTGAAGGGCTGGGTTGTGGCAATCCTACAGCTCGGTGCCTGGTTAGGTGCGCTGATCAACGGACCTCTTGCCGACAAGATCTCGCGCAAGTACAGTATCACTGTTGCTGCATCTGTAAGACACCGGAAAAGTCCAAATCCTTTGACACATGCTGATTCTGTCGAAGCTGTTCACTCTTGGAAGTGCTCTTTGTGGTGGTGCACAGAATGTCGGCTATCTTTTCGCTGGGCGCATCATTGCAGGTATCGCCGTTGGGCAGGTTTCACACGTCGTGCCTCTGTATCTTGCTGAGATCTCTCCTTCTGAGTTCCGTGGAGCTCTTGTGTCATGTCAACAAGTGGGAATTAGTAAGTCTTGATAAAAAGAGGCCTGTTTAGATCGACACACTGATTGCCGCTAAACAGCTTCTGGAATCATGATTTCGTACTGGCTGTGCTACGGTACCAGTTTCATCGGCGGTCAAGCGTGCGATGCAAACCAGAATGTCGAGTTTGGCGATGGCAGCTTCAATCCCTACACCGATGTACCTGCAGGTGGTTGCACTGGACAGACTGCATTGGCATGGCGACTTCCTCTTTGCTTGCAATGTGTCCCAGCCGTCATCCTATTCGCGGGTTCATTCTTCTTACCTTTCAGCCCTCGTTGGCTCATGGGGAAGGGTAGAGAAGAGGAGGCTCGTGTGAATATCGCGAAACTCCACGGGCTTTCTATCAACGACCCCATCGTCGAGACTGAGTGGCTTGAGATCAAGGCTGCAGTTATGTTCGACGAGAGAACTGCGAGAGAACAGTACCCTAACAAGGAAGGCTTCAGGTTGGCTTTGGGCAAAGTCAGCATGCTACTAACTAACAAGGGCCTCTTCCGCAGACTCGCCTTAGGTTGTATCCTCATGTTCTTCCAGCAGTTCACCGTAAGCCCCAGCAGCATCGATGGAGACTTTACGTACTAACATAGCGCGCAGGGAATCAACGCTATCATCTACTACGCACCTACCATCTTCGGTAGTCTCGGCTTGAACGTCTCTACCACTTCCTTACTTGCGACTGGTGTTCTCGGTGTCATCGACTTTCTCTTCACCTTCCCTGCAATCTTTTTTGTCGACCGCTTTGGACGTCGCAAGTTCCTTATGGCAGGCGCGATTGGCATGATGATCAGTCATGTCGTCGTTGCAGGTATCCTTGGTCACTACGGAGGCAACTTCAAACTTGCTGGGGGCAAAGCTGCAGGCTGGGTCGGTATCGCGTTCATCTGGGTAAGTCTCTCCAAAGAGTATGTCAAGGACCTTGCTTGCTAACGCGTCTCAGTCCTTTGGTGCCAACTTCTCCTACTCATGGGGTCCCGTCGCCTGGCTTCTTGCCTCCGAACTCTTCTCCCCTGGCCACCGCAGTCAGGCCGTCAGTATCATCATCAGTTGCAACTACATGATGAACTTCATCGTCGGCCAAGTCACACCCAACATGCTTGAAGCTCTGAAGTACGGTACATACGTCTTCTTCGCCGCCTTCTGTCTGCTCATGTTTTTGTGGGTCTGGTTCCTCGTCCCAGAGACGCGCTACAAGAGTCTGGAAGAAATGGATGCAGTCTTTGGCGACAATCTGGGTCAAGTTGATCAAGAGAGGATGAGGGAGATCATGGCGGAGATCGGGCTTGAGCCAGCAGGGGCTCGCGGTCACGAGGAGGGATTGTCTTTTGATCAGCATACAGAGATCAAAGAAGGCAAAGTCTCTCATGTTGAGACAGGATAGGGAAAAGGCGCTCAGTGTGGTATGATCAGGTTAGGAGATGCCATGAAAGAACACCGTTAGGTTGATGTCGATTAGTCTTCTGGATGCCAATATGATTCATCGATAATCCTTATAACTCTGAGTGATCCATTCTCTGTCGAGAGCCCGCATCGTCGTCTTTCCCACGTCATCTTTTGAAGTCATGATTACAATCTTTGCGAGTTTGACCCGGAGAAGATAAGTCGGCGTACAGCTCCATGCGTGGCAGAATGAATTGTTGCGCACATCTCCGTACGGGCTCGCTCGAGCGTTGTCTGGATCGAATGCTTCCCAGAACGTGTCGGCACCAGCTTCCAGCATCCCACCCCAGTATTCTGTGATTAGACCCATACACTCCTCGTAGCAGCCCACGGAAGCAAGAGCATCACAAACGTGATGCCAAAGATATGGAGTCAATGGTCGGATAGCCTGCGGGTCAATCAGAGTGTTCAATAGAGCAGCACGAGCGACCTGCTCCGGCAGTGCCCCGGAAAGTGTCAACCAGGCAACCGAGGCAAAGCTTCTTTGCGACTGTGACCCCGATACCACATTACCTTCTGCATCCAAGAAACCAGCCACCGCATTGGTCATCTTTTTCACCTCTGCTTCGTAAGGTGCCGGGTCTCCCAGAAGGTTGGCCAAACGGTTTACAGACTTCAAGCAGTACAACAACAGCCCATGACACCCGGCATTGCGATCGAGCCCTTTCTGCCAATCGAGGAACTTGAAGCCTTGCGCCCTTAAGCAATCGAACATGCCAGTATCGCTGTCAACATGCGCCAAAGGGCGCTTGAGACAACCGAGTACCGTTGGCCAAAGCTGTTTACCGGTCTCAAGGTCCCCGGAGGCGACTACGTAGTCTTCCACAGTGGCAGCGAAAAGTGCGTCGTAGTCGACTATGTAATCTGTAGACGGACTGAGTTTTGGGACGTGGAAGATGCAAGCAGGCACAGATCCATCTGCACGAGCTACGGCAGCAAATTGATAGAGACATCGCTTGACAAGATCGCAGTCTTTGAAGGTAGCGTAATTAGCCAATGCTTGAAGTCGTAGGTCTCCAATCCAAAGGCGTCGATCTCGTCTCGGTCCGTCCTCGAAAACTTCCTGCATGCAGTCGCGAAGTGTGAACATGCTGACTTGGTCAATTGACTTTAGCAAATCCGTTTTAAACTTCGGAATCTCGATTTCCAGATCTTGGGAGACTGAGCTAACACATAAACACTCCACGTTCAAGAAGCTTACTTTGTACTTCGGTGACGTGGCCAAGATCTCGACGCGTAAGTAGCGGAATGCTTGTCGTCTGCTGATCCTGACTGTTGAAGGTGTATTGTCGATGTTGATCACTTCGTCTGGAAGCCACGAGGAACTGATAGTCGTTTCGACACCCTGCATATCCATGGTGACATCTAATGGAGACTCCCCATAAGTCAGACGCAGTCTGCATGGCGCGTCCATATGGGCTAAGTGAGCGTCCAAGTGCATTGATACAGAGCCGACGACATGGATACCGAAGTCAAGGACAAATTGCTCGCCTGTACCCCAGATCTGTCTTTCGAAGTCGGCGATGTCTGTCGTGACCGGCACAGGTCGAACGGCAAAAAACTCCGCTTCATCAGGAACAAATTGGACCACGGCGAGAGCTCTTCGCCTCCAATGATGCAAAGTTGGCGTCAAATTGCTGGCGATGTTGACAAAGTCATAATTCCAGTTCGTGTCCAATGGAGTGGGAGAAGATGTCGTGGCTGTGGACATGACTACCAGTAAAATGTACCCGGGACTGAGGAGGCTAATGACAACAAGGATTGGAGAAGATGGGAGTCGCGGCTAGACAACATATTATAGACCACGTTGTTCTTCGACTTCGGAGCAGCAATGCCCGATCGAGCTCTTGTATCTTGGCTCACATGGTTTTAGGGCTTGGAGCTATTAGCGTTGAAGCCGTTTCACTCCCGCACCCTTTTATTGTTGGAACAGGAAAAAAGATGGTGCACCGCAATAACGGAGCGAAGCGGGGCAGATTATCAAGTTCAACATTGATTTAGTGGAGTTTGGTACGCACTAGGCTTCAAAATTGTCGTGCGAACGCCGGAACGGGTCTGTATCACACTAGACTACTCCTTCCTTAAGTCTACGGAAGCCTACAAGATCTTGCCTCAAAAAGCCTTCCGCGATGATCTCTCTGAAGCGCAAAGAGTCCAGGTCAGACCTTCGATCGAGATGCGTGTCATAGCACCTCTGACTCACCCTTCGAAGAAAAATAATTCTAAGCCTTGAGTTCGATAGAGTCGGTCTCTGAAGCTCGTTCTTTGGCAGTTTTTGTCTGCGCGAATCTATACGGCTTGATCTTGCGCTCGAAGAGCTCATCAACCTCGGCCGGGCTTCGTCTGAGACTGTGTCAATACATGATATCGATCTCGATGGTGAAGATTTGACTTACCCAGTCGTCTCTGGCAAGAGAAGCCAAGCGCCAACGACAAAAGGCAGGCCAACGCCAGCATAGAACCATCCAGTCTTGAAGCCCCAATTCCACTTGTTGGCGTTCACCATATACGGAGTTAAAATATTCATGACGACACCGATGACACATGTACAAGCGGAGCCAAAGCCTGCTGTGTGGGTGCGAAGGCGTAGAGAGGAGATCTCGGCCATAAAGCCCCATCCAGCAGCGCCGTTGGATATCATACCCACATCTAAAGGTCTCAGTTAGTCGTCGGTCGATAGTCGATCCCATTTGCGACGCAAGACTTACTCCAAAGACAGACGAAAAGTACAAACAAATTAGAAGATGCGGCCGACTTCTTCACTAGACCAAGGATACCAATAACTACGCAGCAAGTCCATGCCAGAGTGGTGCCATAGCATGAGATTCGCCTACGGCCGAGCTTGTCGGAGAGGAGAACAACAGCGATCAATGTACCAATGTTGATACCAGAAGTGATGCACTTGATTGTGAAGGGATCCTTCAGGCCGGCCTGCTGGAAGAAATAAGTTCCGAACGTCGCAAAGAGTGTCAGACCGATAAACTGCTGAGTGAGATTGGGCCAAAGAGAGATCATGGTACGAAGGCCATCGGTACCCTTGAAAATGGAGTACCAGTGCTCACTTTTTTGCAGTAGAGCGACCTCTTTCTCGTGCTCCACGGTGCAGCGAAGTATGTCGAAGTGGTGATCAACATCGTAGTCGACAACTCCATAATTGAGTTTGAGCATCTGCTTCTTGGCCCGATCGAAGTGTCCCCGATCAACGCACCAGGAGGGAGATTCCGGGAGGAAGATGTAAATGACAAGCATGAGGCCAATCTGAGCCCATTGAGTGTAGATCGGCGTAAGCCATACGTTTGGGTGTAGACGGTTTAATGTCTGAAGAGCCAGATAAGCACAGAATGAGCCGATCGTCCACCAGAAACTATAGCACATCAAGAGACCACCTCGGATTCGAGTGGGTGCACACTCAGAGATGTATACAGGTAAGACTGATTGGAGACAGCCAACGCCAATACCAGCGAGCAGCTTGCCGGCTAGCCAGACCTGCCAGTGCCTCGCGAATGTCTCTGCTAGAACGCTTGTGACCAGAACGGTCCAGTACGTGAACATTGCAGGTTTTCGACCCAGTCTGCGAGACAGAAAAGGAATCGTAGTCATGCCGATTATCTGTCCAACAGACATAATGGAGCTCCAGCCGGCCAGGATTGGAGCTGCAAGATACTTCTTGCCGGCAGAGTTTGTCTCGGTAGCGAATTGGTCAACGAAGCCTTTGTTTGCGATGATGCTTCCATTGATGCTGCAACGGTTTTGTCAGCGCATCCGAGATATGATTTATTGTGCACGTATCCCTTACCCAATCTGATAGCCATCGGTAGCGGCACTGAAAGCGGCCAGAAAGCACACAAGCGTTGCGACCTTGAAAACTCGTACAGTCTGCCACAATGTCAAGTTCTCGTATCCAGAAGCGGCTTGTCCGAGAGCAGCAGCACCGATGGGCTCGTCGACTTGTTCGAGATGGTCGTTCAAGCTCGACTTTGTCTGGGCGTGGCTAGTTGCCATGGTCTCTAAGATGCTTGTTGTGTTGATGTCGGGGAGGATGCGATGATTTACAAGTAGAATTGATGGAAAAGATGGGGATCCTGTGGGGTGTCTTTATACTTTGAGATGTGATAGAAGGTTCGGATCCATCTGCGAAGTGACTCTCTTCAGTAATGTAGCGTGAGACTAGCCATGGTGACTGACCCAAGTGGCTTCAAGGTCAATGGACGAAGATGTCCCGAAGAGAAACGAGAAATGCCCATCGTGACTGTGGGGTGTCAACCATTTCCCCACTCAACAATCACTTGGCGCAGGTATAAGACGCCGCGGACGTCCGCGACAAAGTTCTGCTGCACATTTCAGCTGAACGCTACCGCAACGGCAATTCTCTGATGAGCAATCGGCCCGCCAAACGACCTCGAATCGGCAATACTGACCCCAAAGATGGCAGAGACTCCGGGAGTTCGCCCCGCGATCAAAGATCCATCACAGAGAAAGGACTGGAGCGTAGCCGAGGCTCTACAGCTTGCCAGGCATGTCGTGTGCGCAAGTCCAGATGCGACGGACAACGCCCCGTCTGTAGCACTTGCGTAAGCAGAGCCACTGATTGTGTATTTGACAGCCAATTCACCACACTGTAAGACACCTAGACGGAGTGATCGTCAGTATCGTGGGCATACTGACAAAGAGATCACATAGCTGTGCCGGCGTTGGTCCACAACTTCTGGACGCGGTGCAAAACCTGACCAGATTGTTGACGCAGCAGTCGAACAGACTCCAAGCCCACTCAATCGACGAAGCTGAAGCACCTCATCGTCCGAGCTGGTCACTATCCCTAGATCTCGAACAACACACGTCAAACGTAAAGTTGTTTGTGCAAAATACGGACACGTCGACGCCGTTGAGACTCCCAGACGAACAACATGAGGAGGCGATCAACTTCGGTGGTTTAGCCGGACTTGACTCGATCTTGACTTGGAAGTCACTGCTTCCTTTGACACATGATTTGCCATCTCCTGTGGGAGTGTGTGGTGCTTCACGTGCGGAACCCTCTCCGTTGACCGCTCCAGATCTGCGAGAGCTATACCGCCTGGAGATCAAATATGCAACAGCCCTACATGTGAAGAATGCATTACTTGATCCTTTGGTTCTGCACGGCTATGTCATTGAGGTCTCGCGCAATGGACTGGATGGCTCGTCTAAATCATGCCTGGTCTGCCTTGTCTGTGCTTTAGGGGCCATCATAGGCTGCGATTCCTCGACTCCTGTCCTACCAGGTGAGCCGCTCGACGCAAACGACATGTCGAGCGAGCCAGAGCTAGCTCAGATATTCTTCGATGCGGCCTTGACACGACTTGGTAACGCCGTCTGCGATGACAGTGTGTTAGCAGCGCAGTGCGCATGTCTAGCTGGGTGGGTCATGAGATCATAAACCAGATGTGTCAACAAGCTGACAAGTACAAGTATATGGTTCATGTGCAGGCTTCAACCCTTGAAGGCCTGGAAGTACTTCAACCTTGCCGGAAGTATCTGGTGTATCTCGTCGTTCTTCTCGTAAGCCCAGCTCCAGGAACAATGGAAATCGCTTCACTGACTTCCTACACAGACCATATTGTCAGAACAAATCTGACCCTTCGCTTGATGCGAATTTCCTGGCCGTGGAGCGAAATCTGTTCTTCGCTATTTTTAGGTCTGAGAGGTTTGTGTTGTGTCTCCACCCTGAATGTGGATTCTCTGCCAATCCAAGTTGATGCTGACTGTTTCCAGTGAGCTGCGCATGGAGCTTGATTTACCCAAATCTTCTTTGGTCGACATAGAGCTTTCCACTTCCTTCCCTCAACCACCTGCCTTAGGCGGGTATGATCCAGGTCGCAAAGTCGAGACCGATTTGCGGTCATGGTACTACATACTTGCCGAGATCGCGATCCGCCATCTGTTGAACCGATTGCTCCGTTTCCAAGCTGCGACTTATGGTGAGATGAATGAGCCTATGATCTTGCAGATGACGAAAGATGCAGACGTCTTCATGTGCCAGCTGCAAGAGTGGTATCGACTACTCCCTCCAATATTCCAATTTGAAGAGCCGCGAGGAAGCTACCTAGATGTCGAGCCAGATGACATGCGATTCGTTTTACGCTTCAGATATATGTCGTGTCGAGATTTGATATCTAGGCCATTCCTCAGGCTCCGATTGACAGGGGATGCACAGATGGAGAATCCTGAGCTTCGAAGCGCAGTTTCTAAGAGGGCATCGATATGTATCGAAATGTGCATGCTGAAGATGACACAGATCCGCTTAGACTGGCATCAAGGCACGTGGTTCACGCTAAGGACCCAGGCAACCAACGCGGCCACCATTCTGGCGGTAGCATTAGCTAAGCAGACTGCAAATCTCGAGAGTGGATCGGACTTGGAGCTACCCGCGGTGTGGAGAGACCGGATCAATGACTTGCTACAAGCTATGGCTCCATTCTGGTCTGACCGGGAGGGCCGATTGGCGCACATCAGGATGTTTTTAGAGCGAGGGCTATCAGCAACTAGGTCCATATGAGCACAACTGCTCGGATCCATCATCTGCCGAATCCAGAATTCACTGCCTTCCCATCAGTTGGACGCACTAAAGCGTGGACCCCGCGGGTTCCCCATGTTTTGCCTCCTGTTCAGCGCATCATGGGAGCTACTAATAGCTCTCTGGAGTCAACCGCTCGGGTCAGTGCTGACCGATTGGGAGGTTTGATACAGATGCAGGTGTATGCGCCACTCAGGGCTGAACTCAGGGGAGCTCCCCGGTGAGTTGAGCACAGACCGCGTTCAGTTGTTTGGCGGTTTGGCGCATCGGATCAGCACTACTTCTTGAGTGGATTTATTGGATTACCGCACACAGATGCACTCGTGATATACTGCCTGACATCCTGGGCTCGACGTGATGTACCCTACCTTCCATTCCACCCCTTCCCAACCACACAATGACCATCAAAGACAAGCCTTTCGGTCTCGACATCCCAGATGTGCTTGAACAGCTCACGCTCGAGGAGAAAGTCTCGTTACTGAGTGGTACGATCTCAGATTCACTTCGCGAAAGAGAACTGACTCTCTTTCTTAGGCAAGGATTTCTGGCACACTGCTTCCATCCCTCGTCTCGGCGTGCCATCGATTCGACTTTCGGACGGCCCAAATGGCCTCCGAGGCACGGCATTCTACGACAGTACCCCTGCGGCTTGTCTCCCGTGCGGCACGGCACTCGGTGCAACCTTCGATGTCGATCTCGTGAGACATGCTGGCCAACTTCTTGCGGCAGAAGCGCGTGCGAAAGGAGTGCACGTAGTACTGGGACCGACAATCAACATTCAACGTGGTCCACTGGGAGGAAGAGGATTCGAGTCGTTTTCTGAAGACCCGGTACTCTCAGGACTGCTGGCAGGTCATTACTGTAAGGGTCTCGAAGAAAATGGCATAATTGCGACACCCAAGCATTTCGTCTGCAACGACCAAGAGCACGAACGTAAAGCTGTGAACTGTATAGTGACAGAGCGTGCCTTGAGAGAGATATACTTGCTACCGTTTCAGCTTGCAATCTCACTTGCTCGACCAAGGGCTATCATGACCTCGTACAACAAGGTCAATGGTCGGCACGTTGCGGAGAGTCCTGACTTGATCCAGGGCGTTCTCCGAGATGAGTGGAAATGGGAAGGCCTAGTGATGTCTGATTGGTACGGACGCACAGTCAAACGCTCGTTTAGCGATCTTCGTGACCCAAAGCTGATACGTACCAGGTTCGGAACCTATAGCACCTCGAGTGGTGTCAATGGTGGCGTAGATCTCGAGATGCCTGGCCCAGGGAGATGGCGAGGACAAGCCTTGATTCACGCTGTAAACGTAGGTCAGACACTGAAGCTTTGACAGGTTGACGCTGACATTAACACTGGACTACAGTCAAACAAAGTCAAGATGTCGACAGTCGATGATCGCGTAAGAGCTGTGCTGACAGCCGTCGCGCACGCACAGCAATCTGGTGTCCCTGAGGATGGTGCTGAGAAACAGCTTGACCGGCCACAAGATCGCACTCTGTTGAGAGACTTAGCATCAAGCTCGGCGGTCCTGCTCAAGAATGATGATTCGATTCTACCTTTGGACTGCAGTCAAAGGGTAGCCATCATCGGACCCAACGCGAAGATAGCTACATATTGCGGAGGCGGCAGTGCATATCTGAATGCATACAGGGCCGTCACGCCGTTTGAGGGTATCACAGCAGCTTCAAACGCCCAGGTCGACTTTGCACAGGGAGTCTACGCTCATCAGTTTCTTCCTCTGTTAGGTGACCACCTGCGAACTCCCGAAGGTCGACATGGTTTCTTGATCCGTACCTATAATGAGCCGGCGTCGATCCCTGACCGCCGAATGCTAGAACAGCGGGTACTCCATAATTCCAACCTGTTCTTCATCGATTACGAACATCCTGAGCTGGAGGCGACATGGTACGCCGAGGTCGAGGGTACATTTGAGCCAGAGGAGAATGGCATTTACGACTTCGGCCTCTGCGTACAAGGAACAGCTGAACTCTTCATTGACGGCCAGAGCGTTGTTAGGAATGTGGAAGATCAGCGCGCAGGATCAAGCTTCCTAGGTAATGGCACAATTGAGGAAACAGGCTCGACAACGCTGCAAGCTGGACGGTCATATAGTATCACTATCCAGTGGGGTTGCTCAAAGACAAGTAAACTGCGAAAGCCAAGCACCGTGGACTTTGGAAAAGGCGGTCTCCGCTTTGGTGGATGCAAACGGCTCGATCCAATCCGAGCAATACAAGAAGCTGTCAAGTTGGCATCGAAGTCAAGGCAAGTCATCCTCTTCGCTGGTCTCTCTGGGGAATGGGAGACGGAGGGTCAGGACAGAACATCCATGAACTTGCCTCCATTCACAGACGAGCTGATCTCCAAGGTACTGGACGCGAACTCGAATACTGTAATCGTGACACAAAGCGGGACCCCAATTTCTATGCCCTGGATCTACAAAGCCAAGGCAGTACTCCATGCGTGGTACGGCGGTAACGAGACTGGTCACGGAATCGCCGACGTGTTGTACGGGAAAGTCAACCCTTGCGCCAAGCTACCATTGACGTTTCCTCGCGAGCTTCGCCATAATCCAACGTATCTCAATAATCGCTCTGAGGGCGGTCGCATTCTGTACGGCGAGGACGTCTATGTGGGATATCGTTACTATGACACCATGGGCGTGAAGCCACTGTTCGCTTTCGGGCACGGGTTGTCATACACGACATTTGCAATCTCGGAGCTGGCGCTGCAGCGCTCTGGAGACGTACTGTCCGTATCTTGTAGGCTTGCAAACGTTGGACCTGTAGCAGGAGCCGAAGTCATCCAAGTCTACATATCGCCAGAGTTCACTCCGCTGGTCAAAAGGCCGCACAAGGAGCTCAAAGCCTTTGCCAAGAAGTATCTCGGAAGCGGCGAGGCCGTAGCGCTCGATGTCGAGGTTGATTTGGTTAGGGCAACCAGTTTCTGGGAAGAGAAGGAAGCACGATGGTGTAGTCAAGCTGGCTCCTACAAGATAATGGTAGGTACAAGTAGCGATAAGGTAGTCCTTGAGAAGAGTGTTCGAGTCGCGCGGACAGTAACTTGGACGGGACTATAGGATGATTTGTTCAAGGTATTATAGAGCTGTATTATTTGATCCACTTATTACGACCGTATCCTCTCGATAGAGTTTTACAAGATGTACCAGCCTCCGAACAAAAGACCCAATCCAATCTCTACCATACCCACTGACTTGAGGGAAGAGGCAGCTCCTGTAGAAGCAACAATGCTGCTTGTAGCACTGGCGGCTCCTGAAGTAGTGCGAGAAGCAGATCCGGTAGCAGCGGATGCAGATGATCCTATCATGAGAGTGTCAGTAAATTCCTGCCAGGGGGAGGTGAAATATGGAGGAAGAAAGATCATACCTGACATGGCGCGAGATGAAGAGCCGACTGCAGCGGCAGAAGAAGCCATGGAAGAAGCCATAGACGACATTCGAGACGAGGAAACCATGGACGAGGACATCATCGACGACGACGTCATGGAAGATGCCATCATGGAAGATGCCATCGACGAAGACATCGAGATACTCGCCGACTGAGCAGAAGACGATGAGCCTCCAGCCGCGGCACCGCCAGAAGCGCCATTGGCAGCAAGTACACCACCATAGACTCCGTTCGGCACGGTGCTCGTACCAGCACTCGACGCCGCAATTATGAAGCCACCGATAGTTTGGTCACTCGAAGATCTGCATACAGAGTCAGCAATTCAGTCAAAGCCCTCAAGAAGAGAAGGAAACTCACGGAGGATTGATCACACCGACCATACCAGCCTGGCAATGATCTCCCTGCGGACAGTAATACCAAATCGGCTGTGTATCATTCACCGTGATTGTAAACGTCGTAGCACTCTCTCCACTTGCGACTTTCACAAAGTCAGAATTGAAGCCGCCGTCCATAGCAGCACACGGACTCGGGTAACTGCTTCTAGCTACTCCATGGGCGCGTGGGTAAAAATGGAAGGTGACTGTGTCACCGACGGCGGCGGTCGTGGAGTTTGGAGAGAAGACGAGACCGTCTTCGCCGACGTCTATGGAGTGGGAGGCCGCGAAAGCGGTGCCGAAGAGAGAAGCGGCGAGAGGGATGGCGTAAGATTTCATCTTTTGGAAGTGTGTTGTGTAGGATGAAGGCTTGGTGTTGTGGAAAATGATGCTGTGCAGAGAAAGACGGGGACTTCGTGGTGTTTAAGAAGTAAATCAGACAAGCCTCCCAAGACAAACTCAGAGACTATGTTTATGGTTCTTAGGAGTTCTGGCGGTTATCCCCCTCACTCTTATTCGAAGTGCTTCCAGCGTGCGACCAAGCCTGGAAGAGCTTAACTCGTCCTCAGAGTGACCAATGGAGTGACCGCCCGCGGAGCTAGCCCTCCAACAAGGACAAGAAGGTTGACATCGAGTCAACCCTAGCTTACATTGAACAGCAGGCATGTTGTTTGATGAACGTCAGGGACTGCAACGTCGGATGGTCTGGGCCTGATCTGCAAAGTTCGGTAAACGTGACAATTAAGGTACCTTACAGGTCATGTGCTGCACTGACCTATCGCGGGCATAATTAAGCTCTTCGTGGCTGCTGACAAGGCGTTCGTACATCGTTTATCGTTCGCTCAGTCAGTAAGCTCCGTGCTCCGATTCTGGGCAGAATTTGGTACAACATATTCAAGATAGAGAGACAGAGGTAACACTTTGTGGCTTAGTCGTCGCAATAATACTATGCGGCGGTCTGTTTGGCCAAATAACAAGCTTAAGGATGTCAAATAAGAACGAAGGGGGAAGGTTTGGGGTAGCATGCGGAGAAATCAGAAAAGCGTTGCAATTCCAACGGCTGAACTGTATCTTAACTCTATCCTTTCGGCTCAGCTGAACTGCCCCGAGTGTAGCCAAGACAACCAGATTATCGAATCGAAGGTGCAGAAGATACAAGGTACAGCGAGTCCTGCCTGCCTTTCCCTCGACACAACGGACCTCGATATGAAATCCGTTAAGAAAATACGCTACTTCTGCGCGGGTGCAAACTCCATTCTATCGTTTGTCTCATCACACCTTGCTCATATGTTCTTGATCGATGCGAATGTCCGAGTATCCTTTCCATCGTGCTCAATTTCAAGTACCGTAGGGACGGCATCGGGCTTGCCATCCAAGACATTGGAGATACTCTTGACCCAAGACAAGAAGCGTCGACGTTCTTCGATGATCGGATACACTGTAACGCTTGCAAACGAAAAGACTGCCCACAGCAGGGATACTATGACCCATCCGGTGAAAAACTTCTTCGAAAATTGATATGCCGTCCCATACAAACTGTTGCTCAGGTCAGTCTCGGTAAAGGTCGGACTATATGCCAGACGACGGGGGAGACTTACCTGAGTGGCCATATGATAAACAAGGCCAGAAACAAGGATACTGTTATTGCGCGAGCAATGTAAGCAGCTTTCCTCAGGCGCTCTGGGTTGTAATCGGGATCTTCGAAAGCGACATCCTTGTCATGACCTGCTTCGTCGGTCAAGCGGATGGCCCCTAGCGTGTCCCAGGTATACCTTGCGTTATGTAAAGTCGAGATGAGGATTGTGACGATGCCAGCAGCGCCTATACCAGCGATACACCCGTACAGGCATGGGTCAGTTTGTCCCACAGACGCAAGGTTTACCGTGCCTGAGAAACGATTCGCGAGTGTCAACTACTTGTTCGTCAGCACCTCGGCCATTGAGACACTTAGGCAAGACGATATACCCATGTGATTATCGCGGAGAAGAATCCGATCCAAATAGATGCTATCGCTGCTAATGCGCCTTGTCTTGTTGAGAAGAAGGTTACAATTAAAGCGGGCAATGCCGATCCCGTAAAGATACCCGTCATATTGTAGATGAATCCTAAGTCGATCTTGACTCCATGAAGCATACTAGCAAATGCTGCCATGAATATTGCAACGCCGACTACGCAATAGTGTCCTGCGCGAAGTATCTGTGTGTCGGTGGCTTTTGGGTTGATGTCTTGACAAAGCTGGTATTAGTGCTGAGACTGCAAAGTTGTAGGAAACAACAGCGAAAGACTCACAAGTCTTGTACACGTCATAGGATAGTACAGTTGAAACACCGATTAGCTGGCTTGAGATTGCACTCGTACAGCTCATAAACATCAGAACAAGGACTGCTCCCGCTCCACCTTTCCCTGCGATTGTCTGAGCAGCATACGGCAATGTCAAGCCAGCACTAATTTCCGCCGTACTCATTCTTTGCGGAAACGTGGGAAAAGCCGGCGTATTCTCCAGAGCAATGGCAGCAATCCCCATCGTCGTTGCAAGGGTAAACGGCATGGCATACCAAGCAAGCCCTCCAAGGACATAGCCTGGTACCGCAGACGCAGGATCGGCGGCAATGCCCTTTTGATGGAACGAGTTGTCCAAGAACACGACACCAGTATATTCGAGGATACTTAGGATAGCAAACTTGAGCGCGCCTAGAGAGCGTATGGTGAGATAGCTGCCGTCCTTGGTGGGCGCGGAGAAGTCGTTGCGTTTTGCAGCCTCATGCAGTAAGTCCCACATCTTTGCTGGGGATCCGATTTGATCTCCGGTGGCGTAGACCTTGAACCAGAAGACGAATATGATGATCAAAATAATGGCAGTATGTACCTGTTATCGTCAGTAGATGACACTCTCCAAGTATCAACGTGGAACAAATCGTACGTAGTCGGTCAAGATGGTCGCCCGGAGTCCTCCACGTAGTGTGTAAGCCGTCACACTGGTTGGAAGTAGCCAAAGACTAGCATATACGCTCATCCCAGTCAGAGAATTGATCGCTGCCGCACCGCCAAGTAAGATGGATGAGACGACAAGAATGTTGGACGCCAAGCTGAAGAACATGAAGGAGAGGTGAGCGATCGTGCCATATCGGACACGGATGATCTCGAGGAAGGTACGGGCATTAGGTGCTTTGCGTTTGGATTCCTGAAGTTAGTAAGACATTGTTGCTTTTCGAATGTGGTAGTAGGATTTTACAATTGCAAGATTGCTGAAGATCATAATTTGAGTGCTGTTGCATGCAGCGTAAAAGAAGGAACCAGCGACACCATACTCGTAGGCCACAGTGGCGGAAGAAAGTAGTGTCGTACTCCAGGTCCAGGACGATGTCACACCAGCTGCAGTCAAACCAGTACCAAGCGAACGTTTTGCAACAGTAAACTCTTCTGCGTTTTCGACATTGCCGCGTCTCTTCATGATAGTCGTGACGCCTATCATCGCCAGGGCAAAGAATGCTCCCAGACCGATGACAACGCCATATCCAACGCCCTGGCGAAGGACTACAGATTAGCAGTGCGTTACATTTGACAAACTGGGAAGATTGTCGCCAGTACCTGTGACAAAGGAATCGCTGCTGAAGTTTCTGACATGGTCAAGTTCAGCCAATTTGATGTGGCAGCGAGTATGTGAGGTCTACGCAGAACTTATAGTCGGTAGATGTCCACCACGATACCGCACATGTGGAGATTTAGGTCGGTCCTCTTATCAAGCATCGCAACTCATCGATTGGATACGACGACAAACTGTGTGAAACTTAAAATGACACACCCAGCACGCAAGAAAGCCTTTACTTGCATACCACACACAACTGAGCGATTGTGGTGCCAGTATCCCGAGAACCTGTGAGTTGGTCTATTTTTCATCGTGGTGCAAGCATTTCGAAAGCTTGTGAGTCGGACCGGCCTTAACTACAGAGGACAGCATATCTCACTGTGCAGAACAGATCCTCTACTCGTACCAGTTTAACCTACAAGTCAGACGTTTCTCTCCAAAGTACGTGTGTTGGCGATGTCGGTCCAGTCCACTGAGTTGAAGATAGGCGCGATTGCACCATATATCGCCTTTCGCGTTCCAGTGAGGATATCCTTGCTTGAATGGCACAATTTCAACTCTTGCATCTGACTATTGTTTCCGAACTGATTTGTGTGTGATTCGTTCGCGTGAAAGGGTCGAAGCAATGATGTGTTATTGAGCAATTCTGAGCTGCAATCACATCATCCGACCCCAGAGGTCAATCATGGGGAAAGCTTCAACCCACCGCCAACCCCACCAGCTGATGTTGACATAAAAAAAAACATATAACTCTTGACATCGCCGCTCGATATTCATCAACTACCGATTACCCATCATTACACGGCCTCTAAGCTAGTTCACAAATCATGGCACCATCCATCATCGATCAAGCCTCTCCACAAGATAGTGCACCATCTTCCAAGAAGCCTTCTTCTTCATCCTCAGATCCTTCAGTCTACTCTATCCACCATGCAGAATTTTCCTCGCAGCCCTTTCCTTCCACTACTTCAGCCTGGCTCGCTCGCGCGTCGCTCGTCTCTTCAATTCTCGCTTCCGACGCCGCAGCACGCGATATTGCCAATGCATCCCCTGTCGCTGAAATCTCCCTGCTCAAAAGCTCCGGTCTGCTTAAAGTGCTCGGTCCTGTAGAATATGGTGGAGGTGGCCAGAGTTGGGAGGTCGGATATAAAGTCATCAGAGAAGTCGCAAAGGGAGATGGTAGTATTGGAATGTTGTTGGGCTATCATCTATTGTGGTCAAAGACTGCGGATATTGTGGGTAGTGAAGAGCAAAAAGACAGATTCCAGAAGCTGATTATTGAGAATAACTATTTTGTTGGAGGTAAGCTTTAGATCAAGAGTCCATAGAGATGCCAACTTGGTTTTAGGACAGACGCTAATAGCGAGATGACACAGGTGCAGTCAACCCTCGCGACAATGATCTGTCAATTACAGATGAGGGCGAGAATATCATCTTCAACGGCTCCAAACACTTCAACACCGGCGGCGTAATCTCAGATCTCACAGTGCTCGAAGGCGTACTCAGCGGCACATCCAACCACATCTTCGCCATTGTCCCAACCTCTCAACCCGGCTTCACTTTCGCCCACAACTGGAACAATATCGGCCTTCGATTGACCGAATCCGGAAGTGTAAACATCTCCAATATTTCTGTGCCCTGGAATGATGCACTAGGCTGGAACGCAACTACAAAAGCACCAGATCCTACCATCCTTAACATCCCCTTTGCTTCCCTCCTCCTCCCAACCATTCAACTAGTATTCTCAAACTTCTACCTGGGTATCGCACAAGGAAGTCTCGAGTTTGCAAAACGCTATACAACAACAAATACACGAGCATGGCCATTCGGCGGCGACAACAAAGCCTCCGCAACAGAAGAATTCTACATCCTCGAGCGCTATGGAAGTTTCCACGCCACTTTACTCGCAGCAGAAGCTCTCACAGACAGAGCAGGCCAAGAAATCAGTGCACTCTACCTCACTTACAGCACCACTCGTTCCATCACAGCCCGTCAGCGCGGAGAAATCGCCGAACTAGTAGCAGCCGCAAAAGTAGCAACGACGGAAAGCTCGCTGAATGTGACGGCTGGAGTCTTTGAAGTGACTGGGAGTAGAGCGACGGGTAAGACTGTGGGACTAGATAGGTTTTGGAGAGATGTGAGGACGCATACTTTGCATGATCCCGTGGCGTACAAGAAAAAGGAACTGGGGAGGTTTTTCTTGTTGGATGAGGTTCCGGAGCCTACCTGGTACACATGAGGACTGAGTATGTTGGATGGCAAAGGCCGATGCGAAGATGGCCCCAGTCTAGCTGTTATAGGCTATGGCGGCCCAATCGCAAAGCACGGTTTCCTTGTGTGAGGTCTCAAGTGTGTAAGAGGTACAATGTATCAGAGCTAAGATTAGGAAGTAGACGGGAGAGAGAGAGGAGATGAAGATGGTCTTCTAGACCCAATGCAATATTCTTCCTTATATCTACTTCTCTAGTCCCACCCACCACCAACGTCAAAGTTAAGTTGACGTGTCCATTCCATGTCATTCGTTCGTTCTTTCATGCAACCATTGAAAAATTGTTAAAATTGAGTATTCCCGGAACACCGACGCTGTTGAAGTCAAGTTTTGTTATGTTGAAGAAAAGCCCACCACCCAAAATCGTACAAGATTATAAGTCATTCGTTGTTGAGTTGGAGTGACTTAAAAGAGACCATCGATCTCGCCAGTCTCGGAATCAACGTCGACGTTGAGGTAGCCAGGAGCAGTGGGAAGACCGGGAATGGTCTGGATGTCGGCAGCAAGTGCGTACCTGTGAAATGTGATTAGCAAGATGTTGGAGACATAGATAGGATGGACAAGAACTTACAGGTAACCAGCACCAGCAGCCATGCGGACATCTCTGATAGGAACGACGAAGCCCGAAGGAGCGCCCTTGAGATCAGGGTCGTGAGACAGCGAGTATTGTGTCTTTGCTATACAGATGGGAAGGTTGCCGAAGCCCTGACGAGTGTAGGCATCAACCTTCTTCTGGGCAATCTCGCTAAACTCGACACCTGAAGCACCGTACATGTTCTTGGCAATACTCTCGATGCGCTCCTGAACAGAGTCCTCAAGACCGTACAGCAGCTTGAAGTCCTTGGCTTCGGCCTTCTCGCAGGCGGAGATGACACCTTGGGCGAGGTCAACGGCACCCTTGCCACCCTCAGCCCAGTGGTTGGCGGGAATGGCATCCTCAGCACCAGCAGCAAGAGCCTCCTCACGGATGACTTCGACTTCCTTCTGAGTGTCAGTCTCGAACTTGTTGATGGCGACGACGACCTTGACACCGTATTGGCGGGCGTTCTCAATGTGCTTCTTGAGGTTGATACAGCCCTTGCGGAGAATGTCAATGTTCTCGGTACGGTAGACCTCGTGGAGCTGACCGCCGGGAGTGATGGCAGGACCACCACCGTGGGTCTTGAGGGCACGGACGGTAGCGACAATGACAACGACATCAGGCTGGAGGCCAGAAGAGCGGCACTTGATGTTCATGAAGCGCTCACCGCCCATGGTGAAGTCGAAGCCAGCCTCGGTAACGACGAAACCAGCTCTCGAGTTGTAGTCCTCACCAGGCTCGGTACCAGCCAGCTTGAGGGCAAGCTTGTCAGCAAGAACGGAAGAAGCACCGATGGAGATGTTGGCAAAGGGACCGGCGTGCACAAAGACTGGAGTTCCCTCGAGGGTCTGCATGAGATTGGGCTTGATGGCATCTCTCATGAGTGCAGTCAGAGCACCACCGACACCAATGTCGTCGCAAGTGACGGGGTCACCGGCGCGCGAGCTGGCAACAACCATGCGACCAAGTCTCTCGCGCATGTCGGAGAGGGAGTTGCTGAGGGCCAAGACGGCCATACACTCACTGGCAACTGAAATGTCGAAACCGGTCTGGCGGGTCTGGCCCTTCTCAGTGGGAGCCTGACCGACGGTGATGCCACGCAAATGTCTGTCGTTGACGTCGAGCACGCGGCGCCAGGTGATGGTGTCGGGGTCAATGTCAAGACGAGCAAAGCGGGCAATCTCATCCTCAGTCAGGTCATCGGGGTTGGTCTTGTCAATACCGAGCTTCTTCAAGCGACGGAACATGATGGGCTTGAACTCGCGCTTGCCCTTCTGGGCGGGCACCAGACGCTTGTAGAGAGGGCCGTTCTTCTGGGTGTTTTCGTGGAAGATGCGGGTTTCGATGGCAGCGGCGAGCAGGTTGTTTGCGGCAGTGATGGCGTGGATGTCACCAGTCAAGTGCAGGTTGAACTCGTCCATAGGAATGACCTGACTGTAGCCACCACCGGCGGCACCACCCTTGATACCGAACGTGGGACCCTGACTGGGCTGGCGGACGTTGGCGAAAGCAATGCGGCCGAGCTGACCGGCGAGAGCCTGGACAAGACCGATAGTCGTTGTCGACTTGCCCTCACCGAGAGGGGTGGGTGTGATGCCGGCGACCAAGACGTAGCGGCCGTTCTTGCGGTGTTCCAGACGCTTGAGGACTTCGAGGCCAACCTTTGCCTTGTATGCGCCGTGGGGCTCGAGCTCGTGGGCGGCAAGACCAATCTCGGCGGCGAGCTTGGTAATGTGCTTGGGGTGTTGCTTGCGGGAGACTTCCCAGTCGGCGGGAACGGGCTGTTCGAGCTTGAGGTGGAGAGGCGTGATCTTGCGAGACTTTTGGCGGTCAAAGTAGCTGTCGGCAGAGTCGACGACGTTGCGAAGGAGCATGGCCACCGTCATGGGGCCGACACCGCCGGGGACGGGGGTGATGTGAGAGGCGACCTCGACGGCCGAGTCAAAGTCGACGTCACCGACCAAGCGCTGGCCAGACTTCTTGCTCTCGTCGGGAATGTAGTTTGTGCCGACGTCAATGACCACGGCTCCCTCCTTGAGCCACTCGCCCTTGACGAAGCCAGGGGCGCCAATGGCAGCAACAACAATGTCAGCCTGCTTGACGAAGCCGGGCAGGTCCTTGGTCTTGCTGTGGCAGACGGTGACGGTGGCATCGGCGTTCTTGAGGAGGTAGCTGACGGGGCTGCCGACAATGTCGCTGCGTCCAATCACGACGGCGTTCTTGCCCTTGATCTCGACTCCGCTCTCCTTGAGCAGCACCATGACACCCTTGGGTGTGCAAGGGGTGAAGAGAGGCTTGCCGCCACGCTTGGCCAGCTCGCCAATGTTTGCTACACCGAAGCCGTCGACGTCCTTCTCGTCAGCGACAGCCGAGGTGACGGCGTGCTCGGAAATGTGCTTGGGGACGGGCAGTTGGACGAGGATGCCGTGGATCGAGTCGTCGTTGTTGAAGCGCTCGATGTGGTAGAGGAGCTCCGACTCGCTAATGTCCTCGGGGTATTTCTCCAGGTCGCACTCGATGTTGGCCTCGGTGGCGGCCTTGAGCTTCATGCGCACATAGGTGCTGGAGTCTGAGCGGTCGCCGACCTGCACAATCTTGAGCGAGGGCTTGTAGCGCGGGTTGGCGCTCTGCTTTTCCGTGATTTCCTGGTTGATGCGCTCGCGGATCGACTTTGCAATGGCAGTGCCATCAATCTTCTGGGCCGTCATCTGGCGGAGTGTGGTGCTGAAGGCAGCGCGTTGTGTGTTGGGAGAAGGAAAGGAAGATGGGCGAGTCACAAAAGTCTGTGGACTGAGGAAACGCAGATTTTGGCCCCGCAGGGCGATACGCCGACCGCTGATCAGTTGGCCGTGCATGCTCTGTAGCAATCCACCTTCTTCTTTGAGAAGCACAACTATTGATATACCAAGGAGTACTCGACAGAAGACGTCAACGGAACGAGGTCGACCTGAGCGTGGGGCAGGAGCGGCAGTTTGGTTTCAATTACATACAATGAGCAGAATTCGGTGGACTGTGTGTCCAAAGAGTCTGGGGAGAGCTCGACACGAGAATGGACGTCGGTGGCTCTTTCTGCTTCTGTCGTTGTTGCCGTGACCTCTACGCATTCAGGTTTCATTCCAAGCATCCGCTGGACGCTTCTCTATCCCCTGATCTCTTTCAATGGCAGGAGCGAAAAAGTTGAAGGCTGGTGAGTCAGACTGGTGGTGAATTAGGGCGGCTTTGAGAATGCGGAGGTGGACGGGCAGCTTGATTGGGAAGGCACGAGTCGCTTTCTGCTTAGCGAGGGGAAGGCGCGGATTTCTTACGGCGAGCAGCAAATCGAGGCAGCCTCCCACGCACGGGCCAAACGACTCTCCAGCGGGCGACGCACATTTTCATAGCGACGAAGCAAAGCGCGCAGCCATCCACCACCTCATACCGCCAACATGAGACCCATTCTGCTTTCAGGTCACGTATGTACAAATGGTTGTCCTCTTGCTCGCAGCACAAACTGACCTCCGCCGCAGGAGAGAGCTCTGACCCAGGTCAAGTGCGTGCGCCCTTTTTCAGTCGGATCAAAAGAGACGGACAGGACACGGCGACTAACGGACAGCGCAGGTTCAGCAAGGAGGGCGACCTCATCTTCTCCGTCTCCAAGGATCACAACGCATGCGCATGGTGGTCACACAACGGTGAGCGCTTCGGTGTCTACAAGGGCCACCAGGGTGCTCTCTGGACCGTCGACGTCGACCCGCGCACCGTCCTGCTCGCTACCGGCGGCGCCGACAACACCATCAGACTGTGGGAGGTCAAGACTGGCAAGCTGCTGAAAACTTGGGAGTTCGGAACGGCCATCAAGCGCGTCGAGTTCAACGAGGACGGCACCCAACTGCTCGGTGTGACGGAGAAGCGCCAGGGCCAGCTCAGCACAATCATCGTCTACGACATCAACCAGGACCCCGAGGCCGAGCAGAGCAGCGAGCACGTCCTGCGCATTGTTGTCGACGACATTCCCAAGGTCACAGTCGCCGGCTTCTCGGCCTGCTCCAGATACATCATCTCTGGCCACGAGGACGGCTCCGTCACCCAGTGGGACGCAAAGACTGGCGAGGAGTACGAGCGCGCCTACCCCCACGAGGACGGCATGATGGTCACCGACCTGCAATGGTCCGCCGACCGCACCTACTTTGTCACGGCCTCCAAGGACAAGACGGCCAAGGTATGAGAGCACCGTTGAGAGTCTGGCTACAGCAGAACAGTCCACTGACACACGCCCTCGCAGCTCATGGACGCCAAGACACTCGAAGTCATGAAGACATACGTCGCCGACACGCCCCTCAACTCGGCCGTCATCACACCCGTCAAGGACTACGTTATCGTCGGAGGTGGCCAGGCCGCCATGGACGTCACCACAACCAGCGCCCGCCAAGGAAAGTTCGAAGCGCGCTTCTACCACAAGATCTTTGAAGAGGAGATTGGCCGTGTCAGAGGCCACTTTGGTCCCCTCAACTACGTCGCCGTCTCTCCCCTCGGCACCGTCTACGCCTCGGGTGGTGAGGATGGTTACGTCCGTGTCCACCACTTTGACCAGCCCTACTTTGACTTCAAGTTCGAGGTGGAGCGTGAGATGAGATTGTAATTGTCCAAGAGGAGGCGAAAACCAAAAGGGGGCTTTGTGAACCACGGCATGGCATGGCGTTCAGGGCGTCGTTTTTGACTACATGTGACGAAACCACATTTGGGAGCGCTGAATGATTTACTACAAAGTGTCAAGACGTGTCGCCCATGTGCAGAGAAAGAAGAATTGAATGTCTACGCAATTTGAACATCTGAACCATGTGTCTGACGTGAATGTGATCCTGTTGATTCGCCATGGCTGCACTGACAGCAGCATGACGCTGCAGCTCCAAACTTTGTCCCACCTCTCCAAAGCGACAACATCAATCTTCGGAATCCTGTATGCTCCTCTCACCTTCAGGAAGCCGCTGCATCTCCACCTCAATTTTGGAGTCGCCCAAGTCAAACCTAGACTCTGCACCATACTGATGTGAGTATCTCTCTTCCACTCATTGATCCACGTTGCGGGCGTCGGAGCGGAATAACCACAACACCCAAGTGGCTTGCCCGACCCTCTGCAATTATTCCGTACAATCAACAACCATCTCCAATTTGACAGCTTCTCCTTATCCCCCATCTTTCCACCCTCTCAACTACCATTCACTAAGACTACATAACCTAGCTTCCTCCTCTTCGTTGCAAGCATTGTGACGTATTTTCACCCATCACCAACAAACATGGCAACAATCACTCTTCCACCATCGGATGCAAAATATAGATTCAGCATTGTGCCAAACATCTTCAAACAAGCTCTTGCTGATACTGATGCTGATGCTTTTGATTATGTATGCTGCTCTCCTTCCATCTCCCATCTCTCTCCCCACTACCAACCAGCAGCTATTCTCTAGTCACGTCGATGTTTTACTATGCTGACCCCATCCTGCATAGGCAAAGGAAAACTTCGGTCTCATAGACCAAGTATATCCTTCAGATGACACACTGGAGGACGCAAGTGGAAAAACACAATGGCAGAGGTTCGAACACTACATTCATGAGTTGAACAAAAATGCTTCTCCAGGCGTCGAGTACAAAGTCCTCTACCTCGGTCGCCACGGTCAAGGATACCACAATGTCGCTGAAACACGCTATGGCACTAAGTTATGGGATGTATGTTTTGCTCCCTTGTCTCATTCCACCTCCTCTTTTCCAGTGTGAATGGCAGAGACAAGTGCTAATGTCTAGCCGCAGTCATACTGGGCAAAACAAGAAGGAGACGAACACGCCAATTGGGCAGACGCCCATCTCACCCCCATCGGCAAACAGCAAGCTCTAGACGTAAACACCTTCTGGCGCTCCGCTCTAGCACAAGCCAAAATCCCAGCCCCAGAAATCTACTACACCTCCCCCTTTTACCGCTGTCTTCAAACCTCTTGGCTATCCTTCCACGACCTACCACTCCCTTCCTCTCGTCCTTTTACACCCATCGTCGTCGAAGGCCTTCGCGAAACAAATGGCGTACACACTTGTGACCGCCGTGGCCCTAGCTCTATTATCCGTGCCGACTTTCCCAGCTACAGTTTGGATCCTGCACTCCCGGAGACTGATGAAACATGGACGCCCGAGTACAGAGAAAAGCCCACGGAACACATCCTTCGCGAACACGCTTTCTTGGAAAAGGTTTGGGGAGAACGGGAGGGTGTGCAGTGGGTGAGCTTTACAGCGCATTCGGGGACTTGTGCGGCTGTTTTGGGGGCGGTGGGCCACAGGAGGTTTGGATTGCCTACTGGAGGTGTCATTCCTATAGTCGTCAAGGGTGAGAAGTTAAAGGCTTAGAGAAGTGTTTTACAAAAGGGGAAATTGCAAGAGGAAAAGGAGAGAGGAACAGGGCAAATTAGAAAAGGAATAGATTGAGTGGAACGTCTGTCCGCGTCATTGATATTTGCTTCTTTCGTAGCACGATATGATGTTGCGAGAGAGATGGTGGTGAACGTGTCGGCATACGACAACATACTTTAGATGAACAACGTTCGAAATCGCACATACCATTAATCATGACCGCATTATCAATCAGAACATCATTAAACTTACACTGGCTCTGGAAGAATTACTCATCGACTCTATTTCCAAGTTTGAGGCTGTATCAAACACCATGACGAGCTACGTCGTCGTCGATGATCAAAAAGAAATGGTCGAGAGTATCACCCTGACTCCGCAGAATTGCAGCGAAGTTTGCAGCGGACGAGGGCTACGTCATTCTTCCATCGCCTGAACACATGTGCACATATATCCTGATCAATTTATACATGAGTTTCGAAAGCAACGAGAAGATGCGAGATGACCCTCCAGGCGCATGTGGCAGCGATTTGAGGCTCGACTAGTCTTGAAGGAACCTCATGTTGCTGTCTCGTCCCTCCTTTGGCTGTACTTTATCCGCAGTCTTGGCAGTGTTCTCCACGCAAGTATCCACGAAAGGAGAGGAGCGAGTGATTTGTGGAAAAAAATATGCAAATTTGCTTTATGAAATATTTGATTATGGAAAAGAAGTCTTTGAAAAAAAAGGATGGTAATAATCCCCGTAAAACAAAAGAGATGGAAAGTGTAACTAGATTTGCATCATGCCGAAGCCTCTGCGGCATCTATGCGACTTCTTTGTGCCAGACTCTCATGTTCTTGTCCACGCGTATACGGCGTGGCCGGCCCAGACGGCGGGCTTGTCGATTGCCCAGTGGAAGATCTCGCCTGCGATAATAGATGCGGGGAGGACGACGAAGAAAGCGACGGCCTTTGAGGAAGCGGGAGTGTACCCGGCATTGTTGTAGCAGTAAAGGAAGATTTTGATGCCAGCTGTGTACATCAAAAGTGTGGAGACGAGGTAGTAGCCTTGAGAAAATTGGGTCAGCGAATATTCGTGAAAAGGCATGTAAGGATGCAACTTACTCAGAGAGCGTCTTCCAATGGTCTTGAAGATCTTTGATCCGAGGATCTTCTTGCCAGCCTCGCTGAATTCGAGGAGAACCAGCAGACCGACAATGACGAGCCAGTTGTCCATACGAGGATAAGGCTGTTTACCATCAAAGTAGCCGAAACTGCTGCCACCCAGGTAACGAGCAGGATGAGCATGAGCCTCTCCACTCCAGTAAAGCTGATCAAGACCAGCAGTCCACATGTACTTCAACCCAGTTCCGATACCGAGGAAAACAACAGCAAGAGACCAATAAGGCATCCTTACACTACCAGACTCATTGCTCCAACCACGGAACAAAGCAGTACGAAGAGGAGGGTTGATAGCAACATCAGCCAGGAAGAGTCCAGTAGCCGAATACCAACCCCAACTGTTGAACCACCAAGACCCGAATGCAAACATGAGCAATCCAGTGACATGCCAAGAAGGCCTGCTGTACGGCAGAATAACCATGAAAATGTACACCGTGTAACTCTGCAAGTAAATCGCACTCGGCACCCAAAGCGTCCAAGACGGGAAAGCCAAATTACCCATTTGCAGCGAGTAGTCCTTGGTTACCCACAGCAAGTTCCAAATACTGTTGAAGCAAGCCAATGCACTCGCAGGGTTTTCGGGAGCGCGCAGGTACGGGTTTCCATTGATGCGGGCAAAGTCCTCGAGGTATTGTGTGTCGATTGTCTTGAAGATGATGCAAGAGATCGCGAGACCGACACCCAGAGGCCAGCCCATGCGGATAGGGCGAGCGATCAGGGAGCGCGCATAGGAGGCCGAGTTTACATCGCGAAGGAATGAGATTGCGACGGTGCGGGCAGAGAGGAGGATGAAGAAGCAAAAGATGAAGGATTCATCCCAGAGAAGGGGAGAGAGAATCTTGCGGAGGAGGACTTGGTAGTGAGGGCTGGTTTCTTGGATGCTGGGGATTTCACCTTGGAGGTATTAGCATGAATTTCAGATGGTCATGTTATGTTGCAATATCTCGCAAGTTTGAGCGAAACGAGCGAGCAGAGACATCTGCCAGCCGGCATCTGGTATCTGGCATTTTGGAGAGTCTGTCGCTCCTGCCAACGGCAGCGTTGGTCTCAGTTTGAGAAAAGAGACAGAAGGAAAGCAGTTGCACATCTTCGTCGGCTGTTCCCTACTATTATCGCGTCTGCACGCTTTGCACTCCAGGCATTGCCGAAAGGCTTGACATGAGATTGTTGAGACGAGGTCTTTGTCGAGGATGACGCGCTGCTTCAAGCCACATGCCGATGTTTCGCCGTGTGTAGATTGCGCCCCTTTTGGCCTATCGTTTCTCCGCACCGCTCGCTTTCACCGTTGCTTTGAAGCGTCTCTGTGATTTGGAAGATGGAAGGAAATCGACTTACTCAGATTGGCGCGAGGGTAAAGGCTGCGAGCGTACAGATCGCGTGCGATGATGCCAGAGCCTGCTCCCGGTTGCACAATACCTGGGCCACCGAAAACACCGGGCACTGTCGAAGGTGATGCGTCCGGGACGTGTTCTCCAGTCGCCGTCGCAGCAGGAACTGTCAGCGTCGGATTGAAGACCTTGAAGAACAACCATGCGAAACTCTGCACGGCGAGGATGGCGCGAATGCCCCAAAGGTGATCTTGCGAGTTGCTGAGGACAGACGACTTTCGTCGAAATGCCATGTAATTCTGAGGTTGGTTGGATCCCATGATGTGCTGATTTCGCCCTGCAGCGTGCTTTGGCGAACGAAAAGGAAAACAACAAGGTGAGTTCAGGTTCAAATGGACCCAGATGGAATGTCAAGATGATCAAGTACCGATTACACCCTCATTTGCTCATCATCTCTCCACCCTGCCACCTCTGTCTTTGCACGTCCTCGTCATGTTTTGATCAAAACGGCGACTATAGACGGCAATCACCCTGAAAGAGTCCAGACATTCTTTTTCCTACTGCCAGTCATCCTTCGCTTGGATGTTCTGGTCCATGGTAGGAAATAGCAATGTCAACGTTCGCCAAAATGAACCGAACGTAGCCGGTGATATCAACTGCCAGTCCTACAACGGCCGCAAGCCGCGCCGTTTGACCGTCAACCTGTACTTCACGACTTCTATTTCCACAAAGGGCCATCTCACTCTTGACTCGATGGCCGTTCTGAAACATATGACAGCCACGCCTTCTTGAGTTCTCTCGATCAACGTCGGATCTGCGGGTCTGTTACTGTTTTGACACTTTGCAACCCCAGTAGGGCAGTCTCTTTGTTTTGTTCTCGCCATAGTGAGACATGTCGTTTTGCTTTTGGATGATACGAGCCCATCTTGTTAAATCGAGCCCTGCGGTATACACTGGTGGCGTCAAGCAAGCTCGATCTGCTTGAAGCCCCTGCTGTCCGCTTCCGTCAACCGAGCACCTACGTCCGTACACTTGGCAACACCATAACACCGCGCGCTCTTGCATAAACGGCCAGACCAATGAGCGCCATGACCACTACGTCAACGATTCTCCACATGAGAGACACGCTTTTGTCGATTGCGAACGTTGACCATTTCGATGGGTCCAATCTGACGATGAGTCTAGAGGTCCATCAGGCTTCCAAAAGCAGAGGATTCATGATGACAGGCTACCTTGGGTATGCTCTTTGAATAAATTGATTACTCGAGCAAAGTCTTTGAAGTTTTGCCGCAATCCACGCTTTTCCCCTACACCCAATTTACGCTTGCCTTGGACACATACAACACCACAGCCATGGCAGAAGAGTTCAAGGGCGGCAAAGCCGCAAAGTCAGGATTCCGAGAGTTGACCACCAAACTCGACATTGCTGTCAAGTACTGCTCAAACTGGGTCTTCGAGTGGACTCCCTTCATCCTCACAATTTGCTACTGGGTAGCATCGATTTGTTTCTATGTCTCTTGCGACGAAGGAACGATCAAGGGATTTTACTACTTTTTCATGGTTATCAACTTCTACATTGCTGCCTGTACAGTGATTGAGGCCTTCTTGGGAATTTCACCACTTCGCGATGCGAGAGCGGCTGCCATCCGCGTCAACGCCTGCGGAGAGTTCCCCACTCCCGACGAACTCTTGCCAATCCTCGACATTCTCATTGTCGCATATTTGCCCAACGAGCAGGACATTGTCAAGGATCAAGTCAACTATGCACTCGAGGAAATTGTCTACCCTCGCGACAAATTGCGCATCAACCTTGTTTACAACACTCCCAAGCCAATCGAGCCTCTGGAGACCGAGCTGCTGGAGATGGAAAAGCAGCACGGTGGTCTTCTTCGTGTGACCAAGGTCGTCGGCTCAAAGTCAAAGGCTGACAATCTCAACTTTTACTTTACTCTCGACACTGGTGCTGAGATCATTGCCGTCTTCGATTGCGATCATTTCCCTCACCCTTACAATGCTCGCTGGGCTGCTGAACGTTTCATTGCCGATCCTACCGTCGACATTGTGCAAGGCAGATGCATTGTCTACAACGTCAAGGAGACCTTCTTCACCCGCATGATTGCTCTCGAGTTCGACAAGATCTACGCTGTATCGCATCCCGGTCGTTCGCGTCTGTTCAGCTTCGGTCTTTTCTGTGGTTCCAACGGTTACTGGAAGGCAGAATTGCTACGTGGTCACCAAATGCACGGTCACATGCTTTGCGAGGATATCGACTCTGCCCTCAGAGCTTACGGAGAAGGCAAGAGAGCTGTTCACGACATGAACGTCAAGTCTTATGAAATGGCACCCACTTTCTGGATGGCTTTCTGGAAGCAGCGTATGCGTTGGACTCAAGGTTGGACCCAAGCTTCCATTCGCCATCTTCCTATGATCTGGAACAACCCTCCTGGTGGCAGTCGTACTTTGAGCGAGCGCTACGGTCTTATCTCTCTTCTCATCGTCCGTGAGATGAGTTATTATCTTGTCACCCAGTAAGTCCTAAAGCCTGGTACACATTCAAAAGCACAGCTAACAAATTTACAGACACACTTGTCTTCTGTTCAGTTTCCTCATCACTGGCTGGCCCAAGAGCTCTGGTGAACTGGCCAGATTGATCTTCTTCCGCTACGCCTTGTCCGAATGGTTCCTCTTCCTCACAGTCGGCAGTTTGATTGTGACGCTATGGATCACAGAGATCGTGCGATCTGAGTTTACCTCCATCTTCGACATGTTCCTTTTCTCCGCTATTTACATTCCCTACCTCATTCTTCAGGGTACAATGGGTAAGCTCGCCTATAAGCTCAAGACATATGACGAACATCTGCTAACCACATTATACAGGTATCTATGGACACTTCCGTGAGATCATCGGCTACTCGTCTTGGAACCCTACTTCAAGAAAGTAGAGCTGTTCTTCCTTTTCCCATCCATACATTTTCTTTCTTGTTCATTTCTCTTTTGTTATCATGATCTAGAATCGTGTGGAGTCGCGCTTCGAACCGACTGTATCAATACTTAGCATCAACACTATCAGCAAATAAAATGCTGCAACGAAGATAATCTAATACGGCGTTACACGCAATCGCGGGTGAACGTTTCTGCATGTCTTTAATAGTTCAATCTCGCAACGCCCGCCATTCAACGGCTTTCTTTCGGCCCCGTGCCCATGTCATCTGTCCGACACGACTCATGTTTAGATGTGTGGGATGGCAATCGATTCAAAGAGCCAAAACACCGTTACGGTCAAACGTCTAATACAATCCTTACCTTAACTCTACAGTATCGTTAACTCCCGAAGGGCCCACCCCATCTCTTTTTACATGCATGGCGTACGCCATGATCAATCCCTGGAGTGTTCACCTTGCCGTTGCATCCGATCTATCGAACTGCAGAGGCCCTGAAAAAGTCGAGACCGTTGCGTACGTAGAAGAAAACAGTTGCACAGCCAAATAAGCAACTGAAACAAGGTATGTTGATCCCTACGTAGCCACAAACTGCCCGTAGTGCCTGTGTCCTTTCCTCCACGCCTTTGAATGCAATGGCTACCGGTCATTAGGGTCTTGGCTTGATCGTGCGATAGTGCGGCTGACGGTTGGAGGTTGATGATGAGTGCCCACCGTGATAACAGTCAGTGTAATTGATTGATGCGAGTCCAGATCGTCAGTAATAATTGATCCTTTGCATCATACATTGATCACCTTTTGCTTGCTCTTTTCCCAATACCTGCCACCTCTCAATAGAGACGTCAACGACAATAGCCTTGGGTAGAAGGCACGTGCAGTCGGGATATAATCGTATCTGCTTCAGCCTTTTTGCCTTTTCTCCCATACATTTCCCTTGTTTTCTCTACCATTTTGTTCTGCTTCTCCCCACAAGCTCACCGCAATCATGAAGTGGGGGATTGCACTTACCACCGCAATCTTTGCGGCCACGACATCAGCACAGAGTCGTGACGTTTCCGACTGCTCATGCGGTTTTGTCGATCCTACATCTAACGAGGTGTGGACGGAAGCACTGATTACTTACTTCAACGAGACGAATCAACTTCCCTCCGATTACCGAAAACTTGACTTCCACCACAACCGCGAGTATGGTTACAACTCGCTATACCGTCAAGGAGCCACTCCTGATAATGCATACATCGGCCAAGTCACGGACGAGAATGTCGATGAGCAAGTCATGCAGCTTTGGATCGACGCTGGAACTGGGCAGCATTACGTCCAGGGTGCTGGTATCGAGGCTTTGAGACAAGATATGCATTTCGGTACTTTCAGGTCGTCGATGCGTGGACCTCCCAAGAACACTGGGTGAGTTTCTTCCGATTCTGATTATTTTTTTGGCCGGTCCATGACTGACCTCGGGGTGATCATAGTGGTTCCGCCATGTCGATGCAACTTTACCATAACCGCACATCTTTCATCGAGATCGACATGTGTAACATGCAATACCCGGAAGACGCAAAGTTCTTGACCCTCAAGGATGGTGAATTTCCCGACGCCAAATATCAGCTTAACTACACATACTTCGCCAACGATGCCAACGCGAACGCTGGTGGCGACCCTTGGGAGTTTGTGGAGAGCAAGATCGACTGGACTCTGAAGCACGTCAACTGGACCATTGGAGGAAACAAGACCAGAGCTGTCGAACGCAAACGTACTGATCTCTACGAGCCTTTGCCTCTGATATTCAAGCATTGGTCTATTGGTGACAAGTATTGGATGGCAGGACCCCCCAACCAGCGTAATCAGGCCGACCTCGCTTGGGTTCGTGCTTTCTTCAACTCTTCCCTCACTACCGAGGCCGAACAGCAAAACTTTGATAGCCGATGCACCATCGCTGACGCGTGTTCCATCGACGACATTACTCTCCGCGGTTCGAGTCCTTACTCACAGGCTGCTCTCATCAGATTCAAGGAGCCCCCGCAAAGCAAAAGCTGGCGTGTTCCTGCTGGTGCAACCGCTGGTGCAGTCTTTGGTTTCGGTTGTCTTACTCTTCTCAATGTTCTCTTCAGGAGAGCACCTTGGAAGTTGTTCTTGAAGAAGAACAGAGGCCCCAAGGTACACGTCGGACCCGAACTCAGCTCACCTTCACCTTTCGTCCAGCAGATCTTGGGTGTGTCCAAGGACGAGAAGACTGCGATTCCTGCACCGAGCGAAAAGAAAACTTCAATCGTCGAAATCGTCGACAACTCCACTCTTGTTGGCGACAAGGACCACGCCCCGGCCGACAATATGCGCAGAAGAAGTGTCAAGTTCTTTAACCCCTTCGATGCCGATTCTGGAGATGATTTCGTAAAGAGACATTCCGACGCTTTTACTTCAGCTTCAGAAGTACCAAGAACCATGTCTTCCGTACAACCTACCGACTGGCGCAGGAAGAGTATGGCCTTCCATGGTGGCCTACCTGAGATGCTCCCCGAAAGAAGTGACATGGCCAAAAAGGTCAGGAAAGCCAGTGTCGCGTTCGCAGAGGGCACCCACCGTCCTCGCCAAGCCAGCACTTTCCAAAGCATCAAGGGTCGCAGTGGAAGCACCGTCAAGGCCCTTGGCCATGTTCTTCAGCACGGCATGCACGACGCCGAGCGTGTGGAGCCTGCCGGTTTGGAGAATGAATTGATACCCACTAACTCCGAGGACTCGGACAAGGGCAAGGTTAACCCTGCTAGGAGAGCAAGCCACGCGAACTTCGCTGGTACAGTTATGCGCGATCCCGATACTCTGCAAGACGTCGACCTGTCTCACCAGTCTCCTGATGCTCGTCGTTCCACCATCATCAGAGGAAGACAGCCCAGCGTGCTCGAGCGTTATCGCGAGAACCACTTTGCAAGCATTGGAGGTGTCTCAATGGTGTCAGCCACATCTCGTGGATCCGTCTCTATCAAGGATTGGAATACCCAAGCATTGCACCAAGTCAACACTATCGATCCGCCGCATGAGTCGCAGATCAAGACTGGCCGTCGCATCACTCTGGCTGAGGCTGTTCCCGTATCTGCTGTCGATATTCCCTTGCCCAAGGCCAAGGAGCACGAAGCTCGTATCAATTACCTCGCCGGTCTTGTCGCTTTCTCTTCTATCGGTGTTACTCTCATCCATTTCATGCTTTCCTTCAACCCATACGCCGGTGGTTTGAACTACGGCCAACACTACAGAAGTGAATACTGGGCCCGCTGGACCGTCACCCCTGCCATTCTCAACCCCATCTGGCTTGGTCCTTTCTTCGTCACGTCATGTAGATTCTTGGCAGCAAGATATCTTCGTGATGGAGATCTGGGTCTGGTTGCCGAGAAGATGCTTTTGCGTGCGCCTCGTCTGGTCCTTCCTTGCGCCATTGTCGCTGCCATCGAATATCTCTTCTTCGAGCTCAACTTCATGCAGTGGTTGCTGTACCTTCCTTCAATCTCCTGGTCCGAGTGGGCGTTCATCTCCAACTACGACAACTTCGGTCACTACCTCAATGCCATGTTGGAGTTGCTGTACCTGATTCCCAATGCAGCTCCTCAAGTTGTCAGCCACTACTGTGTCGGTGTGCTCTGGTCCATTCCGGTCCAGTTGCAGTACAGTTTCGTGACTCTTTTGGCTGTCATTATGATCCGCGACATCAAGACTACATGGAAGCGTTTCGGTTTCTACACTTTCTGTATCATCGCCAACTGGTACTCGCTGAGTTGGGGATCTTGCTTCTGGGCTGGTCTAGCGTTGGCTGACATGCAAGTCAACTACAAGTTCAGTGCCAGAGTCCAGGCTCGCCCTGCTTTGTGCTGGGTCTTCTGCATCATCTGTTGGATCTTCGCTTTTGCTAGTGCCGCCATGACTCTTCTGGAAGATCGTCTTGACATCACCACCATGTCTTCTGAGAGAAACATCCACCCTGACATTTACACTGGCAAAAAGCTCGGCGATACCGTCAGAGGTGGCTACCCGTTGTACTTCGAACCCCGTCTCAACACGACGGTCTTTGCAGTAGCCATGCAGCTTTTGGTCGAGACCAGCACCTGGTTCCAGGCTTTCCTCTCGATGAAGGTCTGGCAACCCATTTTCCCTCACGCCTTCACCATCTACCTTATTCACGGTTTCATCTGGTGGACTCTGGGATCCTACATGGTCGTCATGATCGCATCCCATGGAGCACCATACTGGGCGACTCTATTGGCCACAGCGATTGTGTGTTACTTCACCCTCGCCTTGACCGTCATCGCCCTTTCATTCATGACCGAGACCATCACGGCAGCATGTTGTCGCAACATTGCTCGCTGGGCTATGGAGCCCAAGGTTCCTAAACAACCCACCCTCGAGCCTTTCCCTCGCAACCTCTTCCTCGACCGTAACAAGGAGGCCGAACTTGCAGCCAAGGACGAGGAGACAGCAGTCGGAGAGACTGTCATCGGAGCAGGCCATATGGTCCGTCGCCCTACTCTTATCCCTGGTACAGCTGTGGATCCTACTGCACGTCGCCCGACGATCGTCGAAGGAGCCATCCTCAACGACGCCGAAAAGGCTGCGCTGGGTTCCACGACCATGCCATCACCAAAGCCTCAGCAAGGCACCGACCAGTTCGAGCGCAGAGGAACGCATCATGTCGTCAACGACTTTGTCATCGAGGAAGAAGACGAGGAAGACGAGTTGGACCCCATGGACCCTGCGTATGGAAAGTCGTCACAGACGTCGAGTGCGTATGGCAGAAATTCAAGTACGGCGGGATCGAGTTCGTCGAGTTCGAGGCAGGCTCCTTGATCTTTTTTTTTCCCTTCCCTTCTCTTTCTGTCATCATAAATTATTACATTTCTTTTGTCCTCCAAATATTTCTAGTCGAATGTGTATCCTTCGTATGTCTTGCATGATGCTGCGTACTGGTATTATGAGTCTGTGATTGTGCAAGAGGTTAAGTCGAGTCAGGCACACGGACCATGAAAGTCGTCATACGGCAGAGACCGCTTTTCCAAACTCTCCATTGCCTTTACTCTGATCATTATTACGACGTGTTTGTCCATCACAATTTATGCACTGCTGCAGAGGCTCTTCACATTGCAATCTGCCATGCACGCGTCCACAGCGCAAAGTACAGATTTCTTAATTAGGCTATTGTCACGGCCAGGTAGGTCTCAGCCGGTTGTCGGTCGGCAAGTGCTGCGCAGCTCCGGACGGCATCAGGACTTCACGCCGGCATGAGCATCCCGACTCCGATTATGACTCTACCTCATATTTAACAGGTAGTATGGACCTCTCTTGCATCTCAGACATACTTCATGTCATTCCTCGCTAAATCCATAGCGAGAAGCAACATCATGTCTCAAGTCCAGCATACAGCGCGCGTCGCACTGCTCTACCAAGCAATCGAGTCACCCGTCATCAATGGAGTCCGCAAGCCCATGAAGCCTGGTGGTAAGTCTCGCTACTGTACACGCATCCGGCCTCAATAGACACTCACCCTCTACAGGCTACCAAGACGGCTGTGCCGACATTGCCTACAACCTCAGCAAGCAGGCCGGCATCGACATCATCACACCAATCGACTCCCCCGACCCTCGAAATCACGTTGGATGGAGCTTCCCAGACTCGGAAGAAGGCATCATGTCAGCCCTGCAGAAAGGAGCAACTCACCTCTTTGCCAACACAGTCGTCTTTGCCAGCCATCCGCTGCAAACATCTGAAAGAGTGGGAGAATGTCAGGACAAAGTCAAGGTGGTCGGACACCCTCCGTGCATGGTGGAGCTGCACGACGACAAGCACTATGTCAACGACATGTTGCGCAAGTCTGCCAGGTTCACATTACCTCGCGGTTGGCTGCTCGAGGACGACGGCTCAGATCTTGATGCACGTCTCGACTCGCTCAATCTGACTTTCCCGACCGTCGGCAAGCCCGTCAGAGGACGAGGAAGTCACGGCGTCAAAGTCTGCCACTCTCTGAACGACTTGCGAGACCACGTCCAAGCTCTGTTCAAAGAGTCTCCAGCCATCATCCTCGAAGACTATCTCGCTGGAGAAGAAGCAACCATCACCGTCATGCCACCTTCAGAGGAGCACCCTTCGCATTGGGCTCTCCCAATCGTCACCCGCTTCAACCACAACAATGGCGTAGCACCCTACAACGGCATCGTCGCCGTCACAGCAAATTCTCGCGCCGTAACACCCGAAGAATACGCAAATGACCCCGCATACTCTGCCATCGCAGCTGAGTGCGAGCAAGTAGCCAAAACCATGGGTCTGACTGCCGTTATGCGTATTGATGTGCGTCGCTTCACTGCAGAGCCTGGGTCGAAGTTTGCGCTGTTTGACGTGAACATGAAGCCGAATATGACTGGGCCGGGTAGACCGGGGAGAGAGGACCAGGCCAGTCTGAGCGCCATTGCTGCTGCACAACTGGGCTGGGATTATCCTAGACTGCTGGAGGAGATGCTCAGAGGTGCGCAGCCTTTGCGGCGACTGAGGGAGATGCGACCGGACAATATGTGAGGTCAAAGAGAAAACTCGACGGAACACACCCATGACCTTCTCGACGGTCGGAAGGGTTGTTTCATCCATCCGTCAGACGTCTATGCCGGAGAACATTGTGAGATGCTTGGCAATTGTGTCAAAGCCATGTTGAGTTTGAGTTGCAGCTGTTACTAGGCTTCTCCTTTGGAGATTTGACAAGTCCCATACTCAAGAAGCCATACGATACAGTACAAGATTGATAACCAACAAGCTTCTCTTCGCTACCAACATTCACCAGATTGACACCGAAGCGAAAAAGACGAAAAAAGAATAGACACCGAAACAGGCCTGTAAATTGCTGTGTGTAAAAAAGAACGAACCAAATGAGATTCAGATACATGATGACGAGCGAAGAAATACGAAACCATTCCGACCATCTACGGCACTTGCAACCCCCCTTCTATTTCCCATCAAGAGCATTCTGAATCGACTGAAGCTGCTTGTCATTAAGACCACTAAACAAAATACTATCCGAGCTCATAGGAACAGGGTTCCCAGCATTATAATCCCTTGTAATAACAGTAGCCAAATTGATACAAGGAGCAGGCATACCGCTAACCAAAAAACCTGGGAAAAATCTTTGGTCAGTGCACCGTCTTCGATCACATCTTTTTCCTTTTTTTTTTTTACAAAAAAGGGGGGTCAAAAGCTTACCATCACCCCGAGGTGTAAAAACAATCCTCACACCAGCAAGAGAATCCGCACATTGCTGCAGACTATATTGACTGACAGCGGGAATGATCTCGCGTTTTCCGGTGCCTGCGCGGGTGCCGGCCGTTATTGCTGTGCCGGCGAGTGATGTGCCGGCGGTGAGGAGTTCGCCGGTTGTTACGCCGATTATGGCGGCGAGGGGGGGAGCAGGGCAGTATTGGAGCATGGAGGCGAGGGCGACGGCGCAGGCTGCGACGGTGGTGGTGGAGCGCATGTTTGGAGATTGTGGTTTTTGGGTTGGTGGTGGTGGTGGTGTTTTGAGTTGCAGAGTTGATGAGATGTGATGAGTGTGAGGTTGAGGTTTGTTGTGACTTTTGGATTTGGAGGTCGTGGAGATGGGTTTCTTATATCATCATCTAGACTTTGTGTTCCACGCAATGCGTCTTTGGCATTCAAGGGGATGTTGGAAGGATGGTGACGATGCTCTCATTTGGTTGTTGGTCTGCGAATCCTCCGCTCAAGTAGAGGATCTTGTTTCTACGTTCGATTCACCAACTATGCTCGCACATCCCAACACAGATCAATGTTGATCACAACTTCATACAATGGAGCATTGCAGCAACAACAACAACGCCTAGCAGAGCAGTTTCTTGGCAAACTATCAAACAATCCTGCTTGGGAGGTTGATGTAAGCGCCGGAGTGGACTTGTCACTGGTAAGTTGAGTGTTCTTTCGACGTCTTTTCATTGTTGATATTCTTTGCTGCAAGTTCATGTTTAGGCTTGTCTTATTGCTGTTATCCTGACTGACCAAAACCCTGCAAACCTGTGGCCCAGATCTAGTCATGCTTGAGAGATGAATGATGTTCTCGATTCTTGCACATCATTAGTCGGTAGTAAAGTGCCTTTGCAAACATCCTATGAAGAAGTCCACACTCTGAAACTTGCAAACTCCCAATACGCATTCTCAAAAGCCGTACCGTTACCAGAAACCAGGTCGGCGCAAGTGCCGGAGCAGCCATATTCTGTAGAGTAGACACTTGTTGCGCCCGCCCAGCTGCCGCAGAGATCGATGTTCGCAATGATGGATTGATTCGTGAAGTGTGATGAGATATCACAGTCGGTGCTGGGAAAGTCGGCGACGGGGGTGCCCCAGCCTGAAGGATCGGGAGATGAGTCGTTGGAAGATAAGAGATCTGAGGGTGGTGATGTGCGGTTGAACATCCACATACGAATACCAGCGTCGCGAAGCTCCATGGCGAATAGCTGTAGGGGAAGTTAGTTAGATTTTCTAAGGCTTCACCGGGTGCATAACGTACTGCTCCACCGGCCTCGTTCAAAGCTGCTCCGTAACTGCTCTTGGGGCCGAAGACGCCACATCCTTCATTGTCATTTGTCGAATTCCAGCAGTTCGTTCCCGACACAGTGCCGGTCTCTTCTCGCTTGGTCTTCATCGTGCAGCCTTTCGAGGTGTGCAACGTCATCTGGTTCCCCTTGTTTCCTTGCTCCACCGCCTCGATGACATCAATTTCTCCATGCTCTGGCCAGTTATTCGGATCCGAGAGCCATACTGCAGGCCATGTTGCGCAACCATACGGCGCATGGATGACATCAAACACGAAGAGTCCAGTATCCCACTGATTTTTCGACGTGATGCGGACTGAGTTTCTGTTCGTAATCCCAGAGCTCGTGCTGTCGACTTTGAGGATTGCTGACTTCTCTCCAGCATATGTGAGATTACTCCACGTCGCCGACTCCTCGGACAGATACACTACTGAGCCGCTGCTGGGATCAGCGTCGGTGTAATAGTCGAAGTGGTCGAAAAAGGTGGTTCCGTTCATGCGCTCAGATATCGTGTAATTCAATGCGCTGTAGTCCGGGTATGAACTCGACTCTGAAGATTTTGTGCCTTCGACTGCGCCAACGATTACTGCGACAATGACAACAGTTGCGACGACACCTCCAATGATTTGCCATTTCCGCGACCAGTGGAGAGGATTGAGTTTCGACATAACGAGTGTGATTATCGTTGCATGCGTTCAAGAACGGATGAGACACTTGGTGGGCGAGTCGAGGGCAAGAGTTCTGTAATGTGAAAGACAAGAAACAGAGACGGAACAAGTGGGCAAAAACCCGAGAAGATGTTGCAACCTACCAGAAAGGACGAGCGATAAGGATTATATCCAATCCTTCGCTCCTGCCCAATACAAAAAAAAGCCTCCTACACTCGCACGTACGCGTAAAAAGCCACACCGTGCTGATTCGCTGGTTTCATCATGTTTGTTATATTTCGGTGCCTTGGCGACTTACCTGCGCCATTGCAATTGTCGGCATGTATACGCGTCTTTACAGGGAGTGTCGAGGTGAAGATGAAGGGTGAGTTGCGGGAAAACCGTTGAAGCCGTCCGCAACAAAAAAACTCTCGAGGCAAGCGCGCGTCGCGGCGTCGTCATCATGTTCAGGAATCGATGTTCCTCCACCACCAGGCACTTCGGACGCCTGGCCGTCGTCGTGATTAATTGATGACTCCTTGTACCAGTATCTGCGCTAGATGCGTCACTGGATGTTGACTGCATGCAAGCCGTTGTCATTGATGTTTCGCCTGAGCGGAAGACACGGTAGCCGCGTCCTTCAGCCTCCGGAAATGATCAGGATATAACTGTTCATCGAGGCTCTAGACTCGGGCTCATCCCGACACGCAGAGCCTTATCCAGAATAGAGTCGCTACAACATTCTCCAGTCGCATGCCGCAGCTGCTGAACATTATAAAGTTACAAAGAACAAAGCATCGCAAGGCTTCTCGAGGCTTGTGTCGCGGAAACAAGCTTCGGCGAAGATAGCTATGTCCGACCTAGACTGTTTGTCGTGCCCTCATTCGACACACCTCTAGCAAAGCTATTGGTTGATATGGTTTTTTGCACACATTTGAAGGTACATTGGAGTCGCAAGAGATGCAAAAGCGAGGCATTTACAAGGACCACATGTCAACAGCGACTTCCTTATAACCATTCCCTGACAAAAGACTCCAGAGCCCCGTGACCTGCTCAACATAGACTAGCTGCTCATAAGCACGAGGATACTGCCATCTCGGTACGATCCAGAAGAAGAACAAAATTACCCAGACGAAGCCCAGACATTTCCTACAGGCCTTCCAATCACCATTCATGTTTTTGAAAATCTTGTTGCCCAGAAAGCACTTTGCTAACTGAGAAGCGATCACTTCGAGCACGTGACCCACGAAATTGGCGACGAAGAAATATGCATCGAGCATGTACAGCTTTTTGTCACCCGCGCACCAGCTAACCAGCGAATGAGCAAGTCCAGAGATGAGAAAGACGCAAGCTGCGACGAGGAGCTTTTCCACCAGGCAAGAGGCTTTGACGCCTAGAAGATGACGAGAGAACACTTTGCCGACGTTTGTGTACTGACGATACGCAAGACGATGCCAGAATCGTGACCAGAATCCTCGGATGCTGCTAGCATGCGAGACGTGTCCAAATAGTGTGGGCCACTCCTCAGGACCATCGAGGCGCAAGACAATGACAAACAGGATACCGAGGACGGCATGAGAAGCCTCGAGTTCGTAGTATGCAGACCAGATCCAACGGACGCTCATGAGGAGATGTACTAATACCTCGCGCTGTGTGACAGGAACCCCATTGCTCCATACCAAGCGGCGGAAGAAGACTTGACGTTCCGGTGTGATTAGGTCGATTGAAACACCCCTGCCTACTTCTAAAGAGGCCGCTGGTGGTTATGATCAGTTGTGATATATTATTACACGTGATGAAGCTGTACACTATAACAAGTCAGTCCAAAATTAGATTCGGACAGGCGCCTCCGGGATGGAATTGCGCGAAGGATTCGACCCACTTTTCTACCAACAAGACAACTCGCGCACCCTCAGGATCCTACATCCATGGCATTCTCGGTAGGATGTTGGATTGTTGAGCTCGAAATACTCAGCCTACAGGATGGAAACGTGTTTTCATCTGCGAGCTTTCTATTGAGTCGTGCCTGCGAGAAAATTGTCAAATATTGCTCATTTTCCATCCAACAACTTGCTTGTAGGAAATGTGCTCTGTGTCCGCTATACATGCGAGATCGACTGCTTCGCGAAGCTTCCGATGGAGGACTTTCGGCAGGTCTTTCAATCGCGTATATCATCGAGACCTGTGTAACTTTTCAGCGTTGCAGCATGACAATCTCATACTGTTGAAATCGATTCCCTGATCATCCCTCATCAAGAGGGTATGCACGACTGGATTTGGCGGCCGTCGACTAGAATCAGCTGCGGTGCTTGCTTCTGGTATGATACACGAGGCAAGCTGTGGTCTGTTGCAGAACAAAGGCGCCCGGTTGGAAGAGATCCCAACGCGTCTCCGCCAGCTTCGCATTAAACCCTACGTCATTTCAGCGGTTGCGCTGCCTTAAAACACGTGCTATGCACTGGACATACCTATCTACACAGCCAACTCGACCTCTGAGGATCTAAAAGTTGTTCAAGGGATCATATGAAAGGGTCGCTTGAATTTTACACTGATCTTGGTAGCTGTTTGCGAAATCGCTACTTGTAGAATGTTTGCGACATTAACCTGGGTCTGTTGCAAGGATGTTCAGCCAAAATTTCGGGACAGACATGTGAGGAATCATTTTTTGATCAGATGCCCTCCATGTTCGAATTAATCGATACAAAATACCTAGAGCAGCTTGAAGACATTATTAAATGTCGGTTTGGGCAGTGAATTGAATACTACACCCCATTTTCAACGTGTTATAAGCCTATTGTCGTAGCCATCGTTTGTAAGAGAGCGTACCCTGTCCCTTATCGTTGTGCTGGTCATCATGATCATCAACCTCTTGGCGCCCATCATCGATGACGGAGCATGATGCTCCATCGCCGCGACACGTTCCTTCAATGTTTTGTTCTTCAAACCATTCCAAGAACGCGTATCACAAATGTCCCACCGCAGCAGACACGCCTAGGTCAGAATGTATACCGTAGGTCTATTTGTCTACTGACGCGCTAGATACTTCAAGCCGAACCATGCTGCCTTATGGCACCGTCCCTTTTTGGTCTTCAAAATTTGTTCAAAGTCGCAAAGAGCGTGGTAGTTACACAGGTCACTTGTCTGTCAATATGACCTCTGACCAGTGAGCAATTCTGACGAGATGGTCTGTGCTGCCGCCAGTTCCTCGTCTGTCGGCATGTCAACAATGAGGAGGTACAGGACGTCCTATATCGTGGTTAGTGCTCTTGCCGAACCATCATACGAGGAGTCGTGACGTACCTTCTTCATGACCTTCTGCACAAGACCCAGAGGTCCTGAATTAGCTCCTCCCCTACCACCACGTATGCCACCGAGTCCACCTCGCGCGACTCTGCTGCTACTCGCGGCCCCATTGCTGAGACCCGTACCGACAGTGTCGTCCTGGTCAACTTCATCGAACCTTCTTCTCAGGACTCTACTTGAACCCCTGTCGAACCTACCACCAAAATCGCGGTCGAACCGTGTGGAAATCATGCTTCCGCTGCCAAATCTTTGTCCGCCACGGCCACCCATAGTTCGTTCGGGCAGCTGAATCGCCCCACCTGAGATCAGTGCTACCAGCGAGCCGCTGTTGACTGGATGACTCGGGTCAGCGAAGCGAGAGGAAAACTTTGGCTTCGGTCCAGCAGTAAGAGTGCTATCAGGATTCTTCATTGCCTATACAAGATTGTCAGTCCTGATTGCAAATGAGATGTGGTGCTCGACTTACAAACTTGGCTTGAGCTCTTCTGTCCATGTAGTCCTCAACAAAGCCTCGCTTGGTCTTCAAGGAAGACTTCTTTTTTCGGCCTTCTTCATCTGAGGTCGCGGCGAGAACGTCGAGACCGGGATAGATCAGTGGCGCCACTTCTGGCCACTGAAACTCTCCATAGGTCTTGCCATTGGACTTGCGAAGAGAGGACATGAATTGCTCATTGTCCCCACTCATCGCTTTTGCCGCGATGTTGTTGAAGCCGACGGTAGTCCTCGCATCAGCATTGTCCGGATTCCAAGTCAAGACTAGGCAGAAAAGCCCTCTCGGCATGAAGAAGTCCTTATTGATCTTGTCTAAGAAAGTGTTCGTCTTGTAGCGACCTTGCACTTCCATGGCTGCTGTCGTGACTGCGGTGATGGCCATTGAGACCAGGATTGAGGTGACAGTAGGCAGCCAGATTGTGCCGATGGATGCGAGATTCAGTGCAGCTATCCATTTTGAAGCTTGTGTCGACTTATTGAAGGTCTCGATGAAGTCGATGAAGGTGGCTTGATCGATACCACGGTCTGAGAGAATGGGGGGGTATGCTCTGACCACACCACGGCTGCGATCGGTCGGTCTGCGTTGAGGAATGATGATGGGAAAGGGCAGCTTCTCTTGTGAAGCTGGAAGATCTTCAAATGAGTATGGTGGGAGTCGGGAGATGAATGTTTCTGCGAAAGTTGCGGGATCGGCTGGCTCATCTGCTTCTCTATTTCTTGGGATGCCGACGAGTTCGTCTTGAGCTTCGTCGAGTTCCCATGCTTCTTCTTCAAACTCATTGGCTGGTCTCTCGCGACCAGGGGAAGGCTCAGGCTGCTGTGATGCCTCGTCCGGCTGCAGCCGTATCTTATTCGCCTTGTGGGCCTTGTAGGATTCTGATGCAAGGCCAATGCCTCCTCCGATGGTTTCAACGATGCCGCTGATGAGTTGAGCCATGGTTTGCAAGTAAAGAGGGTGTAATTGTGGAAAGAGATGAGATCGACGGTGTCCGAGACCGTGTCTTAAGAAGTCTACAAAGGCACTGCCTTCTAGGATCTTGTCTCCTCATTACACAGCTTCCATCGTCAGGCCCTAACTTGCAATACGAGCAAACAGTAGCGGCTGTATGGTCAGTCCACGCATCGCAGTGGCTGAGTAAATCCTGCGAATGCTCCTGTTGTCCACTTTCGGAGTATGGTCCATCAGCGCAACACGTGTACAAGCACTAAAACCCAAGATAAGGCGGATGATCATCGGACAAGCATTCAAAACACTGCTGACTAGGCTTAAAAATGCTTGATTGATTGGCACAACCTTGTCAGCTCGGTTTCGCATTCGCACCTGTCAGGTGTTGCGATTCTCAAGGGGATTTGTGGCTGAGTGGCTGTCGTCCTCTCGGTTTCGGTTTCGGTTTCGGTTTCGTGTTCGTAAGTACGAGTGTCAGCCTTCGCGAGACAACCAACCACTCCTGCTCTTTTGCGGAAGAGAACAGGGAACGATTTCAAGACCGAGGCTTCTAGTCGTTGTCATGCACCTTGCAAAGAGAGGGTAAGGTACGTGCATTCGTGAGTAAGTGTGGTGACTCTGAACTTCTGACTTTGCGCTCCAATCCTCGGTCGGACTGAGACGCAGCCAACAGACGTCGCTTCAAAACCACAAACTTGAATTACCTACAGTTCGATTGATAGTGATGGCCACAATACTCTTAGATATCAAACAAGAGTCATTGCATCCCTATGCTGCTCCAGAATCTGATGGGTCACGCTGACTTGGATACTATTACCCACAACTGGGTTCACAACGATCATGTTCCTGATCCAAAAGATCGGCCCTTCCCGGACTTCAACCTGGTCAAGCAATGCCGGGACTTCAATGCAACACTTCGCTGGGCAAAGGATAATGCTATCAAGGATCTACCCAAGGTATGGAATGCGTTGAGGATACCTCCTGGAATGAAATTTGTACCTGATAATGGTGATGGTTATGCATAAAGTCGGTTTTGCCAGAGACAGAATGAAAAAGAGATTTTCTGGGTTAGACAGTGAACAGCAAGGCGCGTTCGTAGATTTTCTAGCTAGTCCATCTATCAATGTATTTGTGCAAAATCTTCTCGGTCCTTGCCTTAGCAGCCTGTTTCTGCTTGTCTGTGCGCTTGGCCAACCATTTCGGCATATTGAAGAAAGGCGGACAAACGTCCAGCAAAAACCAATAGATATCAGCGAGATCGGCAATATTTTCAATCTCTGCGGGCCCATTCACGCCATGCTTCTTCAAAGCTGAATTCCATGCTTTAGCCAAAGTCCAGTTGACTGGGCTGTCCTCGGTCTCTTCAGGCAACAGGTCATCTTCGCCCTGCCCAAGTTGAAAGCGCCTCAAACTTCGCAGAGCTTCATCTTCAAATGGTCCAGGCACAAGTCCACCAAGTTCCATGAACGAGTAGACGAACTCGTCCGCTGGGGCAGCAATATGAGAGAAGTCGTAATCCAACAATCCGGTGATCTGCAATGTCTCGGGATCCACCAAGATATTGTCAAATGCTACGCATGGGTCAGTTCTGGGAATAATAGATGTTTATAGAGATACTGACAAAGATCTCCATGCACGAGGGTGGGTTTGAAGCCATCGAATTTACCAAGCAGCGCTTTCCAAACAGCGGACACGCTAAAGTTCTTTAGTCTTTCTAGCAAATCTGTGCCCTTCCACCCCTCAAGCAGTGGAGTTGTCGCGGCTGATGATGTCTGCTTCACGAATATGCCATGATACATCTCCGAGTACTTATGGAATGGTCCTATCGACCACAGTGTAGAGCGCCCAGTGACAACCTCGCCATTCAAATCGAATCGGAGTCCTCCGAAGCCTGCGACTTGGGGGTCAAATCTCTGTATCTTCGCAAAGAGCTCGGCGACCTGATCTACCACAAACGTGACCTTATCTGCAGGAAGCTTGGTGGTATGAGCGCTCAATTGCTTGCCTTCCAGATATTCTTGTGCAATCCAGCCAGAACCTTTGCCCGCAGGCTTCCAGGCATAGACTTTGGGAACAATCGTACGAGGAGTTGTCGCCAGCGCGCGACGCATGAGGGCAACAGCAGCTACTTCGTTCTCAACGCGGACTTTGTCGTCCAACATGGCTGCCGGATTCGAAATCCGTATGACAATCTTCGTCACAGATGGATCCAGCGGCGATGTACCAGCTTGAGGCGAGATCTCAGCGTTACTGTGATGCTCGCCAGCGTTTTCCAGGTGCACTAGATGAACATAATTGTTCGAGTCGCGGCCTAGCGAGGAAACAGATTCGACCTTGAATGCATCGTCAGTCGTATTCGGTCAATTGAATTCGGTTATATTGACCTTGCGTTGCAGTCTTTGTTGAACGGCCGAATTTATGATGGCCAATCTCACCTCAAGCTCGTCAACCGACTTCGCCTCCGACACCTTATTGACACTCATGATGTTGGCTGTATGGAATCTGTAAATTCATGAACGGAGACAAGCCCTTGCTAAATAGCCGGGGAGATTGAACTATCGATGTTGAAACATACGCAACATCGTCCGTGCGTATCATCATACAGTGCTGTACGCGCGAGAACGACGATCATGATAGAGCACTGAAGTTACGCACGAGAACAACGAACATGGGTGGTCTTGGCGGGTGCCAAGCCACAGCCGCATCCTCCAATCGTCCCAGATGCATAACGCTCCTATGTCTTCATTACGAATAAGGCAGGTAGGTGCCTCGTATCTTCTTGGCGGTGTGCCATAGTCTCCTTTTGCTTGGCATCACATTTCTCGACTGCTTGTCAACTTTGTCAGCCGAGTGAGACAGTTGATTGGTAGAAATGCTTGGTTCTTGATTTACAGCATCATCTTCCCCTCTCCCATTCCCAATTCATCATGGCTCGTACGGTGATACAGCGCGTCTTCCACTGATGACCTCGGCATGTCCATCCTCCTTCACAAGATAGATGTCCTCATGTCTGACACCAAATTTGCCCTCCAGATAAATACCAGGCTCAGCTGTAAATGTCATTCCAGGACGAAGCAAAGTTTCATGGTTACCCTTATTAAGGTATGGTGACTCGTGGGCCTTAATACCTATGCCGTGGCCCAGTCTGTGGGTGAATGTGCCTTTGTAGCCAGCATCTTCGATGACGTTTCGAGCAGCAATGTCGACGCTGGCGGCTGTCCCATTCCGCACAAACATCTTGCCCGCTTCAGTTTGAGCCAGCAGCACGATGTCCCAGACTTTCAGCTTCTCGGCATGTGGCTCGGTGACCTCCTCTACTGGTCCAGACAAACGTAGTAATCTGCGAATGAGAGATTCCTGGGGAGGGTCAATAAAGAAACTTCTGCAGATATCACTGCTATATCCAAGGTAGTGATATCCAGCGTCAATCAGTACCATAGTCTCGTGAGTCAGCACTTTGTCTCCAGTAGCGAAGCCTCCGTGCGGGAGAGCTGCATTGCTGTCAAATAAGACAATGTCGAAGAAGAGATCAAAGCCGATGGTCTTGAGTGTGTTGTCGAGAATTTCGATGACTTGATTCTCGGTCAAGCCAGGCTCCAGACATGGTCGCATTGCTCTGATGCCTTCGATGCTACCAGTATTAACAGCTCTTAGGAGCTCAATCTCAGCAGGAGTCTTGGTTTGGCGGACTGCCTCTACTTCTCCTCCGAGCCCGACTGTCTTGAAGCCGTTGGCGTCAAGTCCACGTACGAGGAAATCGCGGATCTCCTCATCAACCATGAGGGTGGCGTTCTTGTGAGGAAAAAGTTGTTCCTTGAGCGTGGCGTATGGGTCCCAGTGTTCCTCCCAGGTAATGATGTCGAGCTCGTCTTCTGACGGGATACCAAGCATTCTCACTCTGCCCGCCTCGAAGCTGGGGGAGAGGAAGCTAGTCTTTGCTTTTACACCTCCTGTTGAGTTGTCGACCGAGGGCTCCACTATCATCAAGAATGGTCGCTCTTCCGGCTACAAGGACGTTAGTACATTACAACAGTAACAGGGTCAGATTTGCAATACCTCCCAGGGCTCCCACTGTGGCTGCGAAATGTTTGCGTAGTATTGGAAGGTGTAGCCAGGCTCAAGAACGAAAGCATCGACACCAGAAACATGCAAAGCTTTGGCCAGATTATCACGTCTGTCAAGAAATTCCTGTGATTTGATGGGGCGGGCATTCTCTAGGAAATAGAGATCCTTGTGGAAGTTGTCTATTGAGCATTGCTGGACGCGGTCAAATTGAGTCTTCGTCGCAAAGGGGTTCTACTCGCTGCATTAGCAACGAAAATTTACCATGCTTGGGACAGATATGTGCATACACCAGTCCATGTCAGGTACAAGGCTGCGGTGGCAACAGCGATCCATATCTTCGACCGAGGGCGGGCTGTTTTGCTGTGTTGAAAGCTCGGCGAAGATGTGTCAAGCGATTCGCTCTTCAGATCCACTGCCATATTTTCCGAATATACAAGATGTAGATTCGACGAGACTGAGATAACACTGGAATAAAATGCAGTATTGGCCTTCAAAGCGCGCGGAGAGTTGCCGGGTTAGCAGGCCGGTCCCCCGCCTTCGGGCAACTCAAGCACCGGAATGGGCAAGCCGAGCGGGCCGCAATCTCGAGATAAGGATAGCTTCAGCTCATCAAGATCCACGGAAACATGACTCCAGCCCAGAAATAACCATGAGGCCATTCCGCGATAAGATCAAACTTAGTTGATGCGATAGGGCGACGCTTGGACAAGCCTGTACTGGCTTCCGGATGCCGCAGCAGATTGTCCATTCTTGCCCGGCTCCAATGAGGACTCGTCGAGCATTGCCCGATGCAAATCAAGCACTCTGTACCCCTTCATATCCAGCTGAGCCTGGTGGGAGGGCGAAGATGCCGCGTAGGATTCGTACATATTGACTCCCATTTCCAATCCTGCTTGCACAATCCTTTTTCCCTTTGATCCGTCCACATAAGTGAGCAAATCTCGCCATGGCCTCGATAGACGTGTTACCACACTCGTCTGAGCAGGCTGCACCTCAGAGTGGCTCGAAAACAGACGAAACAAAAGATGGAGCGCTGAGAGTGGTTGAGGTCATGGATATCGAGGAAGGAGAAACGCAGAAAGCCTTCTACAGCAAGGGTTCGGCCATCATGATGGTTGTATTTTCTGGTCTTGCCATCGGCTCAGATGGCTAGTGAGTAAACCTTCTCTCGTACCGAATGTACCGAGCTGACCTGAAAAGTAACGCTGCCGTGATTGGCAACGTCGAACTTCTGCTCGCTATTCTCTACCCAGATTCGTTAACAAGCTCAATCTATACACGACTGTCCAATGCATTCTTGATTGGCATGATTGTGGGTATGTTGGGCTTCGGCGTAGTCTCTGATCAGCTCGGCCGAAAGACTGGTGCTGTAGCGACGACTGTATTGCTGGTTTTGGGAATCGTATTGTCGACTGCGGCACATGGTACTGACGAGACCGGTATGTTCTGGATGCTTATCATCGCTCGTGGCATCGCTGGTGTCGGAGCTGGTGGTGAATACCCTGTAGCCGGCGCTGGCGCTGCTGAGAGTACCGATGAGAGTGCCGGCATGCGTAAGCATCGTGGATTCATGTTTGCGATGATCGCAGATCTATCTGCTTCATTGGGCTACGTTTTTGGTGGGCTCGTGCCTTTGCTGCTCTTGCTTTGCGTCCATCAGAGAGAGGACAAGTACGACATTGTGTGGCGACTCAGTTTCGCATTGGGCTTGATCCCACCCGTCTCGATCTTCTGGTTCCGATACAAGATGGCAGTCTCCACAGCCTACCGTAAGGCTTCCATGAGAAAGCAGAAGATTCCCTATCTCCTGGCAATCAAGCGTTACTGGAGACCTCTTCTTGGAGTATCATCGACCTGGTTTCTATACAATTGGATCGCCATTCCCTTCGGCATCTTCTCCGGAACAATAACGAACCGTGTTAATGCTGGTGACTCACTCATAACCAATCTGGGTTGGGGTGTGGTGATCAACTGCTTCTACATTCCAGGCCCTTTCATCGGCGGCTACCTCTCGGACAAGATTGGACGTCGCAAGACTATGGCGCTAGGTTTCGCACTGCAGGCTGTCCTAGGCTTTGTCCTTGGTGGGGCTTACGGGAAGGTCGTAAATATCTTTCCGCTGTTTGTGGTCATGTATGGGATATTTTTGACCCTTGGTGAAGTCGGCCCTGGTTCAACGTGAGTAACGCGAGAGTGAAGCAACCGTGGCTTTACATCTTATCTCCCAGTCTACTGATGAAGCTTGCTGACTCCGATTCTTAGCGTCGTGCTTGCTTCTTCGGAAAATTTTCCTACAGCTATCCGTGGACAGATGATGGGACTCTGCTCAGCCTTCAGCAAGGCTGGAGCCGCTATCGGCACTCAGGTATTCACACCCATCACGGCGCATGCAGGTGATCAGGGGGCGTTCCTAGTCGGTTCAGGCTTCGCCGTGCTAGGTGCACTGATAGCATATTTCCTCATACCCGACGCAGAAAGGAAACTGGAGAACGAAGATGAGGCCTGGAAGGCGTATCTGGAGCAGAATGGCTGGGCTGCTGACTGGGGCGACAATGAGACTCAGGATCCGAAGGGAGCGGTAATTGACCAGCGTGTTTCGTGAAGAGCTACTCAACTCTCGATGAGTCATAGCCTGCCATTGTAGGCAGAAGCGCCAATGTATCTATGATAAAAGGAGATGATTCACTTTCAGAGACTCATGCTCTGTGAAGATTGGTGGCGCAGGAGCGACTCACTCGGGAACGCCGACGCGGAGAGGAGAAAACCGTGAGTAAATCACCAAAGAGTCGGAAGACTTCTCGGCTTCCGGCTGGGTAGCTCTCAATGACCTCTCCAACCATCTTCGCGTCGGCTCAGCATTATTCCTCGATGATGATGAAGAGTTGCCGAGTTTGGGAACAGATTCGCAAAAAGATCGCATGGAGTTCGGACCCGCCAATCGAGTCGGCCGCGATCTGCACGCCGAACTCTACCGCGTTCAGTTTACAACGACATATTCAGGATGAGAAAGATAGGTCTATGGCGTGAACATATGTACATACGAGAAGAAATGGAGCGCTGTGCTCTCTGACCGTGCGGCTTGCCTAAACGTCGCTCAGTTGCCTGTATAAGCCACAAGCTTCAGCGCAGCAAACGCGTAGCCACCACCACATCTCACATTCGAGCTATTAGGTATCATATAAAGCGCTCGTGTATTATCGCAGAAGCCGAAGCCATATACGACTGGATTCCCGTTGGGCGGTCCGCTGCTTTGACAGTTGTAGAGATAAGTTCCTGCATTACGACCTTGATTTCTGCAAGTCACCGGGTAGGAAGCCGAAGATGGAGCTTCAATGTAGATCCTGTTATCCGCAGCACCTGAGTTTGGCTCGTAGTGATCAACAAGGGTCTGACTAGGGTCGCGCCATGACCGTGGAGCTCCCGCATCGTCGATGTAGAAGGGAAGCGCGGCATTGGGGTCTGTGGTGAATTTGACGGCACCAGAGTCTTCGCGACTGATGTAAAGAGCATTGTTGCCCGAGCTGGCGAGAAGGAACAAGGATGGCAGGCTAGTGTATGTTGCGTAGGCTGTAATGGTTGTCGTGGTGGAAGTTGTCTGGGTGACAGTCGAAGTAACGGGTTGAGCTTCAACACTGCAGGCATTGGTGACATCCGCCGGTGCAAAGGTGGCAAGTGCACCTGCTCCATCTACCGTGCTCGAGCTTGCCGTAGAAGAGTTACCCGAGACGTCTAGCTGACGTGGCTTCAAGGGCTCTGGTACAGCTAAAGGTGCAGGGGTGATTACACTCCTCTTGCGCTGACCGAACGCAACTGTCATCGTTGAAGTAGTCGTCGTACTGATCACTTCGGTCAAAGTTGTTGTTGGTGTGCTGTATGCCAAAAGAGAAGAGCAGTACGGCTGGAGCGAAGCGGACTGAATAGTATCCCTCGCTTCTTTGAAACCGCAAGATAGAGCCGCACCAACATTGGTCGAATCATAAGCAGCCAAAAGCCTTACATTGTTGAAGCCAAGGCTCAGCGGTTGCCAACCACCACCTGGCTGGCCCTGACAGTAAGCAGTGATGGAGTAGCTTCCAGTCCCGTTGTATGAGGCGGTAGTTGTAGTATTGAATGAGACAAAAGCAGGACTATTGCTGTCATACCGCACGTAGCTGAGAGTATCATGCTCGGTACCCTTCACTTGGATATCGCAGCGTACACCGCTGGGCAATCCAGTCGGATAATTCAAGAGGACATCGTAGCCAACAAAAAGCTGTTCGCCCATGTAGAGCGTCACGCCAGGTTGACTGATTCCCGTCCAAGCATAGCCGTTGACGAAATTAGCGTTGGGAGAGACCGATAGCATGCCGGCGAATGCATAGCAAGATTGCGAAGCATTGACTGCAGAGGAATTGAAGACAACGTCGGAGCTCTTGCCTTGAGCGAATTTACTCCAAGGATCAACTGTGTTGGCTGCAAAAGCCCCGTTAATAAGCAAGTTCTGGTTGACAGTGTGCGTTGGGTAGGTAATGGCTGCATTCGACTTTAGGGGCACTGCTTTGAGAATGACGCTTGTAGTATTGCTTTGTGACATGGCAAGATATCGTGAATCGCCAGAGCTGACCGACCAACCTTGGAACACATCAGGGGAGCGGGAAGACGTGTATTGACAGGTGAGGGCGAAGTTTGTATCCAGGCTGCAGCTGAGCGGAGAATTGTTGGAGTCGCCAATGGGTGCGACGACGACAGACTGGCTCTTAACAGAGAAAGCCTGTGTGTTTCCCGACAGGACCGAATTAAGTCCCCAGTACACATAGCCAGTGCTACAATCAAGCGTAAAGTTGAGATTTGTGTAGCCGACGCTGAAACCGACGGCAGTAGCACCGTTTGTTAGACCCTGCATCGGAGTACCATCGATGGCCGTGTTGGTTCCCGAGATGTACAGCTGGAAAATCTCGTTATTGGCGATAGGAGAAGTACAGACCGGACTTGGTTTCGCAACGGGTAAAGCACTTGATGTGCTTACATCAGTGCTTGATGAGCCACTCTCAGAACTAGAGGACAGGGATATGTCTGAGACCGTCGAACTCGGATCGACGGTGCCTGGTGACTTGATCAAGGTTGATGAAGTCTTCCTATTCGGTCTGGTCGTGGTAGGCAGTACAACAGATCTCGGCTTGGTAGACGTCAGGGTAGGGGCAGCGATCGTTGATGTTGACGATGCAGGAGATCCGTCATCGCCTTGTGTCGATGTGGTAGCGAAATCACCATCTGATGTTTGAGTCGTCTCGGCAGAGCTTTCATTCGTAGTAGAGGTCGGTGCGGCTGACCCGTCATTGTCCTCGGTGGTAGTCGTGGCAGAGCCATCATCACTGGTAAAGGTGGTTGACGGAGATCCGGCATCGCCATTGTCTGAGCTTGATCCGCCGTCGTTGCCGTCGGAACCATCATCTGAGCCAGGAGCTGAAGTGGGTATGACCCGAGTGGACGAAGACTTCCTCGAGGATATGCCCTTCCCTACAGTGCCTGTGACGGATGGCGATGCCGATTTTCCACTCTTCAACACGGACGTCACCTTTCCACCTCTGGAGGTAGTTGACGATGAGGATGCTTTACCACCAGACTTGGATGCGCTTCTGGATGGACTCTTCACGGAGCTCTTGACCGAAACAGCACTCTTTGTAGAGGCTGACGTTGTTGTCCTCGCAGTGAGCTTACTGCATGCAACACCAATACAGCGACGGCTGGAAGAGCTTGAGACAGACGTTACCTTGGTGGTTGCACTCTTCGACGAGGACCTCTTGATCGGGCTGCTCGTTGTCGTTTTAACAGAGCTTTTCGCCGAGCTTTTCACAAGTTGAACTGTCGTCCTTGTCGTTGTCTTCAGAGTGGTCTTTGGTGACGTCTTGACCACCGATTTCGCAGTCGTCTTAGGCGCAGGCTTAGTCGACTTTACGATTCGTACCACAGGTAATTGTAAAGCAAGCTTCATCTCTTGTGATGCCAAAGAGATACAGTTGCAAGCTGCAGTAAGCTCGTCTGAGGACATGCCCTGAACAGGGGAAACATGTCGTTGACTGTGGAAAGTGTCAGTCGGCTGGCGGTAAAAGGAAGTTCATACACGCTACGCACCCATTGAGCCACGTATTACAGAGTCCAGGCTGGCTTTGAGCGTTGAATTTGACCAAGGCCACGTCCGCCTTGTTGCATGCTGAAAAATCGTCAGATTGTCGTCCTTGGAAGCAGCTTTGAATGATATTCACTATTCGAGCTAGTTGTAGCGATGTCATCATTGCCAACGGCAGCGACAATGCCTGCCAAGCAGATGGGAAAGACACGTTGAAGCAACATCTTGTCGGCGAAGAACCAGGATGGTAACCGAAAACTCCCGCCACACAGTATCGAAGGACAAGCAAGACTTTATCAAGTCTTACAAAAATATTGCCCCGAAACCTGGACGCATACCATACATCCGAAGAGAGATTGCAACCACAACGGCACTGTCATGCTGAGCAAGAATCGAAATATCTTTCTTCTCTCGTAGCCAGAGGGTTCAACATCCTCATCTCGCTAAGTCAATCGAATTCCTGATCTGGTCGGACTTCTCATCTCCTAGGCTCAAGATGGCAGGGACAACATTGAGAATCTGCTCGGCGTATCTGGTGGCTCCTTCGAGGCTTGATGTCTGCTTGCATCTCAGCTGAATAATTGCAGACGTTGTAAACGGAGAAGGCGTGTTGTGGAGTTCTGGAGCGGAGAGACCGACAAGGTTCTATTGACCACCGGTGCATGGGTAGGGCTACATCTGCTTCATGAGCATCTGGGCAAACATGCGCTGCTTATTGGCCTAGCGACATGGAAATTTGCGTGGTCTCAGGGTCAAACGATTTCGCAGATGCTCGGGGTTGCTGTGCGGATGTATGAAGCAACGACCGGGATGCCTAGGTCTGCGTTGAACACGGAGCCGTTCATGGAGTCTACTGAGTGGAGATTCAAAGCTTATGGCTCTTTGACTCATCGTAAGCGATCAAGCAACCTGCTTGTGAGAACGGAGCCAGGGTCCAGCTCCACGCAAAGACGGTCAGGGTGAAGGCGCACATCTACTTGGATGCGTGATAGCCATGACAGCGACATGTTAGAACATCATGGCACTGACCACATCTACACAAGAGTGGTGAAGAGGTCGCTGTCTCGCGACTTGGGAAAGAGGAAGCCGTGAGCTGAAAGAAAACGTCTTTGAGGGGTGCATGCCAAGCACGTCTGGGAGCTTTTCGACATTTGTCGAGGAAAGTCTCGTAACGTTCTATACATCCTGCCAAGCTTGTCGCTCTCGCGAGGCAGCGCTATCTCCATTGCGCATCTTGTCATCGCAGCATCGCTAGGGATAATCGAACAGACTTGATACTAGATTGTCATCATTGGAGGAACACTGCAGAATACATTCTGTGAACCTCGAGCGGGTAGGACTTGGTGCTCTCGGTCAACTCTCGGACGTTCTTTATCATAATCTTACTCCAGAAGTTTCCTCGCCGGCTGTCAGAGCTTATACTCTTGCTTGTCTTTTGTTCGAAACGGCTTTATTTCAGCTGAACAACGTCTTGAGCCTTCGCAGACGTTTCTCCATCTCTGAAAAACCCATGGACTCTCTATGCTCTGTCCCTGGAGGGTTAATTGCAATGAAAACGCTCAACGGCAAACTACACTGTGGAAGTTGGAGGCGAAGGTAGAGAAGATGGAATATCATCACGAACTCTGAGTCGCTTATATATTCGATGGCGCCAGACATGCTGCACAAAGTAGCAACGCTGTCTGCGCCGACTCGACCCAATCCCTAGCCAATATTTTGGCCGTCCACTCTTTTTCACATTCGTTATCCGGCCTGTTCAGTCGGCATCAATCGAGATGTTGAGTCTTTCGACTCTTCTCACTTCGCTCATATGGGCTCTTGCTTTGAGCCATTTCGTCGAAGCAGCGCCTGCTTCGAAGCCTTCGTGCACTTCCAATGATCCTGCTCTTGTCGCAATCAAGAACGACTTCGGATCACCCCTGGCTTTCTGTCAGTGGTGGTCCGGGGCATCATACATCCCGTCTAGCCCCATCGATGGTGTTGCTACTGCCGATATCAGCAGGGCCTGTAAATGTATCAACTCAAATCCCGCGCTTCTTGGTAAAGCCACAACGACCGCGATGGCCTCGTCGACTGGCGTAAGCAAAGTGCCAAACCTGGATGCACTTCGAAAGCTGGTCGCTCAGCCTCTTCCTTTCTGCAAGTTCTGGTTCAATGCGTAGGTGCACTCTACTCTAGCTTGTGAATTCATGTTGCTGACCATCGCCCAGTCCTGTGCGAAAGGGTAGTCCATTCGTCGCACTTCCTGCTCCAGTGGTCTCCCAGGTCTGTAAGGTGGTTACTGCTACCCCCGCACTGGTGACCAGTACTTCGAAGTCTACCAAGGCAGCTTCGACTAGTAAGAAGACACCATCGTCTTCCTCATCCACAACCAGAATCTCAAGCTCGACCAAGGCTCCATCCTCCTCAGTGGCTACAACTGCGAACGCTGCACCAACTAGCAAGGTCTCCAGCAGCTCCACCAGATCTACTATACCTTCATCCAAGCCTGCTATCTCCTCTGTCAAAAGTGTAGTTAAGTCAAGCTCATTGACCTCATCGTCCTCTTCATCGACCTTGTCTTTAGCGTCAAGCTCTTCAAGCACTCTGACTTCTGTGGTGAGTGCACTGCCTACGCCGGTTGCGGAAGGTACGGTGTTCACTGCTTCGGAAGTCACATTGCCGCCAGCGCCTACTGCTAGCTTGGGAGCTATCGCACCACCTGGACTTGACCTGAACAATGTCGAGAATCTGACCCCGGCCCCTCAAGCGGACCTGTACTTTGCTGGCTCTCACAACGACGACAACTCCACTACATCTGTTGCCAAGGTTGGCGTTGCGTTTCAACATCCTTCAGTCGTCCTTGACCACACAAGCTATATCAAGAGCGTTCATTGCGACAGTTCGAGCATTACCATCGTATTCAATGACCTTTCGGCATATCAACACTCAAAGACAGAGTGGCAGATTGATGGCCACTTGATTCTGGTCACGTCCGAAGACTCTTGCGGTGCGAACGGAACCAGTACCATGTTCATAACTCAATCATTCACATTCGACGCCTCCAATCTCATTGCAGTCGGTGCAGGCAAAGAGGCTAAGCTGGCTGACATCTTTGACACTTTCGACATGGACTTTGGAACAATCACAACATCCAACACTTCTGCTCCAAGCTGTGGTCCTATGAATGGCACCACCGATGGCTTCCCTTCAGCTGCTTGTGGCGATTCGTTCGACGCGACCATTGACCAGGAGCTTGGATACTACAGCGGAGATGCTTCGGATGCCGAGTCCGTCCTTGCGGCTATCGCTCCTACCTCTCAAACAACACTGAGCAAAAGAGGAAAATCAAAGTCCTCGTTGCTCGGCAGTCTCGTCAGTGGGGCTAAGAAAGTTGCCAGTAGTGCCGTCAAGACTCTCGCTGCACCAGTAGCAAAGGCAGCCGAGAAGCTCTTACCTCCTGCTATAGTAAAGGCTGGCAAGGACACTCTCAGCACGCTAAAGTCCGCAACTTCTGCTGCCCTGTCGTTCATCCCCCCTATCACTCTTTCGAAATCTCTGACGGTCCCCTTCAACCTGGGTCCCGCCCAGAATGATCCCTCGCCCTGGGGTATGCAGTACAAGTTTTTCGAATACAGCCCAGATGCCAAGAAAGATGCCTCCATGATCGCCGCTACGCAAAAGTCGCTCAACAGCATGTCGAAGTCACTGAATGGTGTCTCGAATCCTAGGCCTGGTATCCAGATGTTCTGCGTCGATTGCGGTATCAAGGGTACATTCCAGACAGTTGGCACCGTCTCTGCTAGTGCGGCCAAGGGCGTCACTCGTTGTGATGTCAGCCTGACTGGTAACCTGTATGCAGGCGTCTTTGTCGGCGTCAACGCATTCGCAGCTTACGAAAAGAACGTTGACAAGAATCTACTGAACAAGGGGTTGCCGTCACTGTCCATACCCGGCGTGGCTGTCATAGGACCTAAGCTCACAGTGGCTATCAACAGCAATCTCAAGGTGCAAGCCGCTGGACAGATGCTTGTTGGTGCTTCGATGAACTGGCCCAGCATCAACGCCAAACTAGATCTCCTCGACAAATCCAAGTCGACCCAGAGTGGATTTACTCCTGATATTACGAAAAAGTTTGATGCTTTTGGAGATGTTACTGCCTCCGCTAGTCTCTCGCTGCCGGTCACGTTCTTCTTCGGAGTTGACATTATGAATGGCGCATACACAAAGGGTGTCTCCCTTGTCGATGTTCCAGCCGTGAGCGCATCGGCCGAACTCGCCATTGCTGCAAGCTATGGTACCGGAGCTGCTAACAGTGTCACCAGTTCTACTGGATGTTTTGGTATCAAGTACGGCATTGATCTCTCCAACGATCTATCAGTCCATCTCCTGGACGTCAGCACTTTTACTCTAAACTCATACAAGAAGAACCTAGGTAGTGGATGTCTCGGACGCGCTGTTCCTACCGTAAAGCGATCTTCTTCCTCGTCGGCGGCCCCGACTTCCACAGAGGAGTCCACTCCCGATGCCACTTCAGATGCCGGCACCTCCACACCGACTGATGACGCGGGATCCAGCCCATCTTCCGGAACTGACAGCGGAGGTAGCGCGTCTACCACCGTAGATTCGGGAGACTCACCTGCGCCTACCGATAGTAGTAGCCAGCCCACCACCTCTGACTCCGGACTACCCGATGCCGGAAGTACTCAAGCTGACAGTGGAAGCGCGCCTACTTCGAGTACTGTTGCAGGTAGCGCACCGACGTCTAATGCTGGTGCAAATAGCGCGCAGACAACTTCAAACGTCGTCTCGTCTAAACCTGCAGTCGGAAGCGGTGCTGCAACCACACAGCAGTCATCATCTACAACCACAACCACCAATACTGCACCCACTCCGAGCGCTTTGAAGTGTGGCGACTTCTATACTGCAGATGATGGTACCTACTATCAGGTACAATGTGGCTTCGACATCCCTGGCCACGACATTCAACATGTTCCTTACTCCAACTTATCTTCCTGTATCGATGCCTGCGCAGATTATGGCTCAGGATGTGCTGGAGTCATTTGGGTTCAACGTGGCCAGGATGCTCAGAACTGTTGGTTCAAGAGCTCGGTAAGCAACAAAGGAAGCATCCCTTCGGGTCTGACTCTCTTCGCCGCTACCCCTGTCAAGTATGCTCCAATGGCTTCTTGCCCAGGTGCAGATGGTACCACCTTTGTCGACGCCCAGAATCAGGTCTATCAGATCAAGTGCAACACTGACCTTCAAGGCTTCGACCTCGGTGGTCTGACTGGCTACACAAACATGGAAAGCTGTGTAAACTATTGTGATGGCAACATCGACTGCATTGGTGTTTCGTATGCTTACAGCGGCACTTACAAGACACCCCTCTGCTACCCCAAGTATCAGATCACAGATATGCCGCTCAATACCACCAGATTCAGATACAAGGTCGACTCTGCTGTCAAGATGAACAGACCAGCCAAGAAGGCTCTTGGCTCTTGTCCTTCCATTGACGGTTCAACCTTCTACGACAAGGCAGGACTGTACTACTCTATCAAGTGCGGCCTTGACTACGAAGGCAATGATATCATCCAAAAAGATGGCGTCACTACACTCGAGCAGTGTATCAACGCTTGTGATGCTACCACTGGATGTACTGGTGTCGGCTTTGCCCACGATGGCTACTACGGAAACAACCCTGGTTGTTACCTGAAGAGCGCCCAATCAAGCAACCCCATCAACAGTACTACTGATCTCTCTTACATTGTTGACTCCGCCTTCTTGATCAGCGGACTGGTGAAGAAGAGAGATGTGCCGGTCGACGTGAAGGTCGTTTCGTCGTCCTCTACAGCGTCCGCCCTAGTCTCGCTATCTTCTACCGTTAGCAGCAGATTAGTCAGCTCCTCTGCAGCGTCGTCATTCCTAACATCGACATCTTCAATACTATCTTCGACGTCTCCTACAACATCGACGAAGATCCCAACGAGTTCACCCGTGACGAGCACTGCCAGCCTCACTTTGAGTAGTTCGAGCACCATGTCCCGCTCCTCGACCTCATCATCTGCGAGTTCATCTGCAAGCGCAGTAGCCGACAACTCCACCAACATTGTCATCACGGACACCACCTTCCAATTGCAGCTTACGTCATCTGATGATGGTAATTTGCACATGTCCCCGAACTTCACCGCTGCGAATTTCGCCTCAGATGGAGTTATTGCCCTTGGTGACTCTGACGGCGATCTCTTTGTCTACTACCCCGATATGATGTCTGCTTACGGAGCCTCTCGCTTCCGTCTTGCTGGCTGGGGTGAGATTCCTCATGGTGCGCGTTTGTTGACCCTCACACCGTTCAAGAGCGGCCAGACTACGGTTCTGATGGCGGTTGACACGCTTGGCAACTTCTTCTTCCCTGTTTTGTGTGCTTTCGAGACTGCACAGCAGGCAAAGGTCTTCCTCGTAAAGGATCCTACAGCCGATCTCAGCTTCATCGCGGACCCTGCTCTGAGATTCATCATGACTGGTGGTGTTGTCAGTCAGTGCACTTCGCTTGCGCTGACATCCAAGAGTCTTCAGGCACTGGCGTAGAGTGAGTGGCTCGTTTCGAATTTCTTTTGTCATTGCATCTTTGCATATATCTTTCGTAATGTCTTAGTCTGTTGAAAGAGATTCATGTATATACATTCTCACCACCCTTTGTTGTCATGCCATGCAGCGCTCTTGAGTCCTGAATCAATGTCGTCGTGGAAAATGGTTGAGCCCTGCAGACATTATTGCACTCGAGCGCCGGAGCAGATCTGCTCTCACTTACGAATTCAAAACACTGTGGCTCGCGTCCGAAAGCGCCTGAACAACATCGAAAAGATCAGAAAGCACAAGCGGGTCGTAGGTCATCCAGAGACGCACTCTGGCGACCGCAGCTCAACCTACCACATGTCCAAAGACTGCGTGAAACCGACTATAATCCCTCCACACATCCTCTGGTGCAACTTCGACGGCGAGGCTGAGCAGTGGCTCAGACACGAAACTGTACCATGGTGGTTTCTGGGTGGTTTCATCAACTACCGTGGTCAGATCACAAAAGGCGATCTTCGGAAGCGCAACAAAAAGGACAAAAGCGGTCGGACAGGGTTGCTGTGTCGTCGCTTGCTGGCTTGCTCAAGGGAGTATCCGATGAAGGATGGGAAGTTAATCGAGCAATTTGAATACTTTTACAAAGCATGGGTGCAGAAAAACAGAATCAAACTGGGACTGGTAAATTGCGTTGAGCTGGGTACGCATGGCTGTCGTGCCGACCTCTTCGCAGAACAATTACTGACAACTCTTGATAGAGCACGACCCCGAGCCTGAAATTACAATCACTTGCGCAGCAGAAAAGCTCTACCGAATGATCTTTAACGAGAAAGAACGCGAAGCGCACGTTTCCACCCTGGAAGTCGATAGAGCGCCTGGAGTCTTATCGACCTCTGGTTCTGTTGACCCAGGTGTCTGTTTCACAAGCATGCAGCAGCTGCTCATCCCGCTCGACTCTACTCCTGCATTCACCCCGCCAACTGCTCCTGTCGGTCTAGGCATTACCTTCCAAGTCACGCAACAACTGGTCCTTCCCTTCCATCCTGGCCCGCGCTCGACTGTCTCAGGAAACTCATCTTCGTCGGATATGGCACTACCGTTCAACGACGATGTTGAGATGAAAGACCACTCATTGACACCTTCTGCTCCCACAACTCTTATCTTCGCACTACGCCCCTCGTCGGTCAAAATCAGCAATCCAGGACTCAGACCTCGTGCTGCCGTCAGAACTTTGGAGTCGCCGTGGAGCTTCCCCTTGCCCAGACGCTACGATTCAATGTCGGCGAGCCTGAACGAAGAACAGGCATCTTCCGACATGATTGAGGAGTAAAATCTCTGTACAAGCTCGCATTGAGTCGACTGCTCGTTGACGGACCCAAGAAAAACGAGAGAAGGAGAAGCGGAAGAGGTGAGACTTTGGTTACGAAACCTGATTCAGTTGATCATCTCTGGCCTGGCGCCCGCGCTCATCGTATCCATCCAACTTCCTGATCGTTCTGTCATCAAAGCGGCGGAGCTGAATGGCGTGGCGGATGAACTGGTACCTTTGCTAGCTCTCACTCACACTCGCACTTGGCGCTTTCTGACCATACATGTTTCGATTCAATTTCATCTTCCTGTCGTGCTCTGCAAAACGCTGTGAAACTCTGGGGTCTGCTCCGCCGAGTTGTGAGCTTCTTTGTTATAAAGTGTTGGATTTGACAGCGCTGTTGGCTCACCTCCAGTACATTGTGCAATTCTTTGTCTCCGCTACTATTCATTGTTCTGTCCGATAAATCCAACACATTCTCGTGTAGATTGTGTGAGGGAGCTTTTAGCACATAATGGCCATGAGGTCCTCCTTCTGAGAGCTTATTTTTTCACAAACAACAATCATCGGATCGAAGAACACCCAAGCTGCTAACTCATTATCAGATCAAATCTTCACACCATGTGCTTTGGTGAGCGTATTAGCTACGCTTGCTCGAACCTCGATTGCGAGAAAAGGTCATGGGAGACTCGTTGGTACAACGTTGATCGTCAGACCGGTCAGTGTGCTTGCGGAAAAGTCAATGGCTCCTGTGTTCATCCTTGGATGACATACTTCACCGTCACCCAGCTCTGTGCTGATTGTTGCAGAGCCATGAACGACGCTGCTCAGGACGTCGAGCCTCCTGTAACACCTCAACCTCATCATCCCAATGATACTGATCGCCTCCACCCTGCAATCCCCACGTATGACTTCTCCGAAGCAGAAACCATGCAGACAACTCATGCGCTCACTTTACCTGGAATCGTTGCCCGTGATTTGTATCGCGCCCAGATTCCTGCAGACGTCGTCCGTCTGGCACCAGTCCCTGACCAATTGCTCACACAGCAACTTGCAGAGATCGATGCCGCCAAGAACGCTATACCTGTCACTACGCCTCAGGTCTCCACAACATCCACTCCGTCTAAGCCCCCAACTACAGTGCCCGAGCCTGACACACCTCCTCCAACCTACAACGATGCCACGACGGCCACGCCCCCACCACCCATCCGGGTTCCCCAGCCATCACAGATTGAGGCCGTCGACATCAGAATGATTGCACGCATAACCTACTTCGCCTGGAACACTCGCGAGAACTTGCCTCAATTGGACGAATACGTCGAAGCAACTACCAAGCACATAGAAACCAAGCTTCAAGCCATGCCTGACTTCTCCGATCTTGAAATTGCCATGATACAGGTCTTCCGTATAATGTCCAGAGTCACCAACAATGCTATGGACGAGTATCGAGTTATTGTCGGGGGTCTTGCCACTCGTACTCAAACACGTGAGTACGCAGCAAAACTCAAGGACCTTCACAACAGCGTACGCGCTCACACTCGCAGATTCCTATCTTGGTGGGAGCTCATTGTCCAAGAGATTTCTCGTCTGCTACAGCTACCCGGAGTCTACTACAGCGGACGTGCAATTCTCAACGAAGCCAAGCGTCGCGAAGAATCGCGTTTCATGCTTGATCAAAACACTCTAGAAAGAAGCGCAGCCGACCGCACAGCTGCTGAGACTCTTCCCGCTGATGCGAAGCTCATCCGGGACTTCAATGATAACATCGACATTCCTCTGGACAATCTCTCGGGTGCTCTGGTTTACGAATTTTCGTGGCAGCTCAGGCAAACTAGAGATCTCTTCAATCAACGTCTGATTGTCGTTCCCAGATTCGCAGACGATCATGTCATGACTCTCGTCGAGTCAGATGGTAGCGAGGAAGATACCGACGTCGATATGACAGACGACGGTCAAGAGAATCAGGACAATGAGATTTGACTAGACGGTGAGTTTTGCCTGAGGGCATGGCCACAAGATCGATGGAGTCGAACATCCCGCACTCTCCCCCCCCTCAAGTACATACCACAATCAGAATGAATACACATTGGCATCATTGAGACGCCAACAAATTGATTACCCTCTCGCTTTCTTGGTCGGTTTCCATCTCTTTCGTCATTTTGTTCCAGTCGCAGATAAGCTAGACAGCTCAAATACTACTTTTTTCCAAAGATAACATGACCAAATGCTTTTACGGTTCTTTCAAAGCTCCCCATGCTTCCGTATCTGTGACATGTGACTATGTGCTTATTTTGTAAAACCTGTTATCTTAGATCAAACTTCCCACTCTGCCCAGTTCTACCCATAATCAGGGTATTGGTGACGCCTGATGACCATGAGAAAAGCTTTGTGGTTGAGCATGCCTCGTATTGACCGTCATGGATACGAAGTTTGTTGGAATCACTCACACAAACGAGAGTAAGGCTCAGGAAGAAAGGACGAGAAATATTGCTACGTGAACATGATCGCTATTTGAACAGAACCTCATTCTAAACTCCACGCTGTGTACAGAAAATCTACAGAAAAAGCATTACAAAGAGTAGACCAGTGATAATTGCCCCGTCAGTAGGTCTTATCGTTGATGAAGAACCGGTGAATGCGACTACGGAATGTTTCGGCAATGTCGCTTCGGTCGTAATTGATGCGGTAGAGGTCGCCATTGTTGGTGGAGAGTTGTAGCGTGATTGAGTACTCAATGTTGATGCTGAAGGAGCGGTAGGGGATATCGAGGAAGAAGGGAATGGGAAGGAGCTCCTGATCTGCGATTGACCACTTGCTCCGAAGGAGATGGGAGAATTTGGCTGCAAAACGGAAGTTGAGAGCGAGAGTTGAGGAGGTCTTCCGCTCGTTGCGACGATGGAAGACGGACTACCGATGATGACGCCTGTAGCTGCACTTCCGGAGCTTGAACGCGTCGCGATATTATCGCCTGAAGAAGCTAATCCATGTGTGCCGAACGAACTCGATGAGATTTGATTTCCTTTTCCCGAAGCTACGTTCGAAAGAGTGGGAATGCTCGTGAGTGTCGATGTAAAGTCCCGTATCAATATCGTTGTTGTGTGATGGACCGATGAATCTGTACATTGCGAGTATGCATGTGCAACAGATTGTGTGCTTGCAGCGAAGCTCAAGAGAGCGATGAAGCTTCTCATATCTACGGGCGGTTTTGTCTCCTCGGAACACGGATTAGAGGAAGCTTGTACAGTCCTAGGACGATTGACCACAGATGAGTGGGTTGAGCAGTTGGAACTCCCAGATCAAAGTGTTCCGTTGCAGCAAGCAAAGGAATACTGCTATCGAAGTGTATAGCAAGGGTCGAGCGGTCTTGACAGGTTTCTACCTGGAGCGAAGCATTGCAGATGTATACTATATACTCCGCTTCATCAAAAGTCTTTCTGCACCTTTTCTGAAGGATGCTTGTCTGAGACAAGACCGGATTCCATAATCGAATTGATCCAGATCATGATCACGATTACTGGTGGTTACCGGTGCCCAGACATCGTTGTATCAGGAGACCGGCTCTGTAGCACACATGAATACGATTAACATGAGGAGCAGCTTGAGTCGTGAATTGTTCTTCGTGTCCGTATAGGGCAGAAACGTTGTCGACGGTTGCACCGGTAGCAGGATCCGAGGATTTCGATCGAGCTACTGGATGCCAAGGCTGCCGAAGTGGGCCCGCGGGAATCTCGGCCTCGAGTCCAGAGCCGCATCGGGAAGGTGAAGCTTCGCTCGCCGAGTGTTTCCGCCCATTCGATTCCTGGACTGTTAAAAACCGTCGTGCTAGATGTCGGCCAAGCCTAGATCATTCATCACAATCTGTCGACGAGTGTAGACCGGGTTACTAGATCACAAAACGTCCGGATTAATCTCATCACCGTGAAGATCCTACACCATCTAGTGGCGTGAGAGGCCTGCAGACTCGGCATGTGGTTCATAAGTAAAGATGCGCTTCCGCAGTGGAGACGACGCACTTATTCTGCGCCAGACGAAGATGTCGAGGCTGCTGTTTTTGGGTCTGACAGTGTGCAAAGTCTTGGCATCGCTGTCGAATGATGTACCATGTACACCGGGGCCAGAGCTGGAAGTCACGACAACGCTGGTCGTTGGTCCAGTCCTGATTTCAACATATGTCGCTTCACCCACAGTCTTGACGTTCGATGATCAGATTATCGTGACAGTTACTGCACCCACACAGCTCAGCATTGCCACTGCTACAACTGACACTATCGTCCAAACCCGAACACTGTAGATCAAAGACAGCCTTTAAATAACCTGTTCTGTGCTGACTGATGGCAGAAACCTTCAGGCTGTAATTTCTGGAGCTCAGATCAGGACGTCCATTCTATCAGCCGGCGGCGCGGACTACACGAGCACATACCAGCCTTCTCTCGGTAGATCCCCAATCCCATCTGGATACCAATTGTCCACGTCACTTCTCACACCTGGAGCAGTTGAGTATACAAGCACTATTCTAGCATCTGCCGAGCGGTCGGGAACCGTCGTAGTTGGTAAAACTGTCCCACCAGGGTATCAGCTGAGTACCACTTACCTTCCGGTGGGAGGTTCTGCATACACGAGCATCATCCCGATATCTGGAAACAATCCAGGCTTTGTTGTCATTGGAAGGCCTGGCTATGGAACCTTTACGTCAAACTCACGAGCTAGCGGAAATACGATCTCGTCTTCTGGTACTTCCTCAAGTTCTGCGATAGTTGCAGCTTCTTCAATCTTAACAAGCGCTTCGCTGCCATCAGCTTATCACAGCGGTCTCACGCGCACGGTTTCCTCATCAGACACATCTCCCGAGTCAATCATTGTCGAAAGTTCTGTTAGCTCCCAATCACCAATCAAAACGAGCTTGCCACCTGACGCAATCGGAGTAACAATCACCAATGCAGCATCCGGTATCTCCGGAAGCTCCGTGAGCAATGGGTCACCTCTATCGTCTGCTTTGGTCACAAGCATCTCGCAGCTACAGTTGGGAGCGACCCCGTATACTAGCACAGTACCCCCTGCCGCCGATACTCCTGGATATGTTGTAATTGGTCAACCTTTTCCTACCAGTACCTCCATACTACCTCCTGATGTACTGCCGTCCACTACAATAGTCGCGGGTGGAGGCACATCGCCTAGCACTATCATCGTCACGCCTGCTTCATTCCCGCTAGGAACCATGATCAGCACTGTGTCTCTGTCTTCTGGATCATCCGCCTACACCAGCATCATCCCAATCTCCGAAAGTCATCCTAGCACGATTATAAATCCCGGATCGTCTGGCCACACGAGTACAATTTCTGCGTCAGGTACTGAGCCCGGTACTGTTGTTAGTCAATCCTCAACTTCTCTCGCAGTATCCTCGATCATCTTACCACCAGGTAGTGCACCGTACACTTCGACTATCGCTCCTGTTGGTACAACTCCTGGTTATATAGTCATAGCTCAACCTCAACAACGATTTGCGACAAGATTCTCCCTGATGCCAGCAGGAGCTAGTCCATTTACGTCCACTTTTCTTCCTGTGGGTACAACCCCAGGGTATGTTCAAATAGGTGTACCCCGACCATTTTCGTCATCATCAATCCGAACACTACCTCCTGGCGAAAGTGCTTTTACTTCTACAGTACCACCAAGCGGAACCAAGCCTGGCACTCTTATATTTGGGGAGCCTGCAGACGAGACAGTCCACATTATCCTACCACCTGGCGCTAGTGCTTACACTTCCACTATGCCTGCATCTGGTGCTTCTACTGCCTATGTCGTAGTTGCTACCCCACAAGCGGCATACTCGACGAGGACTAGTCTCATACCAGCAGGAGCTTCTGCTTATACTTCCACTATTCCTCCAACTGGAACGACTCCAGGATTCGTCATAGTTGGCCAGATACAGAGGTTTGCGTCGAGGACTCAGTTCCTGCCTCCCGGTGTTTCTGGCTATACGTCGACGATACTCCCTATTGGTACCACGCCTGGGTTCGTCGTTGTTGGAGTCCCCGCAAGTTCTTCTTCTTTGCTCCGAAGTTCCGCTCCCAGCAAAATGAGCTCAAATGCCGAAACTAGTAGTTTTATGCTTTCCTCCTCTCCAACAACACTAGGCGGGTCTTCCACTTCTCTTGCATCATCTCCTTTGTCAACCTCGTCACAAAGTTCAGTTGACAACGATACAACGTCAAGTGCCAGAGTTAGTAGTCTGGGGAGTACCACAACCTCAACAGTGCCAAGACGTTCTTCAACTTCTCTCATATCATCGTCTTCTTCTTCCTCAGTACGCGATCCTGTTGACAGTGGGACAAGCTCAAGCGTAGGAGTTAGCAGCCCAACGACTGCATCTGCCTCGAAGACGATGAGAGGCTCTTCGTCTTCTCCACTGTCATCTCTGTCGTCGCTAATATTGTCACCGTCCTCTCTGGTTTCATCCTCAACCTCCTCTCCTGTATCACCATCAACCTCCATTTTGGGTCCATTATCATCATCGTCCACTCTTATGTCACCATTATTTTCTTCCTCTTCTTCTTCAACTTTACCGCCTAGTTCTACTGGAGGCAGAACGGGGTCAAGCGCCAGGTCTAGCAGTCCGATAAGCACCTCTGCATCTAAGGTGATAGCAGGTTCTTCATCCTCTATCTCAACACCCATTGAGACGAGCTCGACTGTCAGGGACAGCGAGATGACGGGCTCTGGATCGATAGAGAGCACTACGACGACTAGCAGCTCGATTGCGGGTGCCAGCGTCGAAATTACGAGCGCTGAATTGTCAGAGATCACTAGGAGTACTAGTGCTTCGTTTGCTAGTGACCACGAGATCATGAGCACCAAATTGACGGCCGGCACCAGTAGCTCGACACGTACGAACAGCGAAACTTTCAGTACAGCGCCTTCAGAGACTGTACCAAGCATTAGCGAAATTAAGTTTCCGGAAAATGCCACGATTAGCAGCAGCCCGACTGCCCGTACGAGCGGCGCGAGTCCCGAGCTGCCGCAGGGGACTACGACTACCAGTAGCTCAACTGCCAGTACTAGCGATGAGATCACTGGCGCTGTGTCGTTGGAGAGCACCACGACAAACAGTAATCCCGATACTAGTACTAGTGAGGTCATGAGCACTGAATTGACAGAGACCAGCTCAATTGCCAGTAGCTCGACATCCGCTGGAAGCAGGATCACGACTGTTGAGTCTCCAGAGACTTTATCGAGCACTAGCCAAGCCACGAGTATTGAGGCGTCAGAGAGCGTTATGATCATCAGCAGCTCGACTGCTGATACCAGCGTCGGAATCACGAGCACCGAGTCGTCAGAAAGTACTTCGATTGCCAGCAGCTCAACTTCAGCTGGAAGTGAGACTGCGAGTACAGAGACTTCAGAGACGGGACTAGGTATTAGCGAAGTCTCGAGCTTTGGAATACCAGAGAGTACCACGATTACTAACAGCCCGACTGTTGGTGCTGAAGTCGGGAACATAAGTACTGAGTCGTCAGAGAGCACTCCAGTCGCCAGCAGCTCGACTTCTGCTGATAGCGACTCCACGAGTACTGAGTCGTCAGAGATGGTAACCAGTACTGGTGAAGTCACGAGTACTGAATCACCAGAAACGCAATCGAGCGCTTCCATTACTAGCAACCCAATTACTGCCGGCGTTGGGGTCGAATTCACAAGTGCTGAGTCTTGGTCGAGCACCAGCAACATCGCGAGTGCTGAGTCATCGGAGAGCACCACGATAACCAGTAGCTCGACTGCTGGCGCTAGCGAAGTTGCGAGTACTGACTCCTCAGAAACAGCATCGAACACTACGACCAGCGATAACTCGACTGCCAGTGCCAGCGAAGTGAGCACAGGGTCGCCAGAGAACACTTCAGTTGCCAGTAGCTCGTCTTCTGCTGTCAACGAAGGTGCGGGTCCTCAAACGTCAGAGACGACATTGAGCACTAGCGAAGCCACAAGTACCGATATTTCGAGCATGCCGAACACTGTTAGTTCGACCTCTGCGGAAAGCGAGATTACCAGTAGTAGCGACGTCGCGAGTACCGAATTATCGGAGAGCACCACGATTACCAGCACCTTGACTGCTGGTGTCAGCGAAGCCACGAGTACCGAGCCGCTGGAGATAGGAATCAGTGCTACAGACACTAACAATTCGACTGCTAGTACTAGCGACGCAGTCTCGAGTACTGAGCCAGTAGAGAGCACCTCGATTACCAGTAGTTCGGCTTCTGCTGACAGCAATCCTACGCGTACCGAAATATCAGAGGCGGTATCAAGGATCAGCGAGACTCCAAGTGCTGTACTGTCAGAGATATTCTCGAGCACTAGGTCCAGTCTGAACTTGTCTTCTACTGACAGTGGAGTTACGAGTACTGAAACATCAGAGGCAGTATCGGATGCTCCGATTGTCATTTCCTCCTCGACGACCGGTACTAGCGAAGTCACTGCTACTGAAACTTCAGAAACTTCTTCCAGCACTGGGACTGCTGCCGAGATCACAGACACACAATCGTCAGAGGCAGCATCAAGCACCATGACCACCGACAGCTCGAGTTTTGCTGACAATGGAATCACGATTACTGAATTCTCCGAGACGATATCGAGCACTACAGTCCCTGATAGTTCAATTGACATCGCTAGCGACAACACCACGAGCAGCAAGTCATCAGAGAACACTTCGATGGCTAGTAGCTTGACTTCTACTGATGACGGAGTCACGAGTACTGAAACGTCGGAGACTTTGTCGAGCGGTCCCGGCGCTAGTAGTACAACTCTTGATACTAGCGAGGTCACGGGTACCGAATCATTAGACTCATCCGCGAGCACTTCCACTGCTGGTAGCTTGACTTCTGCCGTAACCAGAGATGGAGTCACCAGCACTCAATCTTCAGATGCCCTATCGGGCACCACGACCAGTAGCAACTTGAGTTTAGCTGATAATGAGATTACGGATACCGGAACATCAGAGACGGCATCGAGCACTGCAATCATCAGTAGCTCGACTGCTGAACCTAGCGATCAGGTCGCAATAACTGAATCGTCAGAGACAATGCTGAACACTGCAACCACCAGTAGCTCAACTGCTGATGACGGCGACGAATCTACAAGCACAAAATCATCGGAGGTAGTGTTCAGTACTTCTACTGCTAGCAGTAGTTCGATTTCTGCTGACACTGACGATGAGACCGCAATCACCGAGACGTCTGGTGCAGTACCGAGCACTGCAATCATCAGTAGCCCGGCTACTGGACCTAGCGCCGAGATCACAAGTTCTCCATCATCATCAGAGACGGTACTGAGCACTGGAACAGCCAACAGCTCAACTGCCAAGTCTAGTGAGGAATTCTCAAGCACTCAATCTTTGGAGATCTCCCAAAGCGCTAGTAGCACGGATTCTACCGATCCAAGCGATGAGACTGCTGCTACCCAATCATCAGAGGAATCAGCGAGTACTGAAACCACTACCAGCCCGATGACCGAGACAAGCGACAAGATCACAAGTGTGACATCCTTGGAGAGCTTCCCGATTGCCACTAGCTCGGACCCTGCTGGTACTACTGCAGATATCACGAGCACTCAATCATCAGAGGGGATATCGAGCACCGCAATGATTAGTAGCGCGACTCTTGCTACTAGTGACGAGTCATTGAGTACCGAGTCCCAAGAGACGTTTTCCAGCAGTGCGATCGTCAGTACTACCACGCAGCGAACAGACTTCATGACTAGTACATCCATTCTCTCGGATGGCGACACAGCGTATACCAGCACTGTCAGTCCTTCCGGAGATATGCCAGGAACGATACTCATTGGAAGGACTCGTCTTTTCGTGACTACGACCTCAATGCTTGATCCATATGCCACTGCATACACTTCTTCGATTCCTTCAAATGACGATAGTCCAGGAACGGTTGTCATCGGAGAGCCCCGGGGTCTCACGACTACTTATCTTTCTGATGGAGAGAGTGGCTATACGAGTACCCTCACATCAAACGGTACGGGCGTCGAGACCATATTAGTGGGCTTTGCACAAAAGACAATTACCTCGACTACCTATCTTCAGCCCGGTGATTTAGCATTCACCACAACAATCGCCCCCACTGGCACAATCCCTGGTACTGTGATTTTTGGCTCACCTGAAACTTACACAGACTCTATGATCTTCCTTTCATCTGGTGAACAAGGCTTTACTAGCATCGTTGCGGCTAATGGATCAATCCAAGGTACAAGAATTGTCGGATTTTCGCAGGCCACAGTGACTACTACCAGCTACCTTGAGCCTGGGGCATCTGCATATACGAGCAAGGTTGCAGCTTCTGGTACTATTCCTGGCACGGTCATTTTCGGTTCCGCACAATTCTACACTGACTCGACAACATTCCTCTCAGCCGGTGAAGGCTATGCCAGCACTATTCCGCCGAGTGGATCTGTTCCCGGAACGCGCATTATCGGTTATGCTCAGTCGACTGTCACCAAAACCTCCTTCCTGGCATCCAATGAGCCCGGCTATACTAACACAGCACCCGCAAGTGGTACCACGCCTGGCACGGTCATTGTTGGATATCCATATACTTACACGACTGTCACCTCCTTCCTGAGTCCAGGAGTATCTGGTTATTCGAGTACAACTCCAGCAAATGGAACTACACCTGGAACTGTCGACATAGGAGTACCGCAGATGGTGATAACAACCACTCGATTTATCAGTCCAGGCGGCACGGGCTATACCATTTCAACCCCGCCAAACGGAACGATAGCTGGTACCGTCGAATTCGGATATTTGCAAGTCGTAGTCACCTCGACGAGCTTCCTCAGCCCTGGCGCAGCAGGCTATACAAGTACTACTCAGCCGAGCGGGACAACTCCCGGTACGCTGCTGATCGGATATCCTGAGTCCTTGACTACTACTACAAGGTATCTCAGTCCAGGAGCGCCAGCATACACGAGCACCGTCAACTCGCCTAGTGAGACAACTCCAGGCACAGTCGAAGTCGGCTATCCTGGGTCTTTGACTACTACTACAAGGTATCTAAGTCCCGGAGCGTCAGCGTATACAAGCACTATCAATAGGCCGAGTGGAACAATTCCAGGCGTAATCGAAGTCGGATATCCTGGCAGCTATGCTACAACGACGTCCTATCTTAGCCCGGGAGCATCAGGTTATACAAGAACTCTCGCTGCTCCCAGTGAGACAACTCCGGGCATCGTCGAGGTAGGTTACCCGCAAGTGTTAACCACCATAACAACGTCCTTGGGTGTAGGCTCTTCAGGATACACGAGTACAATCGCTCCATCAGGCACAATCCCTGGCACAGTTGTTCTAGGACGGCCTCAAGATGCCACCGGTTATGTGACTACAACCTCATACCTGAGTCAAGGAGCTTCAGGATACTCCAGTACTATACCACCCTCTGGGACTAAATCTGGCACCATCCAATTTGGCGTGCCGTATACGACGACGACTTCGTATTTGACGCCAGGGGCCTCAGGTTATACAAGCACAATCCCGCCGTCAGGATCTATGGCCGGCATTATCCAAGTGAACATTCCTCAGAGCTACACTACAACAACGTCGTATTTGACTCCAGGTGCTCCCGGTTACACAAGCACGATTCCTCCTTCCGGTGCTACCGCCGGAACAGTCCAAGTCGGAGTGCCACAGAGCTATACGACGACAACTTTATACTTGACTCCAGGTGCCTCTGGATATACAAGCACGATTCCACCGTCAGGCTCTACGGCCGGCACCATTCAAGTAGGTACTCCTCAGAGCTACACTACGACAACGTCGTATCTGCCTCCAGGTGCTTCTGGCTATACAAGCACAGTTGCACCTTTAGGCTCCACTGCCGGCACGGTGATATTTGCCGTTCCACAGAGCTACACGACAACAACGTCGTATTTGACTCCAGGGGCTTCTGGCTATACAAGTACCATCCCTCCATCGGGAGCCACCGCCGGAGTAGTCCAAATTGGGTACCCCCAGGTCTACACTACTGTGACAACAACCATTGCGCCGGCCGCTTCTCCATATACCAGTACAATATCAGCGCAAGGGACCACTCAAGGTACTGTGATTGTCGCAACACCCAGTGCAGCGCCCGCAGATTCATTCACCTGCGATGCCCGTGGATACCTTGTGCAACAAGACAGCAACGCAGTGACACGACTTTACAGCGTCAACATCACTGCGGGAACGAATACTCAACTCAGCCCAGACCTCTCCCAATTCGGGGGGAATAATCCCATCAATGGCATGGGTTTCAACGTTTTGGACAACTATCTGTATGCCTACAGTAAAACAGGCCAGATCGTTCGTCTTAATACCACCAAATCGGCGATTGTCAAGACTCTCACTGGCACTTTTGCTCAGACTTACAACGCTGCAGACATTGACGCTAATGGCTACTACTGGTTGATTAATACACTAGGTCAATGGCAACAAATAGACATGAGACCGGGCTCTGCAACCTACGCTCAAACCATCAGCTCAGGCACCTCGGCATATCCTACCAGCGGTAGTTATTGCCTGGACTGGGTGTACGTACCCAGCCAAGGACAGTATCTATATGCCCTCATAGGCGCTGGTGCGACAAGTTCACCAAATCAGCTTGCTAGATGGAGCATGAGCACTCATAATTGGACAACGATTGGCAATGCATATCCCCAATTGACGGGCCTTTTTGGCGCAGCATATGGCTCCAACAATGGTACCATGTGGGTCAGTAACAATGGTGATGGCAATATTTGGCGCATCAACTTGAACAATCCTGCGACTCCGGTTCTCCAGAGTTCGGGCCCAAAGTCGAGTCTGAACGATGGAGCACGTTGTATTTATGGGTAAAAGATGGCAGGAATCTCGTGCAAGACTGTAGATGTCATTCTTTCTTTTGTCAACTTGCTTCAAGCGTATATCAGGTTTTCGGACTACTATCAAAGTCATCTGACTCACTTTCTATTTTTTTGGATCTTGTAAATCCCGCGAATATCTTTTCATCAAGTGCTGCAGCGTGAACTAATCTTAAAAGATTGACTGTCCGACTTGATTGCGAAAGAAAACTACAAAGAAATCTAGTCAAGCTTTAGAATTTCAACATTTAGCTAATAGGTTTATTGTCTCACTTTGACCAGCGTCTCATTCCTCGACTCTGTCTGTCTTTTCTGTCCCTCGGGAACAGCCCACAACACAGCCTCATCAACAACATCACGACCATCGACACCCACAAGTGCATCCAAAGCTTCCTGACCGAATGGCGTCGCATATTCCTTGACTTCCTCAGGTGTCAGTCGACGGTAGTCTAGAACAAGAGTGCGATTGGCGTTTAGTGACCGTAAGACTCCGTCGGCGCCGAGGTTGGATGTCCCATTGGGGTCGCGGCGCCAGGGCTCATGTGTATTGGCTTTGGTCTTGAGCTGAGAGGTGGGAAGGTGCTGTATCTGCTGAGAGGGGGGTTTGCTTATCTGCAGAGCTGTCTCTGGTGGAAAGTTCGTCATGTTGTTGTAGGATGTTGATGTTAGTGTGTGTGTGTGGATCGTGTAAGCTTGAGGCGGAGAAAGATGCGGGATGTTCTTAGTTGAGAGGGAAAACGCGAGAGATTTTACACTTGCGCTGGTCGCTGCGTGCTGGCGATTTCAATGGTGTGGTCGTATGTTCTAGGCAGCAACATCCCTGCCAGACGGGCGGTGACTTCCTTGAAGATTCCATCCTGCATTACCCCGCTATCGATCCATCCACCATGCTTTGTATCGAACACTTGGAAACTGAGTCACTCGTGCGGTGACAATCGCAAAGTAATCAAATGACGCGACCGACGTGAGGTGTTCCGGCTTTGCGGCTGAACTTCGAGGGCGACTGAAATTTCGAAGGCGATACAAAAGCGTCGCTCCATCCAAGCCTCGTTCCGTGCCTGACCCACACGGAAAGCGCTGGGCATAGGGACAGGGATGATCAGAGAACAAGACATCTAATAAGTCGATGCTAACATCGCAATATTCCCAAAACTAGTCATGAATTGTCAATCAAGTATTCATCATAAACTTTTTGCCCCGACTCCTTCAAGCGATGCAAATCCACTGTGTTTTTTTGTCTACACAACCCAGAACCATATCTTTTCGGCAAAGTTTCGCGGCTCGCGGACTTTATACTCCAACTCTTCAGCGTCGGCAAGATCCTTGCCACTCCAAACATCAACCTCGGAGATTGGAATCCACCACTTCCAGTTCTTGGTGTACACTTTGTGGCCAAACCACAAGACCAGGAAGATGGGTATTGTGATGTAGCAAACCAAAAAGTCCGAGACATTCCACTTGCTAGGGACGAAAACGTAAAAGCCATTTGTCAAAGTAACCAAGACCATGATGATGAGGGAGAAATAACAAGAGTATGGTTGAAGGGGTGTGCGGAAGGGAAGTTGCTCCAACATGTTGTGGAAGATCATGGCTTTGCGGAAGCGAAGGTATGTTATGAGAACCACAATCCAAGCGATGAAGCCAGAAATTGTGGTGATGTTGGTAAACCAGTTGAAGACATTGGCGCCACTGTTGCTGACATTCAAAAAGGCGAGACAGCCGATGGAGAAAGTGAAGAGGACTGCGACCCATGGAACGCCGTTTTTGTTGCAACGAAGGAAGATCTTGGGGGCTTGCTTTGTGAGGGCGAGGGAGTAGAGCATGCGGGAGCCCGAGAAGAGCCAGGCATTTCCTGATGACCATGCTGAGGTCAAGATGGCAGCATTGATGACGTGGTTGAGACCTTTGATGCCGGCGTTTTGAATGGCAATGACGAAGGGAGATGCTCCGGCAGCATGTTCTCCGTTGTTGATGGCGTTGAGCAGGGACTTGTCGTTGTATGCCACCGTCACTCCGATAACAAGCGTACCCATGACGTAGAAAGCAAAAAGACGATAGATGAATCTGTTAGCAGCCTTGGGTATGTTACGGCTAGATGAAGAAGTCAGACGATTTCGTAGGCTGGCGTGTAATAATTGGCTGCTTACCGAGGCGCCTCAGCTTCACCAGCTGCCGTTACCACCAGCTCAGGGCTCATAATAAAAGCGAATCCAGATTTGATGAACGCATACCAAAATGCGAGGAATTTGCCTGAATTCCCTTTGGCGATGAAAGGGTTGAAAGCACCCTGCATAATTTTGGTTAGCATAGTGCATCATAGACCCCACTTGTGAAAGTCCACTTACAGGCTCCTTCCAGTAACGGAAACCAAGACGATCATGATTTGGTCCTCCTCCAAAGAATAGCACAACACCAAGAACGATAAGACCAAGGATGGCCAAGATCTTGATGGATGCGAACCAAAACTCGGCTTCACCAAAGAATGAAACGGCGACAATATTCAAGGCCAGAATGACCAGGAGGATGATGGCGATCCATACAGCGACGGGCACGCTCTCTGTCCAGTACTGAATGATGATCGCCGCCGCCGTTACCTCGGCCGCTAGGAGCATGGCAAAGGTGTACCAGTAGTTCCATCCTGTCGTGGTGTCAGTTTCGAGCTTTGATGGACGAGGGATTGCCTACCCATGGCGAAAGCGAGACTGGGATCGACGAAGCGATTGACAAAGTAGGGTACCGAGAGTCCCTCGAGAGGTAGGTAGGTAGTCATTTCGGCGAGTACGTTCATGACACCATAGACGACGAAGGACATTACGATGTAGCCCATGAGCAACGGAGCTGGACCGACCGAGGACAACACTGCTCCAGAGCCTACGAAGAGCCCAGTACCAATGGCACCACCTAGACGATCGTTAGAGACGAGATGTATAGAGCAAGCAGAGCTGACAAACCAAGAGCCAGAAATTGAACCTGACGCGACGACAGCCCACGCTTGGTGTGGTTGCGCGCGCCAGCATTTTCGACGTCGCCAACATCTTTAGTAGTCGAAACGGCAACCTCAGGGAAATCCTTCATCTCGTTGTTCTTCTCCATAGCGAGGAGAGAGAACCAGAAAGAAAGGGAAGAATTTTGTCGCGAGAAGAAAAAAAAGCTTTGATGAGTGAAACCACCAAACAGGAAAGTGAGAGACGAGCAGCTACATATACTCAACCCAGGACTTCACTTGCCTCTACAAAAGATACGTTATCATTGATTATAACCCCGCAACACGTCCTCCACACTCGGCAGAACTTATCAAGTAACAGAAATTCCATAGCGTTGTGTCCAATCGAGTCGCATTTCCAGATTTGTGGGAGCGGTATGGGGGGGAAGAATTTCGTGCCAAGTCTGGGGTGTGCCGAGTGGTTGCGTTGTGCGGTGGTGAGCAAAGCCGAAGCTGGGCGGCTAGTCTCGGCCAAAACCACTTTTCAATGACTCGATGTGCTCTGAAGGATGCGATTGCAATTCAACTGTGCAAGATATCAAGGGACACGCGCGATGTTCCGGTAGAAAAGGCAGTGATAAGGTTGCGGGGTTGATATGCAGAATCGGGGCATAAGACGAGGTAGGGCGCATGAGGGAAGGCGTGGTTCGAGGACGTGCTATAAGGCGTGGAAGGGCGCACGTGGAGAGGAGGAACAAACGCATGACTTGAAGTAGCTGATACAAATGATGATATATGTTAGTAGTATTAAGCAATCGTCTCTGTCGCCTTGGAAATAAGCCTTTTGTGCTTGTTCTCATACTTTCCCTAGCTCTTTTGAATGCATGTCCATCTTTGTGTCTACCAGACTGAGCCGTTGGCACGGAGAGGGTAGCGAAGTGCGTTGGCAGTCTTTGCACAAGTGGTAGTGAAGCCAGAGGCTGAGACGGGGAGCCATTGACCGCGCTGGGGTTTACCGAAAGCCTGGAGCTTGTCAGCTATTGTTTCGACAGACGTTCACACTGATGACACTTACATGGAAGTAGTACCAAACCTCGGAGATTTGAGTTCTGCCATTGTCGGTCGAGTTGCGGCCAGCAGCAGTCTCGTTGAATCTAGGGCCACTGCAGCCAATGTAGGGCAAAGCACCATACGAGCTGTTCAGGGCAGTCTGGAATTGACTGAGCGAGTACATTGTGGTGTTGCTAGGCTTGATGCCGGCTTGTGCAAGCCAGCCCCAAGTAGGAAGGCGGCGGTAGTATTGTATGGCTGTCTCGAAAAAGTCGACCACCTCCTCATGTTCTTTGTACTCGGGACCATAGCAAGGGACATCGAAGGTCGAGAAGCATGTGGCGTGCTTGCTGAATTCATGGCCCCAAAAATCACTGTTTGGCGCTAATGTGTTGATCCAGTACTTGTTCATCCATGCCAGGAGGTCGAACTTCTTGAAGGGCTCGAGGAAGGTGCCGATGTTGGGTCCAGTGTATGGTGGGACAACAGTACCTACGGACGACAGTCAGATGGAGTCGTGTCCAGCAGTGGGGAGGATACATACCATTGGGCAAGCTGTTAGTGGTGTTGGGCGAAGGCGTAGGATCGTACTGCCTGTTCAGGTCGCAGTACTGAGTGTATGAGCCATTACAAAAGTCCGGCCACAAGCCGTGCAGAGTCCAGTCATCGGGAGGGAGCAATTGACCCTCTGACTCAAGGCCAGTGTAGGTAGACCAGAATTGAGTCGAGAGGAAGAGTCCGCCATACGTTTCGGCGCAACAGGAGTCGACGGTCGAGGGGTTGGCAGCGCTTGAGCACGACAAGACGGCGTCGGCGTTGGCTGTCGCATCGCGTCAGCAGAGCTCGAACAATCGTCGCATTGCCTGGCACTACTCACTCAAGGCACAAGTATGGTTGGCATTGCTCTCGCCATACAGAGAAGCCAATGCCGTCGACGAAAGCAGCGACGCTGCAGCAATAGAATAACGCATTTTGAGAGAAGGAGATCGCAACGCAAGCTGTGTGTGGAACACGACTCCAGCCAGCCATCCTCTTCCCTTATATACCCTTCGTCATCCAGAACTTACTTTTCGCAAACTATGAAGCCATGCTGCAGATGAGATAGCCGTCGACAGGTACGCGTGCAGCAGTTGATTGGTTGCAAAGCTCTCCACAGCAGAAATCTTGTCGGCCTCGACCGCGATCGACAGACACAATCGGGAAGGTCGTCATGACATCTTTGTGGGGTCAACAACAGGACGGAAAAGAATCTTGGAAGAGCCCTGATTTTTCATGAGCGATATCGACGCTCTTATGTCTTCGGTGCTCGCCTCAGAGATACGTGACTTTGCTGACAGAGCGTTGTGACAGATAGGCGCGGTCGAGATCTGCACCTGGGAGCGATAAGAACACCAGCTATCCCTCTTCGACAACCTCATCGTCGTCCTCTTCGCAACGAACGTGTCGACTTTCTTGGCCTTGATTTCGCGCAAATGTGGCGTATGGAATAATGCTTAGCAGTCTCCAATCGCAACCTGACCGACACATGGTGATTTTTGTGTGATTTATTGGTCGCCATGAGCTTCGCCAAGAGCAACATGGCGTAAATGCCAACCGCCTTCGCGAGCCAGATATTATAGAGACGACAGGTCAAACCTCTCTCATCCGACTATGGTTTTCGTCATTGTGCTTGAGATGCAAGACGTCTCCGCCATATTGTGCGACTCCGGCAGCTTCCTCTCCTTCAAAACATCCCTCGACATCGACGAAATCAAGCCTCGGCAATCTAAGACAGTCACCTCCCAATGAACCCGAGACCTTGGGACGACTGAGCCACACCATGCTTCACCTGTACCTACTGACATCACATGGTCTTGTGCTCACTGTTCCAACATCAGCCGCTCCTTGGTCTCTCTAGACAATGAAAACTCCAAGTTTCTTTGTGGACTGCGCAGGGTGTGCGCTTATCTTATTGAAACCTCGAAGAGGCAAACACACGCATCTGCCACGCTAAGCTGCCGAACCGCGTTGAAGAGACGCAGAACTTCTCTGAATAGGTCGCATGGCAAGCACAAAGAACGTCACAAAGACGCAAGCGAGGCAGGATGCAGACATTACCTTTTCGATGACAATTCGGTTGTGACTCCGAAGATGAGGTGTGAAGAATGACGTATTGTACACTATAGAGTATATGCTAGAGGGTTTCGTAAATCCCAACGGTCAAAAGACAAAACAACAACTCGCTGACTTTTCTAGTCGCTAATGGAGACATTAATGAATTGACAGGAGATTGTACAGTTGACTTGCGTCGATGTCGTGTATGGAAAAGACAAGGAGAGCAGACAAATGAAAAGAAGAAGAAAGAGAGATGAAGGGAAAAACAGTAAACAAGGATAAGGAAAGAAGAGAAGAAAAGAAGGGAAAAAAAAAAAAAAAAAAGCGAAAGTATCTCCGAGCAACATCTATGAGTCGAAAATCGGTCCATAAGCAGGGACACCTCTACTCTCACACCCATACACCAGTTGCTTGGTCAGTTTCGGGTTACTCACCACAAAGACAGCTTCGGCATTCATTTCCTTGTATAACCTCAACGTCAATGCCACCATATCAGGACGACCATTTTTCTTGGAGTCCCACACGATCGCGTTGCCATTCAGAGTATACACCCAATCGATCAATGGCTGTCCAAAAGTCTTTTCAGGCGAGGAAGATACCCACAAGACCTGACATTGACCTTTTCGGCTAGGTTCTGCGACGAAAGAAAGAGCTGGTCCTATTCCTGTGCCGGTCGTAACGAGCAGGACACGGTTGAATATCGATGCCATACTAAGGACATTGGTCTTGAGAACACCCTTGACGTAGTAGTGCGACTTGGGGCTGTCGATGGTCCTGCGAGTCCAGTCGCCTGCGTGGCTGATCATGATGCTGTTATTGACCCCATCACCATCTGGGAAGCAGGCAAAGGGATGCCATTCGCCAAGAGGCGACTCTGCAATAGCAATGCCACGGTAGGGCCCCATATGTTCCTTGTGGTGCAAGCGGATAGCATGCTCGGAGAGGCGTTCAGCACTGAAAGCCACCTTGCGCAGACGAAGCCAGGGTAAGACAATATGCACACTCATGATGATGAGAAACCAGAAAGCAGGAAGCTTGACCAGAGCTAGACCAAGTGGTTCAGGCGTCGTGGTGTTTTGCAAGCGAACGGTGTCGGCGATAAGGACAAGGTCGACCCAGAAAACAACAATCGAACACCATCCAGCGAAACGATGAGTAAACTCGAAAGAGTTGTGGAATCTGTGCCGGATAGCCGGATGCGCAAAGATGCACATGACAAGAAAGATGATAAGTAGCAGAACAGTAAAAATCGGGACTACAGGCGTGTGGATGATGCGACCAGTCTCGAAGTTGATGACGATGAGGACAGTCAACAAAACAAACCACATAGTTCCAGCGATCGCGCAACCAGTATGCATACCGCCATGTTCGTAAACCTTGGCTAGTACTCTTCGAAGTCGCAATGGTGCGGAAAGTGGCACCAGTTGACAGACACGAAAGATGAGGTTAAAGATGTAGTCTTGGCGAATGAGAATCGCGACTAAGAAATTCGCTGCTGCAGCGTTGGCCGCAAATGGCATGTGGGTCAAGATGGTGGAGTGCCCTGACACCAGAAGTCCAATCAAACCGGCAAGATTGGCGAGGAAGACAATGGAAAATATTCTCCGGTATACGTTGAGCCCGGTGTGTCGTAGGTATCGGACGAGTCTAGCTTGTCGCTTCGGTGGTACTGCTTCCTCTGATTTCGTAAACTCTGAGCTGGAGTGAGCGACAAGTGTTGAGCATGTTGATGTGCTCTGAAGGGATGATATGGATTGCTTTTCTGTGATGATAACGGCTTGAGTCTGCTCACCCTTTTCCGGGTCTTTGTCGAAGGAGTTTGTAGCGGGCATCTTGAAGGCCAGATGATGGATACAGAACAGATGATTGTACGCCGACGGAGCAAGGCCTAGAGGATTCGAGCGTAGATGTCTGATTGTGCGACGATATAGACTATGTCTAGGAGTACTAGACTTTATGCAATCAACCTTGACCTCGCTAGATGCTTGGTTAATGATAAAAGAGTGTGATGAGGATGAGGCGATGCTTGGAGAACACCAGAGGTACCATAGCCATACATATACTTCCACGAGATGGGAGAGGTAGACGCTGCTTGATTAGACTCGAGATAACCTTCCTTTGTCCCACCACACTTGAGCCTCTGCCATCGGTGGTGGCGTCAACGGGTTGCCTAGGAATCGTTTCCAGGTGGAGAAGCGAACAATGACAGACGGCCCACACCAGTGGATAAGGATCCTTACCGTTCGACAAATCCCAAAGAGGTTCACCCAGCCATGGCGGCAAGCTATGGCATACCAGTTCGCATCCCTCGATCCGAGAGACACGATAGATTAATCCCACAACAGAATCTCAGGAGGGGCGTCATGAAGATCTCCCAAGCCCTGTTACTGGGATCGGTCAGAACCAGGTTGTCGGGTCATGCCTCAATGCAGACAGATGTCACAACGGCGATGTGCAGGTAGATACCCAGTTTGGACATGTAGAGTGAACCGTTGTTAGGAAGTCCCACCCCCTGTACGAATTCAACTCTTTCCGTGGTGCGTTACCCGTATAGCTCTCCTAACTCCCAAAGCCCGCATTACCGACATGAGGAACGCAGAAGGACAACGGGTGCCAACTTACCTTCTGCAATGGTACCAGTACCTGAGTGGAAACGGTCAACGTGCATCCATGGATCCTTCGGTGTTGACGAAGTTCATTTACTTCTGGGTATGCAATATAAAAGAGTTTGTCCCAAGGACCCGAATTCGTGTTGTTGCAGAGGTAGTGTGAAGATCGGGGCGCTGTCAATTTATTCAGCACCCAATCTGGCGGGCGCTTCTTCAGGGCTGATCTGTTAGCTGCAGGCTACATCCATTCCGGGGATGGATCGGCCTGCTTCACACGACGCCATTGGACTAATGCGAACAATTTGAAAATCGATCAGCTGCGATGCCGAGTAGACATGTCAGATCCTTGGAACGCGACCTGATTCGACGAAGTCGCTTGAGATGTCGTCGACGGCGTAGGTGCAGCAATGTGTGTTGCTATACAAAGACCAGTAAACACTCGGACATGTGCACACGCGCAAGCCCTCCCCAGAAACACAGATTTTGTGCCATCATGTGGGCAGGAATGATGAAAACTGGGCTGCATTAGCGACGGCACTTTTCACCCAGTTGATGGCGTGTGTGCGAGGCTTGTCTGTAACGCTGCATGTCTGCTCGTCCAGATTCGACTTGACCTCGGCATTGCCGATCGCGCGTACCCTCTTCGTAACAGTGCTGATTGTTGGAAGTTTCTCGCTGCGAAACGTGCTGGCCATGCGACATGGACTTGAAGAAGACGACGTCCAGTTTTCCAGTTTCCAGGAGACGAAGAAGGTTTTGGTGGTTTCTCCTTCCGACGGCCCGCGAGAAACGGATCGCCCCGCTCCGCAAACGTGACGGCCCTCTGACTCTGTACTTTTTGCAGCGCAACGACCGGACTGATCATCGTCCAACTGACTTATTGCCCCTTGTGAAATCCAAGAGGTACCCCAATTTACGACGCGTACCGAAAGGGACATCTCACTTTGTTGACCAGTTCGGCTTCGTCGGGCGCCATGTCCTTCGACTGATGTGTTGACTTCGAAAGTGCTGGAAGACCCACCGTCACCTCCTTTTCAACATGGCCGGCAGGTCTCATCAGCGTTTGTGAACCACGCCCGTATATCTTCATCCTATACACGAGACAGTTGAGCTATCGATTAAGAGGACATCGTTCAATCTTCGACAGAGCTACGCTCAACAAGGACGGAAGTCGCGAGGCTTGGCAGGGCTGTTGGCAGTTACACGTCTGTCAGGCCAAGTCCATCTTTCCGGGACCTTTGTCTCAAATTCTGTCTCATTGTCGGGTCGAACAGAGCGTATGATCAGACTCTACGATCAATCGGGCTTAGTTCTGCGAGATACCGCTACCAAAGAAGGAAGATCCCACCGTGCTTGACCTTGTTTTGGCCGTGAAGACGGCCAAGCAAAATTTCTCCGCTTCTGGTGCGACGCGCATGTTAGCAGCCAACTGCCAACATCGTCAAGTCATTGCTTTCTTCACGCAGTGCATCAATCCACCATGACACTTTGAACTGACGACGACTATCATCTCGATGAATCTCTACAACATCAATGTCGTCATGCATGATGCTTGGTATCCTTGTTCGAGGTGTTGATCAGTCGCAAGACATTTTATCGCGTCAGCCTCGTGCATGCAATTTATCTCGCGTCCAGGACCTAAGTATAGGTATTCCGATTAATGAACTCGCAAGCATCGGGAAGAAATGCCGTCCATCTTTCTTGCATACATCGGCTATCAAGTACAGACACGCCACTCCTGCGGTTTCTTGTGGCGTACCTGCAGAGACGCTTCCCCGACGGAGTGGCACGAACTTCTGCAGGGATGACCGCATTGTTCAGTTTGCAGACGATTGCAATTTGCCTCGCTTTCGCTTGTTGGCATGGATGGCACGCTCCTTCATCTCGTCATTGGGATGGTCTGGACTAACGCTGTAGGATGTGAGGAGCGCCAATTGGACTAGATGGATGCCCAATAACGCTCAATATATCTTCCTTCAGGCATCACGAAGCTTTCGAATCCCTCATCCTCGGTGAGCCGTCATTATAACAGCCACTCTCGGAGACAGAGCGGGACAACGTCTTCAACTCCTTCGCCGTCCACATCACAGGTGCTTCATCAGCCAGGCCTTCGTGTCTGTTTGTACGCCATGATGCCGAACCACGAATCTAGTGCCCTCTGCAGACAAGCCCGGTGTTGGTGAAGTGCCAAGGCGCTCATCCTTGGACCACCAGTCCCGTCGTGAGAAGTACGTTTCCCGTGCTGCACCACTCTCAACACATCTATCAAAGTACTCTACTACCAATCTTATCGGAACAGCTACTGCTTCTCCTTTGCTGAATTGTCATTCGCGGTAACACTGAGTCACTTGCTCGTCCAAGTACCCAAATCCTCCTATCAATCCCAGCTCGCCCGCTCATTTCTCCATCTTTACCCAGCCGCATACGCGCTTCTTGACACACAGCACCTTCTCCCCCACACCATTGCTCGTTTTCTCGAATAAAATGTCGTGGTCGACGGCAATAGATGACAGCTTCAAGTACTCATGACTACACTTTACCCCCTACCTTGCGTAAACTGAACACCGTGTCAGCTTCTTGCCCTTCTACTTATATACTAATGGCCATCTTTAAGCATGAGACCATACACGGTATCAAGAACATTCTTGAGGGCGGTGTCGGTAGTCCAGTCACGGCCAAAGATGCTGTGACAGATACGACCATGGCGATTGATATTGGGATGGAACAGAGGAGTGACGAAGCGACCCTTGGGTGGGAAGGCAGGGAAGTTCTCAGGCATCTCGAGGTACAAGAGAAAGCTGCAGTCCTCGTACGGAGTCTCGAGAGGCTGTTGACCACACATTAGTAATTGAGTTTATCAGTCAAGGGGTAAAAGACGGAACTCACGCCTTCGATCACGACCTTCCAGAAGAACATGTCAGCCTCAGATACGTAGCAGTCGTACTTGGGGTGAGGATTGGCGGCCATCTCACGCATGTCAACAAGCAGACGAGATGCTCTGAGTGTGGGCAGGCTGAATGAATTGCTGGCGTTCGAACGGACAGGGTTGGCGAGCTGAACGAATGTGTCCTCCAATCTAGGGTGCTCCCTACGCTTGGGGTAGACGTCTTGGGTGACTACAGTGGAGGAGGCACGGGCTCTCATGTTGAAAAACGTATTCAGCATGGACGCGCGCTGGTCGTTGACCATAGAGAAGTCGCGTGTCGGACGTTCCGTCTGAGACAAGACGGGTTCCATCTCACAGGTGGCCAATGCGGTCGTGAGATCTTGGGGGTAGAAACAGTAAGATTTGAGCATGTTAGAGACCGCTATGAGATCTCTGTTGTTGTCATCTCCGATACAGACAGAGTCGACTGCGATCTCGTTGGTACGCAGCTGCCAACAAAGGTCCGCAGGGCCTACAGTGGACTTGGTGTCGTCTCCGTCAGAGAGACAGATGATACGTCGCTGAGCTCGAGGGTATTTCTCGGCAGGAGTTCAGTCTGCGACAGCTTGAGAGCATCCCAAAGTGCGGTATCGCCTGATGCATGCATACTCTGGACACTCCTTCTGAAGTTCTCAATGACATGAGTAATTGACTGGGACACCTTCGCAGTGGAGCTGAAGGTAACGAGTCCAATGTGCGTCTTGTACGAGTAAGCGATCAGACGATTGACCATGGCATCAAACATCTGTTTCAAGCCCTCGAGTCGAGAGAGGAGGCGCGATTCCTGCTCTGTGCTAACAATTTCGGCAACAAGGACCTTCAGCACCAATACTCTGCTGTCGACATCTCCATCTTCATCTTCGCTCTCGGAGAGAGATTGAGAAACATCACTGGTTGCACGAAGTAGCTCAGGGCCAAGTATACCGGTAGCAGTGTGAGGATTGAGGTAGAGGATAAGACGGCTGGTGTTGCTCATGATGTTGCCCGTCAAGCAACTATCTCCGTATTCTTTGAGACCTGTCCAAACTTCATTTCTCTCGTACTCAATCGATGGGTCCTGCGTCCATTGATGACGCCAGTACTTGGCAAGGATGGATGCAAAGGTACTTGTAGTGTTATCGGGTACCCAGAAGCAGAAGTCTGGTCGTTGGTGTCCTTTGTAGACCTTGACGAGACAAGACTGTGACGTCTCGACTTGGATGGCGTTGGCGTCGTTAGCGATTGTGATTCTGATAACGCTGCCTCCAGCAATACCCGCAGAAGAGATAGTTTGAGCAGATGGAACGAGGACTGTGTTGAACGAAAGCTGGAAGCTATTGTTACGACCTCTCATACCGCGGAAAGCAATCTTGTACAGATCAAGAAAGCTCTTTGGAAACGGTGGTTCGAGCTTGAGAAAGTGTTAATATTTGAGTCGGTGCGGCGGCGCTTGCTTAAGGGACGCTCCTCCGACTCGACAAGATCCTCTCCCTGTAACCATTTGTCGGCTTGCTCAGCAAGCTCAAAGTGTGAACGAAGCTCAGTGCTCTCCAGCATTAGACCAGTCAGTGGCGATGAGCTTCGGATTGACATCCACTTGCTGATGGTCTGGCGGCTGTAAACTTGACCATCAGCAGCGATCACCGGATCCTGGATGAGATCAAGCTTGATGGGACGTTTGAGAGCATCAGGGATGAGAGTGACTTCGTGGGGTAGAGGCTGCATCTGTACCTGACCATGGAGGCGATCGCCCACGTTCCAACCCCATTTCTGCTGAGACATTGCCATAGTACGTAGAAGAATCATGTCTATCAGCTCTTCCTCGAAACGCTTGAGACCAGCAGCGAAGGCTTCCAACTGGTCCATTCTTACCTGATTGGCTCCACGTTGGGTCCAGCTGTACATGGGCTGGGCACGCTGTTTTTTGAGTTCGGTCGTGGTCAAGTCAAAGACGAGACTCAGCATCTTGGATGCGATGTTGGCTTTGTTACCATGCACGCAGTCGACGACGCAGCCAAGCACATCATCGTAGATTTCGTGCAGACCCACAGCTCTATTCGTGTGCTCAAGCAAGACTCGAGTATAGACCCCAGGAGGAATTTGATGCATCTGCGCACCTTGGTCCAAGTCTTCGCTTGTGTCGATGCCCATCAGATCTGTTGAAGCGCTCATACTGGCACTGCAGTCCACGCAGAACATGACGATTTCGTCGGGCTCGTCAAGAGGTCGAGTCTGCGAAGAGCCAAGGATGTCAAAGACATTGGTGCCGTCAGCTTCGTACAGTCGCAGAAAAGGGGCAAGCTGTTGTTCGACTTGACCCATGTTTGGAGTTTCCTCACCGTGCAGCGGGCGAAAGATGACTGTGTCTTCACCAGGAGCGGCACAGCCAGCCTTACCAGTATAGACAGCAAGATGACCTTGTTGATCAAAGGTGAACAGCAAAAAGTTGCTCGTCAACAACCACATCGGTGAGAGCATCGAGTAGGTCAAGAATGGGACCATCGATGCTGGCCAGGCGCAAAGTGCAGTCAACGGCCCTCAGCGTCTTGGCATGGCGAGAAGCGCGCTTGACAATCTCCTCGACGAGGGCGGCAGAGCTGGGAACGAGGAGCTTGAGAGGTTCGGGCCAGCCAGGATTGCTGACCACGACAGAATAGCGCTGCATGGTTTGGCGCACTGTAGTGTGCAAGAAAGATGCACGAAAGGAAGAGGATGCTTGGTGGGTAAAGGAGTGGAAAAGCTAGAGGTGTTCCTATTCGAGAAGTAACGCGCTGGAATAGCTTGTCGCGAGTGAAGCCGAAAGCGACGGGAAGTTGCAGCCTGCTCGACCTGCTCGACCTGCTCGACATGTCTTGTGCTGTCTCGTCGTCGCCAAGAGACACGCGGCGTATTGTTCGGGAAGGTGCGACAGCTCCGGCTTTCGACATGCCTACTTTCGGAGCCTGCGAAAAGACACAATAATGATAATTACCTTGAACACTACCGATCATGCCGCCGAGAGTCTCAGCATCGACGTCTTCCGTTATCCGCTCCTATCTCGTGAGAATGATTCTGCCTCTTGATGACTGCATTTTCGTGCCTACCTTTGCCGGAGCCGGTCCAACTATCCAAGACAGATCTCGTCTCTGTTGCTGATCGGCCAGACGCGCGACCTACTGCTGATTATTCACGAAATCTTCTCCCAACTTGTCCCACATGTCTCTTGTCTCTCCAGCCCATCGAAAAAGATACCGCACTCATGCAGTCTTTCTGTCTAGGACGTACGACGTGGAACATTGTTTCTAGCGAGCGGACCGCAAAGGAAGTTGGCGGTCGAACTAGGAAACAGTTGCGCGGACTTCCAAGTAATCTGGATGATAGGAGCAAGAAGATCAGTTGGTCCAGGGAGCTGAGGTCGAGCTTCCTCTGCACGGACCGGCAAAGCTACTTCGCAGTCTGTGACAGGGTTACTGGCTCCTGTTCTGGTATACCGCTGGCAATTGTACAGTATTTGCTTCATCTTCAGGTCACTTGCATCTGATTGGTGCTCGAAGGGACAAAGCCTGTTGTCGATACGTTATTAGGTCACAGATGTCGTTGAATGAGAAAGGAGGGGCACAGTCAGGAAAGAAGCGGAAGGACGGAGGTTCGGCGGAGATGGTGCACGGACTCTGGATGACTAAAGATGCCATCGACGTCTTTCCAGAGGCTGGGAAAGAGAGTCGCACAGAAGGCTAGCTGGTTGTTGAGAGAGCGGCAACTCTTGCAACAAGGAAGAAGAGCGTCTCAAACAGTCAGAACAAGTTCGTCAACACAGCTCTCGTCCGAGCAGAGAATCGCAGAGTCGTCGACTCAGCATCCGGAAGATCGTCGGCGGATCAAAAAGAGGCCGGGCTTGGCAGATTGGGCATTTGTGTATTGGCTGAGAAGGACAATTGACCTCTTGCCCGCCACCACCGCATGTCATCACCATGGCGGCCGCAGGTATGTGTCAACCCGTATCCCTGGCAGAGAAGCTTGTAGAGAAGGCTTGGTATAGTCGGTGTTGACTTCGAGGCGGCGGTGTGGAAGGGAGTCGTGTGCAAGCGATAACCCCCCGCAGCAGCCTCAAGGCGAGACAAGACGAGATAGTCCAAGCCACCATGGACAAGTCTGCCATGACGAAGAACTTCGCTGACAAGTTTCTTCCCATCAGAATATGCGTGGCCGCGAAGGTCATCTATAAGCAGACCTCCCGACACGTTATCGCCAGTCTACCCAGACCGGCCCATCAGACCGCTACCAAAGAAGCGACTGCGAGAACAGCTGTCGCCCGAACAGCAGAGTCAGATTACATACCCCCCTGAAGCACCATCGACGTCGCCCCTTTTCAGCTTCCCTTACGGAGTCGTGGAAAAGATCGACGCTCGAGCTCTCAACCACCACGAGTCGCACGGTCACTGCACGTGCAAGGGTGACGACCACGTTGACGAGAGCGAAGACGACGAAGAGCTGATTGCATACGACCACCCAAGCTACCGCTGGTCATCCCCTGTGAACGACGGACCAAGAGTCGACAGCGTGCAGAGAAAACTGACGACAGCCAAGCCTCCAGCTCCGCCATCCACCACTTCTTCAGCCGATGGTTACGAGTCGTTCGAGAATACAAGCAACAAGAAGAAACGCAAGATACCCCTTTCTGGCGGAGGCAGTCTGCATCAGTCCAGCCTGTCGCAAGAGTTGGCAAACATGGGCATCTCGTCGAGGGAAGAGCATCAGCAAGACTCGAGGCAGCTGTCGGGCAGTGGTCGTGGGAGATTCGGCAGAGGGCACCAGGCCTATGCTTCATCGCTATCGGCAAAGTCACGAGGAGGAAACTGGAAGGGCGACGGCACGCGCACCAGTAAGAAATGCTGCTCAGACAGCCTTGGCGAGGCAGAAAGACTTACACTCTGCGCAGAACAAGCCACACCTGCCTCGGAGAACGGGAACGGCATCATCTCGCAAGCAATTGCTAATGCCCAGCAAGACCAGCAAGACCAGCAAGACCAGCAAGACCAGCAAGACCAGCATGCAGACGCCGACGCCGAGCACGAGGCGCCAATGACTCCGACAAAGCAGAACAGCGAGAGTCTGCTCGCCCGCTCTCCGTCAGCTACGACGACTCCGCAGACGCAGTTCACTTTTACCTGCGAGTCCGACTCTTCTAACAAACTTCTCTGGCCACAACAACCAACTCCCTCTCCCAATTCAATGCCTCGCTCACCCCTGGCCAACCACTCGACTTCACGCTCCCAACAGACTCAACCCCCCATTCACACCAATCCTCCTCCACCTGCTCAGAACACCCAACAGCAACCACCACCGCGCAAGCCTCGCCAACGCCGTCCAAGCAAAGAGTTCGCCCTCCAGGAACGTCAACGCCGCCTCCAACAGGAATACACAAACTATCACTCCCGCCCCACTCCAGCTTCCATGTGGATTTGCGAATTCTGCGAGTACGAAGACATCTGGGGCGTACGTCCCGAGGCTCTAATCCGCCAATATGAAATCAAAGACCGTAAAGAGAGGCAGAAAGCAGAGGAACGCCGACGTCTCCTCGAAAAAGCAAAGCAGAAGAACAGAAAGGGCAAGAAGAGCAATGCAAAGGGCAAACCCGCACCGTCGCAAAACTACCAGGACGAGAATGCTGGGCCGGACGAGAGACCGGACGAGGAAGATGCAGAGTTTGATGATGGATATGAAGAGCCAGGACCCGTCGATGGTAGAGACCGTGGCTACGCTGCTGATTACGCCTATGATCGGCCGCCGAAAGCGCCGGATAAAGAGGTATACCCACAACAGCAACCACAGCCTTTGCAGCAGCGGAGGCAATAGTTGCCCACAAAGATGTGATGGGGTGCAGTCATCATTGATCTCCTTTTTGTTTAGAAGCGTCTCGCCCTTTTGGACCACTTGACTTTTTTTTTTTCTCGCATTGTCTTTTTCCATCTCTTCTGTGTTTTACGGCCCGAAATCATCGTTTTTTTGACATCGTGTTCCCCCGATCACATTGGTTTATACCTGTCCTTTATTTCTGGCATGTTTCTTTTGGTTTTCACTGATTGCTGAGATACCTTTTTCGCTTTTTCGCTTTTTGTTCATGACATGCGTTTTTCTGTTCCACGCGCCCCCTCCCTCCCCCCCAACTCCCCTCTTTACTACAAAGAAAATGCATATATGTTTTCACCTAATTCTTCATCACCGAAGCTCCTTGTTCATTTCTTATTCTCTTGTCTAAGCGAAAGGTTACCTGCTGCTGTGAAGATGAGCCCAATCAAAACGAAACCCCTCCCGTCCCATCCAATCACCACCGCGAAAATACAAGTAGTATACCAGGCTGTGAAAAAGGCAGAGTGTTTATTCGCAAACAGAGGACCTCGCATGGAGAGCCCCCGAGAAATTGCGTCTCTCCGCGAAGGTGTCGTTATCTCGAAATATCATGCTGCCTTTTTTACAAGCTTGTTCCCACCCTACATCAATACGGGAGGGCCGAGTTCTTTGCATCCCCGGCAGGAGGCAATGCAGCATAATGGCTGTAAAAAGGCACAGTGATTTTCACGAGATAGCTGCTGGCAAGGAGAGTCTGTGAAAATGAGTCTCCCGGCCAGAGTGTGCTTTGTTTCTCAATATTACTGTGCCTTTTTACAGGTCCTCTTTGGGGGTACGACAAGAGCTGGAGGATGAAACAAATGCTATCATTAAGCAATTTATATCTCTATATGCATATTTGGGGCCTATATATATATATACATATATACAGTTGATTAGAAGGTAGGGATATATCGATGGGGTACACAACATTAGATACAATAAGAACAGTAGGGTAAATCATTAAACAAACGCAAGGGTATCATCATTAAAAAGCTACTTAATCTATAGTACAAGAGCTTATAGCCCTATCCTTCTCCTCTACTCATCGTAGTAGTGGAGTAGTGGTATGTGGAGGTTATCCAACATACCACTACCCATACCACTTCCCTGCCACTTGCGCAGCATCCTGACCCTGATGCCCGGGTCGTCGGTACACCAGAACGCAATCTCCCAGCCACGATATCCCTCCAGCAGCTTAGGGATGGCAACAGCAAGCTTAGCGACACCCCTAACGTCAAAGGTGTGGGCACCGACGTTGATCCACTGCCGGGTGCCCAGGCGGATGTTCTTGAGCCTGAGGTGCTCCAGGTTAGGGTGGAACAGGAAGTTGTGAGCCAACAGGCGGTTGACATTAGCACCGGTGTATCCAGAGGGGCTGTTGGGGGGATATACGAGGTTGGTGCCGTAGACCGTCGAGTCTTCGATGGTAATGCTTCGGAGGACTGGGTTGGCGGTACTGAACAGGCGGTCGTCGATATCGCAGTGGTACATCTCTATCTTCTCGTGGAAGAAGTGACACACGCTCTTAAAGGTCTGGTAATGGTAGGCGGTTAAGCCATGGCAGACCATCTTTTGCAGAGCTCCCTGACCGTGGTAGGTCACTGCGACTGAGGGTACAACCCAGCGATATGGAGAAGTGTCGTAGAATTGAAGAGTGATCTTAATGCCCGAAGGATTGCCGAAAGAGGAGAATCCGACCTGGATTCTGAGCATCCATTGACTGATTTTGCTGTAATCATCGGATGTGTGGCAGAGGGAGCCGATGGCTAGGGGTGCTTCTGGCAGCTCGATGATCATTTCGCTGCGACCCAAGCCCACGGCACGAGCAGCGCTGTACACAAACTTGTCCAGTTGTGCTACCAGACGACTGCCCGCGATGTGAGGGGTGACGGTCTCGCCGCCTGGGGAGGGACACCAACGGATACCCAGACGGCTAACATTTCCGATGGCACTGAGCGAAGCCAAAGCCTGTCGGTACAGGTTATGGTACGCGGCGATATTGCGTCTTTTGCAATCGACAACCAGAATCACTGTGTCAATCTGAGGGCCAAATTCGGCATGTTCGGCGGCAGAAAGCAGGTTTTGCAGGCCATTCTTGGTCAACGGGGCACGTCTGGTCTTGAAGTTATCAAGAAAGCGCTTCTGAGTCTGCTTTTTGAAAGCTTTGCTGACGGCGCGCTGGGTTGGAATTTCCTTGTCGTCTGCTTCGGCGGCGATCGTGGTCTTGAGTTCTTCAGGGAGTCTTTGCCATATTGTAGGGTTCATCTGCCAAAGTCTAGGGTCTAGATGGTGCGGAAACTGTGTGGTGTCAATCATTACCCCAAGATTCTTTGACTCTGGGAATACTACTTACGGGATTGTAACTCATGTTGCAATGATGGGTAGGAGGAATTGGTTGACGGCTGTGCTATTGACGAAAGACGAGCGCGATGCGAAGGCGTTGCTGTCGTCGCTTTGGGTCTTCTAGGATAGATGCAAAGTCGAGCAACGAATGATCGAGATTTCAGCGGTCGATTGTCAAGGTCAGACGCAGAGCTGAGCAAGGAGTGGTACAGCAAAAAGCGATCGAGCGCCAGAATAGTTGAGAGCGTATGGAGGAGAGATGGTCGAGCAATTGGTGGTCAAGCCACGATGGAGTCGAAGGTGTGAAAGTCGCAACAAGTGATCGAGCGACGAGCAAGTAGGCAACGAGCGATTGAACGACGAACGACAGCAGACAGACAGTGGCACGATGTGGAAAGTGAAGGCCCCTCGTCGAAAGTCAAGCGATCATTACTAGCTATGACATGCTCCAGATACAGAACACACATCACGATCACAAGGAGGCAACGCATCAAGTTGAATCCCCCATGGCTGCGTATCTATGAGCTCTGTTCCTCTCTTTCTGCCTTATCGGCCTCCTGCCCGTCTTTCTCCTCCCCTGACTCCCTCTCCTCGTTCTCTGAGCCCTGGATGCTGAGCTGGGTGCTGCCCGCGAGCTGTGAATCGATCTTTTAGAAGATAGACACTTTCGTAGTTGATGTGGTATGATGTGCAAGGAGAAAGGTTTGCAAATAGATCAATGGCTTGTCAAGTATGCGCGTTGTTTGTACATGTTGATGCCGGGGAATCGCAGAGATAAACTCGCGGAAGCTTGTAGCACAGCAATAGCTATGTTGGCTACCATCAACTTCGTCTGAGCATAGCGCTCTGCTCTCGACGATTACTTCTCCGCGCTTGCTTTCTTGAACCATCTGATCGAGAACACTCTCCTCTGTTTACGGTGACACAATCCTCCTATAACTAACTTTTGCTCCATTACCTCCGACTCAGGTTTTTTGCCTCGACTCCGCCTCCGTGGCCATTAATAACCCGCTACTGACCAACAACCGTTTCACTCGTGTCAGGACCGATCGCGACATACTCGCCAGCTCAACGTTCCTCGACCATCTGTACCCAGCGCTCGACGTCACTGAGCATGTATTGAGCGCAATTCAGTCTGTTGCGCTGCCAAAGATCTATGTATCCGCCATGATCAAGAGTATTTTTCGATACCTCGCCCGAAAACCGCCTCCCGTTCTCGACAGTCCTCTCTCCGCACTTGCTCTTCGAGTCATCTGAACGAGGGCGCTCTACGCCAGTCACGATGACCTGCCCAATCCATCTCTCCTTGTTGCTTCGTCATCTCTGTTACAAGTTCGTTGTCACGAGTACATCTCCGTTGCACTCGTGTCAACATCAATCGCGGCATGATCGCCAACTCGACATTCCTCGGCCATTCTGTTCAGCGCTCCATCTTACTGAGCATACGTTGGGCGCTAACCAACATATTTTGGTACTCAAGATCTCTGAATCGGCCATGTCCAGGTATTGTATTCGATGCTTTGCCTAAGAACCGCATCACTTTCTGGACGATAGTCTCTCGGCACTTGCTCTTCAAGCCAGCTGATCGAGAGCACTGTTTTTCAGTTACAATGATTTGACCCTTTCGTGTTTGCTACATTACCTCTAACTCTAATCCCTGTTCCAGGTACACCTTCGCGACTGCCTGGAGTTCGCCACCAACTGAGTACCGTTGCATTCGTGTCAAACACAATCATGGCACATTCACCATCTTATCGTCCCTCGAACATCTATCCCCCAAGCAATTCATCTCACCAGGCGCGCATTCAATACCATCCAACATTTTCCGCCACCAAATAACCCATGGGTCGACCATGGCCAGGAGTTGTCCTCGACACGGTCTTTACTCACGACTGCCCACTCGAGCTATGAACATCGACTCTGCCCCGATATCTTTGACTTATTCTCAATCCTTATTATAGAAAATAATTAGCGATATTACACGTAAAAATAATGTGTCTAACTAATCAAGAACAGGAGTCCGAGTGTTATGCCCGTCCATTTTAGATAAGATGATAGATCACGGTATTAGACTTATAAAGCTAAGTGTGAAGCAAAGTGGAGCAGATAGTGTGTAAAGTAGTAAAATATTCTTCAATTGTATTACTTGTTACCCTAGCACCTCAGATTGAGGTTATTGGCAGAAACCAAAGACAGCATCGGGATATGGAACACAATGGAGGGACGGATTGCAGCAGTCGCTATCATAGTGGCAGAGGTAGTTGTCGCTCAGACACTGAGCGCATGTGCCCTGGTTGCCGGCGCCCTGCGCGATGTTACACAATTTGCCCGCTCCACAACTGCCCTGAATCGAGAACGGGGTGCTATACTGGACAGTACAGGCCGTAGGAGCGGCGGCAACAGTTGTCACGGAAGTGTAGGTAAAGGTCTGTACCGCGGCAGTGATAGTAGATGTTGCGGCGGTAATCGTCGAGGTGACAGTGGGAGATGTCGCAATCAGACTGCAAGCTCTCGAGACAACCGAGGCAGGGTATTTAGTGAGAACATTAGGGGTGGACAAAGAACTGGCCTGACGCTTGGCGTTGGCTGCAGCGGTGGTGGTTGAGTACAAGGTAGTTGTGACCACAGGTGAGGTGGTAGTCAAGGCAGTGGCAGACACAGTGGGTACACTGTATCCGAGTACACTGGAGCAAAAAGGCTGGAAGGTTGAGGTTAACTGCGAGGGGAAATAGGTCATGTCCTGGCGGGCCTGATAGATGGCGCCGTTATTGTCCCCAATTTTGGGTGCGACGCCGGGGCTCGATGAGTTGGCAAAGGTGTAAGAGTAACCGATGAAATAGCGATCAGAACCGCGATTTTGACCCGAGTTGACAGCATACGAATCGCTCCAGACTTCGGTGTAGATGGCACAGTACTGACCCTGAGGAGAGCTGGCATCGTTCTTGTAAAGGATGTAAGTGTTGAAGAAGTTGCAGACCTTGGGAGGGGTACCATCGGCTGCAGGGTTGGCAAGGTCATATTGAGTTTGAGCAGAGCAGTAGTCGGCGCAGAGCTGGATGTTGAAGGGACCCTTGGTAAAGATGGTAGAAGTGATGAAAGTATTGTAGCCCTGAGCGTCATATGGAGCATTGATTGCAACGTTGTTGTAGGCAGCCTTGAGTGTATAGCCGGCGGGAATAGTCAGCGAATTGTTTTGGTAAGCGTTAGACCCAGCGACAGCAATCTCGAACTGATTGCGCATTTGGCCTTTGTTCACAGCGTTTGCGATTGTGAGCGGGCCGCCCCATAGAACACATTTAGCGTAGACAACACTGGAAGGATTGGCACAGCCAGAGCTTCCAGTACCGGGGTCAACGGAAGGGTCTCTCTCGAAGTAGATGTTGAATGCCATGCATCCGACAGCCTTCGAGCACTTGGCTGCACATGCGTTAGTGTCGTAGCTAGCAAGGTTGGAGTAGCCCAGGTAGCCGTAGGCCGAATTGGCACCGGCAGCGTTCAGCACAGTGTTGACGTAGCCGGACGGGACAGGTGCTTGACTAGCGATAGAAGCCCAGGAGCTGTTGGCCCGAAAGTCTGAAGCCGTGTCGGCGCTAAGGGCATAAGCGGCGATTCCGGTAGGCAGTGCGGTGCATGCTGCTCGAGCACCAAGGTCCCTCTTATCAACGGCGATGGGAGTAGGCGTGACAGCAACCCACAGGTTCGACTTAGGGTCGAGCGTAGATGAAGCGTTGGTCGAGTAGGACATCTCCGAGTAGGAGGTGATGTCTCTCTTGCTGACCATCGCAGTGCCGCTCAGAACATCTGTCACCGCGGCAGAGGCACTGGTGATCGCAGCGGTGGCCTCGGCAAGGATGGCAGTTGTATCGTAAGTGACAACCTGGGCAGTGAGACCTAAAATCTCGGTATATGTTGGGTCAGGGGCAGCTTCGACCATGTCAAGGTCGATGTCCTGAGGTCTGGGCATAGCAGCGATCAAGTCGGCCGCTATAGCGGCAAGAGCATATGATGAGAAACGCATCTTACACTTGATGAAGACAGTACTGAATTTCAATGAGAGATGAGTTAGAATCGGAATTGTACTGGCTGCAGTCGTCCTACCTTATATACCCACAGCTTCCTCTCACAGAAGCTGTGATAAAGCCGAGGTCTCGACTCGACTGAACGCTAGACAATGCTCTCTCGAAAGCCACACTCAACAGCAGCTGAAGATCCTAGGAGGCTTGGAGAGGCTTGATAAATACGGGGCGAAAGCTTCGCTCAGGGACCTATCCGCGTGGAGGGCAATGGAGAAAGAGTCAAGCTTGCTCATTTCGAATGAGGAGAAATCGCGACCCTCCCGTGGCCGGATCTGCCGACGATATTCCAAAACAGGTTAGCGAGAGAGGACCACCAGATCTTGCAGCTGAAGATCTAGGAGGCTTGGCGAGGCTTGATTAATACGGGGTGGAAGCTTCGCTCAGGGGCCGTTGCGCGTGGAGGACAACGGAGAAAGAGTCAAGTCGACCCACCACCGGATTTTGGAGAACTTCCGGGTTTCCTTCCCGTTTGTTCCTGCATGACACCTGCTGACATGTACAAGCCACAATCCTCCGTCAATAGCGATCGGAGCTTACAATGCGAGCCTAAATATGCTGAATCAACGACTTCGTCGAAAGGGACTCACTTCGCGACAAGATCGCGTGTCGCGCGAATACACCGACCTCGAGTACGCCATTTTCTGCCGTCTCTACGAGCGAAACCTGGGGCTTGGGTTTGAGTTCCTGCTGCTCTCTAACTCTCAACCTGCCAAATTTACTTTTGCAGACCGCGTTCCCTGGTCACGACGCGGCAAGGAAGTTAATCTTCGATCGGGCTAGCATGATTTTGGACTGCACAAATTGCAAAAGACTGGCCCAGGCTTCGAGCTGAAAGATGTCATCTCCAAATGCTCGCTACGGGCCTCGCGGCCAGGGGTTGCCCAAACTCGGTGGAAGGTCTCGTTATGTTCTTCCTACGCGATCTAGCCTGCCTGCGAGAGCTTAAAACTCTGTCCAAGACAACTCGCTTTCTCGAGTCCGAGACATCTGTATGACGGGGCAACTTGCTTATCGGCGCCAACTTGCCGCTGCTTGGGCCTTTGTATGCATCATTTATATAGGACATCTAAGTAATAGAATTGACGTGACTTAGCTACAAAATCGACAAGTTCAGAAAGTCGGGGGCGGCGGGTTATCTATCATGACTTTCACACACGGGAATAGTAGCCAGCTTCGCCGTTGAGGTGCCGTAAAGCCTGATTCGCACATTCTGCAACAAGGCTTCATATTTGTACGTATTTCCCCTCAAAACACGGTCTTATTGCAAGGTGCTTTTTGTGACAAGGTCTAATAACTGCATTTCAATTTCAAGACCATCGCATACTAGAGTAAGAAGAGCGCGAGCGCGGAATAGCAGATGATGCTGTGGAAGCGCGAAGCTGGGCCTTGGCGTCACCTGGGGTCGCTGAGGACCACGGTTCGAGCCGGTGCTGAACACGAAACCCCTTTTGCCGTCGTTAGTGGTCACACCTTCCCCAACAGCATTGTGGGCGAACATCTTGCATGATACTCTGTCCAGTGCTTCTCCAGTACATGGAATATCTGAATTCCAGGCTTGTTGGTCAATACTGGCTCACTCCCCGAATAATCGGGAGCCATCGCTCAGACTCAAAGTGATACATCTCACAGTAGAAATCATCCCCAGCAATCAAATATAGTGTATCTGACACAGCTGTTGCATCTGCAGATTTCTCTCTCCCTCGATGTTATGTGTCCCTTACAATGTGAGGACTAGTGCCTTGATCTTCAAAAAGAAATCTTCAACAAGTCCAAACAACAATTCGCAAGTCATTTCTACCAGTGCAATGTTCCCTCAAGCGAAGACTCGATAGACAAAAAGAAAAATGGCATAAAGGAAAATGGCAAAAAAGAATAAAGCAAAAAGGGAAAAAAATAATTGGAGCTAGCGTGTTTCGATCCCGCTACCTCCCCCTGCTTTAATCCCTCTCTATGGTCTATAGGTGGAGGCACAGGAGACGCTCTTCCGATTGAGTTATAGCCCCTTGATTGGTGGAAGCGAGGTAACTGGGTCGTCTTACGACTGTAGCTACTGATTGTGCTGGACTTGCCACCTTGAGAGTTCAAGTGGATGAGATGGAATGCGTTATGAGAACGTGAATTTTTGGGAGGCTGTCATTGGTCCGAAAGTATAGGGTAGAGATAATCTTGATGAAAGAAGGGAGCGCCTCGTAGCGACTGAGCGTTGTGCCTCCAGCAATTCGACTATTGGCTACGTGCGGAAGAGTAACATGCTTTGTTTCAACGAAGGCTCAACAGCTACATCAGAGTGTAGATAGACAGCAAAAGACTGATCATTACATTGAAATGTGTCTTGATACTCTTTGTCTGAAGAAAGGTCGTACAAGGCTATCCATCTCCATGACGGCTGACATGAACAACCCAGACCTACTCGACGCCTTGACGTTCATAGCATACAACTTTTGTCTCTTCTCCTTTCCGACCTCCCTTCCTTCCTTTCATGACACAGTGCCGTTACTCGATGTGACCGACCTCCAGCGTCTCAACAGAATCTGTTCAGCGTCGTAGGGTGTCAGTGTGTTATGCTGCAAGAGTTTTGGTCAGCGGTGCTGGACAGAAAAGCGACAAGGCGGTGTATGCTTACCTCTCGTGACGGAAGGCATGCCACCATAAGCTGCTGATGGTGGGAGGTCGATCGAGGTTGATTGTACCATCAGACATTCACAAGAACTCCTGAACCTCGGGCATGCGGCCTTGGAAGTACTTCATGACACATTCGCTGCAGAGGGCGTTAGCTCCAATCGTCCCTAAAGGCAATCAGGGAGACTCACTCGAGAGGATCGTTGCGCTGGGGCTTGGGACCTTCGAGAACGGCGAGGGCGTGGTCACGCTGGACGTTGTTGTACTCGATGCTGTCGGGTCCAAAGAGCAGAGACACTGAGATCAATGTCAGCAAGATGGCTCTGGCACTCCATGCCAGCGTAAGGATGGGGGTCACTTAACACGCTGGTACTCCATAGCACGCTCGGTATACTCGTTATTCCAAGAGGGAGTGGTAGGGGCGTACTCGACGAAAGTCTCAGACAGGGGCTCGAACTCTTCCTTGTGCTCGTCACCAAAGGGTGAGACACAGGCAGTAGCAGGGTTGACTCGCTCGACCTGAGTGGGCGAGGTGGAAGTGCTGGAGAGACTCGAGGCAGTGTGGTCGTTTTCTTCGTCGTCGGCGTGGAGGGAGAAGCCCTCGGTAGCCAATGTGTGATCGACTCCATCGTTGAGGGAGAAGCCCTTGATAGCCAATACATGGGCGACCTTGTTCTTAGTGCCGTCGTTGATAGATGAGTTGGAAGTCCTGCGTGTGCCCATGGAGACAGAACAGAAGTTGGACAGAGTAGACGAGTCGGAAGACGAGCTCAGGCGCGAGCGAACGCGGGTAGTTCTGGCATCCTCGAACATAGTCAGTGATGTACTGGAGGAAATTGACACGTCGAACTTGGGGACAGGAATGGCGTAGATAGGGACGACAGAGTTGCTCTTCTCAAGAATGGTCTGGTTGACAAGGACGACGCGTGAAGGTGGAAGGTCGTCAAAGTGGTTTTCAGTGGCGGCGGGCTTGCAGCACTTGAACAGGTCGAAGAAGCGCATCGTGCTGGTTATGTTGGTGTTGTTGTTGGAATGGAGGTTGTGGTTCGTGAGACTGAAGATATTGCAGGGGCAGGTTTGGCGAGTAGTTGTATGATATGTTGGGGGAGGGGAAGAAGAAGAGGCAGTGCTATGTGTGTGGTTTAGGACGTGATGTTCGGCCTCTACGCGGGGCCGCCGCCAGTCCATCCATGAACTTCTATGTTAAAGCTCCGAGCTGCACGAGAGCTTTGACCCATTACGACATCTTTCGCAACCAGAACGTTCTACATGTACATTACGTGTAGGCCGGCCAGTCAACCACAGATCTGATGCTGAGCGGCGCATTTTTCCTCTACCAGAACTCCTGATGTACTCGATTGTGCCAACCAAGGGACTTCCCCTGCCACTCCGATCGTCGCATCCTTCCTCGAACACTTTAGTCTCAATACATCTACTGCGCCCGCCGGCTACTGGAGAAAGAACACACACACTCATCCAGCTAACGCCATCGTGGACCAAGAGAGGAGACGCAAAGAACATGCCATCATCCTTGCGTCCAGTCCAGTCCGAGCCGGCCTTTATCTTCACACGTCTCATTCTGTCGATTCAGCTTTTCACCGCAAGCTTTCAGCAACGACACTTTGTTCTCCCATACGCTGGGAATATACCCAAGAGACTGAGATGGTGTCCATCCTAGCCAACCACTAACCTTCCGGTCAAAGATACTCGAGGGTGCGTCCTTCAATGGTGCCTGGTATCCTGATTGAAGAGAGTTGTCGCAGAAACCTCGTCTTATATCTTGTCTGTCACCGAGTTGAGCGTAGACTAGCTGACATGACAGTAAATCCAGTCTCTCACCAGTCCCTTTATCTCACGCAGAGATAATCCTCACCCGGACTGATCTTCAGTGCCTGGTCAAACCAGCATCCGATACTTTGCAGCATACAGAGATACCGCCATGGTACTGCCCAGAATGCGACTCTCCATGTCAGAAACACTTGTCCGCCTCACGCAGCTCTTGGGTGCCTTCATCGTCGGCAACATCCAGGTGGTCTCATCATCAAGACATTTTAGCTCTATTCGTATCCCGCCTGCAGCTTGGTGACTTTATCTCCTTATCCAACAAGGGACCATCGCCTCAGGAGCGATGTCAAACCTGTCCACCCTCGAATAGTCATGGAAGCTTCCAATCATCAAATTGAAATGACGGCATGCTCAAATAGTCCAGGGAAGGAGGGACTCTACGAGCGATGCATCACATGGAGAATTGATCATTGCCATCGTTTGGATGACTGGAAGGCGGGATGCTCCGATTGGTTGGCAATCCAGGGTCGGGTAAGTTGTGTCTTTATGATTGGCAGGAAGAACAGTCTTCATGCACCATTTTTGAGTCCCTTGTTCTGGGGCTTTGTCTGAAAAAGGCTTCCTCCATAAATTTGATCGAGAGAATGATGTGATCGATCTACTCGTCTCCATCTTGGGTACTTACCGATTTTGACATAATGATCTGTAGTTAGAGGCACGACCCTGTCATATTTCCGTCACGCCATAAATGTGTCTTTTCCGTCTCGAAGCAAGTGGTGTTCTCAGGATTATGTTTTGAGATAATTGAATGAGTCAAAACAATAGAACAGATGAGAGCAGTCTGAGCCGCAAATAAAGTGTGGCGATGTGAGGTCCAGAAAGGTGTTTAGATCTAGAAGCCGTTGACTACCGAGGTAAAACCTTCTTCGACTCGAAGACGTCAACGCCCGCCCGCGCATTCGCGACGAAACAACCAACTGCAGTCCGCAAAACATACACACATCTTGATACTCGCTTTTTGGGATCGCTAAATCTGGCTCTACGTCTCCGCCAGTCTGTTTTGACCCAATTGATTCGACAAAGAGCAATCCTGAACAAAGCAATCATGACTGATCAGCCCACCGACGCCCGAGAGCGTCTTCGCCAAAACTTCCTCGATCACGACCCAAAGCAGCACCCCAATCGCTGGGAGCACCTTTGGCAGCAAGACGACCTGCCCTGGGACAAAGGCTTTGCTTCTCCGGCTTTGGCTGATGTTTTGGCTGATCGCAAGGATCTGCTCCCTGCCGCTAACTCGGGCCGCCGTCTCCGCGCTTTGGTGCCCGGATGCGGTAAAGGCTATGATGTGCTTTTGCTTGCCAGCTGGGGCTTTGACGCTGTTGGTGTGGAGGCTGCTGCCACGGCTGTCAAGGCTGCTAATGCTGAGTCAAAGGGTTGGGAGGAGAAGCCTGAGTATGCTGTCAAGGACGAAGCGAAGGGCCGCGGAAGTGCCAAGTTTGTTTTCGGCGACTTCTTCGAGAAGGACTGGGAGAAAGACGCAATTGGCGAGGATGGTTCCAAGGAAGGACAGTGGGATCTGATCTACGACTATACTGTAAGCACACCTCTTTGAAAGTGCTTGTGTTTGAGTACAGTCACTGACCGTGAGAAGTTCTTGTGTGCTTTGCCGCCAACACTGCGACCCAAGTGGGCTGCCCGTCAATCGTCTCTACTCTCACCGACTGGCCGTTTGATTTGTCTCGAGTTCCCAACTTACAAGCCTCCTTCGACTGGTGGTCCACCATGGGCTCTCCGCCCGGAGACCTACCTTGCTCACCTTACCCAGCCCGGCAAGGAGGTCGAGTACGACGGAGAAGGGCTTGCCATCTGGAATGAAAGTCAAGCCCCTGGAGCTGGAGCTCTGGAGAGGATTGCGCACTGGAAGCCTGAGAGAACTCACAAGATAGGCGAAGGTACCGATAACGTCAGTATCTGGAAAAGGAAGTAGACGAGAAGAGGACACAAACGCCGCCGAAGATGCCGAACTTCGAAGTAGATGAAACTCCTCATCTCTGCTCCGCTCTGCCACTGTTCACCCGTCCAAATTCCCGTTGCCTCGAGTTCTTTACTTGCAATCACACTACTTTGTCTTCTCATATTCAACGTTGAATCAGAGTCGTCGTACAGGCAAATTGATTCAGAAAGCTGCATGTGTTCTCATATCATCGCTATCAGGAGTCCGGGCCTCGATCGAGTTCTCGAGCTCTTGTAACTGACACAGCGGCGAGAGGACGCGGATGGTACCTGTGACCTGTTCTGAGAAGGCTTGAATTGTATGGTATCGGCAAATACTGTGTAGATAGTCTCTAGAGAGGTACAAGTTGTCCAAGCATCATAGACCCCGACTATTGGTCATAACAGTCTGCTTGCGGCCGCGAAGATGTGTTCCAGCCTTACTACATGATGTTGAGGCTCCGAGCTCCTGACAACACTTGCTTCAACAAGTGTGTTGTACTGCCACTGATTGTTCTGATCAGGCAATCGATAGATCAGACGAAATCGTTTGTCGTAGCCTAGACCGCGGGCTCTCGTGCCAGCATCTACTCCAGCCTCTGTCGTGTCAATTTCGACATCATCTACAAGAGTTTGGACTACGGGCTCTCGTACCAGCATTCACCTCGGCCTCTCTCGTGTCAAAGTCGACCTCCTCCTCTCTCACTTCTGACTTCCGACCGTGAATTTCGAACCCGCCAAATCGCACGTTACAGTCACGCGATTTTACACTCAATCAACGCCGTTTCTCGCGCCCGTACCACTACAGTCTTCGACGATGTGTCGACAGCGAGTCTTCGGGCACCCGATTCCTCAGCTTTGACTTGCCCGGCATTGAGCTTCCTGAACTCCTGTCCCCCGACACTGAGCCTCCCGGTGTCGAGCTGTGCCGCAGACTCGACGACCTCGTCTTGGTCTTCAGCGCATCAAACAGTTTCATCGATATCAAGGGCAGACACAAGCACCCGGGTCCCCACAGCTACAAGAACATGCCCGTTGTTGGTCACGACGACTTTCGCGGCATTCATCACGAAGCGCTCTTCAAGAAAAACCTTCTCACAACCCTCGACATTGGCTAGTGTCAACTGGAGCGCTGGGTCTTTATCCGCCTCCTCGCCAGAGACAGAGGTTCTCTGCGCGAAATCAAGCTCAAAGACGTCGCCCTCTTCAACAACTCAGTTTTACTCACAGCGGATGAGTTTTTGATGACCCTACGCTCTGCAATTCTTCACTTGGAGGTCTTGGAGTTTGTCACGTTGAGAAACGTCTTCAATTCGTGCCATGTCACTGGCGAGGGTGAACTTGCGTTCAGGCACGAGAGATGGATCGGCCGTAATCAAGTCTTGATGGCCCGGGCAAGACGTTTGGAGCTGTCTCTCCGCTCAGTCGATGGCTCTTGGGTTAGAAAGGCATACTTCGTAGAGGGTATCAGCATCTATGACGAGGAGGATCTCTCGGAGTGATGCGGTCGAGTAGCAGTGTAATAGTAGTATAGCCTCCATAGCCCCGAACCCCATCGCCCAGACACATCCGCTCGATAAATCATAGCTGTTGAAAGGCAGAATCGATTTGCCATCGTCCAACATGGTGTTTGAAACTGCAGTATTCATGGCCTCTCCGTCGAAGCCGTAGGCAGCTAACAATAGTACATGCGTTTTTACATCACGACTCGATACCGCCTGCGTCCATTGAGAGCCATTATCCATGAAGCCTTCACTTCTCTCGTCGCTCAACGAGCATTACACTGTGCATCACTTCATGAATTTCAAGCTCCCTTTACCTCTCCTTCCCTCCTTCAACAACCACAAACATGAGCACTACCGCTCCCAATTCCTCTGCTGCACCTGCCACCCTCGCTGGTATGGTTGCCCCTCAAGCGTCCCATGCTCGAACAGAGTCACCCCGTCGTGCCATTGACTGGCAGCAAGGTACGTACCTCACATCCGTGACTGCTTGTAGAGATCTTACTAACAAAGCTTCAGAACGCCTCGACCTCGGGCCAGAAACTCTCGCCCACCGGGCTCACACACTCGCAGCCCTCGCGGGCAGGAATCCATGGCTGGAACCTACCCCAGTAAGCTCGCCTCTGCATTCACGCAAGATCTTACAATACTGATACATGTATAGGAGCAGCTAGAGGAGTTTGCCTGTTGGCTGGTGGCTGAGGGGCACGGGGAACTCTTGTTCAGATAGGGGAGGGGGAGGGAGAAAGTGCGCTTTTCGCCTTCGGGCAAGACCTTCGGGTATGAATACATGACTTTATGAGCAAACCTGTCTTTGTGCAGAGAGGCGTCAGCCAGACAAACATTGCTATGTGGATCGTGAACAGTGAAGTGACCATTGTGTGCCCGGTCAAGCCCTCGATAGTGACCGCTTCGTGGGTTGGGAGGTCATATCTTCCATCGACTCTCGCTGTCGCTATGCGGCATGCATCTGCACCTGTCGAAAGGCAAAGTAATATTGGCGGACAGTCATCACATGTAGGACAGACGCCGAAGCCTATGATCTCGACGGACAGCTCACGATATATCAAAACATTTATGCCTTTCCACATCCATCAACTTATCCTGTAGACTCAAGATGAAGAAGCGACAGACACTGTAAGAAAGACTATGTATCAAGCGAAATGGCAAAAGCAAAAAAGAAAGCACAACTGCCAGGAATTGAACCTGGACTCTTCGCTCACTTGCTTCTCTATCCAAGATGTGCCTTATCCAATGAAGATCTTCTCGTTTAGAACAAGAGGCGATGCGCTACCATTGCGCCACAGTTGTCGATTTGATGTGAGGGGCTGGATATGGTTGGTTAGTAAGGGCTTATTCAAAGTGCATGGACCGTCCGGATGGAGCTAGCGAGCCAGGAGATGGGACGTCAACAAGAAATCATGGGCGCAGTTGACAAGAATTAGCATGTCTGGGCACCGTTTGCGATCGTGAGGTCCTTCTTAAAGATGCACAGAACATGGACGACTTACTACGAAGTCCAGATTGATGCATGTATCATATCTGATCGAAGGTCATCGTGGGTACAGCGCTTCGGCGATTCAATCAACCTTGCTTGGAATCTACATGTTCTGTCTGCTCATCTCCATCACGATGCCATGGGACCCATTGGTGAAGAGAGCCATACATCCAACATCTTGTCCGTAGCTACATCAAAGCGAGTCAACTATTCATGTCGTCTTCGTCGGACAGAGACGAGGGGTAGCTTTTGTGAGCTGTCCGGTGCATCTTCGTGAGCAACTATCCAGACAACGTACTTTAGGTGCAACCTCAGAGCTCAGTCACGTCACATCAGGGGATCATGTCTTATCGAGCGTGAACTTTCTTTTGACTTGGATGCAGCCCGAAGATATTGTCTCTCTGACTTCATCTGACGGATGTCCTCGTGTCTGAATAGATTTGTGCAAATTCGCGCTGCTTAGTCTTGCTGCAGAGGGAACAGGATCCGTAGTGACAATATTGGATGAATCATCTATCTTATCTAGGGCATGCATCGTTTATGACTGTCCTGAGACCCAGGCTTTTCCAGGGCTTGCAGCGACAAGCACGAGGAGAGAACTTCTTGCTGGATTTCAGCGGGCTTCCTTGATCTGACAAATGATTGCGTCTCTTGAACAGCTCATTATACTCTAAATCGTGTGGAAGGAGAGGCAAAGTGTGGATCTATGACACATGTTCGTGGAGGTGCGGAGATGCGAGATCAGGCGATTCACGTCGTCAGTTTATCTACAATACCTCACGGGACTATTCTACGTGATTTCACCACAAACAAACTCTCGTCTGCGCGTCAGCTTCTACGCACTTTGATCATCCTCCGACACAACTCTGCAACACCGATCAAGCGCAAACACTCTCTCACAACATCATCAACCTACCTTATCCATCACCATGTCTATTATCTTCCTCCGACCTATCTTCCTGATCGCTCTGATCATCAACTTGGCCCTCCTCGCCCTCACCATCTGGGGCGCTCTGACCATACACAACTCTGACATCTGGATTGTCTTCCTCATCGCTCTGATCCTCGGCATCGGCTATCAGATTGCCTACGGTAAGTCCTTGTTCCCTACTCTGATCGTCATTCGACTAACGAGACGACAGTCCACTTGTGTCGTAAGAAGGCGACCGACCCCGAACATCACAGCCGCATCTTCATCCACCTGCGCAACTTCTATGACCGTAACACGTCTTCCAAAACACAGACAGTAGCGACTCCAGCGATGGCATCGACAGTTCAAGCGTTCGCTTCATACAACGTCCTCGAACCAGTACTCCTGAGTCTAACGCTCCTACTCTCGTCGGTCATGACGTTCCCCCCCACTGCGGTACTGAAGCGGGCTATGCCTTCAGATATCCTGGCAAGACTGCTGCTACTGTTGCTCACCCTGAACCTGCTCACCCTCGCACCGAGCTTCGCTCTACTACTCCTGGCGTTCCCATCGTTCGTCTTGAGGGTCGCCGTGGCCGCGTTCTTCTACGCGCCACCAACACTATCACTTCCACAACCCCTTTGCCTACTGGCTCGGCTCAGCCTTGGGTCTTCCTGCACACTGTCAAGCAGGAAGCTCCCACTGCCCGCACTGAAGGTGTTCGTGGTCGCTTTGTTCTTCGCTCCGTCAAGCCTGCTGCTCCTGTCACCGAGGCTGACAAGTGACGCACTCACTTCCGTCTTCGCGCTGCCACCCCTTCGACAATCTGAGTTCAGGTTTGCAACCCCTCTGCTATCAAACACCATGACACCGCTGACAGGTACCAGTGACTGTGAAGCCATTGTCTTGCTACAACTGACATGACAAAGGAGAGAAACACTACTTGACGCATTACACGAGACACAATCAAGGGAGCGAACGCCATCGGGTCAGGACACTCTCATGGTGCAATCAGTGACCTTGGACTTGGGATGATGTGTTTCAAGGATATGGCTCTGCATTTGTCGGATCACGATAGATCGACAAGAGAAGCATGAAGCATAATGAATTCAGGGCAAACAAAGTGCAGAAGCACTCATACACAAGAGAAAGTAGTCAAAAGAACAAAAAACAATAGCATTTCCTCACTCTAAATACAAATTTTGCCCTCTTGCCTATTCCTACACCTTGACCTACTCAAGTGAAATCTCATTAGGATTGCTATACCACTTTGTCGTGTAAACAAAGTTCGAAGGACTGTTCATGGCAGAAGCCGTACGTCTAGTCGCTCTAGGTGCATAAGTCGGTCTTCCCTGATCCACAAACGATGCCGTCGAAGCTTGAGCAGGAATTGTATCTAAATAAGTAACGAGATCGTCTAGTGATTCTGTGTATTTGCCAAAAGATGCTGCGTGGCGGGCAACTTTTTTATCGTAAGGCTTCTTGAACTTTACACCGTTTGAGGTCGCACTGTGGTTGTTAAACGTGAACTCCTCTCCAGTCGAGTAGCCGCCTCTGCCTGACTTTGCTATTGCTGGTTCGTCATTCTTGTTCTTACTAGATGGGGAGCCGCCTTTGGTTGACTTTACCCTCTGTGGATCATCATCTTTGCTCTGACTAAACACTTCATTGTGTGCTTGCTCTAAGCGTGCAGCGTGACGAGCAAACCCTTCAGCATAGAACTTGGCGAGATAAGGGTCACTGAAGGGAAGCCCAGGAATGAGGCTGAAGTTCAGCCCAGGGGTTGGGTTTGTATGATGGTTTCTTGCGGATTCCCTTTTCTTGGGATCACGATGAATACACTTCTCGCCAAATACGAAGGGACATCGCCCGGAGTGGGTATCGTGAGACTCGAACTCTTCGTTTTGGCGCTTCTTGGACCCTTTGCCGCCAGAGAGGCCGCCGGTAGTGGGGTGCTCAGAAAGTTTTGTAGCCACTTTCACACTTCCGGTTTCACCAAATCTGGGCTTACCATCGGATTCAGGTGCAGTAAGACAAGTGACTTCTTCGTCGTGACGCTTTACGAAAGTAGCTTTATTGCGGAAGCGACCACGGGGAGTGGATGGAGTGGGGTCGCCTCCGGATGGCTGGATGTCCTTAACAGCCCTGGAAGCTGTTCGTGACGATGAAGACGGATTAGCGAGCGACTTGGATGATGATGGGGAGCCAAGAAGTGGGTTTGAGGAAAAAGAGAACGGCGAGTACGTCTTCGACGAAGAGCTAGATAGCATATCTGTTGAGAAAGGGCTAAGGAGCTTCTTGGACGAAGACGAAGAACCAGACAAGATCTTTGATCGAGTGAAGGAACCGACAAGTGTCTTCGGCGATATAGAGGAAGAGCTAGGAACCAAAGTTGAGCCCGACAAAGAAGAAGAAGACTCGACAGGCGAAGTCTTCTCAGCAATCTTTGTGGCAGTCATCCAACCAGCCCCGCGTGGCAAAAACATGTATGTCGGGGGTAGAGGCGCCTCTTGTGCTCCAACTGCATCCGCAAAAGCGGCCAGAGGGCTGTTGCGAATGTTTGCATGCCAGTTTCCCCTTGATTTCATGGGCAGTCTCCAGGTCAGAGAGTAGCTATCACCCTGTCGAGTAAACAAATAAGAGCCGTGGTGGCCAATTTTGAGTCCGATTCTAGCAAATGCAGACTTCCAGAACGACTCACCGCGCTCTGGTTCCTTTGCGAGCACGTGTGTGATTGGAACACTCTTTGTAGGAAATTTGTGTGCCTTCAGCTCAGCGATCCCTTCCTCTTCTTCGTTGTCAAGTCCTTTCGCAGGACTGGAAGTGGACTTTAGACCTTGGCCCTTCGGATTCACACTCTCTTGATCTGATGAAGTAGCTAGCCGGGTTGAACGGCGAAGGGATACTGCATTTTGTTGTTTCGGCTTCTTCTGTATCTTCTTCGATGCGACAGTGGTATTAGACTTGGTAGCCTTCGCGGCTTCGATAGCTTTCTGCTTCTTGCCCGCCATTGTCGATAAGTCTGGATTATTGAAGATGAAAGTCAACCTACTCGGGGGTTCGAAGGGATATAGACCCTCGGTAGCTGGCTCAGAACAAAGGTTTTTGTGTGACTTACTTCGCCGGATCCGGTGGCGTCAGACCTTCCAGACAAGGTGTTACAAAGAGCACTACTTCCTCTTTTCTGTCTTCCTCAGTATCGCGTATCGCCAAGATGTGGCCTGCCCAATGGAACTCTCGTGCTATGAATAATGTGGACAGAGATTTGCCTGTTGCGCCGTGCCCTCTCTCAGCCGCGGTGAAGCTTGATCTGTGCGACTCAAGCCCGCGGCACGCTGATTGATTTGCGCACTTTCCATACTTCTACACCCTGCGCTCGTTGGCCAAATTATGATCCCGTCACTCTAGTTCAGAGTTGTTGTCGCAATATCGAAGTATGATCATCGCGATGAGACGTCGACAAAGAATTAAGGTAAATCTTCGGGCTTGGTGGTGATGCGCGACCTTCACCCGATCTTTCAACACTCTTTGTTCCTCAATTGAATCACCAGATTATGGATATTAGCCTGGAAACCCCGGTTATAGGATCTCATGTATCGCTCTGAATGACTTTTGTCACAATGCGCTCAGACGACGGAAGAGGTTAAGGCCGGTGACGCTTGCCACCCTCGAAAGGAGAAAGCTGTTTTTGAGCAAGATACAATGCAGATAATACAACACTTGGCCTTTCACCACAGCTATCTCGATCTTGGAGCTTGTTCCGAAGTCACAGCACCTGTCTCACGAATATGACGGAGCACAGGGTCGATTGGAGGCAGTCGCTGTCTGACCCTCGCAAAAGCTAGATCTTCCTCCCGGTCACAAGTAGTGGCAGCAGAATGTTTAAATTCCATGCGAGCGCCACAAGGCCACCTACCATCATCGCCATAGCTATTTTATCAGTGCGGTTCAAACACAGAGCATGAGGAAATTTGCATCTGCGGAAATACCTTTTCAAACACAAAATGGCTCCTACATTGGGGTCTAGAAACTACAGACTGCGCGACATGGCAACTTCAACGTTTGCTCGACTTCAAACACCGGCACAAATCATGTATCCGCCCGAAGCAACTTCGCAAGATGTCCGGCCGACTGTGAGAATGTCAGCAATGCACCTCGTAATCAGATCGGGCGGCGACTTGCATGAAGGCTAGTATCCTGGAGGTTGTTCTGGCTTCCAGAGTTTGAACAACCGTTTCAAGTATACGAATCTGCAGCTTGATACACAGCTCAAGTTGTCGTGGCTGCTGCTTTGGCCTTGATAGTTGTATCTTCATCTCCAGAAGTCTGTCAGCGTGCTCTGAAGCCGCTTTGACCTGCAAGCGAGCCTGGTCGTGGTTGCCGGCTTTGACAGCCTCCATGGCTGCGAACTGGCACTTGTAGAGGCCATACTTCAAGACCAGAGTGGCATCGAGATACCTTTGACCCCACAAGATGTTCTTGTCGAGGATGTCTAGCTCACGCGTCAGCCTCATGTTGACCTCCTCGCAGAAGCCAATGTCTTCCGGTCGGTGCAGTCGGCGCTTTGCCTTGCCAACCCTTCTCTGAAGTGCTTCCAGCTCTAACGTCAATGGAGGAAGCAGTCTCATCTGGGTAGCTCTGAGCATGTGCCAGGCCATTACAATCTCTTCGGGATGGAAGTTCGCGACTGCAGCCATGACGCAGTCGTAAGCGACTGGCTGCTCTTTGGCACTCGCTCGAGCATATTTTGGCGGTGTTTCGATAGCCTGAGTATAGCGTGGTGGGTGTCCTTCGATCGGGCCAAGCATCGGTATCCCTGGGAGCGGCTTGTCGCGAAAGTCGACCGTACGTCTTGCTTCAATCACTCGTCGAATCTCTGAGTAGTCCCCATTGTCGTTTGTCAAGCAGGCTTCGCAGGGTCGATGCAGCGTGATGGTGATGGCACCTCTCGGAACGTCGCAAGGAGGATTACAGACCCGAGGTGGCATGATAGCTCTCACGAGCTTACCGCATGAGCAGTCATAGACCATGATCGTTTGTCCGCACATACCTGTGTGCGATAGTCGGTAATCTTGGTGTTTGCAAAGGTAAGTAATCTTGTTCGGTGCTTGGATATGCTTTTCAAAGTGGAGCGCAGTCTTTGACATATATTCTGATGATCTAGCAGCAGAACAATGTCTTTGTGCCCTTTGTCTCCGAGTCAGAAAGGTTCCATTCTGCTTCGCCCTTCTCTGTCCGCTCGCTTTGACTTGTTCGAATCTGCGATTGTCTTGGGCTCAAGCTCTCAACCGCTGTCATCATCCCTGACCAACACGGACGTCCCGAATCTGACAACAGGCCCAGGTAGACAGTTTCTTTCCCCAACACGCACCACATCGAGTCTTTGTTCAGCTTGAGGTCACTCACCAATCTGAGACATTGTCCTGTGTTTGGGCGTCTAGCTTCTTTGTCTTTGCATCGATGTTGGGTTTTTGGCTTTGTTCGGTCGCGTATTGTTGTCTCAAGGACTTGAATCCAAGTCTACTTAACTGTCCCCTATCTTCCCTGTTATACTCTCCTTTCCAACTCAACCAACAAGTTCAACTCGAACATCACGAAACGTAATCGACTGTCTAACTAGATCTACAACAATGTGTGTCGGCGCAATTGTCACTCTTGTGTGCGACCGCTGCGGTGAAACCCAGGACATCCGCTCCTTCCTCGGTTGCCCTACAGACGGACATCACTGTGAAGGTTCGGACTCTCGTGAAGACTCGATCATCGGTAGATCTACTCACATCGACCCTTGTGCCAAGCATACTGAGCCCGCTGCCCCTTCCTACTACTACGTTGGAAAGAATTCTGCTCACACTGCCGCCTGGTGTGAGTACGTCCATACATCTCTCGAGCCCTTCCTCGAAGGAATGAGCAGCCTCAGTGATCGTGTCTGCGCTTTGAAACAGAGTCAAGCTAACATGAGCTTCCAGGACAACTTCCTTCTTGTCATGCATGAATGCAACCACTACCTGGGCTGGGCCGAGGACAAGAACAACCGCGCTATCGAGGTCGAGACTGCCCTCTCTGAGGTTCTCAATGTCACCGGTGTCACCAATGAGATCAACGCAGTCAATGTTCAGGACATGACTAACGAGATGCTCGAAATGTACGAGAAACTGACAACACTCCACACTGATCATGACACTGATTACGACGTTGGTAGGTTCAATGGTTATCTGTCTGCTCTCACCGAGAGGCTCGAAGAACTTGAGGCTGAACAGTCCGACGCTTCTACCACATCTTCTTAAGCCTTCAATCGTGCCCAACAACTCCTACGCTGACTGATCGGTTCTGACTACAGCTCAGCACCCTGCTCCTCATGAGTGTTGGTTGGAATATATTGCGCTGTACCCATAGTATCCTAAGAAATGAAAACACAAGTTGCTTCCTTAAGGCACACCTCAACTCACAATATTCCATTTTCCCATGTGACTGTACAGTATTCCCTCTTGTAAAACTCTTCTCCCTCGACATCGATGCACTCAATCAATAGCAGTAAAAAGACAAGGTCTTTTTCAAAAAGTGAGCAACGTTCACGGAGAGCATGGTTCTGTCTACTCCCTTATACATGCGTTCTATAGTAGAAAAGTCCATGCATTTTGATGAGTATCACTGGCAGTCAATGGCGCTGGGAGGTCTTCTCATTTCTTGTCAGCTCTAATTTGTACAACTGGTGCTCTCCCTTACTCTCCTGCCTTATCCCGTACTCTCTGTCGTGCACACTCTCAGTGCTCGTCCTGGTTCTCGTCGTCAGAGTCGAAGAACTCGATTGGCTCCATCTCGATCATCACTCCGGCGGAGTCGTGGGGGGCGATGGGTGGTCCTGGTACGACGCACAAGTAGGCCAACACTAGATACCATGGTCAGCAGTGCCAGCGAGTATGTCCATGTGTTGCGTACCTGAGATTGCCTGGAGAGCGCCAAAACCAGCCATTGCGATGATCAGGGGTAGGATCGCCCGCGAGCCGCGACCGCTTCCCACTGCCCAGAGCAGGATGGTGGCGAGGGCGGCGTTGATCATGACGCCGGACAGGAAGACCCAGTTCTTCAAGGGGCGGTTCGTGGGAGCCATGCTGATGTTGATTTTGATGGAGGGGAGGAGCCTCATTATGTGCGAAGGCCGGTAGGATATGATTATGCGAATCTACAAGCACAGTCGATGCGTTGCTGAAGATCTGGAATTCAAGGTGTGCGTTCTCTTTTGTGTGCTCACTGTTATTCAATCGCTTTGGCGCTAGCATCGAACGCTCTCCAAAACAGAACACACATCTGCTGCGTCTCTTCATCCATCTTTTCCCTTGCTCACCACGCTCTGGATATCAACCCCTTTCTACAACTCAACACGACAGGCCCTTTATCATGCCTACCAGTATTCTTGATATGCCCGACGAGTTGATGCTCATGACCTACACTCACTCGCTGACAGCGACATCCTCAATCTACAACTTGTCAACAAGCGCATGCACTCTATCAGTCGTCTCTACTTGTCAAAAAGAGTCAACGACGTGTCTCTCCAAGGTCTTCAGGAGCTATACTCTCTGAGTTTTGGTCCTTGCGCCCACCACATCACCACCCTCATCCTTCGCATGGAGCACCGAGTCATGCCGAAGGCCAAGTACCTCACTCTCATATACGCTACTTTCCGCAACTTTGCAAACTTTGGAAAGCTTGCATCCATTGGAGTCCGCCGCCATCGTGAAGTCACTCACTATCAGAGCTTGGCCGTGACTCGAAAGTCGCACAGCGTAATGGTCGATTTCCTGGTCACTCGCCTGTTGCGTTCTGCCTCCCGAGCGAAGTTGAACATCCGCACGGTGGTCTACGATTTCGCCATGTCTGGAAGCCAAGTGCGCGATTAAGAAACTCCGCCCGCTAAACACAGCGGGCGCTTTCGCGAGACCACGGAAGACAGTGCTACATCCAAGACTGTCGTGGACCTGGACTCGAGACTTTTCATGAAGTTCGAGATGACTTGTCGATTCGTCATCGCCAACAGAACCGCTCTGACGTATACGAGGTTTACACTTCGCCGTGGTTTTCTGACCGCGGCCCATACCACCACCTACCAATACCTCCTGCTTGAAGACTGGACGCGAAGAAGATGACAAGGCACGTAAAGCCGCCCGGTTTCCAGGAACCCCCACTGATGTTATACAGGTGTACAACGAACCTGAGCGGCACGTCTTCAATCAAGAGGAGAGCAGCGACAGTAATATGCAGAGGTGGAGCTGTGAGAAGGGCGAAAGGCGAAAGGCGAAGGCCGTGGGGTATTGATAATGGCTGCCTCAAACTTGACATTGACTGCATACTGCTACCCCTATACGGCACCGTGTTGAACAATTCAACCATCAAGAATAAGAACAGGTAACCAGTGGCATCCGGTAGAGGTCTTCGACGATCCTCACATACACCTCTCCACCTTACAGTATGCATTATGTAGCTGAATTATAGAAAGAATTTCTGACACAACGAGATGCCCGGTATTAGCGACTAAAGGAGTACAAATACTTTTTGATTACCTACCTTCGGTACATTCTGTACTTCCTAAACGTCAGAGCGACTGTCTACCGTCTCGCGTCAAATCATTTTACCGCACGAAGTCTCGCGCGTGCTCTCCTCCATTTTATCCACTACATCCCTTGCTACCCGCCCCACTATGAGACAATAATTAAATCGCTGACTTCCTACCAGCCTAGGCCCCTCTCTTCCATCCAAATGTCTAGCCTCCTCCAGCTCTCTGCACAGCTCAAGGTAATGACTGTCAGACCCATCGACGAAAGGGATCTCATGAACCTTCTTCTTACGCTTGGTTCCGCCGGGTAAGAGGCTTCTACCATGGGCATCTGCGATTTAAAAGACGAGTCGGGATTATCCACCGTGTGTAGGCCATTCAATCAAACAAACGAACTGAAATGAACGCGAACGACGCGACAAGTCCTGTCAGACAGACTAAGCATATGCCTCTGGCGACTAATGTTGGTTTTCACACATTTTCCGGATGGGAGTTGTTTCATTCCCGACTTTCGTTCGCTTTATGTGTTCTTTGTAATGCTGGATGAACAGTGTCTAACAAATGTTGTGGTATTCTTGATTTGCAGAAGGGCGTTCTCCAGATGCGACTAAGCTCGACTAAGCTTCTTTCAGAAGCTGCAATTGACCTCCGTTGTGCGGTAGCCTCAATTGGTATTGGCGTTGGAAGATCTTCACCTTCATTGAGCCGGTCGGCCTCATAGGTAGCGTGGTGATTAGCAACAGTGTTAGTCGGACCTTGACATTTCAGATCTTTCTCAACCTTCTTTTCCAACTGTCAGCCTTACAGCAGAGAGGGTGAAGCCAGATAAGTAATGCTTCAGGTTGGCGGTTGGAGGGAAGATGTGATACACCGAAGGATTTCGCTCGTTGGAAGGCTTCTGATCTTGTCGTCAAGCATCACGCTCTGTTGTGCATTGTGGCCGATTTTGAGAATTGGTCACCTAGTACTTGTTAGGATCATGTCCTTCTTTGCAGTCACAGTATGGTTTGCTAAACCGTCTCTTCTTCGCTAGTTGACCTTGCTGAATCTGCGTTCCGAAGGCGGGCACTTCGTCGGTACGCAGTGACATCTTTGTGCGTGCCTCCTCTCGTGCCCTCGCACTCGTAGACCTCGACAGATAGAGCAAATGCTCAATAGTCAGAGGTCTGCTTCTGTTGCAGGTTCGATTGATTTGGCTATTAAAGCTGTCGCTGACCTGCCAATTGGGAACTCCATCCTAGAATACTCGCTGGTGCGTACTGCGCTGAATCAATGCCGCTAATTGGCTGATGTCGTCGGTACAGGCCCTGATTGACAACGATGTGGTGTAGTTATTCGAGCCAGGTCTCCTCCTCTTATTGACGGCAAAAGTTGATGCGGTCCTTGGTCTGTTGTCGCTCTATTCCTCTTGAGCACGTGGTGGTCGGTTCATATCGGAGGTTGTACGGGTGGAGACTCCTGACTTGACATGGGGCTTAGTTCTAGGCCCGTTGTACATCGTCGTCGTCGTTGACGAAAGGGAGGGTGCTAGCGTGGTGAGGTCAATTACCTGGGACCCGAGATTGTGCTCTGCTCCGAGCACTTCCCTCCGCTTTGCCTTTACCTTAGTTCTTTGCAGTTGCGATCTGTTAATGGTCTGCTTCGTTGAACGGCATGTCGACGGCTCCATATCTGGGGTTGAATACTCTTCGAACCTTGTCTGGTCGAGCCACCAATGTGAATCGTACTCGATCGTAAGCACCATGGACTCAGAGACGGAGATGATTTGCATGAGACAAACCTGGAGCAGTGAGCTTCTTCTTGCACGCGCTGCTCAGATCGAACAAGTGATCCTCGTATCTGACCTCGTCCAAGTAGAGTCAAATACTGGCAAGTCTACAAGAAATCTTGGCGTCCACAAGCTCCATCGGGAGTGATGATGTTGTTGCTCGAAGCCATGCCCTCGCAAGACGCGTCAAGCAGCGCTTCTTCAGAACGCTTCATCTCACATCAATGTGCATCAATACACCTCTCATCATATCCATACACCTCTTATCACGTCATCTTCCGTGCACACCTTATACAGCGTTCCGTGGTTCATCCGCATCAACAACATGCCAAATCTACCTGATTTACCGGTGGAGATCCATGGAATCATCGCCAAAAACCTTAGCGACGATGATATCTTGAGCATCAATCACACCAACAGCGAACTTCACACGAAGACCAGATTCGAATACGCCTCTCGCTTTCTTACCGACCTGGCCTTTCCACTCTCGAAAACCGGCGCAGAGGATATGCGCACGTCCAGTCTTGATGATAGACGCCGTTACGTCAAGACTATTGTCATTGTCCTGACTGTCGAAAATCACCCGCGCGCTGTGGAGTATCTGGAAGTCATTATCCTGAACCTGGAAGCATTCTACAACCTAAACTCCATCGGACTTCGTCGCGAATTCGACGACAAGATCATCCCCAAGTACGATAGCACATACAATGCTGTCTCGTCTCGCCTCAAGGATGTGTTCCTTCAAGCCACTACCGACTCCCATCTGCCTCTACGTAACATGATCTTCGAGGTCGTGGCACCAGATCTTATCAGACCAATCAGACAGAATTCAGACAAGGTCTACATGTCCCAGCTAGAGAGAGAGTTGAGATACACGTCCGGGTTGGTGTCGGCAATCCACAATCAGCAGGCAAACGATATCGATCTTACCATCAGGTTCGTCAAAGAGGGCACTGCCGGTACCCCCAAGTCACCCACCATTACCCACAGCCGCCAGCGTTCCTCCATGGCGGGCAACGGTCTCAGCTTGAACCATATACTTGGCATGACACCCTGGATGAAGACCAAGCTCGGTTTCAAGGAAGTGATCCTACTGAACAGCGAGTTCGACTATGCCGCTTTCCAAGAAGTGTTCAGTTTTACATCTCTAGAGAAACTGACCCTGCGCAACGTCCGTCTGCTGGATCGCCGCCTCCGCTTGGGCACACCTTGGGTGCACTTTCTATCGATTCTGCGCTTCTTTCCCGTCTTGGAGTACTGCCAGCTAGGTCAGCTCTGGCACAGAAACAAGGTCAGCTTCAGCGGATCTACCTGGCTGACAACCAACCGCCCCGACACTCTGTCCTTGCTCCACGATCTGGGCACAAAGAAGCGTTCCCGATTCGCTTTCAAGCTCGAGACGGCTGCATTGCACAAGATCCCAATCAAGAAGCAGAAGAATAAGTCAAAGGCAAAGTCAAAGAGGTGGACAAAGGGCAAGGCCAAGAACTGAGCATGTTCAAAGGCAAAGATCGAGAAACGAGTCTGGCAGTATGGTCCTAATTCTTTTGCTGCACAATTACATAGCTCCATCAATCAATCAATCAATCGCTGTCCTTTGCCCCTATTCTTTCTGATCAACTCCAGCTACCGTGCTAGCCAGTGAAGGCACGTGTACCAATGCGTAGTGATTTGTTCTTTGAGTGCCATGATGGACGAGAGACGTAATCTTCTCGACCCCCTAACAGAGATTGACTATGTATACGCACAGTGACGTCTCGCTGGAGTGAGACATGCCTCGTGGTGGAGAGCCCAATGGGCAGACTTGCTCGGAAACCAACATACCCGTGATGCTCATCTTACACAGCTTTGGACTAAAGCACTTTCGACCTTGAAAGCCGACAGAAAACAGGACGGCTGATGGGTATCGAGAGAGAAGATCGAGCGAGAGGTCTCCGATGGGGCTTCTTTGCGGTCAACATACTAAGTGGACGCTCGTTTCTCTTGCTTGTCATTGGTCGAGTCTTGGCTGTCATCGTACTCACCCAGAGATCGATCTTTAACAGCTGTCGATCGAATACTGATCAAGGGTTTCTTGAACGGGCGTCGTTGCGGTCAATGAGATTAGTATGCTCCCTTGCCTGTGCTTTTCCTTGATCAAGCTTTGGTTGTTCATCGTATCAATTCATGGATTCGTGAGCCTCGAAGAAGACTGATCCTGGGGAAGGGGCACTCTTGTAGTCAAATTATCGGTTGTGTTTTTGTTCCTAATGCTTGTTATCTATGGAGCCGTGAATGTGCATTCTGTCTACTTACGGGAACATCGTCCTTGAAGGAGACCATTCGAAGGGTCTGCGGGAGGGCGTCATTGCGGTCGACGTGTTGGTGAATTTGCTCGGTTTGTCTGGGTTGATATTGCTCGAATTGTTATTGTTTATTGTGTTTAATCACAAAGCTACGCCTGTCAATTTTGCGCAGACTATCACTTAAATCAGATCTTATACAGCCAACCAATACCAGAAGCTCTTCGCTCTTCGACATCAACATCAACATCACTATCGCCTCCAACCTCCAACGACAATGGCTCAGTGTCTGAGCGTCTCTAATGAGCCTCGAAGCTTCGTCTCGAACATTATCTGTGCCATGGATCCACGACGCACCTTTGCCCAGGGTCAATTTGTCTGCTACATTGATCCCACCCACAACGCCACATGGGTGAAATTTTATCCTGCAATCGGTCGTTTAGATGCGCAAGCTATAAAGATGTGGGTTTTCGACTGCATATTATACGCCTTCAACGCGCGTAACGGTGGGTACCCCCTCTCGCAACTTCGCCTTCTCGATTGCGAGATACGTGGAAGCTCCTTCTCATTTCTCGTCAATCCTGAGCTCTGGCAAGTTCGTCTGAAGAATGTCCACATCTTTGAAGGTGAGATCTCGGATCCCTTCGGCACCTCTTTCACGCCTAAGGCTCCGGCATTCTGGGAGATTGTCTTGCCTGTCTTGCTCCTTGCTGGACTTCGTGATTGCCACCTTCGAGGTCTCAAGGATGACTCCACTGCTCAGAGACCCGACCACTGGGGCGAGGTTGTCTACACCTCCAACGACGCTCAAGAGATCCCTCGCGTTCTGTTTGCCCTCGCCAACGGTCTGCGCCCGATCGCGGCTCCTGCTCCTGCTCCTGCTCCTGGCCTTGCAAGTGGTGGTCCGGGTTCCGCCAATCCAGACGCTAGTCAGGCTGCTGCTGCCGTCGGTGCTGGTCAAGTTCCCGCTATCGGCGCTGGTCAAGCTCTCGCTACTGGTACTGTTCAGAGTCATGTCAACACAGGCACTGCTGCTGGTCAGGGTCCCGCTGCTCCTGTACTTCAAGGTGTCCCTGGTTCTGCCGTTCTCGGAGTTCGCGCTCGAGATACCCGTCCTCCTACTGGCTACACACAACCTACCCTCACCCCCAGACGCACTTGTGAGCAGTGCAAGCGCAACAGAAAGCACTGTGACCTCGCCTTCCCTGAATGCGGCCAGTGTGTCGCTCATGACTATGACTGCTACTACCTCCGTGGCTAAGACCTGTTCGACAAAGACCCTCGGGTACCGCTATGGTCAAAAAGAAAACAACAAAATAGGCAAACAGGCCCCAGGGGGAGGAAATTACTCTGCCTTTTCATGGGCATGCTCTGTACGTACCAATACTGGCGAAGAGGATGACATTATCGATGTACCTTGCTAACACCTTTCGCAGACCTCGAAATCGCTCTCCAGCGCTGGCGCTGGCTACGCACAAAAACACCATGCCTATCGGCAGGTACATACTGGGATACACGTGGCATTGAAGGGAAGAAAGTATACAGATAGCATAATACACATTCGTTGATAAAAGTTCTCTATGCAAATTATCTCCTCTCATATCTTGAACATGCTCTTAATTCCTCCAAAGAAGCCTTTCTTGGGCTTCTCATCTTCTCTACGAGAGCTTCGATGGTGTCGTCTTGGAGATGACGGCACCTCCCTTATATATATCTCGTCTCTTGATCTTGGTGCTCTGGGCTGTGGAGTGGGTGAAGGTTCTCTGGCTTCTTCCTGATTTGTGGCGGTACGTCTGCGAGTCCTGTGACGATCTGTTCTGTGATCACGACCTTCTGCTTCTCTACGTCGCTTATGTCGCTCAGCACGTTCGTATACTGCAACTCTGACTTCTTCCTCTGCTCTCTCGCGCTCAAGACGGTCTTGCTCCATAGCTTCTTGCTTGCGTCTTCTTTTTTGCTCGTCTCTGGCTCTTTTCCTTTCTTTTTCCTCAGCCGCCAATCTTGCTAGTTCGTCCTGTCTTTCCTGAAGCTGTCGCTCCTGTTCCTCTAGTACTAGACGTGCTCTCGCTCGCTCGAGCTTTCGTTGAACCGCAGCTTCTTGGGCAGCGAGTTTTGCGGCACGACGTTTGAGTTCCTCTTGTTCTGCGAGTTCGGCACGAGTTGGTCGAGTCTTGGTCTGGCGGCGAACAGGCTCAGGAGGTATGACCGCGGAGTTGCGCCGATGAAATTGTGTTGGAGGTGCTGCTTCTGGTTCAGGTGCTTGACGAGAGACATCCTTGACAGTATGCCTGGAGGATCGGTGACGACGAGAAGAGGATTGGCGAGTCACTTTTGGAGGTGAGGCTGGTTGCTTACCCTTGGAGATTCGAGACGGACCATCGATGGGTGCGTTTGAAGGAACGCGATTCGGGAGTGGCTCGGGAGGGCAGACTTCCGGCGCAGGTTGCTCCATTTGGGGCACTTGATCCAAGGGCTCAGAGTCTGATATAGTTTCGCAATGTCCTTGTTGCGACAATGAGTCTGCCGGTAAGGCTTCCGCCTCGGCAAGCGGTTCTTGTGCAGGATCTTCTGGCGCAACTGGCTCTGCTGGCTCTGTAGGCTCCGCCGAGGCTTCTTCCGAGGATGATATGGATTCTTGTGTGGGTCTGGGTATATAGTCAGGATTCGGTGTCTCGTCATTCAATGATTCAACAGGTACAAGCTCTGCGGTCTCCCCGTCTCGCGCCATGGAAAGATCTCCTTGCAGTGATCCTTCGTGTATGCTGGCGGCTTCAACTTGTTGTACACTTTCAGGCACCATCTGCTCAGAGGATTCGTGGCAGGCACTTCGCTCCGTCTCCGGACAAACTCGTGTCGTTGAGGGTGTGGCATCGTCAGCTTCGAGTATTCGGTCTTCTGGAAGCTCCAACATATATTGATTTGTAGCTTCATCGGGTGGGCTGGAAGTTTCTGACGCAGGAGCAGTGTCCACAGCATTTGTAGGAGACGGTTCGATTGTGGTATCACAGGCTTCATCACCGGTAGAGTCGCCAGCTATCGGCTCGCTGGTGTTTCCGTCAATACTTTCTTGAATAGCAACCTCGTCGCAAGCAAGTATTCCGATGACAGGGTCGCTCGATTGCTCGCAAAAAGTACCATCTTGCACAGCGGCAAGTTCAACAGCAGGGTTTTCGACCTCAGTCTCGTCCATCACAGGCTGGCTTGTGACTTCAACGACTGGAGAACCAAGAATTTCTTGCTGTTGCCCGGGCTGGAGAGCATCGTCATGACTCGTTGCAGGATCTTCGCATCTTGGATTGAGATCGCCTGTCACACTTGCAACTTCTTCGGGTTTATTTTCTTGTATTGTTGCTGCTATTTCTTGGTTCTCGCCAGCGTCCATGGACTTCCTCTCGAGTTCGATTGGTGATTCGACATTGTCAGCTGAGTTCAATTTATCGGACATGGACTCTAGAGTCGTTGTTGCTTGCTGGTCGTCTGCCGCGTCGCCTGCGTCGGAATCGTCGCCAGGAAGTAGTGCTATGACTTGAGTCGCATTCTCAGATGAGTCCAAGTCCTCAGAAGCTGTGCTCTTTCCGCTGTGTGCGCTTGCATCAACATTTTCCTCGTGCATCGTCGCCGGAGTAGCGCTTCGTGCATCTACACTGCTCTCTTCGCCGCCTGGAGGCACACTGGTAGCTTCCTCGTTCGGCTCTATAAAATGAGCAGCTCCGCCAATCGCGTCGACGGTAACCTGTTCCGGGCCGTCCGAGTCCACTTGTGTCGGAGCCAGTTCAATTGTAGCTTCGGCTTGACTCTCCGCAGCGTCCATCTCGGCTCTTGAGTCCATCCTACCCTCCTCGCACATATCGTCCTTCGTCTCTAGTGGTTGAGTCTCTGCAACGTGTTCGACTTCATCCCGATCATCGTCGTCTCCATCCGTTCCAATGTTTCCAGGAGGCATTGGTGCCTCAGGCGGCACCGCGACAGTGTCTTCCTCGTCCGGACGTATTACAACCACAACTTTATCAGCACTGCCACCAACTTCGCCAACAACCTGATCAAACACGTCTCCCTCGACGAACTCGGCCTCCGCTATGGTGATCCCTTGTGCTGAGGTGTGGCATATAAGAGCTGTCTCGCCGTCATGCTTTGGCTCTACATCCGCCTCGGCCGGTGATACGGAAGATGACAACTCCGGCAGATTAGGAGTACGCTCGGCGCCAATCTCTGTGGTGGGAGAAGGTAGTCCATCAGATGGCGCAGCTTGATCAACAATCCTTTCCGTGTCGCTCGAATCGATTTTGGCTGGAGAGACAGTCCCTGCGGTCTCGAGAGCGTGACCCTCTATAGCTGCTGGCCCATCAGATGGCTTCGACTCTGCTGACTCTGCAGCATTAGTTTCGCCGGCACCGTCGTCTCGAGGGCCTTCATATATTGATTCCTTCAGTGTTTCCCGAATCTCCAAGACACCTACATTGTCCGGTCCGCCCACAGCACCGTCTACACAACCGCTTGTAGGAATGTGAACATCGGTCTCGGTTGAACGTCCTGCAGCATCCGCTTCAGCAGACTCAGCCGGCTCGGTAGCTATACTTTCGGAATTCTTCGCAGGCGAATCGGGCGCATCGGTACTCGAATGAGACGACAGAACATCCTCAGTATCCGCCACAGAAGCAGCAGAGACATGAGACTCGCCGTCTTCCACTTCGCCGTCAGCGCGCAAATTCATGTCTACTAGCTCAGCATCAAGTGGTGGTGTCTGGAGTGTAATTGCAGCGCTCTCTATTCCCTCGACGCCGGCCTCAGTGGGCTCCATGACTTGGGCGTCTGGTACAGATGACAGGGTAATGTCAGCACCGGCAGTGTCATCGCTTGTCTCTTTATCGTCTGGAACGGCGACAACAGGAGGCTCTTCGGATTGAGTATCCTCTATACTATCGACCTCTTCGCCGGCTTCGATAGGTGGTGTGGCATTTATCTCATCAGCAGGTAGTGCTTCTACCGTTTCGTTGGGAATCTCGGTTGGCTTCGCGATCTTTTCGGTATCGGTCTCGTGAGCTGAAGGTGACGCAGAGGGTCCGTCTTCCGCAACAACATCTTTGCTCTGTTCTTTCTGAGCGTCTGCATTGACGACCTGCAATTCTTCAACCACAACCTCCATAAGCTCCCCGGGCGGCGGTGGCGACGGCGCAGGAGGTGGCACTTCTATAATCGGTGGCGGCGGAGGTATTGTTTCCTCTTCAACCACACTCACCGCCGTCTCCGCCGTCTTGCCCTTAACCCTCTTGTTCTTACTCTTGCCCTTTGAGCTTGCCTTGACTTTTCCTTCTCGAAGTGGGATAATCTCAACAGCCTTTTCTTTCGGCTTCTCGGTCGGCTGAGACTTCCAAGACTTGGGCTTGCCGGGTTTTCCCTTGCCGCTGTGCTTCGAGGGTCTGATGGGTTCGGCAATGGTTACGTGGGGCGCTGGAGGGGGAGGCGGAGGTCCGTCTATATTATCGTTCTCGGAAGGCTCGGAGGCAAGTATGTCGAGGACGAGTATAGCAGCTGTGTCGTCAGTGGCACCATCGCCTCCAACGTCAATGATTTGGACGGCAGGTTCGTCTGATGCCTCGGTTAGAAGGTCAGTGCCATCGACTGCTTCGATGTTGGGCTCTTCTGTGACTATATTGCCTGCTTCTGATGTAGCAGCGGCAAGGGCTTGCGATTCCGCGTCCGGGGTTATATTTCCGTCTGAAGATGTGGAGTCTGAAGCAGCTGGCGGGTCCTGCAGAGAAATGTCTTCTTCTGGTGAGACGTCCTCCTTCGGGACAGCTGCAGGCGGCTCGGAGCCTTCAGTAACGTCTTCTATACTTTGAGCAGGTGAGTCGACGGGAGGTTCTGCAGAATTCATACTCGGATCCTGCTCTATACTCTCTGTCTGGTCTGCCACTGTAGACGCTGGATCTTGGGTTACGATCACATCGTCGGCTGGTGAGTTTCTCGACTTGTCGTCCAGCACAACACCAGGCTCCCAAGATACAGAATTTTCGGGTGCTGCCATCTCGGAGGAAGTGCTCACAGCCTCTATATTATCCTCTGAAGCAGTATTTGCAACAGTATCTGATGCCTGGGTCTCGTAAGATGCCTCTGATTCTGGATCTTCTCCTTCTGACGGAGCGGGCGTTGCACTTCCTGGTGAGGCTTCAGGTTCAGTCTCATCTGGGTCCGGAGCTGACTCGACAGGTGGGGCCGCTTCTTCTCCACCGGCGGCAGAGACCAGTGTAGGTCCAGAGGGCGCTTCTGCCTCCGAAAGTCCAGGAAGCAGCTGCTCAGCCAGAACGATCTCAGTGTCGGAATGTTCGCCTGCTGTCTCGACAGTAGTGTCCAAGAGTGTTGACTCTTCTGGAGCTGTAGTGCTCATCCTTGCCCGTTCTCCTGGTGCTTGCTGTGCTGTGTCCTCTATAATTTGGTCGACTTCTATACTTTCGCTAGCTTCTGTTGCCACTACTTTTTGTCAGTTCTGTTCCAAATCAATCTCATGGAATCGCTCTCACCTTCTACAGTCTCCTCCACTACCATCCCATCCTCTACTCCTCCTATGTCGACCTCTCCTTCATCATCCACTTCTTCCTCATCCTCGTCCTCCCCCGTCAAAGAATAAACCGGCGCTTTCCCCCAGATGTCATAACTATAGTGTCTCGGATCGATCGTATACCGTGGATGTGGGGGAGCTCCCCAAGCAAAAGATGGCCTCATACTGGCTCCTTGCATTCCCCCAGAACTTCCACTTCCGCCTCCCGCACCAACCGAGCCCCCTACTGACCATGGATACTGAGCCTGGGACAAAGGAGCAGGATATTGATATGGTTGACGTGAGGGAGCAGGGACGTGGGCACGCGGTGGCGAGAAATTGGCGACATTTATGCCTTTGAAGTTATGGCGGGCTAGGATTGCTTGGAGGTCGTCCGGCATGATGAAGCGTATCTGGATTGGTCGTTTGTCGGGAGGCGGATGAAGGAGCTTTTACCGGCTTTTCCGGCACGTCGTTGGTGTGAAAAGGAGTGTGCTGTTGTGATACGTGTGCTCTGGCCAGTTGGGCCTTGTCGATCTGACTATTGTATAAGCGGAAGACTGGCGCTCCCGACGAATGTGTACAAACCGAGCCAGCAAGTGTATAAGCTGCACTTGAGATATATATCGTGGATCTTCTCGCTGTCTATGGCCGAGTAAAGAACGAGGTTGCAGACTCGAGGCCTTCGGATCCATCTTATTAACATTCACCTAACTATGCATTTGCATGCATCACCTTACCTTGTTTCATAACCCCACGTCGATATGTTTGCTACACCCAACACATCCTGACACGTCAACAGTGCTTCCCCAGACTTTTGAGTGATATGCAGGGTTCTGAAGCCCGAGTTGACTGCCACGTCAACGAGTCAAACCACTTGCATAACCCTATCTGCCGTGTCAAACACAACTAGACACCCAAGAGCGAGGTCACCGAACGCTTTTACTGATTTCGGTGTCGATTGCAGAAGATTTGGCCAGAGGGAATTGGTGTCGGTCTTTTGGGTAACTATTCACCCCAGGAGCCCAAGGGAGGTGAGCACTCCCGCATCGGGAAAAGAAGCCGTCTCCCGCATCTGCAGGATAAGTTTCATGTGCAGCAAGCAAGAGCAGCTTGAGCGTGAAATTGGGACTCTGCAACGCCCGATTCGTAGCTCGTCAGCTTCTTCCCGAACTACGTGGCAAGAACGCGGACAATCGCAATTGCGCTGGCATGATTGCTGCTCGAAAGTGACTGCCCTTCGGTCACTCGGGCAGTAAGAAAACGACTCGGTTGTCCTCGAAGCAGTCGTGTAAGTAGCCGATATACACGTGCATCGGGCAGCAATGCTTGCTTTCATAACCTCAAAGTGACAACAGTCCAAGAGTTCTGGAGCCCAGAGATGTTCGCCCGCATACAGGACGTACCGGTATTCTGCCTTTGGTAACCCTGCACCATCATCACCACGGTTATTTCCGAGCGAAACGCGAAAAGACAGCAAAACTATCGCGTAGCTTTCGGGCATCAATATTGTGACGAGATATGCATCATGTCCGGCTCGGGACGGCGCGGCAGAGAAGGAGCCCCCTCCCAGCGGCTTCATGACGAAATTTCGAGGCTCTTCGTTAGCAACGCTGTAAGCCGCAGACGTGGCGTTTGGAGTGCGTGATGGCGACGCTGCACAGGCCGCTGTGCCAAGAATAAGAAGCAGGGACAGGGTGATACCGCAGACAGGCATTTTCGAGCACGACGATGAGGTTACGGGTTGTCACGAGAGGGATGAAGAGATTCTAAATAGGCTATTCCCTTTATTGGGTAATGAAACGTATACTTTGATGATACTATATCGATTGATCAGGTCTCCGTGGTAAAAGGGACAAATCTCACATCATAACCATGCTTAATCGAAACCTCGTGCTTAGACCTACGCAACACCACCACACCAATCTACCTCCTGCGGCGAAAGGACAGAAAACGCGTGAGATATAGAAACTCGCACATATCCATACTATGCAGCTAGAGTGACCAGCAAGGTAGACCACAAGATCCAGATCAGCACCGCATAGTCACCAGTCTAACCACTATACACCCAACTACATGCCACGCGACAAAAAAAAAAAAGCCTCTACTACACACTTCCACAAAAGCTCCGCAAGCACCTCTACCCACCTCTATCCACTATACCAACCCTTACCAACCCTTACCAAAGCCTCTGCCCACTCGCCACTCATACCACAGAGGAAAACACTCGTGCTTAGGTGGAAGGGAAAAAAAAAGATCGTCCCTTTCCACGTTTTACACCCGTTCCATTATATTGTCAATCCTTGCACCCGTCTGTCTCTGAAAATCCCAAACTCCCTCTCATCCCAGACTCCCTTCTCAGCCGCCATGCTCCATATGCGAAAAATAGAAAGAAAAATCGTACCCGTAGATCCCTCTCTCTCTCTCTCCCTCTCTTTGCACAAAACGATCGCCCGGTTCCCGAGAAATGTCCATGCGCGCCTCACCTTTTACTTCTACACAACAGAGAAAAGGCTCCAGAGTAGAGAATTGTGCACATGTTGATTTTTCGCAATTGTCCTTTTCTCCGACGGCGGAAAAGGAAAGTATATATGGTAGGAATAGAGATAGAAAAGAGTAGAACAAAAGGTCTTCAATGCCCCTTCGACTCGTCAGTCCAGAGGAGTCCTGGAAAAAAACGCCCATCCACTGGTATTTCCTGTTCCTCCATTGTGAGAAAAGAAGAGATAGAAGAAACAAGAAAGGTTGCAAGCCTGGCTGCAGGAGAGAAGACATGATCGAAGAGGCGATGCATTCACCACATATTCGATGATTGAAAGCATTCTGGAAACAATGTTATGTTGATACAATGTTCAACTTCTTGGCAAAGAGCCACCTGCAAAAGGGAACAAGAGATATGAGTGAACAGTGGGATATAAGAAAAAAAGTATAAGAAAAAGTCATGACCCGCAATACTCAGATATATCGCTGCCTTTATTCATAACCGGCACCGCGCTGCCACGGACTCGCTCTGCCTGTTTGCTGTTGTTGTAATTGCGGCGTGCGTGCCGGGCTGGGGCTGTGGTTGCTACGCACGTCCGGTGTTGAGAAACCGGTCTTCTCATCGAGATATGAGGGAGGGTTGTGTCTTGGCAGACCACCATCTGAAGGGAAGCTCGAGATGCTAGGGTCATGAGGAGAGCGAGGCATGTCACCGTATCTGCCAGCCATGGAGGAGCTGTTGCCACCGACACGAGGCTCGGAAGTGGAGCTACCCGACCAACCATCGTCATCGTCTTCAATGCGAGCGCCCTTCCATCCACCCTTGCCTTCACCACGAGCAGTAGCACCCAATGCGTCAAGCTCAGTGTTGAGTTGGGTCTGAGACTTGATGAAAGAACCACGGTCATCACGCATGGGCTGGTATCTGGTGTCAGGGTTCTTGGAGAAGATGGCAAAGGCCGATGCGACCAGAATGGCAATCAAGAGACCAAGCGAGAAGATGGCGTTGAAGATGAAGAAGAGAATACCCATGACACCGATAACCAGACCAGGAACAGCAAAGATGCCAGTGAAGAAGAGCAGGAAGATGGAGTTGAGGAAGTTGATAACGCAGATGGCAATGTTGATGGCGTTGGTCTTCTTGTCCATGTATGGAGTGAGGACACAGACGACGACAAAGAAGACACCCTCGATGACGAGGAAGGCAATGGCTTGCAGTGTGCCGTTGGATTGACCGAAAGCGACAAACATAGCCTTTGCGAGGAGGTAGATCAGGACGGGAACGATGAAGTAGTAAGCTGTGGCCTTGAACTGGACGTAGAGGAAACCCCACTTGTTGAGTGAGACAGGATCCGAATAGAGGATGTAAGCAGGGTTCTTGTGCATCGAGACAGAGCGACGAGCAAGACGAATGACCTTGGAAGAAGCCCATGCGAGTATGCCAATCATGGTGAAGACGGTGAAGACGGCAAGAACGACCTCAGCAGCCGAGTCACGCTTGGTGAATTCCCAGAAACAGAGAACGACCATTTGGGGGAAACCGATCAGGACCAGACGGAAGAGAATGCCCTTGAGGACGGTGGTCCAGCCGTTACGGAAGTCCTGGAACTTGTCGCCCTTCATCTTGCCCATCTTGACGAGACCCTCGCAGATGAACTTGAAGATGATGACACCAAGAACGACAAAGACGACGAAAATCAAGAGGAAGATGTATCCAGTGAGGAAGATGTTGGTCAGCTCGATCTTGGAGCGGAAGCCAACGCGCTCAATACCACGAAGAATGATAGCCTTGTTGGTAGTATCGGTGGCAGTGGCTCTGGGTAGGAGCTGGTGAAGCTTAATGGCGCCACGGGCGAGGAGACGGCCAACAACATCGACGGAACGCTTTTGCACCTCGACGGATTCGGTCGACAATTCGGACAGGACGGTGCTGGGAGTGCCTCCGGTAGAGCGCTGGTACCAGGTGGCGATGTCTTGAATGAAGCCCACGCGGATGATGCCCATGCTCCACTGGAAGTTCTGGGTCCAAGAAGCGACAATGGGAGGAAGAGGAACAGCAGTCATACCAACCAGAGACTGGGCCTGGAAGTAGCCGAAGAGAGCAAGAGTGTTGGCAGCAACGTGGGCGGCAGTGTTGGAGTGTCCAAGACCCGACGTGATGGCAGAGACGAACAGCGCGAGGCCGGCAATGACAGCGACAGTCCACGAGACGGCCTTTTGATCAACTGTCTTGCCGTTTGAGAGTTCGGCTTGCACGCAGGCAGTGGCTCTACCGGTGTCGGTGCTGTTGACGAAGACTTGGACCTTGGCGTCGAGGTCAGGAATGGTATAGGCGATGCCTGCGATGTGTTAGAGAACGAGGCTATGGACAAAACTCAAAGACTTCATACCGGGAATCTGGCTGATCGTGTCGGCAGGCAGGACAATGTTGGAATCGAGATCGATCTGGCCCTCATTCATGGGGCAGAGACCGGCCCATCCTTCTTGACAAGGGTCGAGAGTCTTCTTAATGACTTTCAGACCATAAGCGTAGACGACCAGGTCGATTGTGACATTGCCACTGATGGTCGTGACACCGACGATGTTGAAAGCAAGAGTGCGGTTGTCGGGTGTGAAGTTGACATTGAACAGGGTAGCCGAGAAGTTGGAGTTTGACATGCAGGTACTGAGCGACGAGGATGTAATCATTCGCTCATTGTCGATGCCCGATGAAGCCTGAGTAATAGGGATGAGGGCGGCGAAGAGGGCTATCAGGAAGCCTAGGGGCGACCTTGAAGGAAGCATGACGGGCGAAACAATAGAAAATACCAATTAATAAATGTTCCTGACGGTGCTAGTGTTGGGACAGCAGATTAGGCAGTACAAAACTGCAGTCGAGTTTGCGGATGTCGCGAGAACGAGCGGGGACAGGCGACAAGTCGTGTGGTTTGAATGTTTGATGCCAAAAAGGTGGTTGGAATGTAAATGCGGACGGCAGGGCTCTTGCGCCTTGGACCTTGGACCTTTGCTAGACGAAAAACCGGGACCGACGTAAAGTCAAGTCTTGACGTGTGGAAAGACCGAGCGAGTGACGGTGTGATGAGGGAAAAGAGGGCTGGTGAGGGAAAGCGCGCGGGGAGGGAGGCTGGAAATGGAGAAGGAGGAAGTAACGAGGGCAAGAGTTGGAGATGTAGCAAGGAAAGTGGGAAGTGATGCGTCGCAACGGTTGCAGCAGGTGCAGGCAAGTGCAGCGGCGACGGGCGGTTCGCTGGTGATGGATGGGCAACGACGTGGAATCCAGCAACGAAAGGGCGAGAAAGACGACACTCAACACAGCCAAAAGGCCGTCGAAAGCGGAAGACGTGCGTGACCGGGACGAACAAGCGCAGATTAGCGTCGAAGCCACGCCAGCTGATGTCAACAGTCAACGACCGGTACGATCGCTGTTCCTTTTTCCGACTCGCGCCCAGCGAATCAATGATGGCTGCTCGTCGTATGGATGTTCCCGGCCTTGACTAATCCCTGCAAACAAGGCGACACGAGAAACGAAGGTGAGAAGTGGATGAGGAGTGATTTGCATCAGCGTCAAATGGCCTGCGTCGGATGGCTGTCTTACAAGAGACAAAGGGCCAGCTTCAAAGGGGGCTGTGCAGCTTGTTTTCACGCAATAATCCCAATCATCCCACAGAGGCTGCTCTTCAGGGGTCTTGTCCACTCTTCCCGTTTGGCGATCAGTGCGCCACCAGACTGCTGTTTATTACGCGGCAGCGAGAAAGCTGGGGAAACCATGTGAAACGCCCTCGAGCCCTGTGGATGAAGCCTGAAGGTGCTTTTCGTCCATCGCAATTCTGCATTCCTCTCTCTCGAGTCTGTGTACGGCCTCTGTACACACAGAGATTCAGTTCACCCCTCGAGAGTTTCTCTCACATGCCGACATCCGCAGTAGGCCGGCGTCGTGAAGCCACCGCATCATCTTCAGAGACTTGCTTGTCAAACAAAACCCCGTGCACAACTCGAAATAGACAACGGGCTTGCAGTCCCGCAAACGGCCATTGTACAGCGACAGCACTGCTTAAAGTCTCTAGCACTCTCTCCTTCTTTGCTTGCGGCTTGCTCTTCTCCCTGCAATCGATCCAAACCGTTGCCTTCACCTGCCTGGCATGAAAACATCATTTCCGACCGTCATACTCTGGAAACATTTGTGAAAGGGATCAACAGCGGAGTTGTCGCGTCGTATCTCGATCTGGGCCGCCAAGATCCATAATACGGATTTTGATCCTCTTGGCCGGCCTCAGCGTATTTGCATACGGACGACAGCCCAGAACTGCGCCGACCTTGGTATGAGTATTGGAATGAGTACAAAGGCCTTGGAGATGATTGGCACTCTTCTGATCATGTTCGTCTGAAGTAAGCGGTACAGCGACGTTGCTTGCATACTGAACAGCAGCTTCTGGTTGTGCAAGACGAGGCGTGCCAATCCCAGGCCTCGACGGCGTCGAGCTGCCTCATCTCGTCAACACGCGGCCTCGTGTCCGACTATATACAATAGTTGAAATCTGGCAAGCCTATGCAAGTGGTAGGTAAGCGTATTGGTGTTGTACAAGGCGACATTCGGTAAGTTTGTTGTCGCGGCCTGATGTAATCTTCCAAGCAACGGGCAGTTGGCCGTTGAACCACAGTCACAAAATTGCAAACAGCTTCCAGGAGAAAGGGCATTGGCTCAGTATACGACGTCTAGACGAGATCAACACCCTGCAGCATTGTTGGAAAGGAGAAGTGGATAGATTTCACAAACGAGAAGCGCATGGTCGAAGGAGTAAAAATGATTCCATGCTTCCTTCGTGTTCGGAGATTGACAGAGCGGCAGTCGGCTTGGAGTGGAGAGAGGAGAGGGGTCAGCTTCTTGATACGCTGGTATACGACCCGCGGACTGCGAGATGAAACACTCGAACGATACAATACTCATCATGACATTCAGCCAATCTACCTGCCACTGATTAGCATGGTCAAAGGGCTGGTGAGAGTTACGAAGGGTCTGGAGAAAGTGATGAGGGAAACAGCAAATCTAATCAGATGACAATCTGGCCTTGGCACTCCGCTCGCGATAACCTTAATTTTTTTGCTCGCAGATCTGCCAGGCCAAAGTTTGCTGAAGTCGACGACTTTTTGCCCGTGATAAGACTTGATTGTATCAACTTTTCAACACATCAACATGTCGAACCCAGATCTCGCGTCCAAGAAGAGAAAGAGAAAGCACGGCGCTGCCAAACCTGCCGATGCGCCTGTTCCTGTCGTCGCCGCCGCCGCCGTCTCGGATGCTGAAGTAAAGCCGCGCAAGAAGAGCAAGAGTGCTGAAGCGAAAGCAAAGGATGCGGAGAAAGAGGAGGAACTGAACGAAGAGTTGCGCGTAGAGTCGGCACTGCAAGAGGAGGTCAGCGAGGACGAGGCAGAGGCTGAGGCAGAGGCAGAGGCAGACGAGACCATGGCCGACGTAGAAGAAGACAAGCAGGACATTGGCGAGCCCTCAGATCTGCCCTCGGCGCTTGGAGTCTCTCTCCCTGGACAGGATGCTCTGCCCGAGAAGTTTGCCGACATCAACCTTTCCGACAAGACGCTCAAGGCGCTGGCCGACATGAAGTTTGAGAACATGACCGAGATCCAGGCCAGAGGTATCCCGCCTCTTCTTGCTGGCAAGGATGTTCTGGGAGCTGCAAAGACTGGTTCGGGCAAGACTCTGGCTTTCTTGATTCCCGCCATCGAGATGCTGCACTCGCTCAAGTTTAAGCCTAGAAACGGTAAGCATGCGCCTTGTAAGGAATGGCATGAGAAAGGTGTACTGATTTGATGATATAGGAACTGGTGTCATTGTCGTCTCTCCCACGCGTGAACTCGCTCTTCAAATCTTCGGTGTCGCCCGTGAACTCATGGCTCACCACTCTCAAACATTCGGTATCGTCATTGGAGGCGCCAACCGCCGCGCCGAGGCCGAGAAGCTGGTCAAGGGTGTCAATCTGCTCATCGCTACACCTGGACGCCTGCTCGATCACCTGCAAAACACCCAGGGCTTTGTCTACAAGAACATCAAGGCGCTGATCATCGACGAGGCCGATCGCATTCTCGAAGTCGGTTTCGAAGATGAAATGCGCCAGATCATCAAGATCCTGCCCAAGGACGAGAGACAGACCATGCTCTTCTCGGCCACGCAAACCACAAAGGTCGAGGATCTCGCCAGAATCTCGCTGCGACCCGGTCCTCTCTACATCAACGTCGACTACCGAAAAGAGCACAGTACCGTCGAGAACCTGGAACAGGGCTTCATCGTCTGCCAACCCGACATGCGTTTCCGTCTGCTGTTCACTTTCCTCAAGAAGCACCCCAAGAAGAAGATCATCGTCTTCTTCTCGTCGTGCAACTGTGTCAAGTACTACGCCGAGCTCCTCAACTACATCGATCTGCCCGTCCTGGACCTCCACGGCAAGCAAAAGCAACAGAAGCGCACGAACACCTTTTTCGAATTCTGCAACGCCAAACAGGGCACTCTGATCTGTACCGATGTCGCAGCCCGTGGTCTGGACATCCCCGCCGTCGACTGGATCGTGCAATTCGACCCCCCAGATGACCCAAGAGACTACATTCACCGTGTCGGTCGTACTGCCAGAGGTGCCAACACAAAGGGCAAGAGTTTGATGTTCTTGCAACCAAACGAAGTCGGTTTCTTGAAGCACCTCGAGGAGGCTCGTGTGCCCCTGACTGAATTTGAGATGCCCGAGAAGAAGGTCTTGAACATTCAGAGTCAGCTGGAGATGCTGATTGGCAAGAATTACTACTTGAACAAGGTAAGATTTGTTGGTCTGATTACAATATTGAACACAATGCTAACGAGTACCTCACAGTCGGCCAAGGATGGATACCGCTCATATCTCCAAGCCTACGCCTCCCACTCCCTCCGCTCAGTCTTCAACGTCAACGAACTCGACCTGGTCAAGGTGGCCAAGAGCTTCGGCTTCAACACACCGCCACGCGTAGACATGCAACTCGGCTCCAGCATGAAGATGGGAGACAAGAAACCAGCTGGTCGTCGCCCATACGGCAGTCAACCCAGGCAAGGTGGAAACTACAAGCGCCAACGTCAGGATTAAATGCATGGTTGCATTTCTTGAGAGAGAAGGACGTTCTGGGGGTATTGCAGCATTTTGTTCCTACATATGGATTCTTATGGTAGCGGGCGTTTGAAAAGTGTGATTTGTACAAGTCAATTCCATCTTGTTCATTCTTGTGGCAGAACTAGACTCGACGTGCGTAAGGTTTGCTTGGTGGTTGTGAAGCCCTGGGTGGAAAATGAGTCGACCGTGGAGAGCGACATGTTATATGTACATCGGGTTGTGTGTCGATTTAGCTCTATAAATATATCAGATGCTCATCTATCGGTGTGTTCTCTCATATAATTAGCAGGGGCATTGTTTAATATGTTCTAGCTCTAGTAAACCCATGACAGGGTGGGGGACTTGACGAGGTCTGCGGAGATGACGGCGTCGCGGGTTGAAAGGGACGCGAGAGTTTCATCATTTCCAGCCAGCATCCAATAATTCGAGCAGGCGCGGTCCCAATAGCTTAAGGAAAGTCTGGCAAGTTTGGCTATCCTTTCGCTCCTTCCTTTTAATCCAGCGACAGCGACTTTCCCTTCCAGATTCCCGTCTTCCATCGCTCCATCTCCAGCGTGCATCCCGCATCAGGCTGTTTCAGTCGCTGGCCAGCCTCTCCTTTCCAGAAACCAACTTTCCCACCATCCCCGGACCGCCGATCCGCATGCCCGTGACGACACAATCCCTACAGCCTACAAGATTCAGTATCGTAATATGAAGTGAGAAGAAATATCGAACATCCCTCATACCCAGCCAACAAGATGGAAATGGTGGCAGAAGAGGAGGCGCCGAGGTCGTTGTCTCCACTGGCACGACCTCGTTTCGCCGAAGCTGGCAGCCAGCCCTCGTCCCCTCTACGCACTACTTTTACTCCCGACACTCCTACACCGGCGCATACCACCCTCTCGAATGAGCTGCTCCGACCGCCGACTGCCGTGTCTGTCCACTTTGGCCCCCCGACTCCTGCCGACTTCAACCTCCCATCCGTCAAGAGCTTTATCAATGGCTCGGCTCCTCGTTCCGTCTCAGCTACGAGCCCTCGTCCGCGACCTTTCGTCTTGCGCCATGACTCGGATCCAACCATGCGTACCATGTCGCGCAACAGGGACGCCAGTGGAGGCAGTGGCACACAGACGCCGCCAGAGAGAAGACTAGGAGAAGACCAGCTGGATGCCGGAGATGAACACGGCCGTCAGGGCTCCTTCTTCTCCCGTCTGAAGGCCATGGCGACGCCAACACACTCGCGCCATCCCAGCGAGTTCACAAATGCCTCTGCTCTCATGACGCCAACAGAGGAGCTGGAAGAGCCGCACTTTCCCATCTACTCTCAGTCGCATCACGACGGCAGTGAGGCCGAAGGCGATATTGAGAGCTCAATGGACGAGGCTGTAGAGGGCCAAGAAACACGGCCGAGGCGCAAGTCTAGGAGAAAGATGGAGAAGACCGTCTCTGCTGGCCCCACGACTCCACGTACACCACGTTTCCCGTCCTTCTTGCGGGATCATGCAGATCACACTCCACGCTTGCCTCGTAGGGCTACCATGACAGACATTCCAGAAAACTCGAGAGCAGGCGTTAGCGAAGACGAGGGGCGTGACCGCCTTGCAAAAAGCGCGTGGAGGCGTGGTCTGGAAGGAGCAAGAGGCCTGAGCTATGTCCATCGCAGCAACAGGTCGAACAACGAAGCTGCAGAACAGTCGGACTCAAATCGTCCCACTACTGCGAGAAGATTCACTGGTTTCGGTGCTCTCGATGGCTCAGCTTCACCGTGGCGAGGCCGCGGAGAGCGTCAACAGAGTACTAGTGCTCAAAAGTGGAAGCAAGTCAAGGCTGGTCTAAAGTTGCTAGGTCAACGCAAGAAAGACGAGCGAGTCAAGGTTGATCACCAAAAGTCTACAGAGCTAATGGCCGAGCTGCTGGCCGGCTCACCTGCTGCCATCTTCCTGGCTAGTATGTATCAACGTGACGAACACGGACGCCGCAAGATTCCAGTCTTGCTTGAGCAACTCAAGATCACCATTCCATCCAGTCAAAATCGCGAAACCAAATCTGGCGATCGCCACATGGTATTCACCATCAATTTGGAATATGGTAGCGGTCCTTCCCGTATGTCCTGGACTATCCATCGTTCTCTCCGCGACTTCAGCAATTTGCATCTCAAGTACAAGTTCCAGAGTCAATCAGAGCGCTACTCAATACTCAAGACTGAAGACCGTACCAAAGCAAAGATTCCTCGCTTCCCCAGAAGTGCTTTTCCTTATCTTCGCGGTGTGAGAGGTCTGGCCGATGAAGAGGAAGATGAAGATGACAATGCTATTGCAGAAGTCAGTGGTCAAGAAGGCGAAGCAAGCGGCCCCGAGCGACCCGGGATGAAGAAGCGACGTAGAACGTCCTTTGCCTTGTCTAGGCGCAAGTCAAGTATAGGCCACGCATCTGGTCCCGATGGTGTAACGGGCGAGGTCGCTCGAGCTGGTAGTATCGCTGGAGCACCTGGAGGCGCCAAGGCTAAGGATGTCTACAACGAACGTCAGCGAAGAAAACTCGAGAATTACTTGCAGCAGATGATAAGATGGCTGGTCTTCCGTCCTGACAGTACGAGACTGTGCAAGTTCCTCGAACTTTCTGCTCTGTCTTTACGCCTGTCAGTCGAAGGTGGCTATCACGGAAAGGAGGGATTAATGTCCATCATTTCCAAGCCTAACATTGACCTCCGCAGACGACCTGTCACTGGTTCCGTCTCGGCCTTCAAGCGCAATGCAGAGCCCAAGTGGTTCATGATTCGTCACAGCTACATTGTCGCCTTGGATAGTCCCGAGTCGCTTGAGCCGCGTGAAGTCTTCCTTGTTGATTCAGACTTCACCACCGACAAAGTCAGCAAGAAGCGCCTGAGAGATCAAACAGCTGAAGAGCTCGCCAAGACTGCTGGTAATGCTGCCCAGCCAAAGCATCATATTCTCCGATTGTACAATGCGGAGAGGAAGCTAAAAATGTTGGCAAAGAACGAGCGTCAACTGGTACAATTCCAGGAATCGATCGACTTCATGGTGCGAAACACGATCTGGTCGCTGAAACATCGGTTCGACAGTTTTGCGCCAGTTCGCAAGAACGTGTTTGCTCGCTGGTTGGTCGATGGTAGAGATCACATGTGGCAAGTCTCGAGAGCCATTGACAATGCCCGAAGCTTTGTGTATATTCACGATTGGTGGTTGAGTCCAGAACTGTATCTTCGCAGACCTGCCGCCATCAGTCAGAAGTGGCGTCTTGATCGTCTGCTTTTGCGAAAGGCACAGGAAGGTGTCAAAATCTTTGTCATTGTCTACCGCAACATCGAATCCGCCATCCCCATCGACTCCGAATATACCAAGACCTCACTCCTCGATCTCCACCCCAACATTTGTGTACAGCGGTCGCCCAACCAGTTCAGGCAGAATCAGTTCTTCTGGGCTCATCATGAGAAGCTCGTCGTGATTGATAACGCAATGGCATTTGTTGGCGGTGTCGACTTGTGCTTCGGTAGATGGGATGACCCTCATCACTCTCTAACTGATGACAAACTCACTGGATTCGAGATGGACATGGAAGAAGCGAGGACTGCCGACAACTGTCAAGTCTGGCCTGGCAAGGATTACTCCAACCCCAGAGTTCAGGACTTCTATGGTCTAGATCGCCCTTACGAGGAGATGTACGACCGCACAAAGGTGCCTCGTATGCCTTGGCACGACATTGCCATGACCATTGTTGGTCAGCCTGCCAGAGATGTCGCACGTCACTTTGTGCAGAGATGGAACTATGTTCTCAGACAGCGTGTGCCTTCTCGCCCTACACCAATCCTCTTACCTCCACCCGAGTTTGATCAGAGTGAGCTCGAAAGACTTGGTATGACTGGTACCTGCCAAGTTCAAATTCTTCGTTCTTGCACTGCCTGGTCTATTGGCACGCCTAACAAGACCGAATGCAGTATCATGAATGCTTATGTCTACCTCATCGAGAACTCTCAGCACTTTGTCTATATCGAGAACCAGTTCTTCATCACTAGCTGTGTCGTTGAAGGGACCCCAATCCTCAACAAGATTGGTGATGCTCTCGTCAAGAGAATCGAACTTGCTCATGAGAGAGGCGACAAGTGGAGAGCATGCTTGGTCATCCCGCTCATGCCGGGTTTCCAGAATCAAGTCGATTCTCAAGATGGAACTAGTGTTCGTTTGATCATGCAGTGCCAGTACCGCAGTATCTGCAGAGGCGAGTCCTCTATCTTTGGTAGACTCCGCGCTCAGGGCATTGATCCTACTCAGTACATTGAGTTCTACGCTCTCAGACAGTGGGGCAAGATTGGTCCTCGCAAGTGCTTGACCACGGAGCAACTGTATATTCACGCCAAGTGTATGGTTGTTGATGACCGCAGTGTCATTATTGGTTCTGCCAATATCAACGAGCGGTCCATGTTGGGTTCAAGAGATTCCGAAGTGGCTGCCATTGTCACTGATCAGGAGATGATCCCTTCATTTATGGGAGGCAAGCCTTACGATGTCGGCACTTTCCCTCACTCTCTTCGTATGCGTCTCATGCGTGAGCATCTTGGCATTGACGTTGATGAGATCTACCGTCGCGAATGTGAAGCTGAGAAGGCCATGCAAGACGAGGAGATGGAGCGCATCTATAGAGACGACTACGATACGCCACCTGAGACTCCCAGAGCTCATGGAGGCCTGACCGAGGAGAATCTATCCCAAAACAGTGAACCTGATGGCAAGGCCAACGTTCTGCATAACTTCCTGAGCGAGACCAACAGTGGCAGCAGTCATCAGCTTGATGGCACCAACAGTAGAAGGAAGTCAACTGACAAAGGTCATGACGCTGATGTTACGGGCTATGGTGTCGACAACATGAAGGGACTTGAGGGTATCGCCGACACGAATGCGAGAGACACATATATCACCAGCCACGGCAGGGAAGTTCTTCGCAACCACAATTTACTCGACGGCGGTCCACATCCTAGATCGTCATCTGTGAGAAGGGATATTATTCACCACCTCCACGAGCTTCCTCAAAATGCTATCGAGGCGGGCCGCCTACTTCCTCCGATCATGCCGCCTCGTATGAATACTCGCGAACTTGGCTTGACACTCTTGTCTCAGCTTCCGGCTCTACCCGTGCTTGACGATTCAGACATAGGTGGTCCGTCATTGCTCAAGGATGTCAGTTCTGAGAACGCTCATATCATCAACCCTCTATTGAACTCTATGCCCCGACCGGTAGTTGATGAAGACTGCATGCGTGACCCTCTGGAGAACGACTTTTACAAGAAGATCTGGCATCAAGTTGCGGAGAACAACACTCGCATCTACCGACAAGTCTTCCGCTGTATGCCAGACTCTGATGTTCAATCATGGCAGTCGTACAATCAGTTCAATGCATATAACGAAAAGTTCATGCTCTCGCAGGGTATGGGCACCAGCTCACCACTTTCGAAATCTGCAGGTGACGCACCAGATACCAGTGGTCCTCCAGGCTCTGGCGGTACTGATACACTGTCTTCTGCTGCCGCCCTCTCAGAGCGTGCAAGTAAACATGCCAGTAATAGGTTTAGTGGTTTGAGCAAGCTATTCGGCAATCGTCCCAGCACCTCACAATCCAACATTACTGCCGCCAATGGCGAGTTGTCCGAGAAGCAAGCTTTGGAAGGCGATGCTGCACCGACACCAGATGATGTGACCAACGAAGAAACCGTTGACGAAAAAGTGGCAGCTGCCCAGCGTAACGATACCGCAAACACTGAAGCCACCCTCGCACCACCACCCCTCGACGGTGTTCCCACCAACATTTCCTCCAACACCGCTCCTCGCGCCCGAGCCCGCACCATCCAATTCCCCGAAATGACGGAAAAAGAAAAGAACTTCGAACCCGGAGCTCTACCACACGCCGCCACCATCGGAGCTAACATTTCCCACAGCACATCGACCAAAAAACGACGCAACAGAGCAAACACCAAAGGCAGTGCCAAACTCAACGCCGAACAAGAAATCCTGACTAAAGAAGAAGCCGAAGGATTACTGAAACTCATTCAAGGACATTTGGTCACTTGGCCGTATGACTGGTTAGTACATGCAGAAATTGACAAGTTTGGCAAGAAGAAGGACAGACAGAAAAAGGAGGGGGGTTTGATTTTTGATGTGGATGTTGTTGCGCAGAAAAATGCTAATACTTTTGGTGGGAATAGGCTTGAGAGAGAGGAAAAGGGTGGGAATTGGCTTTACAGTATTGATCAGATTGCTCCGTTGGAAATTTAGTGAGTGATGAATTGGGAGGGAGAGTGGAGTTGGAGATGAGGATGAGATGTGCTGACATTTTCGGTAGTGATTGATCGATGCGTGGTTGTAAACAACAATGGACCTTGATTGGTCTCCGCGACTTGGACTGTGACGAAGATCCAGGCTTCGACTCTAGGCTTCTGACTTCGACTTCTGCGGATACAGTTTTCGACTCTCGACTCTCGACTCTTAGCTCGGACGTTGGGTCCTCGACTTGTATGCGTACACCTTGACTCTTTATCACTCTGGGACTTTTCTGGCATACACACTCTTAACCATTCTTCTTTTCCTCTTCCTATCATACTGGGGGGAAAGAGAGTGCAATCTCTTTTTCCTTGCTTGAGCTTCTTTCCACAGCGGCATACAGGGTTTGGCGTTTCTTTTTTCTTTCTCTCTTTCTGCATTTTTTGCGTGATGGGAGATGGAGTGGAAAAAGGCATAGGAAGGTAGAAGTGATGTGTATAGTTTCTATTCGGGAGTTTGAATTATTATACACTTCTATTTTTTCCCTCTTTGAAGAGATTTTTTCTTGTGTGTGGTGTGATGGTTTGGAGGCTTTGGAGGCTTGGTCTTGATACGAAACGATCCGAGCAGAAGCCATCACGATTAGGATCTAGGTAGTAGTCACTTTGTGAGGACGAAAAAAAAAACACGAACAAGACCAGCAGAATACATGATAAGAAAAGCCAAAAAGAAACAGAAAAAAGAAGCTCTCCCATTCCGCCCTCACCAAACCTTCTGCCAGTTCGCTCACGGGCGTATTCATCAATGAAAGTGGAATGATTGGCTAACGACGGTCTTTTTGTCTGGGATTTTGAACTGAGAGACCTTTTTGATCACCGTGGAAGGGTTTGGACTTGCCGATGCGCCGCCATGGGACCGCTATGAAGATCTGGCTTGATTATGGGGGGAGGAATTGTGAGAGTGTTTTGGGTTTGATTGAGGATTTTGGCATTCCTTTTGGTTTGCTGGCCTTTTCTTCCGATTGCCTTTGCTCAAGGGCTGGCTACCAGGATCGTTCCCTCGGGATTTTTATTTTCGGCAACCTCATGGTTTGCGGGCGTGGATTTTCGACGAAACCCCCAATTGTTACCAGCAGGGAAACTCTCGCGAAATCCCCACCAAACTGCCATTCATTATGCGTCGATAAATGAAGACTGGTCTGCGATATCTGTTGTCGTGGCAAGGGGGACAATTGGGGGGGTATAACCCGGCACCATCTCTTTCATCATCGGCGAGCTTTTTCGATGATTTGTTGCAAGATCATTTCGAATCGAGTCCATCACATGGTCAGGGAATATTGTTCCTGTCCCTACTCCAGCTAAAGCTATCTTTTCAAATCATGGCTGTAGAAAGGGCGTAGTTAATTCCAGCGGATGTACGCTGGTGGAGGAGAGCCGTTGTTTTCATGCTTGTCGGGGGAACAATGCGTGATCTTTGGATTTTACTATGCACTTTTTACAGCCTTGCATCACATCCTACTTTGTCAGAAGACAGAGAGAGAGAGAGAGAGAGTCAGTCTTGGGCGGCATGACTTAATATATGCTCTCCGACGAGAGTGCAGTGCTACTGTAACGTACTGTTCAAAAGCAGATTCATTTTCCTTGAGCTAAACAACGTTCTTTTGAGAGCTCGTCTAACACGTCTCTCCAATTGTCGACTTTTTCCAAGGAGGAAAAAGATTGTGCATACCGATGGCTGAGTTACGACAAGATCATATGGAGGAAGGACAGTCTCTGAACACTTTTTTTTCTTTTTTTGGAGTTTATAGAATAAGCAAGGTAAAAAACAGCCGTGACGCCATTTCCCCTTAAGCGAACGTGACGTCCACCTGGGAGTAAACAAAGAAAGACAAAGGATTGTGTAATGAATTAGCAACGATCAAAGGCGATGATGGATCAGGGTGTTGATGGCGTCCGTGATCTCTGCCCGGCTGTTGCCCACCACTTCCTTTCCACCAGCCCAAACATATTCGATATCGTAGCAGAGCTGAACAAATTTGCACTTCTCCAGGGCAAGGACACGACTTGTCAATTGAGCCTCCAATTGTATGCTTCCTTTAGAGCATCTCCAGCACACATGATCTCTGCTCGAGAGAACACCTGGCTAGCATTACTGGGATACGCTGAAATAAGTTGGAGGTCGGGAGATCTGAGGATAGTGACAGCGATGGTTATCGCGTACCCTCTTCAATCTTGTCTGTCACCATCCTTAGGGATCGCTCTAGAAGGGCACCCTCTTATCACACTCTTTAGTATGCTTCTTTTCCTGCGCAATAAATTAGGAGATGTCACGGATGGTTTGATATTGTTGAGAGGGCAACTTCTGGCACTTATAGTAGTTAGTCGGTCTTTGTCGTGCGGACATTCGCACGTCATATCATACTGGAGTACCGAATCAAACAGTAGAGGTTAAGATCAAAGCTTGAGTAGGGCATGGAAGAGACTACCAGATCTATTATACACTTCCTTATGCTCCCTTATATCGCTTTGATTCTGGAGGTGAATCTTCCTCATCTTGTGCAAGGCCTTGGTGGTCTATCGAGCTTCATCTCTGTGGTGTTACGTCCTTTGGCCCAATCTTGAACAAGTCTTGTCTACTGTCTTGGATCGATGGTCGATGTATGATTCATCTGGACGAAGCGAGAAGGTAACTTCGAACTTCTTCCTTGATCGTCTCACTGCTTCCCTGTAGCCAAATATCCTCTGGTCTGCGTGTGAAGTTGATAAGATGGCAAGTCTCCAACTCTTCGGGTTGCATGAAAAGCTCTTCCAGCATGATTGACCAGGAAGCCGACGGTTCACCTCGGCGAAAGTATCGGGAAAACCTGTTTATAGGGCCGGCCAATGTGTTGTCGAGCACGACTTTCTTGAGGCACTTCTGGCCGTTGAGACTTGCCACTTGTTCCATAGTCAACGAGCAGCCATAGAGAGCCAGCTCATCCAGACGCAGTTCGAGGAGGAGTGGGCGCAGGAGAACGCAATTATCTCCACTCTGGTTGCTGGCACATAGAGTCTTGCGAGAGTGATCGATGATGACACAACTCTGTCGAGTGGACATTCCATAGTTACTGAACTCAATCGTGATATTGTAGGAGTTTTGAAAGTTATCGATGTGCGCGTGAGCGAGAAATCGCATCAGATGTGCTTGTATCGAGGGTCGATGAGAATACCAGGTAGATGCTGCAAGCGGCAACTTGACAACGACACCATCGATGTTCATTCCGGTCTTGAGAGTGTAACGAAAAAGTCTGTCTTTGAGAGAGTCTGGAACATTGTTGGTATCGATGTTGATAGGGGTACAGCAACCGTAAGGGTATATCAGAATCTCAAATCCAATGAAAAGACCCACTCGGACGGTTGCGATGTTTTTGAGTGCCTGCCCAAGCTTGGCGTAGCATCTCTCGGTAGTGGGGAGGTGTCTGGGTCCGCGACGTCCGCAAGAGAAGTGGTTTTGGATGATGCTGGCAATGATGGGAGTGCCTACGTAAGGAGCCAAGCTGGCTTGTGAAGTCACATCGACGAGTCTTTGTAGATGGACTTCATCGAACGGGCAGGTGTACTCCTTGAAGTATTCGCCCAATCTGTCGGATGCGCATTCGCGGCTTTGCTTGTTGATAAGGCGAAAGAGCTTCATCTCGCCATTTAATAGGTAGCTCAAGATCTCTAGGAGTAGCTGGTTGGGGAGGTCGGAGAACTTTGAGCCTGCTTGGACCTGTGTGGGCGGTTCTTGAGAGGGGGTTGGTGCGCGTTTGACACGCTTGACAGAGCGTTTTGCCATCTGCACATCGATTAGACCGTACTGAAGATACTAGATTGTGAGTACTGACCTTTGCTTGAGGAATATGTGGGTAGATTGAAGGTTGTGATGTGTTGACAAGCGGAACTGATCGAAGGTAGGTTTGTGATGAAGGCCACTGAGATTGAGATATCGTCAGGCGCAGCACGAGTTAAAACGCCAAGACTGAGTCGACAGGAAACCCGATCAACATACTCTTTCACTTACACACAGGAGACTTTCGGGACAGAGAGAAGAAAGCTACTCTTGTTTGTAATCCTACCATGGGGCCCATTTACCGTCGAACCTGCAGCTGTCTAGAAGCGCAACCTTCCCTGAGTTCTGGCTGCCACCGAGAGGAAGATGTGCTCACAGCTCAAGCCTCACCCAAGGCTTGACTAAAGCTACCATCTGATTTAGTCTGAGCTGTTCATTTTCTATTCTACTTCTGAGACTCTCGATGGCATTGGAAGTGATGATCATGGCTGCTCCACATTAGAAGCACGTCACCGTTGCTCCCTGATCTCTCCAGATACGCAAAGGCTCCAGACATGAAACCCCCCTCAGAAACAGAGTCTCTTCGTGACGGTAGCTGAATGGTGCATATACGATGCCCGCCGTCGCATTGTGTTACAGCAAGACGAGACTCATCTTGCTCATCGAGGGATGGGATGATCAAGCGTTCCCTCTCCGAATCTGCAGATAGTATAGCTATCATTATCGTAGAGAGAAGCTTGAGGGTCAGCAAAGGACGGTCTATTGGAGGGAAGCCTTCTTGCGTAATCTGCCGAGGAAGCATCCACACAGGTATTGACTCTTGGCTCTCATGACACCATTCTAGACCCATCCTTCCTATCAAGTGTAATGACAATAGAGATAGTAGTTCCAAACCATGGGCGGGCATGACGACAACTCGACAACGACAAATCTTAAAGACGACTGCTGACGGCCACGACGACTGTTCCTCTCCCTGACGGCATGCATCGATGTTGTGCACCGTGGTACAAATCTTGGATTGCACATAACACATGACTGCAGTCGATCTCATGCATCTCAATGTGTCATTTAGTGTCAAAAACAGCCATGACCCCAGTTACGTGGCCGTACTGCGAGTCGCCGCGATTGGGTCCCCAGTAGGGATGTCCAAGAACACTGTTAATCAATGCTTGGAAGATAGAACCGACGCAATTGCTTGCGCAGTTTGAAGTGGCTGCAAAGGGCTGACGGCCTTACGCGTCACCTCACCTTGTGCCATGCTGAACAGTATATGATGAAGCGTGAACGAGAGCCTCTTACGCCTCTCGACTAACCCATAAGTTCTGTGCGAGACGATACCCATTATCTTGCTGTCAAGACAGAATTGAGTGCACCGTTTCCCGGAACCCCGCTTACTTCATTCTGGTCGCACAAAGACTTTCGACGTCATGCCTTATCACCTCGAGGGCAAGATCAACGAGGTCTACCGAAATTCTGCGCTCACTGTAGAATGTGTAGAGAATGGTCCCTCTGAGCTGGCAGCAATCTCTCACGATCTTCGACATCTGTTCGAGACTCTCAAATTGCTGGCGGACGCGACAAACCCATCAGTTGCTCTATTCGACATGGCCACACGAGAACAAGCATCAGAACTCTGGAGTGCCCTCGAAGCATGCGACCGTGATCTATCAAACATACGAAGTATCTGGGTCTCTTACGCAGAGCTTGATTGGATGGCCCAATCGCAATTTGTGGCAGAAGCATGCCTATCCACACGCGGCACCCGTTACTTGCAATCGAAGATTTTAACCTTCTCCTCAAAACTCAAAGGTTTACTAGTCGACTTCAAAACATCGTCTACAGCGCTGAATTGGCCGCCGAGTATCGATGTCCTCAGCCAGATTCAGGCGGAACTACTGGCGGAGGGCATACAAGTCGACCACCTTCAAGCCCGTCACGACGAGATCAAAGCCTACATTCGCTCGCTTGCCATTGGTGAACACTTCTACACCACGATATCGCACATAGCACCGCCATTGTCCTTGTCTGCGGTACCCGAAAGTCCAACGTGCGCTCAACCGCCTTCTCGCCAGGGGACCGATTTGGCAGACCAATTCTCTACTCTCTTCGAGCCACGAGCACTACGCCGACCGTCTTTGGCCAAGATCATCGTCTCTGAAGCTCCGATACCCCTAATTCTCACGTCTCTGCCAACGTGCGAGAAGACGCTTTCACCAGAGAAACGATCAGCCAAAACGTCACCGTCAGCGCCAGCTGGCACAGACACTGAAAATCCTCTCGCGCCATCCCTAGTGTCACGGTTTTCCACAGCTATAACGAGCATCGCTTTGTCAGTGAGCTTGCAGAATAAGTTTCGTGGTACTCGACCACCGCCTCAGCGATCATCATCTGCCGTGTTTCGAGGTCTTGCGAATGAGGAAAGAGCAACCGGCGACTAGAAAGAGGAGCGAGACAGAGCACAGCAAAGTCGTTGGAGAAGTGGGACCCCTTGAGTCCGTCAATGCAGATCTCTCACATGATGATCTTCAGATGCAGCCAGAATCGATCCATTGTGTCCTTCCAGCGGCACCGGCACATCCTCATCCTTTCTTCACAGAGCAATGACGGGCGAGGAACGCGCTCCGGTCCATAACGCAGGATAAGGCCATCTCTTTCGCTACGATACCGTAGTTCTACTGTGACTATTCTCAAGCCAAGACAAGTGTACCCAGGGGTGCGGGAATGCGGTATTTGCGTCACTGACCTGGTACCCTCATGACTGAGCGAAGCCACAGTTTCGTCGGTGCTTACTACTCATCCTTGTACTTTCACGGATATTGATGTTAGGCACTCGATATAGCGCGGTAGTTGGATGCGGGACAAGCAATGCAGTAATTTGATAATGTTTAATGTAATCGATTTCGTCCGAGACAATGAAGTACTATTGCGCTTTCTCTTTGCGAGCAGAAAGACAGCCATTCTCAGAACACTTGAGTGCCATTGCGTAGTGGACAACCGCAATGAAGCGGTAGGACCACATCATCGTACCCTGATCGTGTTCCCCTTCCGCCATACTCTTACGCTTGAGCACTTCCTCCTTTGCCAACAGCATCAGCGCGCAAGATCTCATTCAACTCTTCTCTCGGTACGCAGTTTTCGAACCTGAAGCTTGCAGCAAGCTCATCCAGCTCCTCGAAAGTCTTGCCCGTGAATAGTTCCGCGAACTCCTTCCCAAGATACTCTGACAACAAGCATTCTCTAATCACTCGCTCAAATTGACGGTCAAATGACCACACATTCGGGTACTTTGCATCGCGAATATGAGCAGGCACCATCTCTCGGAGATCGTCAATGAAGGGCTCGTATGTGTCTGCTACACCCGATTTGTCAACCACGCCCCAAAAGTCCAGCCCGAGACGCTGCTTCTTGGCAATGAAGGGGGCGACGAGACGCATATAGGGTGAGTCGCGGGAGAGATGGACCATCCCTTGGTACCCAACGTCTTTGTACAACCAGATAGACCAAGAGGTGTTCGTGTTGGCATAGATTGAGAGCTGCTCTTTTAGAACACCGAAGCGAGCCTTGTTGATCGTCTGCGCATCTTTGTCCGCGATGGGATCAGCGTAGACAGGCCCAAATTCACCATTCCAGAGAGGCACGTTATGCTTCTTTGTGAACTCGGCCTTGCGTTCGAATTGTCTCAGTAGTCTATTGTTCTGATCGTGCGTCCCTGTGTATGGTGCTTGTCCCGGGATAGGAAATCCGAGCATCGCATAATCGTGGCAAGCATATACAGAATTAGGCAAGACGCTGTCGAAGTGGCTGAAGTCCATAGCGTATGTGTTTCCATCAATGAAGAGGATATGGTCAGGATCCACAGCCCGAATGGCTTTCTCAACTCTCTCGTACCATGCGATTAGCCTGACATGCTCGGGATCGGCCGGCTCGTTTAGGGGGTTGTAGCCCGCAATCACTCGATTGCCCTTGTAGTGCTTTGCAATGGCTGTCCAGAGGTCAATCATTTGATCTTGGAAGACTCTGAAGTCCCAGAACAAGGCTTTACTCAAGCCACTGTCCGAGTGCCAGTCTTGGTTTTGACCGCCGGGCGCTGTGTGAAGGTCCAGGATGACATAAAGGTTGTGTCTCTGGCATATGTCGACGATGTTATCGAGAAGGTCGAAGCCGGACTGTTTTATGACCGATGGGTTATCATCATCGATGAAGTGGCGGTAGTTGAATGGCACCCTGATACAGTTTAGGCCCAGCGAAGCGAAATAAGCGGCGTCGGCATCGGTGAAGAAATGGTAGATGAATCTGTCGAAGAAGTACTGTGCCTTCTCCTTGCCAAGTACCTCCGCCATGGCAGTTCTATGCTCGTGCTCGCATCCACTATATCCCGTGATGAAGTTTTCCATATTTAGCTGTCCCCCGAGAGCAGAGCCCTTGAGTATGATGGGTTCATTATCGGCGTCGACAATGTTAGAGCCAGCCACTCGGAGCATAGAGTGTGAGGCGCTGGATATGCACTGATGTGCCTGAACAAACTTCTTGGAAGAGTATATCGTATTGGACTGTTCGTCCGAGGCTCGACGTTCGGGTTCTGATGCGTGGGGAGCCATTGTTGAGATTGAGAGGGATTGTAAGGAAAGGAAAGACCAGAGATAAGATTGCGTGGATGGAGATACCGTAAGGGTAGAGAGGTAGAGGGGCAGAGAACTATATATCCGATCTATGCTTGGCTCGCAAAGGAGGAGCAATAGAAGATTGCGGCTGTGCTGCTACCCCAGTCTGGAGCCGAGGGCTGCGTCTTCGCTCAAGCGACACTCCGCGATATTCCCTCGTACCCCGGATTCTGGTCTTCGCGGAATATCGCTCCAAGGGACAGTAGACCGGGAATGAATTGCCGATGAGATTATCGGCTGGGCAAAACCGTACCCAAACGCCAAAGCCACTGGTAAAACTCATGGCTCAGACTCGGCGAGACACGAAGCTTCTAAGACGTTGCCCCATTCCATGAATATTGGGTCGTCATTCTGCCAGAATCGATTCAGAGCAGCAGTCTGTCGTACGTGGTACCGCCACCCATCCGGAAGTGTCAGGCTAATGCTCGATTGACTCTGCATGTTCCTCATCGCAAGGGTCAGGACCATTGCACTTCTACTACATGTCCTGACCATACCCATGGTGCCATGGTGGCGATGATAGAAGCCAGGTTGGTTCACCACTAGTCGCTCGAGGTGCATCCTTAGACCTTTGTTAGCAAGATCCAGAGTCACAGGCGTAACTTGTAATTTTCGTTCAGAAGCATTGAGCCCAGCCATCACGAAAGGCCAGTAGATAAGCTCATAGATGTTGAGTAGATGACCGCGGAGGACGAATTTGCAAACGTCGTCACTTTCAGGGGTAGATTGGAGAGAGAGTTCAGAAGGCAAGTTTTCGAGCCATATTTCTGCCTCCCGTAGCCATCCGACCTCGAGTTCAGCGAGCGCTTCTAGAGTCTTTTGCCCAGATTTCACCTCCGTTTCTATAATCTCTTGCTGGATCCTCGAAGCCAGGCGCTTCAATGAGATCTCGGATAAATAAAAGTACCAGCTAATTCGCTGACGACTTGCCACGGGATCCTCGGAGTTCGCTGCATCTGCCGACAAGGCAGGCGGTGTCGGGAAGAAAGAGGGGTACGATAAGTTGTTTCGTATGGTGAAGTCGAAGGGCTTCATGTCTCCTCGCATCTCGCGCTCCGACTTCCATGCGGACCAGTACACAGCTTGTTCAGCTGCAATAGTCTGTGATTCATCCACATCAGCCGCAACAGTATCTGGCCACTTCACAATCTTGAAGTCTTGACAACATGCGAGGGCCTGCAGAAAGTACCGCCATGCTGAGGACGCTCGAAAAGTAGTTGCCATAAGAACACCTGAAAGGAATAGACATTGTGCAGCGATTAACCCACCGTCGACCATGAGCGGCCCAAGTCTTTTGTTTGCGGCTTGGAAATACGACATGGCAGTCATAAACTCAGGCGAGGTTCTTGAGTAACTAGAATCCACTCCGAAGGTTGATGAGACTGAACCAAGTGCACATACAAGTAGAGTCAGACAAGACTGAGGCGACTGGTCGAAGCCATGCAAGGCAAGTCGCAAGACCATACGTCTTGTCTGGGATTCATCCAGCACAGGATTCTTGACATGGACGTTATTGAAGAAGTTGTCCAACAGAGTGGTAGTCGAAGCCGCAGTGAGGTCATCCTCCCATCCAGGAGATGCCACTGGCAATTGCGGCGTATGATGCTGGTAGAGCGAGGGGCTTTGACCAAAGGTGGTCACGGATGCGAACTCTGGCCTGGCTAGCAGCTCCTCAGGCGAGCACGGCAGAAGGTCATGTTCTCTCAGTGTGAAGGTCGCTGGATCATCCCTTTCCGGAGCAGCTGGCGTGACAGTCTGATGCGAACCATGACCTGATCGTATGAGCTGTTCCAACTCGTCTAGCCTCTCCAGAATCTTGAGGCTAGCTGGATCAAAACTCGAAAGATCTACAGACGATTGAATGCATGTGGCGCCGACTTTTAGGCAGAATGAACATGCGGGTTTGAGGTTGTCGCATTTTGTCCTCCGCGCCCGACAGACTTGACAAGCAGTCACAGCTCTCTTCCGAGGATATGAGGCTGTGCCGCGTGGAGCAGGACGCTTCTGGCTCGAACGATCGATCGGGTCGTCGTCATTGGCAGATCTGGATACTTCGGTCTCCCCGATGAGTATGTTTTGTAGATTTGACATCAAAGGCACTCTGCTACAGTGAAGTTTGTCGCGGAAAGTCGCTCGAGAAAGGAGGCTTCAGGCTGTGGAGGGAGCTGAGATGACTGCCGTCAAACGCCACCAGTCTCCAGCCCCAAAGTCGCACGTGCGGGGCATCGCGGAGTGTCGCTCTTGCCCAGAATTTGACTTTTTCCCCAGAGGTTCTTCTCCGCGTGATCTGCATGAGCCTGGACTTGTATACAATCGTCCCGACTGATCTCTGGACTGATCTGTACTATAAAGGCAGTTGTCCTGCCATGATGATCATAGCACCAAACTATCCGCAGCGATCATCACTATAGCCTACATCATCACAACTCGTTTTACAACGACATCATTGCTTCTTTGAACATGGCCGAGAAGAAAACACTCGAAGTGGCAGACCTTCATCTTGAGGAGAGTCATGAAGCTACCAAAGATAGTGCACTCCGTGCAGACGACGAGCTCGAACATCAGCTCACTGTTACTTACATGCTCAAGCACCACAAGACTCTGATCTGGTGGACATTCTATTGGGCTATGTGTGCCGTTGGCTGGTAAGTGACTGTCCCCTACTCCATCGTGTTACTTGGGACAGTATAACTGACTGTCCTTAGGGGCTTTGATGCTCAAGTCAACGGAGCCATGATCTCTGTACCAGCATTCAGACGGGACTTTGGATATCTCTTCGAAGGCGAAGCCGTCCTACCTGCCACCTGGCAAACTGCATTCAGCGTTATCACAACACCCGGTCAACTTCTCGGTGGATTCCTTTGCAGCTATCTTGCTGATTCATTCGGTCGCAAGACATCTTTGTTGGCTGGCATCATCCTTTGTGCGGGCGGCATCATTGGACAACTCTTCGCAGCTACCCGAATCGCCTTCCTCTGCTCTAAGCTTGTTCTTGGTTTTGGACTTGGTTTCTATCTGACCATTGGACCTCTCTGTACGTCCGAGGTCGCGCCTGTCGTTCTTCGTGGTATTGCTACCGCTGGTGTCAACCTCGGCATTGCTGTTGGTCAGCTTCTCTCAAACGCTGCTGTGGCGGGCTTCGGAGAAAGAGACGATCATTGGGCATATCGTGGTCCTTTCGCTCTTCAGCTGCTCTTCGCCGTCTTCCTACTTGTTCTTCTTCCGTTTGCTCCTGAGAGCCCCTGGTGGTTGATCAAGAAGGGCAAGCATGAGCAAGCAAAGAAGGCGCTCCAAAAGCTCTATGGTCAGGAAGCAGACATCGACAACAAGCTTACTGCATTGCGGTGCACTGTTGCGAATGAGACAAGAGACGGAGAAGTTAACTTCCTTGACTGCTTCAAGGGTACGAACAGAATCAGATCCTTCATCTCGATGGGCGTCTTTGCCTGCCAACACCTCGTTGGTATTATCTTCGTCCTCGGCTATTCCACCTACTTCTTCCAGCTTGCTGGCCTTGATGATAGCAACTCGTTCAGTCTTGGCGTCGGTGTCACTGCTTGTGGCGTCACTGGCAATTTTGTCAGCTGGTTCGTCATCAACAATGTTGGGCGTCGCAAGCTCTTTGTCGGAGGCATGATTGCACTCACTACTATGCTCCTCCTGATTGGTATCATGGATGTCATCCCCACAGGTGGTGCCAAATGGGCTCAAGCTGCCATCACTGTCATCTGGGCTTTCGTCTACTTCATGACCATCGGTGCCATGGCCTTTGCCATTCTTGGCGAAACCTCGAACACCTCTCTCCGCGCTCATACTGCTGCACTCGCCACGGCCACTCAAGCTATCTTTGGCCTTGCTATGAATTTCGCCATTCCCTATATGGTCAACCCTGATGAAGGTAATCTCAAGGGTAAGGTCGGCTTTATCTTTGGTGGTCTGGGAGCACTCGCTACTGTTTGGGCTTGGTTCTTCGTCCCTGAGCTGAAGGGGCGCACCTTCGATGAGATTGATCGCATGTTCACCGATCGCGTGCCTCCACGTAAGATGGGATCCCACGTACTGTCGTGAGCTCGCGGCTTGGAAGGTGTAAAACCGTAGTGTGTTTGTGTGGAATGTTTGTACATACGGAAGCTGTATCTTTGCTGGATGATGTCCGGAATATAAGAATATGGATACATAAATGTATATTGCTCATGATGGAGAAGTGTCGCATGTGATGTGCTATCGTCTCGGACCGACCTTGATGGCTTACGTAAGATACATGGCCTCAACCTCTATCTGCCGGCGCGGGGAATAGCAATCTTAATCATGTGATGATAGTGTTCTGACCCGCCAGGGCGCGTGCTATCGTTGAGCCAAACTGCCCTCGAGAATCAATCTATGCCTCTGTCAGTCGTCACGCGAGTTCTGCGTTCGCACAACGTACGTATATCTCAAGAGACCACCTCACACCAGCAAATGGAGTTCTGTCTCGGAGGGTGTGCGAAAGCTCAAGTTCTCAGGCAAGGCTTTGGACATTACCCTCAGCTTCTCTGACCGTGCTGGACTTCCACGAAAGGCATCTCGCGTCGACCTGTTTCTTCGTGCCTCTGTGGACTTTTCCAAACAGACGAGGATTGACTACGACTTTCTACCACAAAGCAGATTTTCGTTGACAGAACGAAGTCTGGAGACTCGAGCCTCGATGTCACATTCGTTAGTGTTTACTACGCAACTCTCTCTGCTAATGCTGGCGGAAAGGTTGCCATGCGCATACTTCTGGACTGGTCATCGGTGGAAGTGTTCAGAGGTGTCGGAGAGACGACCTTGACGGCACAGATCTTTCCGCCAGAGAATGCTCTCGATGCTCTACAGTTCTCCGAAGGCAGCAAGACAGAGGATTGCAAGAGCAGGGAAGATCTCCGTGGGAGGAGGATGCAGACGTGTATACAGGCACAGAAGGTCACGGCAGAAGAGTTATTGTATTGAGCAAAGTGTTTGTTCATTCGAGCTCGGGTACCTCCCGCCGCGTTTCCATCTCCTTCGTGTTCATCCTTCGATCTAGTTGCAGCTAATGGTGATCATGCAGTGAAAATTCTTGTCCTTGGCCATGATGCGAGTTGAACACCGCTGATACAATTATGGGTGAGCAGTCCAGCTCATGATGATACAGATACGGGTGTGCGGCCCAGCTTTGATCAGCCACCGCAACCACGCACCCATAGATTTCGAAATTGATGCCGCTGTCCGACCTCTGTCAGGGGTTCTCGTGTTGGGGAACATGGGTGAGTAGCCCAGCTGCAGCCGAGACTAACAGCCAGACAACAAACCCATGATCCAAGACGAAGGTCGGGGACCAGGTCTGTGAGTAGAGTCAGCGCGCTGTTCACTACCGTGCTTGCAACGAGGATGAGGTGACGGAAGGGAGAGGTAGACTGACCTGTGCGCTCAAAGGCGCTTCTCGCCCCACGATCCGCTGCGAGGCAAGATCTCAGGGGAAGCAGTAGGACTGCGGGCGACAACAGAGTAAGGACCATTGTGGTAAGCGAGTTTTGCGTTTCCGGTGCCGACCTTCTGCTTCTTGGGGAAGGCAGAGGTAATCTTCTTCTTAGGGTCTGCGAAACAGGCTTGATCAGTATGGGTTGGAGTGGAGAGCGCGCAGGATCATCTTACACATGACAATGGTACAGATCTTTTCGATGAGACAGGTCGCCTTAGCCTTCAGCTTGAGAACATTGTTCGACATGATGATTGCATAATGGATGTTTGAGTTATTGTGTAGCAGAGATGATGGTTGGATGAAAGATGGTTGCGGTATTGACGAGTTGGTGTTTGAAGTTTGAATGCGTGTTGACGAAAACAAGGAGAGGAAGGGCAACTCATCACAAGCTTGCTCGAGTATTCTGTTCAGACACTAGCCTGATTCAGCCGTAGCAACGACGAGGCCATTGTTTTTCAATTCTCCGTGCGAGAACAAACGCGTCAAACTGTGCTCGTTTCTATCGTTGCCGTGAGCTGTCAGCGCTCTTGATGTTATTGCTGCTTGCATTCTACTGTTACATCGACAACGACCGCTTATTCCCTCTCAAGCATTGACGACCAGGAATCATGGCTTTGCTCGTCGGTACAAGGCACTCTCGACGAGTTTGCGTTCTCAAGAAGGTATATTCCCAGATCCCTGTCAGCATATCACCAAGTCAAATGATCTGACTATCTGCAGAGTTTTTGGCGCCCCAGTGCTCAGACATCGCCCAAGTCCTTACCACTCGAGATCTCGATGAAGATTGCAAAGATCCTAGACGAGAAGTCCATCGCCCAATACCGCCTAGTATCAAGAACCCTCCACAAGTCCGCCGAGGAAGAATTCGCCATCACACGATTCGCTACACTACACGAGCTCCCTCAATACCTCCACATCCTCACGAAGCGCAGCAACAACACCAACGCACTTATCCACATACACCTCGAAAGCCACGAACAACTCTTCCAGATCAGGCCCTCCCTTCACGACATCCCAGGCACCCATACGATCGCTTGCGTTGAACGCGTTGATGACAGCGCTCTCGATGGCGGTGACCAGATCTTGCATCTTCACGCAGTCGGGCAGGGCGCTGTATTCAACGGAAAGCTTTATGGCGTCGACGAGGTGGTCGTTGACCTTGTTCTTGATGGCTTGCTCGCGGCGGTGGTTGTTGGCATCGATCTCAGCGATCGAGAGGGAGGGCGGCAGGAGGTTTTGCTGCGCACCAGAGGTGGTGGTGGGAGGGGGGTTGTTCATGATGAAGCTTTGCGCTGAGAGGGTGTGTCAGGAGTCGTTCCGGGTGAGTAGAGGCTAACTTACGAGGTTGGTATAGATGATTGATTGTGGATGAGCGTGCGTATGGCGAAGATGCTAGGCGAAATTGATTGTGAATTTGATCAGAGGCGCTGCGACGTAGGACCTTTGGAGGAGGCGATGTGCTGGTCCAAAGTGGATGTCGCGAAGCTGCGAGATCTCGTTGGGAGTTAAGTCGAACGAACAGTTCTACTTACTTTGCATCACATATGTGAACGTTAGCATTGACTCTCGGGATGACTCGCTTTCTGACATAATATTCGAGAAAGCAGCACGATGAGATCTATACATGTCACATAGTGAGAAAAATTGGAAAGCAGAAAATCTCAAATGACTAGGAGAGATGTTCGACAGCTATTCATGCCAGCGGTATACTACTCCATAACTACTCCAGTACCAGGTACAAGTACAGTACGTGACACCTCTACTGGTACAATAGTGCCGTCGACTAGCATTTACTTTTTGCTACCGAGAAGGTGTTTCCTCCAGCGGTCGACGACGACCGAGAACTTCACAGGACGTCCCGCCGCGCATCGAGTTCTGTAGGAAAGGGGTGTCAGTCAATTGGAATGTCTTGTTGGCTTGTAAAGTCACTAACCTGATTGAGGAGCTTGACTAGTTGGATGCTTGAGAGCTGCAAGCTGAGGTTGGAATGCTTGGGTAAGGAAATGTTGTCCATCCACAAGGGTGTGAAGTCGATCAACAGAGTAGCGATAGACTACTACACTGCCCGCTCATGCTCCTTGGCTTGAATTAGGAGTGGCTTGATTGTCTGAACACGAGCGAGCAGTGTAGCAAAGTTGTGGTGGTAGCAAATACTCAAATGAGAACTTTGAGGACTGGATTGGTATAACCAGGAGGCTCGTACTGCTTGACAGAGACGGTGAGGATTTCTATCAATGCTGATCAGAAAGTGAATCGAGGAACAAAGTATAGATGCGAGGTCAGAAGGAAAGAAAGAAGTACTTACACAAGTGTAGGAAGTCTCATTCTGCGCAGAAACGCTAACTGCGATTTCGGCAGACTTGACTGAAAAGTACTCGACACAGAGTAACCGTCGGGCTCGACGTAAGAGAAGATGTGTACGTTGCCAAAAGCTTCAGCCAGGGTGTAGACCTCAGAATGAATGGCCGAGAGGTTGAAGTCTATCGTGCTCATGGACCTGGCCGTCAAAGGCTGAGACTGACTGTGCGCGAGGGTGACGGCGGTCGACAGTAAAGTACTCGTGGTGATCAACAAATCTGAACGAGACGGTTTGGAGAATACTCCCGAACATGATTTTCGAGCTTGAAGCTGCGCGAAGGTCGTCAAAGCGACTATAGAGGCTAAAGGTGTAAGGAGTGTCACTTTCAGCAGTGACGGCATTGTCAATCAGATGTTCAAGGCCAGCCTAAGGGAATGTCAGAGAATAACCAAAGCAAAGCAAGAAGAAAAGAAGCTTACATCCGAGAGGACTTCATTAATGATCTCCTGAGTCCACTCGCCTGGACTAGAGGCCGAAGCCTCGTCTGCGAAGGTGTTAGCGAATGTTCCCAGAGCAGCAAGTCTTACTGGAAAGTGACGGCGTAATAATTTCGGGGTAGACAACACGCAAAGCGTAGAGTGATGATACAGGGGCCTCTCGAGGAAATAGAGAGTGTATTGGGATATGAGGTAGAGATGGGGAAGGGAAAGACATGCGCCTGGGGGAAGTTGCCGACATCTCTCATAACATGGGAATGACGAAGAAGGCTCGAATGGGCGCAACATGTCGTGCAGAAGGATGGTGGAAGAAATGAAAAGCGCACTTGTACGCGATTGATGCCGCGGACCTGTTTGCCGAAGGGTAGAAGGGCAAGAAAGACATGGGGTAGATGAATTGGAAATGGGCAGAGGAGGTGTAGAGAGTGCACGTGCACGTTCCTACCGTCGCGAACAATGCAGTGCGATGGAGGGAGGGTGAACAAGGCATGATTTGGGATAGAATGTGTGCGCGATTAGAGTCGGAGTCATGTCCCAGAGAGTGGGGATAGCCAGAGGAGATGTAGGGAAGTGTACTCGCTCGCGACTTGCGTCGGAGCCATGGCTCATGGAGTGGAGATGAGCATAGTAGCCACAGGGAAGTGCATTTGTACGCGACTACCGTCGCGAACAACATGGTGCGATCGAAAGAGGGTACGGAAGGAAGGAGATCCTGCGAGAATTGTACTGACCCTGCGCTTTGATTTCTGTGTTGGTGGTGGTCAGCAGTTTGGGTAAGTGTGTGCAGGCGCGTGCACTCACGTAGCATTTAATGCAATAAAGTACACTCGCGTAGCATTGAATGCAATAGAATACGTCATAAGACAGGTAGAGATGGTGATTGGAATTGACGAAGGAAGAAGTTTGTAGTGGTATGTACATGAGGAAGTTGAGAAACGCCGGCGCTATGGAAGGTGAGGCTTTCCTAGCCAAAACAAGCCTCACTCAAGCTCTCACAACAAGTTCAATACTGAGCTCTTGGCATCCATGGTCCTTCACTTCACAATACTCTTGAGCAGATGAGACATACAGGATCGCTCCTGTGACCTGGCAAAGCGCTTGCTTGTCTTTGCCAAGCAGGATAAGGAAACAGATTGGACGTTGTTTTGACTAATACTCTATAACAAACAGTAGAACGGCAGCAAGGTCTGTGGGTGCACAACGCAGTAAACATTGATCTTTACTATGTGGTCGAGCATCTCCCATGATTCGACCTTTCACCTTCTGGCTAGATGTACAGTGACAACTACGAACGACAAGCCGTGCATCGGCACTCAGAGAGCCTAGTGTTCGATACTGCTCAAGCCCGAGGCTTTTATATTGAACCGACCGAGGAGGGTAGTAAAGATTTTCTGGAGTGGTACGCCCCAAGTCGACTCAATACCTTCAGATGAGTAGCGTCTTGTGACAACCACAAGTGAGACCCCCCTCCCACCACGATAGAATTCTAGTGTCTTGTCCATTTGAGAGTGATAATCAAGAGGGATCAACCAGTGTGGGCAATGAGGGCAGCAAGCTTCTTGACTAGAACCTCTCAAGCGGCTCTGGGCTCGACCAGACCATTGCTACCGGGAAGAGCCTTACCATCTCATAGATCTCATTGCTATGATGATCGAAAATACACAGACTCCGACATGGCCATCTAATCGAGATCAGATGGACTTCTGTGTACAGACGGCTGAGAAAAACGTGAGGCGAGAAGCAAAGACTGACCTGCAATGATCAAAAGATTTCGGCATCTGCACACTTGCGGGCGTGGGCGAGAAGTCGTGCTTTGATGATACACATGGTCTTGCGGATGATGACAGCACGCTCCATGTTCTCGACGAGCTGCTTGTCCATCTTCTCGATCAGAGTCCAGGCGTGCTCAAGGTTCTGCTGGAAATCAATGGTGCGTCCATCGATGGATTGGCGTGGTTTAGTGGTCGAGAAGTCCGTCGACAGCCTGGTGGTGCGCCCATCGATGGATTGGCGCGGCTTAATGGCCGAGGAGTTCGTTGACAGCCTGAGGGTGCTGAAGACTGAGGTAAGATCTTTACGTCTTGCATACCCCTCGATAGACATTGACAAACCTATTTGACGGAGACGAAGTCTTGATCGTGGTCACGGGCTGTTGATTGTTGCGAAGAGAGGGCTTGTATTGGCGTGGACTGACGATCGAGGACTTTTGTGCCATCGCGGGAAGGCTGGGTACTGCTTAGATCTTGGTGACCTCTGCGCTGTTCCAAAGACTTCAACCTACCGTTTGGATGGGGAGGGTTTCTTAATCATCATGAAATTGTCTTGCTTGTTTGTTGAGAAGATTGGGCTTGGTGTGTGAGAAAGGAAAACAACTACGTGTTGCACCACATGCGGTCAAAGCTTGTCGTTGCAACCCCAATCCTGTCGCTTCTCTTTGGATAAGACAGGACAAGTTGTAAATGATGCGTCTGAAAGATAGATACATGAATGGACAGCAAGGATGAGGAGGACATGGGGAAGGCTTAGGTTGACCACACATTTTCTATCGAAACGTTACTTGCTTTCAGGATACATTCTGCGATGCGAAACATTGCTTCTGTCGATCGCTCGATCGAATTCGGCTCAATGTAGGAGGAGACGATCGATGAACCACTCCTTCTACCTTACTAAGCGCGGCCCGTTGTCACAGACAATCTTGTGTCTTAGGATGCGGTTCTTCGCAATATCATAGTGCCAATGCAGTCATTAACTCCCATCCAGTGTCAAGGCAGAGATACACCAGCACTAAATGCCCTCGAAGTTGGTCCACCGCTCATGACAGACTGTGCCCAGATTTTGACATGATATGTCGGAGACCAGAGCTCGAGACAAGCGCTGCTAGAATCGGAATAGTACTTTCTATCTATCTCTGCAGCTGTGTTCTGTGCTATTCACTCCTCTTGGGATCCTTCATGACCGACCGATGCTCGCAGATCATCAAGGTTCTATCTGGTCGAGAAGGTGCTCCAGGACAAGGCTATGAAGATGTTAGAAGCGTTTTCAGGTCAGGAGTCACATAGAGGGCGGAGATGTGAAAGACTGATCTCAGAAAAAGCTCTCAAGTCCAAATTTACTTCGTTTTATGACGTTACGATTCTCGATGATTCTACCTTCAGTCGTGTTCGAGGGTTGGAGATTTCATCGTGAATTCCATTCGTCAAGCTGACGCTCCGTGATCGTTCCTTCCACAACAAACCAAACTTCACTTTTGCGCGCAACCATAACAACAACAACAGCATACTTTCGCAAACATTCATCCAGATCGCCTAGTATGGCAGGCCACCTTCCTAGAGGCGCCACAGCCAAGCCCGCCAAAATCGCTCCCATTGCGAGCCTTCCACCCGTTTCCGCCATTCCAAGAAGATCGGTTGGCTGCGCGGCATGCAGACAGAGACGCATTGCATGTGATGGCAAACGTCCAAAGTGCAAGAATTGCGCAGACTATGGCGCAGACTGTGTGGGTTGGCCGCTTGCCGCTGTGAATGGTCCATCTTCCTCGGCTCATGGTTCCAGTAATAACTCTACTCCCTCGACACCAACCGCCTCACGCGTTTCTTCGAGACTCCACAACATCGCTGCCACCAGTCTTGTCGACAAAATCGACAAACTCCCCATGAGCAGAGGCAAGAAGAGACCTGCGCCTCCTGCGATTGATCGTACCGATGCTCTCAAGGTGCCCAAGCTGTCTGATGCCCTTGGTCTCGCACGCAGCAAGACGGTACTTCCGGGAATCGCTAGAGTCGCTTCCAGCGCTGTTCCAAAGGTGGTCGGTCCTGTGACTGGTTCCCTTACTCCTGGACAGGGCCAGGATGGTCCTGCTGCCGACGCCGACGACGACGACGATGCTCGTGTTCTCGCCGCTCGCCAGGAGAGAGAGTGGTCCCCAGGACTCCTTCGTGAGTTCCGCAAGTTGGAAATGGAGACTTGGAAATGGGCACTTCCCAGCCCCACTCCTTCGACCGTATCCGGGCGCGAGAGAAAAGCCGAGGCAGAGAGAGAATCATCAGCTCCTTTTAGAGTCGTCAAGAATAATGTCACTGCGCCATCCGACACCGACATTCCTGCCACGAAGAAGACGCCAGACGACTACAGAGCGATCGCTCCTGCTCCTGCCACAGTGGTTGACGTCGCTCCTGCCAGAGTGGTTGACGTCGCTCCAGCCAGAGTGGTTGACGTCGCTCCAGCCAGAGTGGTTGACGTTGCTCCTGCCAAAGTGGGTGACATCGCTCCTGCCAGAGTGATTGGCATCGCCCCTGCCGTTGCTGCTCCCGCCACATCGTTCAATGGAGCCAGGATCAAAGTTCCTGAGGGTGCCTTGTCCAAGTTCAATCGCACAGAACCAACCAAAACACTGGCCAAACCTTCCAACCTCGATGAAATGGATCCTTCGAAGACAAAGAGCGTCAAGACATCAGTTCCTAGCACCCTCAGCGAGAAGCAAAAGAAGCAAGTCTCATCCTTACGCGCTGCGAAACGAGCCATCACTCCACCACCACCTAACAACTTGCTTCGACTCCATCACGGCCTCGACAAACCCAAGGTCTCCGCTCCCGCTATGTCAAAGCCTGTTAAACCGACATTCGGCCTCAGTAAGATCGTAAGCACGTCCAGCTCACCCATCGCTGGTCCAGTGATCCCCCGGATCTTCGTGGGCCCGCCTATCCCTGCACATCCCATCAAAACCTTCACCCCCCACCTCACCGCGATCCCTGAAGTGAAGAATTACTACAACTTCACGACTGCAGAGATGACGGCTTATCGTTCAGCCGACACCGCCAGCATCCACGCCGAACAGCTGGCCAGAGACCGCGAAAGAGACGAAGCCGCTGCCATCAAGGCCCGTGAGACCGAAATCCTCAACAACGCCGCCGCTGTGGCAAAGGAAAAGGATTTGGCAGAGAGAAGTCGTGCACTTTTTGATGCCGAGGAGCTTGCAAGTGGCACTGATTGCAGATACGGTACCTGTGAGAAGAGTCTTGTGGATTGTGCTTGCGAGGCTCGTGTTCCTCGTCGTAGACTGGAGTGGACTGGTAAAGGCGCTTGGTAAATGGGCAAGAGGAGTGGTGGACAGGAAAGGTACAAAGACAAAGAGGGCCCGAGACAAAGAAGACGAAAGCGGAAAGACGAGAATGCATGAGACGAGCAAGACGAGATATGAACGACGATTGATGGCTGATGAAAAACACTTGATCAAAGATGATCAATGGACGCTCGACAGAAGAGAGACGACACACACGAGTCAACAGAAAGGACTCTTACATGCTCAGCAACTGTACGCTAGCATGAAATCAGAATTACTCCCCTCTTTAATCCCTTGTACCAGCGCCTTACATCACAATCACCTACATCACCAGTAGATCATACAAAAGGCAACACATAACTATACTTCTAAAGAAAACCCCACAAGTTCTTTAGAAAACCTTCAATCCTCAATCCTCATAAACTCGTCCTCGTCCTCGTCCTCGTCCTCGTCTCCACCATCCACGCCTATCCCACGACAACATAGCCAGTTCCAAAATGACCAAAAGGCAGACTTGATGGTCTCGAAGATGGTACGCTGTGTGTACTCTTGCGCATCTTCGCCATAATCAGGCGCGACGATTATGACTTCCCCCATCTCTTCTTCTTGCACAGGGCTTAGTCTGGGACACTATCGCTCAAATACCATACTCTTCTGTACGTCGTCAACTTCCTTTGCTTTTCCCTTTCCCTTGTCAATCTTTGCGGCTTCAAGGTCTTGAGCAATGCTTTGATCGGCAGCTGCGTCTATGCTTTCTGTTCTCGATGGTGCGGCAGGAGGAGCAGCGGCATCGACTTCGGCGCCTTCGAGTAAATCTCTGCCGCTGACGTCTTCTTCGTCGTCGGACTCTTCGGCGCCGGTGCCGCGGGTAGATGCGCCGCGGTCGATTTCCTTCTGAGCGTCGTCCATGCGACGGCGGACTTCGGCTGCTACGCGCATGCCGTCTGTGACGATATTGTCGAGCATGCCACGAAGACCCTTTCCTGGTGCCATGACGCCTGCGCCAGGGCCGCCGGGGCTGAGAACAGGCAAGTGTACTTTGGCAGGCAAATTGCTGAAAGTTGTGAGGTTGGCTGTGGAGATGGTGCCAGCGGGAAGTGGTGCATCGGCAAGATGGAAGGAGTTGGGGAAGCCAGAGTCGAAGAACGTTTCGAGAGCTTCATCGGCGAGAATGAGCATGCGGAAGGTCGGGAGGGTGATGAAGAGAGGATGGTTGGGATCGAGGGCTTTGTTGGCGCTTGCATTTTTGCTCGGTGTCGTTTGGCCAAAGTTGAAGGGGGCGTTTGTGATAGGTGTAACGGGAGTTTTGGTGATGGAGGGTACCGATGCTGTCTCCTCTGTCTTCGTGGATGGTGTCTTTGAGTTCCCTGGTTTCGAGTCCTCATCATCGAATTTGACTAGATCATCATCAGCATCCTCGTCTTCGTCGTCGTCATCGCCAATGCTGAAGGAGTTGAGATTGTCTGCTGCGGCATCGGCCGAGTCATCCGATTCTTTCTCGGTAATTGCGGCAGTCTCGGCAGATGGCTGTTGTGTTACTGCTGGCGATTGGTCCGGGTCGGCATATTCGAAGCATCTTCTGATGAAAGCTGATATGCTACTCAAGAATTGCTCGTCCTTGTTCACCCTCAACGGCATACCATCGGGTCCGATCTCGGCTTGGGCAGCAAGATTGGTAGAGGATGCAGAGGGTGTGACAGAGCCGGAGATGCCTCGTCTCGACAAGAAGAGCAAAGCTTCTGAGATGCGTAAAATGCCTTCTCGGTCCATTTTGCCATCTTTATCATCGTCGTAGAGATCGAAAAAGTAGCTGATGTTCGACATGATGTCACGAGGACCCTTGATGCGGGCAAACCCAGCGACAACCTTCTGTAGATTGAGCGCCTCTGAGTTGTCAGTGTCCCAAGACTTGAACAGGCGTTGCATGAACTCATGCTCGGCAGGTTCAGGTCCGGAACCCCACGGAGATAGTGATATGGAACGAGCGCGGAAAGTGTTGGCAAAGTAACCACCACCGTTCCTCTCGGACTCCTGCTTGGCAGGCGAGCTGGGTGAGTCGGTGATTGCCCACTTCGCAAGACCGGCCAAAAGCTCTCGGAAAGCATCGTAGTCCATCTCAGTAGGACTAGGGCCCATACCAACTCTGCCCATCTCGACGTTGCTGGGAATGCCACTGACAAGCTCAGAAGCCTTGGTCTTGGCAGCCTTTGCCCTTCGCTCCTGCTCTTGCTGAATCATCTCCGTTCTCTGCTGGCGTTCGTAAAGTATGCCGTAGAATCTGTCGTACAAGAAGCCAAGATCAATGGTACTCAGCTTCTTACTCTCGGGTCCGAGGTTCCTGATTGACGTGCGCTTTGCGAAAGATTCGATGTTGTCGAGAACAGCATCCTTGTGCTTGGCTCTCAGGTCTGAGATGCTTTGTTGTGTGATTCCGGAGAACTCTTTGAAAGCAACGACCATCAGAGCTTGGAAGTTTGTCACGGCTCGCAACTTGGGGTTCTCGGACTTGGGGTGCGCAGACTCGCCGAGACGAGCAAAGTACGACTTAAGTACCGAGATGAATGTGCCATCATCTGTGGCATCCAACAACTCCTCACCATTGACTCTGAGAATGGCCAGACCAATTTGGAACAAGACCTTCGGTCCTTCGAGGAAGAAGACGTCAAGAACTCGGAATGCAAACATGAGGGGCATGGAGTTGATGTATAGTGAGAGGAACCAGGGTAATGACACGACTGATAGTTGGACGTCCGACTTGGCGAGATGTTCAGAAAGTATGGGTAGTGTTCTCTCAACGAGTGACTCGAACACACGCTGATCCAGAAGTGTGCCGTACATAGTTTGTGAGTAGTATCCTGGTAACAGGCGATCGCAAAGAATGGAAAGAAGGTAAAAAGCCTGTGTTTCTGAGAGATAGATCAGGAGGGCGGCTACGACAATGTTCATAGCTTGACAGTAGCCGACTTCCAAGTTAGTCCAACTGTATGCAGTGAGAACTCGACGCAAGCGGCCAATGCCCTCTTCGCTCTGGAAACCAGGATACTCGGGCAGACTACGGTTCAAATCCTTTTCGATCTCGTCAATAGCGAGTGAGTGTTGGCCTTCGTACTTTGTGAGTGTTTCTTGGTACAGCTTCGGTTGTAGCATTCGCAGGTAGAAAGATCCTGATGTGAGTTCCCACACTTCACCTCGCAGACGATTGGGAAGACCAATTCTGACAAGTCGAGGCAGATCCGGCTGTCTGACAAGTGTGGCATTGCGACCATTTTCTACACGATGTCAGTACGAGTTCAGGGCTTGTTGAAAATGGGACCGCATTACCTCGTAGATATTCATACCACAATCTCATCTTGCCCTTGTCTCTGAGTTTCTTGGGGTCGCCAGGATAGCGGAACTGCATACCCAGACCAGCATCTGGAGGTTTCAGCTGTTCCTCTGGGTTCTGATCATCGATCAACTTCTCCGATGGCGAGTCTTTCTCAGTGCGACGCTTGGCCTCGGCGGCAAGCATAAACTCAGAGTAGCACTCTCCCACGACCTTGCGCATACCATCAACTTCGCGCATCCCCTCACGTAGTCCCTTCTTAAGCATGTCGCAAAACTTCTCACACTGTACTCTACTGCCAGCCAGCTGAATCGTGAGCTTGGGTGCTGGCGGAGCTGTCTTGCCAGTGTGTTTTGTGTTCTTCTCATCGGCAGCCGGGTAGCCGTTCCATGTTGTGATGGACAAGGCGAACATGTAGCTCTGACTGTGCAGACGCTCTACTCTACGAACGGCGCATAGAGGCAGAGTGAAGCCATTGCCAGCAGGACCCGCACCATTGGTTTGGCCAGTAAAGGCCGCAGCTAGAGAAGTACTCGCAGTAGGCAGGAAGCTTGAGTTCTGAGTCGAAAAGCACAAGAACTTCTCCGACAAGTGCAAGCGACCGACATAGTGGTTTCCACGCTCTCTGTCCCAATTATTACGCTGCTCATTGCTCTTACGCGGAGTATCGGACGACGACTTTGATGACGAGGGCGTCTTAGGCGGCAAGGTCAACTCAGCCGTGATTTCGTAAAGGGGATTCTGTGAGTCTGGAAGACGGAACTGATGACGGAAAAGGGCGGCCTTTGCTGAGCGATTGTCCGAGGGCGCCAAGTTGTTCAGAGCCGGTTGCAGGTTCTGGTCGACAAAGACCTGGGCCTTTTGCGCAAAGCTGGACAGACTGTTCCACATGATGATGCTGGCGTTTTGTGGTATGCAGGGCGCGTTTACAACTTGGAGCGAAGAGGGTCAGCAGACCAGTCAGAAGCAGACAATTGATGGCCCAGGAGCCTGGTGTAGGAAGCTCAAGTCGGCATGCGAGCTGTGACTTTTGCCTTTTCTTGTGTGATATAAATCTGCGATAGCGATAGGTGTGACTTGTCTTCATTCAACCACGTCGTCATGTTCCAATAAGAAGTACCGACTCTACCTCGCTGTTACGGGCAGCTTCCCCCTCCGGCTCATCCCGCCTCCCTATAGTGGAAAGGGTCCCTGAAACCCTGTTGAAGCCATTCTGCGCCTCCCTTTTTTACTTTAACTCTTATTTGCAAGTAAATATCTATATCTTGGCTCAATCCGGTACACTGTGCTTCTCTACGTCTTACTCATTCTCCTCCTTGTTGTAAAACAATGGGAGAAGACTGGCAGCGAGGGAAGTGCCTATGACGTATGTTAAGCGGCATGAGGCTCGTGCATCAATTGTCCGGGTCACTCCACTCACATCATTCTCCACTATATTTCTGCAATGAGAGGGGCTCCACGATAAGTATATAAGTCGACGATAGGAGATTGTTCCACACCTGAAATAGAAGAGTATGTCGGACATAAATCACGCGACGGTCTTTTCGAGAAGAGTTTTGGCAATCGACTGTCCTTCCGCTTCTTCACGGTTGCCCAATTGTCACAGTAACACATTAGGAAGCCTTCGAACGGTGGATAGTGAATCAAAGTCAAAAGTGATCTGGTCTGTGTCTATATGTATGTATCAATTGAGCAGCCTCCAGAGGCTGAATTATCTATCAAAAGTCTAGCGGGTATATATGTATATGCAAAATGCAGAGCGAGAAAATGTAGGACCAAACTTCAAACAGAAGATGCGAAAAATGAATCAAGCACTCTTTGCCTGCCTGCCTCTCACCCTGGTGAACCAAGTAATGAAATAGATCAGAGCAATGTTCGACACTAATGCAAACACCAAGAAGATGCCCCAGTCACGCCATCTCTGGTCGTAGTGAAAATCCATGGTAGCAGCATACTCGCTTCCTGTGGAGTATGGACAGTAACCACAATCAGAAGTAGCGTCAGGGTTGACAAGGTATCCAGTGCTACGGGAGAGGTACTCAGCAGCATATGTCGCACAGGTCTGACCAGTAGGAGGATCAAAGCGAGCAAGATCATTCGCCGAGCAATCGACAGGAACAGGCTTGAGAAGGTTACTAGTGCTGCCACCGAAGAACCAGCGGAAAGGATCGAGCCAGTACAGCCAATTACGGTAAAAGTCGTTGAGCGAAGCATGAGGAATGAGTGTGCCGCTGAAGACCATGAGAATGTTCCAGAACAGAGCAGATGCAAGACCACAGGTTTGCATGTTGGAGAAGATGGTGGCGAGAAGGAAGTTCCAGGTCATGGCGAAGATGCCGCAGGTGATGAACTGAAGGTACTCGTAACCGGCAATGGCGCTCTCGTTTGTGTAGCCGACGGTCCAGTACATGCAGAAGTAAATCAAAGTGAAGCCGACGAGCATATAGGGCATCTCAACTGACAACATGGCAGTGGTGAGAGCTTTCCATGAATAGATGCCGTTTCTCTCGCGAGCTTCGAAGATGGCCCACTTGCTGAACCACATTGACTGGAGGTCGGGCGCGACAGCAGGAATGATCTGAACAATGATGAGAAGGTTGAGAACATTGTTCTGCAAGCCTTGAATGTCCGTCTTGACCATGAAGTAAGTGAATGAGATGAAGAGCTCACACCACAAGAATTTGAAGAAGCGACTAAAGTTGTAGCTACCATCGCGCCACACGGAGATCCAATGGCGCCTAGTGACTGCCTTGATTTGAGGCCATATGGGCATGGCAAATTGACCAGAGCCGGTCTCTAACGAGCCACCAGCTAACGTAGACTTCTCGTTGATAGTACGAATAGTCTCCTCGACGCGTGCTATCTCGGGAGAGTTCAACCAGTTGTCATGCCAAGCAGCAGAGTTGTCTGCGCCAGAGACAGTCGAGATAATGAATTCGGCAGGGTTCTCAGATTCGTTCATGTGAGCACCGTAACGATCGAAGTAATCAACAACCTTCTTTGAGTTTTCGCCAGTAGCACCGAAATAGATGGTTCTCCCGCCAGGGGCAAGTAGCAAGACATGGTCGAACATCTCGAACAAGACACCAGACGGCTGATGGATGGTGCAGATGATAGGAATGCCTTCTCTGGCGATCTTTTGCAGGAAGTAGACAACGGAGTATGCGGCTTGAGAGTCGAGACCACTGGTAGGCTCGTCCAAGAAGAGTAGGTATGGAGGTTTGGCAGCGAGTTCCACAGCGATGGTGACACGCTTGCGCTCCTCGACACCAAGTCCACCCTCACCTGGGGTACCAATCAAGGCATCGGCGATGGGACCAAGTTCGAGAAGCTTGATAATATACTCGCAGTACTCCATCTTCTCAGCGTAAGGCACATCAGCTGACTGACGGAGCTCGGCAGAGAATTGAAGGGCCTCTCTGACGGTTGAGAATGGTTCGTGGACATCTTGCTGCATTGCGAAACCACAGGATCTTCCAAAAGTAGCGTCAAGAGGTTGACCGTTGAGTCTCATGGTCCCTTCAACACGACCTTCACTTTTACGCTGGCTGATGGTATCAAGGAGAGTGGTTTTACCGGCTCCAGAAGCACCCATCAGGGCTGTGAGTTGACCGGGACGAGCATAGGCGCTGATGTTTTGCAGAAGCTGCTTCTCAGCGCCAGCAACAGGGACATAGTAGTTGACATTCTCGAAGGTGAAGGAGGCGCCATCTGCGTCTGCCTTGGCATATTCGCTGCCATTCTCACCAACGCGGGTAGCTGAGGAAGCAGATGAGACAGGATTCAGAGTCAGGGTATGAATAGTGCGGCTGGGCTGCTTCTCCAGATCCTGTTCACCAAGAGTCATAGCACTCGAGTTGGCGGTTGTAGGCAGAGTATTGGTTTTAGCACCGCGCTTGAAGACATGACCACTCGCACCACCCGGCTCGCGAGCGGTGAAAGCCAAGCCAACGGCAGCGACGATGGTATAAATGGCCCACATGGCGATTATGATACCAAAATTCCTCCAAAGGTGCTCTCGACTCATGTCGTAAGTGATTGAGAGATAAGTTGAACCAGAAACATCCGGGCTGCCTTTGACTGAGCCAGGCAAGGTGCAGCCCTGGTAAGCCAAGTTGTTGTACTCAGGTCCGCTGGGAACCATCTGCTGATCAGTGCAGCTCAGGGTGATGTCGTAAAACTCATTTCCCATCAGTGCTTCCAGAGCCCAAGGCGAAGGTGAGATGCGGCGAATCCAGCTACCCCAGGCGTGCAGAGTCGGCCATGGAGGAGCGAATCCAGAATAAGTCAGACATGGAGATATCGCAGCTCCAGCCATCAACAAAGCAAGATTGAGATTCGGTGCCAATGCACCGATCATGCGGAAAAGAGCACTGGTAGCGCCATAGTGCACCCAGACGATGAGAGAGAAGATGAAGAATTGAGATGCCGTCTTACCCAGACCGAGCATGAAGTAGTAGCAACACGAGAACATCAGAGCTTGGAAAAGGGATATAGGCAAGTCTGCAATGGTCTGAGAAAGCACATATGCCGAAGGGTGAGAAAGACCAAGTTTTCTTTGCTTGACCACGATTGACCGAGAGAGGACTGTCGCAGGGGTTTCAGCAAGAGCGTTGAGGAAGAAGTAGATCAGGGAGAAGAAGATGGCACCACCGCGCTCGTAAGAGCCAGTGGCAGTCTTGGGAGCCATGTAGAAAGCGGAACCAGTGATGACAGCATTGATGGCGTTCAACATGAGAAGAGTGTACAATGTCTTGCGGTCTCCCCAAGTAAGTTGGTAGTGTCGCTTGATACCAGTGACAATCTGCTGTGGAAGAGAGTGTGGCTCGGCAGCTGTCTTAGAGACACCAGATGATCGAACACGCTGGACCTCAGCCTTGAAATCATTGACGTAAGATGGGTTAGAGGCGTGCTCGGATCTGTAAGCTACAATTTCGTCTTGCAGTTCGCGGTAGAATCTGCTCTCCCTGAAAGCTTGCGCAAACTCGTCGGGCGTTGAAGGCACTGGACCGATGTGATCTTGTCGGACTGTTCTCTCGGTCTCTGAAGTAACGGATGTCAGGAAGTCGGGCGTGGTTTGTCTAGGCTCGCAGATGTATCCAAGGTCGATGAAGTACTGGCGAGCATTACCTGCTCGTCCAGAAAAGATCATTCTTCCCTTGTAAAGAACGAGTACGCGGTCGAAACATTCCTGGTAGATGGATTCGGCAGTCTGGTACATAGTGACGATGTTGGCCATACCTGTTTGACGCGACATATCTCTGAGCAGGCGACAGAATGCCAGAGCCGAAGAAGAGTCCAAGCCTCGAGACGGGTTGTCGAAACATGCCACTGCTGGGTTGGTCGTCAAGACCTCAGCGAGAGAGACACGCTTGCGCTCGCCACCAGACACACCTCTTACGAATGAATTACCGACGATCGTTTGGACAGTGTGTGGGATGCCGAAGTTATCGAGAAGCTTGGATCGCATATTATTCTTAAATTCGGCCTTTGTCGATTCGTCCTTTGCTGGCTTACGCAAGTCCAAGGCATAGTCGATCGTCTGACCAACCTCGAGCTTCGGGAAGTGGTTATCCTCCTCATTGTTGTAGATGATCTCAGACTTGTAAAGCTTTCTAGCTTCGGCAGATGAGATAGTAGAGTAGTTAACTTGGCCTTCCACGCCGACGAAAGGCTCGATATCACTAGCAATAGCGCGTAATGTGGTCGAACATCCAGCTCCAGGTGTTCCGAGTACGAGCAACGTCTCTCCAGGATTAACGACACCAGAGACATCTTGAATCAGGTTACGAATGTTCTTTTTGCGGTTGCCAGCGAAGAGTTTTACAGCCTGGTAGGGAAATGTGATGATGTTTTCCAGGACTTGGGCAAAATCTGTCACTGTGTTCTCCTCGGCTGCTGCTCCAGTTACTGTAATGTTTTCAAAGACAACACCAAGTCGGCGACCGTCGGGTCTGTAGATCGGGAGATCGTTGTTCTGGTCGACATTAGTATATGGGCTCGGGATGGTGTGTGGGTACAGAATGTCAGTCACGTACCACTTTCTCAGCCATTGCAAAAAGCCCGAGCGTATGCTCCTAGAAGTGGCTTGTAGAATAGCAAAGTGGTGAAACCAAGGATGTGGTCTCCCATCTCTGCAGGGGCATCCATGAATTATATTGTAGACGGCAAATAGCCGCTTACTAGATGTTTCCGCACAATTATCAAGCACAGGTTCCACTATCCGTTGAAAACGACGACGTCTGAGATAGATGCCGAATCGAAGTCGAAGCCTGCTTCAACACAATTGGCCACAAGGCCGAGCGACCTCGGGAAAGTCCAAGCTTCTTCCAACTCGTCGGATCGGTTAGCCAATCAGATCGACTCGGCCAGCAGAGTCATATCCGAAGGCAATTCCGCGATAATTCTTCCATGATGTCGCCGGGAGATGTTGACATGTCCCTGACAAATTTGCCATGTGTTGGGCTAGCCTTTGCGCGTCCGTGTCATCGAAGCTGTTTTGTTGCTTCCATGGAAGACTTGCCGAGTGACTTTGGTGGCACCAGATTCGGAAGACTCGAGATCTGGGACAGACAATCACCGAGATGGCTTCTTTGCCTACCATTCTCTCAAGCTTGCTGAAGATAAAGACAGCTTACGATTGGACTAGGGACATGTAAAATATCGATGTTCTCGTTGACACTCTTTCCGAGTCCAGTCCCTTTTGAGACCATTTACTATCCTATTAACACGAGCTACCAGTGTCGAGTTCGTTCGAGCAGATGTGTGATCAGAGTGGTGAAGTTGTTGGCGTTGTGATCTAGGGAAGGATGTTCTAATGTCATCCTCGCCGCGATGTTGTGGAACAGAGACGGCAGCAGTGACAAGGAGTGATGGACCAAGTTATTCATCACACCCGCACATCTTCGCTTCCCCCTTCGACTCAACCTTCATGTAAAGTCCTGCAAGGGGGAAGAAGAAAAAGGCAGCTGCACTGTGAAGCCCGCGCAAACATTCAGATGTGAAAGTCAAGAGTCGGAGAATTGGTCTCTGCCAATACAGCAAAGGTGTCCGCAGACAGCGACACAACAACAAGGCGAATCTCTCGCTGGGACATGGATCTTTGCCGTGACAACATCATCTTCCAACAATCTACATCATCTGCCCAGGCAAGAGTGATGAAGAATGTGGGCGAGGAACAGCGTCGATACTTGTACGCCATGGCGCTGCAAAAGGCGGGGAGGCTGAAACGGCAAGTTCCTTCGCGGTTTCCGTCTGGCATTCGAGCTACATCATCCGTCCAGACCAGCACACGACAAAACATGTCATCAATACAGCAGAATCCACTCAAGAGACCAAGGACTGCAGGCACGGTCAAGCGCACACATCATCTCACGCACATCCAACAACTACCGGCGGCGACAGAGCCCGCGGCGCAAGATGAGGCTTTCATCCAGGCGCAGCTGTTGCGCTCCATCTGCACCGCCTTGACCATTGTCGGCTACGACAGTGTCAAGCCTTCCGCTCTGGAGATGTTCCGCGCAGAAGTCGAAGAATGTGAGGACCTGCCGATGAGCATCGAGTCGCGCGCAAGTGGCTGATCCGAGATGATGCAGACATGATGAATTTCCTCACGACAGTCAAGGACTCGATGAGCGCCTCGCGCCGAACGACAGCGACACCACAGGACTTTGTCTTTGCCCTCGCAGAAGCCGGTCTCGACTCACATCACCTGGACCCGCACCTCAAACTGCGCCTACCAGATGACATTGCCAATCCCGCTATACCTCCACCGCCTCCGTCCGAACCTCCTCCACCGAACCTTGCGCCCATGCTTGGACAAGACTTGGCTACACCGGCGACACAACAATATGGCTACATCCCATCACACTTCCCACCGCTACCGAGTCAACACGCCTGGCAGAGCACCGCTCTCTTCACGCAACGAGAACAAGATCCACGACGAATCCGCGAGCGCGCAACCGACGAGGGTGTGCAAGCTGAACACGCTCTGCGAAAACTCACTGCCGCGAACAAGGCTCGTCTACGCCAGGCACCTGTTGACAAGGCCAAGGACCAGCTATGGCAAGACACTATCTCAGACCTGCTGGACGATGAGGATGATCTTGCGCCAACACAAGACGCAGATGGCGACATCAAATTGGATGGGTGCATGGAGCACGGCAGTGGAAATAGGGCTGTCAGCACGGCTAATTTGATACGTGAAGGTGGTGGTTTGATGGTCAATCACGACCGCAACCATTGGCGCAGAGGAAGAGGTACTGTGCATATCTGATTCTGGGAAACATCATATCTTTTAGCGTGGCGTTTTGTCTTCTTTCACGGTCGTTGGGGACTGCTTCTGGGTCAGGGCATGGATCGAACTTGAGCAAAAACAAAAAGGCAGTCACGAGATACCCACAAATTCGATAGCACAACTGCTATGCATGAAACAATTCTTCTCCTCAAGTCTCGGACACGGAAGTGTGCGTATTGTGCCTTCCTCTGTATACATTACATATTCGCACGGTAGCTCCTCCTATCCTCACATGCAGATGTATGGTTACTCGTTCCTCCTCGGAATGTATACGCGATAGCTCCTTCTCTCCTGGAAGTGTGTTGGGGTAGCTCCTTCTTTCCTAGCCATGAATGAGAAGAAAAGAAAAAGGAAAAATAAAAGAACAAAACTCCAAGTAACACTTTGCCCGCCAAACTCCATGCGTCAGTTCCATCATCCACAGCCATCACACACTCCCTCAAACATCAGTCTCCCAAGCAGTAGTCTCAACAGTAAGACCATCTTTACACCTGCATCCTCAAAAGTCAGCCTTTGCCCTCTCCCCATCACTACCAGTCATCGAAGCTTTCCCCACATCCACCTCCCACGAAACAGCTTCCTCTACTGAAAACTCACCTTCTAAAAACCCTCTGGATAGGTTCACACGTCACAATACCCATCTTGTGCTTCTTATGCGCCTTGACCTGGCATTCGAATTGCATAATCTCCATCAAAGCGCAGTCCTTAAGAGGTTGTGATTTGTCTGGTTTGCGGAGTTTGCCGGTGGGCAGTTTCTTGACGTGGGTTTCTAGGTCGGCTGGGTGGAAGGGGTGGACTGTTGGTGCCATTGTTTGCGCTGATAGGTAGAGCAATAGAGACTGTGTGTGAAGAGTGGGATTTGGATCAGGAGTGGAAAAGGCAAGTGGTGAGGGAAGGACAAGATGTCGGCTGAAGATCTGGGGACGAGGGAGCTGGGGCAGGTGAGGACGCAGAGGTTGGATGAGGTGAGTTTTGGGTGCATCTTCCTGACTTGTTTTATTTTCCTGCAGTTTCTCACCTCGGTCTTTCTCTGCGAGTAAGACGATTTCGTGAACCAGAAAAAGAAAAGAAACACGCACTCACCATCACCACAACCCAAAAACATATATTCCTCCCTCTCTATACCACTAAACTGTCATATCTTCTCATCTAACACTTCTCTTCTAAGCTTCTGAATACTCTACGACTCTTGCACTCTCCATCTGCAAATTCGAAACTCGGCATCCCTGCTCTGGACAAACTACTCACAGCACACACGCCACGCTTCGATCCTACGAATTTGTCTTCCACACCAGCGCCTCCAATCATCGAAATCACAAGTCCTGGTCCCAAATCTGGAAAGACCGAACTTTTATACTGGATCATTGCAAACCTGGTGCTGGGAAGCGGGAGCCGAGATGCGGACACGATTGTTGAGGCCACACGGACGGACGAGCAGTCGAAGAGCGATGCCTCAGAACCAGCATGTGATGCTAAAGACAATCACGAGGAGATGTTGGATGATCGTACCATGACAGAGCATGAAGCGACCACGGATCCGAATGCCACTGCAGAAACGCCAGCGAATCTCAGAACAGCTCAATCTGATTATCTCACAAACGACACCAACACCAAAAACCCACCTCTCCAGACCTCTTGCGCAAAAACACCACCAACAGCGATCGCACTCCTGACAACTTTCCCCATCTCCATCCCGCGGCTCTCTCAAATCATCCTCTACAACCTCCTTCTCCAAAGCCCTTCCATCCCTCTCACCAAAGCTCAAAAACACGTCCACGACACTCTCAATCATATCCACATCTACAGCCCCACATCCTTGACATCTGTAATCGCCACCCTCTCCACTTTACCCTCATACTTCCTCTCTCCGTCCAATTTTAGCCATTCCCGTCGACTAGGAGCTATAATCCTCGACTCTGCATCTTCTTTTTACTGGGACGACCGACTCGCTTCTTCTTCTTCTTCCACCACTTCTGCCTCCACAGCAGGAGTAGGCAAATATCCAGCATTAGCTTCCATGCTAAAACGTGTATCCACAACCCTCCAAACCCCAGTACTCTTTACAACAGACCACCTATCTCCCCTCTCCATCACGCCGACCTCCGAGTCTTTGACAAGATCAAGTGGTAGAATGGCATTGAAACCACAATTACCCCACCCCTGGCCAAATCTACCTTGCCTCCATCTCATAATCACTAGGAATCAAGAAATAGCCAGATTTGAAAGGGATGTAGATGCACAAACTGCAATAAAACAGGCAAAAACAAGCGACAAAGCCGTGTTGTTGGCTGCAAAGTTTGAAATTACTGTTAATGGTCATGGAGATGAAGGGTGGATGGCTATGACAAGTGGTAATGAGGGGTTTAGTGTCAAAATTGATGGGAAAGGTGTAGAAATGGTATATAGTCCATAAAAGAAAGTAGAATCCTACGAATAAAACAAATTTGCACCAACACTCAAAAAAGAAACACCTTTTACACATTGCAGATATAGAATAACGCAAAAGACCTGTTCATTCGGCATCACTGTTACCATTCCTTTTGAGAAGAAAAAAAACCAAGGATCTAATCCAAAAGAAAAAAAAGTCAAACACACACACACACACACACACACACACACACACATCAAGAAAAGTATGAAAAAGAGTAAAAGATTTTGTGGTAATGTTTCCATATTCTTCAAAAAGAAAAAGGGGTATAGACCAAAAAGAAAAGCGAAAATAAGAAAGAAAAAAAAAGGAGAAAAAGAAAAGCCTATTTACAACAACAAAAACGTCCAGCGCAATGAGTGTAAAAAATGGCATATGTAAGAAGACTGCGCCAGAGAAGAAGAAGAAGAAGAAGCGAAGTAAAGAGAATTCCGCGATGGCCGTTGGAGGGGGGGCATGAAGAAGAGTTAAGCGAGGTAAGAAAGATGCAACTGAACATCCAACATGAGAGAAACATCCGTGTCGTTAAAGAAGAAGGAAAAAGAGAAACCCCTCCAGCCATTTCCATGCCAGGAGTTTGCAAAGTCAAGTTCGTGTACATCTAAGCCTCATGCTCATCCCCAAAAGGACTCTGTCCCCTCGGAACTTGCTGATACTGTTGCCTACTCAACCTCTTATTCGCAGGTAAACTGCCCCTCGCGCTAGCAGTTTCCTCAATAACAGCACTCAAACCCCCAGGCGTACGTTTCGGAGTCGTCTGCTGTTGCTGTTGCTGAGGTGAAGAGATCGAGGCAGAGTCTGCGAATGGCGAGGCGTCGATTTCTGTATCTGGTGTTGTGGTGGTGGAAGATGCTAATGGAGATGACACATTGGGTCGTGCTTGGGGGTCGGGAGAGACAGGGAAGCGGCCTTTGGGTTTTGTCTTTGAGCCAAGGGTGAGTAGGACGGGTTTGCCGTAGCTTGCTGAGCTGAGGGTTTGTTGTGAAGAGTCTGAGTTGGAGGAGCCTGGCCTGATGGCATCACTGCTTGCAGGCATGACGATGTTTAGTTTTCTGCCGCTCGCACTGCGGTTGAGCGGGTTGCTAATCTCATCGGCAGGAGTGTTTTGTGGTGGTGTGGAGGTGGGTGTTCCGCTGTTTCCACTCTTTACACTGACGACATTTGCTTTTCCGCGAAGGACGGTTTGTGCGGGCATGGGGTTTACGACGGCGTCGTCGCGGTATGTGGCTATGCTACTACGAGCGAGAGAGGGAGTGATACTGGGGCGGCCGAAGAAAGTACTACGGTTGTCAAGGGAAGATGTGTCCGAGTAGGTCGAGTCGCGGAGGTCGCCGGGACGGAAGAACAAAGCATCGCCATTCGAAGATGAAGCGCTGAGAGGAGGTCCATGGGCGGCAGGAATCGGAGGAACAGGAGGGACATGCTCTTCTCCGCCATTTCTGTTCATAACACCGGGAATGTAGGCGATGGGAATAAAGTTGGAAGCTCGGCTGAGGATGCTGTTGGCGACCGAGTGCACGGTATGCACGGATGCGCGTTCCGACCTCTGCATGTTGAAGTTGGACTTGCGGTTCTCGGCTTGGTCCTCCTCTTCCCATTCTTCCTCCAGCTTGATACGGCGCGGTCGAATCACGTACCAGTAGAAGGCGAAGACGAGTACACCGACGAAGAAGATACCTCCAATCACTCCTCCAGCGATTGCAGCGACGTTGGGTCCAGAGTGGTGTGGTGAGCCATCGTTGGAGGCGACGCAAGTCGTGTATGCGCAAGTGTCGCAAGATTGAGGTACTAACGAGCAGACCTTGCCGCCAGAACACGACGGACAAGAAGGTGTTGTTCCAGGACAGTCGAGACAGGCACGTTTGAACAAGCTGTGCAATGCCTTCTCCACGTGGGGATGCACTGATAGCAAAATGTCAGTATACTGCATAGCCATGTTTAACAGATCCGGAAGAAGATGGGAGGCGCACCGTTCGAAAAGGTAGATTCCATGACCACGAGGATCGTGTCTTCAAAGCTCTTTGTTTTGTCTTCGGCAACAGTTGGGAGGCGGCGGCGGCGTCGCAATCTCAGAAGAACAACACAGAACGAAACAACAACTGGAAATTCGCTTTGTTTCTCTTGTCCTCTTGTGCGAGCGAACAGTAAATTAATCAAGGAGGCTGGTTGTGCGACAGCGACGGGTGGTTGCAGAGGGCGTGGGAGGCTTGCTTGTTGTTATCGCGAAATCGTCCACTTTTCAACGGTCGGCGCGAGAGAGAGGGGAAGGGGGGAGAAAAACAGTATGGACGTCGTAAGAGCTGAAGATGGTCAAGTATGAAAAACGGCCTGCGCTGCTAGAAAGAAGGAAGAACGAGTGACGAGAGAAGAAACAGCGTAGAAACGAGCGACTGCTGTGCGGTAGAGTTTACTCCAATTATTATTTTACGTTTTGCGTTTTTGATAGAAATTGCGTGTCGCCCTTGGAGATCTCTTGTGGTTGCGCAAAAGAATGAACGAAGCGGACAGGGGAGTTTGGAGAAGGGGAGAGTGGAGGATGCTTAGACCCACACAGGCCTCGTGTCTCGCCCTCTCTCGATCCCGTTTCCGACCTTTCCTTTCTTGGTATAGTGTCTTGCAGTGGCTGATCCGGGGTCTTCAATCTCTCACAAGCCGCTGTCAAGGTCTGTTTGCGCCATAGCCACCATTAAGAAACATCGACTGCAAAAGCCACAAAAGAGTCAACGACCATCAAAGCCACTACTTCCAAGATAAATCTCGAACCTCAGATCCCCCCATCATCGATCCAAATACACAGGAGTATACAAGGGAAAATAGACAAGAAAAAAAATGTCACGACCCCAAGACTCAGACCTCTACAAGACCCTAGAATCCCGCGACCACGCCCCAGAACCACTCAAAAAGGTCTTGGCTAGAGAACAAGCAGATTATGATTGTTTGAGTTGTAGAGTGATGGGTATGTAATGCCTTCATCTCATCATCTTCTCTTCCCTCTCATCATCTTCCCTATCCCTCCAAGCTCTGTTCCTTTCTAATCATCAAGAACATCAACAGGAGCAACAGCATTCACAGCACTAGGAACCTACACCTACTGGTCCGGCCATCGAGAACTCCGCACCCGAGAAGTCGAAATCATGCGTTCAGGTTCAAAACTCACAATGGCTGCTAGAAGACTGGGGATTACTGGGTTGAGTGGAATGTTGATTGGTTTGGGGTTGTGGAGGGGTTTTATGTGAGAATGCTTTTTGCAATATGAATTTGCGGAATGTGTGGAAGATGTGGGTTGAGATGAGGATGGTGTAAAGAAGTAGGGAGAGGGAGGATGGTGTTTGGTATGATTAAGTGTATTAGTGGAAGTGGTTAGGAACAACTTTTTGTATTGGCCAGTTGGGGACCTGCAGGGAAGGTGCACATGCAAGATGTCAGCAAAGCCCTGTTGAACGCATGCATGCAAGAACCCACATCAACAAAAGCACAGTAGCGATAAGACTGCAAGGACGGAACACGCAGATGATAAGCAATTTCATGTTTGATCATTTGAGGAGTATAATGGTTTGGATGCCAACACGAGCCCGAAAAACACTGTATATGACAAGAGTGAACCATCCCTCCCATGCAGAATCCAACCATCTTCGTACTCAGGAAAAGGTCAGATAGTACCACGTTCGAAACCCCGACCAAGACGTTCGCAAGAAAATGCAAAAAGAAAGCAGGTACACCATCTCCCATGCATTGCACGCCGAATATGCAAGAAAAGAAAAAGAAACATCAAAACGCAACAGTCAAAAAAAGAATCTTTGACCTGACACAGAGATATTTGCAGACTAAAAAGCAAAGAAAAAGAAGGAGCATCTCGTAATTCATTACTTCTCCGATCCCTCCCAGACGCGAGGGTTATCATGAGAACAAAGGAAAGAATGAGCGAGTGTAAGAAAAAAGCAACGCGAAACGAATAACTGTCTTGGGGGTATTTGGGTGGGTATATTGTGCAGTTGCAGTTGTGCAGTTTGTTTCACGAAGAACAGAAGACGCAGCAGAAGAAAAAATGCAAAAGTACCAATCACTCAAACATGTCTCCCCCTCTTCCCACCACGATCAGAGCCATCTCTTCCATTAGTGTTGAACGAAAGACCAGAGATGTCGAAAAAGTCGCCTAGGTTTTTCCGCTTGGAGCCGGCTCCTGAGCCCAGGGAACTGAGGTTTAGGGAAGCGACTCTGTTGGAGTTGTTTGAACGGTTGTGGTTGTTTCGTCGTCGTGAATGAACTTCGAGTCGGACTGGGTTGTTGGAGTTTGATGAGTTGGGAGAGTCGACGGGGCCGCTGGTGTTGCTGCTGTCCATGTCTACCTCTCGTTCGTGGTGTGGGGGTGGATAGGCATGTGATGAGCGAAATGTAAAAGAGTCTGCCTGAGGGACGGGACCGTCTGAGCGTAGGACCTGTGGTTGCTGGTGGATGGAAGGAACTTCTGTGTTGAGCATGATGGGCTCAGAGTGTGCTTGTGCTTGATCTTGCTGAGCAGGGGCTGGCGCCGTCGCTTTCCTCGCGACTTCCGGGCTGGAGCTGCGAACTTGATCTTCTTGCTCTTCCTCTTCGTCGTCACTTTCACGACCGCCAGAAACGCCTCCATCGAAGCGTTCAGTAGCCCATCGTCTCACTCTCCACCCCTCGCCGTCACCCACGCCAAGATTTTCCTTGTCGAGGAAAGATAGCAAATCGTCCAAGGCATCTTGATAACCCGCAGCTCTTGATCTTGCCTGCTCAGATGCAGCATTCTTGTACAGGTTTGTGACGGAGAGAGCGGCGGCCTTGAAGGCAGATAAAAGTTCTTCCGGGGGTTGTTGACTGCGACGAGGCGACGTGCGAGGCAGTGATGTGTTGAGGCTGCGCATCGAATCCATCGGAGCCGAACGAAGGAGAGAGGGAGTTATCAAAATGGGAGAGGCGTTGCTGTTCAGAGTGATTGGTGTGTTCGATGCAGGAGTCGAGTGGGTGGTGCTTCGTCGTACAGCCAAGATGTCGTCGGTCGATGGCTTCTTGATGACTGAAGAAAGAAGGATTTAGGCGGGGTCTGGCCGAACTTTGCTGCTGGATTTGTTCCCTGACGTCGACTCAGGTTGCCGTCGCCCTCTGCTCTTCTGTCTGACAACTGATCAAAAGGAGAGAATCTGTGGAATTCGTTGGTCGTGTTCAAAGCTCGGTGTTGCAGGTTTCTAGCTGATGCCAGACACTTTCTCACATCTTCTTTGTTCACATGGAAAGTCGACGAACTCATGAACCTGGCACGTGCACTCATGCATTGTTATACCCGAGTCTCATGCGCGCTTGCCAACGCTCATGCATATTTATGCATATGATACGCCATCTGACCTATTCTACTCTATAGCCTATTGTCCTGGTCTACAGGCTATCGAGAAACTTGCACACCGCTTCAACCACCTGGGGAGCCTGCTCTTGCTGCACCCAATGTCCTGCATGCGGAATAAAAGTGATGCCTCGGAAGTCTGAACAACTCTCTTTATATCCGTCAAGTGCACCAGGCTGCTGATAGTTACCCCAATCCTTCTCACCACTGATAAATGCACAAGGCACCTCAATCTTCTTGCCCGCGAACAACAGCACATCGGCTTTCTGGATTCGTGATGAGCTGGTCTGCGCTCTATACCAGTTCAATCCTCCTTGAAACCCAACCCGCTGCCACTCTTTGACGTAGACGTCGAGTTCCTTGTCGGAGAGCCATTTCGTGCTTGTAGACCTGTCTTCCCCTTCCATCATGTTGGACACTGTGTCTGGCATGCTGCACTCTTCTGGCATGATGTAGTAGTTTGGCATCTTTTCCAATTCCGTAGCCGTCCAAGATTCCAAAGGCTTCGGATTGTTTCCTGCCCAATCTGCTGATTTGAGGTGGAAGTACCCACGTAGAAATTCATGCAGTCCTTGTGATGCCGTCTCCCAGTCTGTAGAAGCATTCGACGTTGAGTTGTACCATTTGTAGTGCTTCCTTGGAGGGTCGAGTTTTGCCAGTTCGGCTTGGATATCCATTTTGCCGCTTGGTGAAGACCCTGGATCCTTGATGGGTCCCGAGGAAGGTTCGACATCAAAGCATGGAGTTGGCGGCGCATGGTGAGGATGCGACATTTGGATGCAACTCTTGAACATGTCCGGTCGCATCAGTGGAGCCATGGCACTGGAGACGGCGCCAAAATCGTGTCCGATATGACAATGCACTTCCTTATGTCCCAATGCGTAGACCAAGCATACCAGATCTCTGACCAGATTCGTCATGGTGAATTGATTCAGGTCAACCTGATCAAAAGATCGTGTGTCCCAGCCAGTAGTCCTTCCATATCCACGCTGATCAGGTGCGACGATGTAGTATCCTCGGGCTGCTAAATCTGGCATGATCTTTCGCCATGAGAAGGCTATTTCTGGAAAGCCGTGAGTCAGGAGGATGAGAGGCTTGTCTTTCTGTCCAGCAGTAACGATATGAAAGACAAGACCACAGGAATCAGTGCAATCGATGTAAGACTCCTCAAGACCTTTGGGGAGAGGGAGTGGCTCGAGCGAGGTCATGGCTAGATTATCTGGCATCGACCAAAGAGACTGTTGGCTGCAGCTGTATATAACTGTTGGTAGGAGGATGTTCAGAAACAGATGCGAACACGAAAGTCACGTCAAGGAGGAGTTCCAAGGGTTCTCCGCTTTACCGAGGTCGCCAGATGCGAGAAACATTGATCAAGGTGGGAAGATGTTCTAATCAGTTGTGTGTTTTTCGAGGTATGTTCGCCTACATCCCGTTCATTGAACAGTGAACACCTTCTATTCAGCTTTACTTTCGCTGTCGTACTTGTCGCATTGTGAACAGTCTGGGCGTCGACCGGCGACACAGACAGGGCGCAGACCATGTTTTAAGTATCTTTGTTGGCTCCTGAGACCCCAGCCGTCCATGTATGGCATGTCCTCACCACTGGTCATCGGCGTATCAGCACCTCCTCGGAGGGACAAGATCAAGATCAACCTGGCACGAGCGCGTAGATGGATTACGGATCAACGGGTTGACCAGCAACCGGTTCCCAGCCCGGCGGTTGCAACTTGGGAGGTCAACTGCTTGTTGGCGCTCTTTTCGTGACACTTCTTTCCATCATAGTACCATGAACAGTATTCGCCGCTTCCATATGGTTTGTCGAATAGTGAACTGTCTCTTTAAGCATCAAATTTCAAAATTGACAAATTCATGTGGAGGCTTCAAAGATTGGCCAAGAGCAAACAGATCTGCGGGTGAATGACGCGAATGCTTCATCAATTGTTGGACCGAGCATTTAAGCAATTTTGATGTGGTATAGGGTTGAAAGCTGGAGTTGAGAGGGCCAGATTGAGACGGCGCAAACAAGGAAATGCGAGACACAACATTCCTCTTGAGCGCCACTTCCATCAGCACAACCGAGGCAGGTGGGAGTTCGATGGTGATGGCTGTCCGTTGCGGCATCCCAATCGTTGTATGGTAGCGCACGGACATGATCGTCATGGCTGGAAGGTTGCAAAAGCTTATGAGCTGGACGAGGAGGCATGTTGGAACGGTCGAGTTGAGGCAGCCTTTTCCTGCGTGCTGCTTACTGCTTCCTTCTCCCTTTCGTCTCCCGAGTCGACAGCCATCAAGAGTATTCTTGTGCGCCAGGATTGCCAGCTTTTTTGCGACTTGCACAGCGCCTGTAGGACGGCCCATTTCCTCCACTCCAATCAACGAGTTCCCCGTGTTTTCGAGGCACGTCATGTTTGGTTTGTGACGCGCTGGAATTCTTTGGTCATTTATTTCCCCGTCGCAAGAGCATCCTATACGTGCGACTCCAATCAAGGCATTTCTAGACATCAATTGAGCCTTGGGCTCCTCCAGCGTCAGGATGCCTCTATTCGCTCGCAAGCGCGCGAGCTCGCAGCCGGTCAGTCCCGTCCTCAGGTAGCTCCCCTATCGAGTACTCACAACATGTGCAGCCACAGCAGCGTGGTCCCCCTCCAAGTTCCTCGGCCGCGATAGCAGCGAGCGCCGCCTTTCTTAACAGGGAGCCATCGGCCGCTTCGCTCTCATCAGCTGCCGCCGCCGCCGCCCTTCGTTCTCAAACATCGTCGCCGGAACCCGTGGGATCAATCCAGACGAAGCGCATGGTCAGAAGAGGCTCGCAGTCGTCGGTAGCCAGCAACGCTATCGCGGGCGGCAATCCGAGAAACAGCATGGTGAGGACGACTAGTACCTCATCCATGACGGACCGAACCTTCAGATCTCCTTCTCCCGGCGGCAGGCGACAAGACCCCGTGCCCTCTGCATACGACGCACCGCCTGTGCCCGCTATCCCCCAAAACATGGTCAAGTCACAACGAAGGGCTGCCAGTCTCGACGTAACGAATCGCATGCCTTATTCCGGACCGAGCAGCCCGAGAAGTCCTCGAAGTGCCCAGCGCAACACCAGCGTCGACCGAGCCGGCAGAACGCTCAACTTACCAGCACATCCTGGAATGAAAAGAGAAGACAGCTCAGGCACAAACTTCTCGAGACCCATGAGTCCGAGTCGCGCCGTTTCACCTCCTCCACGACCGAACTCGAGTGTGGGTTGGTTCACCTCCCCCAAGGTCAGCAACGGCGCCCCTCGCGAGACTGCTTCTCCAGCCAGGCCACAATCTGCCATGGACTATTCTTCTCCCGCAGCTAGGAAGATTCAGCAAGATGTACAAAACGTCGCGAATGCACCAGTGAAAAAGAACAAGAAGACTATCGCTGAGGGCGCTCGTCTGGCAAACGGCACAATGAACACGGCTCCCACAGGATCTGCTGTGCGAAATGCAGCACCAGCGTCCGCTCAGCCAAAAGCTGCTGAAACTCAACCTATACAGGCAGAGACCACGCCTAAGAAGAAGAAAAGGACGACCGTCGTGCCTCCTGTGAACACGCAAACCTCGGGCGCCTCTTCTCTCGCTCCTGTCAATCTCTCACCGAGCACAGCTTCTTCCGCCAGTCCAAGCTCTCCTCGTGCCGCTGGCACACTGCACAAACAACCATCTGTGGTTCGTGAGGATCCCGAGGCAGAAGCCACAGCAGAAGTCCAGAAACCCACGCCTAAGAAGCACTCTTTCATGAAGTCACTGCGTGATCGAGAGCCTGGAAGTACCATCTCAACATCTGAAGGTCCGGTCAAGGCTTACGTTGCTCCCGGTGGCACTCGTCCAAGAGCTGTCAGTCTGGACGTTCCGAGAGCCAACGGTCAGCGCGCTGCTTCTTCGAGCCCTTCGCGCAACGTCCATGCTCATTTCGTCGAGGGCGCATCCCTTGCCACTCCGCTGAGTGTTAGGCATCATCCTCCTCCTCGATCCATCTCACCCATGAAATCTGCGCTTAGACAGTCGCCAGCCTCATCTCTTAGAGCTGCCTCGCCCAGCTTCGCTATGAACGGCGCGGTCCGCCCTCCTCCGAGCGAAACCTCGGACACCACTTCCATGGCTTCCCAAGATGGCGTCAAGCCCAGCAAGAAGAAGAGTGTCCGCATCAGCGAGGACGGTAGTGCACCTGTCCCACCTGCCGCCGTGGAATTCAATGGTCGCAGAGAGCTCTCTGGATCCTACGACATTAACGAAATCATGAGGCCACGATCAGCCCTCCCTTCTTTCAGTAGTGTCAGAGGTCGCAAGCTTGAACAAGCAGAGATTCCCGAAAAGGTTACCGAAACTGTGTCTTCTAGCATGACAAACAGTGCAGCCACTTTGCCAGACCATCGCGAGACTTCCAACGATCATCTTGTGGGTGCCCTACTTGCTCAAGATCATGCTCAGAAAGACCGCCATATCGCAGAGCCGACATCCGTCACGAATGACCCATTACCGCCTCAGGTCACCAGCAAGGAAACATCAGCCGATGCGTCAGACTCGGCATACTCGGAGGACGAGGCTGAAATGCAAGTCCAGCCGCCGTCCCAAGCAGAAAAGATACTCTCCAGTGACGAATCGGAGGTATCCATATACGAACCAACAACTTCCGAGCATAACGTAGAAGCTCCAGAGGCCAACCCGATTGAGCTTGCTGTGCCTGCACTAGCCGTCCAGCCACCTACTCCAGGTGTTGAAGAAGAGACCGAGCCTCCACTGGAAGCAGCTGTCGCACAATCCACACAAAGACCTGTGCTTAAGCAGCGCAATAGTATGCCTGGAGCCTGGGAAGAAGAAGAGTCTAAGCCTGCAGCAGCTTCGAGACAAGAAATTCGTGATGAAGCTTTGTTGTCCGAAAACGACTCGAGCGATGATGAAGAAGCCGCCTTGCAGCCTGCGCAGACCACAGTAGATGGGCACTCGCCTATCCTGCATCCCATCTACGAATCGGACTCTGGCTCGGAAATTGGTGGTGATGACTTCACTGATGCTGAAGAAGAGCTGGAACATCATGGTGGCTTTGCCTCTCTTGACGCCATTGTTGAGAGCCCGGTAACAAAGCCTGCAGCTGTCATACCTAGTCCTCCGATCAGTCCACAGGCTATGCTTCCACCTTCGCGTTCTAACCTCTCTGACTCTTCTACCCTTTCGGACGAGCAGCTCATGACAGACAACACTGACTGGAACTCGGCAACTGCCTATTGGAGTAGTCTGAGCAGGAAGAAGAAGTTGGAGCTCGAAGCTGAAGCTGAGGCCGCTATTGCTGTGCCGGTAGTCGATTCCGCGCCGAAGGGCAAGAAAAAGAAGCAATTAGTCGACCAACTGGATATAACAAATCCCACCACATTCGCGCCGGTTGCAAATGTTTCCAGAGATGATCCGTTCAGACCCGAACAGCAGCAAGAATCATCTGCACCCACTTTGCGCAAGTCCATGCGTGACACTGAGGAGCCTGTACGCACGTCAAACGAGACTCACCTGCGAAAGTCCATGCGTGGTCCTCCTGCGTCTGCTTCTCCTTCGAATGAGACACACATGCGTACTTCTATGCGTGCTGGCGGCTCGACGCGTTCCGAGGGTGCTATGAAAACTTCGATGCGCGGAGACGCTGGGTCCAAGCCTTCGAAGAGAGCATCAGCTCCTGCTACATCCAACATTCCTGGTGCTGGTTCGGCTGCATTGGCCGCGGCTAAATTGCAGCCAGGACAGAAGCCAACCAAGCCCGTCGTCGCACCTCTCCCTGCTTACGATTCAGAGTCTGATTCCAGCTTCAAGAAGAATAAGCGTCGTGGTTCTGTTTCGACCGTGGATTCGGTTGGCAAGTACACCATGAAGCGTTCAATGCGCTCGGGATCGGTAGATGCTGGAGCTCAACCTGTCGAACGTGGGCGTGCCACTTCACCACCAGCAAAGAACGGAAGCGGTAGGTTCAGTCTGCGCTCTCTCTCTCCCACAGGGTCATTCATGGGCCGCAAGCAACAAAGTGAGCAGATCAGACAATCGCTACGTGGAGCACATGCCGACGATACACCGACTATGCGCGGGAAGAACAATAGAGCTTCGCGCGATGCGAAAGCTTCATCTGGTTTCGGTGGCTTTGGCAAGTCCAAGCCTGCACCTGCACCTGCACCCAAGGCAAGATCTGGAGGCTTCAGGTCAAGGTTTGCAGATAGTGATGATGAGGATGATGCTCCTCGAGAAGGCTTCCGAAGTCGCTTCACTGACTCGGACGATGAAGACTCGCCTATCGGTCCTCCCAAGCATATGCCCGCTAATCTTGCACCTGTTCGTGGTATTCCTAAGCGTAGAGGCCAAGACTCGGATTCGACCGATCTATCTGATTCTGAAGACGAGTCTCGTAACACGAAAAAGAGTGCTGCTAGACTCAGCAGCAAGCCTGGTGTTCCCAGTCAATCCGACATTGATGCAGCTATGGAGATTGCCAAGCGCAATGTTGCCGCCATGAACGGTGGTCGCGAACCAGGTGCACCTCAAGCACCTCCAGTACCAGTAACCGACACGGCATCTAGACAAGAAGTACCGTTGACTCCTACTAGACGCAAGGGTTTCCTCGGCAGCGTCCTACGCAGAAACAGCTCTTCCGTCGTACCCACCTCGCCAGTCGACTCACAACACCCTCGCAGCCCCAGCACCATGCGCGGTCCTAAACAGCCTAAATTGCAAAGACGTAATACACCTCAGAACTGGCCCTTGACTGCTGGAAACACGAATGAAGTTCACAGTACCGAACCCAGACCTACTACCAGTGATGGTGTACCTGCTATGAGAAAGTCTATGCGACCTGATCTTGGCAACAGACGTAGCATGAGCGGTAATGATCTCAACAACATGGCCAATGGCGGCACAGTCCACAGTGACCGCACAGTCAAGAAGAAGAAGTTTTCTGGTCTGAGAAAGCTATTCGGTCTTCACGACTGATTGGGGTCATCAACATGACGAAATTAAGGAAGCAAACAGAACAGGAAAGGGACTGGAACACTGGGGAGGAAAGTGGGTGGAAAGGGGAGGAGAGTTTCCTCATAATGTATAATTCTGCTCTCTCTTTTGATTCTTTTTTGTTCATATTCCGTTTTGGTTACTAGAGAAATTGGGAAAGGGAAAGAATGATACCATTGATTTTGTTTTGTATTTCAATCTTGTCGTTCGTTTGGTCTTTTCATTCCTTTCGACTTGAACTATGATTTTTTTTCAGTATTCTGCGCCATCGTTAGACACACGCATCTTATTATTCTGCTTCTCGTGTGACCTTGTGAGAGATATCGTTTGGTGTGTTGTGCTAGAGGAATTGCTAACATTCGTTATGCCTCGAGGTCATATTTTAGGTGAACAATCAAGATTTCCCAAAATCCCCTTTAGCTACCTCAGAAGCATAATCAACCCCTCTCGAACTTTCTGACCAGGCTAAAATAATACTAAGCAGTATATTGGTGTGTTTTGATCATTATGATATTTACTCGTCGTCAAGATATCGTCGTCGATGCCTAGGGAAAAGCATTGCTAAGAGTAAGACCCTGACTAGGACCCTGCTTACTCATGTGGCATCTGCGCCAAGGATTTAGAGCTGCTGCTGTAGCTCTTTGTCAAGATCTTGCCCGATCATGACGGCGCCTTCTGGACGCTCAGACTGCATGACCGTGGTAGATTGCTCTGGAAAGAAGATGAACTGTTCGAGGTAATTAGTTGTCAGCTATCCCACCACGAAACTCTCCAGAGGCAGACACTCACGTAAATAGGTCCTTGATCTGGCCAATTGATCTTGGTGTCACTACAGACAGCTTTGTTATCACAAACGACTGTTCCTCGCGACTGTTTCTTGAGCTCAACGTTGTTGTAGTCACTTGTCGACCACCACCAGTGGCTACTAGTTGACCCTGTTTTGGACAGGGCCGAATAAGCAAGTCCCCAGATGCTGTCCTCGGTCAAACATCCCCAACCAGCATTAGATTCAACATAGCCAATGCTTGCACATGTCAGACCCGACTGACTGACGGTCATGTTTGCATCGTGGCCGACATTGTTCATACAATACGTGGACCCACCGCCCACAACAAAGGATGCGTTAAAGCTTTTCGAGATTGGGTTTGCATAATTGAGGCATGCAAAGACACTAGCGCCTGTTTCGGAGCATTGTAATTAGTTCACATGCCACTAAAGAATGAACCATGTGGCGTTTTCAAGGGGTTCCGTCGGCTTACCTGCGAAAGCACTAACAGTAGGAGCCAGAGAGATGGCAAGGAAAGCGATGATAGATGTAGAGTGCATCTTTGCGGGTATCGTTCGGAATATGGGATGTCTGATATATTGGAGGTATCGGAAACTTACTAACAATGGATCGAAGCTGGAATAAGGTGATATTTGTGGCAGACGAACTCACCGAATTATATACCCGAGCCCGTCACCTTCCAGGGACCGGCTAACTGAATGGGCTATCAGCTCAAGTCGCCCGCAACACTACCAGGATCATCACGCCACTACTCAATTCAATAGTGAACGTTACCTTTCCAAACGAGGAGCTGAAAATGTGGACCACTGCTCCTATCTCTGTTGAACACTTAGTCTTGATCAGGAGGGCGCTTTTCGAAGCCGAGCTTTCCATATGATTTGCACGAAGGAGCGAGTGAGAGGGTTCTTCACAGGACCTTATCCTTGGAAAAAGATAGTCTTGCGGCACGGACTATGTACAACTTGGGTTTCAGATGCTAATATGCAGGCCACGAACTCCAAAATGGAGGTATCATAGACTCAGCGTGGATATGGGGAGTATCTCAATTTGGCTTTTGATGCTGCGACCGAACGTGCAGACCATCTCTATCGAAATGGCGGGGCTTCAAAGCAGTCTGTCAATGTCAAAGTCGGGGAACGAAAGCTCAGTTAGGAAATTTCAGACATGCCATGCCATGGTCGACTACTATCGGATAGACAGCCATAATAATGATGACAATGCGGAACGCCATCAAATACCAAGATGTCATAAAAGAGCAGTGGTACTTGGCTCATTGTCGATCTTCTGCTTTTTTGTTCGATCGTTCTCATCACCAACCCTGCTATAGGTTGTTGATTCAGATCATGTTTTAAGCGCCTGAACACCCAGCTGACGGTCCAGACATGCTACGGCCGTATATATCTTTCTTCTCAATGCGTTTATGCACTCAGCTGACAGCCCAGGAACGTTACGCATGCTACGGCCGTATCTTGCTTCTCAATGGCGTGAGATATGGAGTGAAAAGGTTTTGGAAGATACAATCCTTTGCAATACCGGTGTCGGTTGTTCGCTCTCTTTTGATTGACTCTTTCTGTGCGGGAAGCTGCCGCATTGCATGATACCAGGCCCGATAAGGTATAACCCTGCTAGACGTGACGTGTCTTACCAAGTCGAGGAAGAGCCAAACCCTTGTCATTGCGGACTGTCCCTAGCAGTCGACGAATCGCAGTTGCACTTTTGTGAAAAGAGGGGAAACCGACATCGATATTGCAAAGGATTGTGCCCCGCTTTTCGATGCTTGTAACATTGTATATGAGAAGCGATCTTCTGCTGGCTGCCACTTGGACTACAACGTGGATATTGTCCATGGTACCGATGAAACTCAGCTTCTCAACGATTGAGGACTCAGCTCAGCTCATCGTTGCACTTATCAGCTAGTCTCGTTGTGATGGGGCAGTTTTCGGGTTCGCTGTGAAGGTGCTTCGTGAAAGATTAGTCGTGGTTATATAAACCTCCTTTCGATCTCACTTGAACAACCTCAGAGGCCGGGCAGTTCAGATTTAAATCCGAAACGCAGCTTTACTTTATACATCATTCTAAAAAATTATCTCGAGCTATGATTGAGTCAACAGGAGACTACCTGGGTTCTCAAGCCTACTCCCACGTCACTGGTGGAAGCGAAGGAATCAATCGCAACACTGGCTCTGTGGAGTTCTCTCAAGTTCTTCTCGATCTTCGTGGTGTCCTTGGAACCATTGGCCTGACAATCAGTCTCCGATACAGCTATGGGGTGTCTGGACGGTTTGGGTTACCGAGGAACTGGAGTTTCAACATACCCCATATCATCGATGGCCAGAGCTTTACTTCTCAAGGCAAAACATTCCTCATCGACAATGACTGGGCTGACACCACAGGATATCAATCAGGTCTCAAATATGTCAATAATCATGGCATGTCATTCATGGCCCAGATTCCTAGTGAGAAGCTACCCTCTGGCAAAGACGGTGAGTATACATGGCGGTTCAGGCAGACGGATGGGTCCGTACAGTACTTCGACGCAGCTGGTAATATTCTTGAGCACGATGATGTCTTCGGCAATTTCATCTACTACAGCTATGTCAACAACACTTCATTCCTTGAGTATATTCAAGACTCGTTCGGGCAGAAGATAACCTTCAACTACCAAGCTGGTGAGAGTATCACGATAACCGCCCCCGACGGCGGTCTCTCAATCATTGAGATTGCGAATGAGAACGTTGCTCGAAGCACAGATCCAGCCGGCCTGATCACAGCTTTCGGGTATACGAATACGCCAAGTCAGGGGCTTCTCTCGAGGATAGAATATCCAAGCTGCTTGGTATCGGAGTTCACTTACGGAAGGATATCATACCTCACTGCCGATGGTGGCACGGATTTTGTCCCAGTAGTGACGAACCATTACCATCGAGACTCGGCTGGGACCGAGCTAACACAGACAACCTATCAATTTGGAAGTGGAACCAACGGGGGAACTTTCACCGGGTACAATCTAGGCATTCGATTCGGAAGTCAGCAGGACGCATTGATTGAGAGTGATTCCTACCGATATCGGTAAGCATCCTGTTGTAAGAGGTCCGAACTTGATCTAATAGACCCTAGATACGACACGTTGGTCCAGAATGTGGATTCATCTGGCAGGATCTTATCGGCCACTCAGATATTTTTCAATCAACTACATCTTCCAGCAGAAGAATACCACTACTCAGTGCCCCATGGCGCGGAACTCGTACATTCATACAAAACAACGTATACATACGATATCGATCCGGACGTCCATGCACGGAATATCAACTACGCAAGTCCGACACAGACGCAACAATTCAATTTCGATGGCAATAGCTATGTTGCGTTGCGATCTGAGACATGTGCGTATGACGAGTATGGATGCTTGCTTTCACATGTCGAATCAGCCTTCGATGTTACGACTGGACGAGAAATCAAACAAAAGACATCGTCGAAGACGTATGTTCAAGTCTCTTGGGGAGGCCAGATGATTCAGTCTGAGCTATTGATCGATGAGGTATCTGGCTCACAGCGTCTTCTAACGTACACTCTTACGGAAGACGAGAAGCAAGTCCGGTCTACTGTGATTGAATTCAAGGCTTTGTCAGAACCCAACTTTTTGCCTTGGAAAACAAAGACTCAAGAATTCGACAAGTGCGGTCGTGCTCTTAACGAGAAGATATCATGGTCTCAGGGTGTGCCATTTCCAGCCGGAACAATTGTCAACTATGATATGTCCCTCACGTACGAATTCGATCTTGGCACAGGTCTCTATACTGTCATCATCACGGACCCGCAAGGCAACGCATCGAAACAAACGTACGATATGAGGATCAGGTCTGGTCCCCTTGTCCAAAAGACACTGCCACTGGGCCAAAGTGAGAATTTCACCTACGACATGATCGGTCGCGCTTCCACCTATACGGATCCATCGAACTGTTCTTCGAGCATGACCTACATTGTCGGGTCTGGTGGCAATTCTGCCTCCACTACCGCTTCTTCTGGGTACAAGAGTCAGCAGATCTTTGATGTCCTTGGGCGACAGATACAGCTACTAGATAATGGTGGCTCTGCTCAGATTTCGAATAAAACAAACATCCGTACCCTCTCCACAACGGCATGGGATCCTCTATCTCGCAAACAATCCGAGACTGATACAATTGGTTCAAAAGTGACATTCGATGCGTATGATGCATTCAATCGCCTTCTCAGTACCACTGATGCGATTGGCAATGTAACAACACATTCTTACGATGACCATAATCTTACTTCTGAGTATGCCATGAATGGCGATCGCCGAGGTCTCACTCAGTTTGACGCTTATGGCAGAGCGATTCGGATCGAACAATTTCCGGACTCGGACGATTTGACGACGACATACAGTCTGGTAACAACACATATGTATGACGGTCTGGGTAACATTTGCACATCCGTTCTCACCAAGCAGCCCAACGAGAGTTCATCTCCATCGATTACTCTGCAGACCACCTCCGTAGCCTTTGATGTAGAGAATGCGATCATTGAGAAGACCGTCGTGACCAAATCAGATCTTGGTGATCATACATACGATACCGTCACACGATGCCTACAGTACGACATCTTCGGACAGATATATCGCCAGAACAAGACTGTCACGTATAGCGACGGTCGGGTCTTTAATCATGAGGGTTGCATCAGTCGCTACGACAGCTGCAATCAGCTGGCTTCTCATACCAACGGACTAGGCCAGACGGAACGTTATACTTATGATGCAAATGGAAACATGTCCAGCCTCACTCGCTACGACGGCACGATCGTCTCATACAACCACGACAGTTTAGGGCGGGTAGTGCATGTCAGATATGGTGCTGAGGACATCGAACAAAGATACCTTGCAAATGGCCGTCTGTCAGAGGTAAGTACGGGTGCGGGCACCGTTCGACACATCTACAATCTTGATGGATCTGCTTCCGCCGTGACTTATGCGGATGGGTCAAGTCAGACCTATAGTCTCAGCCAGTGCGGACAGGTAGCACAAAGCAAAGACGCCATCGGGACAAAGCAGGATGTCATTTACGACACCTATGGCCATGTCCTCACACGGACTCTTGGCATCGATATCGTGAGTTACGAATATGGCTCGGCGAACCACACTCAAGGTCAACTCGTTAGTCTCGACATCTCTGGCGGCCAGCAGCATCTGAGACGAGTTCTTTCGTATAACGGCTTCGGCAGAGTCAATCGCGTAACAGTCACCTCCAATCAATCAGAAGATGTCTTACTGGATTCTATATATCTTTACAATTCTCAGGGAAAGCTCTACAAGGTCGAACAATCTTCTCAAACTTGGCCGGAAAAGCCTGAATTAAACTACCAACGCACGTTTTTGTACGATGGACTCAGTCAACTTCGACAAGACTCCATTGTATACTCCAATACAAACGTTACTACGCTTACGGAGTTTGTATACGACGGCAACTCGAATCTTATTACAACCATTTTGAACGGAGCGGTTGAGAACATGTCGTACAATGCTATCGACCAAAGGAATGATCCAGGATTCACGTACGACGCAAATGGCAGACTCACTGCTGATGACAAAGGTCGGAAATATACTTACGGAGAGCAAGATCAACTGCTCAGTGTCGATGTTGGCGAGGCGAATACAAACTTCTCGTATCATCCTAATGGCGCACTTTCTCTTCACCACTCGGGCGTTGATCAAACGAACATTTGGTACGACACCGGAGCAGCCAATGCTACAAGATCGGCGGCGCGAGTGGAAAATGCCAAATCATACCTTTTAGATCCCGGCCACCGCTTAATCTCAGTGAAAAAAACGAATCAGGACACCGCGTACTACGTGGATTCCCAAGGGTCTATCGTCGTTGAGACCGGCGTGGGGGGATCTAATTCCACGATCTACGGTGTCTATGGCCAAGAACAATCATCAGCCACGACTGAAGCTTACAACTTTGGCTACAGACAAGAATTCACCGATAAAGCAAGTGGCTTGGTCTACTTGCGGTCTCGCTACTATCAACCGGACTATGCAGCGTTCATCACTATGGACAGTGTCCATAAAGAGAATCGATATGCGTTCTGCCTCGGCGACCCAATCAACCTTTATGACGGAACTGGCCACATCGAGTGGATTCCTTTGATTGTAGATATTGCTGTCACGGTCGTGGTCGCGACAGCTTGCGCACCAGCTGCTGGCGCTGTCGGAGCGGCGCTCTTCGGTGCAGACACTATTGGTGCCAGCATCACAGCCTCTGTCCTTTCCAAGGCGACGGGGTACGTTACGGGAGGTTACGTCGGACGCAAGATGCAACACGAGCATTACAGTGGCCAGAAATTCGCCATCGATGCCTTCTCAGGCGCGCTGGCCGGTGTGGTTGCCGCCAGCTCGGCGGCCGGTCTCCTAGACGGTGCCAGAAACAGAGCAGTGGAGAGAGGTCTATCAGCAGTAGATGCCGCAGCATTTGCAGAGAAGTCTTCTTCGTTCGCGGGGAAAGTTCTTGGCGTAACTGCTGGTATGACCTCTTTGTCCACGTTAAACCACGCCGCCGAGTCAGGCACTGCTCTGACTTCAGTGACAGGATCGAGGTCGGCCAGTACGAGGGGCTTGCAGTATACTGGGGCGTACGATGGCATTTTTGCCAACATCACACCCGGGGTATCCTTAGAGCCACGAAGCTTTGGTGGACCAACAGACAGCGACCGAGCACGAGGTCTCGATCTCGATCTGGACTGGAGGATGCTTAATCTCGTCGGTCCTCAAGATGAGTACGACCTCAGCGCATCCAAAGACTATAAGGACCAAAAACGGACCGGGCAGCTCCATGTCAACCTCAACCAAGCTACAAACGCTGACACTGCTTCATCTAGCAGTGTGGGAAATAGTCTGCATATCGAAACCAGGTATCTGCAGAACGGAGAGATTGTTACCAATGTCCGACCGTTAAAGTGCAGACTCTTTGCACAGCAACAATACCTCCAAAGCTCTGGCTTTGGGAGGTCAGACCCGAGGGTAAATGCTTGCTTCGGGGGTTTGTCAAATGGTCAAGACATTGCTAATGCTCTTGGCAAGCGGGTATGGGCAACCTATGCAACTCGTTAATGTTGGTGTGATTGTAATCTTGAGCAAAATTGTCAGAAATAGCTCAGAGTTATATTTAGGTCTATTGCTCTGGGAAGCTCTTTACCTATAACGACTAATCAATTTATTAATCCGTCAATCTATCTGGTTAGGCACCATTTTCCTACGGCAAACTTCATGGCTGCCTCCTACTAGTGATCAAGATTTCCCAAAATCTCCTGTAGCTGACTCAAGCTCTGGACTAAGCAGCTTAGACTGCCCGAAGTAGATCTTTAAGTATCAAGAAGTATTCAAATGCATTTGGAATATCAAAATATCTATTCGTCATGGAGATATTGTCGTCGACATCTTGTCGGTCTCTTGTCGGGAGCATGACCCTGGCTTTCTGACTTGTGGCCCACTGGTGACGTAGTTCATTGCGAGAAGATCGAGCGATAGAGGGGGCAGGTGCAGGCGCCAGGATTTGGGAAAGCGAGCGCTGCGGCTCCAAAGGAGGCAGGTCCTTCTTGACCGACATTTTGATATCTCTCTTATCATCGACGTCCGTATCTGGTCTTTGGACGCTGTTTTGTTTGGAGTCTGTCCTGTTCCCCTTCTTTTCGCTTCTCTGGACTCGACAGGAGGCTTCTCGCATCGCGACGGAAGCGTTTTCTTGAGAGAGAGAGAGAGAGAGAGAGAGTCGACTACGCGATCAATACACCAAAACGCAAAAATGACGCGACGAATGGTGTATGGTATAGGGCTCTGGGTCTTCCTCGCCGGTATGCTTGACACACTTCCCTCTCACCTTCCTCACTCTGCTGACTGACCCTCACAGCCGTTGCCCTTACCCTCACCTCCATCTCCCTTCCCTCGTGGCTCTCCTACACCTCCCCATCCTCCTCACCAACCTCCAAGCCTATCCACGTCTCCTACGGCCTGCACTCCCGCTGTTCATCTCTGACCGGATGCTCGCCCTTTCCAGCTCAGGAAGACTGTCATGGTGAGGATCGCTATTTCTGCTCCATGTGGAGGAGTGTAGGCTTCTTGATGAACTTTTCGGTTGTGCTCGAGTTGGCGACATTTGTGTCCTTTGCAGTGGTTTTGCTGGGAGGAAGGGGCAATAGGGAGAATGGGTGGAAGATGTGTGTGGGGTTGCTTGCTGTGGTTATGGTGTGTCAGATTGGTGCCATGGGGATTGTGGTAAGTTTCTTTGCACTCCTACTCCAAACTCTTTCAAGGCTTTTTTGAAAGAGAGAGAGTTGTGGGAAGGATAAAGTGCTAATGTGTGTGCACAGGCTTTCCTTTTCGATCACGATAACCGCTTTTTCGTTGGCTGGACATTGGATAAGAGTTGGATTCTTTGCACGATCTCTTGGATTGTTATGGCGGTGGATGTTGTGGGTATGAGTGTCGCTGCAAAGGTTTTGCCTGCAGAGGACGACTATGAACCTATTCCTGATAGGAGATGATGGAGTGAATACGATGCAGGTTGACAAGACGTCGATATGACTGCTGGAATCTACACACCTGACGACTACACACGCACAACTACTTGCTTACCGCCACGAAAGAAGGCTTAGCATATGATCTACTCTTTAGCAAGTCATTACACATAACCCACCTCTCCACAACCCTTTTCCTCCCTCCACCTCCCAACACCTTCTCTCCCTCCCATCATCAAAGATCCCCCGTCAAAAACTGCGCCCTCCCCATCCCAAAGCTCCAATCCTCCTTTTCATTCCTAGTACAACTAACCACCAAATCCGTCTTTGGAACTCCACATTCTTTTTCCAATCTTCCTGCTAGCTCTGCGTATAAAGCTTGCTTTTGTGTTGCATCTCTGCCTTGTTGGAAGATTTGGATGAGGATGAGTAGGTTTGTGCGGGGGTAGTCGAGGTTTGTGTCCTCGAAGATTAATTCGTAGGGTTCGTGTTGGGTTATTACCTTGAAGTGTTAGTCTGGGAAAGGAGTAGGAGAGGAAGAAGGAGGCAAGGGGATGGAGAGGCCATTACTTGATAACGATCTCTAGCCGGAGCTGCAAATTTGTCGAGAATAATCTCCTGCACCACATCTGCTAGTTTTTTGATCTCTTCTGGTGTGCGGACACCTCTGATCATGTCGATTTTTACAAGAGGCATGGTTTTTCTTTTGGTTTATTGATGATTTTGAGAGATTGAGATTTTGTATAAAGAGGGTGAATTGTATGAAGCGTGTGAGAGGAAGGAGATACTTGTCTTGAGTTTTTACATCGAGTATACGTCAGATTATCGCTTTTGGAATTTTATATACTTTCTCGTTCTAGAGATATGGTATCCGCAGTAGCCGCGCGACCGTGATGGGTTGGAACTATTTGTGATGCTTACTGGCCTTCGTCATAGGTCAGGTCTACCTCGGTTGTTGTGGCCGAGCGGTACCGGGATCTCCCTCACGAGAAGGGCGCCGAGATAGGTGGTCCTTTTGCGATAAGGTCTTATCGGTCATAATTGCTGCTTGTTATCGCCAACCACCTTTCCTCTGGGATCAGAAGAAGGGCGCAGAGAGTGCCTGAAAGTCTAAACACGAGTGCTGCTGCTGAGATCACGCTTGGAGTTACTCGATTGGGATTACGTGTCTAGGTGTGACTCCTTCTTCGTCCTACACTCTTATCAACTAGATATGCCTTGATTCTACCTTCAATTCGCTTTTATTCTCCCCTTCGTCATCTGTCCATCATGTTTCTGGTTTACCTCATCCCCTTCCTTGCGACAGTGTATTTTGTCTATACACGTCTGGCTTCACCACTGGCTAAGCTTCCTGGCCCGACATATACAATATTTACACCTTTGTATCTCATCTACAACGAATTCACTGGGAATCGACGAGTCTACATTGATGACCTCCACACAATCTATGGCCGTGTCGTCCGTATCGGACCTAATGAAGTCAGTTTCGCAAGCTATGAAGCCATGAAGGAAATTTATACATCCGGCGGCAGTGGCTTTGACAGAACAGAATTCTACGAGCTGTTTATGCAGTTTGGGACCAAGTGAGTTGCTTTCTGATCCGCGATGATATACATAGAATGCTGATGGGGAACTAGGACGTTGTTTTCAATGCCGCCTAGAGGTGAACATAGTCAACGTAAACGTATTCTTGCGGATCGATATGCGAATACGAATATCATGCGACCAGAGACCATTGACGCATTGACTGAGCGTGCGAAACAGTTTTTGGAGAATTGTTTGGCTGAGAACGGGGGTGATGCTGATGTTTATGTGAGTTTATCCGGTCATCTTGAAGGGCTTGAGTGTGCGTTACTGATGTGTGAGGGACAGGTGCACTTACATTGCTTTGCACTGGATGGAGCTTCTCAGCATTTATTCGCTCCTTATGGCACTAATTCTTTGAAGGATCCTGAGGACTTCAAGATTATGGAAGAGATGTCTTATGCGGATAGTCTGAGAGGTGTGTAGCTTCTGCAAATCTTGAGACGTAACCACTGACAGCTTGGAGCACCTTACTTGGAATACTACGCGCCGAAAGTCGCTGCTTTTTTCGACAATCTTAACTCCAAGCGTTCGAGATCAGTACCCCTGGCTAATGACTTTGTCCTCGACGCTGTCAAGAAGCCTAATCCTGCATCATATTCTTTGCTCTCAAAACTGCATTCCAAAGCTTCCGAGCTCGAGGAGCTCTCAGCAGCCGCGGAGAGCATGGATCACCTGGCTGCAGGGATCGACACAACAGGCGACGGCTTATGTTTCCTCATGCATGAGCTTTCCCTTCCTCACAACGCACACATCCAGCACAAGTTGCGAGAAGAGATTGATGGCAGTCAAGGCAAAAGCTTTGATCAGTTGCCGTATCTGGATGCTGTCGTCAAGGAAGGCCTTAGGGTCTTTCCACCTATCCCAATGAGTTTTCCGCGCTATTCACCGGATGATGGAACGACACTGGATGGCCACTATATCCCTGGCCATGTCATTGTTTCGTGTCAGCCATTCACGCTTCATAAGGACCCGGCTGTCTTTCCGTCGCCTGAGAGGTTTGATCCACAGAGATGGCTACAAGACAAGGGAGAGCTTGAACGCAATCGTATGTTCTTCGCCTTCTCACAAGGCGCAAGGGGATGTATTGGCAAGCATTTGGCTTTGGCTGAGATGAAGATTCTGTTGAGAGAGGTGTATGGAGGATACAGGACTGGATTGAGCAAGGAGAAGGCGAATATGATCCTGGACGACCAGGTCATTTCTTCTAGACCCAAGGGTCAGAAGTGTCGGTTGGTGTTTGAGAAAGTCGTTTAATTTTCCATGTACTCATGATGGTGTTTTATGCCTTCTCCAGAGCATAGACATTATATGTCACTCCCCCGACCTTGACATCAGTATCTTGCTTCCAGCCCTCAGAACTGAGAGCTTCTTCTCCCAACTCCGAAATCGAAGGCAGTCTCTCGCCAACCTGATACCTCCTTATCCACTTCCCCTCCACTTTCTCCTCCCTCAAAACATCAAATCCACCCTCCCTCTTCCTCAACACCTGGAACCAATGCCCCACTTTTCCCATAAACGTAATCCCATTCTCATCTTTACTCCTCAAAATCCACGCTGGCTCTCCAGAAGCAGGAACATCAAGATTACCCCAAATCTCCTCATAAGCCTGAACTTCATCATTGTTATCAGGATTAGGCATTGAGCCTTTTTCTAATGCGTCACCGTTTGGCAGGTCTTCGAATTCTCCGATATCGTCGTGGGGTTCGGTGTTTTGAGAGCAGATTTCTTTGCTCCATTGGCATCTCACTGTTTCCAAATATCAGCACACAAGATCTGAGCGAAGGGTGCAGGGTGAAAAGGGGAAGCTTACATGGTGATTGTGAGAGTACTTTGCGTTTACCGGCCATTGCCCAATCGATACCGCCATCTGAGTTTGAGATTCTGAGATCGACAAAGAAGTCGCCGACGTCGAGGACGAGGGTTGAGGTTGGTTCTGAGGGCTCGCCAGGGACCCAGCGGAGAGATTTGCGGTAGGAGAGCTGGACGACCATTGTGTGATGATGATGGGACTGTGGAAGATGTGCGAGTTGCCAAATAGAACCTACCAGGGCAAGATGGCTTTTAAAGCAGTTAAATTGATAGTCTAGCTCTTACACATACCCCTCTGAGACTAAAGAGCAAGACGCGTTTATTGTGAGCGACGCGACATCAAGGTAGTGGGGTCAATGTAAAGGCAAAAGAGCTCGAGTCAGGGTCACATCTCACCCCCGCCCCTCCCCCGATATCGCCAAGAATCTCCTCAACCTTCCCGTTTCGTCTACCCATATCGCAAGTCTCTTCACCTGTCCAAGTCATATCACACTACAGGTCAGGCACTTGCTGCTATCTGACAGCATACATTGACAAAAAAATCCAACATTGTCTATCAGAATGCGGCGTAGGCCACCCTGAGGCATCATCGACCCCCCCCAAAACGCCTTACAGCCACGCACAACACAGTCTGGCTGAGAATGGCCGATCAGAATCCCGAAGCTTTGGCTTCTACCACCACACCTTCCGCTTCCGTCACAGCTCCTGTGACACGTGCAGCACAGCATAAAAGATCTTGGAGCGGTTGTGCAAGATGTAAAAAGCGCAGGCAGAAATGTGATGAGCAGAGACCTGGTTGTGGGAGATGTCAAGGTGCTGGTGTAGAATGTGTTTATGAGGTTAAGTTGAGATGGGGTGGGAGAGCATTTAATCAGTCGAGGTTTGGGGCTTGTATTTCTGATGCTGGAGGTGCTGGGGTTTCTGAGGATAAGGTTGGGAAGGTGAAGAAACTTGGTATGTTATGGGGATGTGGGGGTTTGCGATACAGAGAATGTGTTGGCTGACGAGGAGCAGGGAATGTGAACCAAGGATTTGTTTATACCGTGAATAGCTTTCAGGTGCAACCTCAGCCTCCGAGAGTTACTACGGCATCAGCTCCGCCTCCTGCTGTACAAGCACCATTGCCACTTGAACAGCCACAGGATGATTCGACATTGCTAGATCTACCACTGGACATAGATGACTCTCTGGCCTTGATCCCGACATCACCCTCGGAAGGACTTCTGCTAGATGACTACAACCTCGACTTCTTTCCTCTTTTCGTCCCGGTGGATCCGTTCGTGAATTTAGGAACACTGGACAGGTCATTGCTCGACCATTTCATCAATGGCACATCCCATGTCATCTCATGCCATGCCAAAGTCCGAGAAGACGTATGTCGAGTTATCGTTCCTGCCGCTCTGCAGAGTCCAACTCTCTTTTACGCCACAGCTGCCCTCTCTGCGATCCACCACAAGTCGCGTCTCGGCTTCGGAAGCGACACCTTGCGACAAGATCCCCTAATATCCCGCCTCCTGACAAACAGTCTCTTCGGCCTTCAAAGCGACTTGCTGGAAAAGGATGTCAACAAAAGTAGCGTCCTCCTAGCCACAATCCGCACACTTTTCCTCTGCGAAGTCCATGCCGGTGGCGATAGGCCTGGAACCTGGCGCGCGCACTTTGAAGGTGCAAAAGCACTTATGCTAGATATAGAGTCTTGGGCCGGCTACTCGTCCAAGCAAAGAGATAGCACAAGATACTTTCTCAAGCGCTGGTATAACATGACCGAAAGCTTTGTAGCTCTAACCACTGATGGTCTGGCTTCTGGTCAATTAGCTAGATTCGGCCCTAGGACCTTGGATGGCGACGAAGAGGAAAAAGTCTACTTGGATGAATACGCAGGATTCGCCACCGACCTGACTCCAATCTTCCGCGAGATTGGAGCAGCGGCTTGGGAACGACGGAATGAGCTTCAACCCACCATCCTCGAAGAAGGCGACCTAGACGAGGAAGCTGCTTCCCTAGCTTCTTGCATCTGGGCTCGCTTAGACGAAGCAAAAATCCTACCTCCCAAGTTTCGCCCTGGTGTTGAAGAACAGTTATCTTCTCGTCAGAAAAAGGATTTCTTGTCGTGTAATGAAATTTGGCACCACATGGCACTAATCTACATCTACCGGCGTATTTCCTCACACCCTGCTTCCTCACCACCGGTTCAAAGCTCTGTGCATACAATCCTCACCTGTATAGAGAGCTTGACAGCTACAGCTGGCCTAACACCATTAGTGGTTATGACAACACCGTTATTTGTTGCTGGATGTGAGGCTCAAGGAAACGACCGCGATCGTGTAAGGGTACTGCTAAGAAACATGTTTAACCTTTTGCACATTCCCAACATCCATCGATCATTAGAGGTACTGGAGAGCTTTTGGGCGAGTACGGAGAAGGGAGAAGCACAGGATTGGGATAGCTTCATGCATGACCAGCATTGGGACTTCTTGCCTTATTGAAAGGGCTCTCGTCAAGGAATCGACCTGGCTTTGTGGCAGCACCAAAATCGGGCTTTCACTGCAAAATGCAGAAGACTGGCAGATGAAATTTGGGCAGACTGGTGCAAAGTCCCAGTAACTAGGAAGCCTTGCAGCTTCTGCAGTTGCCATCGGTTTGGATATGAGTGGAGCATGGCGACGTGATCGGGATTGACACGTTACATGACGTCTAGAAAAAGCCATTCTAGGTTCCCAGTATCGGGGCATTGTCACGAATTCTCAGGGAAAGCGAAAGATGTCCTCGAAACTCGAGCGATCACGACCTCATGCGCGCCAGAGCATGACGCCGCATATCATGGCGCAAGCCACATACCCAATCAAAGCCCCCAGTCGCCCAGACCAAGGTGTGGACGAAAAAGAATGCCAGGATCTCTCATTTGCCATGGAGGCCCCAAAGCAGGGCCCTCTTTCTGGATCGAGGGCCTTCCAGCCTTGAACCTCAGGAATTAGCAATTACAAGCAAGACCAGGAGTTTTTGGAAGTTTTCATCTATCAATTCCTACACCACTCCCAAGAGGCGGAAAAAAAAGGAAGAAAAGGTTGCAATACAATTGTGGGAATGAGGGTGATGTCTTGATACAATGAATCAGAACCAGAAAGATCAAGGTTGAGGTATAGAGAGTATAGGGAGAAACTGTTTCGTTGTGTGCAATTTGTGTGTGTGTGCTATGCTATTTCATCCTCATTCCATCTTCATGCTTGTGTTCATCCTTATTATATCTTCATGGTTGTGCTCCTTCTTTGACGTCATGCATGCTTACTCATGTCCTTCAAGTCTCTCATCATTAACAGTGTACCAGACACCCTTTCCACATCCAGTGCTCAATTTCTTCTCATATCATCTTCATCTTCGTGTGTTGACCAGTCCTCGATCAACTTTCCCTTTGACCAGTCCTCGATCAACTTCCCTTTGACCAGTCACAGCCTCTCATCATCCGCTCTTTTCCTCTTTGAGCAAGTACAGTCTTTTACTCGCTATCACTCCCCAAACTATCCATTCCCCTTCTATACCCAGCCATAACATCTCTACCTCCCTTTTTCTTCTCTCCACCTCTGACTCTCTCGTATCTTCCACTGCTGCCTGAACTCTCGTATCTAGGTCCTCTGACTTGTTTGGTGGGGGATGCAGAGGTGTGTCTGCTGGAACTTTCGCGTCGTTCGGCTCTGCGTTGTTCTCTTCTCTGCTCTGGGGGTACAGCAGGGGATGCAGCAGGGGAAGCAGCAGCCAAAGGACGATAAGCATCGTAATAACTGCTATTCGTGCGGTTTGTGGTGGATGCGGTGTAGGTTCCTGTATAGGTTGTGGAAGTCTCGTCTGGAGCGCCACTAAAGGAATATTCTCTCTGTCTGGGAATTGCCTTTTTCTTCGGACTCGAGGAGCGGGAACGTGATGCTTCTCTCTTTACACTCTTTGGCTTTTCTGGCGTATGAGAGGACTTCTTTGCCACTGCGGCGGGAGGAATAGGAGAGGCGGAAGTAGTTTCTTTGGCGAGGGCGGCGGCAGCTCGTTCGGCTTCCTTGCGCCATTTTCTCTCCATGCGTGCTGCATCTTCTGCTGCTCTCTTCTCTGCCTTTTCCCTCTTCTTATCTTTGGAGTGCAGGATTGGCGCTGCGGAAGAAGTGTCGGTGACTGTGTCGCTGCGATCACTCTGAAGGTAAGAAGTTCCATCTGCAGATCTGTTCATGCCACCCACTCTGGCAGGTTTCTCATGTTTATAGTCGCGGAGGTCTCTGTCGCGGTAACGGCGTGAATGATCAGTCGTGGTAGGAGCAGCTGTATAGCCACCTCTGATTTTCGCAGCTCTCTTCTCGTTGTTGTGGTGGTTGCGAGAGATTGAAGTCAACGCATCACTCTGATCCCCTCCAGTGTACCGCGTAAACCCATCAGAGTAATACACCGAATGACTACCCCCAAAGCCCCTGACCGCCACAACACCCTTCCTCCCCTTCTCATCCCACCCCACCACACTCTTCGCCGCCATCCTATCACTCTTCCTCGGCCTCTCCACTACCGACTTGGCCGAATAAACCGTATTCCCAAATTCATCCCTTTTCCTCAAAACCTGAGACTTCCAATCTTCAAAATCGCCTTGCTGCCAGTGGAAACCTCCATGTTTGGCGTGGAAGAAGAACCAAATGCTGCCAATTACGATGAAGAGGAAGATTAGGGCGAAGAGGGAAAAGTAGATTTTGTTGTTTACTTTGCTGGGGTCGAGGCAGCCGGCGCAGGGTGTGAGGGTGGTTGCTGGCGCGCGAGAGAGCAGATTGTGGGATGGATGGATGGGTGCCATTGTTTGGAGTTTTACTTTTGCGCGAAAAGAAAGACTCGCGGCTTTTTTTCGCGTTAGGCGTGTCTGTGGAATGTGGTATGGTCGTCAAGGCGTATCCAGATTGCGGGGATGGACGTTGATGGTATCGATAAAACCACAACGGCGTCAACGAGGATGTTTGGAGATAGACGTTGTGATACAAAGTTTGCGTGAGAACCTGCGAAGAACAGACGCGCAAAAGGTGGAAAAGAGAGAAGTGCGGAAGAACAAGAGCCCAATATGCAGCACGATAAACAAGTCGCGAAATGGCTGGCGAGATTGAGAAGGCTGGGAAGTGGTTGGTTTACGTGTCGATCAACACCAACTTTCCCCACGGCAACCAGCCCAGCTTTTCGACCAGGGTCCTGTCAATCAAGAAACCTTGATTTTGGTGCATCACTTCACGCATCGCCAAGTGACAAGTCACCTTGAAGAAAGGAGTCGGTCTTTTCTTCTGATATTCCTTTCATTCACATAACCTAGTAAAATCTCATCTCTTTTCGTCCCATGCGCCATGCAGGTATCGACATCTAACCATATCCCGTTGCGCCGCTTTCACAATCCCCATCTTTACATACGCTCAACAGGGCTCAAACCCAACAGGCGCATACCGTTGTAAAGAACCTGGCGAGCACACTCGTAGAGTGCTGCACGAGCCTTCTTGACCTCAGGCTCGGCCTTCATGACATTCAACTGCTCGTAAGAACTGCTCAACATGTGTGTCATCTTGAACAGGTATGTCAAGACAGTAACAGGTTCTTGTGTCTTGATGGTGTTGGTGAAAGTGTCGGGCCATTGTGCCAGCGAGCGAATAACGTCAATGGCGTGCTTCTCGCTCAACAATGACCAGTCGGCGGATGCAAGCTGCTCAGATGTGAACTCTGCTTTGCGGGCGATCGAGCAGAGACGGGCGTGTGCGTATTGGAGATAAGGTCCGGTGTCACCCTCGAACGATGTCATGCGGTTGATGTCGAATTCGTAGTTGTTGATACGCTTGCCGCTCATGTCTTGCACCATGACGGCTGAGATACCGAGTGTGTCGGCCGTCTGCTCAGGGTTCTCAATCTGGACGTATTTGTTCTCGTTGCTGCGCATGACGTCGTGCATCTTCTCACCGACATCGCGAAGGATGTCGTCGAGGAATTTGGCAGTGCCCTTGCGAGTAGACATACCCAGGACCATACCAAAGTTGATATGCTGGCACTTCTTGGCAACCTCTGCGTACTCGTCGCCCATGACTTCGAGAATCTTGAAGAGCTGGGCCAAGTGCAGGTCTTGCTGCGAAGCGACAACGTAGATCATCTTGTCAAAGTGGTACTTTTGGTGACGCTCAACGGCAGCACCAATATCACGGGTGAGATAAAGAGTGGTACCGTCACGCTTCTTGACCAGAGCCTTACCCAACTTCTTCTGGTACTTGGTCAGGTCGACAAGGACGGCGCCCTCACTCTCCTCACTGACACCCTTCTCGGACAGAACCTTTGCGGCAGTCTCCATGCTCTCGTTCTTGACCTGCGACTCACCAGAGTAGTCGTCGTAGGTGATGTTGAGACGGGCATACGTCTGCTTGTACTTGACAATGGAGAGGTCACGGAAACGAGCCCAGATGCCCAGAGCGTCCTTCTCGCCATCGGCCATGCGCTTGAAGTAGTCACGAGCTTGCTGGTCGATTCCGGTCTTCTCAATGCGCTCAATCTCGGCCTTCTGCTCAGAAACATCCTCGTTCTTGGCCTCGAGCTCGACAATCTTTGCCTTGAGAGCCTTCATCTGCTCAGCCTCATCGTGTGCAATGGCGCTGACCTTGACGTAGACCTCGTAAAGATGACCGATAGGGTTGGCCTCCAGGGCCTCGTCGCTTCCGAACTTTTCGAAACCAATGGCCAGAACACCGTACTGCTTGCCCCAGTCACCGAGGTAGTTCATGCGGGTGACATCCCAACCAGCAGCCTCGTACAGGTTACCCAAGAAACCTCCAATGATGGTAGAGCGCAAGTGACCGGCGTGGAAAGGCTTGGCAATGTTGGGAGATGAGAACTCGACGATCATCTTCTTCTTCTCTGAGCTGGGGTCCTTGGGGTCCTTGAGACCAAGGTTGGGGTTGAAACCATATTTGTTGCCGTTCTTGAGGATCGAAGGGAGGAGGAGCTTAGCGAGAGGATCGGGCTTGAAGAAGAAACGAACAAAGGTCTTTTCCGCGACGGGAGGGAGGAGGAGCGGTGATTCGGGGAACTGCGCAAGGAGTCAGCGGTGGACGGGAGGTTAATGTTGAGTGCATAGTCACCTGTTCCTTGATCTCAACAGCAAGAGCGTCGGGCTTCTTGCCCTTGATACGGAGAGCAGGCACGGGCAACATCAAGTCGCCGTAGTCCAGAACCTGAGTCCATTGCAGCAGAGGGTAGATCTGCTCAGCTCCGAGACCAGTGATGGGAGCCAGCAGCTCAGCAATGTGTGTACGGTAGATGTCGACCTGGTTGTATGTGGGAAAAGTAGCCAAGTTGGGAAGCTGAGGCACTGAAGACAGGCCCAGAGTCTGAAGCGAAGTAGTGAGATGCTCCATGGTGACGCCTGTGCGATTGCTAAAGTCGAAGTTGGATGCGCGTCTGCTATGCGACCAGCCTTGGTAAAGAAGTGGTCGGGTGAATTGAAAATGAGTCTTGATGTGAGAGGAAAGACCAAGGAAAGATGCTGCTCGTTTGACTTGGAACGCGCGCATACACGACGTCTGATTGAAATGACTGAGAATGAGTCGGAAACACTTTTTTGGTTGGAAAACAGTCAAAAGCCCTCCACCAACTCCAGATTCGACTGCAACTCTTGGCGTCGTGACTCATGCCGCAATCCCTTTTTATACCCGGACACAAACGACAGAAACGACAGAAATGACAGAAACGACAGAAACGACAGAAATGACACAGATGAGGAAAAAGCTTGTCATATGTATTCTCGAGACATTACATTCATTATTAGTAGTCATCCGCAGTGGACTAGCCATGGCTATCTGCCAGCAATATGCCCTCCATCTCACTGACCCATCCAAGCTTTTCTCGCTCATCATCACACACTCTTGCATACTCCAACAGCAGTCTGAAGACATAGACTTGCATGTCTTCTCGTCGAAGTACAGTCTCTGTCCATTTCTTGCCTTCCAGCGCTATTCTTTTCGCTGCTGCGTCGCGCCCGTTGAAAAAGTAATGCATGATGCCGTAGATGTCGACAAACGTGTTGTCCATTGGCACAAAGTGTTTCCACGGCATCATTCGTGAATCATGCCATTCATCGTATATAGTCGCCTTGATGGGTAGAGATGTTGATCCGAGGAAGCCACGATAACGTCCGGAGAACGAGTTGCCGTCAATGTCTGGCAGATACTTGTAGTTGTATTGCTCGCCCATGGGCATCGAAGGTTTGACTTCGTAGAAGGCATCGTCATAATCGCAGAAAGGCGGTCGTGTGTCTGGGAAGCAGAGAAGATGGACAAATGCCGCATCCGCAGACTCTCCCACCCACTTCGCCAGAGAGCCCGATGGCAAATCATATTGACCTGGCTCGGGAAGTTCAAAATTGGGTTGCTTGCCGTTCTCCTCAGCACGGGCAATGCTGGTACTGTTCATCATTGACACAAAGCGATGGCGTTGGAAGCGCGCCCATGTCGTATCCTTATTGCGACCCCCAGAAGCAGCACCACGCCATATGATCTTGTTTGTCTTCTTGTGCCACTCGTGCCCATGGTCATCTCCACCCGAGTAGAAGGGATCGGTCGTCCAGTACATGGCTGGCGGTAGCAGAATCTCATTGTTCATTGGAAGCTTCGAGCCGCCAAATAGTGGCATGAGCTTCTTGGAGTTCGAGATTGAGATTGGCTCAACAAAGGTACCATGCAGACCTTGAAGCTGAGGATGTTCGCAAGGCTGCTTCACGTAGGTCCAATTCGCGACGTAACCCTCGTGGCTCTTCTCTGGGTACGAGTTGTTTAAGGGGGGAAAGACACTGTAGTCGACTTCTGCCTTGTATGATCGAGCAGGCGAATTTGGATGGCAGCCTATCACAGCGCGATCCCAGTATGGTCCACCTTCCCACTGAGGGTCGAAAGCGGGGACTTTCTCATCTTTACTGACAGACGTCTTGCCAAACTTGCGCACCACCTCGGAGGCCGGCACAATGTGACGTGTCTTCTCTTCTGCAGTCATGTATTCGTCTATCGTCTCCCATGGTACCACGACACGCGATTCATCCATGACGTTAATCGGCATGTCAAGGTCGGGTAAATGTTGCGAGATGGATCCAATCATGTTTTCCCAGAGATCCAGCCAAGGTCGTTGTTGATCGCTAAGCTGTGAAGTGTTGCCATTTCGAACACTGATCCGGTGGAAGATGTCGCCGGCCTGCTGGCGAATTGTGTGAGCAGGTATGGCCCAGAAGGGGTTCAAGTCGTGGTATACGCGGTCGAAGAAGTCCTCAATGACCAAAGCATTGTTGTCTTGAGCGAAATGGTACCAGACGTCAAAGCCTGGCGGCGGTCGTCGGCCTCTACGGTCTTCGTATGCGCGCACAGCGTCGGCCAGGGTATGCGACTCTTTCTGCAACAAATCTTCTTGTTGGCGATCCGCCTCTTCAATCAGATCATCAATAGGATGGTGCGGTCGACTTTTCACTGGAGCCTTCAGCGACACACTCTCCGGGATATGAATGGCGTCGGCATTGGCGTAAAAGAGTATGCTAAGGATGAGAAGAACTGCGGCCAACAGCAAGAGCTGCGTGAAACGTCCGTTGATTCGAGGAGCCGTCAACATGACGGACAATGACAATCCGGTAACGCGGCCGCCGACAGTACGAATGTACCTATGCCTTCATACGATAAACCCTAACTTCCTCGGAGAATTTGGTAGCACGGGTGGAGAACCCTGATGTCGTAGGATGGATGCGACAAACAATAGCAGAGTAGTCAGGACAGCGACAAACGTTAGCAGAACGCGATGGATGCCGCCACGAATTTGTAGGATTCAAGTAGCGCCTACGTGCTTCCAGGCCCGCCAAGGTCCTGCATTGGCAGCAAGGACCAGGAAATCATCAATTATTCCCACGCTTGGGTCAAGACTGACCTCGCAGACGGTATTCGCCATGTTCAATATCACTGCATCGGTGATTGTGACGCTATAAAGTGCATTGAATCAGTGCTGCTCGACTCGAGGCATCAAAGGTGCAGACAGGGTGAGCTAGAGGCTTCGGCTTCTGCTGACACGGCCCGGCTTGGCATCGTCATTTCGCTTTTCCATCCGCCTAAGTGTACAATAATTAACGAATGCCATCACACAACATTTCTTCTTCAGATCGCTCTTCGTAATCACCTTCTGAAACAAAGACTCTATTATCAACAGAACAAGGAACCCTCCAAGGCAAGAACCAGAGTATATCTTCGACAACACAAGGAAGCAATAGCTGCAAGGTCAAGAATCTATTATCAGCAAAACAAGGAGAAGATCAAGACTAGGCGTCTTGAGCAACGACCCATCAGAGTCGAACGTTGGAAGGTTAAGCGTACCGAGCAACTAGAAGAGTCAATACTCTACTATGTACAACACAAGGAAGAGATCCTGGCTTTGCGGGAGGCCAATCGTCTCGAAACTGCCAAAAAGCGAAACGCCCATTATGAACGACACAAGGAAGCGCTCAAAGAAGTAGCAAGAATCTGTCTTGAGCAACACAAGGAAAAGATCAGCGCCAGGAGGAAGATGAAATATTGGAAGCAGAAAGAGACTGCTGTCGCACAGCCCACGCTGGATTTTGAACAACACAAGAAAGAGATACGACGTCTGCTCAACAAGAAGCACGACTCTGATACTCGAAAGCGATTTGCCGAACGCCAGAGAGAACTTCGTGCGGCTGATCCCAGTCTCGAGCGACGCATGAGTATGAGACGCTGGCTAGTACAATGCGCAGAACGAGAAGCTTTTGCTTGGAAGACACACATACCGGTTGTGTATCCTGAAGAACTTGACAAGACTTGCAGTGCGTGCAGCAAATCAAGGATCGGAGGTTTCAAATTCTGTAAGTTTCTGACCGCATGCATTAGGGACGCTATTGCTCGTAACTTTGTCATGGCGTGAGATTTGAGTCACTCTATGATCCCTTTGTTTCTGGCCGGGTAGTGTTATAGGCATTTAAATGGACGGTGCATCGAAGCTAGGTTTCCGATCAAGGTCATGAGCAAGTGGCTAATCATGTTCTCGTTCTAGAGTGGCCCTCTATTACTGATTCGGAGCTTTATATGTGTCATCCTTGCTACTCTGCAGACATGCGTCTCGCAATGCCCGCAGGCCATGAGGACTATGTTTTTGGTCATGGCGAACCGTTGCCCAAATCCTAAGCTGCCCATGGAAGAATGATATGACCTTGCTTCGTTACAGAGTATCCTATCAGGATGCAATCCCAGACTCCACTCTCGGCCTATTCTTGTCTGGGTTACAGGCTTGATCGACTAAGCACGTATCATTTCCTAGCCAGTGGCGTCCAGCCAAAAGTCGAACATGCGCATCCCTGACAGAGCCTGTTGCTCAGTTTTGATACGGAACATCATAACCGTGCGTAGGGTTTTCGCATTACCTCTGAGAACGACATGCCATGATCTTTCCGACTGCCGACGATAGAATATACCAGTCTCGCGGTCTTGGCATAAGAAGTAAAACCAGAATAGCTCGGGGCCGATGATCAACACGCACGCTCTATCAACCTCAAACTATCGCTTCCTCCTCAATTATCTATCCGGTAGCCTGATTGTCTCTTCGGGACCTTTCGAAAAAATTCCAGTCATGAAATAACAAGTCAGCAGTTGTTTCCTTTCTCGTCCTTAAAGGGTTTATCCCAGTCCACGTTTCCTTCATCTGCCCCGTCACATCGCCAAAAGTACAGAAAGTCACGATACTTTAGCAAAACTTCCAACCATCAACTCGACAGTTCCAAAATATGCCTACCACCAACACAACAAAGCGCGTCTCCTGGGCTTATCCCTTGATCAAATCCACTCCTCTCGCTACCCAACAAACACCAGAGCAGGGAGGGCAAAACTCGACCTTGGCTGGCAAGTACAGCGCTCGGTCTAGCAGAGTAAACAGCCCTACTGCAGCCGATAGCTTGCGCGAGATACTCCTAGGAAAGTCTATGTCGCCTTCACCTTCATCCCTGGCCAGCCACATGGAAATCCCAAATGTAAGCAACGACCCTAGCATCAATTTCTTTGCTCAACAAGAACAAGATGCCAACGATACACAAGAACAAGCACGCACAGAACAAAGTCATCGCGAGAATCAAGAACACGATAATGACACTCACCGCCGCCACGACCGTGAGCAAGAAATTCTCTCCCGCGACGCTTTCTACTCAGACTCTTCACAATACAACTGCTGGAGCGCCTACTGTAAATTCGCCGAGACACTCGCCAGCTGCGATACGGCACCCTCTTCTGATTACTTCTTCTCAACGAGCGATGTTTTGGTGTCGCTATTCATCCATTGCGATCTCACCCAATACGGCACTAAGAAGATGTTAGCCGAGGACTTGCTGCTGCAGCTTATTGACCATTTCCCTCTCTGCACGCAATTTAGATTCGCTGTCTTTTTGCCTCGCGAGCAAGTCGAGCAACAAGCAAGCATACCCAAAGCGTTAAAATATCTCTTTGGCACATTTGACGCTTTGAGCTGTTTCGACGTTTCTCTGGATGGAGCTATTACCGATATGGAGACCAAATTCGTCGCGTTGCACTGGTTCCATACAAGACGGTTACGCCACGATACTGTTCAAATCCACAAGGATAGTCTGCAGAAGGGAACCTTGACTCCGAGGGTTGAAGCTGATGATCTGAACAACGAACCTATGATGGCAGACCGGCTACTACCACAACCGCCACAACCGAAGACTACACAACCCATTGACATCAAGTTTCCGAAACAAAAGCATGTCAGCGATGCTTGGATCAGACCTGCCAAAAATCAGGCTGTCTGGGCTTGAAAACATCTCGAGTTCGGAATCTCGGCACTTGGGTTTCGGGAGTTCATGGTTTGCTTTTTGTTTGATCTGGCTATTCGGTTTTTTCTGGTTTACATTGCGAAGGCTCTGATCTTCTCGAGCTGACTTTTTCCTCTCGCAGTGTTTCTGTCTCTTTCATCCTTTTGAGACACCTTTTCCCGAATAATCCATGCCTGATCAAAAAACCAATTTTCGCTTTCGATGTGCAAGTATAATGCTCGTGAGGAAATGGCTGACGAAACATGGCTTAATAAGAGATCCGTCAGATGACCCGAGACCGCCTGGCTATATTCAAGTCCTCTTTGTGAGTAACCCCGACCTTACTGACTTTGGTAATTGCAAAGTCTAGCAAATATCTAGCTGAACACTTTACTTTTCTCATTGATGCATTTGCATACACTTTTGCACGTATTCACATGCGGTCGCACTATTATCAGCGTCGAAAAATCATCTTTCTTCTAGAGAGAAAGACTATATAAACATCTCCACCCACTCAATCGAAGGGCCACAAGCAGAAGAACCGCAAGGCCAAACTGTCGACACAGATGATATCCCCACTGCATCATCTGTGTCTTCCACACCGTCAAAAAAAGGTTTGTGTCGAGGATACACGGTACATAAACGCTCCGGGTCGACGAAACTCCATATCTTGATCACAGACTGCGCTGGCCGTTGCAGAGTCACTGTCACCAGAGAGCCAGGGGTATGCAGCGGAGTCTCTAATAAATCGGTGGGTAGGTGAAAGCCTCGGGTTAATGACGCCACAACTGTATCTCAAGATGATTGTCCTCAGATTTTCAGACAGCGATCACTGGAGAGTGATGGGCAGATCACTGCGTTATTGACCCGAGGTTGCCTGCCTGGCAGTAGAAGTCACGGTAATCTGTTACGCAAACGCCACGGGTCGACGACGTTTCGGTCTCGTCGTCGTGAGACTACAATGGTCAATTAAGAGCGCCTGGGAAGCGATAAACGGAGCGCGGTAGGGAAGCTGTATCTTCATCGACCCGAGGCATTTCGTCTGCTTTGATCAAATTAACGTGGGTCGCAGATATGGCTGTAGGTGATGGTCGGTGCCCTCTCCAAAGAATCTGGGGGTAAGATCGACGTTGTTGGCCTGCTGGTCATGGACTGCTGACATCAAACCGGAGGTGTATCTTAAATCTCGCTCCAGCTGTAACATGTAAGGTGATGGATGATGGAGAGTGATGGTGTTCAGAGACATATTTCACCCTCGCACAACTGTGCTGGAGAGATGTGTAGCTAATACCACTCAGTCGACACAAGAGCAGAGATTTCTGTGAGTGTTATTTCATATGCCATAGATGCTGGAATATTGATGCCTGCCACTATAACGAATGTTCTTGGAGCCATGACATGAGATGTTCACTGTCTATATGCTGAAGTAGATCGATTGCAAAGGCGGTGGCGTACTGTTCAAGTGCGATGCTTTGAGCCTACCCTATAAGTTGATTTAATCGCCCTAGACTCAATTCCCCAATCAATGCTTATGTAACTTCAAGTCCTAGCACACTTTTCTAATTCATTGGGGACATATAAAGACAGACTGTCACTTTAAGCTGTATAAGCCTCGCGATAGCCGCACACTCTCCACTTATCGACGCTCCAGAACCTTGACGTTCGTTAGCCACTTCCCCATGACCGGCTTTTGGCCGCCGATAGCCGTGCAAGCACAAAAAAATCTCAGGGCGTGTAAAGATAACACAAGGCGTAAGGCGTGATATGAATGCAGGGCGTGACTTGAGAGATAAGAATATAGAAGAAAAAGTCCAATTGATAATTGAGAGGTCGGATAGCGGCCTGTTCAGGACGCAGACAAAGATACCTTGACTCATTTCTGCATCACTCCTGTATCGGCGGCGAGAGGCTTTTGACTATACAAATACCTTGTGACCCCACAGTTTAGGTGCTCTTGTAACATCACTTTTTATCGACATCAAACATCGCTTCTCAATTGATACTTCCAATTCCCTGTGGATCATCGGTGAACTCAAATAGACTTCGCATTGAATCGATAACAACAACAACAACATTGCACTCCACGCTCCAGAGACGCACACGTCGCCAACATGAGCGCACAAGACATGACACCTCCTGCCTCTGGCACCGCCACACCTACTGCTAAGTCATTGACAAAGGCCGGCATTGAGCACAACCTCGAATCAAACGCACAAACCGCACAGCTCGATGCTTCTAAGCTGAAGATCTCCCTGACCACTGCGCCGAGGGACCCTCCTGCCGCCGGCAGCGAGGAACTCAAGAAGATGCGCACCTGCACCGATCACATGGTCACCGCGCGTTGGACCCTCGAAGATGGATGGGAAGCTCCTGAACTCAAGCCTTACGGGCCTTTGAGCATCATGCCTACTGCTTCCGTTCTTCACTACGCCACCGAATGTTTCGAGGGTTTGAAGCTTTACCACGGGGAGGATGGCAAATTGCGTTTGTTCCGTGTCCGTCGTAACTGCGAGCGTCTGCGCAGAAGTGCTGCTCGTATCTCTCTTCCTGACTTCCCTGCCGAGCAATTGGAGATTCTCATCAAGAAGTTGTGCGCTACTGATGGCCCCAAGTGGCTGCCCAACAAGGGCGGCTTCCTCTACTTGCGTCCCACTTTCATTGGCACAGATCCTGGTCTCGGAGTTCAGGTCCCTAAGGAGGCTCTGCTCTACGTTATCATCGCTGTCTTCCCCGACTGGTCGGATCCTCGCAACTTGCCCGCTGCTTCGGCCGTCAACCCCGATCTCAGCGAGAAGGTCACCAAGGCACAGGGTCTCAAGCTTCTTGCCAGCAAGGAGGACTCCATCCGCGCATGGCCCGGTGGCTTCGGTTACGCAAAGTTGGGTGCCAACTACGGACCTTCGCTCGTTGGACAGGGCGAGGCTCGCGCTCGTGGTTATGATCAAATTCTCTGGCTGTTCGGCAACAACGGCAGCGTCACTGAGGCTGGTGCCAGTAACTTCTTCGTCGTCTGGAAGACCAAGGAGGGCAAGCAGCAACTCATCACCGCACCTCTTCACGACAACCTGATTCTCGAAGGTGTCACTCGCGACAGTGTTCTCAACATCACAAAGGAACGTCTCAGCACCTCTGAAAGCGCCGCAAAGTACAACGCCGAAAGCGTCGAGGTCATCGAGCGCAAGTTCACCATGCAGGAGATCCTGGACGCTTACACCGAGGGTCGTCTCGTTGAGGCCTTCGCTGCCGGCACAGCCTACTTCGTCGCTCCCGTCGGTCTGATCGGCTGGAAGGAGCACGAACTCGAGATCCCCCTCGCCGAGGGCAAGACCGGTGTCTACGCCAGAATCATCCGCGGCTGGCTCTCGGACATCATGTACGGCAACGACAACCACGAATGGGGTGTTCTCGTCGACGAAGCCTAGATTGCCGACGACGACGAAATGCCATGGCACTTGACTTCCCTGTTCTTCAAGCTTATTGTCGGTCTACCTGTTGCTATCGCACTCGATCTCAAGTTCGGCCTCTGCGAATTGCTGCATGCGAAAGAGTGTACCGCTTCTGACTCTTTTTCGCTGCTGGGACTGTGTGCAATTCTCGTCGGTGTTGTTATGGCCGAACTCGCTATGAATGTTCTAGTCGTCCAGGGCTGCATCATTGGTCTAATCAGCGTGTGGAGATGATTGAATGCATGGTGTTTTTCGGGTCGATCTTTATTGTCCGGGAGATGATTTCATGCGCGATATCTTCTCAGGACAGACGACTACTCTGGCCCAGCTGATCAGGTTCAAGGTGTTGTTCGGAATATGGAGTCCCTGGAGTCAAAAGACACGCTCGTAAAAGGGGCAAGAAGCAGTTAGTACATCGTTCACTTTGAATTCATGATAACCACTCGCTATGAATGAACTACATCGCACCCTCCTATCTGTTCCTGATTCTATGCATGCACATTTGTCTCCATGTCACCTTGTATGTAGAGCCTCTCTGACGATGAACACGTCACACACAGCTGGTTCGAGGCGCAGTAGCTCTAGACTCGCCGTGGACGTTAGCCAGATGGGTCGTCTCCACGATACCTTTATCGATTTTCCAGGAAGCCTCCGCCTCGTCAAGAATGCACTTTGCCGTTCTCAGCTCGATCTTGCTCTATATGCATTGACAGGTGAAGAAGGAGTAACTGACAGGATAGTCGTGTATACAGTAAGGTGATGGACACTTGTCTCGTCATTTCGTTCAGCACGGCTAGCCTAAGCATACCCCTCCATCGGCTGAGCCCACGCATCATCAATCAAACTCTCCTCCATCATTTCCTCTTCCATCCTCCCCAAATCCATCTTCTCAAGCTCCCTCGCAAAGAAGTCTTGCTCTTCCGTCACCAACTTCCTATCTACGCCCATCTTATCAGGATAGTGGTGTACATTCCACCAATGCGTAAGACTTCTCAACGACTGTTCAAGAGGCAAAGCTTCCTCGACCGTGCCATCTACGTCGCCAGGTCCTGCTCCTCCCATACCGCCACCGCCGCCGGAAAGCCAGTCGTCGCGAAGTTCGGAGGGGACGGAAAGCCATACTGCGGTGATGATCTTCATGTTGCTTTGACGCCATTTTCTGCCGCAGTAGGGGACTTGTGTCTTGAAGAGTTTGAGGGTGTAGTATCTCATCATGTCCACGGGGACGCGAAGAGATTTCTTCAGCACGTTGGAGGATTTGTATGACACCAAGAGTAAAGAGCGGTGTGCTTTGCGCCGAGTAATCTTTTGCAGCACACGCAAATAGTTGATGTAGGTGAAAGTATTGCGGTAGGAGTATGTCTGGATTGGTGCTGGCGGAGGTATCTGTGTCGGATAGCCGAGTTCGTCGACTTCAGGTGGGTGGGTGGTGTAGTCTGGCGGCACTGAGCTGGCAGAGACTTCAGAGATTGCTTCTGACTCCCTGCGGAACTTAATCGGAGGGGGCATAGCTTCGTCTTCGGATTCCATGGTATCGTCAACCGCCACAAATTCGGATGGAATTGGGTTCCGCGAATTTGCGCGACAGAAGCTGAAGAAGTCGAGTTCTGGTCTGTCGAGCATAAAGTGGCAGGCACGTCCTATATCTTGCCATTGCCATATGCGCAGCACTGCAATAATGTATCCAGAGTCTAGAAGCAGCTGATTCAGATACTCGAATCGGAGAACATGCGACAGCTTGAACCATTTCAGCAGTAGCAGCAGAATGGCCGATACAGCCTTGCCGGTAATTTCTGTAGACCGTGAAGCATCAACTTGTTCCGCAGAAATTGATATGCCGTCGGGGACATGTCCGTTCTCGAAAGCCGGTGCTTGCGGATTGGCGGTAGTATCCGCATAAACTCTTGCCATGCCCTTAAGCAAAACAAATACGACGGACTGCATTTGTGGCAAAACATCGCGATAGAAATTTGCTACTGCCTCCAAGATCTTATCGTTCTCAGACAGCGGTTCTTGTATCTTTGGTTTCTCTGGTGATTCCGATGACTCCTCGTCGTCAGAGTGAGAGACCCCATTGGTCTGAGGCTCATACAAATCAAATTGGTCTACGTCAGAGTCAACGTTGACATCGAACCAGCCTCTCTCCGATCTCATGTAGTCAATCCTGGTGTCCCAAAGCTGCTTCATTGCTCTGGTGGCTCTCATTCGTTTTGAGAATAGTTCTGCAGCTTCGAGTATTGAAGCAGGGACATCGCTTCCTCTCCACTTTCTGCCTGCTAGGGCATCTTGCAATTCGGTAGAGCCTTTACCACCTAAGTCGTTGCTTGACTCATCCAATGGTGGGTAAAGGAAGGGGAACATCTGATTGGTCTGATAATTTTGCTTTTTACCACCTTTGCCTCCTGGACCAGCAGGAGAAGGTGGAGGCGATGGTGCTGGAGTGGCGATATGAACCGCTTGATGTAGGATAGAAGAGCCATGAACACCAGTTCCTGTCGATGCAGTATTGTCATTGCTATCGATCTTTGTTTGTCTGTGACGAAGCGGAGGCAAGATGGTGTTATTCTCAGGCTCGAACGCGAATAGTGGCGGCGGCGGTTGATACGCAGGATACTTGGATGTAATCTCTTGTCTGAAGAGATGATAGTCGAGGGGCGAAGCAGTAATGAGAGGATGGCCTCGCTCGTCTTTCTCGCCAATATTCTCTTGGAAAGAATGCTTAACTTTATCGGCTGCCTCGATACCGCCAAAGGAGATCAAGATAGTCTTCCATAGTAACAAGAAGATCTTCGACTAGGTTAGCGCCTGGGTATAAGACATTCACATGCTAGAGTCGTACCTTTGTCTGTGGCACAGGAGCAAAATCGTCCCATCTCATTTGGGCAATCATGTTCGTGCAAGTGATCAACAAGTCGGGCTTGATTAAAGCTTGTTGCAGGGTAAGCTTAGAAGCGACGTGCAAGACGAAAGATAGACTTACCAAGTTCTCTGTGCAACACATGAGCGTCCGGTGTGCCCTCAGAAATGCGACTCAATTCGACAAAAAGATAGACTAGAGTAAGTGTGCACCAAACATCGATACTTTCGTCACCCTCCGTGTACTTTGGTGAAGCGGAGGCATCTTCGTTCTGAGCAGAGGCAGTGCTACAAGGCGTTAGGACTAACGCATGAGAGCAAAAGGAGATGGCAGACTCACAGATCTCTTTCACAGACCGACTTCATCAAGCCATAGACAAGTGGCACAGCACCTTGCTGGGCTAGCATGCAGAGTGTGTTGATCATTATTTGGATTTGATAAGTAGCACCGGCATAGTTGGGAAGGCCGGCCGTGACTTGTGGTTGGTTTGAGCCTAGGACTGCGAAGAAAGGATTTGGCGTCTCTCTACCAGCAGTCTCTTCCCACGTACCCAGAGAAATGTAGGTCAAGACTTGGAGAGCTTGGTTCTTTTGGTGAGGAGTGCCGAGCTGTAGGTCGTGCAGCAGATTTGCGACAAAAGCCATACCCATTTCAGGGGAGGCAGTCCAATCAGGTACGGTGTCTCTAGCAGTGTGTGCCCTCCAAGCGTGTTCGAATGCAGCATTGATTTGGCATAACTTGGCCCTCTCTTTCTCGCTGTAGGTAAACCATTCTTCGAGCTCAACGGGAAAAGATTGCGAGTCGCGGTACTCGAAGTCGTAGACGGAGGATAGCGGAACAGGCTGTTGGAGATGGGCCTGTAGGACAGGGAAGCCAGCACGGAGATTCTTGAGTTGGGCAAGAGTCAGAGAGTCTGGAGGATCCTGGCTGGGGTCTATGTCCGAGACTTGGGACTGCGGCCTGGGCGGCGGCGCTGACGAGTTGCGATTCAACAGCGGTCGGCTGGACGTGTCGTTACCGGTGGGCGAGTCTGCGGGTGGGATCACGGGTGCATTGTCGAGGTGCAGCTGTTCGGCCGTGTCCTTTGCCGGTGTGACGATGCTGTCGCTCTCTTCCTCAGGAGCCTTGACTGCCGGGTTTTCGACCTCGTCCATGGTGGATGCTTATTAGGATAGACGCTGCTTCGGTTGTCGTTTCGGTCATGAATTCGTAGCCATGGTCTGTTGGGCGGTGCGACTTCCTTCCTCTCGACTGGGCGCGTCTGTTGTGTTCGTCGTGTTGTCTTTCACATGCATCACCTTCAACTGTGGCTTGACCGCTTGTGGCTGTGGCTGTGCGTCGCCGCTTTCCGCTCGAGTTTGCCCTTGCCAAAAGTCGATCAAACACGCTGCGAAAGTCCGTCGCTCTTTCCTTGCTGTCGTCCACAGAGAGCACCGGTGCCTGAGACAATGGCGAGGCCGTCGATTCTCATCTATCCCTGGCATTTGCTTTGACGTGCAGTCATCGCTTCTAGCCTCGACCTCCGATCCGCCATTGTCCCGCTGAACCATCTTTCCTCGTCTAATGAATATGAAACGAGACCCGCCGCCTGTGCAAACTCCTCTACATTAGACTCATGTACGCAATGCCGCGTACCTCCAATTCCGTGTCCTCACGACGTCCATCGGTTTTCTATAAAACACTCTATCACGTCTGTTGTTGAAGTCTTTCTTTCTCTCATCTCAATCCATTCTCTTCATCTTCGAGTCAATCTTCGATCAATATTAAACCCAAGACAGCGGGTTCTGTCTTTACTTTCTTTCGAAAATGCTCTTCTCCCTTTCTACCATCGCCGCCATCTCGGCATTTGCTTCTACTGCTCTCGGAGCTGCTCTGCCTGTCTCGGGCAACCCAAACACCATCGCCAAGCGCGCTCTGTCTGGCGAGGCTACCTTCTATGGTGGAAATACTTCTGGTGGACAGTGTTCGTTTACCGAATACACCCTTCCCTCCGGTGTCTACGGAAGCGCTCTCTCAGACTCCAACTGGAACAACGCTGCTAACTGCGGTGCTTGTGCCTCTGTCAAGGGGCCTAACGGCAAGAGCATTGTCGTCATGTTCACCGACCAGTGTCCAGGCTGTGGTCCCAATCACCTCGATCTCTACGAGAACGCCTTCACCGAGCTGGGTACCAAGTCTGCCGGTATCATTGACGTGACTTGGGACTACGTTGCTTGCCCCATTACTTCTCCTCTGTCCATCCACATGAAGTCTGGAGTCTCGCAGTACTGGTTCTCTGCTCAGATTGTCAATGCTAAGCGTCGCACCACCAAGCTCGAGATCAGCACCGATTCTGGCAAGACTTGGAAGGCTGCTGCCAGAACCACCTACAACTTCTTCGAGATCTCCAGCGGTTCGGGTGCTACCTCTGCCTGGATCAGAGTCACTAGCGAGACTGGCTCGACTGTTACTGTCAAGAACGTTTCACAGACTGGGGATGTCAGAGCTACTGCTACCGCCAACTTCGCCTAAGCATATTTGCATTCGTGGCCACAGACACTCAACTCTACTCGGATATGGCTAAGCCACAATTCCCTTGGGACTTGGTTTACGTGTCGCATCTTAGATAGTTATACATAAGTGGAATTTTCTACCAAGTATGTCCCTGTATATCAATTGTCCATGTTGGGTTGACGTCGTTTGCCCTTGACAAGCGGCAATACCTTGACTAGATCGTGACCCCGCCAGTGATTCGATCATCGAGTATAGGATATGCTTGTATGCAGAACATCATTACTTGCCAGTGTTCACCTTCCTCAAGAGGACTAAGTCGATGTTATCTAGACAGCCAGTCACAAGTAAAGCCGACGAGTCGTGGTGTTGGGTTTGTCAAAAGTGACGGTAAGCTCGGAAGTCCAACGGAAGACCGACGGGCGCCGGCGGGAAACTCCTCCGGGAAACTGACCCTCGCACACTACCTGCCCTAATCTACAGCATCCAGCTGTAGTCACTGACCCGACTCTAGCCATCCATGGACTATTTAGATCATCATATAGGACGCGGAAAGTCCTCGATTGCTTATACATAACGTTTCTAATTACTCAAGCCTGTTGCATCCAGGTCGCACAATGCTTACATCAACACCAAAGACGATCCAAGGCAGATGTCTTAGTGAAGGCTATGGTGCCGGACCTCTATTATACAGCAATATTCCTCTTAGTTTTTGGGGCGGTGTTGATCCTGCCACCGGCATCGTTATCGACCAACACCACCCTTTGGCCGGCAGCTCTCTTGCTGGAAAGATCCTAGCTATCCCAAGCGGTCGTGGATCATGCTCTGGAAGTGGTGTACTTTTAGAGCTTCTGCTGAACGGCAATGCTCCAGCTGGATTCATCTTCGAACGCGAAGAACTCATCCTGACATTGGGTACCATCATCGCGGCCGAGTTCTTCGAGAAGTCTGTGCCCATCGCTCAGGTCTCGCCCGAACGATTCTCGAGCCTCGCGGGCCATGGCATAGTACAAATCGCCAATGGCATTGTTGAAGTAAATCCGGAGTCTATCTCGAATGATTCATCAGATTATGAGAAACCACCGGTAGCAGGCATCAACTTGACAGAGCTTGATCAAGCCATGCTCGGAGGAGAGTACGGCAAAGCAGTACAGGTTGCCGCTCGAGTTGTGTCAAGAGTTGCAGCGATCCAAGGCGCGACCGAGCTCATTGACATCACTCAAGCCCACATCGATGGTTGTATCTACACTGGCCCTGCTACACTACTCTTCGCACAACGCCTTTGTGACTGGGGTGCCCGGGTGCGCATCCCAGCGACGCTCAACTCCATCTCGGTTGATCGTCAGAGATGGCGTGACCAAGGCGTTGATGCTGCGCTGGGTGAGCCCTCAGGCTTACTTGCAGATGCATACGTCAAACTAGGTGCCACACCCACTTACACATGTGCTCCGTATCTCCTTGATACAGCACCAAAGGAAGGCGAGCAAATTATGTGGGCAGAGTCGAACGCTGTCATATTCGCCAATAGTGTGCTTGGTGCCAGGTCTATAAAGTGTCCCGACTTTCTCGACATTTGCGTTGCTTTGACTGGAAGAGCACCCAACTCGGGAGCTCATATCACCGAACATCGAAAGCCACAAGTGATGATTGATGTGGCATCAGACATTCAAGGTGATGACTCCTTCTTTCCGGTATTGGGTTACCTTGTGGGTGAGTTAGCCGCCAACAGGATACCCCTCGTCGTCGGTCTCGAAGATACAAAGGCTAGCAGAGACAACCTCAAAGCCTTCGGAGCAGCATTTGCAACGACTTCGAGCGCACCCATGTTTCACATTGCAGGTATAACTCCCGAAGCTATCAGCCCAGCTCTTGAAGAATGGAAGGTCTCTACACTCATTGTCAAAGTCGACAGAACAGATCTCGTGGACATTTGGTCAAGACTAGACAAAGCTGTGGCGACAAAAGTCGAGTTAGTATCCCTTGGTAACCCTCACTTCTCCTACGACGAAATGGTCCTGCTTTCCAAGCTCTGCGAAGGACGAACCAAGCACGCTTCTGTCGCAATGATTGTAACCTGCGGCCGTGACACTTACGCCAAAGCATGCAAAGCTGGCATCATGCCTAAGCTTGAAGAGTTTGGCGTACAGCCTGTCACGGATACTTGTTGGTGTATGATCGGAGAGCCGTTGATTCATCCTTCGGTGAAAACTATCATGACAAACTCGGCAAAGTTTGCTCATTATGGTGGAGGATTGACGGGTAGAGCGATGCGATTTGGAAGTCTTGCTGCTTGTGTGGAGGCGGCTTGTATGGGCGAGTCATCGAGATCATTACCATCATGGCTGGGCTGGAATGACTTTCAATGATGCTCAAACAGATGATGTTGAGTGTATTCATGCCTCCCAAGGTCTTGAAGGTGTAGATATAAATTTGCCATCTTCCCATTCAACAATCAATTCCGTAACATCTCTGTGAGTTGAGAAATAGTTCTCCCGTCTCCATGAGATCTTGGAATGTTGGTCTTGATACTATAAGAGTGATATTGCTGGTACGTCATGTCATGCGTTGTAATTTGCCTGAGCAAAAGAGTGACCCTGATCGGGGGGTCGGTGCGAAGATCTGCGATTGATAAGATAACACCGCTTCGAAAAAAGTCCAAAGTCCAAAGTCCAAAGTCTCTCCACCTTTCGGACATCTTTTTCGCGACAAGAAGATTACAACATAACGACACAATGGCGGCCGAAGTACAATCGCTACAGCCTCTGAAGCTGGTCGCTGGACCTGAGGCTATCACCGCCGATCAGCGCTATTGGAGAGGATTCAGATCACAACAACTCGTTCCCTCGCCGCATTCAAATCCCATCACACACATTTCGTTCCCTCCGTTACCCACGAACCCGCTCGTCACAGCGCCTTCCGACACGTTCGCCGTTACTTCTGGAAGCAGAGTCCAAATTTTCTCGTCAAAAACGCGCAAGCTGTTGAAGACCATTACACGATTCGGATACGACGACATTGCGCATTCGGGAGAGATTCGTCGCGATGGACGTGTACTTGTTGCTGGTGGAGACAGTGGTGCTATCCAGGCATTCGATACTGGATCAAGAGCTATTTTGAAGACATGGAAGGAACACAAGCAGCCCGTCTGGGTCACGAAATGGAACCCCAACGACCTCACATCGATCATGAGTTGTAGTGACGACAAGACGGTCAGACTGTGGGATCTGCCTAGCGAGTCCAGCATGACAACTTTCTCCGGACACCAGGATTACGTCCGAAGTGGTGCTTTCATGCCCGGTCAGAGCAGCAATCTGATCGTCTCTGGAAGTTACGATCAGACCGTTCGTCTGTGGGATTCAAGAGCACCCAAGCGTGCCGTCATGACCTTCAAGCATGCTGCTGCCATTGAGAGTGTTTTGCCCATGCCCTCGGGAACTCAAGTGCTTGCAGCTGCCGACAACCAAATCAGTGTTCTGGATCTGGTAGCTGGAAAGCCTCTACACTTGATCAAGAACCACCAGAAGACCGTCACCTCGCTCTGCCTGGCCAACAACGGAGCAAGACTGGTCAGCGGTGGTCTGGATGGTCACGTCAAGGTCTTTGAGACATCAGCCTGGAATGTCGTGGCTGGCTTCAAATACCCTAGCCCTGTCCTTTCGCTTAGCGTTGTCGGAGCTGGTGCCACAAGAGAAGACAGACACCTTGCAGTCGGTATGCAGTCAGGTCTTCTCTCGGTTCGCACCCGTCTGTCAGGCGAGCAGAAGGCAGCAGCAAGAGAAAAGGAGAAGGAGATGCAAGCTTTGGTTGCTGGTACCATCGAGGAGTACGACAGAAAGAAGGCCAAGAAGCTGCGACAAGGCGACAAGAAGGCCCTCCGTGGTCGCGATTTCACTGGAGAGGGTGCCGATATTGTCATTGACGGTAACGCCAGGGGAAACATCAGAAACCAGTCAAAGTGGGAGTCTGCTCTACGAAATGGAAAGTACGCTCTGGCTGTCGACATGGTCCTTGGAGCTACAGTAAGTTTTACGATGATGGTCGATGAAAAAATCACGGGAACTAACAGAGTACAGAAATTCTACAACCCCAACATGCTCACTCTCCTCACCGCACTCCGTCACAGATCAGCCATGCGCACAGCATTCAAGGGCCGTGACGAGGCATCTCTTCAGCCCATCCTCCGCTGGGTCATCAAGTACATTGGCCACCCTCGCTACATCAAGCTCACAAGTGATGTCGCCATGCTTCTCTTGGACCTGTACTCAGAACAAGCCATGGAGTCTCCCGAGATCGATGATCTCCTCAATCAACTTCACCGCAAGGTCAGACACTGCTCAGAATTGGCACAAGCTGCATACTCGACTCAGGGCATGCTTGACTTGCTCGTCTCTGGTGCTTGAACAACGAAACAGCACTTGAATCGCATCGAAATAGCTGGTACAGAGCAGTCTCTGGCCATACGTCTGCAAGTCGGTCCGCGCCGCAACATGCTCCGAGAGGGAGAGATACGAGAGCGGCGAGTGCGACGGCGCGCCCGAGAAAAGCGTTCAGCGAGCGTCGGGGAGCATTACCAATTACTCAAGTGATGCAAGCCCGACAAAAAGTGCAAGAAGCATGGCGTTCGGTATGGTGTAGATATGGCATAGGGAGGAGCTTAGGAGTTTCTGTAGAGCATGCACAAAAATAATGATACCCATATTATTCAAGAGTTGTGCAAGAAATGACGCGTGCCCCGCAAGCCAGCTTTCGAGCATGTTCCAGCCCGCTCCTCACAAGAAACATTCATCTTCCACATCCACCACGTGTTTACACAACCCACGACCACTTCGAACTCGTACAGACATCAGAAACTGGGTCGCGCAGACTTACACACCACACATCCATCAACATGGCCGCTCTCATCAACACAGACGACGAGATGGCTCCATCGCTGCAGAACATCCTCGACCAAAAGTCACTCCGCTGGATCTTTGTCGGTGGTAAAGGTGGTGTCGGAAAGACCACTACCTCGTGCTCTTTGGCCATCCAGCTTGCAAAGCACCGCAAGAACGTTCTCCTCATTTCGACCGACCCCGCTCACAACTTGTCGGATGCTTTTAACCAGAAATTCGGCAAGGACGCTCGTCTGGTCAACGGCTTCGACAACCTCAGTGCCATGGAGATTGACCCCAACGGCTCTATCACTGATATGCTCAATGCTGGAGGTGAAGAGACTCAGGAGGCCATGTCTGGTCTGGGTGGCATGGGTAATATGATGCAGGACCTTGCTTTCAGCGTGAGTTGTCGCGCTCTCGACCACGAAACGCTTGGTGGAAACAACACTAACCAGCCTGAACAAACAGATCCCCGGTGTCGATGAGGCCATGTCCTTTGCCGAAGTCCTCAAGCAGGTCAAGTCGCTCAGCTACGAGTGCATCATTTTCGACACAGCACCCACCGGCCACACCCTCCGCTTCCTCCAATTCCCCACTGTCATGGAGAAGGCGCTCGGCAAGATCTCTCAGCTGTCCGGCCAATTTGGCCCCATGCTCAACACTGTCCTCGGCGCCCGTGGTGGCCTCCCCAACGGCCAGAGCCTCGACGACATTATCAAGAAGATGGAGGACCTCCGCGCCACCATTAGCGAAGTCAACACTCAATTCAAGAACGCCGACCTGACCACTTTTGTCTGTGTCTGTATCCCCGAGTTCCTGTCACTGTACGAGACGGAGAGAATGATTCAAGAGTTGAACAGCTACGAAATTGACACACACGCTATTGTTGTCAACCAGCTGCTGTTCCCCAAGGAGGACAACCCTTGCGAACAGTGCAATGCGAGAAGAAAGATGCAGAAGAAGTACCTTGAGCAAATTGAAGACCTTTACGACGAGTTCAATGTCGTCAAGATGCCTCTGCTTGTCGAGGAGGTTAGAGGAAAGGATAAGCTTGAGAAGTAAGTAATGCCCTAGCTGCTAAGTCGGAAAGTGATATACTAACAAATTTACAGCTTCAGCAAGATGCTCGTTACTCCTTACCAGCCCCCTCAATAGACGTTGAGTTTGCAGCCGTGTGCTCGAAAAGCCATATGGCCATACAGACTCTGAGCGAACGCCTAATTGTACTTTTGGAAGATATGATACCAATGAATTGACCAAGCGATTACTTTTGCTACTACGATCTCGGCCCTTCGACCATAACATGTGATTATCAAGCTAGGACTAATGATATTGGTTGAAGCAAGGACAAGCGACAACTCGAGACGAATTCTGGTACGTAAAGCTGTAACTAGGGAAGTGGCTAGGGACGTGCCTGCTTACAAAACAATACTTTTCCTTCACAAGCACGTACTACTTCTACTTGGACACATTCACAAGAGACTTCCCCACTCTCCATCGGAGGGTCGAACGATGACCACGAAAGAACTCCCTCAAAAGATTCTCGTAGCCCCATTCGCCGCCCGAAACTTCACCAATTGACTCTATACTAAGAACATCTCGAGTACCGAGAATTATAGGCCATGCCACCATGCCCGGGGGTGAGCACGGAGTTGCGAGCTTGGCTTAGATGCACAACACGGTCTATGCAGACTTTACTACTACTTGCTCGTGACTTTGTCGTTCGCCAAGAATACAGCGTAGACCCGCAACTACCATCACGGAACATAGCACAACGAGCGCTAAGCACGTTGGCCCGCTCATCGCACTTCCAAAGCGATTCGCCTTGTCGATCGTGTTCGTAGCTCCTCTGGGTGTCGACGGATGCTTAGGCCGTTCCTGACTACTTTCTGTTAGCCAACCGAACATCTGATATGTACCACGTACTGTCCCTTGCACTCTCTGGAACCCATCGAAATGTTCCGATATAGTCCAGTGGAAGGCCAGTGTTGCGATGTCTCTGTCAGTGATCTCAGGATTCATGGCTCTGATGATCGTGTCCAAGGTCTTTGCACCTGCCTTGACTTTCTCCGGTGCTGTCGTCTTCTGCTCCTGTACAGATACACAGTCTACTGCGTCATCATCGGAAGCATCACTGGTAACTCTCCAGCCCTCGGGAAACGATTCGTGATCTCCTGCTGATGTACTCGACGAACAATAGTCCGAAGTGGCGGACTTGGAATATTGTGGGAAGCTCTTTGTGTTCTCAACCTGGGCGTGTGCCTCTTTCTCAAGTATTATCATGTTTCCACGTCTTACGGACAAGACGGTGCGTATAAGCTCTTGGTTTGTGGGCGGCAGCCAACCACTTTTCTAACATCAGTATTGTGCATCTCGAGTGGATCTCGCAGAGCTTACCCGCGCTTCACTATAGCGTTGATCAAGTACGAATTTACAGCAAGTCTGTACGTATCTGTGCAGAGAGTATCCAACTGCTTGTGGACGTCTTCAGGAATGAGGATCCAGTCATGCTGGAAAGGTTGGATGAGAGTCTCCATACGTCTGACAATCTCCAACACTGGGCACTTCCATCCTTCAAGATAGGGCTGACATTATTACCCAGTCGCTCCGTGCCTCGGTTCTTCTCGAGACCAGTGGTCACTCCGTATGCAAAGTCCAGATAGCAACTTGCGCGAGAGACGCATCGACTCAGAAATGGATTCTTACTGCCCAGATCTGCCTTGACTCTTGTCAAAAGACATTTGCATATCTTCTGGTAGCAGCTCAAGATTTCTGGCAGACTGGACTCAGCGCTGGCTGCACGAACGCTGAGGATCTCTTTCGACATGTTGTGTGATGTGTAGGTATTCAGACAAAGAAGAAAGACCGTTTCCAACATGCGAATTGTCATGTTCGATACTGAATCAGTCATCACCGATGCGCCAAGCTGTCCAGGTGAAGTCAGCGTTGCAAGATCGAGTCGCTCTTTCCGGTTGTCGAGAGCAAGAATGAGCAGGCAAAACACGAGATAAGTGGAATTGCTCAAACTTCCTTAGCTCCTGCCTCTCTTATCATTGCCATCATCGGCAATGACAACGACACGTCATCGAACTCGGAATCTTGAATAGTAATATGAGAATGGGATACCGCGTCTACTTGCTGCAAGTAAACCCAAGGAAATTACAGTCATCATCGGCAGCACCATGATCGAGGCGGTATTACTCCACTTATCATCAACCACGTCTTCCACCAACTGCGCGCTCTGTAGACCCATAGATCGGCCGCGGCACAGCAGTAATCACTCATTTCTGTGCTGGAAGGCCTGAAACAACTCGTGCTTGTGCTGCAAGGCCTGCAAAAACTCTTCCTTGTGCTGCAAGGCCTGCAAAAACTCATTCTGTCCCTGCAAGAGCTGCGCAACTCTCTCGGCTTCTCTCAAGTTGGTCGTCAGCTCAGCGATAATCTGCTGCTCCATGTTCACGGGTGACAGCAGGTCGGCCATTTACAGTCTGGGCACTCTGTCTCTGAACCAACATCGCGCGTTTGGAACTGTGGGAAGCGGTTGAGCGAATGACTCTTGTAGCTGCACGCCTGGTTTGACCTTCGGGACGGAGGACGATGCGCTCGACTTGCCCTTGACTGACCCATGTGTTGATTCTATCGGCGTAGGGGTCGATATTGGCCTGATTGACGAGTCGCGTTGTCAACGCAGCTCCGTCGGCAGTAGGACTAGCATTCCAACGCATCGAACCAGATTCCCTAACTTCCAGAGCACCGATACGCTGGTCTTCGACATTAAGCTGTTTCAAAACGAGTGCTCGATTAGAGTCCAATTTTGCTACCACGTCTCTACGCCAGGTGGCTACTTCGTGATGCCTCCTGTTCAATTCATGACATTGGCCCCCTAGACGCAGGTAGTTGTTCTTGAGAATTCTGATTTGCTCATCCGTGTTCTTGTTTGCAAGCATTGCGTCCAAACTACAGATTGTGAGTTGGTGGAACATATAATACGTCGACAGCCTCCAGGGTAATCACTTACTTCGCGGCCGCCGCAGTCAACATCTGCTCACGAGTTATTGGGGACACGAAAGCAACGTTTCTAGTTGTAGTTGTATCTTCCCGAGATCCAGTGACAGAAGGTATGTTAACGACATCTGCGGCAGTTTTCGCATCTTCTGCAATGATGAAGTCATGTGCGGAAGTTAGGACTGGATTTGTAGATGCTATAGCAGTACTGCTAGCATTTTCGGTCGTCGAAATAGTCGAAGAAATAGAAGCCATAGTAAAACAGGTCGGAAAAGCTAGCTTATGTAGTAAGGTGAAATTATCCAAGCAACGTATTAGTTATAAGGTGTTAGAAAATGGTTTTAGAATAAAGAAAGCAAAGGGATCTCTAGTGGTCTTTATATTTTATAGAAGTAGAGCTATCCTAGAGTAATAAACCTTATCCTACTGAAATAATGATTTTTTAATGCTTGTCTTATTTATTTAATCATTTCTTAATGCTTAGCTCATTTTCTACATTTTCCAGAGGCTTTACTTAATAGCCTAGGGTCTAGACAAATATCCTAGTTAGAATTATCCTAGTATAGCGTACAAACGTCACGTCCTTCCTGACGTCATTTTTCTGATGCTGCTACATACATGAGCGCCTCTGCATCCTCTAATCCTTCCTGACTTAATCTGATGTGTGCGTTCACTGTGTCACCGAGCCTCTGGCATACGCGCTTATCCATCCCCACCTTGCGACATGGAAGGTTTCTCTACTTTACACGAAACTTCCACCATCTCCACAAGAGATATTGACCAGTCAACATTGTATGACAATACCGAACATTGTGATCAGACATCGTTTGTGATCTGTATCTCAAGAAGATGCTCATTGCCTTGCAGTGCTTGTCGCATGCTGATATTTACGATGCTCGACGGCCATTTGCGATCAATTCAAGTATACTCCTTGAGAGTGCAGTATGCCTGTGTAGGCCGCTGACAAATTGTGGACACGTGAGAGATCTACGCAAAGTTGGAACAACACAGAAGGTGGGCTGAGTGACTTCTGCATCAATTGACTTCTTTGTGGATGCTGAGTGGACATGTTGAGCTCCTGTCAACACAGGCCGATCCACTTTGGCGAGATCGTATATCAGTAGGTCATTTCGCAGCTTAATTATTTGCGCTCCGAGTTCACTATTGAGAAGACCCTCGCATTCAATCATCATCATGAGGCAAGTTGCCCTTTTCGCGCTTGGTTTACTTGCTACTTTGGTAGTTGCTCCTCCACCACCGGTCAACTTTGAGTGCCACAAGAAGAACAGCGCCAAGTTCGAACTTTCCAAACAGGAAAATCTGGCCTCGCACAGGCGCGACGAAGACTCAACAACTATCGCGAAACTGTTTGGATCTGAGCAGGCTGAGCTTGATTCCAGTGTCTACGACGTCGAATACGATGACATGGTGCTCGATGAGGCCAGTATCAACGAGGCCAATAACAACAACATCGACTCTGGAGAGGCCGGTTCGGATGACGATGGTGAGGACAAGAATGACAAAGTCGAAAACTACGAGGATGAGAACTACATGGTTACCGATGAGCCTTTTGACCACGACGTAGACTATGTCGAAGCCAACATTGATGAGTCAAGCATTACCGAACCCAACATCAATGACATTGACGACGCCGAAACGTTCGATACTCTTCCTGACGGCATCGACATTGAAACTTCATCAAACTTTGTCAATCTAGACAAGAGGTGGAAGTATCACTGCGAGAATGGCATGGAGAGCTGCCTGAAGGATTGCCATCTGAAGGCGTACGTAATCCTCGCACTCGTAGATTTCTCCATCATTGAACAAAAGAGCGGCTGACATGTCATGACAGATTTGTCATGATACCTCCACTCATACCTTGGAGATGGATCAAGTGCAGGAGTAAGTGTGATGAAGCGTGCTCCAAAGTCGATGAAAAAGACAAAAAGGATGATAAGTCGAAAGACGAGCATGACTCGGACGATGAGCATGAGCCAAATGGTAAGGAACACGACGAAGACAAGACCGAAAAGAAGGACAAAAAGGATAAAGATGAAGAAAATGACAATTCTGACGATGACGACGACGTCGAAACTCCCTCTGGACTTGTTACTCTGAACAAGAGAATCGACTGCGAAAAAGGCTATGACAAATGCATGAAGAGTTGTCGTGCATGGGCGTACGTATCCTTAAAGACGCAATATCCTCTGTTCCCGACAGATTGTAGCTAATACAAGTTCCTGCAGTTTCCTCTGGCCACCTATGCTCATAGCTTGGAAATGGAAGAAGTGCCCAACATCATGTGGACAAGCATGTTACAACTTGGAGAAAGAGCAGAAAGAGGAGCAAGAGGAGTATCCAGGTGAGCCCACCGGGGATGGGCCAATCCAGGAAGAGAAGGGAGGTAAGAAGCATAGGAAGGAGAAAACAGAGGAAATCGGCAATCGCAAACGCCAGGTCGAAGCCCCTCCTGCCAATACCAACATGGAAAGCCCATCCGGACTTGTCACTCTAGACAAAAGAGAGACCTGCGAGGGAGGTTTCAAGGAGTGCCTGGGAATTTGCCACGGGGCTGCGTACGTAGACAAAACATCCTCGAGAATGTCCGACTAATACAAATCATCGTAGTCTCTTCTGGGAAAGAATCTTCCTCCCATCGAGATGGGACAAGTGCAACGGAAAGTGTGCCGAAGCGTGTAAATGCAAAGAGAACAGATAGCAGGAAGGCGAGCTACATGTAAAGAAGAGACAATGGAGAGGGAAGGGCAGAAAGACACGAAGAACGAGATACTTTGGTTCTCCGTGGAGGACTTTACCAATGCAAAATGTTCTGTGCATGGGGGCGGCTTGTTTCCGGGAGTTTGCTTTTGAGGAAATGCCATAAATACTTGCACTCCATGCACGACTCTGTAAGAACGAAACTGACTGTGCATTTTTACAGCTCTTTTCCGGGAGTTTGCTACTCATGAAATCGCTGTACCTTTGTCTTACCCCAGTGACACGTGAAGAACCAAAAGTGAAGCCCAGGAACACACTTTCACACATCTCGCTGTCTATGGAGAAATTCTCCTCACCAAGCAGACTTGCTCATCGTTTCTATCTGGCCCCTCCGGCCCTATTCTCTGGATGTGGAGTTGTTTGACGAAACAGAATCTGGCGAACAAGACATTGCCGAGCCGAGGACGTACACCGGGTCAACGACGAGCAGCTCTCGTAATATATCGCTCGTCTGTCGTCGTTCAAGACAGGTTGTCGGTAATCATGCACGACGATGTTGAACTCGTGTACTCGAAGGAAGGAGCGAAGAGTCGGAACAGAGGTGCCCAGGTTCGTGGATGGCACTTTGATAACGAGATATCTCAGGGGTATCATCTCGGAAAAGAACGGGGTGTAGAAAGTCATGATACTTTTCAGCTGAATAGTATTGATTCGTGGAGAGAGACTGCTTTACGCACTCTCAATGTTAGTTTCTTGGGTTGTGAAAAGTATCATGCCTTTGGACAGCCACTAGTAGACCGCGTGTGAGAGCAGGAGTCGTGATCATATTAAAGTGGTCTATCCAGCAACATTTTCGGCAACCCTTTCGCCGTTCATCCCGAGCTTAGACTGTTGCCTTTCAGCTTGCTTTTCGGATGCAGGCTCGAAAAGTTTGGCAATGGCTTCCACCGTAGTGTTTCCACCAGACAAAACGATGCCAATGTTCCATCCTTGTTCGCCGCCTTCTTTCTCCACTATGGTCCTGAAGTCTTCGTCGTACAGGACTACAGCAAGAGGTACAGCAGCACTAGGCTCGACAAAGACCTTTGCGCGTTCCAGCAACAGACGCATAGCGGACTTGATCTGGTCTTCAGTCACGCTGTACATCCCCTTGACTTTCTTGCTATCACTGATGACAGACCACGGGATCTTGCCGAGCGGTGTTCTTAGACCGTCAGCGATGGTCAAAGTCTTTACCTTTTCTACACGAGTTCCAGACTCGACACCTCGCTTTGCGTCATCGGCACCTTCGAAGCTAGGCTCAGATCCAAAGACGCGGATTCCAGTGCCATATAGAGCGGTTGCTACACCGGATAGCATGCCACCTCCACCACAAGGGGCTACTACAGCGTCTAACCCTCGTTCGTCCAGGTCTTTGGCTTGTACTTCCAGCTCAAGAGCAAGAGTGCCTTGACCGAGAATGATGTTGGGGTGGTCGTACGGCGGTACCAGAATGGCACCAGTGTCTCTTATTACATCGGCCACGACAGCCTCTCTTTCATCGGACGTCGAACCAGAGAAGATGACGTTAGCCCCGTAACCCTGGGTCGCGGCGATCTTGGATGGTGTACTGATGGTAGGCATGACGATGTGGGCAGGAACGCCATGGGTGCGAGCTGCCAGAGCAAGAGCTTGGGCGTGGTTGCCCGAACTGTGTGTTACGACACCCTTACTCAGCTGCTCCTTGCTCAGACGGCTCAACGCGTGGAAGGCACCTCTGGCCTTGAAGGCGCCAATCTTTTGGTAGTTCTCGCATTTGAAGAAGAGGTTGATGCGCGGTTTGGATGGTGTACGGCCTTCGAACGGTGTGCCTTTGAGAGAATCGAACGATTGTGGAGTGGAAGCGAGATTGGAGATGGTGTCACAAGTGATGGTGGGGGTGCGATGAATGTGATGTTTGATTGCTGCGTGTGCCTCTTGAACAGACGCACGCGTTAGCGGCGGGCAGGCAGAAACGTCACCCATGATTGTAGGATTGGTTCAAGACTGTATGGAAGTGGAGGAAGGTGCTCTTTTTACTATTGACATAAATCACCAAATCGTTCGGAGGAGTCTTTGTCCGCAGGGAAAGAGCGGCGGCGAAAGGGCGCGGCGGACTTGTCATCCCAAAGAGGCAGGTGGGGAGGTCTGGGTCGGGTGGCACTTTCCCTGACCGAGGCCAAAGCTCGGTGCTCTTTCCGTTTCGTATCGCGCCTCATTTGCGCCCTGGCACAGTTTCCATTACGGTATCACTCGAGAATTTGCTTCACTTCTGTTGGTTCACTTGTGTGTTTGCATGTCCTCACCTTTTCGCAACATCTACCAGCTATTCTCACGCAGACAGTCTATCTTCACCAAGTGCTCTACACCAGCATTTACGACCCAGCTACGCCGCCAGACTACCGCCGCCTGGCCTTATATTTACAGACAGCATCCTTCGCCCAAGATGGTTTCCAACCTCGACACTTACTTCGCCAAGGTCGACGAGCTCCAGGACCACTTCATCGAGAGACTGAGAGAGGCTGTCGCCATTCCCTCTGTCTCCTCCGAGGATGAGCGCAGACCTGAAGTTGTCCGCGTATGTTCACGTGCGGTGCCCCCTCAGTGCTGCCAATCGCTGACCACACTATAGATGGGCAAGTTCCTCGAGTCTGAGTTGAAGGCTCTCGGTGCCCACGTCGAGGCCCGCCCTCTCGGTCCCCAGCCCCACAAGGAGTACCTCGAGCTCCCTCCCGTCATCATCGCCCGCTATGGCGAGGACCCCAAGAAGAAGACCATCCTCGTCTACGGTCACTACGATGTTCAGCCCGCCGCCAAGGAGGACGGCTGGGCCACTGAGCCTTTTGAGCTCACCATCGACGACAAGGACCGCATGTTCGGACGTGGTTCTACTGACGACAAGGGCCCCGTTCTCGGCTGGCTCAACGCCATCGAAGCTCACCAGAAGGCCAACATCGACTTCCCCGTCAACCTTCTCATGTGCTTCGAGGGTATGGAAGAGTACGGCAGCGAGGGTCTTGATGACTTTATCAACGCCGAGGCAAAGAAGTTCTTCAAGGATACCGATGCTGTCTGCATCAGCGACAACTACTGGCTCGGCACCGAGAAGCCCTGCCTCACTTACGGTCTGAGAGGTTGTTCATACTACAGCATCGAGATCAGCGGTCCCGGCCAGGATCTCCACAGTGGTGTCTTTGGTGGTACCGCTCAGGAGCCTATGACTGATCTTGTTCGCGTCATGGGAAGCTTGGTCGACACCAACGGCAAGATCCAGATTGAGGGTATCAAGGAGTTGGTTGCCCCTGTCACTGAAGAGGAGCAGAAGCTGTACGAGAACATCGCCTTCACCATGGACAACCTCCATGAGTCGCTTGGTAGCCAGACCACCATCTTTGAGGATAAAGAGTCCACCTTGATGGCCCGCTGGAGATTCCCTTCTCTGTCGCTCCACGGTATTGAGGGTGCCTTCTCCGCTCCTGGCGCAAAGACTGTCATCCCCGCCAAGGTCACCGGAAAGTTTAGCATCCGTACCGTCCCCAACATGGAGATCCCCGAGGTCAACAGACTTGTCGAGGCTCACATCAACAAGGTCTTCAAGTCTCTGAACTCAAAGAACACCTGCAAGTTCATCGAGCAGCACTCTGGCAAGTGGTGGGTCGCCTCGCCCAAGCACTGGAACTTCACCGCTGCCGCAAAGGCCGTCGAGTCGGTCTTCAAGGTCCAGCCTGACCTTACCCGCGAGGGTGGCAGCATTCCTGTTACTCTTACCTTCGAGGAGGCTACTGGCAAGAACGTTCTCCTGCTACCCATGGGTTCCAGCACCGACGCCGCCCACAGCATCAATGAGAAGCTTGACAAGCGCAACTACATCGAGGGCATTAAGCTTCTCGGCAGTTATTTGCACCATGTCCAGGAAGAACCTATGACCGAAGCATAGAGAGATTGTGGAAGAGCTCGATTGTGAGATGTTAAAAGATACCAAAGCATGAATTTCATTTTCCTTGACGACAGATTATTGTCAAGGTTCCTCCTCCTTACACGCTCTTATTGTGAATTTCCCTTGGAAAGCCACCAGCAACCAAATGTGACCTTGCCACTTCACGGCCGTGGGCTCAGAATGCAGTGGTGGCTGAGCGATGCTCATATGCGACGTACTCTTGGGTTTCCCTGCTCTTACTGCTCCCAATGGAGATATGTTTAATCTGACTGCATCTCGCAGAGCGCACAAGTATTCATCTCGCCGGGGTGGTCGGGACGGAGTGTGCTTATCTCATCGTCGAGCAATGTTTGTCGGAATCCGGTTGGCGTCGTCGCTGGACCGCCGGGCTGAGAATGTTCGCGCAGAAGGAGGGCAGCGCAAATCGATCGCTGAAAGCCAAATGGCCAATGTTGTTCACGTTCGCGCCCATCGTGTGTCTTTTTATACCTGTAAAAGAGCAGCAAGTCTGTTACGAGCTGAAGGACACTGAGATCTTCGTCTCATCGCATCCTCAACTTCCCAAGCTGTCGCGATGCACAATGCTTTCCAAAGCAGGGCAATGTTCGAGGAAAGTCCGTGGTAGAGCCGCTCTCCAGTTTGGCAGCCCCAGACTCGAAAAAGCATTGCGCATCTCGACAGCCATGTTTGGCACTGTTGCAAAAGATGAGATTGAGGAGGAAAGGACATAGAAACAGGATCAGAGCATTTCCTCTGCTGAGTCACAACAATGGCACAGTCATCTGGTTTGCGACAACGGAGTGTTGATTGGTATGAGGCTCCGAGAACGTACAAAAGATGCTCCACCAGACGATACCGGCCTGGAATGGGCGATGACGCTCGGCGAGCCAATGGCCCCTGCGGTGCATCGGGGAATTCGGGGGTCTCCTACCAAATCATCGTCACTCGGTGGGGACTTTTTGATCTTCAGCAAGATGTTATCCGGTCCGTGAGTCAGAAGAATGAGCAGCTGGTTGCTGGGCTGGCAGGGCACCGTTTCCGCGATACTTCTCGCTTAGCTTTGTGGGATGGTTTTTCGAAAAGCTCATGATGGCCAGCAAACATGCAGCACTTTCACATGAAACCTCAGGGCCTCGACGGTCAGCAAGACGGTTAAAGGAGGCTATGGGTCTTCCCATTGGTAATGGATATTGCACAATTAGCTGGAGAAGAGTCACTAAGACACAAGGGAGTCTGGGGGAGAGCCGATGTCGCAGTGTGGTAGTGATGTCTGTGCGTTGAGAGAGACGTAGCACAGCTGCCTTCAAAAAATCACCACTCCCTCACACTTTCTGTCTTGTTCATCCTCACACACACATCATCATGTCTTCCCGTACTGCCAGCAGAACTTTCCGCGCTGCATTGAAGCAGGCTCAGCGCCCTGCCGTCCAGCAGCAGCGCACTTACCTCAGCGCTGCCCTGAACGCTGCCCGCACCACTGGTGTCAAGCAGCTCCCCAGAGCTTCCGTTGCTGCCCAGCAGGTTCGCGGTGTCAAGACCGTTGACTTTGCCGGTCACAAGGAGGAGGTTTTCGGTAAGAATTGAGCGCCAATTGATCGAGCTTGGAGCAGCATCTAACTTTCTCAACAGAGCGCGCCGACTGGCCCCGTGAGAAGCTCCTTGAGTACTTCAAGAACGACACCCTTGCCCTCATCGGTTACGGTTCGCAAGGTCACGGTCAGGGTCTCAACCTCCGTGACAACGGCCTGAACGTCATTGTCGGTGTCCGAAAGAACGGTGCCTCATGGAAGGAGGCCGAGCAGGATGGCTGGGTTGCCGGCAAGAACCTGTTCGACATTGACGAGGCCATTGGTAAGGGTACCATCATCATGAACCTTCTTTCCGATGCCGCCCAGTCCGAGACCTGGCCCTCAATCAAGCCCCAGCTCACCAAGGGCAAGGTACGCTTTTCCTATCAATCTCCAGCTTTCCCGCAGTTATCTAACAATATCTCCAGACCCTCTACTTCTCCCACGGTTTCTCTCCCGTCTTCAAGGACCAAACCAAGGTTGAGGTTCCCACTGACATCGATGTCATCCTCGTTGCCCCCAAGGGTTCCGGCCGTACCGTCCGCACTCTCTTCAAGGAGGGCCGTGGTATCAACTCTTCCGTTGCCATCTTCCAGGACGTCACCGGCAAGGCCGAGGAGAAGGCTGTTGCCCTCGGTGTCGCCGTCGGTTCCGGTTACATGTACAAGACCACCTTCGAGAAGGAGGTCTACTCTGACCTTTACGGTGAGCGTGGTTGCTTGATGGGCGGTATCCACGGTATGTTCCTCGCTCAATACGAGGTTCTCCGTGAGCGCGGTCACTCTCCCTCCGAGGCCTTCAACGAGACCGTCGAGGAGGCCACTCAGTCTCTCTACCCCCTGATCGGTGCCCACGGCATGGACTACATGTACGCCGCCTGCTCCACCACCGCCCGCCGCGGTGCCATCGACTGGAGTTCCCGCTTCAAGGACGCCCTCAAGCCCGTCTTCGACGACCTGTACACCTCCGTCGAGACCGGTGAGGAGACCCGCCGTACCCTCGAGTACGCCTCGCAGAAGGACTACCGTGCCAAGTTCGAGGCCGAGATGGAGGAGATCCGCTCCCTCGAGATCTGGCGCGCCGGCAAGGCCGTCCGCAGCCTCCGTCCCGAGAACATCTAAATTTCTTGAGGACTAAAAAAAGCGCTTTTTCACGTCTTCTTTTGAAACTTATACGATATGACCTCGAGGGTGTTGGGCTTTTTCTCTCTCTACGTTTCCTCCCTTTTTTACTACCCCCTTTCCCTTTACGAATGTATTCTGAAGCTTGTGTTACATACCAAAAATGGCAATGACAGGACAAAAGGTTCTATTTTTTTTTTGATACCAAAGATCTTCATCGCTCCCAAATGTTCTTGTGCAGATCTTATCACTCATGATGTTGATATTCGAAAGTATGCACGACATTCTTTGTGCATGACTCGGCTCAAGCTAGTCTGTATGGGGTAATTACGGCCCGCTCCTACACAGCCGTCTCTCTATCAAGGTGTGCTATCCGATGCATAGCCATTTGTAGTCTCAAGGACCCGTAGTCAGAGAGCTGGTATATCGAGTATGCCTCTGAGCACCGGGTGGCAGTTTCTGGCTGTGCAGATGCATGGTGAGTCTCGTCGACTCTTCCCTCGAAGATGACAGCCCTGTGGGGCTTTCGAGGAGGACGGAGCAGTTTATAGGAGATCGTTCCCTTATGCTTGCCCTTACAAACAACTTCAAGAGTGCAGGAGTCTTCTTGGACAAGATTGTAAACTCTTTCAAAGTCGCATACTACTGCGACAGACCGAAGAAGGGACACTCAAGCACTGGAATTGGAAAGGGCAACCAAGACGCTTGTATGGTTCGTGAGCAACTGGTAATCATACAGTGTCTTCTTCGGAGATGTATCAAGCAAAGTCGAGCTATCTAAGTACATGATCTTCCATTAATCTCAAGGTGGTGCCCGTAAGATGGTTCTTGAAGTACTCGAATTAGGCCTATTTCGTCAAAGCACATCCCCTTTGGGCAAGTGGCGGAGGAGGCCGACTACCCCTCTCACGTTCCCCAACCCCTCGCTCTTATCGGTCCACATGTTTATCTCCAGCAACCAAGATTCTTTGAGCCAGTATCAGTACTAATGACACTGTGTCACGTTACACAGTGGAGTATAGGAATATGACTCCCTCTCTGCTTTACTTCTCTCGCTTCCAGTAAACCCTTACCATTCTTTCAACCACGACGTCAACAAACAGCTATTGAGCATACCTTTTTACTGTGATCAAGCAATTATGACACCTGATATTGAATATCTGCTTTCTTTGGAAGCTGTGAGAGAGAGAGCGGGAAAAGTGTTTGAGGCTGCGAAGAAAGATGAGCTTTCTCATTTCACTTATCATGCTGAGAAGTTGCCTGAAGCTGCGGCTTTTGTTGCTTCTGTGATCAATGTGAGTGATCATTCCTTCAGCTTTGTAACTTCGCCATCGATGAGGATATGGACATTACTTTTCAAGCATATCGTCGATCTTGACTGACTATGTCTACAGCGTGATTTTGGTCCCGATAATTTCGCAGCCATTCCACCTCACGGTCGCTGGCAACACTTTGAAGTCGGCAATGTGGCCAGAATCGACAATCTAAGCCGTGGATGGAAACAGAACGGGTGTGACGAGATGGAGCAAGCTCGCAGATTGATTGATCTGTTTGTTGTTTCTGTACTTCTGGATGCTGGCGCTGGCGACACGTGGAAGTTTGAGGAACCTGGATCTGGAGACATCTACACTAGAAGCGAAGGCATTGCAGTGGCGAGTCTGTATATGTTCACCGAAGGCGCTTTTTCGACGACGGAGGGGGTGAAGCATATGGTTGATGGTAAGTTTAACTGCACCAGACGAATGATAAGAAGCTAACAATCATTACAGCAAGGGGACTTCAAAGCATCAACGAGGAAACACTCGCCAAGGGCTTCCAAATCACCCCGTCGAACCCCATGATCGGTGTAGGCCCTCGAGCACAACTACTCTCCCGTCTCGGTGACTCTCTCCTCCAAAATCCAGAGATATTCGGCCCCTCAGGACGTCCTGGAAACCTCGTCGACCACGTCATCAACTCCGCCGACCCAGGTAGCAAAGAACTAGACTACCGCGTCTTCTGGATGACTTTGCAAAAACTCCTTATTCCCATCTGGCCCAAAGAACGTACGCAGATCGATGGCACTCCCATTGGTGACGCATGGCCTCTAGCTGTGCTCCAAAGACAGAGTGATGGTAAAGATGTGAAGGCAGCCATCCAGCCTTTCCACAAACTTACTCAGTGGTTGGCTTATTCGCTTATGGTACCTTTCGTACGCATCATGGGCTATTCATGGCGCAACGCGCATCTCGGCACCGGATTACCTGAATACCGCAACGGAGGCCTATTTATCGACTTGGGCGTGCTTACCCTAAAACCTTCTGCTCTTTCGCGCGGTCTCTCTACTTCTGGACAAAAGCTTCCAATGTTCAAGGATAGTGGAGATGAGATTGTGGAGTGGAGGGCTTTGACAGTAGCACTTTTGGATGAAGTGTATAAGATTGTTGAGAAACAGATGAGGGAGAAGGGAGTACAGTTTAGTATGGCGCAGATGTTGGAGGCTGGAAGTTGGAAAGCTGGGAGGGAGTTGGCGGCCGAGAGGAGGCCGGAGACTAAATCTAGTCCTATCTTGATTGATGGTGATGGTACGTTGTTCTGAGCACATTTTCTGAGTGTAGTCAGAATATAGAAGGTCTTCCAAAATACACATTGCTCTCAGCGTCAGTGCTGTCTTGTGATAGTTTCCTTCAATCAGAATGACGACAGACAGCTGGGTCTACCGCTTTACATGTGCGAGGACAAGACACCTATAAGTTCGGTTCCTGATGCAAGAGTGTCCACCATAGGTGATAACTTTCTAGGGCTTGAAGAATCACAACGTTTCCACTGATGCACTCTGGGCTCGTCGTTGCACCTTGAAACTGTGGACCCTACATACGCAGACACACATAAGACCACTCTCTCCCTCCTGTCTTACCCTGGTGCTCTTGCGATAGCTTCTAGTCGCCGCACCGCTTTCCTGACAGCTTACTCATCTCGGGAGACCAAGTGAGAAATCTGGGTCATCAACCTGCTGTTTCTCCTTATCTTGTGCTAGAGTACCAATCATGTCGGAATTGGCAGCATTGACGCCGGATTGATATGGACATCCGTATCGGTCGCACAATAGTGCATGATATAAGTAACGATGATGACTGGTAAGCAGTACTCTGTGAACTTTGTCCATGCGCGATCCTCGTCCTTCTTCTTGCCCTCTTGCTGCTTCCCCACATGGTATTTATAATGTTGAGCCTGGAGATAAGCTTGTACCTGCTGTCATGTGAAGATTATTTAGGTGGAATGGGGTCGACTGGAGAGAATAGTAGATGATATATTCACAATAACGTGTGCTGTTGCTGCTGTCAATGTGCTGTTGGGTATTGGTGTTAGCTCATACTCGATCAGAGTCGATTGTGTATCGTAGTCAGAAGCCTCTGGTACATATTGACTCACCAACAAGAACATCTCACGCCGCTTGTCACACGACATAAGTCTCAATCTCGGCATACATGTGAGGATAGCAAGCACACACATCTCTTCAGCGTATTCTCCACACTCTCATACATCACTTCCTCCACTCACAATCTTACATGAGCATACATTGACCCTCACTCACAAAGCTTCTCTCGAACTATACTAGCAAAGTACAAGATTTGTCTGAGTTGAAGGACAAGGTTATTGTGCTCTGTGTGCAGCTCTTACAGCTCGTCTCTCGCCGGGCCAGGTAGAGAGAGGAGAGAGCCAGGTCCATGACCCTACTTCTGGTTTCCTGCTCTCATGTCGGTGTTGCATTGCTCGTGACACATCTCAACTAAATTGGACCACTGCCAAGCTTCCCTGGATCCATACTTGCAGTCAGTGCAAGAACTGTGTTGGTGAATTTACAGAGGTCCAAGAAGGCTTGACAAGGCCCTTCTTATGCTGTGTAGTACAACCGCAGCTATTCGCACATTCTCGGTGTAATGATAACGTTATGATGTGTCAAATACACGATCATCGTAAAGAGAAGACAAAGAGAAGCAGAACAAAGGATCAAGTAGATGTGATTTTGTCGAATAATGACGTAGCTTCCCAGCCACCGAATTCATACAGCCAGGGTGCCACCATTTACAATCCCTAAAAACATCACCGACGATATTATAGCAACACCTTTGATCTTATAACACCTGTAACATCCTTAATCCATTTCTTGTCATGACTTTAGTCCATATGGCTGCTTTTCGGACAAGAAAAACGGGTTTGTAGAGCATCAGGTCCAACTTTGTGTTTCAAAACTCACCCATCCAGGAAACCGACCAACACCTATGATCTTCTATACCACGTTTCCATCAACAACAAAAACTATCGCATGACGTCAATAAAATGGAGATATTGAACGCGTCAGAGATCATCGTCATCGCGATTTCCGCCAAAACAACACTGATACCGACCATCAACATTCACTTCTTCGTCACACTCGTCGCGTCAAAAGAAACAAGGGGACCTCATTAATAAAGGTTATCGTTATCTCGTTTCTCCGTCAGTTATATCTGTTATCCCCTTGACTCCCCAAGAAAAGTAGCAAAAAACTCCAGCCTCCCATAGGCAAATTTACCAGAGCAAGAAAACGAAAAGTAGAGAAAAGGAAGAAAAAAGCACAAAAGGAAGAAAAAAAGGCACGAGAGGCATTTCGCCCCCCCCCCCCCCCCCCCCCGCGATAGCACGCTCGTCGTGAGTCTTCCATTGGACCCTGCCAAAAAGATCTGGAAGGCTCCCCTGCGGACTTTAAACATAAGTCGACGCTAGAGCTCACTCTTTGTCATTGGTCGAGTCACCAGCTCGGATTTATTGGATGGGCCAGTTGGCAAGCCATTGCTCGCACTGAGGAGTCATGAGCACGCCGACCATGGCAGCAGCACCGCCCATAGCACTGGCGAATACCTTCAAGGCGGACTTGGCAGTAGAGCGCTTAACCCTCTTGATAGGACGAGGTGTTGTGGTAACCTGTTTCTTGAAGAGGTTCTGCAGAGTGTTCTTGTGTTGCTGACCGAACCTAAGCTTGAGCAGCTTGTGACCAGGTGCGGGAGTAGTGACTTCTTCACGGCCATCATCGTTGGTTTCGCGCTTGCGCTTGCCTCCAATGGGTGAATCGACCTTGGCGAACAGCTCAGCGGCCGTGGGCGTGGGAGCGACCTCCTTCTCCTCAACCACATTGGTGAGCAGTTCAGCGATAGCAGCGCCCGTGGGAGCGGCAACCTTCTCCTTCTCTTCCACCTTGGCAGTTTCAGGAGATGCACTTGTCTCTAGCTCCTGGTCCTCCAGCTCGAGGGCCCGAGACACAGCGTCAGAGAGCTTCAATTCTTGCGCGAGGATGTCACCAGCGTCGACATCTTTCTTCTTCTCTTCCACGGAGTTGATAGCAATGCCGGCCTTGTGACAGATAAGGGGCGAGGGAGCCTTGGGGATGTCAAAGGTCTGTGTGACGCTCGTGGAGAAGGGAGCAGGGACGTTCCAGTCGTTTGCAAGAGTTGAGTCGACAAGCCATGGAATTGACATCTTTGCCTCTGTGGCATCGCGTACCTTCTCCTTCTCTGAAAGCAGGCGCGCCCACGATTCCTGAGGCTTGGGATTGCCAGAATACAATGATGTCGGCTGCTGGGGCTGCCCATGGGTCTCGGCCAAGTCATCGGAGTCAAAGTCGACTTCGTCCTCACGGGGGTAGTCGTCCCATGCTTCGGAGAGACCAGGAGATTCACTACGGTCTGAGCGATCTGAGCGGTCTGAGGCAGAGATGCTCTGTTCGCCATCCTCATCCAACTCATCCGGGTCGTCTGGGTAGTCGTTGGACTCGTAGTCACTCTCGAGGTCCGAGTCACAGTCGTTTTCGGAGCCATCTTCCTCGAACTGATGGATCTCAAGGCTACGCGAGCGGACAGGAGAGGAGACTGGATCGAGGTCGATAACATGCATGGTGGGAGTCTTGTGGAAGGTGAGCTCGGCACTGTGGTCGGCGGACGAGTCGGTGTCGTAGTCGGGGACGCGGTACGAAGGAGGAGGATTGGGCTTGGTGCCGTTGGCGAGGTTGGCGAAGTTTGTGAGAGCTGTAAAGTTGGCACCTTGACGGGCGATGTTGGTGATCTTGACTTGAACACCGTCGTGAACAGCTGGATGGGGAGTCAGATAGGTACGCTCGGAGAAGTTGAAAGCTTGATCGAAATGCAAGTATTCACCTTCTGCGCGAGTGACCTGGCTTCCAAATCGTATCTCGTCAAAGTCGAAGATCTCGGTGAGGGTGATCTTTCTGCCGTTGACAAAGACCCCATGCATCGAGCCAGTGTCTTCGAGGACGAGGGATCCCTGTGACCGTCAGTTGATGTGTCGAGGGATAAGAAGCAGTAAATCGTATGTCGCAGGCAGGAGAAGGATGGAAGAAAGCAAGAAGGGAAAGATGTGAATGAAGGATGGGCGGAAGAGACAAAGACATACATGAGGACCGTTGGGGGCCGAGATGGAGGCATGCGACCTCGACATGACGGCACACTCAAAGAGGCCGTTATCTGAGGCAGGAGATCTGCCTTTGGCGGAGCTGGTAGAGGCACGACCGATCAGGACAGAGCCATCCTTGGGGATGACCAGTGTGCGAGTTGAAGGGCCGGTCGAAGGGGCGCCCTCACGAGTAACCGTCTTGAGTGTGACCGAGACACCCACGGGCTTCTGCGTGTGCAGAAACGGTGGCGTCATGGTGTTAGATGCGCGAAGAGAGAAAGGAAGGAGTCATAGAAGGGGAGCAGGTGGATTAGTATTTGTACGGCGAGAGTACGAGTGCGGGACTAAGTGGGACAAGGTTGAAGCAAGTCTGGTTGCTTACTTGCTCGCACAAGAGGTAGGAAGCTCCCGCGCGGGGATCATAGGCCTGACAACTCAGGAGTCACATGCCAACACTCACTCGTCTTTCACCTCTGCCAACACCTCGATCCTGTTCTGCCATCGACAGATGAAGTAAATCTCGACACTACAATACGAGACTCTGGAGTCCGCGGTGTGAAAAAGGCAAATCCCATCAGTTTGGCAACAGCAACTTCACTGGTCGATAACCACTCGGGTGCTGTATCAGGCAGAAGCCTGCGGAGTTTCAAGTTTCGACCCCTCTCCACCGAGAGTTGGCTCATTCCGGACAACCCATCAGTCTTCCCGTAGCCCAGTAGATACATTCCACATATCCTTCTGTCTTGATTACATGGTTTGATGCCAAAATCTATGGGTCGTAGCAAAGACGCTATGTCGGGATGAGTTAGTTTAATGTGTGTGAGATTATGGGCCGAAGATAAGTGTGATAAGGTTCGGATCTGCCAACGGAGATAGACCCCGCCAAACAGTCAAAGCTCGGACCACGTGCCCTACGCTGAACAAATCCTTAGCGCGCTGGACTTGCGATTTTGTCGAGAGCGGGCCAAACTTCGTGAATAAGCTGGAAGTCATCGCCAGTCAGACTTGCGCGCTTGCTGTCTCGCTTATGGAAGTAGTCGACATCTACCGCCATCATGGAAGGTCAAGGTCAACAGTATGACGGCGATGAGCTCCCTCCCAAGGAGCAGGTCATCGACCGCCCTCCGAAGCGCATCTCGGAACTGGAGTTTGGTGTTCTGTGAGTCGAACTATGCGCCTCGGTCCAACCCACTTTACTCATACATCACGTAGCTCCAACCAGGACATGGTGAAGCAGTCGGTCGTCGAGATTTCTGATCGCAACGTTTACGACCTTGGTACCGGCCCTGGCGGCAAACGCACCCTCACCGCACATGGGCCTCTCGATGGTCGCCTCGGAACCTCTTCAAAGACTGGACAGTGTGAGCAGTGCAAGGAGGATCTCAAGAACTGCAACGGTCACTTCGGTCACGTCCGCCTCGCCCTTCCCGCCTACCACTGGGGCTACTTCAAGAAAATCATGGAGATTCTCAACACCATCTGCAAAGACTGTTCCCGAATCCTACTCGACGAAAACACGCGCCGAAAGTACTTGCGCCAGATCCGAAGACCAGAGCTGGACACTTTGCGCAAGGAGGCCATCTGCAAGAAGATTGTCGACGAGGCCAAGAAGACAAAGACCTGCTTCTACTGCGCTTCCATCAACGGCACCGTCAAGAAGGTGGCAGGACACCCCATCAAGCTCATTCACGTCAAGTGGCAGACATATCTTGCTTCCAACGCAAAGTCAAAGGTCAAGCCTGCCTCGATGGTCGCATTTGAGAAGTCTTTCGACGAGGCCAAGAAGGGTGTTCCGGATCTGGAAAAGCACGCCAAACGCGCCGTCGACGACATGAACCCGCTACGAGCTCTGAACCTGTTCCAGAGAATCACAACAACCGATGTGGAGCTACTGGGCATGGATCCGAGCAGAGGTCGACCAGAGGCTTTCATCTGGCAATATCTACCCGCTCCTCCTGTCGCCATCCGCCCTTCAGTGGCACAGGAAGCAGCAAGTACCGAAGACGACATCACCAACAAGCTTGGAGACATCATTCAGATCAACACCCTCCTCTCAGCAGGTCTCAAGTCTGGGCAGCCCGTCATGAAAATCGTCGATATGTGGGAGTTCTTGCAGGTTCAGATCGCCATGTACATCGACGGTAATCTGCCTGGTCTCGGTCGCGATTCCGCCTATGGTAAAGCCCTCCGCGGTTTCTGTCAGCGTCTCAAGGGTAAGCAAGGTCGTTTCAGAGGTAACCTGTCAGGAAAGCGTGTCGACTTTTCTGCTCGTACCGTCATTTCACCCGATCCCAACCTCAGTATCGAAGAAGTCGCTGTCCCCTCCAAAGTCGCCACCAACATGACCTACCCCGAGCGTGTGACTAGATACAACATCGAGAAGCTCCGCGCTTGCGTCCTGCGAGGAAAGAAGAAGCACCCCGGTGCCAACTTTATTGTCAAGAAAGATGGCCAAAGAAAGGTCCTGGAAATCATGGAAAGAATTGGAAAGCTCGAAGTCGCAGCAAAGGAACTACAAATTGGCGATGTCGTTGAACGTCATCTGGAAGACGGCGACATTGTTCTCTTCAACCGCCAACCGTCGCTCCACAAGCTCAGTATCCTCAGTCACAAGGTCAAGGTCAGACCATGGAGAACTTTCCGTCTCAACGAGTGTGTCTGCAATCCTTACAACGCCGATTTCGACGGAGATGAGATGAACTTGCACGTTCCCCAGACAGAAGAAGCCCGTACAGAAGCCATCAACCTCATGGGTGTAAAGAACAACTTGGCTACTCCAAAGAACGGAACTCCAATCATTGCTGCTATTCAAGACTTCATCACAGGTGCATATCTTTCTTCTATCAAGGACAACTTCTTCGACCGCAAGACGTTCAGTCAGATCATTGGGTACATGTTCCATGACGATGTCATCGAAGACCCCGAAACTGGAGAGAAGTTGTCTATCGAGCTTCCTCCGCCAACAATCTGGAAGCCACAACGCCTCTGGACCGGCAAACAGATCTGGAACGTCTTGATGCGACCAAACAAGAAGCTGAATGTTCTGGTCAACCTGGAAGCCAAGTGCAAACAATACAAAGCACCTCCCAAGGGTGTCGCACCAGACATGAACGAGGATGACGCTTATCTGGTCATTCGCAACTCAGAAGTCATGTGTGGTTACATGGACAAAGCGACTGTTGGTGACGGAAAGAAGGATTCAGTCTTCTATGTCATCATGCGTGATTTCGGGCCCGACTATGCTGTCCACGCCATGAACCGTCTCGCTAGATTGTCCGCACGTTGGCTCACTAACCAGGGGTTCTCGCTCGGCATCAGTGATGTCTACCCTAGTGATGCACTTACCGCGAAGAAAATGGACCTCATCCGAACTGCAGAAGCGAAATGTTATGAGCTCATCGACCTCTACAACAAGGGAGAGCTGGAGCGCGACCCTGGTTGTGACGAAGAGATGACCATGGAGAACCAGATTTCTGGTATCCTCTCCAAAGTCCGTCAAGAAGCTGGTGACGCTTGTTTCGCCGAGCTTAGTCGACGTAACTCTCCCCTGGTCATGGCCAAGTGTGGCTCCAAGGGTTCAAACATTAACGTCTCTCAAATGGTTGCTGCTGTCGGTCAACAAATTATCGGTGGCAAACGTGTATTGGAAGGCTTCCAAGATCGTACCCTACCTCACTTTGCCAAGGGCAGCAGAGATGCTCCTGCAAAGGGTTTCGTTGGAAACAGTTTCTTCTCAGGCTTGAACCCTACCGAGTTCATTTTCCACGCCATGTCCGGTCGTGAAGGTTTGGTCGATACCGCTGTCAAGACTGCCGAAACTGGTTACATGTCTCGTCGTTTGATGAAGTCGCTGGAGGATCTTTCAGCGCAATACGATAACACCGTGCGCAACTCATCTTCCGGTATCGTTCAATTCCAGTACGGAGACGACAAGCTTGATCCTGTGGATATGGAGGGCAGCGCGAAGCCTGTACACTTCGATCGCAGTTTCGTGCACGCTGTCACTACTACTTGGAGTAACACCGACCGTGGCTTGAGGCCATCCGAAATTATGAAGATCACAACCAACACACTTAACCCTGAAAGAGCGAAGCTGGAGCGTCTCTCACTGACTGGCGAGAAGCTCGATTATAACGATAGGAGCGACCACGGCATTGATCAGATGGAGAGTGCTCGTGACTTCCTGGACACTGTGCAGAACTACATCCAGATCAAGTGCGACAAACTAGCTAACATTCGCACAAAAATCGGCATGGAAGCTGGCATCGAAGACTCCGGCACTATTGATGCAGGTGTCGCTGATGACTGTAAGCAAAGAACCATTGCCGATGGTGTTCTGAAGATCTCATCCGCTGCTATCAATGAGTTCCTCATGCTGTGTTTGACCAAGTACGAGCGTTCAAAGGTCCAACCCGGTCACGCTGTTGGTGCCACTGGCGCCCAGTCTATCGGTGAGCCTGGTACTCAGATGACCTTGAAGACTTTCCATTTCGCCGGTGTCGCCGGTATGAGTATCACACAGGGTGTACCCCGTATCAAGGAAATCATCAACGCCTCGCGCGTCATCTCGACTCCTGTCGTATCATGCATGCTTGACTCAAAGTATGAGACCGTTGCCGGCCGCGTCGCCAAAGCCATGATTGAGAAGACCTACCTCCGCGACATCATCGCCTACATCGAAGATGTCTGGTCGGTGACTAGTTCGTACGTCAACATGCGCATCAATTGGGACACCATTGCCAAACTGGGTCTCCGCCTCACCGCCCAAGACATTACATATGCCATTGCCAAGAACAGAGCAGTAAAAGCACTCGGTGTACAAGTTGCTCCCGTTGGCAAGACACATATCCGCGTGAACGTCCAATACGTCCCCGCTCCTCGCGGCAAAGCAGCACAACTTAAAAACCGCAAGCCTCTCGAGATTTTCGACCTTATCCAAGATCTCAAACGCATCCTTCCTGACGTAGTCGTAAAAGGCTATCCTGACTGCCATCGTGCGATTGTCAAGAAAGACGATAAGCCAGATGCTACAGGTCGCGAACCAGTTTCTGTGCTTGTAGAAGGCTATGGCTTGAAAGCTTGCATGACGACAGAAGGTGTAGATGGTGTAAAGACACGCTCCAACAACATCATGGAGTGCAAAGAAGTCCTCGGTATTGAAGCCGCTCGCAGCACGATTATTGCAGAAATCAGCTCTGTGATGGGAGGTATGGATATTGATCCTCGTCACATGCAACTTCTCGCAGATGTCATGACCTACAAGGGTGACGTCCTCGGTATCACACGTTTCGGCCTTGCAAAGATGAGAGATTCGGTGTTGCAACTTGCCTCGTTCGAGAAGACACCTGATCACTTGTTCAATGCTGCCATTGGCATGAAGAGGGATCGTATCGAGGGTGTTTCCGAGTGCATCATCATGGGTCAGAGCATGAGCATTGGTACCGGTGCTATGAAGGTGGTGCGTAAGTTGGGCATCACTGAGCAAGAGCATGGACGCAAGAGATCGGCTTTCGAATCAGCGTTTGCCGAGCTTCCGAAGACCATTGCTACTGCTGCTGCTGCTGCTGCTTAAAACAGAGTTGACCGAGCTTTGGGAAGTGACGATGGAGGAAAATTATGGCGTTATGAGCATTGCGTAGGGCGTTTACATTCAGAATATTGCTTATACCTCATGGATTAGTTTAGTATACCCGCCACGAAAAAAAAGCGTTTATAGGAAATTGATATGTCGAGTTTCTTGACCTTTGTGTTTCGTTGGATGCCGTTTTCTTGAAGACATACACTGTTGGATTGCCTTTGTTCCATCCATCCTTGGGCCTACTCGCTGTGTTCTGGCTCAGCGTCCGGCTTTTTTTCAAAGGCTCTTTTGCCCATACATTCGATCCTCTTCACACGGAGGTCACCGCTTCCAACATCTCCTCGCCGCCGCCGCGACCAGTCCTGATCTGGTCGGACGCGCAGCCAATTCGATATTGGCTAGGTCCGCATTTGAGAGCATGATTGAAGCACCAGGTCACTGACTCACTCGGTCACTCCCGCATCTTCGTGTCATGAATCGCTGACTGCCATACGAGAGTGCAAAACTCGACAATTGTGGAAGAAGGGGGTTGGGGGTCCTTTGTTGCTTTATAAAGGCCATCCCATCCTGTCAGCATAATGTCGATCTTCATGTTGGCGTATTCGATGCGTGTACAAACCACAAGCCTTGTAGAAAGTCATCTTCAGGTTCGATACAGTGGTACCGTTCGACGAGACCTGGTCTCCGAAACGCACGTTCCTATCGACTTAGGCGAAGGGTTTGATCGAAAAAGATCTGCCGCGTCACGAACTATATCCATAATCAATTGTAGCATTCAAAAGGTCTTTGCTATCGAGCTTCTCCTCTCTCCAAAAACGATCGTGAAGAAGCTCTAGGAATACCTCGTCACCGGAGAGAGAGGATCAGCTGTATTCAAAAGGGATGGAAGTCAAGTGCACAGGAACCAGACTGGGTTAGTGATTCTGTCCCCCTATCTTCACCCACATGTGCTGCCTGCTTTTCCTTCTGCTTTGCTTTAAGGCCACTGGAGAGACTACGCATCATGCCGAAGAGAAAGGAGGGGGATAAGAGGGAGAAACCTGTGTTCTTTCTCTCCTAACTTCAGCGAATCTCTGCTGCTGGAATCCAAGGCCAGTCTCCGGACGCATGCGCGCCCGAACGTGTTGATTGGGATGAAATTCCGGGTACCTGACCCTCGGGCAGTTGAGAGGAAGTAGTCGTAGCTACAAATGCATTGTCAACCATCTCGACCCGTCCTTTTGTACGTGAGTGAGGGTCGTGTGAGGTGTTGAGAACATCGCCGTACCGTTTGTTATATACCAAGTATTCCATGTGAAATTGAGATCACAACAGTAATTCTTTTCAGCCGAGCAAAGTGGTCAAAGGTAATTCATTCATATCGTGTCTTGGCTCTACATACTCCACTCAGTTTCTAATTGAATAGTCAACAACACCTCTCAATACTCCATTGTGACAAGTCCTTGTTCCATATTGTCAAAACCTATTCAAATCCACCACCAGCCCTGCCCAAAGCTCCCAAAGCACCTCCAGCTTTCCTCCTCAACCCAGCAATCTTTTTCACATTCTCCTCTCTCCTCTTGGCCGCCTTTTGCACAATCTCCTGCCTCTCCGCTTCTCTAGCTTGGTAGTTGATACTGCTCTTCTTACTACCGCCATTTCTGACCGAACTGCTGCCTTCTCTATTCAAAGCCGGAGGGGCTCTTTCCGAGAACGAGGTATTGGTGGTGGCTTTGCGGAGTAGCGAGGCAGGTTTGAAGGAGAAACTACCATTGCCGCGGCTGCCCTGGGAGCCAGTGGAGAAGGCGAGAGTGCCATCGTCAGAGGCGATGGTGGAAGCTTGTTTCTTGAGTGTGAGACGATCGATAATGTCCGTTTTGGCGGGGACTCTGCGTGCAGAGGCAGGAGCTCTGGGTTCGGAAGAGATGGCGCGCACTTCTCTTTCTTCGTCAGAGGACAACAGAATTTCAGAGGCCAACTCCTCATTCGAAGGGTCGTCGATGAGGAAGGAGAGGGAGTCGCGGACTTCAGCCAATGACTTTGGCTTGCGGAATGTGTCTGCGAGGTTGGAGCGGCGGAGGGCAGAGGCCTTTTTCTTGGTGGGTGGTTGGGGGTCTTGCTGAGATGACTGGCTGAGCTCTAGAGACTCGGCTGGACGCTTAAGGGTGGTTAACTGGTCGTCATGACCCGTCTGGGAAGCAACAGGCTGAGATGCAGAGGGTTGCTGCTGTGTCTCTACCATTTCCTCATCGTCGTCAATATCGTGACCGTCCAGGAAATCGACATCGTCGGCTTCGTCTCTGTCTTCGATGGCACGCAAGAAGGCTTCTTTCTTGTCGTTGCTGCCGAGTTTACCTAGTGTCTCGTCCTGTAGCAAGAGCTTGCGCTTACGGGCTTCTTCGCGTTGTCTGCGGCGTCTACGTTCGACCAGCTGATCGTCTTCGTCAGAGTCAAGCTCAAAGGCATTGTTGCCACGCTTGCGGCGGAGAGCTCCAGACATGAGATCCTTGTACAGCTTGCTTGTTTGAGCTTCATCTTGTACGCGCGACTTCTCTGCATAAAGAGCGGCAAGCTGACGTTCGTCGACTTTGACGTCGGTCTCATCAATCATTTGCTTGTCATCTTCATCGCCTGAGCCGCCATCTTCGTCCTCACTGGCACCTCCAAGACCACGGTATTCGTCTTCTGATTCCTCGGCTTGTTCGTCAACCATACCCTTGGCATTGCTCTTCTTCTTGTCGAAGTCAGGCTGAGCGGGTTTATTGGCTGCTTGACGCATCACCCTGAACGCATCCGAGGGCTTCTCAACAACAGCAGGCGCAGAAGATGGCACTGCCTCTTCATCAACTTGCTGAACAACCTCCGATCTTCTTATCAGACGACCACGACGTGGGACGATCGGTGACTCTGGAACTCCGAGCATGACAGTCTCGACAGTGGACGAAGGAGTGTGAACCCGTGCAGCCAGTGGTGTAATGTTAGGGTCGAAGCCGACATCCTGAGATGGGTCAGGGATCTGAGAGAATTGAGTCACGCGATTGATTGCAGGCGAGCCAGCAGAAGGAGGTGAGAATTGAAAGTCCATCTGTTGTGTAGGCTCGTTCATCTGAGCCTGAGTAGCGCCAACCTGGCTGTCAGCCACTGCATCCTGCGAGTCCTCAAAGAGTGGCATTGAGGGAATTGGCGCAGATGGAATGTGGCGAAGCATCTCAAGAGAGTCTTGTTCTTGAGAGATCATGCCCGAAGGTTGAGTATCGTCCATGGTACCAGCGAACATCTGCGACATGCCCATGGGAGCCGAGGGAGCTTGTCCGAAACCAAAGGCAGCCGCAAGCTCGTCGTTGATGCCTTCGCCATCTTGCTGAGTTGTTGTAGCTTCTTCATCCTCATCTTCCTCGTCTTCAATGACGTGCTTCCTGCGTGCCCTTCTAGCTTTGGGCAGTGCAAGCTCGTCATCCTGAAGCGCCCCATCTGCGGCTGATTGTTCGACGTCTTCGGGCTCTTCTTGATCGTCCTCGCCAGCCTCAGCATCGATCATGTCGTGGTCAGCGGCATCCTCCTCTTCCGAACCAGACAGCTCGACCTCCTCCTCTTCGTCCTCTTCTTCATCTTCTGCTGAAGCTCGGGCTTCTTCGTCACTGCCGAGGTAATCTCCATCATCACTCTCATCGGAGCTGATGCCGACGTCCTCCCCATTGGCTTTGGCAGTGGCCTTTTCCTGCTTGCGCAGCTTATCGGCTTCTTCTCTAGCCTTGCCCAGCATGTCCTCAATCTGCATCTGCTCCCTCTCGCGCTCCTCCTCTGTGAGGACAACGATACCTTTGGCACGCAGGTCTGCGAGTCTAGCAGCGCGTTCCTCATTTGCGATCTCGCGAGCTCTTTGACGAAGTTGCATCTCGAGTTGCTGAGCAGATATGGATGGCTTCTGGCCCTTTTTGCTACGAATCTTGTCGCCGTTACCGGTAAGTTGAGCGAGATGTCTGAGCATCAACATCGTTCGGCCCTCCGAAGTCTGCGTCTTGGGGATTTGATTGAAGATGGCTAGAGGGTCCTTGACAATCACGAGATCGTCATCGTCGTCGTCGTTGGCCCTGTTGAGAATGTTGTGCTCGGGAATCTTGACACGGACTCTGCGGATCGGGATTGATGTCGGGTTGGTAGGAAGTTGACGCATAGGAGCCTTGGCCTGGTCGACAGTTTTCTTTGGCTGGGATAGGACTTCATGAAGGGTTGGCAAGTCTTCGTCAGACATGTCTGCGGACGTGGTGTCAACAGACTGTTCGGGGAGAGTCTTCAGGGAGTCGTCCATCTCTGGTGGGCTCGACGGAGGGGTGTCGCGATCCTTGTCGACGCCAGTCTCTGAGAAAGGCTCGGGAGGAGGAGAGGAAGAGGTGACATCGGCGGCATTCGTAACGTTTGCGAGGCCAGAGGAAGTCTTGGGACGATTGAATGCTGACAGGAAGTCCTGGGCGGTGAATCTCTTCTTGACCTTTGCTTGATGTGTCAACTGCATGTTTCTCTTGATCCTCTGCGTCTCCCTGTTCATCTCTTCCAAAGCCTTCTTACTGGCTTTGCGTGTCGGTCTTGCGTGTTGTGTCAGGGTTCGCTCCGTGACCTCGTCTCTTGTATCCTCATCGTTGAACATGTCGGACAAGGGTGCTTGACCAGTGGCAGCACTCTCCTCTTCTGCATCCTTCTCTGCCTGTTCTCTCGCCAATCTTTCTGCACGACGACGATTGACGAGATCGCGAAGTCGAGAGGGTGCTGATAGGTCTGCAGGAAGGTCCGAATCTGAGTCGCTCGAAGCCTCGTTGACCGAACGTCTATCCTCTGGAGCTGGTGACATGAACAAGCCGGGGCTTTCTGATCTGACTGAAGCTGCGGGAGTAGAGGCGCGATGTACGAGTCGTTTACGTGGAGGGCTAGGTTGAGGCGTCTGTGTGCGAGCCGTCTCGATCGAGTGTGTGACTTTGACAGGTGACTTATCGACAGAAGGTGCCTTTTTCGGGGCCATGAGGTCTTTTCTGATCCTCTGGTAGACATGCTCATCTTCCTCCGACGAAGACTCTTCCTGGATAGGTGGAGCTGCTGCACCTCCCATTCTAGCAGCCAATCGACCTCTTGGCTTGAAGACTGGCTCATCCTCCTCTTCACTTTGCTCGTCCTCATTGTCCTTTGACGTGTTACTGGCACGCGTCGCGTTTGCGAGTTGAGTTGTGGTAGTTGGCTTGGTGGATGGTCTGACGGAAACGCCTGCGTCGTCGTCTGACTCGTCATCAAAGGCAGCCATGAGCTTTCTCATTCTGGTCCCTGGCGATTCGAGGGCCATCGACACGATCGAGGAGCTATCGTCTGCTGGTGTCGAAGCGCGACTCGACCGCGTTGAGCGCGCCGGTGATGACATTGTAATTGATGTGTAATGTGCTGAGTAGGCGTGAAAGATGACGAGCACTCACAAGTGAGTATAGGATAAGAAGCGATATGAATATGAGCGGCAATTGGGTGGTAGTAAAATGGTGTGGTAGAGGTATAGAATGATGTTCCATCTTGAAATTCCGCGCCAGACGCGACGCGATTCGCCAAGACCTTTGATTGCTCTTTCCCAGCCTCCTCGAGCGGCATCATGTCATCGCAACCACCATACGGCGTTCAATCCTCGCGAATGTCTTCATTCGAGACAACACACTGTCCATGACATGAGTGCCTAAGCATATTGCCCTTCTGCCGTCCAACCGATTCTCAAAGGTCGTTTCGATAGCCCATTCGCCTACAAAGACTGGGAGCTTACCATCGCCGGCTGTGGTCTTGGCTTGAGCGCAGACTTGAGACGTCACGTTCGAGGAGTAGGTTTGCTTCCAATTGTAATAGATGTGAGTATCGATGACGAGATTTGTGGTTGAGGGGAAGAAAGCGCGTTATATGTCGAACCTCATACGGCGGACTTACCAGTGAGTGCAATCCAATGATGATGTGCATATCATACTCATGAACGGCATAGTCAACAATCGCCTTCAAATACTTTTGCTGGTAACCAGAGTACATCTCCGACCAAGGAACACCAATCCAAGCAGCATAAGGATCGTCGAAGTGGGACTTGAAACCTGAAGCTCATTCCCCGGAAGTTGTATCATTCTGCTTGTCCAGTTTTTGATAATTGCAATACAAGAGTTTTGGTCGAAGGGAAGTCGGTGAAGCTTTGCAGATCGTCATGACTAGAAATCGATCTTTTACCATGCCCTATCGTTTACTGTTCTTTGTAGTTTGATGAAGCGAGCTCGATGGTCATGTAATCTACTATAATGTAGATCTTAGATGATCTTATCAGATCCAGACAGGTGTTGAGGTCAGAGCAGAGAAGACACTCGAGAAAAGCTTCAGGAAGCCCTTCTCATATGCTGGAGTATATCACGCTTGAAGCTGTCTCGAGGCACAACGATGTTCATGAATGGCGCTGATGTCTACCTGGACGCGTCATTTTGTTGACTCTCTTTGCGGAGTCTATCCATCTGCAAAATGACTGTGCCTTTTCACACCTTGTTTTCATCTTACATTCCATTATGGCGGAGAGTGGGAGTTGCATATCGCAAACAACATATACATCTCACCACGACCATCCCTGACTTTTCCTCAAATACTCCAAAACAGCAACTCCACTCAACACAACCACCCTCTCCCAATCCTCCCCACCCTCAAATTCCTCAAATTCGAATACTCCCCTCTTACTTCCAAACGCAAAGCTATGTACAAACCTCGCAACCACAGCACCAGTCTCTCGCTCCACCATTTTGAGATGCAAAGTATCCAGTTTCTGGCTAATGGCGCTCTTATTCTCAACATCATGCGTACGCTTCCAATCAAAAGTTTTGCGTCCAATAGCAGCACCAAGATCAACAGTGAGTTCAAAACCAGATTGTCTCATTTTCTCGCGCATGTGGATGTCTTCCCAGATCACATCATCGGGTTTGGCTTCTGCATCTCCGAATCCGAGATGGATTGGTGTGGTCATGCTACGGAAGGTGAAGTCGCATGTGCCGAGTGTTGAGGGGATGTCATTGCCTGATGCAGCACTTTGAAGTACTATGGCATGACGGCCGGGTTTTATGGTGCGGATGCAGTCGGTGGTTGCGAAGGAGAGGTCGAGTTCGTAGATTGGTGTTCCGTCGCTTGATCGGAGTTCTGCTTTTGTGCGTTTGAGGTTTGTTGTGACAAACTCGTATGATTTGATAGGTGCCATTCTGTTGTCGTGTGTCGGATGAATTGATGAAGAGTAAAGCCAAAGTTGATAATTATGATGGTTGCGATCGGTATCCTTCCGGACGTCGACGACCGACACGTCTTCTTATACGTGATATACTGCCTTGGCCAAGCTGTTCTCTCAGACGTTCGCCGATCTCCTTCTTGGAGCTTGGCGAAGGACTGCAAATGACGAAACGCGAAATGGCTTTGGAGTGTTCAAGGTGGCTGTACGGAAGCACGACGAGGTTGTTTTGAATCTTGATATGGTAGTTTGGATCAAACCTACCACCGATGCCATTTCGTTATCAACATCCTGTAACACTTGCAGCTATCTCAAGGCACAATACTTTCCAAACTTATGGTGATGTCACTGGGATACTCTCAACCAACTCCCATGAGCCAGCGGCAGAATACTGGTCTGTCATGCAACCTCAGCGTCCAACCATAGGCGAGCAAGCAGCTGTGGGAATGCAAGGTGGTTTTCGGAGCAGGAGAGATAGTCTTGGAGTCGCGCCTTCCAGGAACAGGATACTGACATGTGATACTATCCCAGCCGTCGACGAAACACATTACACTAGCTATGAACATGCAGAATGTTGATCGCATTTACTGCACTTTTCAAAGCTTCCGTGAAACGAGGAGGTAAACAGAGGCCGAGACAAAGAAGCCCACGCCGAAGGCGTGGCTTCGATTAAACTATGAAGAACAGATACTACACTTGATCTAAGCCAAAAGGCAAGAGACTTAAGGAAGAAAGAGAGGGGTTGACGGGGTGAGGAGCTGTTTCTTGCGTTTGATCGTGAGCAATAGCAGAAATGATGCTTACTCGGAGTATGGTCGGTGCCGCTCAATCGGGATGCAAGGCCCATGCTCGATTCTCGGCCTGTTTGCCATCAAACCAAACATGATTATGTAAGGAACCACAAAGCTGCGAGTATATAATCCACTGGGCACCCCTTCACCCCTCTCTTTCTTCCTTAAGTCTCTTGCCTTTTGGCTTAGATCAAGTGTAGTATCTGTTCTTCATAGTTTAATCGCTGTGATCTGCCTACGGGCAGTCAAAATGATTATTCTTATTTTTGGAACTCGCTGAAAGACCTCTGGGCTTGCTCATGTCTTCTGGCACAGTGTCGCTCGTATTGCACTACCTCGAGCTGACGCGAACCCTATCTTTTCATTGATTCTCTGGCTTTTTCGCAAGCTGGAGATTGAAGAAGAGTAACGCCTTTCGTTCTGCTGTGAATAAATATATTGGTAACTGATGCAAGCGATCGGACCTTGCTCGTCTCACTCATTCGTCCTTCGAAGACTCACTTGCTCGTGCCTCGCGCGCTCGCTTTTCGAGGCCTCTTTCGTTCGCCGTACTCGAACTCGAGAGCGCCGACTGGCCAATGCCTGCTCGAAGTTCTGATCGATCAACGGCGGTGTGGCAAGCTGCTCAAACTTGTGACCAAGCGAGTGATGGATGATGGATGGGATTCGTGTTGTTATGATGGCTGCTCTGTTGTGAACGCGACTTTTTGGACGCGTCTCGACTACGTCATGAAAGAGCTGTGACTTTGCTAAACTCAGTGTTTTGACATACATGCTGTCTGATCACACACGGCGTGCGAAACAAACTCAGATTGAGGCCTTTCTCTCAGTGTGAGCGGTGAATTAATAAAATCATGCAGAGGGACTGCCGATCAAGAATTTGGCGCAAGAGAAAATCGTTATTGTGTACCGCCGCGAGGCTGAGACTACATTGCAGACATGCTAACAGACAAATCGAAAGCAAGAACAACTAAACAATGCCGTGCTGCGCTGAAAACAGTAGGCAGGATCATCGCATTCATAATCATCAATCATCTCATCGTACCAAGAACTGCCCTCCACTCCATCATCCCGACCTTGCCGTATCCTCATTGAAATCTCGCTCCGATCAAGACTGCCTGGAAGATGGCGCTCGGCGGTGCTCCCGACGCTCCCCATGCTCACGACTTTGCTCTTGACCCTCCGCCCGACTATGATGGGCGTGCCGTGTACTGCCCGAAGACCTCGTAGTCGCACGAGATGTCTGACTAGCGCTCTGCAGATATCTGCTGCGCTCAGCACCACCGACCGTCCCAATCGTCACCTCTACCTTTCCAGGATCATCTGTGGACCGCAATGTGACCTCCCGATCACCCATATCACCGCCCAACTGGATCCTTGTTCCCTCGGCTTGAGAGACGGGCATGATGAGCTTTATACTACCGTCTGCGCCGCGGTATCGCGACGATGCCTCGCTCATGCTGTGTTGGCTGCGGCGATGGCTGTGGTTGCTTTTGGTGCTTTTCGGTCCATTGGAGACGTGTTTCAGCGTCTCGGCGGTGACTCGTGGCTCGGGACCCCCACGCGCCTGGTCCATGTAGCTCTGAGCAGCGTATTCGTGACCTTGATATCCACCATGGCTTTCATGAGGTTGGTAGTGAACATGGCCTGAGTATGTTGGATCAGAGGCGGAAGTCTGGTCTGTCCAAGTAGTCACATTAGAGCCTCGTCTTCCGCCAGGGTAATGTCGCTGGGCCTCATATCCTGGATAGCTCGATTGAGAATGGACATCCCAACCAGCATCCGGCGGGGTCCCATGATGGTAATTGTAGCCAGGGTCCACGGGGTAGTCCGATCTTGACGTCGAGTGACGACCATGGATCTGCCGGACCGCTGCCGTGGTCTGGTGATGTGGTAGAGGAGGCCGCCTCTGTTGCTCAAGATATTGAGGACTATCTGGCGGTGACTCTGAAGAGTAAGCGTCTGACTCGAAGCCACCAGGCACACGGTGCGCTTTGGGAGGTAGGTATCGAGCTGAGAAGTGGTCGCCATCATCAGGTGAGAATGGCGAGGTATCGTATGTCGAAATTTTGGAGGAGAGATGCGGCCCTGAACCCGAAATTTTAATCCTCGCCGACTGATGGACTGCAGGCCTCATTGGTAACTGTCTAGTTGACGGGCCTCCTACAGCGGGTAGAGACGGCGGCTGAGAGACAACAGACGGAGCGTAGATGCTAGGATGAGGCGGAGGCTGCATGTCAGAGCGCATGATAGGAGGACTGGGTGCGAAACCTGGTACCATGTGTGGGGGTGGTTGATGATGTGCGCCATGGAAATTGCCAACTTGAGGATACAATGGGCCCATGCCATGCGGCGGCATTGGTCCTACCGACACAAAGCCAGGTGGCGGTAGACCATGACGAATGATCGGAGGCCCAGGATGGGAAGGTCCATGATGAGGCGGTTGCATTGGATATGTATTGGAACGTAAGTCCTTCTGAAGCGGGTTGACCCCTGGCCTCGAGCCATGATGTTGCTTTCTCACACATTGCTCACAAGGACACGGTCCAGTAGGAGCTCTTTCACGATGTCTTGAATCCGGACTCCGTGGTCTGTCTCTGTTGGGAAGCTTTCCAGGACTGGGCGGAGGTGGAGCTTTACTGTGTCGTCTGGATTTCTGTGACCTGGTGATGCCTGACTCGGATCTGATTTCATCCTCTGCGCCAGCTCGAGCCCCAGATCCTTCAGGCTGTCGCATTTGCTTCTCCCTGATATTGGAAGGAGGAGGGTCCGAATTCCCAACATCGCTGGCCGATCTTTGTCTGGTTGGTCCATCTCCTCTAGCAGTCGAGGTCTTCCGAATCCTCTTTGACGCCGAGTTGGATGCCGGCTTGGATGCACTAGAGTCGCCTTTCTCGTCATCTGTCTCCAAGCCATCTTCGACAAATGGTTGGTGCAGACGCATATCTGAAGGATTCGTGTCTGCCATGGTGCGGTGTGGTCTACTAGGGTTGCTCAATGACTCACGTTAGTACTCGGCAGGGGGCTGAGGCGGTGGGTCGATCGAGTGTTATGCCGCAAAGTACGGTCAGGCATCAAACGCGGGGGTGAGTAAATGTCAACAGTATAAAGTCTCCTTTATCGTGAAAAGCGATAGGTGATGTTTCCCGGGTTAATCGCAAGGCTTGAAGAGAAGTCAGACATTGCGGCAGAGCAGAGACATGCAGAAGAAAGGAAACATTAACATTCATCTGGTTGCAGGAGAAAGGGAAAAAAAAGGAGATGACTGTTCAAGAAACCAGGCAAACGCACAGCGACTTCCGCCCAAACTGCTGGCGAATAGCGTTTGCACATGCAGTTTCGGCTAATACGACCGGTCAACGACTGGAGAGAACCGGTTCGTGGGCACTGCAGTATAGAAGTAGTATCCCGGTATGCACAGCTGGGGCTGTTTGTAAGCTTGAGAACGCAAGAGGTGTTCTTGTGATCTGAGCCGGGGTTGTAGGGCTGCAACGATAGATGATATGGAAGGGAAAATAGATGATGGGCATCAATGATCGGCTCATTACGAGATTATATATCGCCTTGACAGCCGCATGAGGAATGTTGTCTGAAGTACATGTCGCCACAAGAGCAGCCTGTCGACTTCTTTTCAGCACTTTTCTTCTATCATGTTACGACGTTTCCTTGGACGTGAGAGGAACTGACACGATTTCTTGACTGGCGGCACGTCAAAGGGTGTGTGACGCGGGGCCCGCATTGGTCCATGCAAGCGATCGACTACTCGGGAGCCCACCGCTCCAACCACATGTTCGTTCGGTCTGTCCATCTCTGTCCCGTCAATCCGGTTTGAAGCAGCAGCAAGATAGCACGTTCAGAAGATTGGAGGATGACTTGTGGTTTGCTCAAGTCGCATTCGATGCTGTCATCGAGGGTCTGTTTATCAGAAAAGCACACCCCACAATTTGTTCATATGAAGCAATGATTTTCATCCCTGCGTGATGACATGCAAGCTCGAGTTGCTTGGGGCCGATACACCTGATCTCCGAAACATACATCTCGGACAATGCAGTAATTCTGTCGGACAATTGTCAGCATGGGATGTATATATGATGAGGTCCGATGGTTGGCCGGTCCTTGAAGGCTCAATTACTGGACGTTACATTCCGCCTGCCACAAACCAGCGACATAAACCATCGACATAGACCGTCAAGTCCTGGACTAATCTAACTCGCGTCATTACCAATTTATCAAGCCAAGTACCCATAACCATCCTTCGTAATGCCTCATTCGGAGGAAAGGATTCGCATCGCGATTGCAGGCGGCGGTATTGGAGGCCTATGTCTTGCAGTCGGTCTTATGGACAAAACAAATCTGGACGTACACATCTACGAAGGCGTACCAAGGTACACCGATATTGGTGCCGGACTCGCGCTACACAAGAATGCCATCACAGCAATGGATCTGATCCACCCCGCAATCAAGAAGACGTATTTCGCAAAAGCTCTTACCATGGCTGAAGAAGAGGACGAGGAAATGGTTACCCAAGTTGTACTTGTCAGCGGACCTAATACTGGAGAAGTAGTCGCTGAGTTGGGCAAGGCAAAAGGTCGAAGGACTGTGGCAAGAGCGGATTTGCTCGATGGACTGTTGGCTTTGTTGCCGAAAGACCGAGTCACCTTTGGCAAGAAGCTTGACAGTATCAAGGAAGATGATGCTAGTGGTAAAGTAACACTTACTTTCAAAGATGGTACGACTGCTGAAGCAGACTGTCTACTGGGTGCCGATGGTGTGCACAGTGGTACCCGTAAGCATCTTCTCGGAGCAGATCACCCTGCAGTGCCGCCGAAGAATTCGGATGGCTGGAGAGTACACTCGCGTCAACTACCAATGGAACTTGCGATGAAGACAATCGACTCGAAGTGGCGACGAACAGTGCCTATCCTCTGCGGTAAAGAGGGCCACGTCAATATGATGCCACTGCATATGGGAAAGACGCTGAGCATCATCTGTGTCACACGTACTGGTATCGCGAGCGATGGAAGTGTTGCGCCATTTGAGAAGGAGCGTTTTGCAGACTATCGCGAAGACGCCAAAGCTGCTGTCGAGGTAAGATCAATCCGCTGTTGATTACATCATGTCACTAACAATTTGTTCAGCTTGTCGCTGAAGATCCGCACATAACATGGGAGCTTCAACAACACGACCCAGCCCCTTACTACAATCGCCGTAGCATCGCAATGATGGGAGATGCAGCGCATGCATGTATGCCATTCGTCGGACAAGGTGCAGCTCAAGCAATCGAAGATGCCGCAGTACTCACAGCACTTTTCCGCCGTGTAGACTCGGTCTCACAAATCGAGAAGGCACTGACAGCTTACGATCAAGTCCGTCGACCTCGGGCACAAGCTGTCGTCACCATGGGCCGTGACTTTGGCCGTCTCTATGATTTTGCACTTCCAGGTGTCGAGGATGATCCGGTCAAGATGAAGCAGTTTATGGGTAAAGGCGCGGCATTTACCAACAATGCAGACTTGGAAAAGCAGAACCAAGATGCTGTGGATGCGTTTGAGGCTTTGTTGTAGAGGGGATCTGGAACATGGTGCTCTGGCCCAATCAGTCGCATGATCGTCGGTGATGCACAGGCAAGGGCAAGGGAGAACGTCGAGGCTTAGTCGGTACATTGCTAGACTGAGGCAGGTATTGGCAGTCCGGCAGGTTCAACCATGAGCATTCCCGTACAATGATCATGATCATGATCATCTTCAAACATGTCGACTCCTGAACGCGCAACACTACAAGGCCGACTCGTCTGGCGAGAGAGGAGAACCAATCATGGCAAAACCTGGTGGCTGCTTCGCTAGTATGGTACTTCACGTCTTTGATCCAGCGGTTACACTGCACTCTCGATGACAGCTCGTTCTTAGCGTGAGACTTTGAGATACTGCAACTCACCTGTATACATGTCAAGAACCCTTGTACTCATTATCTCATCTCCTCAAGGTTCGTATACCACAGGCTTTATTTCGGCCTCTCGTATACCACAGCCTTGCTCATGACTGATCACTGTTATCTCCGCAAGCTCGATCCATGAAAGACTCATATTGACATCATACCGAGCAAACCACGACTCTTACGCCAAAACGTGCGCGTCCAGAAATACATCTCTCCTATACAACAAAACACGCCATGGCATGATTGGTCTGTGTTATCTGAACCCACGCCATCGAATATACGTTTTACACCGCTCTTCTTCTACCCCGGTTTTCTTACGCTCCGCTCTCGTCGCATTCGCCATCGCTGCTATACCGGTGTCTCTTTTTTGCCCTCGAATTATGCATGTATTGACGTTGAGAGGTCAAAACTCCTTTCATTGCCGTCTTGCTGCTTGGCGTGAGGGGATGCGTGTTTTGCAAACGCGACTAAAAAGCCCTTACGTGCGAGATGAAAATGCTGAAACAACCACCCACTTTTGCTTTCCTTCCCAAAAGCCAAACACGAACAGAGACAGAGTTTCACAACAGTAAGAAGTGGGAGAAAGAGGAAGCACCGTTGTGAAAGTTTAAACGCAATCTGAGACACGTCGCTCCCCCCTTCGTCAACGAGGGAAATGCGGGGGATGAGAGTGAGGGGTAAAACAGAAGTAAACAAAACAAATTGCCTAATCTAGCACTTTTCTTATGCATTGCAGCCAAGCCGGCACCTTGATAGTACTATGGAAAGTCATGGTGATGAGGCAGAGGACCCTGGTGATGAGAGAAATCCCTTCTAAGCATCTTTTTTGTTCGCTAGGGCACGGCATCGGGGTTCTGGTATGGTTCAGGCGTGCCATTCTTTCCAGCCGTATTGTCAAAGCATGTAAACCAGTAAAAAAAAAAAAAGACGCTTGAGAGGACCATGGAAGAATTGCAAGGATGGGAGGTGTCAAAGCGTGTTTCCATGATCTGGAGGATCTACTGCCGTGATATGCGATGGCTGACAAGCGAGCGCCGAACAGGGGAGGCCTTGAACCATTGATTTCCACTTGACTCATTATTCGAGTCATTAGGTGACCTGTTTCGACTTTTAGAGTCGCGGGTGCAGGTGAGTAAGAAGATGATTGGCTATGCATCAAGGCAAGGCGAAGAGTGACTTGTATACATGCCGCGAGGGACTTTCGTAGGTTCACTAGACTATCAATCACATGCCATACTGATACATCACAAGAGAGACAACACCAACCACATCCACATTCACGACACAGAGAAACGGCAACGAGAGGCGAGTCGTGTTTCCAAAGGGAAAAGGAGCGTGAGCTCCATCATAGAATTGATATATTTTGTAGACTTCCTCCCTCCTTGTGCCATTTCACCGAGAACCCATGTATACAAAAAATCGAGAGATCCATATCGCATGCAGAGATCGTATCCGTCCAAGTCGCCATAAATCATAAAATCAGTGCAGAGGGTATAAAAACGAGAGTTGCTAGGAAATGAGAAACACCATGACAGAAGTGAGCGGAGACAATGCGAAACAAAACCCAGAAACAAAACTCCAAAATGCTGTGTAAAGATCCGAGAGAGGTCGAGAAGGACGAGAGATAGCATGAGATCGTGACGAAAAGAGACATTCGCATCATCCAGAATCGTTTCGTTTGCAATCTTCATCATGAGTGCCATCCATCGTGATAGTAGGAAAGGGGCGTGCTTTGTTTGTGGGAAGGCAAGATCATCGACTAGATCGTCTTCCTCTCATTTCATTTCTAAGTTGTTCCAATATCTCATCATGTTCGCTCACAGTCCACAGATGCGGACTGGGTGCGACAAAGGAGTGAGGTCTTCCACTCAACGTCCTGAATCTCTTGTATCTAGGTCGTTGAAGTTTTGGACGGTGAGCGCGTGGTGATGGTGCTGTAACCGGTCTATCCATTTCGTCGAGGTGGAAGTTGTTCTTGCGGCGGAGTATACGACTGCGTCGGCGATCTGCTTCCCAGCCATCAACTTCCTCATCCTCTTCTTGAATAGTGTCTCTGAGTATTGTGAGGGAAGGATGGCGGGCCGGCGGTGAAGACGATGGCGAGCCAAAGCCCTCGAGGTCATCGATGATGAGTTCAGGAAGCTGATCTTCTGATGGCGGTGTCCTAGGCGGTGCCTGTTGTGACTTCGGCGGTGACGGCGAGCGACGTGATGCTAGGAAGTTTCCCCATTTCTCCTCCAACCTGACACGGAAGTTTGTTCGTTTTTGCTCGACCTCTTCTTCAAAGGGAGAGTCGATGCCGGCATTGTAGTCGAGTTCGTCAAATGGATCGTCTTCGTCTAGCACGGGTGATAGGAAGTGTGAGAACGGATCTTGGTCTATGTCGTCTGTTGCCGGCGGTGACGGGCTTTTCCTATCGCTCTTCGACATATTGGTTGTGATTGATTGTATGTTTGGCCATGTTGTACGGCGGAATTGCTTTTGTGCTGCTGAAGAGGTGGACATCAAGGTGGAATGTAGGCAGCAACCACCAGGCAGCGTAGATGTGAGGCGGTGTTTGGAATAGGGTGTTGTAGACGTTTCAAGGTATGCAGTAGTAGTGTAGGCAGCAGAGGGTAGGAGGATGACTGGGCTGTGCTGTGACTGAAATGACAGACTTGTTCAAGCAGACAGAAGAGTCACAAAAGGAAAAACTCCTAAAAGATCAGGACTCCCGCGAACGACGTAGCCTATGACAAAGATAGACAAGACTCGAGGATCTTGCGGGAACTTGGTTAATATAAAATGGGAATATACGATAGATGAGAAAGCCAGAGCGTGGGAGGAGGGGCAACCGCCATGGGCCGGATAGCATATATGAATGACTTACCAGTCATCGACTGAAACGGTCATCTAGGAAATGGGCCTGGAAATAGGCATAACGGCTCTCCCCTTCACCGCTCACGCGAAAGGGCAGAGTAGATCAGTCCAAGGACCGCCTCCTAGACCAAGCGTCTAGCCGGCACATGATGGCGCCCGGACGTTGGGGAATAACTGGTCGCGATATGGAAAAGGGGACACGGCCCATCCCATTTCTCCTTCTGATGCGTCGGCTTGCGAGCTGCTCAAGGTCAGATGTGGGTGAAAAGGGAAGGGAGAGTCATGCCGTGCGCGACAACGCGCCCTCTGACTCTTGGCTCCTCGTGTATCTGCCCCGCCGCGTCAAGCTTGATTCATAATGATCATCATTTATGGCGAAGCACAAAAGGTAAAAAGATTACATGCATGAATAGGCAAAGCTGCAACTACGGAATACAGGGAAAGCATGAATTGACGAGCAGGACTAAGACTGGAAGATTGCGGAGAAGAGAGAAAGGCCCGGAAACGAAAGACAGTCCAGCGCCAGCGCCAACGCCAGCAGCTACTTTGATAAATTAGGCCCTCCAGTAGAGCACGCCTCGAAATCTCCCATTTGCCCTTTATGGTCTGGAAAACAAGGGATCGGACCGCGAAGAAACCCATGGTACAAGATAGGACGAATGACAGGCCCAAGAAGTTTCTCGAAAATGTTGATTCGACTGGCTCTGTTGCTGTCCAGAAGCAAACACACCGGTGCCTGAACAGCGGCCTGCACACCCTCTTCAGCAAAGCCCGTCGCACATCCCACATGACTAGTATGCCCTGCTGTGAAAAATGACCAAGAGATGCCATAGGATGGCCATGGTGGTGTGCAAGACACCGATTCGCAAGAAAACGTTCACGCATACGTCTTGCCTCTCTGATGATCTCCTGCCCATCAACGCAAACCGCCATCTTCTTGCTCCTAATTCGTACATGTCCGCAGTTCGTGATGCTTTTAAAAAGCCCTCTTCACTCCGATCTTGACGACTTTCTTTACGCAAGCCTCTTTTCATTGTTGGCTTGCAGATTACGAGTTTTTTCTCTCTCTGTCTCGCTTCGCTTATCATTGATGAAAAGTATAACAGATTGGCAAAGATGATTTGCTTTGCAGCGGTGAGTGTGGGTGTCTCTCTGCATGACACTTTCTTGCTTCGTGTGCCGTGATTTGCGCAGAAAGATTCGTGATTGCGGAGAAAGGCAGAAGAGACATGCATGCAGATCAAGACTCGAGCAAGGCATGCAGGGTCCTCGAGTCTGTCTGTCTCTCCCTTTTATCCGTTGAATTTGTTTCATCCCACCTTTTTGATGATCTCTTTTCGTGTTGCTAGTCACATACAAAGAACACCGTTTGCGATCGCGACAGACAGGACGTTTTAACAGATTGCAAATGTGATTTGCACAGCCGTTCATTTGGGGGTGGTACGTATGACCTCAATACCTTGCTATCTCCAAGTGTCTTGCGTCTTGGATGTTGTTATCGTTATCTGTGAGATGTTTTTTCACCGGTGATTTTCTCGCTCGTGACTTTCTTTGGTCTGCATGACATAGGTGCAGCTAGCCATCTTGTTGACTGCTAAGCCACCGAATCGCGCGTTTTACGGCCGGGAAGACGGGAACAAGGGAGTCACCCTGGGAAGATTATGAGATAGGGCAAAGAGATACGATGCTTCTGTCGGTGTTTGAGATCATGTCTTGACACAAGAGACTGGTGCTGCTATAAGCTACTGTTACAGGTTCGCCATCTCTCCTCCTCACGCCCTTTAAGCTGTGTCACCTTCCAGTGCGAAACATTTGTCTAAGGGCTTGAGTACTTGTAGTCGTACTGCTTCTTGGCCTCATCTCTGAGTCTCTCCAGCTCGGCGTTCTTCTCGGCAAATTCCTTGTCGTCCTTGAGCTTTTGGTTGAAGTTGTCGTTGGTATAGGGCGAAGGACCGGGGATAGCCTGACCCTTTTGGACTGCCGGGCGATCGTTGATCGACTTCCACCACTTCTCCAGGTTCGGGAACTTGCTGAGGTCGACACCCGAGAAATAGGCTAGGTTGACCCAGCTGTAGTTTGCAATGTCTGCAATCGAGTACTTGTTGCCGACGAGGTACGAGTTGGACTTGAGCTGAGTGTCCAGGATACCAAAGAGACGTTCCGTCTCACCTACGTAGCGCTATACGGCACAAAAGGCGGTCAGTATGCAGGAGCGGAACCTTGATGGAGGAAAGAGGAGGGATGTCCGGAAGCTTATTTTGCGTACCTGAGTCGGGTATGGGATTCTTTCCTTTGCCAGTCTGAAGAAGTGGTTGGCTTGACCTTGCATGGGTCCCAGACCGCCGTGCTGCCAAGCGACCCATTGCTCTTGATACGACAGCTGAGGGTCTTCCTTGAAGGAGAACTTGTTCTCGGTGTCTATATTATGCAGGTCAATATATGAGTCCAACCTTGTATCCCGTGGATCGGGCGGGAAATACTTACCGTAGTGTCTAGCCAGGTATGCGAGGATGGCTGGGAACAAACAAATCGAGTCAGCTTGCTATTGTCTTTTCGTGATTGCCATGATCGATCTTTGGACTCACCGGCACCCTCCTGGATCGCAAGGCCACCCTTGTCATGGTCGACAAGAACGGGAATGCGGCCATTGGGGCCCAACTTGGTGTACCAAGGCTCCTTCTGTGTGTTCTTCATAATGTTGACACTCTGGTAGACGTAGTCCTTGCCATAAGCTTCCTTTAGCTCTTCAAGGAAGATGGTAATCTTGTGCTACAGCCACTCGTTAGTACGTTTCGCTCTGTCGTGTTGACTCAACATACGCCATTAGGTGTGCCGAAGGTCAAGAGCTCAAGACCCTTGTTGGCAGTAAGACCAGTAGGCTCGGGTGCGTCGGAAGACATGATATTGGAGACGGGCTTTGTGATTGCTTCTGGTATAATTCGAACGAATTGACGAGGAGTAGATGCGAGACGAAGAATTGGACTGCGGAGGAACATCTGGATGGGAGAGTAGAGTGGTACAACGCGGTCGCTCAAAGATTGTGTAAGCAAATAGCTCACTCACGTCATCGACAACACATCCGGGGGAAGCTCTTGGACCCCGCAGATTATCTCCGTTGCTCCATCAGCATTCGAATCAAGGACAGGGTCAGTAACAGTCTTGGTCGCACAAGAGGATGCTGATCGTCAAGGCTCAAAACCATATGAACATTGCTCGTTACAAACGTGCCAAAATGCTACATCAATGCATGCTCTAACAATCAAGACTCAATGAGAGAAAGAAAAAAATACAAAAGACCACGCCATATCCTGTCATGCCGCTCTACCCAGGCATATCGTGTTGAGGAAATCTCGCAAACGCAAAGAAAGAATANCCNCCCCGCCGGTATGTGAATAATGCTTTTTGCCCTCTCGTCAATTCAAAAGGCCTTCTTCCATCAATCCTTGTCTTTATCCTTGTCCTTCTGCTCGTTCTTTCGTCGTAGACCTGTGAGGCCGGGTATAAAGTCCTTAAGTCGTCGTTCTCTCTCTTCGCGCTTGGCCTTTTCTTTCTTCTCTTTCTCGCGCTCTCGTCTTTCCTTTTCGCGTGCAAGGCTAGGTAGTGCGGTCGTTGTGTCAGTCTCGCTGCTAACGACACTACCATTGGCACTGCCATCGCGTTCGCGTTCCCTTGACTTGCGCTCGCGGTCTCGCTGTGGGAAATGCAGATTGAGACTTGCAGAGGTGGGGTCACGAGGGAGCGGTGCGCTACCCTCGCGCATGAATGCCGCCCCAATATTGTTGCTGTAAGAACCTGAAGCCGAGACTGATGCGGTTGATGTCCCCGGTCGCATCATCTCGAAACTGCCCTTCTCGAAATGACGACCGTTGTCATGACTCAGGATGCTTACAGCTGCTGTCTGTGCCCCTCCATCACGATCTTCTTCCCAAGACGGTGGAGGAGGGCCTTCTGTATCAGTGTTGAAGCGGCCGAGTCCGACACCTCCTACGCTGAACCCACGACCTCTCGCAGAATCGAGTTGAGAGGCTTGGTTTGTGACATCGTCGAAGGAGTCGCGCGTCGGTACATTCAGCGCGTCATCGATTCGGGCACCATTCTCAAGGAGCGACGTGCTTTGCAACTGATCTATAAGCTCTTCCCAGCGGAAGCTAAGCGCAGAGTTAGGGCGCTCAGCGCGCTCGGCACGAGATAGACACTCCTTGGTTTGAGCATCGAGTGTTCGGCACAGCCTGTGGAATGTCAACAGGTCGCCATCTTCCTTGCCAATTTGAGCTGCTAGCAACTCTGCTTCGCTGCCGTTTGTCGTGCCGTGCAGCCAGAGCTCGACCAAGCTTGCGATCTCGCGACTCTGGTCAATGAGATAAGGTAAACTGGGGAAACCTTCACGACTAGTCATAGGCAATCGTGATTGGATGGCCAAAGGAGTCGAGTATGAAGGAGGCTTCTGATTGATCATGCCATCGGGAGCAGAGATCGAACAAATGTCGTTAATGAAAGTCTTGAAAGCCTCCCTATGATCAGTGAGGAAGACATTCATCGGTTCCATCCAATGTTCTTTGCTGCCGAACGAGGCCATATTGGCAAGACCTTGTAGAGACTTGGCGATCAAAGTGAATGTTCGTCGTGCGCGAGGCTTTGGATCGTCCTTCAGAAGGCCGAAGAGCTTGGGATTGAGCACTGCTGGGCAGAAGAAGCGCAAAAACAGGAAACCAGAGACACTGCTGTAGCTGACGCTTCTCAAAAAGTCGCCGTACCTGTCCTCGGCACAAGCTCTGATGTGTCTGAAGATGACTCTCAATTCCGAAGGCGCGTTCCTGGCACTAACTTTGATTGTGTTCCAGACTGATTTGGTGCAGTTTATGAGTCTGTCCCAATTCTTCTTTAAGTCATGCTGATTGGCTACACGATTAGGGTCGACTTCACAATCGGGGTCCTTCTCGTTGATGTCTCTGATGATGGGTCCAAGGCAGTCGAGGAGATATTCTTTGCCCACTCTACGCATGTGAGAGTCCAGAGACTTGGTGAGGAGTGTGTTTCCTCGGAAGAGCAAGTTCGCTTCAAGTGTTGCGTTCTTGTTCATATCGCGAACCATCAATTCTCTCTCGCTTGCAGCAGTAACATTTGCGTCTGATTCATTGTTGCTGTTTGCCATGCGACGGGTGTACCTCATGCGAGATACTGGAGTCTCTTTGTGTACACCGTCAATCTCTTCCTCAACCAGAGCCATGATCCACTCAGTGACCTGACCAGATACTTGGAAGATGTTCAACAGCAGATCTGACAGCCGTCTCAGCTCTGTAGGAATCATCTGAGCGACCTGTAATGTGAGCTCGTTCGAGAAGTTGTGCAACAGATCGTTCAACGGCTTGTAATCCTTTGCCATGAGAATAACATTTTCTTCGGCACGAGCCTTGATCAAAATCTCGCCAACGTTCTCACCATGCTGATTCATGACGGGCCACCACTTCTCAACTTCCTTGCTCGCTTCCAATTCCTCAAGATAGATTTCGACCTTGCCGAGCTGCTGATCGTTTTGTACAGGCATAAATCCGGCAGAGCCACCAGTCGTGTGCGAGGGATCAAGCAGACCGTAAGCTTCATGTACAAGACGAAGTTCGTGTTGTTCGCGAGGGCTCGAAAGATCGGGTGGGCGACGCTTCAAAAGGACAGAGGCTGAGGTAAGGACGGCGGGCAGATCTAAGTAGTCAAACTCCTCGCGCCAGAAGGGCGCCATTGACTCATGTTTAATTTGTGTCTTGCCTCGGGTTTCACCGTCGAGATGAATCTCGACATAGTACCCGTCAGAGAGCTCTGGCTTGTTCGCAGCATTGTTGTTGTTATTGTTATTATGGCGATTCGAGTGGTGATGGTTAAACTCGGCCAGCGAACTCAAAGGAGCGTGAGGCAGCTTGGCCTCTATGACACGAATTGACAGAGCACGTTCCATGCGAAACATTTCGATCTTCTCATTGGCCATCATGTTATCGAAAGCGGTAGATGAGGGAGTGTCTGGAATAATAGCAGACTCATCTGGATGACCGTTGGGTTTGGGTCCATAGAGCTGAGGTATTGTGAAAGCTCTGAGCAGAACAAACCAGACTTCATAGAGGATACGAGTTTCCATGGATAAATATATCGGTCGGATAGCAGTCGTGACAGTGGCTCCAGATGTGTACTGAGGATATATGGCTATGCAAAAGTCGTTGTCCAAAACAGAAGGATCCAGTCTTTGAACGGCGCTTCGAGATAGTTGGGATAGTTGAACGACTGAAAGAAGGGTCGAGCCAGACTCTGCGTATAGTTTGAGCTCGCCGTTCTCACGCAAAGTGCAGGACACGCGCCTCCACCAATGCGAGCCGTAGCTCTGGAAACGCGAGGGTGAAGGTTTCAGTGATCTTGGTGTTCCGGCGTTCGTATATGAGATGTTACTGTCCCAATAAATCATGGGACCGACCTTGATGATGGGAGCCTCTTTTAGTGTCAGAGACATCTCCGAGTTGCGCCTGCTGTCAGTCAAGGTGATGCCTTGTACGACAGGAGATTGCGGTTTGGTCATCTTGTTGTTCAGACCTCTGGGACGAATTGGCTGCCAACAGAGGAGAGCAGCGAACCAAGAGTCGAAGTCTTTACGATCTTTCAGGCGAATATGCAGCTGCAAGGTCGAGTTTGGTACCGAGATGTCAAGATAGGGCATCTGGGTATCTTCATCCATGGCGGTGCGGACTTGACAGCCACGTAGATCGGGTATGAGGGTGCGTTGGTGAGGAGAGTTGACGTCGGCCTCACAGAGCAGACTGCCCGTGTCCTCCTGGATATAACAGTATGACTGGAGCCACGTCGCTGTAGTACCACGACGGAACCAAAGCGTACCTGACATGCGGCCACACAAGGTCTTCATAAGATGCAAGATCCGCCTAGCGCTAGAGTTGGGCAAGGCACCAGAGACACTGGCCGCATCCGACATTGGAGATCGGGGGCGTCTGGAGGTAGACGACGATGTGGACTGCGAAGGGTCGAAGGACGAGGTGGAGGCGAGCTGTGTAGACACACTCTCACTGCCGGAAAGGTGGAATGAGCCATGGCGTAGACGGCTGCCAGGTTGAAGCGCAGTACCAGGAGACACATCGCGTGAGGCGCTCTCATCCAGCGTCCTTGTACGGTTACGGCGGTTGGCCGAGGTGGAGGTGTATTGCAAGCGATTGCGCGCGTTGTCGGTCGACTCGCTACGGCCGAGTAATAGAGATCGAGGACTATCACGATCTCTCTTTAGGCTCGTTCTAGGAGATGAACCCAGCACGTGTCCCTCCATGTTTATCGTCGTCTCTTCTACAACCGAGTCGGGAGTGACGGTACGGATGGTGTTGTCGCTACGGACGGGACGAGGCCCTGGGAAGTGCTGTTCGCGCACTTCACTCGTTGTCTGTATGATGCTCTGTGTCACGGGCTGGGGTTGTGACATGGCGGAGCGTTCCTGGTTCAGGTACTCGTCGTACAGACTGGGCTGCTTTCGACGGCGGCTCGACTGCTCGGCCCATTTCTGGCGAGGCGCGGGTTCCATGTGAGCCCTCATGCTTTTTCCGAGTCGTCGATGGCCTCAGGCTTGCTATTCGCTCCCCGCGCAACTGGCGGAGGGAGAAGCAATCGGCGGCGTCAGAAGCGGTGCCTGGAGGGCGAGGGGGAAATGGTCGATTGGGCGAGGCGACGCGCTACAGCAGACATAGGGCCGCGATGCCTGCTGTGCGGAGCGGGTGTCCAGGTATATACGTGTATGGGGGCCGAGGGTGGAGGGAAGACTGCATGCACAAGTTTACTTTCGCCGATGGAGAATGCGTTGGCAGGAATTGATGCTGTGGTCGAGGGCTTTGCTTGACGGAGAATAGGATGGGAGATAGGATGCGTCGTCGTAGCGGTGCTTGCTGTGCTGGCGCTGGTGCTCGATGGGCGCAGAAAGCCAACGGCGCTGCACTCAAGCCTACTCGCTATGAAGACCGTAAACTGCCTTTTGCTGCGAAACGTTGCCTCTCCCCAGACCTGCTCTAATGCCTCAATGCTTGTTGACCGCTGCTTCGTTCAAGCCGGCACATGACTTTGAATGCCCGAATAAGATGCAACTAATGCTATGGCCGCCTGATAGAAAGGGCCCCGCTACTTAATTCCATTCCCTATATTGCCCTTGTTGCATCGAAGCCGCAACTTTCCAATCTTGTCCTGTCCCGCTTTTTGATTGGTCAGTCTGGGCAAAAACGGTCCAGACGCCGTCGGTGCTCGCTCGACCAACTCACTGCAACGAGGCGAGCGACGTTTCAAGTCCTCCAGGCAAACCTATCCGCGAAACATTCTCAGCAAGAAACAATCTATCTCCAAGACCAGGAATCCTCTGACATGCTTCCACCGCCTCCATCTGCGGGTCTTCTTACTGGACATCTTGCTCAAGGTACGGTAGGTACTGCTCTGCCGTGTTTCAGGTACAGTGCCGCCGTGCATCTTCCTCGCAGTCATCCTTTGCAGGCAGCCAACCAATCTCTCTTGACATGCTCAATCTCACATCATCCTGTCATCCTGGCATGCTATTCATATACAATCCATATAAACATCACAAGAGCGGGTAGACGCTTCGTTTTGCCTGTCACGTTTCAGAGCATTAACATTTGAGATTATGCTTCAGGTAGTAGAAGTATCGTCATAAGCATACCGCACATCGCACACCTTGGTAGACCAAACAGAGGGAAGAGATGGATAGATCAGAGCGAGAGGAAACAAGCCTGGAATTATTCATGAATAGAGAGAAACAAGGAGACTTGAAAAGAGGAAGAAGGTCAGCGCGCGGGGTGTGTCGGAGTGTAAACCGTTTCGTGTTAATCGTAATTGTGTCTGACTGATGATTTAAAGCCATGTCTTTCCGGACCACTATCTTCGAGACCAACAGAGCTTGCTGGATAGGGTGCTATCTTTGATGCTGTAAAGTCTCCACTGGCCGTCTTGCGCAAAGCCTGGCGCATAGTCTCAATGGTGAGCTCTCCGTGTTGATGGTTGTGAGGACCGCCGATTGGGCTTCGCACTGGGCTCATGTCGAAGCCTTTGATTGATGTTGGATTGCTCCCGATCGGTGGAGTCGTCACTTCTTGCGAGTATTGCGAAGATAATGGCGAACGCGTAGGTGATGGTGAGCGAGGTAGCGGAGGAGAGTGAGCGTGGGCGTGACTGAAGGTGCTTGCTGACATGGGAGTGTGATGTAACGAGTCCTTCGACTCTGCCTGTTCCGCCTGGACCACATCGGCGAAAGAGATGAAACTCAGTCTGCGCACATCGGCAGGATCTAGGGCGCCATAGTTGGAGGCAGCGTCGTCGAAGTCCTGCTGGTGAGAGCTGACCGAGTGGAAGCTCTCGTGTTGTGAGTCCTGTGGTGAGACAGGAAGCTGTGCGTCCAGATGAAGAGCGCTAGCTGTGCCCTCTGCGACCTTCTCGGAAGCAGGTTGATGCGCCGTGTGGGTAACAATCTCGACTTGATCCGGATTCAGGTGGCTGTCTGTGATGGCGAGGGAAGAGGCCTCGAGCACGGCAGGGATGTGGTCCTCGGTCTGGATGTGTGCCGGAATGGCGGGCGACATCTCGCTGGGTATAGACGACTCTTGTACATTGCGCTCGAAGATCTGCGACGAGGCCAGGGTCGAAGTGGATTGACTCGAAGCCAGAGCAAAGGGCAGACGCGTCGGTGAAGCTGCGACAAAGCGACTGGGCGGAGAGGGTGATGTGGTGAGAGGGTTCATGTCTGCTGGTGTAGGGCTGGACTCGGACAAGGGCGCGTCGGTAGTCGCGTCAATGGCAGCAGTGTCGGAGGACTTGTCCTTTTTCTTCCCAAGACCAAACAATCGTCTCTTGCTGGCTTTTGCTGATGAAGCTGTCGTGGGAGTTTGGGCCGAGACTGGCTGAGGATTGATAGGCGCCGTGTCTGATTGCGAACTGAAGGTCGATGTGGGAGGAGAGTGGGCACGAGCCGACATGGTGGTGGGCTTTCTTTTGTCCAAGGAGCTATCGATCAAGGATAAGGCCCTGGCACGTAATGACCAAACCTTGATTTGGCAGGAATCCGTCTTGATAATCAACGAGGAAGCTAGAAGAAGAGAAACGTGCGCACGCCTACAAGATGCCTCGTCTGTGACTTGCAGCCTTGCTCACTTGTTGACAACGGCGATACGACCGCAGCCTCGCGGATCCGCCGTCGTCATGCGCGCCCTCCTTCAGGGTCTTGGTCGATGTGATCTTTTTGCTTTTGCTAGCGAGCCTGCCGATTCAACATGCCAAACCAACACGTATGCAGGTACGACTACCTTGGGATAGACATTGAACCGTCCCTCTGAAACACTGGTCCTGTCTTTGCGAATACAACTTCATCTCGCGACCGCTCTTCGAATCCACATCTCTCACAAATCTGTGTGTGGCTCCTCATCAGACGTGTCACAATCCTCGTCATATGCCCTCGGCAGCGTTGAAATCCGCTCCGAGTGCCCCATTTGTACGCCGCGAAACACCTGGAGTCTTGCCGCCGTTCAAACTCTACCAACCACTCGTATTGTGCGACGTGTTCCATCCCACAGACAACTTGCAACTCGAGCCGTCCGAAGTTACTCCTTTCGCAAGCACATCCTTCTGGGGACTCCCGGCACCACGTGGATGCTTGGCTTCTCTTCCATTGACACCCGGATACGTACTGACGTGATGCTTGCCAATTTTGTATTCTCACATTATCACATTGAGTCAGGGTACTGCATATTGAGGACGGTCACCGGACCAAGATCCGCCAAAGATCGGGAGCACTAGCATCTCTATCCATATTTGCGGTACTCAACGTCAGCATATTTATTGGAGCGTGCTCTTGGAACGTTGCCGTGGGACCGATAACAACGAGACAGCATATCACAAGGCACCTGGCCTTCACTGCCCAAGTGACTACTTGATTGAGCCATACTACTTCCTTGCTCCTCCCCGTGTGGTCAATGCTGTCACTCTGAGCCTTTCTCGATGATCAGGGTAGAACGACGGGGAGCTGTAGCGAAGCAAAGTCATCTCCTACTTTTAAGATCTGAAGTCCAGGTATCTCGGTCCCGTTGCTCCAATTCAGATACGTTTGTGCCTTGAGAGAGCTGCAAGCGTAACAGCATTTCGCCCACAGAGGGCTCGCGTCTATTCCGTGTCTCTTCGCTTTGGACGTTGCCTAAGGCGACAATAATGCCAAGACTTTTGGCTTGTTGCATAACCCTGGCTCGATTTTCAATGTCTTTTTTACTGCACAAACTGAGGGCTGTGATAGCCACACAGGAGTCGGATGTATCTGATTCGAATGAGTCAATGTATCACATAGTATCATGGCAGTCTAACTGTCCGAGTAGCTTGGGTCATTATCCTTCACTTGAATTCGACGTCTGCTCCGAGACAAGACCCATCGCTGGACTCGATGATGCATTGACGATAAGTCCCCGAGACATGATCAAGACAAAGTGCTAAATTTTGATGTTGACCTCAGAACATGAAGTTGTGAACAGGTTTCTCAGCTTGTGATATTCGATGCGCAAATGCGTGTACACAGACATATAGTGCCCAATCGAGACTAGTCTCAAGCGACCACGCCTGCCAACTATCGCCAACAACATGACCACCATCCATGTACAACGACATCCATCAAAATCACCAAAAATGGTTTCTTCAAAACACAACACAACACTCCTCCAACCATGGCTCAGCGATCTGAAGGCTGGCTACAACAAAAGTATAACCACGCGACCAAACTACTACCTCAACTCTCCGTCTAAAACTCTAATCACAACTTCCAACCTCCACTCCCTCCATCTCGGCACCGGCGAGTCTATCCTCAAATCTTTGATCCCGTTACTAGAATCTGCGAATGAAGAAGTGGTGCTGGTTACTTGTTTTTGGGCCACTTCTGCGAGTCAGAAACTTATCAATGAGGTGCTGAAAATCTTGTCGGAAAAGGCAGTTGCTCGGGACAAGGAAATTAGAGTAAGGATATGCTTCTCATCATCGGGAATTTTACAAAAACTGTTACATCCGCAGAGTTTGGCGGGAAAGGTGTATGAGCCCGAATCATGGCAGAGTGCTCTTCAACTACCAGCACCAGAAGAATTGCAAGGTCTGGATATGGTGGTCAAGAGTATCTTTCTCTTGCCATTTTCAGTCATGCATCCGAAATTCATCATCATAGACAGGAAGATTGCGGTATTGCCTAGTTGTAACGTTTCCTGGGAAGACTGGTTCGAGGGCGCTGTTGTGTTGTCAGGAAGTGTCGTATCTTGCTTTGTGGACTTTTGGAGGGAGTTTTGGGCACAGCAGGAGGATAGGGATGAACTTCTCACCATGACTACGGATCTGGAGCAGGGGATTGATGTCACCAGGATACCGCAATCACAACCGGGAAGCTTGCTCTCGCATACAGCACTGGCCCTAGCGAACGTCACCACGATATTCCTGCCTAGCCCACATAACAGAAACCCTGGCTTTACATTTCCATGGCAAGATTACTCACCGCCGCCTCCGACACCTCTGAATACATTCTTCCTCCGCAGTCTTGCTGCTGCGGAAAGAAATGTATATATCCAAACCCCAAACCTCACGAGTCCCCCAGTACTCACAGCTATCCTACACACCCTCCAACGCGGCATCGACATCCACATCATCACCAGCGAACGCCTCATGATATTAGAACAACTAGTAACCGCCGGCACCACAACATCCCGCTGCATTTCCCGTCTTGTCTCACGCTACAACACCCTGCTTTCACCCTCCTCTTCCGATCTCGAAGCCGGTACGCGCCGACCAGGAAAGCTTTCTATCGGATACTTTGAACCTAGAAAGCAAGGAGACAGAGAACCTCGACAAAGTCATTTCAAGTGCACGATTGTAGATGAGGAGTTGGTGATTCTGGGGTCGGGGAACTTGGATAGGGCGAGTTGGTATACTAGTCAGGAGTTGGGTTGCGCGTTTTTGGATAGCGGGTTTGCTGGGAAGTTGAAGGGCGAGTTGGAGAGGGCTTTGGAGGGGAGGGTGAAGCGTGTGCTGTAGAGAGTTGGTGGTGGGAGGGAACAGTATGAGGGCTGTGTTGAGAAGATACGAGGAAGCGAGCGATGCCAAGAGGGCGAGTAAAGACCATTCATCTATAAAGAAAAAGAGAGGGAAGGAGAGAGAGGACGAAGGTCTGTCAAGACAGTAAGACGAGTGGCGAAAGACCATGAGAAAAGCAGAGATAGACCACGCATTGTGGACCCTCGACCTTATACACAGAACATACATCAAGCACTTGCTCAACCACACCATCAACTCATTTTGGCAAAGACATTTTGAACCTTTATCTTTTTGGCATGAAAAAAACCTACGAAACGAGTCTTTTTTCTTTGGTTGGACGAAACGCCGATTATACCCTGCACTCCGTCGAACCGACTCCATTCGTCCCTCGCCACTCCAGCGTCGCCTCGACAAGTCTCTTCTTTGTGTTTCTCGTCGGGTGCAAAAGGTGTTCTCGTGATAAGATATAGCCACGTTGGAAAATGGTAAGCTCGCAAAACAGCAACATGGGAACTTTTCAGTCAACATCTCCTGCTTCTCCTCCCCTTTGGATAGTTTGTTACATCAAAAAAGCATTTAAGCTCTCGACATGACGCCCCAGGCGCGGATCTTGTTGTCGGTGTAACCGGCGAAGAGGGTCTGACCGTCGGCGGACCAGGCGAGCGAGACACACTCGGGCTCTCTGCTCTTCTTGCCAACCTCGACGTACTCGGGCTTGAGCTCGTCAACCTTGCTCTTCTTCTCGAGATCGAAGATGATGATGCTCGAGGCGGTGGCGGCGCACAGCCAGTAGCGGTTGGGAGAGAAGACAAGGGCGTGGATCTCGTCACCGGCGTTGAGCGAGTAGAGGTGCTTGCTCTCGTTCAGGTCCCAGAGCATGGTGGTACCGTCCTTGCCACCGGAGGCGCAGAGGGAACCGTCGGGGGAGATGGTGACGGTGTTGATGTAGCCGGTGTGACCGATGTGGTCAGTCTGGATGCGGCAAGTGGCGAGCTCCCAAACCTGTGATTCGAAGAATTGTCAGCGCATTGTTCATCAATCGGTTGCTAGTCGTTGTGAAGTCTGTGTTATGCGAAGGATCAGGGCAAATGGGTGAATAGTTGTCTCATGGCGGTAGATGGCCGCTCTGAAGTAGCAAATACAATTATGCAATACATCATGTCGAAGGGAGAAGTGCGATGTGGGGAGGGAGCTGCAACGAACCTTGACGAGCTTGTCCCAGCCAGCGGAGACGATGACGGGGTTCTGGGGGTTGGGCGAGAAGCGGACGCAGGAGACCCAGTCGGTGTGGCCCTTGTCGGTGATGGTGTACTTGCAGTCACCGAGGGTGTTCCACAGCTTGATGGTGCGGTCACGCGAAGCGGAAACGATCTGGCGGTTGTCGGCCGAGAAGGAGACGGACAGAACGTCGTTGGTGTGGCCGACAAAGCGGCGGGTGGTCTGACCGGTGGAAAGCTCCCACAGGCGGAGGGTCTTGTCCCAGGACGAGGACAGGGCGTAGGCACCGTCGGAGGAGATGACCTGTTTGTAGGTCAGAGGGCTTGTTCGAACTGCTTAACGACGGCGGATCTTATCATACACAGTCGGAGACAATGTGCGAGTGACCGTGAAGGCTGCGCTTGGGGTAGCCGTATGAGGTCTCGTCGCGGGTCAAGTTCCAGATGATCAGGGTCTTGTCGCGCGATGCCGACAGGAGCATGTTGGGGCTGAACACGAGGCAATCAGCATCTCTGCCTCTCTGTATAACTCTCTTTCCTGCGAATGGTGCTCACTTCTCAAGCGAGGTAGCCAGGCTGGTGACCCAGCCGGAGTGGCCCTCGAGGGTGCCGCGAAGAACAAGTTGCTCGGCCATGTTGACTTATGGAGGATCGCTGCAGCTCAATTGTTAATCTGGGTGTCCTGTTTCGTCGCGCGCTTTCGCTGCAGAGTGGTTGCTGACCTGACGGAGTGAGACGTGGGCGATTGACTGGCGGCTACGAAGATCCGTTCAGTAAAATTGATGCAAAGGACGACCAGACGCTTGCTTGGTGCGTCGAAAATCCGTGCCGAACTTCAACCGTGTGCTGCATGTCCAGAAACTAGCGTCCCCGGTCCCGCCAAGCCAACCAACCATCATCTCGATAATCTGGACCTTTACATGTTCAGTTATCCGATCTTGACTGATCATGGCGGAGAGTGGAATCATTCCTATGTGATAGTCACACCGTTGGCGAAGAACACCCGGACACGCCGTTGTTCTTTCCAAACCAAAACTTGCGCAAGCTGCTGAAGGAAGGCACCCTCACGAAGCGTCGGCTCGCAGTTCCAACACCAGCACTTGAATCACCACTCGCTGCAAACCCATCCTTACGGTTCAGCACACAACAGACATATCGTTCTTGCTCTCAATACGCATGAGTTGCCGGGTCAAGTATCGAGTTGATCGTCATCAACGCTGTTCTTAGCTTGCTCTGCCTGCTATCTCAAGTCCTCTTGTCCTTTATCCTTTGGTTTCCCCCAATGTCACAATTCCTGTCCCGAGCCATTGATTCTTCCTGACCGTTCTCCCATTCCCATTGTCTGATGCGAGAATCTGCTTGTGTGAACTTCCCCTTGACTTCTCCTTTTCTCCGAGATCCACGCTTCATTCATGCTTCTCTCAATCTCCGTTCCTCATTGTACTCCTCCTTCGTCGCTGTCTTCCCCTTCCCGATTTCCTTAGCTCTGGACTCGTCCTGCGCCAGAGACTCAGCAGCAGTCTCCTTTATCAGACTTCTGAGAGCAACGGCCGCTCCCACAGCACAAGCCCCGCATTTGGCTCCCACGAACCCGGTACCTTTGCACCCCTGGCAGGGGATCTTACTGTTACATCATATCAGTATCTGCTCAAGCACATGTCAAATAGACCGCGAGGACCGAGTGTCTGGGAAAAACAAGGGTGTTGCCTACGTTCTCAGCACATGACCGGCGCATAGTCTGCACGTGGAGATTCTCGTGCCGTTGATGCAGCCGTGGCGAGGATCTCTCGGTCGCAGCACCGAAGGCTTTGCTGTCGCAACCGAGGAAGGTTCAGTTGTTCTTACTGTGGTAGTAGAAGCAGATAAGGACGCAGAGGTGATGCTTTCGAGAGCAAAGATGAGGTCAGGGTTGGTCGTCATGGTGGATGTGTGGGTGTGGTATGAAGCAGACACGAGTGATGAGTATGTGTGTCTGTGCCGTAGTTGAAGGAACAAATATCGTAGTATGCATATATGCCAGAGCGGAGGAAAGAAATGGCATGCTGGATTCAGGCGCATGTTGACCAGACCGCCCGTGACTATCGTGACAGACTAGATGCGAGAGAGTCACATTCAAGGAAGAGTAGTTTGCACGTGGAGAGGCTAAACGTTTTAGCATGTACCGTTCCACGTGCGAGCATGCGCAAAGGTCATGTCCATCTGATCTTGCTTTTCGTTCCCTCAGAATCTAATGCAAGTTCATGATATGGCATAGGCAAATTCTCATGTCGATATGGAATGTCGTTTTTAACTTGATGATTTGTGAGAGTCTGTGGAAGCTATTAGTCTGAAGTATACTGATGCAAGGGACGCGGTCTTGGGCTACTTTATAAATGCTTTGCACGCCTTCGAAGTCTATCTCCTGCGCTTCCCCCGAATTGTCCCATCTCCCGAGGGACGTATATCTTGTTTCTCAAGGTCATTTGCGTATCACTACAGGTTAAAATAGATTGTGGCCATGGTAGGCATGACACCAGGAGCTGAATCGAAGACTTTGATTAATTGGGAAAGTATCCATCCAAAACGAAAATACATAACATGGGATATCGAGCAAGTAAAGGATAGTAAGCCATATTCACAAAAAGAAGAAGAGTAATCGCACAAGAAGCAGAAATCAGCCTACGCAAGACGATAAAGGGAGATCGGGGCCCTCTCTTGGCTTCCCAGTCATGGAGCGTCAGTCAAGGCATCTCGACTGGGGAAGCTAGCGGAAGCTGAAGCTGACTCGAGAAGACCGCACCTCTCGCATCGCAGAGTTTCTCATTGGCCTCAAGCTCGGCGATACTTTGCAGTGGCTGACTTCCAGCATTGTCGCCACGTATCGTTGGTGCTGATGTTGTGCTTTCTGCAAAGCTATGGTCGCTCATACTGCTGGGACTTCGGATTTCCGGATCTGCCATGCTCCCGCGGCTTCGACTGTGCATGAGAGATGTGCGTGGCGAGGTGACTGTGAGGTTGCTGGCCGCACTGGTTCCTGTAGTGAGACCGCTGGCCGTGCTGGTTCCTGTGAGAACCGAACCACGACGATAATTGTCTCGGACTTTCTTGTCGTCTGCCAGATCTGCCTTGACGACCAGTCGCTGAACGAGAACATTGTGGGCCTTGTTCAGAGTCTTCTTGACAAAGCTCGTGAGGAAGATGTTGCAGCTCATGTCAATATCTTCGCGTAGATATAGTCCTTCTCGAGGTATGCCCAGATGGCCGTGTCCAAGTTCAATGACTTCGCGCTCTTCCCCAGGTTCGTTGCCGCCAATGCTCCATTTCTCTTTAATCTCGAGACCAGCAGGAGCGTAGACATGAGTTTGCAGAGCGCGTGGTAAATCGTGGAAGCAGGCCTTGTAACTGACTTGGCCTTTGAGGCCAGGAAGATATGTGATGCGATCCGTGAGCTCGTACCAAATTGCGTGGAACTCGTCGGCTGGTGCGGTGGAAGGAGGTTTGCATTTCTCGTGGCGAATGACCAAAGGGTTCAGCTCGATCATCTCGCTGTGTGAGTGTAGCATCGCGACGGCTGTCTCCCGGCTCACGGTGGGAGGTAGCGGTGTCACGACCGAGTATATGCTTCGTTTCCAGAGGACCATTGTGTCTTGCGATTGATGTTCCGGACGGAGAGGCGATGCGTAACAAGCTGTCTTCAGGTCGGAGTCGGCTGAGTCGGAGAGTCGAGAGGGCGCCTGAGCGAGGGATCAAAGGCGCATTGATCTATCAGACGCAGAGCTTACGTGTGGCCGTATGCAAGTAGTTTTTGCAACCAATGTGTCGCAAGACATGGGCGGACCCAGCTTATCTACCAAGCCCTCCATTCGGTCATGCAACGGTCGCAGCCGCAACTGTCATGATTTCGACCACAGGTGACAGGTCAGACTCCTTCTGGTTCCCCGTGTCTCACCAAAAGCGGTCGAGATGGCTTCGCTCGAGGGCCGCTTGAAGGTAAACTCTCCAATAGTGCCCGTGCTTTATGGGCTGTTTTGGCCCAATAGGAAAACGCAGCCAAAGCTTGGCTCTACTCTAAATGTCTTTGCGAGCGTCATCGTTGTGGACCTTACCCCGAATGCGCTCACCAGGTTGAAGGCTCCTCTTTCCTGAGGCTCCAAACTCTTCATCTAATTCAATTTCCCCAAAAGTGTTCTTGTCTTGAACCCAGTCAACTGCAGGCGTTCTGGAAGGCGTTCTAGGAAGTGTTTCTCTTTACCCCATCACCAAGTCGATACCCTTCGGCCCCATCGTTTCAATTCAACATCCGCGGGCCGATCAACAAACCGCGATTTGGAGGCTCTTACCCTCCATCTCCATTAACTCGGCACCATGGTTTGGGAACAGCTTGAACCGACGCCGCCCCATCTTTCATACCTGCTAATCTCGTCCTTTTTGATCGTCTATTGTCTTTTCGCTACCTTTGTCAGAAATCGACTCCATCTGTCGGAGCCACCATTGGCACTTCTGGTTGGTATTCTTCTGGGGCCAAGATTACTTGGCTGGCTCAATCCAAACTACTGCTCTCAGCAAGGATGCAATGGCGATGAAAGCAGCGAGAGATGGGGATGGGGAGATACTCAAATCCAAGAGATATCTCGCGTTATTCTTGGTGTACAGGTCTTCACTGTTGGTGTTGGTCTTCCCAAGTTCTATGCCTCTAAGCACTGGAAGAGTGTTGGTATCCTTTTGAGTAAGTCCATTTGACCTCTCCAGATTGAAATCAACATCAACAAAGAGCCATGGCAGTGCGTGGCCTTTCGAGTATCGTGTGAAGCTTGAGAGACTCATCTCGATTTCATCATTTTTGAGATGGTTCTGGACTAGATCCAGGGGAACATCTGGTCCAACTGCTTCTTCAACATGGCAGTTCTTCCAGAAGAGAATTGCTTATATTGATAATCATGACCAACCATGCAATACATCAAGAAACATCATGCTGACTGTCCTTCCAGCAATCGTCATGACCGCTGGCTGGTTTATCTGTGCTCTTTTTGCCGCCTTGATGTTCAAGACAGACATCGCCACTGCCCTGACTATCGCCGCCTGTCTGACACCCACCGATCCCGTTCTGTCGGCGTCCATTCTCTCAAACAGTCAATTCAGCGGAAGGGTACCAAAACGCATCAAGGACATGTTGGCTGCCGAATCCGGTTGCAACGATGGAATATCATTCCCGTAGGTCTAACATCAAGACAGTGAAGATATGTACTTACTCCCAATTACAGGTTCCTCTACATCGGATTGTACGCACTCATTCATGCTACCCCCAAGGAGGCCGTCAAGGAGTATTTCCTCATTACCATTCTCTGGCAGTGTACTCTAGGCATCATTATCGGTCTTGTCATTGGCACCGTTTTCAACAGGCTCTTGCGCTTCTCTGATAGCCGCAAATATGTCGACCCTGCCGGTATGATCGTCTTCTATCTATTGCTCGCGATCTTCAGTGTCGGTGTAGGCAGCATCCTGGGCTCGGATGATTTCCTTGTCGCTTTCGGCGCTGGGTATGGTTTTGCTCGAGACGGCTGGTTTAGAAAGAAGATCAAGGACGCTCATCTTCCAGATGTGACCGACCTTCTGCTCAACTCTGCCATGTTCATCTACCTCGGTACCATCATCCCCTGGGAGGCCTTTGGAGCTCGCGACATCACTCCCAACGTCACGCCCTGGAGACTCTTCGGTTTTGCCGTCTTGGTCCTGCTTTTCCGACGCATCCCCATCATGCTTTTAAGTTACAAGATCAACCCGGACATTCGCACATTCCGCGAAGCACTCTTTTGCGGACATTTCGGCCCTATGGGTCTCGGTGCAGTCTTCCTCGCCATTGAAGCTCGCGCCACTCTCGAGACTGGAACTAGCGAGCCTCTACCTCAGCCTCCTAGCTTTAAGCCACCTTACAGTGATCGTGAGAGAGCTGTCGGGATGCTGTGGCCCGTTGTCTGCTTCGTCGTCATGAGCAGCACTTTTGTGCACGGACTGAGTGTTCTGGCTCTCAGTATCTCCAGCCATTTCCGCAGAAATGAGGGTGAGAGAGCGCCACTTTTGGCTCAGGAGACTGATCCCCTGGATGGTATGGAGCATGAACGTCCTGAGGATATGGATACGGATATGGAGGAGGACGAGGAATAGAGATGTTGCTGCAGACATGGAGAAGGAGACAGGAGGCTTGCTTTGATAAAATGAAACAAAAAACTAGGCTGTCGTCCTTCTATGGAAAACATAAGACAACTGGCCAATTGTAGACACCGGGGTCTAGCTCGTTGTGACGCAGAATGCATAGACCTCTATACAATCAACAATGTGGACCAACTCTCCTTTGATCCATCTACGCTCTTGTACTGATGACCTTCTCTTTTCCAGCTATGTGCGTTTGTCGTGTAACTTCAAGTCTCTTAGTCCATCCATCTGGAGACAGTAACCCAACTACGACGCACAGAGTGTCTTCTTCCAACACCATCTTCCTGTTCAGTCTCTCCCATTCCACTTCCTTGATTGTCGTCCTCGACCGAAGGCTGAATGTCCTGATCATCCTCTGTAACGCCGTCGACTTGGTTGTTGGTCTCGCTCGAGGACTGGACGAATCTAGGAGGAACACCCACACTTCTGTCTCCATGGTTGTTTGAGGACTGCACGAATCTAGGAGGAACAGGGATGTTTCTGCCTTGATTACCGCGTTGAAGCGGTGGCTGAAGAACTCTAGGGGGAATGTTCTCTTGATCATTGAGGGATTCTTCATCGCTTTCCTCGGGGATAGTGGTATGAGCAACAGGACTCGAGATGTCATGGCCAATACCAGCAGCAGTGGGGGTACGTGCTTGAGCGGTATAGTCACTGTTGCTCGCCGTCAAATCGTGCAGAGGGCGACGACGAGAAAACAGACCGCAGCAAAAAGAGCGGAAACCGGTGCTCTCACGATCTTTGCTACTGTTGGTGCCACGCTGAGCGCGTTGAGCACTTTGATGAGCAGAAGCTCCCATACTGGAAAACCTTCTCGCGATCATGGGTTGAGCGTGAGCGGGAGGGGGAGGGGGAGTAGGAGGATCCTCGTAGATCTCAAAGTCCTCGTCGTCACTGTCGCTTTCCTCTGCTCCGTTTTCAAGACTCTCGCGTATGGCGGTCATGACATCTGCCATCCCCACACCAGGATCGTTGACGGTGAAGGGTTGGATCAGTGCAATGTCACCGATGCCTGCGATGACGACACCGCAAGAAGGACGGAAATCCATGAGGTAGTCGCGGTTTTGTGATGTCCAGTGGCGAGGAGTTTGGGGGGAGGAGGGGAAGGAGATTGGAGAGGATGGTGGTGCGCGGGGCAAAGGCTGGTTTGGTGGGTTTTGACGGAGTGGGTGACGGATCTGTTGTGTGTGTGTTAGTGGTGTGTGATGAGACGGAGAGGGAGGAGAGAGGTGTTACCCAGCGTTCGTTCAGATCACGGTCGATGGGAGATGGGGTACGGACGCGCTCTTGCTCTAGCACGAGAGTCGATGGGGGTAGAGGAGGGAGGTTAGAAGGCGAGGGCAGAGAGGCTGAAGTCGAGGAAGCGACAGAGTCGAGTGAACGCCGGCTTGGTGAGATGTAGGATGCATCGACGCCTGTGTTATGTTCTCGATCGTGCTCTCCTTCCTCGCTTCTCTCGTTGTGCTCAGAGGCGTCCGTCGCGCCATCATCACTGACAGTAGTACCGAAGTATCCACCATCAACATTCCAATCAGCAATACCACCAAGACTTACACCGTATCTCCTGGTAGCATGGTTTCTCACAACCTCGGAGCCGGCAAGACGTCCAAAGTCGACACTCTGGGTGTTTCTGGGACCGTCAATGTTGTATCCCTCGTCACCAATTGGGCCATAGCGCTGACCCCACAAATCGCTAAAACTGCTCCTGGGTATCTCAACATCAAGGCGAGGACGGCTGGGATGATTGTAGATATAAGGACCATTGTGCGGGACACCAATCTGCCCCTGATTGACAATCGGTCTGGAGATTTTGGGTCTTCTGTCATCATCAAAGGTGGGTGTTTGGCGGCCCCGATGAGAAAGCGAAAACAGATGGCTAAGACGGCGACGATTGCGACTGCGAGCACCAGCGCGACTGGTGATGTTGGGATGAAGTTGCGGGCTAGGGGCCAGATGAGGAGAGTTTGGGTCGGCGAGAAAGGCGGCAGGCTCAGGGGTAAGAGTGCGATAGCCAGAGTCGTCCCTCTGCTCTGACATGTCCTGCGATCTCTGCTCCGACATCTGCGCCGACATGTCTTCATAGTTGAGTAGACTGCGCCGAAATCCAGCCTCACGGCTGCTGGGACTGCGAGGATCGTCCATTGTTGGGAAATGCAAACTCTCCGGCGCAGAGATCGCCGCCCGGGATGTATTGATAAAGTGTTACTAAATGGTGTTGGTTAAAGGCTCCTTTATGATCAATCCGATGGGTTGTGGATGCCCGTCACTGCAGAAACGATCTCTCAAGGACCAGATTTGGGATGGGTCCATAACGGGAGACGACAAAAAGGAACGGGCGGCCAGGGTGTGCTGAGAAGTGACGCTTGATACAGAATGGCGGACAAGCATGAGTGAATCGGGATACAAACTTGATCACCGACACCGTAGCTTTCATATCGATAACAGCAGGGATTTATGTGGAAATGGAAGGGCTTGACAAGGGTTTATGGATAGATATCTCTGAGGTTTGTTTGGAGGACAGGAGGAGCGCTACGGGGAAGAGCAGACTGCGTGCAAGAAAGAAAAAGACAAGGCTAATGTAGAGAGTAGGACAGCGGGAATCATGTAAACTCTGTCGAGACGCGAGTAGACGGCCTTGGTGATAGCATTGCCAGATGGATTGCTTGCCGTGGTCGCGCTTACCCTTTGTGCATAGCGGTCGAGCCTGCATGAGTGCAGAAATGCAGAGCACACTCGGTACCAGCCATGAGGCTTGACCGAGCATGGTTCGGGCAGATGTCGATGAGACAGATGGATGAGGTAGGCAAGTGTGTGTCCTGGTTGGCATGGGCCGTGGTCAGCGGCTGGCGTGCGCATTGTTGCAGTAGCAAGCGCAGAGGGCAGTGCGGGCTGGAGTTGGAGTGCTTGTGGTTGTTGAGGCAGTCTGCAACGTCTTCATCTTGCACCGGCTCTCTTCTTGTCCAGGATGTCCAGACGCAGCTTCTCGGCAGCGACCTCAACCTCGATCATCTGGCCCACGCCAATCTTCCACTGCTGTTCCAGCGCTTCCAACTCACCCTTGCGGGCATTCTGACCGTCTCTTCTTGCCCTGTCGATATCCTCCAGCTCGATCTTCCTTTGTGAGACTTCGCGCTCGGCAGTGCGGAGAATGCCTTCGAGTTGGTCGTTTGAGATCAGCCAGGCGTTCTTGCCGTATGTTTCCAGCAACGATAGATTGACCTGGCGCGACTCTAGGTATTCCGAAGAGGCATATGCTTGTTGAAGGGTTGCGCGCCATTGTTCCGTGTCGTTTGTGGCTGGCGCATCTTGTGCTTCGTAACGCGACAAGTCGATTCCAGCTTCTTTCTCCGCCCCGGAGGACAGTCGTTCGTGTTCGGCTTCGACCAAGTCGCTGAATTCGATAGGTGTGCGCTCTGGTATTGAGGGGTGAAGAGTCATCTTGTGGTCTTGAGGAAGTTCGGCTTGGATAAGAGCGCGTGCCGCTTGAAGCTCGTTCTCCGACGGCACCGCGTCAATGTCTGGCGCATTGGTCAGCGCATGTCATTCGGCGGATTCCCATTGGTACGTACAAGGCAGATAGTCCTGTGAGCTTTGAACTAAAGGCATGTTGGATGATGTGAATGGTCGTGATAAAATGTGGTCCGCATGAAACTCCAGATTGACGTCGGCTTCGAATGCGCCAAGCCAAACTTACTTCTCCGCGAGCCTCCAAGAGCTGACGGATGCATGTAGGTAGTAAGAGCTTAAGGATAATCATAAATGTTATGATTGTTCTCATAGATCATGTTACTTAATACTCTGCTACTCTCATGGTTACTGGCAATGCATTTTGTTGTTCTGCTTACCATGTTAGCACCTCAAACAATGACGTGACTACAGCCACTTTTTACACAGCCAGGGTGCCACCCTTTACAAGCATTGTAAACACTATCGACGACATTTCAGCGCCATCTTTGACATCTGTTCTTTTGTGATACACTGATCCGTACGTCTAGCATACTTTACATTTGATTCCGGCTTATTGTTGCATGAACTCCTGTTTTATGAGTCATATGACCAAATCCATGTTTTGGAATACACTTCTCCAGAACTTCGACCAACACCACTTGGTCTCTATACCACACTTCTACTAACATCAGAAACACATATGACGTCAACAGAGAACGCGTGAATCTCGCGTTCGATGCCGTCATCGCGATTCGCGTTCGAAATACAAGCACTCATCATCGACATTCACATTTCATCACATCAACCATGTCGATCTAAACAGACTATTGCATAAGAAGCAAGGGATGGAAAAGCCCACGAGTGTATAGACTTCACCCTCCCTCGCCAAGTGCTTGCTTTCCTACTGCAAAACTCCTGCTCTTACGCATTGTGCTGCGGAGCCTTTTTTCTGGAGCCTTTCCTCTAACAGTAGAGTCGCGTCGCAAACACTATAGTCGATGAAGAGGCCAGGTCGATGTCGTAGATGCATAGTGTCGAGACCTTTCTGTTTCAGAGATGCGATAGGAGAGTTTATGATGTGTCGCAATGTTATAAGAATAGATGTAACGAAGACTGGAAATGGAGAAGAGGCTTGTAAGTAAGGAACAAGTGAACTCATCTTCAGGGTCAATGGCGAAAGGCGAGTGACACTCTTCATGGGTTTCTCAAGAGCTTCACATAGGGGAGATGAGAGACTGTAATGCAACGCAAGAATCTAGGAAGAAACTGTAGCGAAAGTTGAGGCATAGAGACACAAGAGATTGATTGTTGACCTGACTCTCTTGTTGCGCTTGATTCGCCAGTGTCTTCGCCATCTGATCCAAAGACATCGCTGTCGCCAGCGCACGGGGTTTCTTGGGGGTGGTCATGTTGGTGTTGAGTTGAAGCTAAAGCTGAAGTTCAGAAGATGGTAATGAGAGGTAGCGGTGGAGAGGCTGTTGTCCGCGTGAGAGCACATCAAGAAGCATGATTCAGATAAGCAGCCTGCATTGAAGCGACCATCGGAAACTATGATTGCTTCTCATCTCCAGGGAACATCACTCAAGTCGGCAGCGACAGTGGTGGAATGTGTTGTGGTCCTTCTGGAAGGTGGTGGGACAATGTGGAGAAAGCATCCGAGAAACGAAAGTGCAAGTGCCGGCTTTGGAGTTCACCTTCCTTGGCGGGAGCAACATACCACATTTCCAGTTGTTTTTTTGGGAATTTCTCACTTCTTGCTTATCACTCGAGTCTTTGCTGCTCGAGATGCTCATGAAGATTGGCTTTATCGCTGTGGTGGGATTTGGTGGTGCGCGATGTTTACGGCAATGTTTGATGATGCTTCCTGGACCGCTTTGCCGAGACCGCACCACTGGATGAAGACTGGACATTTGGGGGACCAACACTTGTGAAGAAAACTCCATTGCAAAGGATGCATATCATCCTTGGACCTAGTTTGTTTGGACTGCCTTATCTGGAAAGATTTCTGGAGAAATGTATCGATCGAGTTCGTCGCTTGGTCCCAATTCTCACGCAGCTATGCCTCAGACTCAAACCATGCACCCAAAGGCGTCGGAACGAATTCAGAACTTTTACAGAAACAGATCATCAGGCATAGCTAGACAAGAGCGGGAAAGCGAGGATTACACAACTTGAATCTGTTTGACCATGAGGAAACCGGAAAAGAAAGAGAGAAAGTAAACACAACCTGCTTGACGATAACAGAATCGACTCCAATTACAATGAACTAACCACAGTCAACTCTGGGATACGGCTTCTAGCCATCCGTGTCGAGATCTCCGGCCCGTATTGACCTATACCTGCCAGCGCTATCGGACCTTGTCGCCGCTGGACATTGACTGTCTCCAGGCGTCCAGTATCTCCTCGCTAGATCCCCCCATGCCGTTCGAGACTCTGGTGGCGAGAACAGATTCCATTGGACGACACTGAAGAAGGCTGAGGTCAGGAGATCAGGCCAGATGAGGGGGTTGCCAGGTACCAGCCCTAACGTAGACGATACAAGCGAGTCACAAGCCCAGATCTCTACCCGGATCAGGACCGCTGCTACTCATCTCCGCCTCGAGCTGCGTGTACATCCGCTTCCGATGAGAAAAAGCACATGCTCATCTTCCTGGAACGTCCGAGACCTACAGCAGAGTTCGACTTCGTTCGTTGAGGGATTATGGAGATTCGTGTTCACCGAAAGCGCGAACAGTGCCGATTTCACCATCCGGAGGCACGGCAGCCGGGGTCGGCATCAACAAGCGCAGCGACACTCATCAATAATTCGCTGTACGAATGTGGCTGCGCGACCATCGCCTCGATGATCGTCCTTGTTCTGCGTCTCGTCTGCTATTAGCGTCTTGAGATGTATCATATCACTTTTCTGCCAAGATGATACTCTTGGAGGCCCTATCATACATACCACGGGAATAGGGTCAGTATGATTGCCCCACGGGGAGGTACGCCACCTTCACGACTGTCACTTGTATGATGCTTGCGGGGCTGGGTGCACTTGAGGGGTCTCCATAATGGCACCTCTATGTGACATGTGAATATCGCCTCAGTTCCGGACATCTCATTCGTGAGCGCTAATGCTGTCTCTGAGACCATTCTCCGGAGATGTACAGCTTATTTTCTGGACGGTCGCCTCGATCACACGGATTGTACACAATGAAGCTGCCATAAAAGTATTTTATATACATGAAACGCACTTTCGCAACCGGCACCGTGTCTTGGAGGACTGCAAGTCTGTTCACAACCCCAGTCGCATATCATCAATGACCCTTGGCCAACTGCGCTGCAATCACTTCTTTGACTTTAGCGACTGGCAGCTGGTCCAGTGTCTTGCCCGTCCAATACATCGACTGCTCCAGACCTTGGTAGATCATGGCCTCTGTTCCCAAGATGACGTTCCATCCAGCATTCTTCGAAATCTCAGCAATCTCGGTGTGTGGGTTGGGATGGTAGCACATCTCCAAGATTGCACCCTTGTGAGGCTTGCCCAAGAAGATTTCCAGGACCTTGCGAGCGGTCTGCTCAGCTTCAGTGACAGGAGGGAAGTCGGGTACGCAAGATACGATGGCACCAGGACCTTCGAGCTCTTCTGCCTGCTCGACAGTAGCAGTGTGAATCACACCATCACCATAGCCTTGCTCTGTACACCAAGATACGACAGCATCCACCTCAGCCTTGTCACGGTTGACAACGTACACCTTGCTACACTTCATAAACTTCTTGAGCGCGTAGACAGCACTGCGAGCTGCACCACCACCACCAACAACCATACCTGGTCGGCCGTGGAAGACTTCGTCCGGATTCGAGATGTTCTGGTAAAAGGCTTCGCGGATGCCGATAACGTCTGTGTTCGTACCGACGAGGATTCGCTTGTCACCGTGCTTGCGGAGGTATAATGTGTTGACAGCACCGACTTCACGGCCTTCCTGTGTGAGTTCGTCCACGTGCTTCATGATGGCCACTTTGTGGGGCATGGTAACGGAGGCGCCTTTTGTCGCATACAAGTTAGATAATGGTCGTATATTAAGTAGGTGCAAGCAGTTCAGTATGCTGCCTTTACAGGTCTCAAAACGCACCAAGGAATTTGTCCTCGCGGACTAATGATAGGAACATCGACATATCGGTTGAAGGTAGGAAGAATTGCTCCCAGTTGAGCCCAATCTCGCCAAAGATGGTTTTGTGCATCAATGGCGACATTGAGTGGTTGATGGGCCATCCGAACAAATAACCACAGCGCTCCACATGGTCGTGGGCAGGTCTTTCGCAAGAGATGATACGTTGGTTCTGCATCTTGTGTGGTTTGTGTCTTTGGTTGATGATGTTTCAAAAGTTTTTGAAGAGGTATAGCTTCTGGTATCAAGAAAACTTCGAGGAAGGGTATCTCAAGCTATTGGAAAAAGCTCTGCCAGTTGTCACCTTCAATTTGGTCAGCAAAACTACCCCGCGAGCTACAGACGACGGTAAGCAATGTCGGGTCCTGGAGTAAGGAGGGCTTGTGGGTTGGGAGGGTGGTTCTTCGTGTTCACGGACGTCGTCTTGGCTGGCATTGGGGGAGCTTGCGGTCACACGTCACCGAATTACACGGGTCCGGATCCGCAGTCTTTCGGCCCTGGGTAAACACACCCGTACCTCGGGAGCGCTGTCTGCTGTATCAACCTACAACAAACTGCTGTTTGGATCTGTCCAAATAGGTGGTTATCCAAGCGAGATCGACGGAGACTGATCAATTTTTCTGTGGGTTACAGAGCTAGATCGTCGTCTCTTGACATAGTCCATCCTCGCGTTTCGCATCGTGTTTTCACACCGATATCAATAACCTCCACGAACGGACAGGTGAGGGTGTGACTACCACCGGCTAAGATCTTATCCGACGTGGTTGTTGCCTGCCGTAACGACTTGCCGCGGACCGGGAATTCCATGTCTTCCCGAGGTCGGGCACCAAAAAGGTAAGAGCGTCGCCGCCTTTCTACAAGGTTTCGAGGTAAATCTCAGCCACGGCGCTTGGCATAGCTTTGGGGAATATGGAAGTCTGGGCTTGTCGAAACGGCGTGGGGACCTTGCAAAAATCTGATCGATTCTTCGAGCTCGTGTCGAGAGGTCAGCAAACCAGCTTCCGGACCACCAACCCACCCTTGTTTTGCTCTTTTTCCACGTTGTTGATCTCTGCACTGGCCTACCCCGCGGAGTCCCCAGTCCCCAGACCCCAGGGCAGACCTCTAGTATATTAGGCCATCTGTTTCCCCGTCTTCCTTTCTCTTTCTTCTCTCCGTTACGACCTTCCCTCTCTTCACAACTCTATCCCATCGCAGAGTCTCATCATGGGTCTTCTCACTCTCGTTGAAGACAGGCCCACCCCCAAGGAGGTCTACAACTGGCGCGTCTATGCTTGCGCTGCTGTAGCCTCGTTCGCTTCTTGCATGATCGGTTATGATTCTGCTTTCATCGGAACCACTCTCGCTCTTCCTTCGTTTCAGAAAGAATTTGGCTGGAAACGTAAGCCAGCAGCCGATGTCACATTCATCAAGGAGAACATTGTCTCCGTCTACCAGGCCGGTGCCTTCTTCGGTGCCCTTGGTGCCTACATCAGCGCTCACTACCTTGGTCGCCAAAAATCTCTCTGGGTCTACGTCGTCGTATTCATGGTCGGTGCTGGTATTATGTTGAAGGCTGCCAACGGTGATCTCGCTCCTATCTACGCCGGCAGAGTTCTCACTGGTATCGGTGTGGGTGGTGCTTCCATGGTTGTCCCTATCTACATTTCCGAAATTGCCCCTCCAGCAGTCAGAGGTCGTTTGGTCGGTATCTACGAACTTGGATGGCAAATCGGTGGTCTCGTCGGTTTCTGGATCAACGTAAGTACAACAAAAAACAGTTAATATGAGTCACAATGCTAACGATCATCCAGTACGGCATCGCCGAGACACTTCCCAGCAACCACGACCAGTGGATCATCCCCTTCGCCGTTCAACTCATCCCTGGAGGACTTCTTGCTATCGGATCTATCTGGCTCAAGGAGTCACCTCGTTGGTTGTTCTCCAAGGGCAAGCGTGAGCAAGGTCTCAAGAACTTGCTTTGGATCAGAAACCTCCCTGCCGACAACTTCTACATTGTCGAGGAGATCTCTTTCATCGAGTCTGCTCTTGAGGAGCAGAAGTCGAGCGTCGGTCTTGGATTCTTCGACCCTTTCAAGGCTGTTTTCAAGAGCCGAAGCCTTCAATGGCGCGTGTTCCTCGGTACCACTCTCTTCATCTTCCAGAACGGCTCAGGCATCAACGCCATCAACTACTACAGTCCTACCGTCTTCAAGTCTCTCGGTATTGTTGGAGGTAACACTTCCTTCCTTACCACTGGATTGTTCGGTGTTGTCAAGACCACCTTCACTCTTATCTGGCTCTTCTTCCTGATCGACAAGGTCGGACGTCGCAACTTGCTTCTTATCGGAGCTATTGGTGGTGCTTGCTGTATGCTTATCATCGGTGGCTACCTTGCCAGTCCACTTGTCGACACTTCTGCAGCAGCCACCGCTGTCGCCAAGCCGCTCTCATCTGGAGGTATTGCCGCCGTGTTCTTCTTCTACCTTTGGACTGCCTTCTACACACCCTCATGGAACGGTACCCCTTGGGTCATCAACTCTGAGATGTACGAGCAGAACGTCCGTGCTCTGGGCCAAGCTATGGCTGCCGCCAGCAACTGGTTCTGGGTAAGTTTCTGAATTCTCGAGTTTTTTTCATATCGCTTACCATCAACCAGAATTTCATCATTGCTAGATTCACCGGTCAGATGTTTGCAAACATGGGCAAGTCAGGGTGTGGAGTATATTTCTTCTTCGCCGGCATGATGTTCCTCTCCGTCATTTTCGTCTGGTTCTGCATCCCCGAGACTAAATCGGTCCCTCTCGAGTCCATGAACAGACTCTTCGAGATCAAGCCTTGCAGCAAGGCCAATGCTATCATCATGCGCGAGGTGCAGGAAGCAGAGGCCGAGTTCCGCGAGGATGCCGAAGGCGCTGGTTTGAGCCTCGAGAAGAGCAAGGTTGCTTACGTCGAGGACAGTGCTGTCTGAACAGCTTTCGGGATTAAGCTACAGGCTCATTGTACATAGCGATTTGTTTTTTTATTATGACTATCAGAGAATCTCATGCAAATTATTCTCCATCTAATCCGCAATCCTTACACTCTCCTTTCGCGCATTATCAATTTTAAATACCATAGCAAATCAACTAGACGGAACTGGAGCGCATAGTAAGGACTGTCTCAGCTAACGAGAAGGTTCACATCCAAGCATGACCTGATTGAATTCGATGTGGACAACCGTGGAATCAATGGTATCCCTACAAGTTTGGGTGGGTGGCATCTGCTGAAAACGACGTCGTCCGTACAAGTCATCAACACATGCCTGGCCTTGATCAGGCTGGGGGAGCTGAATACAATCGCCAATAACACGTCGTGGCAAAAGGGTTGTGTCCTCAACGTCCGTTCCACGCTAGACGTCGTGGGAATTTTTATACTTCCGGCTTGTTCTTCAAGCAATCAGCCACGAGCGAGACCGCAAGGAGATGACCGTCGGAAGCGGGCGGTTCAGAGAGCCAGCGGCGCCGTCAGACGGCCACGGTACCGTCCAATGCCGAGTCCGTTGATGACTCTAGCAAATCAAACGCAGAGAAGAGCGGGATTCCCACCAAATTGTACGGATGCACACGCGGTATCCGGAGAAGGAGAGGGGTCTCCAGGCTGGAGGCCGCCCCGGATGTTCTTCTCGGCTGGTGCTTATCGGCCCGTCTCCTGTACGCTCCGCAGCCAAGACCTACGTCGTGCTTGCTTATCTCGAACTGTACTTCTCATGATGCGTGCCCTTTTCTCTCGGATGACCATCACGGTAACTCCATTACCTGTGCAGAATATTGACGAGTCTGAATAGCTTCCCCAGCCGTTGAGCGCGATTCCTGTATTTTCCATCTTCAAGGCAGGTGCTACTATTCACAATTTTCTCACATTTCGTCTCTGCTCCGCTACATCGACATCTGTGATCAACCAATCTCGGGACAAACTCTTCTTCGCATACACTGTCACACCCAATAGACCATCTCATATTTGCCAGCATCATGACACACCAACTCGGTATCTCCTCAATGTCTCTGGGACGAGCCTGGGTCCACGACTTGGTGCCCAAGCTCGACCAAGCAGCAAAATATGGCTATGCTGGTGTCGAGATATTCTACGAGGACCTGGTATACCATGCCAAGAAGTATCCAGGAGGCGAAACTCCTGACAACCAAATACGAGCTGCACAAGACATCAGCTCAATGTGCAAATCCCGCAACCTCGCTGTTATCAGCCTCCAACCATTCATGCATTACGAAGGCCTCATCGACCGCCAAAAACATGCCGAGCGAATTGAAGACCTCAAATTATGGTTCAAACTCGCACATGCTCTGGAGACCGATATGATTGCCATTCCGGCATCTTTTCTGCCTGAGTCGGAGTGCACTGGAGACATGTCAGTCATCGTTGCAGATTTGCAAGAGGCCGCCGATCTGGGTGCAGCTCAAAACCCGCCTCTTCGTTTCAACTATGAAGCTCTCTGCTGGAGCACGCATTGCCAAACATGGGAGCAGAGCTGGGAAGTAGTTGAAGCAGTCGACCGTCCAAACTTTGGTCTATGTCTCGACACCTTCAATATCGCCGGTCGTATCTACGCAGACCCTACGCAACCATCGGGCAAGCGACCAACAGCAGATGCCGACATGGCTGCATCCATTGCTACAAAGCTCGTCCGTCCCGATAAGCTCTTTTTCGTGCAAGTCGTGGATGCAGAGAGGCTTGATGCGCCGCTAGTCAAGGGTCATCCATTCTATGACCCTGAACAAAATGCTCGTATGTCATGGTCGCGCAACTGCAGACTATTCTACGGCGAACAAGACCGCGGTGGCTATCTGCCTATCCGCGAGATCTTGAAAGCTATTTTGCACGACTTGGGTTATAGTGGATGGCTGAGCTTCGAATTGTTCAACCGCAGTATGGCAGATCCTAGCCCCGAAACGCCAGCCGAGCATGCTCGTCGCGGTGCGGAGTCTTGGGAGAAAATAGTAGCTGATCTCGAGCTGAACGGCCATGCTGCCGACAGTGCTGTCAGTGTTGGCTCTTCAACCGCCAAAGCATGATCGCTACGTTTGATTTGTTTATTGCATCAATGTATGGCGTTTTTTTTTTTTGCATATCTGTATATACTCTCTAGATCGACATGCCCTTCTGTGGCCTTTCCAAGCATTTGTTTTCCAATAACCAATGACCGTCTCCAATAATACAAGATGAGCTTTCAACATCGACAGTTCTTTGTCAAAACACCGCCTTTGCACTTAAGCAGAAGGTGGCATGCCCTCAAACTGCATGCAACCCTCGACAGGAGCAATCCACTTCAGCCTCTTCGCAGTATAGATCTCAATGGTAGGCTTGGAGTCTTGCAGCATACTAAGATCGTCAAAGACACCTGCTCTAATCACTGCCGTCCCCGACTCCTTATCAGAAGACACATCAGTGCCGTAAACAGGAGTACCTAAACATAGTATCAGCATCACATTCTCACCCATTATAATTATATCCATTACTCACCACAATCATTGCAGTAATAGTTCTCGTATGCCTTGCCCGAGTCTGACATCTTGGGAAGCGTCGCAGGTGTGCCAGTGACGGTGAGGTCTGACTTTAGAACAATGAAGTTGTAGCTGTAAGGGCAGCTGGTGATTTTACGACAGTCGGCGCAGTGGCAAAGAGCCTTAGTAGACTGTCAGTATCTGACAACATATAGTTGTAGTTCTTTTTACTCACAATTGTCTGTGGCTGGCCGCTGAGCTCGACCCTGATTTTCTTGCACGAACAGCTTCCGGTAAGCATGGCTGCGACGACTTTGTGGGAGCTTGATGATCGGATGTTGGATCAATGGCGAATTGGAAAAAGATGTAGCAAAGGTATATGGACAGATATGCCTGATCAAATCATGAGACTATGAACAGTTGAGAAATCTAGGTACCAAGCATATTATGCGCCCGGGCCCTTCACCGCCAATTCGATGAGCATACCAACCTTGACTCGAGGTACGTGTTGAACATATATCAGACGCACTATTACTTTCTCGTCAGTATCGAACTTCTGACTAATTGATCGGAAACCACGATTGTGTCGATGACAAGTTCTTGTCGTGCAGTCGCGAAAGCGGATGCCAACGCCGAGTGGACAGATCACCACATTGACTCGAGGATATCAATACTCTCTTGATCGCACAGTACATTCTTGTATTATGACAAGAGCAATCACTTTCAATAAGCTATACAATAACTCAGGGTAAAGTTGCGCGATGTTTGCGTTCATGTGCCGAAGCTCTCCTCCACTCCCCAAACGAAGCGCAGGCAGCTGACTTGAAAGTCCAGTATCCGGTAAAGGAAGATGACCGTTACTATCTTTTCTTGCACTTCTTCTCGACATCTTCCTTGGATTGTACTGGACCACCGCCATTGCGATCCTTGAGTAGGTTAGAGACTTGTCTGACACCAGGAATGTTGCGCCAGGTGATGCCTCTGATGCCTTTCTTCTCTTTGGCCTTCTTGTTGTTGAAGTCGAACGTTGTGTTTTGCTGTCTAAGAACCTGGCTTGAAGATCCGGAAGAAGTGCATCCCAAGATACGAAGAGGAAGCGAGTCATCGCCAAACACGAGAGGCCCGGCTGTGTCACCATTGTTGAGGACGGAAAGAGGCTTGCGGTCAGCACTGGCGCCATTCTCAGAGTCGCCAGTGGTAGCAGTAGTAGAAGACTGAAGATTTTCATTGACGTCTGTGATCTCGACCTCGAGTTGTGTCGGCAGCGGTGGTCACGACAGCGGCAGCAGCAGCATCAGCCACTTCGGCAGTACTGGCCGCATCAGCCTCACCCTCAGTGACCTCGATCTCGATTTCTTCCCCATAATCCGTCTCCTCTAGCTCGTCTTTGGAGTCTGGGGGACGGTCTGCCTCCATGTCTTTTGCCAGATTGTTCAAGACTGTGCGCAACTCCTGCATAAGCCCATCATTGACTCTGTTCGTGCCCAAAGGGTACTGCAAACGCGCGGCGCCATAGAGGATTTCGGCGGCGACGCGATGTTCCTAGATGACTCCTCGTCAGCGCTGACACTCCGATTCCCAAGTCCACTTCTCCTTGTCTTGATTGTCTTAAGCCGGAATGAGCAACACCATGCTCACCAATATTGGATCTTCTCATCCCCTCCACCATTTTCTCTGCGACCCGCGGTATCACACTCCTCATCACTCAGCTGCTACATATAAGCAGAACATATCCGCCTGGTTCCTCCACTCTGGGCGCCCCATCTTCTTCACCTCCACCATCACCACTACCGCCCCGCTATGTCCATGCCGCATCGTCTCGCAAGCGTAAAGCTGTTGCCGTCGAGACTGATGAATCCGACCAATCGTAACACTCAGAGGCCCGAGATACTGCGTTCAAAACTGCCAACGACTCGTCCGAGAATCTGCCCTTGGGCGACCTTCCAAGCGACACATCTGGTCCAGTTAGTTTTGACACGCAGCTTCGCTTCTGATCAATGGCTTCCTTGTTTGAAGATTGCCGAATCGGCTTATAGGCAAGACATCCGTCCCCAGTGGATCCAAGCCCGAGAGCGATGAAGCCGGATCGAAACAGACCAAAAAGCTGTCGACTGTCAAGGGAATGAAGTGTCAGCGCGACAAACTGCCCACCAGTTCTGACGAAAGATTTTTTGTACTAATTCCACTTGACTTTGAAGTCCCTCCATTGGGTCCATCTGACCTTCTTCACAATCTGAACGTATCCAACGAGCAGGAGAAAGCCTTCTATATTGATCCCGTCGAGATCCACACATCAAAATCCCCCCTTTTGACGTCAAGAGCTAACCTCCTTATGGTCATCGCAATATTCGGATCGCCGATAATCCTCGTATCATAACCTGTTCCTGTTGTCCTTTTGACCCCCTAAACCAACGACAAGATCAAGGCCCGCGACGCAGAGAAGGCTCGATGCTATATCTTTGACCTTGTCGTTGTCAACAAGCTGCGCAGTCCGCCACTTCATCTGTTTCAACCAGTCACGCTCAAAGGTAATGTAGCCCCAGACAGAGCTGGCGCATTATAGACCCGATGTTACTCACAGCATGGAAGAAGCCATACGAGTAGTTGGAGAGAGCTCGCATCATCATCGAGTGAGACCTTTGTGTTTCCTCGACAGACATAATGCTAAGAGAGGCTTCTCACTTTGCAAAATGGTAGAATCGTCAAGCTCTGCAGGCAATCCGCCACGGCTTTTTAGCATCCTGAGCTCTGTGGCGAATGGCTTTCTGGGGAATGCAAACTACCCTGTGAAGGCGAGCACATCAGTTTCTCACAACGGTACCTAGGGTGTGGCAATGGGTGTGGTGGTACTGAGAGAGCATTGTCCGTTTGTACCGATTTTCAGGAAACATTTCTTGCATGCGAATATCGTATGTACTGCATCATGATACTTTGTCATCCAAAATACTGGAGAAATCCCCTCTCCCTAAATGCAACGTCTCATATCTCCTTATTCATTTTCAGAGGTAAAGTTGGTCTGTCCCAAATCAGTATCTCCAGGCAGAATGAATGGTTTAATCTTCGGCAAGCGATTGAGCGTATCATCACTAAAGCCCAAATGCTCCTTGACAACCTGTTTAGGCGTCAAGCCTAACCACTGCGCAACACTGATGTCATTGTAAATAGGTGCTTGCAAGACCTCAAGATATACCAAGTCTTCAGTACCCGTATTCTCAAGGTAATGAGCAGTAACGACCGGCACATATCCCACATCGCCGGCTTGGAAGTCGAAAGTGCGAGAGGCTTGGGGTGCTTGGAAGAGGGTCAGGCGGCCTTGACCGCTGATTATAAAGTCCCATTCGTCGGAGGTGGTGTGCCAGTGTAGTTCACGCATGGCGCCGGGTTTTATGGTGAAGAGACCGACGGCGAAATCGAAGGCGGCGGGGAATGTCTGGGTGTCGATGATCTTGACACTACCGCCGGGGACTTCGTAAGGAGCTTGCTCGGAGAAGTGATAGGTATACGAGTTTTTGTTTGGGATTACGCCAGCAGGACCGGTGATGTTGTTGAGAGGATCAGATACATTGGCTGGATATGCTGAGCCGTTGAAGATGTATAATTGATCTTGGGGAATGTGGTCGAGAGCTGAGATGTCGACACGTAGATCTTTGGCCAAGACAGACTTTGGGTTTCTGGCGAAAAGTTCGGAGAGAAGGAAGGTGTTGTCTTCGCTGAAGCTGCCTTCGTCAAAGACAAGCAAGAACTCGACACCAGTAGGACCGGCCTGAATGCTGTGAGGGATGCCCGCAGGGAAGAACCAGACGTCACCAGCAGAGAGGTCATCTGTAGTCGTCTCACCGGCTTCGTTGACGGCATTGAGACGAACAGAGCCGTTGAGGATATAAGACCACTCGTTTGCCTGATGCCTGGGAAACTGTCAGACTGACTCAAAGCTGGACAATTGATGAGACAACTCACCAGTGCAACTCTCTATATGCATATGGCTCAAGATGCATGTCGACGCCGGCCATATTTTTAGCAACAGGCAGAAGGTCAACATTCTGTTGTCTTGCGAACCCGGCGCCATTCAAGCCATGTCTGTTGTGAGAAAGACCCAGCGGCCATTTTGCGTTGGCAACATCGCCAGAGTCGGTACCCTGCGTGCGACGTCAGAGATGCCCGCGTACCAATAGCAGATAATCATTTGACTTACAGGAGGGGCATACAGATCAGGGTTCTGCTTCTCGAGCATTCTGTTCCTCGGTCCAGGGTCTGTAGGCGACTTGCCTCCAGCGCCACGTATAGGCTGAGGGTTCTCAATCCGACTCAAGTCAAGATAGAAGCCTGTATCTGCACTTGCAGTCTGAAGCGGACCAACGCTGAAAGCACTCGATGGTACCACAGCAGGGTCGTACGAGCTGATAAGATTGGTAGGGTTGAAGCCCGCGAGCTCGAGCCCACCTCTCAGAGAACCAGATGCACCTTCCGGTCCGTACGGTGTGGCGGTCGGGTTGTTTGTGTTGTCCAAGAATTGTACGGCGGACTCTTGACGAGCCTTGACACGGTTTGGTGCGGGAGCTGGAGCGGCAAAGACTGCGCTCAGCAGAGCCGAAGCCGCGATGAGAGAAGTTCCTGTTCTCATGTTGAAAGGAGGTTGAGATGGATCAAGGTTCTACCTTAAGCTCAGGTACCATGACCTATGTTATATATCAGTAGCACAACCGTACTCCGCGGACTCGGTTAGAGATTCTCAAACAGATCATCATCATGGAGAAGTTTGCGTAACGTCTTTGGAAGCTATGGACGTTTTGCAGGCTTGTCTATGGTCGGGTGTGACGGAGAATGTGACGGGTTGAATAGCTTCGCGGCATGTTCCTGTTTACCCAATTGGTCGTAGCGAACTACCGACATACTTCGACTGGAAGTGTTCGACGAAAGCTTGTGCGGAGGTGATGTGCGATTTTGATCATCTTGGTCGTGGCGTCATGAGCCGCACCTTGATGTCGCTGACAGATTTTGGGCCTGTTCGATTGAAATTGAATAGATTCAGTTACTCATGGAGCCCTATGCTGTCTGTACTTGATTGGAGCAAAGCTTGTTGGGTCAATCGATGACCTTGCACAGGACTGTCACCTCAGGCCCGTCGAGGGAAGTCGTCGCACACATGACCTCCAGCTGCATGTATAACAATCAATCACAGCCCGTCACCAGCCTGCCAAGTCAGACATGATGTCGAAGACTACATGAGTACATGCCAAGAAAACTCTTGAGGTGGTGCAAGAAAGCGCGGAGAAACACAACCCCGCAAGCAAAACACAAGATCCATGTCGTCATCCCCGCAACAGTTCCCCCCTCATTCTCTCTTATTGCTCTCAAGCTTTTGCCAACACTGACCTTATTTGTCGACTCTATTCCGGAAGAGCCGGCAGATGTTGGAATATTGGACAGGCCGCGTAATAGCGGTGTGATTTGTATTCATGATATTGCATGGGTTACGGGCGTATATCTTCGGAGAGAAGGACGCCGTGGTCGTTTGAGGTACTGGTTATTGGTCAAGCATTGATATTGCAAGGAGGGCGGACAAGACTCGGCGAGTGCACAGCATGTCGTCGATGATGAGTAGGGCTAGTGAACGGCTGCAAATGTAGCACCATGTTATGCGATATGCTGATGACGTCCGGCGCGAGACCGTTGTCTATTGTGGTCTTGGTTCTTCTCTATGCAATTCATATATGTCACCAATGCACCTATGCACCAGGTCTCGAGTACTCCAAATGTCTGACTCTCTTCCAGACTTCTCTGACCACTCTCTCCTGACTCTGTCTTCCTGTCTCTGTTGCTGAAGGTCCGGCAGGTCTGATGGCGAGATATAATCTGCTTCCCAACTTGACCTCTTCAATAGCAGTAGTAGCAGGGTCTTCAGGTGGGTTGGCAGTCGTGACCAATCCACCAGCTTCCTGCAATAAACAGATGCCAGCCGCTACATCCCATTCCCAGCATCCGCCTTCCCACCAAATGTCGAAAGAGCCCATGGCAACGTATGCGAGATCGAGTGTTGCACTATTCCGTCGATGTCAGTAAGGAGAACACAAAACCCACGGGGCAAAAAACATACCTTCCAAGACTCCTCACACCATGTACCATACCGCCTTTTCCGCCCCTGCCCCCAATCTCTCCCGCCATATTCATGAAACTCTCAATTTTCCTATACAAGTTGCCATCCTCAACATCCCTTCTATCCTTTCCCCACTCACAGCTAAATACACAACCTTTGGGCGCTTGCTCAGGCATAGGAGGTACAGGATTTCTAATCAAAGGCAAGCGACGAGTTTCGTTAAGCCAAGCTCCTTGACCTGAGCAAGCGGAGAAAATCTGGTTGAGAAAGGGTGCGTAGATTACTCCGATTGTCGGCTTGGAGTCGAGGATGAAGGCGATGGAAACGCAGAACATGGGGAAGAGGTGCGTGTAGTTTACTGTGCCGTCCAAAGGGTCGACGCACCAGGTTGGTGCGGTGGTGATGAGGTAGTCTCTTGATGAGCCTTTGGAATATGTTTCTTCGCCGATGAAGCTGTGATTTAAATTAGGACTGTTGGCTTGAGAGGATTCCTTAGTATCAATCTTACTCATGGCTGGGATATTTCTTGGTGATTTGGTCTTTGACAAAGGCTTCGACATCTGTTCGATGGTGAGATTAGTGGTGTCCTGATAGTATGATTCATCGGCCCAGTTCTTGGCTTCAAGTCTCGCTTTGACAGCATCATGACTTTCGCAGAGGTCGCAGCAGATTTAGACACACCTTCATCAGTTTGGGTAACAATATCAACAGAGCTGTCTTTTTCAACATGTTCCTGCTGTGTACTCGGCGTGCTGTCATCGCCGCATCTCGCCTCCACACCGTCCATCAACATCTTTCCCGCATCCTTCGCCAGTTGCACCGCGAAATCATAGATCTCTTTCAAATGCTCCGGCGTGAACTCTGTATTCGACATAGTGATTGGACTGCTGGTGATAAGAAGAAAAATCACAGTCACATTCGAGGGCAAGGTGATAACCCATCCCATGCCAAGAATCACATCGGGGCGTTGATCCACGGGCCGCTTCCGGCTTGTGGAGATAGAGAGAAGGTTAGAAAAAATTGTAGAAGGTCAATTGAACAGCTAGGAAGAGTGCAACAAGCAGGAATAGTTGCTGTGAAGAGGAAGAAAACAATGTATGTAGTAACGCCACCTCATGTCATACAGTCATGCCCATATCCCAAGGCGCCGGCGCCTCGCTATGCCATTCACAACAGAACAGGAACCAAAAGAAAGTATTGTTTAGCATCATGTCGTGGCAAAGTCTATCTGCGATCACGAGTGTCGTTGGCGGTATAGCCAGGAAGATGGCCGAGTTCGACGTCTCTATCAGGATTCGTGTTTCGTGAGTTGGTGGCGGTCGAGGTTGGGATTGTGGTACTCGACAAGCCTCGGCCTGGAGCGACGTTTGTGATGACAGTCTCGGTATAGTCTGGAGGCTTGAGGCCGGTATTTTCTCTACCTAGAGTAGGACGTGGTAAAGCCGGGGCAATGGTGGCATCGGTCGAAGGTGCAGATTGGCCAGTCTCGAGTAGGGTGTGGTTGTCGTCAGGGGCGGGCTTGTATGCTGGAGGAGCTTCGCCTACTTCATTGAGACCTTCGTCCTCTCTGCGGCGGCGCCCTGTTGTCATGCCCGTTCCTCCTCTTATAGTGACAGGCTGACCGTGAGGAGTCGGACCACTCGAGTAGTCGCGTGACAGAGCTCCCCATCCCCAACCTCTGTTACCGTGCAGGCCCTGATCTTCGAGATCGCGCGACAAAGCAGCCTGGCGTTGTACATTGGTACGGTAGACTATGCGCTTCTTGCGACGGTAGAAGACGCAGCCTCCAACAAAAGCGATGACGATGACGATGGCGACCAGTACAAAGTAGTTCCGGTATAGGCTGCCGAAGCTCTTTCCCTCCTCGTTGGATGATGAGTCTGTGCTTGAGTAGATGCTGGCAGGTGTGGGTATGCCGTATGCATCCGAAGTGATGGGAGCCCAGGTGGGAGCAGTGGTGGTCACGATGGGGAGTATGGAGAAAGGATCCATTGTAGTCTGATTGCGATTGCGATGTGTCGACGTAACAAGTCGTCGAAGCGAAGGACCAGCAGACAACGAGAACAATGTTCCGAGGGAGTAGACGATTGAGTGGTACGGCGCGGCTATCTCGGGACTCGAGATTGATCGCAGACTGGGTTTAAAGTCTTGGAGTTGGGATGGACGCTTCTTTGTCGAACAAGGCGGGCGGTGGATTCTCTAAACGTTGCTTCCTCATAGATGCAGCTTCACGAATACAAAAGGAAGGCGGGCGACATGTTCGGGACGGCAGCAACAGGCAGTTACTCGGTGTTGTGTGGACGAAGGGAGGCAAGAGCCCGCATCTTTCACATGTCGAACGGACTTGCCCTCCGCGGAGCCGCTGCCTTCCCCTTCCGTCGATGCTCAAAAATGTACTTCTTGGCGTCATCATAACCCATCCAACCTGCCATCAGGGTCTATTGTCCTATACTAGTCCTCATCGCAGTTGCAAACAGTCCGAGTATTCGACGTCTTTCGCAAGTCGAACAGAAGCGCTCGCCATGCCCCGCGCTACTGCTGGTGAGCAGAATTCCGTGTCGCAAGATGGCTGTGCCAACCATCACAAAGAAAGCACGAGCTAACACATCCCTCAGGCACCCTGGTGCAATGCGATCCGTCAATCAAGGCAATCATCAGTAAAATCAACGAAGAAAATGGCGGCCTCTACATATCCGAAGACATCGACGACGAGACTTGCTTGATCAACACCAAGAAGCTTGATGAGCTCAAGCAGAAGCTCAAGGACGTCAGTGAATCGTTTGAATCCGTCCAGGCTTACGCTGACAACGCTATAGGCCCTCAAGGATACAGTGCGCGAGGCCGAAGACTCGGGCTCCGAGTAGTAGCCATACTATCATGCAATAGCCACCAAAAGTTATGTGACACGACTTTCAAGACGAAATGACGACAGGCACGCGATGTGTGATGCGATAGTTTCAAGTATGTAAAATGGTTTCAAGCTACTATCGTGTTCAAGTTATACTGATACAAGTAGCAATCCAAAGATTCCAATCATAAAGCTCTGCAGCTCTTCCAAAATGTCCAATCATATCATCCAGTAACCATCTACATGGTATTCTTCTGCTCAGCACCATCAAGCGCAGCGACCCACTTCGGTCTCGTAGGAGCGAAAAGCTCGACATTAGGCTTACTCTCATTGAGCACATCCTTGCCATCCAGAACACCAGCCTTGACAATCTTCATACCCGGGAAGTTCTCTCCGTCACGGTACAGAGTAGATCCACAGTCACCGCAGAAGTAACTGGTGATTTTCTTGCCGCTGTCGGCCGTCTTGGTGTACGCTTTGGGGTTTCCGGTGACTTTGAAGCCTTCGCCCGAGACGACGTTGTTGACGCTGTAGGCGCTACCACTGATCTTTTGGCAATCGGTGCAGTGGCAGAGTGCCTAGTCCAATATCAGTGCTGGGGTCTACAGTAACGGTAGCGAGTCAATTACCTTCATGGCAGGGTCTCCACTGTAGGAGATGGAAACGTTTCCGCAAAGACAGGTTCCTGAAGTCATCTTGATGTGTTGGTATGGTTTGATTATTGTAGATATAGACTTGATCATTTGTTTCTCAAGGATATATTTGAGGTCAAAGACGTAAGCGGGGTAGACAACGTTATTGCCCGTCTATCCTCAGGACCGAGGTGTTTGGTTGCGGTGAGCGTCATTGATTGACCATGACTTTTGGCCAGAAAATTGGAAGGGTCAGAACAGCGTCGCGACTGGCTCGGGTCCACTGACACTACAGCTTGCTTGTTTTACCGTCAAGGCAATGAATCATTCTCGAACGGCAACGACTTGCACAGTCATCAAAGAAGTTCTGGAGCTCGAGACAAAATCCACTGTGAGACGTTTGGGCCAGTCAAGGCTATAAAGACTTTCCGGCGCTGCGCCTGAGGATCCCTTTAACAACGCTCGGACTGTCGGCCAATGACAGCCTTCGGTCTTGAGATATCAATGAAAATTGGCCTTGTGTGAGGACAAAAGCATTGCACGTGATCTAGTCCGTGAGCAGGAAAAAGAAACCAGGTCGATGACACTTCTTGATCCTCGAGCGCTTTGTCACTAGCGCTTTCTCGGACTGAACGAGTCATCATAAATGCCGTGCTTACACCAAATGAGACGAGAAGCAGAGTCACTAGATCATAGACCTCGCTGGTTCCTTTGGCTGAACTCCTCTTCGCGCCGCGAACATACTGCAGAAACTCGGTAATATTGGGCCACAAGGCACGCCTCTCTGTGGTGACACTGACCTGCTGTCATTACATCGATGTTGCTCACGGGGAACGAGAGGCACTCGTGTCAACCGGCACAGATGGGAAGTGAGACTGGAAGACACTTGAAAGCAACGTCGCGGACCCTGCGTGTGAAGGAAGCTGCTCTGTGTAGGCCACGTTCCTGTGGATAAGAGCATTCTCTGTCCTCATATTGACTCGAGGACCTGTCGGCAAGAAGTGCATCGAGTACGCAGGCTGTCGACATGATTTGTCGAGGATGGCGGCTGGTGATCTCTAAGCACGCAAGAATCTTACACGCAGCCAGACATCGATGATACGTCCTAAAGCGTCCAGGAGACTGCATTGTCGTTGGTTGGCCAGAAGAGTGGTCCCCTTGGAGAAGAAAAGAGTCTACTAGTAGTCGACAGACCCTTTCACTCGTACCAGCGAAGCGCAAAGACAAAGGCGAACCAGCCTCCTGAACTGATTGCTTTTCGGAAGAGCCATGACCTAGGTTGTGGTGGGCCAGGAACGAAGCCGTTCATCAGCAAGTCAAGCAAGAGACTCAAGCTGCATCGTAATACCAACCGACTTGCACTAACACATCGACACGACAGCTCGAGACGTCCACCTTCGCGAACAGCGTCGATCACTGCCAAACTCGTTAATTTTTCATCCTTTCATTCCATCTCAACGACAGTCAACTGTCCTTTTTGCATCACCGCGCGACGCACAACTTCTCCTCGACGTATGATCTAGATTGCGGCGGCTAGTGATCGAAGCGGATTGCCAGCAAATCGAGAGAAGCGACCCAAACTGCATCACAATACGACGCAAATATCGCATTGGCGACATCTGGGGACTTTCACACTTGTCATCCTCGTTGATCGCAACAGAGTCTAGCTCACTTTCCGCCCTTTTCTTTCGTCTCAACTACAGACAACAACAATTCGTCATATTGTCAGAACAAGAAGCAACCTTGCGTCGACGACACTTAGGGGCAGTCACGCTTAGCAGCGTTAACACGACAGATTCTGCCCACTCTTCGTTACCCTTTCACTCTTCGACCACAAAAACTCATTCCTCGTTGCAACTTGTCATCATGGGCGTAACCAACAATATCCCCCCCGATCTCATCCATTCGGCACAGCTCGCAGACTCGCAGCCCTCCATTCCCCTCGCTACGTCAGCCCCTTGCGTGCCTGCCTGTTCATCAAAGGTCGACGACCACACATCAAACTTGGATGACCCCTCCGATTTCGACGAATCATCAGATCGCGGCGGCTCATCGGTCCTCGACCACGACGACTCGCCAAAGCTCGGCATCTCGCAAGCCGCCATTCCTCTCCTCAAGCCAGCTCCTCATGTGTTCATCAAACCGTCAGAGTTCGTTGGCTCGCAGACGGCCATCGCCCTTGCTACCACAGCTCCTAAAACGCCTGTCAACATCCACGCCTTGCCCAACGAATTGATCGCCCACGTACTCAAACTTCTGTCTCATGACGTTCGCTCCACCGCGTGCGCTGCGCAAGTCTGCAAGCTCTGGCAGTCTTCAGGTGGTCATCTGATCTGGCACACTAACCAACTGAGAGATCTACTCGATCACGGTCTGGCAGGCGACCGCCTTGCTCGCTTCGCTGCCCTTGTCGAAAACATCTACCACCAGCCTGGAGATCAGGTTTTGGCCAATCCACGTGTCAGAACTCTCAACTTCAACAATCTGAAGTCGGTCGAGATGTACTCTAGCAACATCCGCACTACTCCTATGGAAGTCGATATCGAGGGTATCAAAGCATTGATAACATCTAGTCTCAAGTCATGGATTATGACTCACGACTATGGTGCTCGATTCTACCTTTCTCACAACTACAGTGGTCTAATCTCCCTCCCAGGCCCCTTTCCAGATATTAACAATGTCTGATTCGGTGCGCTTCTGGAACTGTCCGCCCAGCTGACTGTATTGAAACTTACGGGTGAGTGTGCAGACTTTGATCAGAATTTGTTGAAAGAGTTTTTGGCCTCGGGGGTCAATCTCGAGGTCTTGAACCTGGGTGAGGATCTCGGTGCGGAGCTAGGCTTAAAGGAGCTGATTCAGATAATGCGCATGCCAAAGCTGAAGTCCTTCTGCTCTAGCCGCGTCCTTGGCTTCACCCCCGAAATCGTCGATATGGTCGTTCAAAGGCTTGGTTCGCACCACTTTATGCCACATCTCCGCAAGCTAGACTACCTCTGGTGCCACTCTGGCTATGTGAGCGCTGCTTCAAGACTTTTGCCAATGATGCCTGGTCTCGAGAAGCTCAGATTGGACCTCGATGACCACTTTTCTTCAACTTGGAACAACGCAATCGACTTTGTCATCTTTCCCATCTTGGCAACGCTCAAGAACCTGCAGGAGCTCCGCATGCTATGCAAAGCTGAATGGCAGCTCGACGGGAAGCATCTCTTGGAGCTCACTTGCCTCGACGATCTCGAGGTCCTTATTATTCACATGAGGCCAGGTGTGCCCTGCTCGTTCACCATGGAGGGAGCTCAGTTCGCTTCCCTGCTACGTGGTCTGCCCAAGCTTAGGTCACTCCGTCTGGGTGTTGGTTCTTGTTTCGTCTCAGCATCGCGTGAGGACTTCGACTACATCAACGAGGCCGTTTCTCGAATTGAGGATGTTGACCTCGAGAGCATCACTTTGGTGCATGACGAGTCACTGGACACCGAGTCGGGCTCACAGTGATGCTTCCTTCAAGACTAGGAGGACCCGGAAGATGATAATGCATTGCGACAGGAGAAAAGGTGGCTTCATTACACAACGCGATGGGACAGAACATTTGCTTCGTTTTTCTCCCTAGATAATAATGAGCTTTCTGGAAAACACTGTACCTTTTGACAACGACTGTTCCACCTTGTGATGAAGCGAGGAGTCCGAAACGTGAAGGAGCGAATCGGTGTTCCTGTGCTCGCCCTGGAGTATGCGTAGACTACGACACCATGCCTACAATCAGAGACAGAACAACCCTCATCTATTCATGGACAGTCTTCGAGGGTACAAGTCACAATGCTAACCGTAACGCTCTCCATAGACAATGACTGGAAAACAGAGAACATCATGCCGCATCACTTCAATTTTGGACCAGAGAGCTTGTGGTGCCACCATTCGGAGGTTGGCTAGGTTCTATTGGAGAGCTTGATGTGAGGAACCTCTGTAGCAGGCCGGGCAGGCGAGACGGTGAATGATATTGATGTGTACTGTTGTGCTCTCGAAGAACTTGTGCTTTTGTCGCTCAGCAAAACGCTTACATTTCCGAGAATAGATAATATAGCTACTATAGCTTGCGGTATTGATACGCTAGCTTACAGTCTGTTACAGTCTTGCTGTCAACTTGGAGGAGTGTTTTTTGTTCGAATTTATAGGGCTTATACATCATGATGAGATCTACTTGCCTTGGTTCAGGTCGAAAACGCGCCTGTGGGTGAGTTTCCAGAAGTATCTAAGAGCCAGACAGCGCCTGCCGCAGTCATTCGATCCGATTGACCTGATCAAGCAGAAGAGGGACATGGCAGGGAACCTGATGGTCGACATTCGAGTACGGGCGAGATTGTTCCTGATCTACCTGACATGTCTCACCATAAGACAGCATGATACGAGCACATTTGCCTGCAGAAATCCTTCTTCACACTCACAGATGTGAGGATCATACCTGACACATACTGTGCCGCAAAATGTTCACTGATCGTGCAGTCGGGAAGACAACATACTTGGCTGAGCGAAGCACCTGTGTCAGAATCTCCAAAGTCAGACAGCTCATGCGCGTGGTCCCCCTACCATATTAACCCGCAAATAGAGCATAACTTTTCCTCTCCTGCATATCGCGAAGAGTCATGACGATTGTCATGGAAGGATTGTGCATATCGCTTCTGACTTCTGAAGCAAAGGTGGAAAAGTGCTGTGATAACTTCTTTCGGTATGACGAGGCAGAGAGAATTTCAGATGACCCAACGCTGCAAAATGTGGCTTGCGATCTCATCGTCCCAAGGATCTCGGATGAGGAGAGTCTAGTATTGACGAGATCACGAACGGTGAATGTGCATATAACTGACGGCTTGCAGCATGTGCGAGCGATCTTGAATGCTTCGGCTCGTAACTGTTAATCTTGCAGCAAAATGTGAGACATGTCATAATCGTAAGCGCGAGCGAGTCCGATCTGGCCAAGGGCAACGCCTACAATCCACTTGATCGCACGGTAGGTGGCAGCAATATCTAGAAACAACACTCCCGCAGTAGGCATTAAAGTCTTTTTGCGGCAAGCAAGACATGTGCGGCGCAGAAATTCAAATGCTCGAGCATGGGAAGGTCGTGCCAAAATAAGCAGCAAACAACACGGGATCGACCGGGAGACAAGATAGTAGCAATCAAAACCCTATCAGACGTCCCCAGAAGGGTGTCCCCGTCATTTGGAAGGGTTCTTCCGCCAGCCAAGCGAATTATCGAAATGTCTCTTGGGAACGGCATGGGTACCGAGACAATGATCAACTGTATGGTACCTCCCGCTTGGTAACGGCAATTGTGTACAAGCAATGCGGTGACCTCCCGAGAAGTAGACAGAGTTGAGAGATAAGCTGTCGATTAGGGTTATCTTCGCTCCATTCCAGGATCCGACAGGTCACTCGATACCTGCGGGAGCTGCGATTTCCCTCGCTACAAAACTCACTTTGAAAGCTTGCCGTGATAGCGCGTTGCGAAAGAGGTTCAGTATGATTTGCCTGGAAACCTCGTGTTTCGTAATCCGTGAGTCAGTAAGCGTAAGCGTGACAGGTTTTGTCGAGCGATTCTGGCGTGGATGTCTCCAAGCAATCAGTCAAGCAACTGATGTCGTCTATTTGCAGTGCTTCGCTCCGACGAGGAATGAGAACCCGAGATTGATCGTCACGGCGGAAACTTTGATCAGGTCGCCTCCAGCTGGCAAGTGGCGGATCTGGACTTGAAAGTTGGTTTAGTCATGGCAGTAATGTCGGATAGACCAGGTGCTGCCGAACTACATTTCAGACAGAAAGCCCAAGATATTGCAATTCTGTGTTGTCGGGATTCAAAACTCCAAGCTCTTTAACAATTAAGTCATGACAAGGCATCCCAGGACTGCGCATAGGGATGTTCGAGACGCGTTTCGGGAAATCCGGGAGTATGCGCCCGCAATCGATTTGTTGGTGGCCGAACGCTCGTACGAATTCGCTGCTGCAAGCAATCTATCTGCTTGATATTGATTACCGTCATCGGATGAGCACGGTCGGGCATGCCGGGACCAGCGAAGCAGATTGATCCCGAGCTGATCAGGGAATGGCTGTTCGTGCCGCATCTGCACTCACAGGCCAGCCACTTCTGTACATTGATTCCCCGGATCGCAATTGAGCCCTGGAGAACCGTGGGCGTGTTTCAAGATCGTTGAAAATATCTTTGTCGGGATGTGAGCTTTCGAATGGCGCGTGCCTACATATAGAAGAGAACATGTTTGGTTCATCACTCGTGGCTGCTCGGTTATGTTATTATCTTGCAAATGTAGCCAGCATCGTCTAGCAGAGCTTGGGCCGGTGGGTATATCAAATACAGTATGCCCGATGGAGCGCGTGGCCCAAAGAATGCTAATTTTGTGGTGTTCATCCGACAATTGGCCCGCAATGAGACTATTCCTTGACGCCGAGTCAAAAGGGGAAGGTAGGTGATCATACCTCGGCCGGATTAGCATTCAATGGCGGCAGTTGCAATAGCACAGAAGCTATGGTGAGAATTCATATCCAAAGAAAGCATTGCAGCTTCCCCTTTTAGCACAGGTCTTTGCGTTCATGCTGGCTGTGCGCACAAAGGAGTCATCTCCACAAGGCTGAATCGATCTGGCCACGCATCGCGCTCGGCGACCAGAGAAAGATTATTCATGACGTCGTCACAATACTCCCGCGAGAGATGATGACCACGCATAGAGAATGTTGCAGGTATTACATTGCGCCGGTCGAAATGGTCCTGCAGGGTTGCGCTTCCCAAGGCTGGAGGCTTGCATCCGAACGCCTTTCCGGATTCCTGGAGCTACCCAAACATATCTTGACCACAGCGCTGGAGATGTCGCTAGTCGAGTATTCGGATTGATTGTGTACCCCAATGTTCATGTAGTCCAATGAGTTGGGAAGAACCTGGGACCTGCAGATGCAGGCGTGGATGGCAGCAGAAAGGCCACGAATACGATCCTGAGATTGTGTAACGGTCGACAGGTCAGTTTCTTAGCGAGTGCACCACTGGAGACATGTTGATAGAATGATCTTTCCGTAGCGTGCAAGCTCCGAATTAGTCTGAACCGACACGAATAACTCTTCATCGCGCTACATCAGACTGCTCGCGTGAACGAAGTGCGTGATCATGAAGGTACTTTCCATGGACTGCCGATGTGAACTCTGCACGCTGCTCGCACACTTTGGTCTGAAAGCGGCGGCGCAGGCCTGCAACTGTGATATGACGACGATGCCGAACTATACATGAAAGGATCGCGACTTGCGTACCCGATACAAGGTTATCCCATCTGATCTAAAGACCGGGAGCGATCAGGCGAGGAACGACTACGCCCAATGGCTTGATCGACTTGCGTAGTCTCGGACGGGCCCGTGGAAGCTCGATGCCGTATATTAATGATGTGCAAAGCTTGCGTGAAGTAGGTCGACCCCTCTCCCCTGAGCTGGGAAGCTTTGACAGACTTGACGTCTGTCCTGCATGGGAAGCGTGTTTCCAAAACATCGTACGCTTGCTGTGTAATGCAAGATGAGAGGGGTTGAGATACCTCTTTCTGCAGCAGCATGACATGTGTAGAATTTTGCCGGTCGTGGTTCCCCAGGAAAAGCTGCACTCATCGGTCGCACCTGCAAAATCTGCAGGTCATTCCAATCGTACTCAAGCTGAGATGAGACGCGTGAGATGCATGCTTTCTTTCAGATTGACGAGATTTGTCACACCTGCGACCCACGGCACAACTCACGGGCATGGATCTGCGGCGCTTATCCACAATATCGGGCTCTCTCGAGATTGCGCGTGTCGGCTCGAGGAACAGTCCTGCATCTTGTCGTCTATTTCATCAAGCTTGGCAACAGCCTAGTGCCGCCTGCTATAGGCATTTGTCTGTAAGAGTACAATGGTGTCGCAAACAAGGTTTACTCAGGAATGCCTCTTGACCTCGAAAGGGAGACGATGGTGGTGCCAGGGTTATGTTTCTTACTTTGGCAGATTCATGCAAATGCCGTCAGCGCTCCAACGTCAATCCTTTCGTATGGCCCGTCTCTGGAAGAAGCGCGTCGTTGCACAGGCCGGCGCCTGTTCCTCGATTACCCGGCGCTGTGAAAATGCATGTTCAGCCTTGTGGTTGGTCAAAGACAAACGCCTGGCGTCAACGGGCTCGAATGAACCGCCGCGCTCAGGCCAAACTTCTCTCCAAACCAAGACGTCTGCATCAATTAGCAGCGCGCCATGGCTCGGACCCGACACCATGTTCATGGATGTTTGGAAAATGGTGGACTCCGGCATTGTCATGCGACGCACCGAATCTGCACAATCTCGGACAGATTCCCTGCTCGATTGATTCGTAGATTCGTACTGCAACGTCCATGCTTCTTGTCTATGCCCAGTGTCCACTCCTTAGAAGACATCATCCTTACGAGGCCCATTGCTCAATTCCCAGTTCAACGGCTCAGGATGATCCGATCCAGTCCGCGCTGCACCGGAGCTTCTTGGTCGCAGTGGATCTCGCTGCAAGAGGCAAGTTCAACGTCTGTGTTGTCCGCATACATATCTAGTCGATTCATGTGCCACCCTTTCTGGTACATCTGATTTGACGCCCGACCATTTGGCTAACTCTAAATCGTGCGTGAACCTTGTCAATGAGAGACGGGCTCGATGGGTTCGACATTGAATGCAATCAACCCGTCGGAGGGAATCTCAAAGCTCGAGGACCTTTCGGCCGGGAGCGAAATATAAAGCCAGCATGTCTTCTCCAGGGAGGACCGACTATTGGACCAGATCAATTCATCCTCGACATCCACCATCCAGCTTCCTCCTCATCTTCACAGTCCAGAATTACACAAGTCTCGCTGGCTGTCATCGAAACTCTATCCTCGCTTCCGCAAGCCTATTCAGCTGAGCATCATTACCGGACAAACTACACCTCCTTGCTTCTATATACGCATCCCGCTGCCCCACCGACTCTTCAATATCACCATATCTCGTTGGTACGTACGAGTCGAAAGAAGATTCCAGACGTTATGAACGTTTGGCTGTTTTTCGTCACCCGCTCTGCCCTATGCTTCCCTCACCCCATGGAGAAGATGGCTGTCAAGAAGGGGATTCCAATATTCTGACTTTAAGCCTCAAAAAGCCATTGCCCTACCATCACAACGTATATGTTGTGTCGATCACCTCTTCGATCTTACCCTTTGTTTTTCCTCCACCATCCACTATTCTTCATGCAGACTCGCAACCACAATCATGGCCAGATCACAAAGCACTATCATTGGGCATACAAGACAACATACTGATCAGACCTCACCCCAGGCCAGAAGCACAACTCTTGCTCGAAATCATATCACCAGAACTCGAAGGCCATCTGTTAGACAACAACGTCAACATCAACTACCAGAAGAAGACCGTTACTTCAATCTACGACGATCAGCAAGAATTGCTCAACGACATCAAGACCAGCAAACAGAATCACAAAACATAAGCAACCACTCCACATCTACAATGGCAGACGTTGCACGCCGCACATACGCTCGCAATGACCACGGTCCTCGCAGTGTCGAGTAAGTCTTATAATCTCATTTTCACAATTTCCAATCTCCACCACCATTCTTCCTGTATCCGAGAGGGAGTTTTATGTCCACTCGTGAGCCGCGCTTCTACAAGCCATGCTTCAGATCCCAGCAATGTCAAGATTCGAAACTGACACTTCACAGGTCCCGTCGCTCCTCAACACGCACAGATTACCCATCTCCCTCAGCCCCCCGAACCTCACGCACCCCTCAAACAACATCATCCTCCTACACCCTAACCATCACAACCCCTCCTCCCTCCTTTCTTCACCCCTCTTCCCCCTTCAACACCCGCATCTTAATAACAACCACCCACACCCCCACCGCACCCCAAAACCTCCTCGCCATCCTCTCCCTCTGCCACGAAACCCCCTCCGGCCCCCGCGTCCTCCCCGCCGGCCACCTCTTGGGTCCGAAATTGATGGATTCCGTTGTAGCAGCGAGTCGCACTGATATCGCAGGCTTGAGCAGAGAGCAAAGACATCGAGTTGTGGGAGTCGTGGGGTTCGAAGGCTTGTGTGTTAGACAAGAGGGAGCGTTTCGGATAAGGGTCACGCTGGCGAGGATGGTAGGGGAGGTTTTGGAGGCTGTGGCTGAGGTTGATAGTGCGGTTTTTGGGTGTAGGGTGGGAAGGTGTTAGGATGGTTTTTTCTTTCTTTTTTTTTCTTTTCTTGCTTTCCTTGGTTCCTGGTGTTGGGTAGGGTTGGCTTGGGAGCTTGGGATATGGGTGGAGGAGCATCATGTGGTTGGGGATGGGAGATGGGGATTGTATGATGATGAGCGAGGGGCCTTGATGTTGAATGTTGATGTTGACGCTGATGTTTGAATTACTTGATGGGTCGGAGTAATATCTTGGGGTTTTGGTCTGGGATACAATTGTTGGAGTCTACGGATTTGAAAGGGTTCGACACAGAAAGTATGATTATGGAGATGAGCATTTTACGTATACAATGGATTGATGAGAAGATCGATATGATAAACTCAAAAAACCACAACCCCTATCAATGTCGTCCACAGCTGGTGAGGTGGCAAGAAGCCCACGGTTTCTCTTGAGAAAAAAGTCGTGTTTTGATGGGCAGACCAGCATTATAGCTTAAAGGCAACAGAGAAATTGGACCTAGTCCACTTTACAAAAACTCACGACGACTACGTTAGGATAGATGTTAAAAACACAAAGGACAATAAAGATGCAAGATACATGGTCCTCCAGTCAAGAACAGGGTACACCCCTAAGCATAGATGACTCATAAATCACAATTTCCCGGCTCCAATGTTGATTTTCTGCCCATATCGAGAAAACCGCATGCTTGATCGATAAGTATAGCTTATTACCGCTTGGCCTTTAAGACTTTACGCCAGCAACAAATTTCGGGATAAGAGTAGCAAAACAGTAGAATTTGGTTGTCTGTAGAAAAAAGTATCCAGAATGCTTGCATGTGAAGAGGTAGTCAAAAACGCCCACCGTGATTGCAAACCCCAAAAGCGAAAAAGGGCAGAGAAGCTTTCCGCTCGGACAAAAGTCAAAGCCTGAAAGGAAAAAGAAGACAACGCCGTGGCCATGAGTGGTAAAAGACAAGCAAGAAGGGACAAAAGAGAAGAAGGCTTTGTGTGTGTGTGTATGCGTGCGAGAGTCTGTCTTTGATGATTGGGTTGTGTTTCTGTCGAGGGCAGAGTAGGATTTTTGAGTGTTTGTGACTGAATGTAGAAGTGGTTTGAGCGAAGCTGTTTGGAGTAGGTGAAGGGACAGGCTTATCTAAAACTTGTTGCTCGTGTCGTAGTAGCCAGAGACAATGTCATCGTAGTTTGAGTAGTCGTATTTGGGATCGCGTCTGGGAGTCTGGCGAGAAGCCGAGTCGGGTCTCGAGGTAGGGGCGGGTTCACGGCGTGCGGAGCGAGGTTGTGAAGTCGAGGTAACGGGAGGTGCAGGGCGGATTGGGAGACTGAGCGGTGGCTGAGCGGCCATGGGTACCTGACCGGCGCTTGAGGTGCGCTGTGGGTAGGCCGGACGTTGCGAGTGACGCGGCATGGACTGTGTGCTGATGGGGATGTCGCCTGACGACGACGAAGCGGGACTGGGCTGTGTCTCGAGCTCCCTGCCCCCAGATCGTAGCAACTGCTTTGTCTCGGGAGAGATCTGTGGCACAAGGTGGGATTTGCGGTTGTGGCGTTCCATCATGCTGACAGCCCACGCCTCGAGGTCGACTGGCGTGCGCTTAGCAGCTTGGAGGAAAGGATCAGAGTCGAATAGCTCGGCGGGTGTGGGTCGGTCGTCGGGGTTCTTCATCAGACACTTGTCGATGACATCGTGCAGGATCTTGGGAAAGGCGTCGCTCTTGGGGAGCTTCGGTGAGGGTTCCAGCACAATCTGCTGGAGGAGGTCAAGAATACCCTGAGGGCCCGCCAAATCATCGTCTTCGCCGTTCTCGCTGTGGAATGGGAACTTGCCAATAGCAAGCTCCATCAAAGATAAGCCGACACTCCACACGTCCGACTTGACCGTGTAAGGAGATCCCTGGATTCTCTCGGGCGCCATGTACGTGCCCGTTCCGACAAAAGTATCCGCCACCGAGTTGTCAAGCTCACTACTCACGCCAAAGTCGCACAACTTGATCTGACCCTTGCTGTTAACCAGGATGTTGGAAGGCTTGATGTCGCGATGCATGATGCGGTGCATGCGGTAGAGGTATGCGAGCCCGCCCAAGACGGACTCTGCAATCTTTCCTAGAACGTCGACACGCACCGGTCCAAAGTTCTTGGAGATGCTGTCCAGTGAGCTGCCAAGTCTATTAGTATTCTGTCTCACCCTCTTGTATCTTCTGCTACTCACCCAACGTCCATATACTCCATGCACATGACAACATCGCCCATGTCGTTCAGAAAGGCGCCGTAGAAGGAGACGATGGAGAGTGAATTACACTCGTGCATGATCTGTAGCTCTCGTACAATGCGTTTTCTGATTTCCTTTTTGGCTTCGACGTGGATGATCTTGCGTGCCATGACGACCTTTGTGGCCGTGTGCATGACCTTGCTGACTGTGCCGCCATTTCCTGCTCCCAACTCTTTGATGACCTGGAGATCTTCACTCTTGAGATCTAACCTGAACTCTACTCCGATCTCGAGTGTGTCGGCGCGACTTAGTTCTTGACCGCCAGCCGATTCTCCATCAGGCGCCGAGGGCTGTGCAGGACGAGCAGCGGGAGCGCTGAGAGCAAGGCCCTTGACGTTCTTGCGCTTCATCGTCTTTGTCTTGAAGGCGTCCGACATGGTTGGCGAATGTGTGTTGTGTAGGCGACTGTACTGAAGAGAAGTTGCGTCTGCTCAGTCGATAGGCAAGAGTTGGCCGCTCCTTGGGCCGTAAAAGTGATTGGCTGACCCTCTAGACGGGCTTGATTAATATCGGACGGTCGCTAGGTTGGGCGCAAAAGGTCGAGGTACAATCAACGAGTGTATCCGACTTGTTTGGCGTATGCACGTCGTCAACAAGGGGACTGGTGTCTGTCGAGTGGGGCCAGAATCCCGCTTTGTTGGATGCGAACTGGAAGATTGGGAGATTGCGAGAATGAAGAATCGGGAATAATCAAGATTGACCGAGGATTATTGGCATTCTATAGAAGAGCACCCAAAGGAGAGACGAGCTGAGAATGGAGAGATGGAGGGATTAATGGACATGAGACAGGCCGACGTACTCGTTGAAACAGCTCTTTCTTGCTAGTAGCCGCAAGCCTTCTACAGACCTTCTATTTCCATTCAACCTTGTTCCCGACTTTCCGCCCTTGGCAGAGAATGATGCTCGCCAAGCCATCTCTCCACAGCAGAGAGGCCTGTCTTTGTTGTGTCGGTGTGTGTAAAGATGTCGCTGCTGAATCGTGTTTACGGAGTGTGACCACATCATCTAGTGACTCGAGTGAAGATCATATTCCTGCGACGGGCAAGTCTACCCTAGTCAGGTCTTTCTCTCTCTCTCTCGCGACTGCCGTTATCGATTGAACTTCTGCAGTCGGGCAGTTGCGACCACAGCGCCGAGATTCAGCCGGCGGAAGGTGCCAAGACCGTGACGGAGATTCAAGTCGTAGTTTACGGTCGACTGGCAAGCACGACGACGAGTACAGGTCAATGAGCACTCGCTTGTTCATCGACATCCCTTGACTCTCTTTCCGTCAAAATACATAAGCGCCTGCTGGTCCAACTCTATTCTTTCCCTCTCCTTCCCGCATAGCCGCGCTCACGAATTGACGATTGGACTTTCACAACGCGCCTAGACCCGACAAGACAGCTTTCACCAAAACATCGCGGACCACAACCACAATGACGACGGCCAACCTGTTCGATTTGGATGCCGAGCTCGGCAGCGAAGAAGATGAGGAGTTCGAGGGCGACGAGGAAGAAGCTCCTCGTTCCAAGAAACAAAGGTCGTCTGGCAATCTGGATGATTCCAGTGAAGAAGAAGATGATGACGACGAGGAGGCTGAGAGAGAGGTATGCATACATGCACGTCATCTGGTGGCGGCTCTAATCATTCCATCAGGTCCGAGAAGGGTTCATAGTAGACGAAGACGAAGACGACGACGGGGATCAAACCGCGCGCAGACGCGACAAGAGGAAGCGCAGACGAGAGGCGCGCGAGGCCGAGGATGCTTTGCTCGACGAGGAGGATCTGGACTTGATTGGCGAGACACATCCCGACTACCAACGTCGTCAGGAGGAGCAGGTGACTACAAGACAAGAAGCTTGCACGACAGGTCAGCCAGCTAACAAACACAGCAGAGCAAGTTCAAGCGTCTGAAGCGTGGCCACCGCGAAGACCGGGATCGCAACGAAGCGCGCGGCATCGACGACATCTTTAGCGACGATGAGGACATGGCTGACGCCGACGGCAGAGCGTACGGCCGCGAGCCCAGAGCTTACGCAGACGAGTTTGCCGACTTTATTGAAGAGGATGAATTCCCAGATGAGGAGCGCGAAGCCATGCGCGACGAAGCCGAAGTACGACGACCAGGCAGAGGCTATGTCGACCCACTGCGCATGCAGAGTGGACTGGACGAGTCGGCCCAGGAAGACATGATGGCCGCCTTTGGTGACGGTACTGAATACGACTGGGCTCTGCAACTACAAGAGGAGGGTGATGAGAACCAGGAAGGCCTGGACAAGCCGCTGGAACTCAAGGACGTCTTCGAGCCTTCGCAATTGGCCGATCGCATGTTGACCGAGGGTGATAACATCATCCGCAACACCGACGTGCCCGAACGCTACCAGCTCGCCCGCCAGCCCTTCAAGGAGATGGACCTGTCCGACGAGGAAATGACGGCCCGCATGCAGGAAGAGACACACTGGATCTCCGACTTCCTTCTCCCCAAGAAGCGTCTGGATCGTGATCTGGTCGAGCCTTTCCGTGAAGTCGTCGGCCACGTCCTACGTTTCATGAACGTCGAAGAGCTCGAAATCCCCTTTATCCTCCACAACCGCAAGGACTATCTCATCCACGAGGAGCGCGTCCCGATATCACCCAACGCAAACGACCCAGACGCCCCCGAGTATGAGATCAAGGCCTCGAGACTGTTGCAGAACAGCGACCTGTGGGAGATTTACGAGCTGGATCTCAAGTACCGTGCCTTTGTCGAGAAGCGTGAAGCCTTGTCAAGGTCGATTGAGAGCATCCGTGAATCCATGCTTGACTCGAATGACGAAATCTTCAACGACATGATCCCTGCCGCTGTCACCATGGAAGAGCTCCAAGACGTCCAGGACTATCTCCACTTCCAGTACGCCGCCCAACTCAAGGATACTACTGTCTACGACGCAGAGACAAACGGAACACAAAAAAGAGCTAGGGGAACACGCAACATCTGGGACAAGGTTCGTGCTGGACAGGCTTACCACCTGGTCAGAGCATTCGGCATTTCAGCAGACGCTCTGGCGCAAAATGCCCTCAAGATTGGTACAAGGCAGTACACCGAGGATCCGACAGAAAGACCCGACGATATGGCCGACGCGCTTGTTGATGGAACCGAATACTCCAACAGCCAACAGGTTATGGCTGCTGCAAAGGCCATGTTTGCCGAGGAGCTCGCCCAAAGTCCCCGCATGCGCAAGCTTCTTCGTCAAAACTTCTACCTTGATGGTGTTTTCGACTGTTACCGCACTGAGAAGGGTTTGAGGAGAATCGACGAAGAGCACCCATACTATGAGTTCAAGTATCTCCGAGGCAAGGATCTCAGATCAATCGTCTCCAAGCCTGAGCTGTTCTTGCGCATGCTGAAGGCTGAAGATGATGGTCTTGTTGAGGTTCGCGTTCGCATGGAAGTCTGGGACAGATTCAAGGACAGTCTCTACAAGAACATCATGTCCGACAATTTCAGCGAGCTTGCAGATGCCTGGAACGCTCTTCGCAGAGAAGTCTTGGACATGGCACTTGACAAGCTCACTCGCATCATCGTCAAGGGTGTCAAGGAAAACCTCAAGACCGAGTGCGAGGCTCAAATCGCTCGCGCTTGCAGAGAAGAGTACGCTAACAAGCTCGATCAAGCACCTTACAAACCTCGTGGAATGGTTCTTGGTACCACCCCTCGTGTTCTCGCCCTTTCCAACGGTGCTGGAAAGCGCAATGATGCTATCTGCTGGGCATACGTTGACGAGAATGGTCGTGTGCTCGAGAACGGCAAGTACTCTGACATCCGTATGGGTAACAAGGAAAAGTTCCTACCTGATGGTGCCGATGTTGGCAACTTTGTCGATCTTGTTGAGCGTCGTAAGCCTGATGTCGTTGCTGTCTCCGGTTTCTCTGTTGAGACTCGCAGGCTATACAAGGATCTTCAAGAAATTATAGAGAGCAACGACTTGCGCGGCACACCCTACGAAGATGAGGATGGCTCAGAACAGAGTGATAAGCTTGACATTGTCATTGCTAATGACGAGGTCGCCCGTCTCTACTACACAAGTGATCGCGCCACGGCCGAACACCCTACTGTCCCTCCGCTTACCAGATACTGTATCGCTCTCGCAAGATACATGCAAAGTCCTCTGAAGGAGTATGCTGCCCTTGGTCGCGACATTACATCCATCTCATTCACATCCAATCAAAATCTCATCCCTCAAGAAAAGGTTTTGAAACACCTGGAGATGGCAATGATCGAGACTGTAAACTTGGTCGGTGTCGACATCAACGAGGCTATCTCAGACTCTTACACCGCCAATCTGTTGCAATACGTCTCTGGTCTTGGTCCTCGCAAGGCCGCACATCTACTCAAAGTCATCAATACCAACGGTGGTGAGCTCAACACACGATTGGAGCTTATCGGTATCAGCGAACGCGCAAAGAGACCGGCTCTCAGTGGTCCCAAGATCTTCGAAAACTGCACAAGTTTCCTGTACATCAATTACGATGATACGGAACCAGACTCTGACTTCTTGGACAACACCCGTGTGCATCCCGAAGACTATGAGACTGCAAGAAAGATCGTGGCCGATACTCTGGATATGGATGAAGAAGATGTCAAGGCTGAGATTGATGAGGCTGGTCCCAATGCTGTTGTCCGCAAGCTTATCAAGGACGACGCTCAAGATAAGCTCAATGACCTTGTTCTTGACGACTATGCAGAGGAGATTCTCCGCAAGCTCGGTCTCAAGAAGAAGGCTACCCTCGAGCTTATTCGTGGTGAACTACAACAGCCCTACGAAGAGCTTCGTCGTAGCTTCTACTTGTTGTCAACAGACGAGGTCTTCACGATGCTTACTGGTGAGACCAAGGAGTCGCTGACAGCAGGCATGATCGTACCCGTGTCTATCAAGCGTACATTCCCCGATCACATCGATGTCAAGCTGGACTGCGGTATCGACGGTTCTGTCAACGAGCAAGACTACCCAGCAGGTGTCGGCAACGGTGGAGCAGAACCTCGCCATGTCTACCAAACACATCAGACCGTCCAAGCCAAGCTTCTCGAGATTGAGCCCAAGCGCTTTACAGCACGTCTTTCGCTCAGAGAAGAAGACTTGCGCGAGCCTTTCCGTCGTGAATTCGACCACGAACCTGGACAATGGGATGAGCAACAAGAAGCACAAGACAAGAAGGAGGCCTTGCACGAAAAGGACGCCAAGACCGGCAGAGCCCAACGTGTCATCAAGCATCCTCTCTTCCGCCCCTTCAACTCTGCCCAAGCAGAAGAGTACCTCGGATCACAAGCACAAGGTGATGTTGTCATCAGACCATCTTCCAAGGGTCTCGACCATCTTGCTGTAACATGGAAGGTCTCGGAGAATGTCTTCCAACACATCGATGTCCTCGAGCTCGACAAGGAGAATGAGTTCTCCGTGGGTAGAACACTCAAGGTTGGCGGCAAGTACACGTACTCCGATCTCGACGAATTGATCGTGTTGCACGTCAAGGCCATGGCAAAGAAGGTAGATGAGATCATGACGGACGAGCGTTTCCAGAAGGGCTCGAGGGAAGCAACGAGTAAGTACCTTTTCCCCAACATCGTCAAAGTTTCCATACTAATACATGCAAATAGACGAATGGCTCAATGCCTACACGGAAGCCAACCCCATCCGCAGCATGTACGCCTTCTGCATCAACCCCAAGTATCCTGGTTACTTTGATTTGTGCTTCAAAGCAGGCGCGGGGGCTAAGGTTTCTGCTTGGCCTGTCAAGGTCATCCCCAACGCGTTTGAACTTCAACGTCATCCTTATCCCGACATGAGGGCGTTGAAGAACGGTTTCAAGTTGCTGTTCTCAAAGCAGAGTGCGGGTAAGCGATAGAGACGTGGATCTCCCGCACAAGGAAACCAGGGGGTAGAGAAGCCTGTGATCGAGAGGGAGATGCTCGATATCGCTTGGACGAGAGGACTGTGAAGCGTTGGAAATCATAAGAAATGATAGGCGAGCGCCTTGAAAAAGTGAAAAAGGAAAAGAGCATCAAACAAAAAGCTATGGACAAAGTTTTTATCAGTAATTCCGCAACTACAAGAAGAGTATTATCAACATCGTCCGCATGTTCTCGGTATGTTTCTAGGGGACTTGGTTGATCATGACGGAGGGTATTTCGATGTGTCAAGACTAAAGTCTCCAAGATTGAATGCCGATACAAAAGCTTACCCTTGCTTGCGGTTGAAAATATTTCACAACCACACCCCTCACTCAAAATGTTCAAGATGAAATGGACTTTCTGAGCTGCGAACTCACGGGTGTGAGAATTTTTTTGCTTCTAATTCTTTGTTTTAGCACTGTTTGACTACCGGGGGAAAGAGAAGAGTTGTAGATTCGAGATCTTAACAATCGACTGACTGACTACCGGTCCCGTAACAAGACTCTCTCCTCTGTGTACTCTATATTCGAATTGAACTCTGCTTATAGTCAAGGGCGACACACAAAGCAGTGGGAGCTGGTGAGACGTTATCGACCTGTGTCACTTCGTTGAACGCCTTGTAAGACCGCAGGTCCCAAAAGCTGCGTCCCTTCTATGTACACTCTGACTTCGGATTAGATTCTGCCTACGGTCGGGAGCGATACACGAAGCAAGGAAGGTGTGAGAGACGTCATCGACCTGTGCTCGTTTCATCGGCGCCTATGCTTTGTTAGCTATGCGCCGATTTACTATCCGCGATACAGTAGATTAAGCTCTTTGAATAGTTCAAGGACGCGCGCATTCGCGGTCCCGTAGATGACGGTTTACAATGATTCTATACTACATACCCTCTTCACCGGGTTTTATAATGACAGACAATACTCTACAACACACGTTTACTCTTGGACATATGGTGATTTTTATATTATCAAGTGTATGTGAGATTCGAAACCATATAAAGGCAGGAGTTTTACGGTGAATTCGGGAGGCAGGCAAGTATTTCCAGTCTTTGCTTCTACATACATAGAAACTCTTTTCTGGATTACCGTGACTTTGGTCAGAAAGATGCCACGTTTTGACGCAGACTTCTCGATCTTCTTAGGCAAGGGAATGTGACATGAATTGCAAAAGTCCGATGAGGCACGGGACACATAGCGTAATATCGGAACTTGAGACTATATAAAGAGTTCTCTACCTGGTAACTTGTTCTTCCATACTCTAGCGAGGACTCCGGCCCATTGGTCATAATCTATAACCTTCTCCATTAGAGCTTGCGCCGCACAAGAATCATTGAGATAGACAGAGTAGTAGCTGACGACATATCACGGGTCGATAAGTCTCTGTATTCTTTTGCTCTCCCGCTAGGACTGCTCAGGAATGCAAGCACGACTATTAGCTGCAAGAAGGGGAGTGGGCATGGAGTTACTAGCCCCCAATTTAACGCTCTTGTCACGGTACCGTTCGTGAGTACAAGCACTCGTGATATGGGCCGGGAACACAACAAATCGCTCTGTTTTTGACTCTCTGCTGTACCGTTCTTCATCCCAGCCTTTTGAAAGAGCCCGTGATAGGATTCGTGACATGAATTAGACCTGCTTTGCGACGCTTATCGGCAAATTTGATTGACTCCTAATCTTGATCTGATCAATGACACAACGCAACATGTGGTATCCGTTTTTGTGACGAAACAGCTTGAACCAGCTTTACGTATGCCATGACAAGTCAGACAGCACTTGACGCGACTTCCTTGTATGTAATTTCTGACATGGTGTTTTGTTAATGATCCGGGTATCTATCCTTCCGGGGTGCAGGTGGATGGATCGAGCACGTTGGAAGAGCCATGTCGCTCGTGGCGCAGATGACTCTAGAGGAAAAAGTCAATCTGACTGGCGGGATTCGTGCCAATAACTCCTGCGGCGGCAACATACCTTCCGTCGATCGCCTTGGATTCCCTGGGATGTGCCTCGCAGACGGGCCTGCTGGTGTGCGCGCTGCCGAAAAGGCCAACGGCTATCCTGCTGGAATACACATCGGATCCAGGCAAGTGACTAGTCTGCTTTACTGATGGCAGAATTGCTAACACTTGCCTTGGCTGGAATCGTAACCTCACTTACGCCCGTGCTCGTGCTATGGCTGGGAAGGTCCATCGCAAAGGTACCACAGTAGCCCTCGCTCCAGCCGGCGTTGGCCCTCTTGGTCGGGTCGCTCAAGGTGGACGCAAACGGGAAGGTTTCGGTAACGATCCTTATCCTTGTCTTGCCGGAATCCTTGCAGGCGCTACTGTGCGAGGTGCACAGGAACAAGGAGTTATTGCGTGCACCAAGCATTTTATTGCAAACGAGCAGGAGATTGGGCGCAATCCTCTTCAGGCCACGGATGCGAACAAAAAGACGATCGAGACACTATCGACTAACATCGATGACAGAACCATGCATGAACTCTACATGTGGCCCTTCGCTGATGCAATTCATGCAGGCACTTCAAGCATCAGTAGGTCGCTCATAATTCCAACGTTCCAGTCTTACATCGCTAAAAGGTGGCGAGAACAGTGTGCTCCTACAATCGAGTCAACGAACTTTACGCATGCCACAACAGCCATCTCCTAAACGGGTTATTGAAGACGGAGCTTGGGTTCCAAGGGTTCGTCCTCAGTGATTGGTCAGCTCAGCATACTGGTGTCAATAGCGCCCTCGCTGGTCTTGATATGGTCATGCCCTCTGGCTTAATCTACTGGGGACCAAACCTCAATCAGGCTGTTCGAAATCGCTCCGTCCCTGAGTCTCGCATCGATGACATGGCTACAAAAATTCTCACTGCCTGGTTTTACTCCGGTCAAGACAGTCCAGACACACCAGTGGTGGGTGTGGATCTCCCAGCCGACTTTACTCGCCCTCATCAGGTCATCGATGCTCGAGATCCTGCGGACGCGCACAATCTGCGTCAATCTGCAATTGAAGGTCACGTCCTGGTGAAGAATATCAATAATGCTTTGCCCCTCCGCCAGCCTGACATCATCTCCGTTTTCGGATACGATGCTCGCCCAATCAGCATTTACAATGTCGGAACAGATGGTCGTGGTACTTGGCTGCAAGGCCTTAACTCCTTCCGTTCTTCCATCTGCGGCTTTCACTCCTCCCGCTTCCAGTCATGCCCTCTCATGCCGGCTATTCAGTTCAACGGTACGGTCTGGACTGGCGGTGACTCAGGCGTAGCAACCTCGACCTACTTTATCTCTCCCTTTGAAGTTATTTCGGAAGAGATCCGCAAGTACGGCAGTACCACGTTCTGGAACTTTGAGACCTACGGGTCTAATATCACAGTGAATGCCCAATCTGACGTCTGTCTTGTGTTCATCAACGCTATTGCTGCTGAAGGTAAGGAACCAATGAGAAACTTGCGTTGCTTCCATGTCTGGAATTCACATGATCATGACTGAGTCTTGGATCTCAGGAATCGATCGCGCCAACTTGCGCGACGATTTCTCCGATGGCATTGTCAAGAACGTCGCCGACCGGTGTCACAACACTGTTGTGGTTGTCCACAACGCAGGTATATGTCTCGTGGATCAATGGATCGATCAACCGAACGTGACAGCAGTTCTGTTCGGACACCTTCCAGGACAGGACTCAGGGACTGTTTTGGTTGACATCTTATTCGGAAGAGCAAGTCTTAGTGGCAAGTTGCCCTGAGTCCGATTATGGTAGCCTTCTTTTGCCTGCGCTTGAGCAGAACTCAAGCACGTACCGATAATTTCCCCAAGACGACTTTTCTGAAGGTGTCTTTATCGATTATCGCGCCTTTGACCGTTTGTAACATTGCTCCAAGGTATGAGTCCGGTTTTGGATTGACCTACACTACTTTCGACTACACGAATCTCTAGGTGCAGCGTATCTCTCAAGGACCACTTCCGGCCTTTGCAAGTGGAAACATCATTCCTGGAGGTCGCGAAGATCTATGAACAGTCATCGCCACAGTGTCCGTCGACGTTACAAACACTAGAGACTTCACTGCTACGGAGATTGCTCAGCTGTATATTCACATACCAGATGACACTCAGCCCACCAGACAGCTTCGTGGTTTCGATAAGCGAACCATATGCGTAGGTGAGACGCTCACGATGATTTTTGAGCTCAAGCGTCGCGATTTCAGTATTTGGAATGTGGAGGTTGCTGAGTGGCAGCTACTGGAGGGCACTTATGAATTGTTTGTCGGAGCGAGCTCGCGAGACTTGAGACTTCGTGGTGAGGTTGTGCTCTGCTGAGGGACACTGGCGTCCGACAGACATGTCGCTCACTAGACTTCTCGCGTGACCAGAGTACCTCTCGGTCGTAAATCCCTGTCAATCTCGATCATGGTGCTTGATCACAGTTCCGGCTCTTCTAGTCGACAAAACTCCTGCGAATCATCGTTCATTACAACATTGCTAATTCTAGTGCGTTCCGAATTACATGTTCTTCTCCTGTCTCCTGTCAAATTATGTCAAGTAATGTTCGTGCATTGATGCCGAACAAAATCTTGCATCATAGTGTCAGAAAAGACCGAATTTTTGGAAAGATCTGGACATTTGATGCGGCGGAATCATCTTGTCTTCCCAGCATGTTGTGAAGTGCCCCTCCCAAGTTCACATTCCTGTCTTGTACGTCTTTATCGTCGCTCTTCTAATTTTGCTTCCAGTTATTGATAGTGTCTGCAACTAGATGCGATGCAAGGTTGCAAGACAATCAGTCAACCACATGTCAGTTAGCAATCATTCACCACATTGATGTTACAGTCCCTCCAAGAAATTTACATCCCCAGCTTACGCTACTAACACCATCATGAAGAAACACCGGAGCCTTGTTGCTGGAGATCCTCACACCGTCCATGATGGCAGCAGCCTTAGGTCATTCACCATCCACTTCCTAGTTTACCTTCCATATTCTTGTGAAGGTATATCATGCTGCAGGATCATCAGGTCCAAGTGCAAATCATCCAACATTCCAAACGAGTGACTCCTTATAAGCCTAAAGACATGTGGTATTGGATGAACGACGAGAGGTTAGCTTATGATCAAGAGACAGGGTACTCCCCTCATCTCTGCGACTTGGGCGAAAATCCATAAAAAAATTTCCTAGCTCATGGTAGCATAAGCGGTGCCATCATACAACATAGATTCAACGATCGCGACAGCATGCTTCAGATCGCCATGTTCTGTAAAGCCTCTAGATTACTTGTTTTTATATCACTCTCGTCTACTATACTCGTAGATCTCTGCATCATCTGTTTTACTTCAAACTCTTCCCCTCCTGAAAAAAAAAAACTCCATGTACTTCCTCTCCCTCCTTTTGCCCCTAGCATCTTCAAATTCGTCAAGAAGGCATGACACAACCAATCTCATACCCGAGCATGACTTCTGTGCTCGCACCCTCCCATCCCCGATTTCCAGCCGTGGAAATCATAAATCTAGCCGCTGGATCAATATGCAGTGCTGAAATGACGCCAGTGCGATGACCAGGAACGATAAGAAACGGCACCGTCGAGCGAGTATTCTCTACATCTCTTAGATCGTAGAGACGCAAAATATCATAAGAAGCACTTCTCCACATTAGCATCATCACAACGAAGAAAGCAGGGGCAGAAAAGCGCTCACCAAATCAAATGCCTACCATTAGGCATACCCCTCACCGCGCTCACCGCACCACTCCCACCTGGTAACTTGAACACCCGTTGCGGCGTCGCCATTTGAAAGCCTTTGTGCAAGTTATACTCCTCCACTGTGCCGTTTCTGCGGCCTGCGTAGATGGAGTTTCCATCTACTGACCAACAGGCTCCCATGCACCAGGGTGGCACTCCGGGGGTTGGGTGGATGATGGCGATGGGGGAGGAGACGCGTTGGTCCCAGATGCGGAGGGTGCCGTCGATGGAGGCGTCGAGGAAGGTTGTGGAGGAGGTTTGGGGCAGTTCGGAGGAGGTTTCTTGAGTGTTGTGGTGGCCGTTTGTGGTTATTTCTTCGGCGTGGGGGAGGGCGGTTGGGAGAGCGTCTGGGAGGTCTGAGGGTGCTGCGTCTGTTTCTGCTTGTGCTTGGGAGAGTGAGGTGTCGGTGGCATGTTGAGATACGGCTGTGGCGTCTTCGGATGGTTGTACGGGACCTCCTGCATCCATCATTTCCGTGTCTTCTTGCTCTGACTGTTGCAAGCCTGTGGCTATTGCTTTGCCAAATTCGTCGTCGTCGTCAAAGGCATTATTGTTGTTGCTATTGTCAGCATTTATGTTGTCGTCGCCAAAGAGAGAGCCATTGTCATCGCCAAACAACGAGCCATCTGGTGAGCCTGCAGCGTCTTCGGTGCCATTCTGACTGTTCTTGCTTCCTCTTCTTTCTTCTGGCGCAGAAGTACCGTTGGTGAGGGGTTTAGCGGCGTTGTTGGAGGAGAAAGTCGAGCTGGGTATTTGAGTGTCTTCAGCGACATGGGGGACTGGCAAGGAAGAGTCGGGACGGCGTTCCAGTGCTGAGATCTGGCCGCCACTGCCGACAAAGGAGCGCTTCACTTTGCCGACATTCAGGTCCCAGTCGAGAATTGTCTTGTCCCAACTCCCTGACAGGAACGAGTATTCGTCTTGAGCCAGACTGAGGACCGAGACGGCTGAAGTGTGTTCGCGCAATGTCGTGATCTTCGTGCCTGCTTGGTGACGGCATGTTTGTAGATTGATTGCGCCAGACTCGAGGCCTGAGAGAAGCCACGTCGCTTGGTGTTGTGTCGCTAGGGAATAGACAGGCGACGAGTCTTTTGCTTCTTCAGCAGATTGAGCAGGCGGCGTGCGCACTGACGTCTCTTCATTCTCCCAGTATGTGGTCAAGCTGCCAGCCTTCATGACGCTGTCCACGAAAGGGTGCTTTTGCGCTACCGTCAAGGGCACTTTGCCATTCGCCGTCTCGACCCAGTTGTACATGCGAATGTAGCCGTCAGAGCCACCACTGAAGACCCACCTCATGTCTGGCGTCGCTGCGACAGCATTGATCGATGTGCTCTGTGGTGCTGCCATGGTAGGCACAATGTCGTAAGTGACGGCATTGATGGCTTCTTGCCGAACCGAGGGCCACGGTAGGTGCATACTCGGCGATTGATGTGCAGAAGGGCGCGGTGACGGCGAGGTCAGCATGACGGTAGGGTTGGGCGGTCGTGATGTGGTAGGGGAGGCTCGACTTTGGCGGCGCGATTGTGATGGCGATTCGGCATCTCCGTCTGCGTCGCCTTCTTCGTCGTCGTCTTGGTCGCCGTCATCATCTTGGTCTGCGTCTTCGTCGTCTCCTTCTTCGTCGCCTTCGCCCTCACCCTCCTCTTGGTCATCTCCTTCTCCTTCCCCTTCGTCATTGTCATTGTCATTGTCGTTGTCGTTGTCATTGTCGTCCATGTTTTCGTCTTCATCTTGAGATTCTTCGCCGGACCCTATTCACTGGTCAGCTCTGTGTACGAGTCCGGGGCTTGTATGTTTGCTTACCTTCTATCGGGTCCTCATCTTCAAAAGACACCATGACGCACCCGAGCTCCTATAGACTGTCGCTACTCCTGAGTGCCCATATGTTTTGGAGCCTGTCGCGTTCGCTATGTGGTGGCCAGATATTGTCGCGTAGATGACCCGAAGATGATAAGCTATTGTGAATATGCTACTCGTGAGTAGAACGTGTATGCTCGTATGTGTCGCGCATGTCTTGACTCCAACAATTCCATGTTCGTCGCGAACGCGGAGTCTCGCGCCGGCGAGGGTCACTTTGTGGGGTTTCCCGAAGTTTAACCACCGGTATCGCGAACACTCCAGCCGACTTGGCCGCTTCTTCTTCCCACAACATCATGTACGACCCTTCGTATTGATCAAAAGCTGTACAGGGGACTGACTAGGTGGCGAGACGGGAGTCACTTCCAGGTCAATACAGCGTAAACGGCAAGGTACACCATAGGTAAACCACCAGGTCCATGATGAAGGCTGGGGGCTTATCAACTATGCTCTCTTCCTGTGCCGACCCCTCCCTCGTAGAAGGAATTGTGATGATGGGCAAAGTGAGATTCGAGGGGATCTTGCTTCGATGGAAAGCGCGCGCAAAGCTCACTTGGCTCACTTGGCTGCACCTTCCCGCAGTGAACAAAGTCAGGGATTCAAACAATCGCTGCAAGGCGCCGCCGCACCAACTTCCGTCAACAACTTCTTCCTCCTCCCTCTACCGCCACCACTCCATCAAACCACAGCTGTAGAAAGGCAGAGTCACATCTAAAACAGGCCCCCTTACACCGAGAGCCCCATATTTCTGCGCTCCCAGCAACCAAGTGCGCATTACAAATATGTCTCTGCATTTCCACAGCTACTAACCTGTACGCTTGTAGCAGAAGGAGACACCCTTTGCGCCTTCTAAACCATGTCGACCTCACGCTCTACATCGAGATCGACGTCAACCCGCAGCACACAACCATCAACCATCATCAATATGAACCGGCTACCACATGAAGCTATCATTAACGCGTATTATCACAACGCACCTCCTCTTGACACTGATGATGAGTGGCTTTTCCTGCCTGAAGTGCCGGACACTCAGGAGATGAAGCGTCAGCTCATCAGTGAGGATCCTCGCGTCCCCGAGAACCAAATCGAGGGCAACTGGTCATCGCCACATGAACACCTCACGGCACAGTATCAATTCCTCCGCGAGGAATCAACCTTCGCTCTGCGCCGTGCAATCGAGCTTGTGCGTGCACAGCCTCATGTGTCGGAACTTGAGCACAGAGAAACCTCACCTGGAATTAGTATATATGAAAAGGCAAGTGCTATCTGTTCATGCTACCTGCTTCAGCTCACTGACAAGAATCTCAAGGCTTTCGCCGTGGGCGTCACTTTCTGCAGCAGAGGATTGGGCATTCGAATGTGCTTCTCAACCTTCCGCGCAGGCGTCAAGATTGATTGGACCACCTCCAAACGCCTCACGTCCGGCTCGATCATTGCCCTGTCGCCTGCTTCGGACAAGTTCCAGAAGAAGATCGTGATTGCTCTTGTCGGCGCCAGACCCATGGAGCTTCTCACTCAGAGTAAGCCAATTCACAAGTCTTTCACGCTGCGCTTGGTACTTACTTCCTTATCAGGTCCCCCTAAAATTGACATTTTTTTCCCACGGCCCGAGGAAACCATCTTCGACCCAGCTCAGGAGTATGTCTTCCTCGAGGAGACTTCATCATACTTCGAGGCCCAAAGACACAACATGCTCGCACTACAACGTATGACCAACGAGAATACTCCCCTGCAGGAGTACATCGTGTCACCTGTCAGTGAGGAGGATGATGTGCCACTGGATCTCATCGAACTCTCCAACCAAGTCGAATGCATGTCTTTCCTCGATCGGGAGGCCGGCAGACACTCTGTCAAGGTTCCTGCATATGTCAAGGATGACCCTCTCATGGACATCAGTCATGCCACTGACGATGACAACGACTACCAATACGACGTCGTCAATCGGCCAATGCCCAAGGATGCCGCAATGCTAGACGACTCGCAGATGGATGCTCTTCATCAGATGTTGACCAAGGAGCTGGCCTTGATCCAAGGTCCTCCCGGAACAGGCAAGACTCATGTCTCCGTCATGGCGCTTCGAATCATGCTGCGAAAGATGGACGAGCAGAGACAGAAAGCTCCACCAGGTGTCGTCATTCCTCCGCTCATCGTCGCCTGCCAGACCAATCACGCCCTCGATCAACTCCTCCGCCATGTGGCTGCCTTCGAGCCTTCATTCATCCGTCTCGGTGGTCGATCTGCTGATACTGACATTGTCAAGAAGCGCACTCTGTTCAACGTGATGGAGGGTTTCAAAGAGAACAACCCTGGCGCAATCATTCACCCGCCTGGCCTGCGTCGTGCGGGCGCCAACATGAGAAATATGGAGAAGGAGTGGAAGAACGCTCTCGCCCCATTCGATGAGTCAAGACAGAACCCAGGTCCCATGACTGAAGACATGTTCACTGATTACCTCACGCCCAAGCACATTGATTCACTGCAGAACTCACAGTGGTCGACAGACAAGGCGAATGGAGATGCACCCGACGTCCCTTGCATCATCAAATGGCTGGGTCAAGACGCCGAGATCACCAGCAGCGACCACTACTGGCCTGCGCAACAAGAGTTTGGCTTCGAAGAGTTCGAAGACGAAGAAGAAGAGATCGACGAAGCTACGGTGGAGAAAGCCAGACAAGACGATGATATTGAGAAGCTCTATGGCCCATACATGCCACTCCTTGACCGAAGTGTCCTTAAGACAACTGCCGCCACCAAGTCGCTCGAAGCCAAAGAAGTCAAGAAGATCCTGAACAGCAGCAAATTCTGTGATCTCAACAAACTGCCACCTCACTTCAGGCTCGGCCTCTACAAGTTTCTCGTCAACGATGCCAAGCAGAAAGTCATCAAGGCTGCTCGCGCTCTCGCCTGCAGATGGGCTAAAGAGGTGAAGGATCGCATCCGGGGCAGCTTCACCAAGAACCTGCAAGTCCTCGCAAATGCCAAAGTCATTGGCTGTACTAGCACTGGTTTCGCAAAGTACCGTCCAATGATCTTCGCTCTCAAGCCACATGTCGTGATGGTCGAGGAGGCTGGTGAGTGTCTCGAAGCTAACATGATGAGCATGCTCCTGCCTTCACTTCAACATCTCATCCTGGTAGGGGATCACCAGCAACTCCGACCTCGTGCTCAGAAGGCCACCCACAATTTCAAGCACTATGATATTTCGTTGTTTGAGCGTCTGGCCCGCAACACAGTCGATTACAGGATGCTGACTGTTCAGAGACGTATGCCGCCCGAGGTCAGACGCCTTCTCTGGCCGATCTATGGTGACAAGATCAGGGACCATGAATGCACCCTCGATCGTCCTTCCGTACCTGGCTTGGGCGACTTCAGGACCTATCTATTCCACCACGAGAACTACGAAGCACATGACAAGTTCAAGTCTGCTTACAATGAGAAGGAAGCAAAGATGATTATAGACTTCGTCAATGGCCTGCTCAGCAATGGCGTCGAGCCACACAAGATCACTGTTCTTACGTTCTACAATGGTCAACGCCGCCTCTTGACTCGCGAGCTGAAGAAGGTTGAGGGTCTCGTCGCTGAGACACGCATCAAGGTTCACACTGTGGATTCATACCAGGGTGAAGAGAACGACATCATCGTCTTGTCTCTGGTTCGCAACAACTCCATCGGCCAAGTCGGCTTCCTGAGCGTCGCCAACCGTGTGTGTGTTGCACTCTCCCGTGCCAAGCAGGGCTTTTACATGTTTGGAAACGTCAAGCTGCTCGAAGAGGCCGGCGGCGAAGAATGGAAGCAGGTTGTCGCTATTTTGAGAGGTCAGGGACCCATCGAGACCCAGTTCGTCACCGGAACGAGAGTTGTCAATGCTGAAAAGTGAACACCTTGTTGCGTTGTTGGGTTGGATTGGTTCTTAGTAATGTTATCTCTTGCGAACGCTTGTTTGTTTCCTCGCCTGTTGGTAGAATTGGTTTGTAGAGCTAGATAGTGTGCTGTACGAGTAATTCAAAATTTCCCTCTCTTTTTATATGCCTCCCCGACTATGACGTCTCTAAATAGCTGCGATGTGCATGCGGTCCCGAGAATGCGGTTGAAGACAAGAACCCGCACCAGATCGGTCTCTAGATCCAGAGTATCCGTCCTCCAACCTTGATGGCCGTCACTCTCCACCTCTACACTATAGTAGTCTATCAGGATATGTCGATATCCGTTACCCGCCAAAAACGGTGCTGATTCAATCTTCAATGCTCCGATCCCTTGATCAATAGCCATACCTTGCGGGACAAGCGTGATAATCGGAGAGCTATGACCTCTGCTTCCCGTCGGCTTTGTGCATGTACCCGTCTGCAACGTACCTCTTGCGATGTCAAAGCTCACAAGCTCCAGTCCAGAGGAGAAAAACATGGTTTGTCATACATGTGCTGTTGCCTGGAAGCTCTCGTTTGTCCTGGTCAAACTGAAGATTGATGACGTTGGAAGTGCGGACCTGAGTTTGTGTGGGGGGATTGTACTTTAACTTCTTGACTTCTGTTTCATTCTATCCTCTTTTCCTTTGGTCCATCTCTTCTTCCTTTGTCTTTACTTTCTTCTATAGTACCTTTTTGGTTTTGGGTTGCTGCTAATTCTTCTTTTGCTTTCTTTGCTTTGTGCTCTGACGATTGCGTCTTTGAATACTCTGTATTCCTCTGTCCTTTCCTTTCTCTGGATAAGATCGTGGTGGGGAGGTTTTGAGCTGCTCTTTGTTTTCTTGTCCTTCGTATTTTGTTTGTTCTGTGCCTTCTTACTTGTGCTGTGTTTTGTTTTTCTGGGCTGCTTCTTTTCTTCTTGCTTTGTATTGCGTCGGTTTGCTACGCTGTCATTTTCTGTTCGTGGTGCGTTTTTACGTTTGAGCTGTCTCTTTACAGTTCTGCTGCCTCCTTACGTCAAGACTGTGTACCCTGCTCTGGGCTCTCCCTTCTCATTTCCGAGGTCTCTTTTCTTCCATCTCCATGTATACCGCACGGTTAGGCATTCGGATCCTGCGCTGCCTCTTTTGCTGCTATATATACGGCGTGGCAAGGTCGTATCTTGATCAACCCACCCACGGTCCACGACGACTCTGACCTGAGCATACGCTCGGTCTTGCAAGTTGTGGCACAGGGTGTACCTCTCACTGCAGCTTTGGAATGGACCCTCGCCTCTCTCACCGCGCAAACAAAGGCTCGTACAGCTTTCCGCGCCTCATTGACAACCTTTGGTCTACAGTGCAGGCGACCGAAGTCCGCAGAGTATGGCATGAGGTCGGTACTTCGATGGTTTGGAGCACGAAACCAGTTTGGTGAGCTCCTGAACTATGTCAAGAACAACAGTCGCCGCGCCAAGCGTGCAAGCCAAACGTACGTCGCTTCCCTCCTCTTTATCTCGCTTCCGTTTACAGGAATAGAGCTGACTGTCATGAACACAGCGGCCATTCGCTCACTCCCACCCGTCCTACGATCGGAATGTGGAGTTTCGAAGACAGCTGGAGACACCATGGAGAACCGACTACTGTCCTCGCAAGAAAGCTCTCTGAGGTCAAAGACAGAGCAAAGCTCTGGTCTGCTGGATGTCACCTCTATCCTGTCATTTGTTTCTGTATATACCGCTGGAGCTGTATTCTTTCCAATGTTTTTCCGGCATATGCTACTTCGGTACGATGCTCTATACTACTGTTCGCTGTGTGGAAACTAGAGCTGACTATCGTGCTGGCAGGGCTCGCGGGATCTAGCGCAGACTATCTCAGCATAGAAGCGTAAGTTACATGCCACTGCCAGAACTCACAATGCCCCTCTCGTATCTGACTCCCGTCTTCCAGTGCCAACTGACCAAGGCATGCAGGCAGAATACACTTTGCGAGAAGGGGTCGTCTTTGTAGTGACGCGAAGCTCGAGACCCGTGCAAGGTGTCAATGTGCCTTGACGATGAGCCACATCCTCAGCCTAGACGATGCCTTCTTCTGGTTGGATCTCACGTTCTGGCTGGACCGTGGTTGCAAAAGAGACTCAACACTATGGCGGGGTCGTTCGGTCTGTCTAGCCTTGCAGCAGCCATCTCCCGACCTGAACCGCAGACACAGCTGCAAATCAAAGGTAACCTACACTGCCACCGTCTCGATGTCAAATTTTTCTTGTACTGATAAGATACAGTGCACCTATCGAACGCGTGTTCCTTAAAAGATGCGGCCACGGACTGTCCCCTATTGTCGCGGTATCTGGGTCAACACGCAACTATGTGGGCCCTCAGTCCGCCCGTTCCCGCGCGTACGTCGCCTGCGCTGGCACTCGCAAGAATTGCGAGAATCTGTAGGTTTTTCGCCGTTCTCCGCTCGAAAATCGTCGCTCACCGCCCAGTCCTCAAATGGCTCACATAGCCTACGCCGTTTGGACTCGTTCCAACAATGATGACCCCACAACCTTCTTTTTGGAAGATGTTTGTGACGAATGTCTTGAGATGACTTGTTATAATCTTGTATATACGAGGCTGGCGATATTGTCAACGCTCGACATCGTAATCAGCACTGCTTACAGTACGTCCTCTTCCTTCAAACAATGATTAGAGCCGAGTCAAAACTGACCAGCGCTTGCAGGACATGCTATCATTCAGCCTATCATCATGTCCGACTGGGATTGTACAGCCAATGCCTATTGCACTATCTGCATCGTCCACAAAACCAGTTCCAACTCACGACCTTGAAATACACCCTACCGATTCTATCACTGATCATGAGTCTGCACAAGAAGGAATACTCTGTGGCAACCGTGCTACTGAGATCAAGATGTCATTCGTCTTTAGCTTCAGACTGACTCTCACTCCTTGCTTTCCGATTGTCCAAGTCGCAGTCGCGTTCCCATAAAATGGCTTCTGTCATCTCCTTTTCCCATATATATACTGCTGGAGCTTTCTGGTCTCTGCGAGATGACCTGCACTGCTGCATTCGGTAGGCACACAGATCTTGTGTCTTTAGTCTGACCGCCGCCAACTTCCTTGTGCGTCTGGCCGGAACAATACATCCGTAGCGACTAAATCTGAGCTGCACCATCTCAGGAGGTACTGTTCAACAGTTTGCAGCTATCATATAAGCTATGTAATTCATGGTTACCGGCCATGGCACCTTTAAAGACTTCGCTGCTAGACCCATGCTGTTCAACACTATGGTCTGGAATTCTCCCAACAAATCGTAGCTGCCAATCGAGTCTGCCTTATATGTGCGAACTCTCGAGGCCGTTATTTCTGGATACTCCACAAACTTAGTCACACCTTTCGATCTTCACTTCCTGCCGATACGCTATTACTGGGAAGGCAAATTGTACACATCTTGCACTGCTTGCTCGATGAAGTCATTGACAAGACATGCTGGCTCCTTTACCCGAGGTGGCAAGGACATACGAAACTGCTGCTTGCTTTTGCTCAAAATTCGTCCAGTGCGGCTTCCTCAAGACGAAGATGATCGCAAGCTTGATGAGAGCTTACTGATATATTCCATTTGTTGTCTTTTGCCCACCTCTCGATATACATATATATATATATATATATATCTGAGGCGCTAGCTGCTTCTCATCTCAGTCGTCCACGACTAGCTCTCCCAGCTTACGAAGCCCCGCCTGAACGAATCGTGCTGCCGCCTCGACTCTCGACGACAGAGGTCTTCTTCGAGACCATCGCTTGTCCCACGTTCGCAGTCGACGATGGCATAGTCGCAATGCTGCAAGGTAAGAGGACAGTCGCAGAGACCGACGTTTGGAAATGTTGTTGAGACAGCGACCCGTACTGCCATATCACGTCTCAAACCTTGATACGATTATTTGAGTCAGTCGAGCAGTATTACATTCGAGGATTCAATGCGGTTCGGGCACGATGCGAAGAGAATCATAGTGATGATTACATAACTTATGACTCGAGGAAAGACTGCGCTTGAGATTTTCTGTCCAAGTCAGTTTTACTCATGCAATGCACCGGATACTGTTTTGCCAGAGCTGATGGTTGACAACACCCTCAGAGAAACAGCAAGAAGATAATCATAGCATTGCGTCGCATTCATTCTACTTCTCTATTCATTACAGATACATATTATCTTTCAGTCTCATTCATACCTCCAAGCCTCTTCTGCCTCGAATCACGCTTCCTCATCCTTCTTCCTCAAAAACCCATCGCGACTTTGAGGCACCTGCTCATCCTCATGCGCAGCGTCCTGGCCCGGATTCGCAATCTCATACTCCAAAATCTTGATAAACTTATAAAACACCACCGCAATAAGCGCTCCCAATGCAGGGCCAAGCCAATAAATCCAGTCTATTGCTTATTATTAGCGTTTATCCCAAGATCCCCATCAAATGCCACAACTTCGACTAGCGACAGGGGAAAAACTTACGTTCACTATCCCAAACACCAGTGACAGCGCAAGGACCAAATGATCTAGCTGGATTGAGGGAGCCACCGGTGTAAAACACACCGACCAATTCTGCGATGAAGAGGGCGAGGCCGATGCCTACGGGAGCCATGTATGTAGCTCTATGCTTTTCCTTGGCGAGCATGAAGATTGTAAACACCAGTTCTGCGGTCAAGATGGCTTCGATGAAGACTCCTCTCGCTCTGCTCGTCCCTTCGCTCAATGTCGTGCGAACATTCAATGGGGTTGGGAAGAGTGCCCTCACAAGCACTGAAGCCAAGAGACTGCCCGAGATTTGTGCCAGAAAGAGAAGAGAGCCGCGAACGTAATCTAGGGACTTTACCATAACCATAGCAAGAGTGACGGCGGGGTTGAAGAGGCCGCCGGAGATGCGGAAGAAGATCCAGACGTTTACCATGAGGGAGAAGCCGAAGGACACAGCGGTATACATGAGGACGATAGGAGAGAAGCCGTTAGTTGCATTCGTGGTTGTCGTGGTCTCTGCAGTGCCGATATTGGCAACTTGTGTACCGGCAAAGGCGAAGAAGAGAAACATTGTCGTGCCGACAAATTCACCTATCATGGCTACAAAGTCTGAGAGGATCTCTGTTAGCGATACGTTGATAGGAGTGTATGTGTAGGTAGGACAAACGATTCTTGGCTGTTGAGTTCATCCACCAGATCAATGGCAGTCTAAGAACTTCTTCAACCGGGGTGGAGCGGCCATTGTTGTAGAAACTGCCTGCTTTACCACCACCGCCGCGAGGACCTTCGCTTTCAATGTCTGAGAGATTCTCAAAGCGATATGAGCGTTTCTTAGTATCGTAGCGTAAACTTCTGAACGAGTCAGACGGCGCACGACGAACATATTGGTTGTTCATCTGATGTAATGGACTGTCGGCGTTGACAGGAATACGCTGAACGTCAGTAGGGAAAGGATCGATAGAAGCCTGTTTGTGAGCTCTGGGATTTGGCTCCAGAGCTTGCGTATCATTGTCTTCAATTGCCATCTGAGGCGCACCCATATCTCCGTAGTCGTTGTAGGAATGACGCTTGTAAAAGTTTGGTCGGCCCATATCGTAGCTTTCGTTGTTATAGCCTCGAGGCAGCGGACCCCAGTATGATTGAGTGCCAGATTGACTCATCGAGCGTTCTCTTGGGTGTACTGTCTGAGCGGTACCTGGACGTGGAATGACTGCAGTCGAGGGAGCACCAGCAGCAGTGGGAGGACGAGAGCCAGAAATCGCCGGAGGAGGCGACATGAATCTCGCTTGAGCTGGTAGTTCTTGCGATGGCGAAGTGTGTAAAAGTGGTACTCCTGTCCCGTTCGGCGTATTGGGATCATAGCCGAGCTGTCTATTCGACTTCTGCGACGAAGGTGTAGTCGGAGGATACTGCGGTTGGGACATGGCGGCGTCGGGATCTTTGCTGCCAATTTGACTGTACGTCGAAGTATGCGACCTGATGAGACTAGGTCTGGAGGACATTGCGACCAAGACTTCCCGCCTTTATATACTCGGAGAAAATGCTTCAGAATGGACTCAACCGGACAGCCTCGGATGTGAATCAGCCTCGATTTGCGGAGATTATGGCCGATGTAAGCCAGAATGATGTAGCCGTACAGGTGGTTGGGGTGGAGAAGTAGATTTGGTGGATGAAACGGAAAAGCTCGTAAGAGGCGTTCGAGCAAGGCTATATGCGTCCATGGACGCGGTCATCGCGAGTGCGCGTTATTGATCTGGTCTTGCAAAGAGTTTAGCTCGTTGTCAGGAGAAACGTATCCGACATGGTGTGCTCGAGACAGGTGGTGGTAGGGGAACGAGCTACCAAAGAACGAATGATGATAACGTGGCGTTACACATGGCAGCTGTCTTTGCGAGTCATTCTTCGACCGAGCAACTACATGCACAATGATGCCCTACGCATACGTGCATGCGACTTCTTGCTGAGCCTCCTACGCCTCGTAGTATCACGATCCGAGGATTGAGTCAGTCGTGTAGGCGTACCACTGCCTGGCGATGACATGTGTAGTCCAACGGGTGGCTGACATTCCTGCCCTGGATGTCTGACTGAAGCTTCAAGATCTCTTGCGCCAGTACTGTCCCAAATATGCAACAGACATTCACAATGAGCTCTCGTAGCCGAGAAAGACGTCGCATCGACACCGATAGAGTTGGCTACTGCAGACGAGCAAAGATTCTTCCGATGAAACCGAGTAAAGGGCTGGCACTGCTGTTCGTAACTCGTCCCGGCTACCGGGGTAAAGCAGTGCAGTTAATCTAAGTAACCAAGAAACATTGGAAAATGACTGATGATCCACACACCCAGATGAACGTGCGGGGAGGCCTGAAACCAAACCCTACCATTCTTCCAACTTACTGTCGTCAAAGCAAAAGATCCTTCTTGCATTCAGGCCGTCCGCATTGAGCGCCTGATTTGGCTTGACAGCAAGGCGTGGCAAGCTTGACTTTAGCTTACATATAGCGACACATGTTGACAGCCAGAACTCTCCCGTCACGTCTGCCTGGCAAGGCACTTCGTATACAAGTATTGCATTGCCATGTACGTCCAGGATGTTGAAGTGGTAGGTTCGAGGCTTGCGCGTTTCACCGTGCCACGGCCCGCAGATCTCCCGAGAGACAGGGTCTCTTACGTCACCGAAGTGTCTCGCATCGTGACCATCGTCGCTGCTTAGTCTGACATTCACTTTCTCTAATAAACGAAGCACGTCTTTCACGGGAGGGGTGTGGCGGGAAATTATCAAACGACATGATGTCTATCCTGTACGACTGAACAAAGGGGTATCCAACTGCGCCCATGGAAAAAAGTGCAAAAAATTAATCGCAGAAACCTTCCTCCCCATCCGTTTCATACTGAGAAAAGCTTCCAGAATGCGTCGACGTAGCCTTTCCGTCTACTTAGAAGTCTTGTGGATCGGCAAGCTTTACTGTATGACCACTCTGGAACCTGATCAGCCGCCATTCTTTGGCTTGCACTTTGCGCTACGCGCTACTGACTGTGCTAAAATTATCCGTCGAGATAAACTCAAACATGTACAAGAAGAGAATCCAGGTGTATCCTGGAGCATAGAATTAAGGAGCGAGCAAGGCGTAGAAGCTCATGATCAAGGCATATCGACATAGGTTGTCTTGCGTTGCCAAAACTTGGTCTTCTTCTTCTCTGCCTTTTCGGGCTTGCCACCTCTGCCCATGGCAGGCGCTGGAGCTTGCCTTTGAGTGGGCTCTGGTGGTCCAGATGACATCAGGAAGTCTGCCAGGTCGCTAGTTCCAGATGAGTGAAATGGATCCAGCCTAGCATTTCTCACGACACCAGCTGAGCGAACTTCCATCTTAGGCTTGTTACTTCGCGGCACGTAACCACTTGAGATCTGCGAGGTAATATGTGCAGGGCGCACAGCAGATGTTGAGGTCACAGAGCGAGTACTGTTGACACTGTGAGCATATCCTGGATTGGGTGACAGAGTGGGAGTGTTGCCATTGCTCAAGGCAGGTGAGCGCCCAGCAGAAGAGTGCGCACTGGTGACAGAGCTAGCACGAGGTTGCTGCGCACCTGCGACTGCACCGCTGCTGTTGTTGGAACGCGGTAAAGCAGCGAGCATGTCTTCCTCATCATCATCCTCGTCAGAGTCGTCAGGAATAGCGTAGGGATCCTTCACTCTGCTTCTCGTGCGGCCATCGCTGCCTACGATGGGTCGCGTACTGGGAAGAACAAGATTCAGTGCTGGAGAGCTTGGTTGAGTCAATGGTGACATAGGCAACTTCGGCGTGTTGCCACTACCATAATTGGGCGTAGCCGGTCCACTCATTAGGAGACCAGTGCGTGAGTCAGACGTGGAAGAAGTCATGGGCCTGTTCACGTTCGGGTTTTGGGGTGCTTCGGACGCGCCAGTGATCGTAGTTCGAACATCGCCTCCTTCCCAGTCTGCAAAAGGAGCGATGTGATTAGGAACGCGAGCCTTACCATTCGGACCAGGCGGGCCACCGCGGATGAAGTCAATCAGGTCACTGTTGTTATCGGATGACCCTGTGGCTCCCCTTGCAGTCAAACTTGGTCTGTTGCCTGAGCGTTTGGCTTGCGGTCCAAGAGGGCTTCTTGGAATATACTTCCCGCCAGCATTGGCCGGTTTTGGCACAGGCGGAGCATCTCTAGCACTCGAAGCTTGTGCTTGGGCAGTAGCTCGAATTGATGTCAGGCTGCGGCGTGCGGCTAGACCAGGTACGACAAGGTCTGGCTCCTTGTCTGGCCCAGTCGATCGAATGAAGTCAGCGAAGTCTCTAGTCGACTCGGTCTGCATAACAGGCTCGCGTGCAACCTGACCAGAAGGGAGAGCATGCAAGTTTTGGGGTGTCGGGCGACTGATGGATGCTTTGCGTCTGGTGTCTTCGACTGCCTTGGACTCCTTCTTTTCCTTTGCTCCTCCAAGAGACCACGTCGCACTTCGGTTCGAGCGCACGGACTGTGCATCGCTGTCCTTCTTGATACTTTCTCTCGAGTTTGATCCAAATGCTTGCTTCCTCTTTGCTTGGGGACTCCAGGGTCGATCCGAATCCCGAACAGTCTCGGGAGTCAATGTGTACTTGATGGTCTCGTCTCTTCGAAGGAGAGCATCGAAGTCTTGTTCCGAGGTCATTGATGTGGTGGGAAGTTTCCTTCTCTCGTCCAAGCTTTGTCTGTTGGATGTTGTGGAAATCTGTCGCAAGCTACCTCTGTCACCAGGGCTGTTTGAATCTGGATCCGTAAGTTTGGATGTTCGCCTGGTCTTCATGAAATCGGCCGAGACGCGTTGTTCGTAGATAGGCGTCCTTTCACGTTTTGACGAGGCGTCGGAGCCGGTCCTCGAGATGCCAAGACCAGGAAACTGTCTTGCCAATGGACTTGTAGGTAAATTGGGTGAACTGCCCGCAGTGTGCACGATCGGCTCTGGTTCGCTTTGTGCATCACTACCGCTATCTAACTCCATAAAGGTCTCGGCAGAAAGTTCTGCGGGCGGCTCGAGAGAATGAGACTTGCTTCCAGCAGATGTCGGAGTCAAACCCGAGTGTGAGCCACTCAAGTTGCGGCTTGCCAGGAAGTCTTCTGGACTGAAAGGACGGTCCAACTCTGCTGCAAGCTCCAAGCCTTCTTGCGAGAGATTGAATGCTTGCGTGTATCTAGCTGATGAGGGACCGTAGATGGCGAGTCTCTTAGGTCGCTGAACTACCCTCATGGCGGATACACGATCACCGAAACTGGTGGGCTGTGATGAGATAGAAGCCTTCTCAGTGTGTGCGCTATCTCTTGACTCCGGTCTCTCAGATCCGTGCATCTGAACGCTGGGCAAACCTTCCCCGGCTTCTCCCTCGGCGAAGCGCGAAGTGGGATTGGCAATTTCTGCGACCGGAGTATCGGCGGGCCAAGCTCCTGGAGCCTCAACGAGAGGAGTCGTTATGGGCAGAGGCACCGAGAAGGGTCGAGATTTGGCAAGAGTGTCGGATCGGAACTGGCGGGTACTGCCAAAACCAGCACTTTGTGGGCGATACTCTCGAGGGTGGTCACGAGATTGCTGAGCAGAGTCTGGGCGATCTGGATCTTTGGCAAGTCCTGGGACTTCTATCTCATCAACATCGCGTTGGTTCTCGGGCAGGGGGATGTTTGAGGCCAGAACATGCTCAGGGTAGTTGTTCTCGGGAAGGTCAGGGAAGCGATCCCAGAGGCTGCCACGGCGGAAGATGGTAGGGCTGTTCGCGGCCGAATGACTCTGCTGAGAAACTCGATTGAGGAGGCGAACAGACTTCTTCCAAGCACGCCACTGGCGGTCGAGAGGTGAATTGAGAATGGCTCTTTCCAGATCAGTGTCTTCAACGAGGATGTATGTGACGTCGTCGCTGTTCTCGGGCAGAGACGTCGTGGCGGCCGCCCGTTGGATGCGAGCCAGGGCGTTCTGTGAAGCCATTGTGATGACCATCTCGCCTAGATAGTCGAGCACGCCGGCCAAGAAGATCTCAGAAGCCAGACTGATGACGCCGGCGGTTTCTGAAAAGGTTGTGTTCAAGCCCTCCTCACGCACGTAGCGCTCATCGTCGTCAATGTCAAAGTCGCTCTTTTCCGTGCGCATCATGACTCTCAGACGCGATCTCTTCCATGTGAATTCGAGGTTGGATCGGGCGCCGCTCTGGCTTGCGGGGCCGACATGATCGTTGAGCTCGTCGTCTGCCTGCAGAGCGAGAAGATCTTCGAGGTTGTCTTGGGCGCTGGCGATTGCGTCTCTTGCGAGGTTTTTTTTGAGCACTTCGGTGACGGCAGGCTTCAGAGCGTGAAGGGTGGTGCTTCGGGCGACGTTGATGTACTCAAAGAGCTGGCGATCGAGGAATTGGTTGATGGAAGCGACGGCGCTCTCGGCGACGGTCGCTCTGTGATGGAGTCGCCATGTCTGCTCTTCGTCGGCGCGGGCGTCTGCCACGTCGGTGGCCAACTGCGATGCACTAGAAATAGATATGTACTCGGGCGCAGGCTTGACGCTGCTGACGAAGGATGGAGTTGTGTTGAAGGCCGTTGCCGAGGCAAGGGATGGAGCGTCGCTGGTAATTGAATTGGCGTAGTTCATGACGGGCGACGAAGCTGCTGTAAAGACTGCTCCATGTGCGGAAGAAGAAGATGGAGGTGCCGTCATACTGCGCAGTGTCTAGACGGACGATACTGGCGATGACAGGCTCATAAACAAGTCCGCAAGTCTCCAGCTGACCAAGGATGCGACGGCCTTTACTTTGGTCTGCGTTTCAGGTGCGCGATGGTACAAACGTAGAAGGCCGGAACTCTGCATCAGCCGCGCCACAAAACTTCATGTATCTCGCCAGCTCTGATTTTGGCGTTATGCGCGTCCGTTAGATCGTCCAGTCGACCAGCTTCAGTAAAAAAAAAAACAGATGACTGACAACGAGGGCGACAAGCCATCCGCCTACCTATCTATCATCTCCATGGCCGGCTTACCAGCCGTACGTCTTCCCAATTCGAGTGCTCTTCTTCGGGTCGCAGCTAGTACACTGGTACGAATCTAACCGTCTCCCGAAAGTGGATCGGGTGAAGCATGGGCACTCCTGCACCAGAATTTGACTTCTAGCCCTTGGCAATGACTCCGTGACCAAGGAGTTCCATGCTGATGTCAGAAAGAATTTCGGATGTTTTTGATGGTGAAGAATTGTTAGCAGAATGGTGGATAGGGGGTCTGGCAACGACAGGATTAACGCTGCCAATTCGTCGCTGCTTCCTTCCTCCAGGAGGCAGTAATGACCGTTGGATGCGGCGGACTTTCGAAACACCGGCTACCGGCAACCGAACAGCCCTTCGTCCACCCTCCTTCCATTCTTCCATCCATCCACCACATCCTTCCATCGCCCACATCGTCACCGCCTGTCTAGAAAACTCGAGCTGCCCTTGGCTCATAGACCGACATAATTCCCACCTGGATGCACTGCATTCGGTCGCGCCAATCGGCTCACTTTAGTCACGAGAAACCGTTGCGACTCCGTCTTGTGCTTACCACGTTTCCGGCGCTTTTGCCGTTTCAAAAGTCTGCTCGAGTCAAGCCTTTTACCTTTCACACGCGACCTTGACATTTCTTGTTCAACGGCTTATGGGCAATCAAACTCTTTTCTCGTCAAACTCATTCTGCGAACTGGCTTTACTTCCATTGAACTGTTGCGTCTTACCTTTGAGTTTCCGTCAACTGTCTACGCAGGAGTCGCGACTTTCGACGTGAGGCTTCAGCAGCCATCTCGTCATGGCAGGCTCGAGAGCCGATACCCCCAGTCGCCGTCTTGCCCTCAGTCCCAGCCTTATCGACCGTTTCTCTCTACCGTAACCCACTTGTCATGCTCCCGCTCTTGCCCTGGAAAATGTGGAAATCTGGATTTGCATCGTCAAGACCCAAAAGCTATCAATACGACCACGTGCCTGCAGAACGTCAGATCTGCGAGCACGGTTTTGTAGCCCTGCGTCTTCTTGGTTTGCGCTTCCAAACTCTACCACCTCCATCTCCAACCTCCGCATCACCGCCGAAAAAGACTCGGGGCAGACTGTGTAGTCAGAGACCGATCGACAAGACTTGTACGGACGTAATACCGTATAAGTCAGCCGCGCCAGCATTTTGCATCATCTCTAAAATCTGTTATATCATGTCAGCTAGTCGGCTTCCGCAGGGAGCCGACGGAAGTTGTCTCTGAGCACTCAGACATCACGCTCTCTGATCAATCGACGGCGGGTAAAATGTTCCTGAGCGTCAGCAGTACTATGAGTTCTGAAAGTCTGCTCGCGCATGCGGTGGTACAGTCCTACCAAGTGAATTTCCTACGAGGACGAATGGGCATCCTGCTATCGAGATACTCATCGCTGGTACACCAAGGTGGCTTTCAGTGTCTTGTGAGCAATATGCACAATGTCGAGCGAATGCTGTAGAGTAGCTTGTAGGTGAATATCTTCACTGACATGGATGTGCTGGAGGACCGCGGGTTGTTGTGTTGCGATGAGACAGCACGCTACGCTTGGACAACAACATGAGTATCAACTTCCCCGAGCTCAAGGAACCGTTCGAGCATATTAAACACTCAGATTACATGTCCAACCGCGGTGATGAGCGTCTCCCCGCTCACAATAAAAAAAACTTATGACAGCCACTCATCCTGCGCATCGTCTGAAGGGCAGTGTTTGATATGCATAGCTAGATGGAATCTTCAAGATTCCAATGGACACTTTTGACGTCTTATCCTGATCTGTGTAACAAGACCGCCCGTGTCGACTTCCTATTCGACCTCTTTCTCATCGCCAACGAATACGACGTTCCTTCGCTCAGCGATTTTGTCACTACCACAATCGTCTCGCTCCTGCCTCAGCTCAAGCCTCTCCGGGATAGAGCTGATATCGAGAGCTTCCGCGCCATCATCTCGAAGACTGCAGACTTCTACACCAATTCACAGATCGCAGATCAAGCACTCATGGACGCTGTTGTGGAGATATGTGCAGGTGATGAACCAGGCTTACGCGTTCTTGAAATGAGGCTTGAGATTTCTGCTATCTTGGGTCGTGTGGATGTCTTTGGGGGTAGGCTGTTGAAGACTTGGACGAAGTTATCAAAGCCTGCCGGTATCTACCGAAATGAGCCTTGGTCGTCATCCGAAAGACTCGAGTTCATTCCTCGCACTTACTCTCACGCTAAACGCCCTCGCCGTCGCCACTGATACCATGACCGACACTCTCGTTCGACACAAAAATGTCTCGGCTCCAATCTTGTCCGATTTAATACCCAAACCACACGCTCGGTTGATGAAAGCTGGAAGGCATCAACGACTCCCACTATGTTCAATGACTTCTTTCCAGCGGGCCATTCGGACGACTTAATAGCCGCAACACCGTCCCCAGCAAATCGCAGGCCCGTAGCCAAGCAGCTGGTGCAATATGCAGAACAATTCTGCGCAATTTTACTTCTTTCGTCTCTGCCAACGAGCTTTGTGTTGCATTAATCCTTTCTTCACACCCAGAGCTTAGCACTCCGGATACCTTGGTCTGCGAGAGCATGTGTGTGGTCTGCTCACACACAACATCACTTCTTACGTAACCTGTCTTCGCATTGTCAAGTCTGACTTTATGCTTTGCCTTGTGACCGAAGTTATAATCTGAACCATCTGAAAGTCTACACCACTCGAAGGTGGAATGACTTTAGCTATGTACTCAGCAGCAGTCCACGATTCTCGCACATCAGCAGGACAGTGCATATGAAAGTTGGTTCATGACTGAACTAGTGATGATGTTTAGGACATGGTCAACCTTCCGATGTGACGTCAGTCGCAGATTCAATCCCGATGAAGACCGTATGCATGGTCGTTGAAATCAGTCGATGCCGCTTTGGCATCAAAAAAGTTCCCTATACAGGTAAAAAGATGGTCTAACGCTCATCTTCGCAAGTCGAGAAAGCGGCCGCCTTCCTCTTCGTAGACCACATGATTGCTAGGCATCGATCAAACCACCTCCTTTGACAGGCAATTATAAGTAGCAAACAGGATCCAAAGCATAAAATCCCTCTCAACGAAGACATTGTCCGAGCTCAGTCATCAGATACTTGCGATGGAGCACGAAGGTGGAGGCCCTATTAGCTATTTCAACGACAAGTCTCTCTCACACATGATCATCCTCTCTAGCAACCCTCCGAATCTCTACGGACACAAGCAAATCCTAGCTAGCAAATCGACAGTCTTCCAGCGCTGGACTAGGGAACATCCCGTTCGTCGTTTAATCCGCCCTTCAAATTGTATCTGCTAACACCCGAATTCTGCAAGAGAAGACCTACTCCATCGAAGAGAGTCTCGACGTCGAAGCAGTCCACAAAGTGCTCCGCTTCATCTACGGCCATGCAACAACCTCCACCGCCGAACATGGTGTTGAGAACTTCATCGACCAAATGCTCAGTACCCACGAGATCGCCAGCCACTTTGGAGTCCCAAGCCTCTGTGACGATATCAACCGACAGATATGCGCAGTCCTGGACAGATGTATGATTCCAACTAGAGCAGCTGAATTCTGCATGATTGTGAGGAAGGTTGCGGTATTCTTTGCTGAAAACGAAATTTCGGATGAGAGAATTCTTGATGGCGTTGTGCATATGTGCTGATCGAAGGCTAATGGATTTGGTTGGTTGGAGCAGCATATGAATATCTCCAGTGTCTTCGAGGAGTGAGATCCTCTTGCTGGTCGCTTGCTAAGACGTCTCGGTAGAGACATGAGAAGACTCACGATCACAGAGCGCTGAAACGTCTCGCAAAGCAGGGTCGAAAATGTGTCATGCTCTTGGCACTTCTCGACACTATCCTTAGTCAAGCCGCTTTTGTGGAAGTCTGTCTCACTGAGCCGTCATTACAATGTGGCGAGAGATCAACACTAGGAGAGTATGACATGTTTGATGGTGATGGGAAGAAAGGATAAGGTAAATCGAGAAAAAGCCGCTGAGTAAGTGAGTGAGGGACAGCTCCAGCAAAATATCAATCAATGGTCTCAGTCTACTACACTGGTGCAAAAAGGCAAAAAGGCGGTAGCGTCTCAGGGGTTCGAACAGTCGGTGGTGCCTTCACAGGCGGTAGTGTCTTCTCGGGGATCGTTCCCTCACAGCGTGCACAGTCCCCCCATGCTGACTCAGGTTACTAGCCATCGGACCTGAGGGGACGCTGTGAGATCCTTAAACCCTGCAAAATATGACACTAGTAATCATGCATGCCAATGTTTGCTCTTTTTGATTTGGTGAGTCGTGTAATTCCTTTTGCGCCTCCCCATGATATTTTTTGTGTCTGAGCAAACATGACTACTCTCTCGCTTTAGATCTCCAGCACCGCACTCCTTGACTCTCGGATCTGCGCATACTTGCTTCGTTCATTGGCCCATGTGTTATCTGCCCACTTCGAACTTGATATTGCCTGAGAAGCTGGTCACATAAGCGGTATCAAAACATATTGGCTCTCTACAACACAACCCAATGTTGGTCATCCCAATCGCTCACAACTGCTGTCAACGCTGATGCTTCCCCAAATCTCACGGACCTCTTCGTGAAATATCTTCTCGCAGACGTGTGAATTAAATGTTTTGGAATCAATCTACTTGCACGTAGAGCAGTTTGAGCAGCAGCGCTGCGATCAACCTGTGATGGATCGATGAGTTCATCCGGTCCCATCTCTGACTGGAACAATATTGACTCCGGTCTAGGGTCGAGGTAGTAAAGCACATGTCATTACTGTTCACAGCTCGGATACGATCAACGTCATGCTTGGGAACATTTATACCCGGCTCATCACTGTCAATCCTGACTCCAGTACTGAGCAACACATGGACTTTCTAATCGGCGTCTATCTCATTGTCCAAGACTGTGAAAACACTTCACTCCTTCTCACGATCACCAAACTGGTAGGTGAGCTCTGTGTTTCGCCCGAAAAGTACGAGGACTCGAACATACAGCCATATAGATTTGTCATGACGAGGAAAGTACAGCCCTGGCGGGAGGATACGCCCTTTCAAGATCTTTACACAGCAGTACTCCTTCATCGGCGAGCTTCTGCTTCAATCATGGGTTTGAGTGATTAGATGAGCGAAGAGCTACGACCAGGATATGTTCTCAGAAGGAAATCGATACATGAGTACTCAGTAAGAAGCGTATCGTCGTGGGAAGCATTAGACGGATATGGGCAAATGAGAGAAGTGTTTGATATTCCTTTTGGTCTGGAGAAAAGTATGGACTCTGCCATCTGTACAACTGCAGGCCACGCAGAAATTCATACTCAGCAAGAGCGATTGTGCTCAAATGATAAGGTAACTCCAACACCCTCAACCTGTTACTTGCGGTGAGCCGAATCTATTCTATCCCAGAAGCATTTGTACCGTCCAACTAGCTTCCCAGCTACCACTTGGAGTCCTCCGCAGTTATTTCAGTCTATGTTGCAAGAAGAGTGTATAGAATCTTCCGCCGATGTCCGAGGCATTCGTCGCTCCAATGACTTCTAGCCAAGCCAATCCGGTCTTCGTCGAGGTGCAGCAAATAATAGTAGCACCCAGCAGATCTTCGTCCAGGCCGACGTTTAGACTATACAACTTGGCGACTCCTTTGACAAATGTAAAGTAATTGTCCTTGCGGTTTTCCGACATAGTTAGGTTGAGTTCCCAGTTTAGCTCTGTGACGGCAGATCTTGTAAGAGTAGACACCTCGTACTCGACAGAGATCATAAGGGTCTTCAGCAAGAAGACGAAGCGTTGTGGAAACGTAAGGGCAGAGTCCATTTTAAATATCGTAGCCGTAGATGTGGCGCAGCATCGTAAGAATGATATTGTCATCGTGGTCCTCAATACAAATGATGCTCTCTTGTTGTCGCTTGAATTAGCTAACATACTACGGCGACGAAGGCGATGACTGACCGGGGTATTGGCTTCTAGAGCATCATGAAGGACCTTCGACGCACGAGCCAAAGCGTACTTATGAGTAAGTACCTTCTCATCTCCGAAGTGGATGGTAAGGTCAGGGAGGAAGGCGGTATTTGAGAAGTTCTTCACTCTCAAGACATGAGTCGTCATGATGCATCAATCGAGATTTGCCGCTCCTCTTTGTGGCTGGATGCTAAGACAGGAATCAAAAAGGATAATCGATGCGAAACGTGCAGTGGTCTAAGTGATGACACCGCGGCGAAATCTTTTGGTAGCGCGCGATTTGTCGATCTGAGTGAGTTGAGCGAAAATGAAGGCGTAGCACGGCTCCAGAGCGTGTAACACTGAAGAAGACAGGATCGAAAGTGACAGACTTCCAGGTGCGGCAATGTATTGACAAGAAGGAATGTGATTGGAAAGACAACTAATACAACACGGCATGAATGGAACGATAGTCAAGCTTGAGTGAACCAGCAATTTGCAGGTAACAACAATCGCTCGATCACCACGAAGCAGAAAGCAAAGAGACTTAGACGGAAATTCAAGTCTGGTCTCAGCAAGCAAAAAGAAGACACAGTCGGTTACCGTATCCTCACACCAAATGACACAAATACAACCGTAGCGGGAGATCATATGCAAGGATTCAATTGGCTTACCATCTCAGATGAAACAATCTGCCATCCCGCGGTATATGTCCGTTCATCATCATCTTTACCTTCGAATGGAATACCATCAATTCATCACTCACCGACGATAAGGTTCGTTCCAACGTCCAAACAAGCGTCCAGAGAAAAGATCGCGCTTCCCCAAAACAGTTGAAAGCTTACAATCCTTCTCAAGTCTTTCCATGCCATGGGATAGGCAACTTTTAATGACACCTTCAAGCAGAGACTCATCAGAGATGACATTGTCACCATAGAAAGCTGCAACCTTCGCAATAATCATTTGGAAGTCGTCTAAGTCGTTGTAGATGCTGTGCTGCAAATGATCCGCAACAATAGCAGTAATCTCATTGCCCAAGAAGAGAACTTCATACTCGTTGACAATTGAGAACACATCGAGAAGGTTGTCAATCTGTTCGGTCGTGGGCACTGTACTGTCGAGTCGAAACGTGCGTTCGTAGATGTGGTCCAGCTTTGCATTTGTGACGCTAGATCGCCGGCATCAAAGGCTCCCCGAACGTATCAATCTCGCAGAATACCATGAAATTTCTCCGGATTATTATCCACAATTTCCTTCAACTCATGAATCGGCGGATTCGCAATACTCGCCGCCGCCAGATATCTCGACGACGTGGGATGTTCAACCCTCAGTGACCTAACACCAGAGCGTAACGCATGCTCGCCTTGAGCCTCGACATTGACCATGACGACCGACTGAGTGTCCACAGACTGCTCATCCAGCACAAGGAACCAATTAGTTTCCAGTCTGATGCCGGTTCCTTGATTTATTTGCACGAGATGTTGTCTGATTTGAAGGTAGCTCAGGCCAGTAAAGGGGCTTTCCAAGACTGTATCTGAATCTTCTGTCTGGAGTTTTTGGGTGGCGCCCCAGAAGTGGGCCGATAGGTCGTGGACTACGGTCAGAACATGCGTTGCTGGTGTGTGTTGTGTTGCTTCATCCTCTTCTCCCTTCCAGACTTGAGCGAGGAAGTCGTTGATGGCCTGTTTCCCGGCATGAGAAGTATTTGTAAGGTCATCGGGGACTGTTACATACTTCGAGGGTTAAGTCTGCGGTACAGCACACAGCAAAGGTTCTCACTTGATTGACTTTGACTTGCACGTTCTCGATGACCATGTTGGAGCTGACCGCTGACTGTGAACTTAGGAATTGAGGACAAGCTGGTAGTTCAAAGCCTTTTGAGACGGAAAGAAAGACAACAGGGTGACGTCATGCGATAATCCTTCCATCCTTCCGGTTGATCAGGGCTAGTCGACTATAGCAGATGATGCGAAACTCATAGCAGATGCCACGCGGCGATGAATTCTTATTCTTCGGGTATTCGACTCAAGACGCCGACTCTTTTGGATTCAAGATATTGTCCATGGTGACCTCGTCGTCTCCTCCTACGGCCCCCGCTTTGGCCCAGAACTTGGACAGATGTCTCGTTCCAGAGTCACATAGGATAGTCACAACACGATGACCAGGACCAAGCTCAAGTGCAGTCCTGACAGCAGCAACGCAATTGACAGCCGAAGAACTGCCCACGAAGAGACCGTCGCGCTCGACCAACCAACGAGCCATCATCATAGCTTGATCATCGGTGACTCGTACAGCGTCATCTACAAGCTCTCTACCAGCTTCGAAATTGTGGGTCACACGGTTCACGCCGATACCTTCGACTATACTGTCGACTTGATGACGACGACGAGTGCCTTCTCTTTCTGTGGGTGAGAACATGACACCATGCTTGACTCTGTTGTAAAGACCGCTACCTTGGGGATCTGCCAGAACAACCCTCATCTTGGGCAGGCGAGGCTTCAGATACAGTGCGCAGCCGGAGATGGTGCCTCCGGTACCTGCACCAGCGACAAAAGCATCAAGTTGACCAGCAGTCTGTTCGAAAATTTCGGGACCAGTGCCGTGAAGATGTGCCATGTAGTTGGCAGGATTCTCGAACTGGTCGGCGAAGAAGCCACGACCTTTCTGATCAGGATCGGAAGTGTGCTGCCGGGCGCGAGCGCGAGCCATGTTGACGAATTGGCCCTTGTCCACAATGGAGGCAGGACGAACACGCTCAACGACGGCACCAAGGCGTAGTAGTAGGTCCGACTTCTCCGAAGCAATATCATCCGGCATGCAGATGTGTGCAGTGTAACCTCTTGCGCGACAAATGGCAGCAAGCGAGATGCCAGTGCTGCCGACTGTGCCTTCATAGACTATGTCGCCCGAATCTGGAGTCAGGAAGCCTTCTGCCTCGGCCATCTGAATCATCGACAAAGCGACTCGATCTTTGGGCGAGTTTCCAGCGGCATTGAGGAACTCTGCTTTGCCCAGAATGTCGCAGCCCGTGGCGTCAGACAAAGACTTGATGCGGATCAGGGGAGTGTTTCCAATGGCTCCCTCGATCCCCTCGCGGATAGCAGCTGCTGGCTGGGGAGCAGCAGGCGAGTCATCATGAGGTTCGTTGATTTGCAACGAGACTTGGGTGCTTGACCGGCGGCGCACGCGATTATTCCTCAGGCGATCGTGATAGCGTCGTTCGAGATCTGGATAGAAGTCCTTGTATCCGAGAGTGATCAAGATACCAGCAGCGAATGCCAGACTCAAGTAGAGTTTCGTATGTTGATCGAGCGACATTTTCCCATCGTCACATGCTGCGATTGGAATCTTTGTTCACTTTGTTCAAAGCTCAGAAAGTCGGTTGCGTCAAGACGGGGGAGGAGCAGCCACAAGTTTCAGCCACTTGTCGCACGGCCACATGTTGAGATGCGGCAAGCTTGTTCGACTTCTGGCAGAAAGGTCCAAGGGTCGCTCTTGCCTATTCCATCTCCAAGCAATGGAGCCACCTGCCGTGTCGCAGCTGTTCAGACAGCTTTTCCAACATCGCCCTTGCCATTCTTGTCTGGGACAGCAACTCCGGCAAGCGCCCCGTCGACTGTACAGCTCCCAGAAACAATACGCCAGTCCAAACTACCAAGGTCGCAAAAAAGAGGACGACAAGCTGGAGAGCAACTGGCAACAGCGCAATCTCTCTTTCCCTCCGGACAAGCTTGACGAATACAAGCGATACCCAGAAGTCACCTCAGATGGCTTACGCGCGAGGAAGGAGCGACCACGACGAGTCCGCATGCTGATGCGCGACTTCATCGAAGACAGCCTGTACAATCCTCAATACGGCTACTTCTCAAAACACGTCGTCATCTGGACTCCTGGCGAACCCTTTGACTTCAATCAGCTACCAGACGAGCAATCTTTCTACCGTGAATACGGTCAACGCTACAACGACTTTGAGGATCAGCTGGACGCAAAAGAATACAACGAGACTCGTCAACTATGGCATACCCCTACTGAGCTGTTCCGCCCATACTACGGTGAAGCAATTGCCCGCCATCTAGTCGCAAACTATAAACTTCAACTATATCCTTACCATGACCTCCTCATCTATGAGATGGGAGCCGGAAACGGAACTCTCATGATGAACATCCTTGACTACATACGCCAAACCGACCCTGAAGTCTACGCCCGCACTCGCTTCCGGGTCATCGAAGTCTCTTCTGCCCTCGCCTCCATCCAAGGAAATCAATTGATGAGAAACGCTCAAGCAAAAGGTCACGCCGACAAGGTCTCCATTATCAACAAATCAATCTTCGATTGGGACATCTACGAGGCTTCTCCTTGCTTTTTCCTGGCTATGGAGGTCTTTGACAACTTTGCACATGATGTGATACGCTATGATCCCGCCACCGAGGAACCGCTCCAAGGCTCTGCATTGGTCGACGCAAATGGCGATTTCTACGAGTTCTACACAAAGGACGTGGATCCTGTAGCTGCTCGCTTCCTGCGCGTCAGAGATGCGGCTTGCAATAACCTCAACTATGCGCATCCCCTGAGAGGTTCTCCAGCCATGTTGAGGAAATTGAGGAGTCGATTGCCTTTTGCTCCTAACCTCAGTGTGCCTGAATATATCCCCACGAGGCTGATGCACTTTTTCGACATTTTGCACAAGTACTTCCCAGCGCATAAGCTGGTAACTTCGGACTTCCACGCTTTGCCGGATACAGTTCAAGGTGTCAATGCCCCTGTGGTGCAGACACGCTATCAACGTCGTATGGTTCCTGTAACCACCCCGCTTGTATGACTGCCCTCCTATTCGTCTTTCCCTTTTCCTTTTGCTAATACGTCTTTAGGTCCACCAAGGCTTCTTCGACATTCTCTTCCCCACTGACTTCGCTGTGACAGAGGCCATCTATCGTGCCATTACAGGAAAGCTCACACGTGTGATGAAGCATGAGGACTTCTTCAAGCGATGGGCATATGTGGAGGACACCCAGACGAGAAATGGCGAGAACCCGTTGTTGAGTTGGTACAAGAACGCTTCGGTCATGATTACTGTATAGATATCTTCATCGCCCCCAGCGACTTGTATACAGCATATGTTTTGAGCTCCGAATATAACAACGAGCTCAGCATCGGACTCTTACCCGTTCCATTCCCACTGGTTATTGGATCTTATCTCGGAGATTAGATCGCCAAGAAGCCATGTACAGAGAATGACCCTGGCTCTGGGTTAGTCGGGAGGTAGCATCGGCAGCATGGCCTCTTCTGCCGACTCAAATGTGTCGAAAACATCCTTGAAAGTCAGCTCTATGGCTACATTCTTTTTGTCGAAAGTATGGACCGCGAAATTGTACAGAAATGTGACAAAAATTAGAAATTCGTCGTCTTTGCAACACGATCACGTCTGGAGCTCAGAATCTCTGGATGGTCTCTGTCTGGAGACGTGACGATCCGCAACCGCTCTGAAAGTCCACCCATATTGTGAACATCATATTATTTTTCTTGGAGCAACAAGTAATACAACAAGACTCCATCTTTTCTAGTATCTCTCATGAGAATGAACGGCCGGAGACTAGAGTTCTGGACCCTTGTGTCACGACTGCCTCGTTTGCGTTTACCCTCGACACATATTTTTACATTGTCCGGATAACACTCCAGGCATCAAAGCCAAAAGTGCTCTGCGTATGAACCAATCTGCCATTTTCTCAGAACCAATCATGTTGATGTCGGTCAGCCATGTCATTGCAGAGTTTATCCCGCCGGGAAAAAGGCGTCCTATATCCCATCTGAATCAGCTCGCCATTACCAATTTCTGTAAGCCCTTTATAAATCTACCTTTATCCTTTGATTGCGAGAGTATAAGAATCGTGTTTTTTTTAACGGATGGGATTCAGGAAATCAACCGTGTACTTTCGGAAACCTACACCCATGCACATGCACAAAGCACACCCAATTTCGTCATTATAGATTCTCTAGAAACGATTTATGCAAAAGCCACTGCCACTTATCCTGGAACCGCGGGATTGAACACTCCGTTCCTCGACACCAGCCCAGAAGAACTTGTAAAGATTCTGCGCACCCTCTGTGCTCAAGGCTCTGATGTCAATTTTACGCAATTCATCCTTTTGAATCACGAGACAGAGGGTAAAGATTGGGTATACTTATATCACAGTGGAGATGCAGAGATTGAGGAAGAGAATGTTACGGCGAGGGGGACTAAAGTTGGTTTGGAGGTTGTTGAGGAAACTATGATGTTGGTGGATTCGGCGCATCCTGGGTTTGAGGCTATTGAGAAGGATACGCAGGATTGTGAGGGGGGCGTTTATGATAGATGGAAGGAGGGGGTGAATGATGGTGGAACCAGGATACAAGAAGCTTTTTTGTAGAACACTGGCTAGAACTGCTATGCTATAAAACGCAAGTCTTTGATGCTGCAACTGATCAATTGTTCTTGGAGTGAACGCAGAGACCGATGCCTCCGAGGACGAGCGCCATGCCTATCCATGTATCTGTCGCAGAAACGTCAGTATTGTAAGTCAATCAGCCTTAGTATTTAATGTACCTTTCGTGATGACCTTCTTCTCGGCCCACCATTCTCCCAACACCGTAAACAGAAAAGCCAAAGAATTTGTAATCGGCACTGTAAGACTCAATTCTGCCACAGCAAATCAGCAAATTCTACAGGGCACAAAAACGGAATAAAAGTCTTACCAGCCTGTCCAATCAACAAGAAAAACCACACACTCCCGGTCAAATTAATCACCAAAGGTACCGCATAAGCAGGATTTCTAAGTACATCCCAAACACCATACAATATGCTCCAGACTTTGGCTTTTACCCAAGGAGTGTTTGGGTGATCGAGCCAGGAACGAGATTCTGGTTTTGAGATAGAAGAGGAGGCGACAGCGGCGCGGCGCATGAAGGGTGTTGTTAAGCCCCATGCTGCGCCGACGAGTAGGAAACCGAGGACGTAGCGGAAGAGACCTGGTGACGCGGGAGGATTGTGAGGGGTGTCTGGGTTGGGATCCATAATAGCAGTTGCGAGTCGCAGATAGCGAGAGGTGATCCGGTGAGAAGACAATACTTCTGGTGTTTGTTGCGAAAGTTGAAAGTCACAATGTCTCGTTCGATGTCTGAAGCTCGGATCAGGAAGTCGCGATCAAGGTGTCTGTTCGGCAGAATATCGGATCAACGATTGCGGAGAAAGATTGGCACCCCCGAAGGCATGCCCGAGGCGTCGCAACTGGCAAAGGTTGGCAGCAATATTTATTAGACTGTCATGCACGGAAGGAGCGAATGCCGCCACGTATAACCCGCCTGAGATGGCCACAACTCTTCCCGCCACATGAGCCACTACCCTTCCTCTACCCACGCTGGTACTCGATTCAATCTGCCACCGTCGAGACTTCCGCTCCTGGTCTGCAACATGTTCTCGGACCCGAACAACCGCTTCCGCAGGAGTCGAATGAGCCGAAAAGCACGAGGCATCAGACGAAAAAACAAGATGCAGTCTTAGAGTCTCACGACGAAGGCATTGCCAGACGCGTTCCCCAAGTAATCAAGCGAAAAGCCCAAATCCGGAAATTGCAAGAAACGAAACGAAGGGAGATGCGCGAAAAGGGCTTTTACGCAAATGACTGGCGGACACCCTTGATGCTGCTACGCAAACACACACCAGAAGGCGAGGAACATCATGTCAAACATCTGGCTCGACTGGAGATGCCCAAGGGGATGAGAGGCTTCTATCCTGGCGAGTTACCCAATCTCTTTCTGGACATCTACCTGCACACCGGATGCCATGTCCAGATATCGCGCAGTGACGGACATGCAGATGACAAGTTCTCGGCCCTGGACGTCTCCGGCACTCTGGCAAGCATTCAGAGGGCAAAGAAGATCCTGAACGAAGCCGTGCGGCTCGAGAGCGATACAGATGCCGAGGCCAAAGGCAGCATGGGCAGCTATGCAACCACCACTACCTCTATACCCGTCAGGAAGGCAATGCCTCGCTCGGTCTGGAGCATGCGTCATAAGCCGAAGGAGCTGTCTGATGTGATTGTGCCCTCCCAGTGGTCTTTCAAGGCCTTCGCTGCTCATGTCGATCATTTGGTCCTCTCGACGCCTCCTCGCTTGCAAATACGAAAACAGGGTGCTTCAAGACCAAAGTCGCATGTCGAGACCGTGACAGAACGAATCGTAGCCCTTTACACAAGCAAGGACACTGTCCGCTGGGCTTCCATGCACGCCACAGTTCAGACACTTCAATACCTGTCCCAGCATCGCAAAGTCCCAGAAGTCCGTCGTGTTCTCGAATTGATCGACTTGCACTCAAAGATCATTCCGCACTTCCGTCTGATCTTCACGGACCCTGCCACTTTCAACGTTCTCCTACATTCTGCAGCCGAGGCTCTGGATCTGCACAACTACAATTTCCTTCTACGTATGATGTTGGACAGAAATGTGGTTCCTGACACTGCAACATGGACGACGTTGCTCCATCTCGTACAGAAAGTCCATCCAAGGAGTGCCAAGCATGTCATCACCACAATGCGCTCAAGAAATATGTTGTCCTCCCCATCAGCCAAAATCGCCACTGCCAATGAGGGCTTGCAGAAAGATGCCGTAGAGTGGTTGGGTAGAGGTGAGTCGGTCTTTGACTTCATAGCTCATTACGACAAGCTTTGGCTTGGGAGAGAATGGCTGGATACACGCGCCTGCAATCAGCTCCTCCCTCTACTCATCGAATCGGGAAAGCTGGAGGATGCAATGATTCTGGTTGGTGAGCTGGAAAGTCGACACGGAAGACCCAATCATGTCACAACACATATTTTGCTCGATGCAGCATCTGCCTATCGCGACCTCAACTTTGCCGTTCGTGCTCTAGAAGCCACTATGAGTCAGAGAGGGAAAGGTGCGCTAAGGCCCACTCGCGACACTTTCGACAAGCTCATACCATTGGCTTACCGAGTACGCGCATACAACACACTGCGCGTGATCTGGCGTTATGCATGTCTGTCTGGAAATGCATCACCGAAACTTGTCAGAAAAATGCAAAAGTCACTCTTGGCTCCTATCCCCAGCACGACACAGAGTGAGGGTCCTCTGCATGTTGGACAAGTTGAGGTCGAAGGGAATATTATCAGTCGCAATTTGTACTTCAAGGCAATGGCTGCAAAAGTTGCTGTTGGTATCGAAAGATCGCTGAGCGTTGATTCAATCAAGCGCCTCATAGCGTCCGCGTCGTTCTCAGCTGATGAAGGTTTCAGAGCGGCCGCAGAGTCAGCGACAGTGTCTGAGACCCCGGAGGTTGAGGCGACAACTTCTGCTGACTCTGCTGTCGAACGTGAAGAGCCGCTAGACACGGCGAATCCAGAACAGCAAAACACTTCTACCGACAGCTCATCTGTCGAAAGCACAACGACGGTCACACAAATAGCCCCATGGTCGGATGCATCAAAGGCTGAAGTCACCACATCTTTTGTCGCTGCTGTCGAAGCCGAAAGGTCACTCGACTCAGGATCCCCGGACCAAGAGCCTGCGCCCGTCGAAAGTCCAGCTGCCGATGTTCCCCAAACAACCACTGAACCAGCCGCAACCATTGAAGCACAGAAGATCGGTTTAGAGACTTGTCCTTCTACCACTCGCCGACCAAGTAAAACCCCACTGCCACAAGCTCTTATCTCTGATATCCTCGCCTATGACACTTACAAGGCGGGCTCGCCGTTCACGACCATGTTCCGTAAAGCTGTAGAGAGGGATATTGAGTGGAGGCTCAAGGGATATGATAAACATGCTCCGCTTGGTGTCTTGTTGAAAGAAGCGTTGAATCTGAATATTGATCCAAAAGGATGATGGTGAAGGATTTTGAAAAGGGGCTGGGGGAGAACAAGGATGAGGAGGAAAGGTTGGCGAAGATTGACGGAAAACAAGGAACGTAAAATGTAAGATTAGTCAGAGATGGTCCTTTATGTAAGAATAACGAAAGCGAAAGAAGACTTTCCTCAGCCTAGGACTATTTACGTCGAGACAACGGGTGGCAAAAAGAAAGTAATAAGAGGAGTGGTCATTTAACGTGAGGAAGCCAAAGATGAAAAGCTCGTCCCAAGAAGCAAAAAGAAGGAGTGTGTAGTCCTTGATAGTCGACCAAAGCATAGCATGCAAAACATGCAAGGAAAATAAAGAAAAGCCCAACAATGCTCGACCCCACACGCCTGGTTACACATGCTTGCCTTCTAAGTCCCCGCTAGAAACGAGCATGATTCTCCAAGGCTATGACATGTTCAACCTACTAAACCCATCTTTCGGCGGCTGCAACCAATTCCTACCATCATAGTCATTTTCACCCTCGATGCAATGAAAGGTATAAATCATTCTCCCCTTGATACTAGTATTCTTCTCGCTCTTGTGTAAAAGGTTTCCATGTATGAGGACCAGAGTTCCTGCTTTGACCTCGCCCAATTCATAGACTTCTTTTTTGATTTCTGCGTCTTCGCTGAGGTCTGCTGGCCATTGGGAGCCTTCGTTTTCAGAGAAGCCGGTGCCCGTGGGTGTGGGTGTGGGTGTGCCGTCTTGTTCGTATTTCCTGACGAAGCGACTGCGGATGGGAGCGCGACGGTGGGAGCCTGCTGCAAAGGAGAGACAGCCGTTTTCTGCCGTTGCGTCTTCTAGTGCGTACCAAAAGCCCACTGCAGAAGGAGGATCCGTGTATAAGAAAGTGGAGTCTTGGTGAGGGGGGACACGGCCACCGATTTCTGGTTGCTTGCAGATGATCATGCTTTGGAGGATACGCGGGTCGTGGAAGCCGAGGGATTTTGCGATTGCCGAGTTGGAGGCAGAGAGGGAGGAGGCAGCGAAGGGAGGAGAGAGACCGTGGAGGTAGTGGCCGATTTTGTTGATGGCTTTGGACTTTGGCTTTGTAAGGTTGCCTTGGTCGTCAAAGGCGTCTGTGTCACCCTGGTTAATACTTGTGAACAGGAGACGACAAGAGAAGAGATACAACTCACCCTCTTCAAAGAAAAAGCGGACTTTGTCGCCCGAATCCAGGAAATAGTCGTCGCCAACATGGTCGCTCTTCTCGCCAGTGCTGAACTTTGTCATGGGATGGTCGTCGAGCGAGAAGTTGTCGAGCATCTTGTGAGCTTCTTCCAGCAATGACTTTGTCGTCGACGGATCCAGGGCGTCTGGGATGAGGAGGTAGCCATTCATGTTCCAGAAGTCGAGCTGTTCTTTGCTGAGGCCGGAGCTGGCATTGGCCGCTGGTGGTGGCGAGATGCGCGCGGGCATTGTGTATGTGATGACGCTGACGCTGACGCTGAGTGTGACTCGAGAGAGATGAGTGAGAGGGCAGAGAACAAGATGCGGTACAAGACGAGCAAGGGATGAAGATGAACTGGGCGATGTTTGGACGAGCAACGACGACGACGTCAATCATGTGCTCCACTGCGACACGTCACGTCCCATTGGCTCGACAGTCGACAATGCCCGATAACAGATAACAGATAACAGACAACAGATAAGCCCCCGCTTTTTCCAACCATGCTGAATTCTTCTACCTTTGTTTGCCTTATTTCTTCTCTCGCCACAACCCGCTTCGAGGCTTGCGCAACGTCGGATCCACGGCATCGCCGCCTAATCTACCTGGAATCCGATGCGCCCATGCATTTCGGACCTGTCTCCTTGTTGTTTCTGCTGTTTGCGCTATTTGCTCTTGTCTTTGCAAATGATCTTGGTCGCGACTACAATCCCCTGACCGTCGATGCGAATACTTGGGAGACGCAACATGGCTCTTACCCATCCAGGAGCTATCATTCGTCCAACCTCACTTCTCCTGCTGTGAGAAAGGCTGTCGACTCGCCGCTATGCTATGACGATAATCTCATCTTCCTCGCTCCCCGTGGCTTCCGCGTCCCACACCCTGCCGTTACCATTCTGGACAATCATGGCAAGCTCGTCTGGTCGCAACCTGTCAAGGGCCAAGCCTACAATCTGAAGGTGCAAGAGTACAAGGGAGAGAAAGTCTTGACGTACTGGGTTGGAGATGATGCTGTGGGCGGACACGGAGAGGGCTACTTTTACCTCTTGAACAACAAATACGAAGAGATTGCACGTATCAGGGGCGTCAACAACCTTCGAGCAGATCTGCACGAGTTGACCATCACCCCGGAGGGTACTGCGCTGGTGACCTTTTACCAGATCTTTCCTCTGAACCAGCCCGGCGTCTTTAGGATCAAGGACACGGTCTGGATCTGGGACTGTCTGTTTCAAGAGTTTGACATTGCGACCCAAGACTTGGTCTTTGAGTGGAGAGCGTCAGAGCACCATGGACTGAACGAGTCTTATGCTCCGCTCGGTACAGATGGCTATACCCCTGATCATCCATATGATTGGTACCACATCAATAGCGTCCAGAAGGATGACCTGGGCAACTACCTCGTCTCCGCGCGCTTCACCTCGACTATAACATACATCAGTGGCAATACCGGTGACATCTTGTGGATCCTAGGTGGAAAACAAAACTCTTTTGCCGACCTCAGCAACGGCCAAGCAACGAACTTTGAATATCAGCACATGGCCCGCTTTACACCAATCACTACCTTCCCTACACTTATGGCCAAGGAGATTGTTGATCATGGCAAGAGCAAGGACAACAACGCCATGACAAAGCAACTACTCACCCTCTTCGACAATGGCATACCACCTCGTCCGGCCAGAGGTCTCATCTTAGAAGTGACTTACCCCTCCCACGGCATAGTAACAAACGCCCCGCTCACGGCAAAAGTCATCAAGTCCTACGAACATCCTCTACACATCTCCTCGGTCAGCCAAGGCTCTCTCCAGCTCGTCACCTCAAACTTGACTACCGATTCTGAGCCTCACGTCTTGATCGGCTTTGGCTGGCAAGGTGTATGGACAGAGTACACTGCTGATGGCACACTTCTCTGTGACTCTCGTATCACACCAGCGAATGTGCTTGGCAAAGGGCATGTGCAGTCATACTCTGTGATGAAGTTCCGCTGGACTGGAACGCCTTCTCATCCTCCACTGGCGGTTTCTGACATGTCTAGAGGCTCAGTCTTTGTGTCTTGGAATGGCGCCACAGAGGTTGTAAGCTGGCAATTGCGCATCTTGGTCGGACAAACGTGGGAAGTGAAGGCGACGAAGCAAAAGGCTGGCTTTGAGACAGAGCTCGCGTTACCTGAGGGCTTCGATAAGCAGACTATGAGATATGCAGTCGTCGAGGCACTTGGCAAAGATAGGAATGTTCTGGGTAAGACTGAAACGATTGATCTGTGGCAGTCGGGCTTGCTTAGCAGGATTAGCAGGATGTCGCCTTCGGGTGGTGGTGTGGTCTCAGTTTTCGGATTCTTGGTCGCAGTCGCCGTGTTGTTTTTTGTTGCGAGTCGCGTGGTTGGAGCGAGGATGGGTGGATATCAGAAGTTGAGGAGAAGTTGACACGAAGGTATGGAGCCAATAAGAAGCCCAATAGACACATCGCTGTAGGCAATGATACGTACGTACTTCTCAGAAGTCAGGTAGGTGTCTGACCGTGAAAGTGACGAATTGAGGCACCGTCTCATCGCACTTTCCGTGTTTGCAAGTCTGCACAAAAAGGCTGCAGTAAGTGCAGGACGCGTCGTGCCTTCCTCGCCAAAGCTCCAAGCTTGCAATCTTCACTCAACTTCTGCTTCTTCCACCCTTCGTTCCTTCATTCTCACCATCCCAACTTCGCCAACATGGCGGTACCTGGTATCAAGACTTTCTTTCTCGGCTCTGAAGAGGCCAAGCAAGCTCTAGGCGATGACCGCCGTTGGGGCGTCCGCTCCTCACTGATGCGCGTCAAGAATCCAGACAAGGTTGGCTTCAACACTTATGAGCCAGCTCTAAGAGACCGTCCAAACTGCACTTACCTCGACGTCAAGAATCCTCCTGCCAGTCCGTTCGACTGCGCCGAGGACGGCTCCGGAAGCGGAGTCTATGGTCTGTCCAAAGAGTGTACCGTGTGCTCGCCTCAGTTCTTCCCAGCTTCCATGGGCGCCAATGACGGCCAGGCTGAAGAATTCATCTCGACAGTCGCCGAGAGCATCAAGATCGACCTTGCCTACCTTCGCGACGCATTGAGCAAACATGCCGACTTGATCGTCTCAAGATGGAAGAAGAAGTCTCCAGCCAAGCGCTTCACTTTCCTCACCACCAATACAACTTTGCTCGACAAGAGATGGGCTGCTGTTCACCTGCTCGATCGCGTCGGAGTTCCAGACCGCCGCTATAAAGGCGAACGCAACGTCCCAAAAGTCCGCACTGTCTGGACTAAGGAAGGCAGCTGGCAGATGAACCTCGAGATGCACACGTCTCAATCGATCAAAGACGCCGATCTTCGCGACAAGACTCTGGCATCACACTGGGACTCATGGTTCTTACCTTATCTCGATGCTCAAACACTTTCAGAAGATCCTACCCTCTTCCTCAGCTTGTTGCATCATCGCACCATCAACGACCCGGAGAAGTGGATCATGTTTGATAATGCTCACATCGTGCTCGCCGAGCATTTCGGTATAATGTCAAGCATCTTCAATGAAAACTGCGTTGTCATGCAAGGTCCCGACTACGGAAAGCTGGTCAAGTGGAATGCTGAGCAAGCCCATCGTTGGGAGATTGTGAGTCATCTTTTCCCGAGTCCTGTCTCGCAATCACGGACCATTCCGTGTATTGGATCCAGTCTGCAAAAGACGTATGCTGACTTCATCCCCCTTCTTAGGTTGGTTTCACCAAGGCCCATGTTATTCTCTCGGCTCAAAAAACGATGATGACTCTACTGAGTAACTGCGTGAAGTCCCTGCTCGCCGGCTCCGACACGCCTCTCACGCTCGAGATCCACCCCAATTGGGACCGCATGATCGCCGCCAGCTTCTACAGATTTGAGGCAGAGTTCCTTTGGTCCACCGACTTTGCAAAGCCCTACTCCCAGCCTCCGACCTTCGACCCTCGCGAAGTCGCCGGACTCATCACGTCACGTCATCGCGTGACACTTGACGAACTGGATCTTCTCCAGACAGATTCTCAATATGTTCAGTCGTTGGCAAAGGAAATTTCCGCTTGCTTGTTCTTCGAGACCTGGCGCCAGGAAGATATCATGCCATGGATCATCGACTACCTCTTCTGGGAGACCATGCATCGTGAATCTTATTGGCGACAGCTGGTCGCTGAGAGCGACTTGATGATCAGATACCTTGGCATTCTAGAGAAGTACCCATCCCGAGCTAGTAAGCAAGAGTACGATCAGGCTGTCTTCATCGTCTTTGATCTTTGCATCGAGACTTTCGCGTGCTTCGAGCCACAAGTCCGAGGAGCTACGATCGTTCAGAGGGGCTTTGAACGTAACTTCGAGTTCAAAGGCAGTGCAAAGGTGGTGTCCACTAATCGATCCTTCACTCCGCGTGACTGGTTCACTGATGATCTTCTCTATTGGAGCACTAACTCACTGGGTTACGACGAAGATCGACCTTTCACCATGGACCCCTCCTTCAACTTTGCCATCATCGACAATCTGTGTCGTACTGATCCCAAAGAGGCCGGCCGAATCAGTCAAACAATGCTTGATCGGCTCTCCGACATGGCTATATTAAGCGAGATAATCACCAGTATTCGTTCAGATACCATTCGCGATCGTTCTGTCATAGGGGGAGTGATCAAAGTGATCAAAGCGTCCTCTACGTCTCCAGATGACTGGATCAAGAAGATCAACGCTGGCAGAGGACCGGCTCTGGGCGACACGCTAGGTCCTGAGCTGCGACAACTTCTCCAGAAGTTTCCATGGCCTCGTGGTAAAAAGGGTACACAATGGCTTCGCGACGCCAACGCCTCCCGAGCTTGTCTGACTAAGATCTGGGAGCACTTCAAGGTCCTTTGGTCCGAGGACCTGACAAAGGCTGGTGTCAGTAAGAAGTTGATTGATAAGGATATGCAAGTCCTTTGCGCAACCACTACGCAGCGCTACAAAGACGAGCTGGAGGCCGAAAGGCAGTGCATTCGTCAAGAGCTCTTCTCCCAGAAGATTGCATCGAGACAACCTGTTCAGCATGAGGCCCAGACAGTCTGGGGCAAGGAGAACGATCCCGGCACGGCTTTCGTTATGAGACCAAAGACAAAGACCGCTCTGGCCGACACTGCCAAGCCTGATCCTGTCATGACAACCACCGCATCCATCCGCGAGATCACTGCGCTACCAACATTTAACTTCGTCAAGCAAGATAATCTGGTCGTGTTCCAACACATGTACCCCGATAGCGGTGCAGAAGCTCAACGCAGTTTCTCATGGCAGCACTTCTTGGGCGCTATGGTCGATGCTGGCTTCACCATTCTGCAGAGTCAGGGTTCAGCTGTTACCTTGAGACGCGATGGCGACGAAGATGATTGCGGCGTCAATACAATCGTGCTGCATCGCCCTCACCCTACGCCTACCGTCAATCCGGTGATGCTGAGACGTATGGCAAAGAGATTCGAGAAGTGGTTCGGCTGGCACAGGGAGATGTTTGTGGAGAGATTGAAGTAGACATTTTCGTACGGAAGTAGTATGAGGATGCGTTTATGGGGAATGAGAGATGATGGTCGTTGCTGAGAAGATTGAAGATATGGGCTGCTTCGCGGACGAAATTGCTCGGATTACAGAGATGATAGTTTAGCTCTATTTCGCGCGCTCATACATTCAATACGCTTGCTCCACAGAAGCATGAAGTGATCTTTGTCAATAGGTCGAAGTGAAAAAAAGAACTTACTCTTATCACACCATACTGCCTTACGGCTCACATTTTGACTTACTTCTTGTAAACTTACAACCGAAGACATTTCTCACTTTACTCCTATGCTGGGTGTGCTTGATATTGAAATCTGCCTTGACCAAAAAATAGGAGAATAAGAGGGATGAGCGAGGGACATAGGTCTATAACTCTCATAACTCGAGTTTTCTTCTTTCATGGCTTGGGTCGTTGGTACTCAATAATTGCTACATCTGTCCTATATCTAGAGAAAATAAAAGATGTATAGATGATTTCCAGGGACCCTTTTCGTGCTTTTTTTTATCCCTTCCAAAAGTGTAAGAAGCCCCCCCCTAGCTCTCTCGACCTTTTTACGGAACCTTGGGAGTGGTTTTTTCTTATAGGAGAATCCCTTGTCTTTTTTTATGTTATAGAGGTATATATCCCATTAACTGAATAAGTGACCCCTTATTATACCGACCGAGAGAGATTTAGGAGGTAGTGCTTTAGAAAAAAAACGTCCTCGGGATTTTCTTTTTCGTATATCGGGGAGTGGTGTTTTTTTTTCTTCTAGCTATAACCTGCTGCTTTTTTTTTTCTTCTTTTTTTTTGGATGATATACAGAGTGCTCGATTAAGGTACAGCTTGCGTTCTGGATACGAGATGCCACTACTTGCCTTGATCTAGGGATATGCGAGGTTCTTAGATACGGAAGATGCTAATGCTGTAGGGCATTTAGCGGAATTTAGTCTTATCTTTCCGCCTTTAGTCGCTCTAAAACTTTGGATTCGTTTATAAAGTAGGAGGAAGAGACGAGAGGCAAGGAGAGGGATAGGGCCTATGACTCTAGTGTTCGGTGCCATCTCTTCGGGATGATGTGGTGATGCACTGTAGAGGGTATGAAGGTCACCGTTCAATCGTGCTCTGATATTCGTTCGTCCTCATCTCCAGTTTTCACAACTGTGCGATATTCTCATGGCGGAATAGCCAGGGTATGGGATGGAAGCCGAGGCATGTGATGAAAAGATGCTTCTTCGATAAGTAAAGATCAAATCTATGTCGTCGGCGTGCGGGATCGCCTTGTCAGGCCAAGGATAGTGATAATTATCTTATGAGGGAGAACATATGGTAAGTGCGAAGTTTGCTAGCTGAGGGCAGAACGGCCGTCATGTGTTTAAATGATATGGCAGAGTCCAGGAAGGGAAGCTGCATGAGGTTCGCGAAAGATGGTAATAGTGGTTAATCTTTTGCGCTACGATGTGAGGCAATATCCTTACTGCAACTCCACGGGAGCTTGTAATCGCTACTAGACGGGTGTGAGGTGAAGATCTGCTAGATGGGCAATATAGCGTCGCGACGCCAGGGTATGACTTGTCCTACTATATCAAGGTTCAAAGCTTTGGAACCCCCCGCAAAGTGCAAGAGATCAACAGAATGCACCAAGACCTGGGCTGCTCAGGCAAAGTTGAATGTCCCAATCGCCGACGAAATCGCACGTCTTCTGAGTGCCATCGACCTACGTAAGGATGAAGTTCAGAGCATAGGAGAGAAGCTCCTCAAGCCTCTGATCCCTAAGATCTGCTATCCTTGCCCGCCTTTGCATTGAGAGACAGGTTACACCGTAAGGAAAATAATGCCTGTGAAGTCACGGGGGCCATCAAGGGTCAGTAACCTGCAGGACTCATCCCTTCCGATCATAGATAGCGATTACTGAGACCCGTTTCGCTCACTTGTCATCACCGATCAGACAGTGTGCCCAGCAGAAAGCCGGTCGCGTGCGTTGTCCTTGCAGTTGTTGTGTTGCTAGAGGCATAGTCTCAAGGCTGTATGGATGTTGGAGTTCAGATCAGATGTCGAGGTTGAGTAGAGTGAGGAGATGAACCAATTACTGAACACCTTTCGCGATGATGACGAGGCGTGATCTTATGCATGTCCTATCAATTCTTTCGAGATTCATGGTTCTAAATGACGACTGTAACCACGTAGTTCACTTTCGAGCTTCTGAGAGATTTGTGCGCGAGCTTGAGTACTAGACCAGATGATGAGCGCTGTGCACTACCATCGATAATGTAGTTCAATATTTACGCGACATGGCAAGATCTGGAATTGCTGGAGGCTTGCCAAATCTCCTGGAATCTTTGGCATTCCTGATCACGCTCAATGACACGGAAGCAGTGCATCTGTTTCTGCTTCAAAAGTATCTCCAGATGTGGTCTCTCAACCTCCGTTCACTTCGGCTATCGAAGCACTTCGCTCAAACAGCGAAGTTCACTGGTATCAAGCCCACCAGTGCTCATGCTCTCGTCCTGTGTTTGAAGATTTCCTCTCCGCTTCATGCGCCAAAAAATGTCTGATCCATGGCTGAGCTTTATTCGTTCCAAGCACTGTGTTCGAATTCTCGTGATATGATGGAGTAGGATAGATGCGAGCCTCCAGAGCTGGTGGAAAGCTGAGGGGACATTTCGGAGAGGTCGCGGTCGACTACGGCGTTGTTCGAGGGATAGTCGACCCTGATGGCGGAATATCGCGGGCTCGACACTTTCACGGGAACCAAAGCATTCAATGGCTGAGAAACGTCCAGTAAGCATGTCAAGGCGGGTGGTGTAGCCTTTTGCTCAATGCCAGTCGGATGATGCAGTTCTGTAGATTGATGTGGTTGAGTTCTGTTGGAATCCAAGGAGTGGCCTAGCCCCTGCTTAGAGCTGCCATCTGAGATCAAATCAACACAAGGATTTCCTATCTTGATTTGTTGGTTAAACATGGCTCAACACGACTCCAGCAAGGTAAGCAATCACTAAAACATCTACTGCACAATTGCGTACGAAAAGTCCTGACATTTGCTGCGCAGGCCGCGAGTGACTTCGCCCTCGAGATGCGTGGAGACTTTCAAACCTGCCTGATCAACAAGAACGACATCATCAACGCTGCTGCTGCCATGAGCATGGGAATCGTCAGTATCAGGGCCATTGGGTTTAGTGTCAACGAGTAAGTGTTACCGGCCTGGTGACCAGAAACTTCTTCTTGCTGATTCCAACGTAGAGTCTCGATGGCCGATCAACTGTTCTCGATCAACTACGGTGGTGCAACGCGAACTTCCTCTTTGCCTGCGACTGTCATCTTCCGTGTGTTCAAGTACGCACCGAGAGCCGTCGCTTGCGCCTACGACGACAAGGAACGCACAAAGCTCGTCACTCCTCGTATGGCACAGGCTCTCTTTGTACTGCTCTACTTCTTCGACAGAGCTGAGCAGAAGCTCAACCTCCTAGTTGCTTTCGGGGTCAACTCCAGCCATGATGACTTCATTTATCTCTACCGGGCTCTCTGGTTGATGGCCCTGAACCTGCAAAACAGCAACTTGATCACCTGCATCACCTCCAACGTGAAGGCAATGGGGGTCACCGGACCCATCAACGTCATCCTTCTCTGCCGTGTCGTGTTTCCTCCTGATGGCCAGTTCCCTGTTACTGAAGTACCTGCACAGCCCCTGCGTCAGCACCTGAAGCAGATGCTTCTTGATCACTGCTGGAACATCGAAAATCTCCCCGACGACGCCGCTCAGGAGCTCTGCGATAACAAGCCTCTCATCCTAAGAGTACGCTTCTATTGAGGAAGGTCTAGGAGAAGTGTCTATTCTGAGGGTTCTAGCAAGTAATATATGGAGACTACTTAGACACTTTGCAGCTGCTCAATGATATCCTGCGCTCGTGACAAAATTCATCAGATAATTTCAACAACCAGTACAGCACTGCTCCTGGTAAAGCGCAGTCTGGGTGGGAGGCAGGGTGAAGTCACTCAGACGAGTAGAACCGTCGCTAGAAGAGCCTTTGCACTTAAAGGATGGACCTTCCTCGTCGGATGAGGTGTGGTGACTCAAAGCTTGACCATTGAAATGTAGATTTGTGTCAGTGACATCGACTAACACCTCATCGCTTGTCTCCATCAGCTATCTACCATGCAATATGTTGTTACCGACACCTAGAGGTACACTGGGCTGGTCAAGTAAGCTTCATCTCACTTAGCATGTCATAATTTGCATCTTGTCTGACAAAAAATCGTAGCTTCGACACATCCGACGACCCGGCGTTCGTGCAACCAGAAGCTCCTACTCTCACACAGAGTGAGGTCGAGGAGGATGCACAGGGCGTCGGCCTTGACGCTCCTGAAGCCAGTCATCCTCCTCCTCCTAGGCTCGAGATTGAAGAGAGAGACTCAACCCGTGTCTCTTGCGATCGCTGCTACGAAGGTCACCGCAAGTACCGCGACGGATCATCGACCCAACCTTGCAACAAGTGCAGAGACAAGGGTGTGACTTCCTTGCGTCTTCACGGAAGGCCTCCAGATTCTCAAGAAGGCTGGAAGAGCCGGCAGAGTAGCAAAGAAGGAGGGCAAGCAGTCAGGAAAGAGACCTTGCAAAGGAGCAAAGAATCTCGAGGCTCTGAATAATGCTGTTGAGGAAGATATGGGCGGCGAGGGAGAGGCCGGAGACGTAGATCCTTAACCTGAGCTGGCTCAGGACGAGAACAACTACATCTTCGGTCCTCAGCAGAACGTTGGCGAGGAGGGACAGCAACAGCCTGGTGGGACTGGAGGCTGGTACCCTGCCTCAAGTGTTCCTCTCGCCATTCGCATGGCTCGCAATGAGGCTTTGGCTCCTTAGGCGGGTGCAGCAGATGGTCTGGCTTATCAGGAGGAGGGAGAGGAAGTAGAGGACGATCCCCTTCACGACATTGGAGCCGCCCATCATAGAAGTTGAGTACCGGGTCTCGCAGCTTGACGTTCAATGTTTCGGTGATGGATGGTGTACTAATAGGGGCAACTTTCTTCCCTTGCTCTTCGTTACCAATGGATCGAAACGAGTTGTGCATTGATATAGTGAGAAGGCGAAGCATACTTGCTTCCTCGCATAATTAGTTTCGCCATTGTGTGAATTGAATCATGGTTGTTTAGTCTGTCGTGAGCTAGTGCAGTGACCGGAATTTTCGCTTGCGCAGCCACGAAGCACAACAAAACATTGTCAACATTTTCAAGCCCTCTAAGCAACCACATCACCCTCACTAAGTCTTGGTTGACTCTCGTATGTGCTAAACTCTTCAAAAAAAAAAAAAAACACCCTGCCTTTCAACGCTGATATTCTGTTGCAGCAATACTAAAACATGGTTAACACACGCGGTAAGGGCGCAAACCCCCACTGGAAGAGTTTCGAGGAGCCCATCGATGAGACTCCTTTCTTGTAAGCGCATTTCCCTTCGATCTTCCATGCCGCGGTGACTTGACTGACCTCGCATCCCTAGGAGCAATCTACCCACCGAGGAGGAAGACAAGGAGTTGTTTGTCGAGATCGGCCCCGACCCTGACAAGGTCTTCTCTGTCGCCGGCTGGGTCAACCTTGAGCCCTCTCTCGCTCCCTTCACCCGCGAGTAAGACTGACAATCATTGATAACACGCAACACGATACGTGACGCTAATGATGGCTCTAGGAATGATCTCGGCCCCCTGAAGCACAAGGAGTTCTTCCCTCCTCTGCCTAAGGAGAGAGCCACCACCCGCGACGATCGCGACCTGGCCTACTAGCCCACCCACGCCCCCCTTGACGCACCCAACGCCAACGACACTCCTGCTCCCAATGTCCAAGGACCCGCCGTTGCGTAAGTTGGACCTTCCCTCGCCCCATGATAGCGTAACACACTGACCTGTACAACAGCAAGGAGATCCAAGCCGCCTCTGGCGTAGCAGAGGGAGCTTGCTGGGGCTGCCACACCGCAAAGGTTAAGTGCCAGCGGGTCTCTGGCGCCACGAAGTGCATCAAGTGCACTGAGACCGGTGGCGAGTATGTCGTCCGCCCCCATAAAAGGGCAATCATGAATGTGGCGCACAAACTCAAGGCTGGAAAACCGGCATCGCCATTTACTGCTACTCATCCCCTACCCCATCAGAGACTCGCACCACGTCCATCACTCGATGTCTACAATTTGAGGCTCCGCAAAAATGGAGGAAAGTCGTCTAATATCATTGAGAGATCGCACCGAGAGGGCATAGAGCATCGAGAAGTGGTTACAAGTTGGTGCAAGATAGCTAAAACAATCAGCCATCGAGAATCAATGCACACCTGTTTACTATTCGATGATCCCGATCACTCTTTTGATATGAACACTCAGCCCTACATGACATAGTTGCCGCTCGGGAGGTCCAAGCTTTGGTTGCGAGCTAGATGGCCGTGGAAGCTGTGTCTGGCTGTTTGGCGTTTCAGATGTTCTTCCACCACGTTTCTACTCGGGTTCGATCAGAAAAACAACAATGCGAGACATCATCTTTTGCGCTGCTAGTATCAATCAACTATTAGCCTCCGGTCCTTTGTACGTTCGAAACTTCGTTACGCGCAAATTCGATCACCATGGACAATAATTTTGTCTATCCGGATCCCCAGGAAATGTCGTGGCCTTACCACATCCACTACCTGTACAACTCCAACCCTACTGCGCCCACTCAGAATGACCATCAACATCTCGCACGCGAAGAACTAAGACCAGTCATATTCGTGGCCCCCGATGACTCTCAATCGTGGGTCGGTCTGCCATCACAGTACTGGCCCCTCTCAACCGCGTAAGCATCACGATATTTCATTGACGGAGATCTTGGAGAACATCGACTGAATTGACCTCACATCAGAAGTCAAGGCACCAATATTAGCGCCGCGAACTTCGATGGCAACCCCGCCCGCCAGGTACTGATGGCTCACGACCATCTTCGCTACGCTCCGCAAGTCTCCCTCTACCCAAGGTTCTGTACTTCGTGTCAAGCTAACAGTCAGCAGTAGCTTTCTCAGCTCCCTCGCGAAGCGACAGGTGTCTTCGGCCGATTCGTTCAAGCTGCCGGAAGCTGCCCCAATTTTGCGCGGCTCCACCACTCGCATGTGCGTTTTGCGCCCGTTTTTGCTTCTCCATGACCGCGAGAAATACTGACGCCCCGTCAGGGATACCGACCTTAAGCCAAAGTCAAAAGTCACCAAATCAAAAGGAAAACCAAGACAGGTCCCTGAGACAGATCCCACCAAGCGCTTGAAGGCATGTGCAGGTTGCAGAAAGGCCAAATCTGGTTGCGTGAAGGGACGCAACGAAGGCGACCCATGTCGTCGATGCACCACGCGTGGAACCCCGTGCGAACTCGCCTACCGCAAGGTCTACGGCCCCCGAGATGAGGGCGAAGACCCAGCCATCGAAGACAGCGATGTTCAGGGCAAAATATGAGCATTCTGCACGACCGTTCAACTCGGACTCACGTCTTTTGGTCATTGTTTGTTGGCTCGTTGCTGTCACACATGTACAGTTTTGGTCGGCGTTTGATTTTGGAGTTTATGGTGTCCTTTCCATCTCGATGATACCCAGGGACGGCCAGATTTGGCACTTAATGTTTCTTCCTTTCTTCCTTTTCTGGAGTTTTTGGCTGTCTGCTTTGCAGATTTTGCCTTTCCCAGTTGCTCTACGGTAGCAGTAGAGTCGATCCAGACTTATGATATATACTTAACCCCTCCTTTGACATTGTGATGCTTTGGAAGGTGCTCTCATAAGAGGATTCGCTATTCGTACTTTTCCATACCTGTGCTCGGAAGTTTGGAGTCGTCGAATCTACGCTCGTGCTGGTGTGGAAGTAGTTGCTAGTACCTCGCTTCGACTTTCGTCTACTTCGCAACCTCAACCACCACAATCATCAATAACATTGAGCAACAACACCAATAGCTAGACTCAAGTACTTGTATCCTCGTAAGTACACCCGATATCAGCCTGCACACTGTTCAGATTTCGCAAGCAACTCGCAGTCGCCTCCACGACATCTTTCGCGCACTCACCACTGACTTGTGCCTACAAGTCCTACTAAGCTCAGTCGTCAACAACATCTAAATCAAGGTCAGTGCCCTCTTGTTGTCACATAGATGACTCCACCAGCGTCATTTGTGGGAATCTAGCTTATGTGAATGGACAGAACAATTCAAAATGTCTCAGAACAGCAACGAAAGCGTTGAGCGTGCCCCTGCGTATGTCTCCCCTGCCTGTTCGCCCTGAACCATGCTGACGTCCTGATAGCCAACGCCTCATGTTTGGAGCCATGCCCGCCAGCCGCGACCTGCGTATCGTCGGTAACGGCGTGGAGATGGACCACAGCCTCCGAGCTCGCAACGTAGGCTTAGATGTCACCCCGTACGTTCCGACCAAACTGCCTGGTGCTTTGTGTTTCGCTGACGAGTCAATGTAGCCGCGCTGTCGCCGTGGCCCAGCCTGATTCGCATCGCTCCCAATATCCTCATCGTGAAGAAGTCAAGCAACTCCGTGGGCATACTGGCCTGGATCCGGCTGCTCAGCAGTTTTTTCCTCGTCCTGTTCAGACTCCTCACGCCGGCACTCCTCTCAATGGTCGTCGTGACCTCGATCACAACGCTGCACCTTCTCAACATGTCATCAACGGTGGCTACCGAGGCACTGACCCTCGTCGTATGCCTCGTCCATACCCGGCTCACGCTCTCTCAACCTCGGCCGAGACCATTCAAGACCGTATCGATCGACTCCTTGGCGTTGAAGCCACTCGCGACCATACTACCCCTATGCCACCTACTCTCAAAGGCAACATGCGCGGTCCTAGGTACGGGGACCTCGTCTCTCACTCGCTCAACCACTCCCCACCTCTCTCAGCCGTGCATAAGGCTGCACAGGAGCAGGAGAAGAGGGTCAGGAAGAGTGAGAAGAGACGAGAGAAGCGGATGAAGAGAAGGGAGAAGAGGGGGAAGGAGAAACAGGATGATGAGGTCGAGCAGGAGAACGAAGGCAAGGGTGATGAGGTCAAGGGAGGATGAGCAATGAGCCACCATCAGCTCTTCTCGGTGACGACTCCTTTGTTTGCTGTTTTCGGCTCAAGTGCCTCAAGCGATGTCTAGCCGCTTGCGCTACATCAAAGAGCGATTCTTGAAGTTGTGGTAGTGGCATACAAGAGAGGCGCAATTAGGGTTTTGTTCCCTGCACGCATGACCCTCGGCGCAGTCGGCCTTTACATATGCGGACTGCTCATCAGAGGAAGAAGAGATTCGGCAAGATAAGCCAGTGCATTCCATACGAACAAGGAAAGAGGAAGGGAGCATAACTCGGCTCGACTTACACACACACACCTGTCATGACACTGTAATTACGTTTATACCATTTGAACTCGCCGACGTGAAATACTCCCTGCTCGCGTGCGCCTCTCCTTTACGATCCGTCCACTTACCAATACACCAACTTTCCCCATCTAGCACCACAGCGCTATCTCGTCATTGTACACTAACCCACCCTTTTCAAATCCACAATCGTCCTTTGACAAGATCCGCAGTCCAAAGAACCAAAGAAGCACAAAGCTTTGCCCTCCTCTTTGATCCCTCGACGTCAAAATAAACGTCCGCTTGCATCTCTTTTTCCCTGGACCCGAAGTTTAACCGAGGAATGCAAGTTGTTTCCATAATCCCTGTTTACTAACCTCACCAAAAAAAAATCGGTTCTAGGACTATGTAAGATTTATTATTCTTGAAGAGGGTTAGTGAGATGTTTGAAGTTCTTTGCGCCCCCCCTTGATTAGAGTGAGTTGTATATGATTCTGGGTTTTCCTAAGTGTGGGAAAAGTGTTTGGGTCGAGGAAGGAGGATGATGGCTTGACTTCATACGATAGCTGGGCTACTAGTATCGTCCTGGAGTTCGAAAACAGTAGTAGAAAAACAGAAAAAGTCACAGAGCAAGACAAATGCACGAAGGAAAAGATGACGGTGAGGGAAGTCTGGTGATGAAAAGGGCTATTTCTTTATTCAGCCCGTTGCTTGCCCTTATCTCTGGGCTTATCCTCAGCGACAGCAGTATTCACGCCTTCTTCGCCATTCTCTTCGACATGCCCTTCAATCCTCACCTTCTTCGCTTCCCCGTTCTCCTTGTTTCCATTAACCACACTATCCTTGGGATTCAACTGGCTCTTAACCTCCTTCTTTACCTCCTTCCAACTTTTCCCTTTTTCCTTGGCCGTACTCATATCATTAGCTTCCGGACCCGAAGAATCCAAGCCTCTCCATTTCTCATAGCCCCAGACGTCTGCATCTGTGGCAAAGGATGTTGTGCCAGAGCGTGCCATGTCGCGGATGTCGCTCCAGTATTCTAGGCGCTTGACTTGTTCGTCTGCTGCTGCGACTGCGGCTTCGAGGTTTGTGATTCTTTGTTGTTCTTGGGCGGAGATTTCTTCGTCGTGGGCTGCGTGTTCGTCTCGCAGCCTCTCCGCCTCAGTGAGCTTCTGGGAGAGCATGGTTAGGATGTAGCGGCGCGAGTTTTGGAATATGCAGAGTGACATTATGGTTTCCATCTGGACGCTTTGTTAGCATGTTATATGACAGATGTAAGTTAGGCAACGTACCTGCTCGCCTAAATAATGGAGATCGTCTCCACCGTTGTCAATGAAGTGGCGGACAAGGACGATCTTTTCGCGATCGATGCCTGCCCGCTTGAGGCTGTTGAGTAGGGAGCCGATGTCTCGAATATCCTCGGGATCTTCCAAGTAATGCTCTGCTTTTTCCAAATTCTGACGAGCCACAGTATCAAAGACAAAACTGCTAGATCTGCTTGGAGCCTTGGGATGGATGGTGAAGTAATCAGAAGTAAAAGCATGACCTTGTTGGTTGGTCTTCCGAGGCTGCTTTCGCACCCTTTTCCGTAGCCATCGTCGTCGTCTAACCCATGAGTAGCCCCATGGATGTGTACCGTGCCATGCTGTGCCGTCACTGAACCAGAAAGAGTACTCCCAGCCTTCTTCGTCGACATCCCTCGACATGTCGACATACCAAGATTTCCAAGCCCACTCCCAGCTGGGATCTGGCACTTGAGCGTTTGTGATGTTGACGGGGCTAGGCTTCTTGTGACCATTCAGCCACGGTTTTGGGTCGAAGTTGAGAAGTGTTTTGGACGAGAAGTGAGGTACACCAAAGAACCACCAGCCTCGTTGGTTCTCGTAAAGGACGTCAATTACAGCGTCTTCTTCCAAAGCAAGTTGCATCTGCTTCCTTGTTCCCAGCAGCCCGCGTACTTTGTTCTTGCCACGAGTGACCTTGCCGGGATTGGAGACGGTGGAGCCTTCGTCGACAGAAGCAGGATTCTCTGGGTCTTCAGGACCGATAAATCTTCCTTCTCTGTAATTCCGATACTTGCGAGAGGTCATGCGCTTCTGCACCGAACCTTGCAAAGATTGCGCATGGCCAGTCAAGGATTGGCTTGTCCATCTTCTAGAGAGAGAGCCGCCAGCAGCAGGAGCGATGTCGTCATCATATAGAACTTCGCCAGGATTCTGTATTTCAGGGCGATCTGGGTTCGTGCGATCAACGAGGGTGATTTGCTGAGCTGTCTGCCTACGGGAAGGCTGAGGTGGGGAGGACGACGAGTCTGGCAGAGTGGCCGAGCTGCCTCTATCGGTCGAGTCGGTGGGCAGATATGAGGTCGACATGATGTTCACGTATCTCCATTCTTGGTGTAAATATGGGAAGGAGCCGACGACATGGCCTTTGTTGAGCTGTTTAGGGAAGGAACAGACTCGAGAAGCGTCGGTCGTCCTGTTTCCAAGTTGCGATCTCCAACGAACTGCAGCAAAAGGGGAAAGAGCTGGCGTCGATCATTGTGGGGACGGGAGATGCGCGCCAATGAAAGTGACATACGTCACATTGCGTCACCCAAAGTCTGTTAAGCTGTGGCTGCGAGCTCCCTGCTTTGGACGAGAAAGCTGTCAAACAAATACCGGCCCTTCCTGCTTCTTCCTCGTCTCTTGCATACCACTCGACTTTTCTCAAACCAACAATCGCCCTTTTTCCAACCTTCCCAATCACTCACAACACCTTCACAATGGCTGCCAGATCCCGTCTTCCCCTCATTGCCGGCCTCGGTGCCGCCACCTTCGGTGGTTACTACATGTACAGAGCTGGTGGCTCTCCCAAGGTTGCCGAGAAGCAGATGGAAGGTACGTTTGTGACTCCTTGAAGTCTTTGACAAGTTACTAATCAACTCTAGCCGACGCCGCCCGTCTCTCGTCATCAGTAAAGAACGAGCTGCCCGGCAAGGCCAAGGAGCTCAAGACCGACGCAAAGGTCTACGGCGAGCAGATTGGTCAGAAGATTGACAGCGCCGTAAGTCTTGCCTCCAGCCCTACTCTTTTGAGCGAATACTAAACCTCTTTCCAGGTCAAGGACGCCCGTGACAAGACCCGCGAGTTCGACGCCAAGTTCGAGACTTACCGCGCCGACGCCGAGAAGAACATCGACCAATACAAGAACAAGGCCAACAAGGAATTTAACAGCGCCGTTGACACCTTCGACAAGAAGGTCGGTGATGCTGCCGCAAACGCAAAGGCTTCAGTCGAGGTCAACGCCGAGAAGGCAAAGAGCGGCTTCTCAAGCTGGTTCGGCAGCAGCAAGTAAACCTTTTTGCTTGCGCACACACAACACAGCGACATGAGTCTCGGATGGCATGAATCTTTCATTTTCTTTTCATCAGCACTTTCAGCGTTTGTATTATATTTTATCAAGACATCCCTTCAGTTGGGGATTGATACCTGAATAATAATCCTGTCAATTCAATCTTGCTAGTGTGTTGTACCTTGTGAATGCCGTAGTCCACGGGTGGCATTTCGTTGAGTCCAGATGCGACAGTATATTCCCCAGAAGTCCGCACACATATACACCTGGTGTAGGTCTTCGAAGCCTCCAACCTATTCAAGCATGCGTTTTTGTTTCTTCTCCTGACCGACACGCGGGACAGATGTTGAGGTACTTTCGGATGCAAGGTCACCACGTCTTCTGGCGCAGCGCAATTCGAAACACAAATCATGCCAAAATTCCACACCGAAGCCAGGAGATAAGTTCCCGAACATCAGAAAACACTTCCTGTTGTTAATAAGTTTACCAGAACCAGTCCCAGACCATATGCTCAAGCGATGGTCGCATTATGATAGTTGTGGCTGCGAGAATGATCGTCAAGGATACGACCCTGGCTAGAAAACAGAATACGGCCGACAAGCTTGGCAGCACTTTACGCGAGCGCGTTCCAAGCACGAAAAGACGCGTGTCACCGGGCCACCGCAAGCTCATTTCTTTGTTTTGGGTCGTCCGTCATCCGTACATTTGACTCAGTACATCAGATATTGCCATTGCTTGATAGTATTATACCTATTCACATCTGTTACATCCATCATCCAGCATATCATATCATATCGTATTCTCTATCATGCCCGTCACAAGAAAGCGCAAGGCCATCAGCCCCGACTCTGGTAAACAAAGCACAATCGCCAGCCAAAAGCCCATCAACACCTTTGGACGCGTCACCAAGAGTCAGAAGGACGAGACGAACACAAAGAAGCGCAGGATATTAGATTCATCCATCATCGATACATCATCATCATCTACACAAGACACGAATATTACTGGACAGGAAGAGGTGGAAGCGGACACAACAACGACGCAATCGAAGAAGCGCTCAAGAGATGCCGAGGATGAAGTCACAACTCCGCAGAACAAGAGATTCAGGAATGCCCTACCGCCGACACCAGCAGAGACGCCGTCCAAGAGCGCTTCCATGCTCTTTGAGCAGATGATGCTCGACAATACCGCTCCTGTCCCGAATAGCTCGACACCACAAGATACCGAATACGAAACACCTCCTCTCACACCGCGCGCCTTCAGAAGTCTTGGATCATCGTTACCTACAACCGAATTGCCAGCTCAGTTACAAGAATTTACGCGACTGTTCAAAGCATTCCTCACAAGCACATCACTATATTCGACGCACAATGGCCTCGGTACGCCAATGTACATTACCAATTTATTACCACATGTCACGAGGAGCTGGAAGAAGAGAGCCGTCACAGAACGTGACATGCTCATCGTTCTTGCTATTCTTGGAGAGAACGACACTTTCGAGTTGGCCGACAATGGTGAAGGGAGCCTATGCATCGAGCTTCTGGACACCAAAAACTCCACGACCGGTCACTTTAACCAGCCCGAGATGATCACATTATTCAACACCCGCCTTGACACCCTCTGGAAGCAATGGCTCTCCTCATCACCCACAGCGAGATCAGACATCGAAGGCTTCGTTTCACAGATCCCTACCTGCCAAGTCATTACCAGCCAGGTCGCACCAAGTAACATCACTCACATCACAAAAGGCGCCGAACGTCTTCAAGAGCTCAAAGCCGGAGCAATCGTCGCCCGTGCAGCAGAAGCAACTTCCCGCAAACCTGTCGTTCAACCAAGAGACAAGTCTGCCGCAGCAGTAGCAAGTCGCGGCGCCAATCTCCTCGAACGTATCCTCGCCAAACAAGCTGCAAATCTCAACAAGGCGGACGGACCTAGCCCTGCCCACCTTGCCCGTCTCTCTGCCCTCGACCGCATCACAGACATTGCGGATGTGCTTGACGTTCTCTCCGGTGGCCGTGCAAGAGCAAGTTTCTCGACCAAAGTCCTGCTGTCAAATCTCCAAAACTCATTGCGCAACCCTCTGTCTGCAGAAGAAGCTGAGAAGTGTCTTGAGATTATGGCTGCAGAAGTCACACCACATTTTGTCAAGATAATTCGTGCTGGAAGCGTCAATGCTGTTGTTATTACTAGAGCCGGCAAGCCGACGCCTGAGCAATTGAGGGCTAGAATTGAGTCTGCCAGGGCTGCCTGATCGTATCGATGTCGATTTGTCGAGATGTGATGAGAAGCGATCTCCGGACGAGATATTGTCAATCATGCCACTGGTTTGGCATAAAGATGGAAAGAATCGATCTTGTAGATTAGACGCAGCATCCATCGAGTATATTTTTATCCTCTGTTTCACCATAGCAAGATAATCCCCGAACCACAGGCTGGCCAATGTATGCATAAATCTCGCTCATGTGTTTGGTGATGGAGGGAAGGTGGTTTGAGGACGCCGATCATTTCCCCACAAAGTCGTGCGGCAGAGAGTCGCCCACTCTTTTCGAAACATGATGGGTGACGACGATGTCTCCTCTCTCTACTCTGCCCTAGAACGACAATCATTTCTGTCACTCGGGCGCGATGATCACTTGTCTGGCATACAAGCTGTGCATCTCGCCGGGCACATCACGACTAACGAGCTCGCCTTTACGGCAGCGACTACCGCGAAGCCTGTCGAGAATCCCATGCAACTGAAGAAATCACAGAACCCACAGCAATGTATCTGGATCTTGGAAAGAGCAGTAGTCGTACGTCTGGATGGACGACATTGACTGCATGCTATACGAGATCGATTCTATTCGACAAATTCAAGCTCGCTTGCAATTCTTCCGTTACAAGCAGATCAGCTTTTCACACTGCATGGCATTGCCAGTCTCCTTCATTGGGTGGAAACGCCAGACGTCTGAGATGGAAATGCAGTCGAATATACGAGACCTTTGTCACGTAACCCAAATGTTGTCGAGTACTTCCGGGATGGAGATTCCGATCGCAAGCAATGCACAAGCAATGATCGACATCAGGGTAAGCTTCGACAAGACTTCTTGGTTGCGCATTCTCAAAAGCTTAGGGCTCAGAAGTACCACGACAACTCTGTGTTTCATGTGTAAGCTTCGGAATATCGAGATCGATTCTTCGGATCTTCTCGAGGGCAAGTTGGCAGGATGTGGTCTGCTCTTAATTGCTGTATGTCGCTAAACATAAGAACCACTGCGTCCTTGTGTTGTTTATTTTCTCTCATCATCTCAGATTCACTCCTTCTTTTGCAAAACTTCCTTTGGTCAGCTGGACTGTCCTAACTCAAGTCGATCTTTACAATCATCTTGCCTTTCTTTCGCACAACACAATCCGCGGCACTTTCATCAATATGGTCAACTTCCTTTCTACCGCTCTTCTCGGCGCTTCCCTCGTTACTGCAGCTCCTGCTATGCAGAAGCGTAGCAGCTGCACCTTTACCTCGTACGACGACGTCGCCGATCAAATCGCCGACTGCTCCTCCGTCACCTTGTCTGGCATCACCGTCCCCGCCGGCGAAACCCTCGACCTCTCTGACGCAGCCGACGGTGCCACCATCACCTTCTCCGGCACCACCACCTTCGAGTACTCCGAATGGTCTGGTCCTCTGATCCGCGCAGGCGGAAAAGGCGTCACCATCACCGGAGCCTCTGGCCACGTCATCGATGGCAATGGCGCCAAATGGTGGGATGGTGAAGGCACCAATGGCGGCAAAACCAAGCCAAAATTCTTCTATGCACATTCCTTGACTGGAAATTCGGTCATCAAGGACTTGAATATCAAGAATACACCTGTTCAGGCTATTTCTGTTCAAGCTACTGATCTTACTATCTCTGGGCTTACAATTGATAACTCTGATGGCGATGCTGAGGATTGTGATGGTGAGGCTTGCGGTCACAATACTGATGCTTTCGACGTCAGCGAGTCTGAAAATGTGGTCATCACTGGCTGTACCATCAAGAATCAAGATGATTGTCTTGCCATCAACAGTGGTACAGGCATTACCTTTTCTGACAATGCTTGCAGTGGTGGCCATGGTATTTCCATTGGTAGTGTGGGTGGCAGAGATGATAATGATGTTGCCAATATCATCATCTCTGGCAACACGATCAAAGATTCTGCAAATGGCTTGCGTATCAAAACCGTCTATGACGCCACTGGCTCAGTCAAGAATGTCACCTACACCGATAACACCATCTCTGGCATCTCAGACTACGGTATCGTAGTCGAGCAAGACTATGAAAACGGGTCTCCTACCGGTACACCTACTTCTGGCGTTCCTGTAAGTTTTCTGCCCTCTTTTGGAGAGAAAAAAAAGAGGGGAGTAATTGCTAATGGCACAAAAACAGATTACAGACATCACTTTCAATGGCGTAACAGGTACCGTCGACTCTGATGCCGAGAACATTTATATTCTCTGTGCTTCTTGCAGTGGTTGGACTTGGAGTGGTGTTGATATTTCTGGTGGCAAGACTAGTGATGCTTGTGAAGGTGTTCCCAGTGGTGTTTCTTGCTGATCACTCTATCCGCCTTACTGATGTATGCTCATTGAGGGAGCCAACTTTCCCTCTCTGGCAAGAAGGATTCCGGATGTCAGACGCACTCTTGACTTTTGAAAGTCGCCATCGTGCCGTTCATCATCTAGGGGATGATTGCTATTTCAGCTTCAAGCTGGATTGATTTTTGCTTAGCTGTATAAATGCAGAATCCGTTTTTGAGCATTAGAGATTTTTCTATCAGGGTACCTCAGAATCGTAGCTCTGCAGCGTCATGACCTGATGTACACGAAGATATGCTGCCTCACTGTAGATCCTATGATTGAAGCTGATGGGATGACGCCCTCGAGCGGGAGTTTGAGACACAGGAGGACGTGAGGTATCAGAATGCCCTGGCTGACTGTATACTAAAATCAAGTCATGTACTAAAATCAAACCAGATGTTCATTGGGTGTTAGGAGGAAAAGACGTAGACTCGTGCAATCATTCTCGAGAGGATGCGGAGCTCGGACATGTCATTTCCGCTTTCGGTACACAACCTTTCGCCAAGCATCTTGGCTGCAGTGGATAATTTCGGATGATCTGCAGCGAGTCAATCCAGACCTCGTTCCTTCCTTCACGACTTCGTTATTGTGCTTCTTCTTGATCTCAGATTCATGAGCCTGTCATCTAATTTCCGTCAGAATTTCCCCAGAAGTCCCAGTACTACGGCGTGACATGTAGGAACGCTCACTTCCGAGGCTACGTGGAGTCTCCCGGACCTCCATAATATGCAATACCTAGGCAGAATCGTGCTTAGCGATATAGCGCCGGTTGAGACGCCACTAAAGCTCGTGGTCCCAATGGAATCCTCATACCAATTTACTTCATGTTCGGAGACACACCGTATTCCGTCTCCTTACCGAAGACAACATAGTGCGGGTAGGTCCTGTGTGGGAATGGCTATTGTATAAAAGGTAACGCTATCCTTGCAGAGGCAGGAGATTCTGCTACTGTCAGAATTTTCCGGTGGAACTCATCATGCTTTCCACCATGCGGTCCTTCTCCCAATCGGTATTGCTTGCAAGCACCCTTCTGACTGCAACGTGTCAACTCTCTGCAGCCACTGATTCTGTACTGGAGCGAGATGTTGACGCAGACGTTTTGGTCGCTCGTTCGGAATTTCTAGGCTTCAGCATGTACAAGAAAGGCGAAGTCGAGGCTACAGATCTCCCATCCAGCTGCAAGACAGCACTCACCCAAAAGGTCCTCTGCGACAACCAGATCGCGGACTACGGTGGCGAGCTCCAATGGCGTGGATATGTTTTCACAGAAATAACATCATACGAGTCTGTTTGCGATGCCTCGTGTGGCGACTCCATTCGTTCGTACTTCGACGGTGTCGCAAAGGAATGTGCTGGCCTCAAGGTGTTTGACCAAATCAACACTTTCAAAGCCGGACGCTTACTGGAGGGGTGGACTGAAACTTGCTACTATGATCCAGAAAGTGGTCGAAATTGCAATGGTAGGTTGACGTCGATGTCTCACCATCTTGAGCTTGAGTCTAATTGCTTTACAGAAATCATAGACGGGTTTTCGGGTGATTTTGAAGACGTGTACAACATGCCTCTGGTGAGTCACTATATCGGCAATATATGACTCCTCAAATGCTGACCAGACAAGGATGAAATGTGTTCGTTCTGCTACGTTGAGCACTACAGAATAATGCAAAAGTCTCCATACTCCGCCTACGACGCCTTCTACGAACACAACCTGCAAATGATCAACGAGAAGTGTGGCTTGAACAATCCTACCGAAGTACCCTTTCCTCTAGATCCTCCTCAAGAACAAGATCTTCACTGCAGTTCTAAGATTTACCACTTGATTCAAGCTGGCGAAACCTGTACTTCAATAGCAAAGGACTACGATGTCCCCGAACATTTGATACTTGATTCCTACTCGTTTCAGTACGGAGGCTGGACTTATGAGGTAGGGTGCGATGAATTCCGCGCCGGCCTCAAGATGTGTATCCCGGAAAAGGACTATTGCGAAACTCATTACTACCACACTTCCAAAGAAGGCGACACCTGCGCTTCTATCGCGAAGGCCTATGGCGTAGCATCCTATGACCTCACCTACCAGAACGAAGGCAAAATCAACGATTGCAACTCGATCCCCCCTGGTCTTACACTCTGTATGCCACCAGCCTGCGACACCTACGAGCTTCAAGCTGGCGACACTTGCCACGACCTCGAGATCAGGTTCAACATCACCAGCCCAGAGTTACTAGGGTATAATGGATGGATCAACGATGATTGTTCGAATCTGGATACCGGGAGGATGAATGATGGTGGTATTGTTTGCTCATCAATCCCGATCTATGGTGATGGTGAAGACTATACCGCTCCTGATGACGGAACATCTTCGGAGGATGAGGTGGCTTCTAGCACTGTTTTCATGACTTCGATCACGCGTAGTTCTCCTTCGGAAGCTACTACTGCTGCTGTCACGGATGGTCATACTCGTCCGACGGGAAGCGTTGGAGATGTTGCGAAGACTTCGTCAGAGCCATCGGGAGGCAAAATTACAGCTCAGACTACTGGTGCCTCTGCAGCTGCTACTACTACAAACGCGTCAACGGACAGAGTCTCGGCTGCGATGATGATGATGCATGTCAGCAAGTGGCAGATTATTGCACTTGCCTTCACTGCGACCTTATTCTCCTATACACTGTGAGCCATTTCGCTCGAGCTGTGGTAGAGCTTAAGCTTGTCAAACGCTTGTTCTCGGAGAATATATACATTCGAAATTATCTTTGCCGGCACATTTCTGCTCTACTCTTTCTGCCCTATCCCGATAGATCAGCTCTTGAACAATCTCTCTACACCAGCTCATCTTATCCTCATACGGATATGCTTTTCGTGGGAGGAGTGGGCACTTTTGGGGGGGGGGGGGG